ATTCTCTACTTATTACTAGGTTTTAGTATAAAGAGAATAGGACTTCCCTATAGCAAAGAGGATTCCTAGATAAGACCTTGTTATAATAGCATATCTATTTGCTTTTACTATTCTTATAACTATATCGGATTTAACAAATAGGCCTATATGTTTATTAGCTTCGCGTCTCCGGTATTAATTAAATAGACAATATCTCTTTTTTTTAGTAGTCTAGTTAGTAATTCCTTCCTAAATATAGATAGATATTGTTATAGGACTATAACAAAGATAGGGAGCATTATAATAGCAGGTTTGCTATCTAGCTCTAGACTAGAAAAAGCATATAGTACTATAAGTAGTAAGAAGGCTCTTCTCCTACTAAGTTATCTATTTGTTATAGGGTTAGTAAGTGCATATAGCAGTTCTCGTTTATCCTCTACCTTTATATCTTATAACGTAAAGATCCTAGAGTGAGATTTAAGAACATAAGTTATAAGAGTATCTTTATATAATAGTTACACTATACTAACCTACTAATTAATTATAGGGTTATGTCTTATAAACTAAGATAGTCCTAGGATAACATTGTATTCTTTAAAGTCTATAAGTCGCGCTTTAAGAGTTTCTAACTAGTCTCCTAAGGTATAAGGTAACTCGAGTCCTTCCTTTATTATAATAGTTTGCCCATTTAGTAGAACAATTAACTTTGTTATAATAGAAATAATAGAACTCTTCTAAAAGGTCCTAGCTTTTAAAGCTAATATGTAAATACTAGATGCTATAGTATTAAGTGTAAAGGTAATCTTACAGATATTATTATAAGGTCTAATAGTTCTATATAGCGTAAGAAGACCGCTATCTAGGGTAGCAAAGTATTTAGTCTCTTCTTCTAGCAAAGATCTAGCGGTTATGTTTATATCTATACTTATAACTAGGTTCTCTTCTTTGTTAGAGGCCTTAGAAGGTAAGGAAGTTACCTTAGTTGTAACCTTACCTACTTGTTTTTTAAACAGCATTCTCTAGCATAGTAGCTAGGCTTATTATAGGAATAGTAAGTAACTTTTAACTTATCCTATCTGCCCTTTCCTTTACTACTACCTTTACCTTTTTTCTTCTTGCCTATTATATTAAGGGATTTAACAGTTATATTTAGGTTCTTACTTTAGTTCTTTCTCCTATAACGGAAATAAACCTTATTAAGAGTAATAGCCCTATTAATATAATTATCCTTTAGGGTATTTAAGGGTAAATAAAGCTATATATCTAGAGTATCTCTTACATCTTCTCGAAGGCTATCCCTATACCTTCTAAGAAAAGTTTTAGGAGATAGAATAAGGACAAGTTTACATAAAAGGGTTTACAAGTCCCTTATAAAAGCCCTAGCTAAACTAGTCTATCTTATATGCTTAAATCGTCTCTTTTTAATTTCTATCTAATTAAGATCTGTATAACAGTACTAGATCTTTAACAATTAGGCTATAAAAGAATTAACTATAAGGTGTTCTTACTAGTAATTAAATAGGTCCCCTTCTAGATAGGAAGAAGTAAGGCGATTCTTTTTATTATCCTATAATAGTCTATAAAAGATAAAGTCCTCTTACAAACCTATCTAGTTTTTAAGTTAGGTAATCTAATTGTCTACTTCTTTATTCTTCATCTTTTCTTTAAAGGTAGGAGGTTTCTAAATAGGTACTTTTAGACGATACTTATACTCTCTAGTAGTAGTTATAAAGCTAGAAGTAGGAGAAGTATCTTATTATATTAGCTCCGGCTATAGAGGAGGTAGAGGCGCCTATTATAGGGGCTATTATAGACTAGGTTAGTTCCTTGCCTAGTATTCTACATACTTAGCCTCTTAGTTTAGGCGGTTCTACTCTATACGGTAGAGGATCTTAAGTAGTTCCTTATAGGTTATCGATAAAGGGTCTTAAGGCTCTTAACTAGCTTATTACGGCCTAGTTATAGGTCCTCTAACCGGTTAATAGCTAGTTGTAGACCCCTCTAGCTAAGCGTAGCTAGTTATAGGGTTATAGTAGAGATCGGGTTCTATTAGAATGTAAGAGAGTTATATAAGCGGGAGATATAAAAAAGTTTTAAAGAGGCTAAAGTACTATATTAGTAGTACTATGCTATCCGGTCCTCTTATAAGAAGGGATATCCTTCTTATATTAATTAGAGTTCCTCTAGCTAGAAAGACTACTTAGATCTATCTTATAACTCCTTATAGACGTATATTTATCTTTAGTAGAATAGAAAGCTATAAGCTTAGCTCGAAGATAAATGCCTTATTACTCTTATCCTTAAAGTTATAGGGATTATAGCTAATTATAAGAAAAGTGCAGTTACAGACTAAGGGAAGCTAATATTAGCTTACTCTTATAACTACATTATATCCTTACAACTCCTATAAGTTAACTAATAAAGAGCGTAATAGCGATGCCGGCGTCGTGTAGGGTCGAGATAGTTGTAAGTCTACCTTTTAAGGGCTATAGAGAGCACCCTAGGCCGTAGAGGCCTTCTAGAGCTTAGCTACCAGATGTAATTGCCAAAGGAACTTGATTTTTTAGACTACTGGCGCACGGCACGGTTATATACTAAATCCGCCAAGCAATGGCTTACTCCGGCTTCGCAATAACAATGCTCCGCCAATATGCGTTACCGCCAACCCTGCCTCTCCACTCCATCCTTACCACTTCGGCCAGTTCGAGGCCTTTCGGACACGGAAGGCACGGGTGGTAGATTCGCTTTTCAAGCCTCTCCCGACTACCCGTCTCTTATCTCTGTTATATGATGCAGACCCTTGTGGGGGAATAGAGGCAAAAGAGAAACCTACGGCTCCAGTTTGTGACGCGTATTCCGTCAGCGACTCCAACTTCGACTTCAGCTCTTGAGCTCCTCGGCCGACGTTGTGACATCGTGAGATGGGTGCCGAATTCCTGAACAATGCGACAATGATAGAATGGGCTGAGCGAGGAATGCACATCCATGCGTGGGTGGATCAATCCACATTCCACAGCGCACGCAATCGTCCAAAGGAGCTTTGCAATGCGCGCCTTGCGTATGACGCTGGTCATTTCCTGCACCATGGCTGTTCGACTATGGTCATACTGACTTAGAAACACGCAGCATCGAGTCTTTCAGGATGAGCTGACTAGGCGCTTCCTGACCTGGAGTCTTGACAACAACAATGTCGTTGTATACAATCTATAATGACTGACAGCCTACGGGAAACAAAACAATGCTTTGTACTGACCCAACCGGAAATGGTAAACAACCATTGGATGATCAAGATATCCGCAAACAGCGAAACTGTTATCCTCTGCTTTCGGAGTCGAAAAGTACCATAATTTCAGAAGAGATGAGTCGTTCAATTCTGCTGGTCGGTATTGCCACCATCTTTCTGCTCTGTTTCCGCCATCATCACATAGCGCATGAACCATGTCTACACGACAAACACGTAGCAAAAGTCGAGGTCGAGCTGCCAATAAGCCTATAAGACCTCTGTCTCGTGTTCGAACCAACACTTCTTTTTCGGACCCTGATTACGATCAATCGACACCTGAGCCGAAGACTGCATCCACTCCCTCGCCGACATGGGGCAAATTTCCACGCAAGACAGCTGAACCTCAAGGCTTCAGGGCACCACAAGGTATACCTTCAGTGCCACTGATCAGATCAGATGGCCGCCGCTACTATATGAGCAGCGCCTGTGGTCCTGTGAGCTATTCGCCAGCCGGGAAGTTCCAAGACCGCGTCACTAGCTCCAATGCCTCTCGCGCGAAGGCAATGGTTCTCCCAAACTTCCCTGAGCCAGCTATCCCTTGGCCAAATCCTAATTTCCCTAGAAGATCTGCATCACGTCCGAAGCATGTCGAGATATCTCGATTCGATAAGGACGAGGAAGAGCGCTTGCGAGCATCGTCCACTTGGAGAAAGAAAAGACCTGATACTCCTTCTTCCGCCCGAGCCACCATGTTTGATTTCCCCTCCAAGAACAGCTTCTGGCACCCGCTCGAAGGTTTTGTACCACGCTCTGGCTTCGTCTGGCTAGTACTAATATTCCTCGGCATTCTTTTGGGGCTCTCCACCCCTCCCCAGGAAAATCCGGTACAGGTTGCATATAAAGAAGTATGTAGCCGTTTTGGCAATCCTGTTGAGTGGAATTGCAATGGAAACTTCAACTTCACTATCGACAATGTTGTCAGCCATTGTCACAACGCTGCTGACGCAATCTACGACAATTTGCACATGGCTGGCGTGAAGACAAATGTCGAAGACCTGGTGCACACATGCCAGGTGTCGATTGAGGCTCGCAAGGGCAAGCTCGAGTACATGTTCGAAGGTATGGAAAAGGCGACTGCCAACTTCAAGAAATCTCTGTGTGCTCTCCCAAGGGCGGAAAAGTGGGACAGATGTGTTAAGAAGTCGTACTCCAAGCTCAGCAAGCCTTTCGCGATGCTTGGAAGCGTTTTCCGGGGCCCAATTACCAGTACCGGAATCAGAGTTCCAAGACCTTCCAAGCCTTCAAGCCCGAGACTCAGGGAGAGCATTACCATACAAGAAGTTGTCGACTCTCCTGCCAATCCGATCGCTCGTGTCGAACACGTAGCCAACAGCGTCGTCGCGTCGTTGGCGGGCCAAGTGAAGAGCCATGCATCCTCGGCGCTGTCATCCGTTAGTTCTGCCTACCTGCCCATTATCGCGAGTGCCGTTAGTAGCGATCACACTCCAGAGATAATGGAGACCGTAGCGGCCTCTGCAGGCTCGAATCTGTCCGCCGGCATTGAAGCGGTCTCTAAGATCAAGGATGTCGAGCTCAAATACACCTTGGCGGTCGCGAAAGCAGAACTCAAGATGTTGCAGCAGAACGACACTTCCATCGTCGCACACATTACCGATACTAAGCGCCACCTTAACGCTCTCTTGATAACAGCGTGGGAGCTTCAGAAGGAGATTGACCAATTCTCGATCTGCATGATTCGAACATCCGAGATCGCCATCAGCGAGCTTTCCAAGACGATTACCTACGGACCTTGGACTGATTCGTGGTTCAGCCTGTCTCGTTCAGGCTGGATGGTTACACCTGCCGATAAAGCATTCAAGGCACTCAGCAATCCACCTGTTGAATGCCAAACGTTCTTGGTCCGCATACACCAGAAGGTGCAAGGCGCACTCGAAACAGGCAAAGGACTGCTCAAAGAAATCGAGAGAGTCATCGAGCTCTCCTATCACCGCGACTTTGCAAAGAAGAGTCTGCTCTATGTTCCTGTTCCTCTTCCTTGGGTGAGACCTCTCGGACCTTTTCCCAACTTCCCCGTCATCAGACTACCTGCCATTCGTTGGAATCCTTGGTACTGGTTCCGCGATGAAGCCTACTGGTATAGGATTCGCACACAAGAGCAACGCGAACAAGGTCTCAGACTCCACCGATTACGCTCAACCCTCCACCAACTCCGCGAGGCTACCGAGGGCTTCGATGATATCAGGAATCTTCTTGAACGTGCCATTGTTAACTTGTTGGACGCACACAAGGACCTTGAGTCTCACCGTGAACAGGTCCTTCAGAACCCCAAGTTTGGTGTGCCATTCTTCTTGGATAAGACTCAGACTGTGAGGGAGGATTTAGCTGTGGCTATCAAGCTTAGGGATGGAAGAAAGCGTGTTAAGAATTATATCAATGCGGAGGCGTGGAAGCGATATAACAACGGAGATGACCAGCGCGGTGTGTTTGTTGTTAAAGAGATGAGACTGTAACGTGGTTGATGACTTTTGCTGGGATGATAGTTCTCGTTTTAGATGTTGCTTACATACTTTTTCAGCGAGGGTAGATAATGCAAGTTTTCATTATTTTATGCACATCTAATGCTTGTGGTGTCACCCTGCTCGTATCACTCGACCATCATGTGCTCACAATTGTCTCCTGGTACGTCACTCCTGAAGGACGATGACTTTCTAACAACACGAAAATGTTGCTCTCGGAGATTTGTACCTTGTTGATGGCAGTATTGATATTGTAATTTGAGTTCGGTGTCGATTTTCAAATGTGGTCTTGTCCCAATTGGTCCAGCTCATACTTTTGAGCAAAGATACTAGAAATATCGTCAAAATCGATATCTCAACAACAACGCAGCAGGTGAGGAAGATTTAGCTCATAGCAGGAATACCACATCTCTAAATAACCATCCCACCATTCTGACAGGCCTGAAAATCCACACTCGTTGGGAGACCATCGTGCGAATGCAAAAAGTGCTTGTCGAGGGTATAACCCTGTTTCTCTGACCAACTGTGCTTGACTTCACCCTGTTCCCACATGGATATCACGTTAACGAACATGGCAAGTTACAAGCATGCAAGTCAAATGCTCTTTGTTGCGAGGTGTGTTATCTATGTATCTTTGCACATGGCAGGTGCGATATGCCCAGCATGGTCGGAAATACTCATGAGCCATACGCGAACATCAGACAGCTTGCATGAACGAACAAGATTTTTTTTACTACACCCTACAGTGATCTACAGGTTATTGACAATAAGATTACTACCCTAGCTCAATACGCGGACCTTTGTAGTGTTTCTCTGCATAAAAGACCCAGTTGATGCCACTGAACAACGCCATGGCAGCTAGTACCGCACAAGTATAATCTGTAGCATCTTTGTTAGCACATCTGATCCACACACAAACAAAAGGACAGAAGGAAAACTCACTCATGCTGGACCCTGTGGTTGGGATAGAAGTCGGAAGATCAAAGAAGACAACCTCGATGATGGCGAACACGACAACAGTTGCATTGCAAGTCCATCCCAGCCAACCAGGCAAGCGAAACCATCGGTTCTTAGCGAGAAACTTTTCGCTACGGCCTCTGCAAATAAGCAAAAAGCAAGGCATGGCAAAGGAGATCATCTGCAGGATGATGGTCGTGTTGATCAAAGCATTGAACGCAGCTGTAGACGCAAGATAGATGCATCCACAGATGAAGATAACCACAGCATTGGCGAGTAGAGACCATACAGGTACTTCTAGACCGTGATGCATTTGAGCCAACTGTTTCGAAAGCACGAGACCGTTGTCACGACCAAATGCCCAGATAAGATGTGAGGAGGTCTGTTGAACGGCATTAACGACGAACAAGTTGATAGTAAGAAGGACAACGAGGAAGACGGTCGCTGCGGCGTCGCTGTTGGTTGCTTGACGCCAGAGTTCGTAGATAGGTACACTGCAGTACTACATCAGCCATCGCCGTCCAGTGGGTAGGTATGTCAAGCCATCACTTACGCAGTCGAGACGAGCTCGTTGATGTCCTTGATTCCGTAGCACATTGCTATTGCAAAGACAAATCCTGTGACAAAGCCAATAACTACCGTCGTACACAGTGCTTTAGGCACTGTCTTCTCGGGTTCGGTGCATTCTTCTGCGAGATGGAGGGACGCGTCGATGCCAGCGAATATGAAGCAGGAAGTTGCAAAGCCTGACAAGAATGTCACACCAGCTGGCCAACCTGTATTGCTTTCCATAGTCGCCCAGACATACTCTGCGCTTTGTTTCTCGGAGCGCGCCAGGCAAGTGACAGTGACAACAACGAAAGAGCCGAGAGTAAGGAGTACTATTTCATGGTCAATTCTACTCGGCTAGGTTTGCTGACCACGACTTACATCCAAAGTTGTGTACCCATGGCGTCTTGGCAAGAGCAAAAAGGTTGTAAAGAAGGAAAACGACATTGATCGCTTGATAGACTAAAAAGTAGTGCCAGGTTTGAGGTGTATAGTTAGGATGATAATACATCACCAAGGCCAACAGAAGTTGCGTTGCAAGGAGTGTGGCGGCAGCTCCCAGTGCTATCCAAGAGAACATGGCGATTGAGCCACACGCATAAGAGAGTCCACGACTAAACCGTTTCGGAGCGAGGATGGAGGCAAAGTGGTACCTGACGACGTTTAGCTCGAGCAGAAGTTGAGGACCCTTGGCGACTTACTGGCCACCAGCGGTAGGATAGCAAGATGCCAACTCCGCTAGCGAGACCCCAGTGGCGGCATAAGCGATCGATGCCAAGGGAATGCCATAGATCAAGGTCGCCGTGCCTCCAGCACTTATTGCTATGGCAAGAGATGTCGCAATGGCTACCCAACTGTTGCAGATGTTGAAGCTGAGGGCGATGATGTTGAAATTGCTGAAGTGACGACGGGTTGGCGCTACACCCAAGTCACTCACATCCCCTACCGACACAGAGAGCCTCTCAGGATCATGTGCGGTATGCTTAGCAGTCATGGAATTGGCTCGAGCTGTGTAGTGAATGTTAGCTACGGTACAACTAGAATGTTTTTGGAGGAGAGAAAGGCATACTAATGGAAGACATGCTCTTTCGATCAGATGATGCCATGATGAATATGACAGAGCTGAAGTTGGTTATACCCGATCTTCTAGGAGGGTTCCAAGACGATACTTATGTTTGACCAGCTTAGAGTTGAAGATAAAGGAACGATTCCGCCTCGTACACGACTACGCTTGGTTTGATACCATGAGTTACTGAGTAGCTTTACCCCGCTCGAGACCAGAGCGGTTGCATGGCGCAAGGGCTTGCTGTTCTGGCCGCAATCGTATCTCTCATTGTCTTGATCGACCAAGGGCGTAGCTGATATCGACAAATGGCTAATCAGTGACCACGATATGGTCTCCTATCTTACTGATATAGCATGTTGAGTTATGATAGCAAAGACAGAGCGAGACGGGCAGCGTTCCCAAATAGGCAACGAAAGGGAGAAAGTCCCAATGCGGAAAGAAAAAAGAGAACTAGGCCTAATCGGGACATAAAAGTGAGAAAGCATCGTGCTCTGGGCATGTGCACACGTGGATAGCCTTGAAACGAGAAATGATAGGTGGAGATGATCATAACCATTGGTCATGGAATTACAAATGTGAAAATGGTACGAAGAGTGGGAAACTGGCTTACACAATAAATAGTAAGGCAGCTCCCAGTGCTGTCATCCAGCGTACACGCATTTTGCACGCGAAGACTGTTGTTTGCAATGACTTCTCGAGACGGTTATCAATGGACGGAGTCTTCTGGTCTTGTTAAAGGCGTGCCTAGTATAGGTGTGATCCAACCACCTACAAATATCACAGACGAGCAGGCGACCTACGATGTTATTGTAGTTGGAGCAGGTTACTGTGGGCTTACAGCAGCCAGAGATGCTGCGTTGTCAGGTGTGTTCTGTGAATGGCGTTGTATAACACGAAAGCTAATTGAAAGCATAGGCCTCAAGGTGTTGTTGCTGGAGGCTCGAGACAGAATTGGTGGTCGTAGTTGGAGCTCAAACATCGAGGGTTATCCATTCGAGATGGGTGGCACCTGGGTCAGCTGGGGACAGCCTCATGTTTGGAGAGAGATCTCGAGGTATGATATGCGAAATGAGCTAGAGATCTCCCACGACTACAGTCGAGGCGTGAATCACTTCTCCCTGAATTCTTCAAGCGGCAACCGCAACATGAGCCATGAAGAAGAAGTAATTCTGGGCGAGCTTCCATGCTGGGGACATATGCTGATTGCGAGCAGGATAAATTGATGGAATCCGCCTTAAACAAGTTCGCCAACGTCGATGGTGTGCTCGGTCGGAAAGTCATGCCTTTCCCGCACAGCGAAGGACATAACCCAGAGGCCGCGAAATACGATAGAATGTCTGTCGCCGACCGCATTGCTCAGATCAAGGACGATCTCTCACCAGATGAGCACACCGCTTTACTCGGATTCGTACTACTCTGCAGTTGCAGCACCCCAGAAAAGACCAGCTTCTACGAATATCTGCATTGGTGGGCACTTTGCAACTATTCGTACGAGTATTGCATTGAATACCTCATCAAGTACAAGTTCAAGGGTGGGCAATCGAGCTTTGCTATCAACTTCTTCAAAGAAGCTTGTGCGACAGGCAGACTCTCGTACGCGTTTAACACACCGATCGCTGCGATCAAGGACAATGGCAGTGATGTCCACGTAACCGCAAGAGATGGGAAGACGTTCAAGGCGGCCAGGTTGATCTCAGCCATTCCCATGAACATCTTGAAGGATGTAGCATTCAGCCCAGCGTTGATTCCAGGCAAGCTCGAGGCTTCAAATCGGGAACATGTCAACAAATGTGTCAAGGTCCATGCTGAGGTCCGTGATAGAGATTTGAGATCTTGGAGCGGCATCACATATCCTAATAACGCATTGATGTATGCCATCGGCGATGGTACAACTCCAAGCGGCAATACTCATATCGTTGCTTTTGGTGGATCGCACAATCATATTCAGCCAGAAAAGGACATCAACAAGACCATGGAGGCACTAACAACAATGACACCCATGGATATTGAGAGAGTGGTAAGCTTTTCCCAGCTGTTAGACGGAGAGTGTTGCTGACATCTTCGAGGTATTCCACAACTGGGCGGATGACGAGTTTGCTAAGGGCGCTTGGTTCTTCTCTCCTCCAGGTCTCGTGACAGAACATTTGGAAGATCTCCGAGCTCCGCAGGGTAATATTTACTTTGCCAATTCCGATTGGGCGGTAGGCTGGAGAAGCTTCATCGATGGAGCCATTGAGGAGGGTACACGGGCTGCGCTGGCAGTCAAGAGAGATCTGGATAGAAGTCGCTCGGCACACCTTTAGATATGAGTTCCAAAAATGAAACACATGCATCCGACTACATTGCAAGTGAGCGAGTTGAACTCTCATATTATTAGAACCGGTTCCACCAAGCTAGGATTCCGGGCCCATTCACCATTTGGTTGTAATAACCAGATCTGTCCGAGACGTTCCAGGGCCACAATGATACTGTTCATCCGTGTTTTCTCGTAGACCTGGGCAAGTCTACCTGCGAAAAAGTTCCTATGATCTGTATCTTTGCTGGAAGCTGCTGCGATAAAGTATACCCAAGGTAGTGTGTGCATGCAAGGACTGTCCGCATGGATTGGCAGTACCAAACGGCGCAGTTGTTCGATGTCGGTATAGAGTTGCCCTTGTTGATAGTCGTCCAAGGCTTGTCGCATGTATATGTTCTTTGCTTGCTTAATGGCCTCGCGGAAGATTACCGTATTTTCCAAAACCCTTGGGTCGTCTGGGTAATGCTGGGAGAATATAAAGTCAAGGTAGAAATCCAGATCCTTCTCAAAAGTTTTGCAGCCTTGAGATAGGTCAAGAAGAGGTGGAGTAAATAGCTGGAACCTGAACAATGTCAGACTGGTGACAAGATTTCAACTAGACATACTCACATTCGGGACTGCTGGAGCAAGAATCCTCTCTTGGCTGACATTTCTGTTTCGAGGAGCATGTTGTGGCTCAGAAGGTTGGTGAGCATAGGATAAAGATGAACGAAGTCTCGAGAGCCAGTGACAGTCTCTCCAACCAAGAGAAGGATGATAGTAGCCCATGTAGACGTGCTGAACACTCCGTTGCTGTCTTTCGCAAACGCATCTGCACGTAGCCTCTTAATAATTTCGGCAAGTCCAGTCTCTGCAAGAGGAATAAGATCTGGTCTCTTTGTTGATAAGTGGAAGGCAGCGACAACAGACACTGCACGCTGCACAAGGTCATCTTGGTAGGCCATGGGGAGCAAAAAATTGCGATAGCCATTGAAACCGGTATCAAAAATGACCATGATTGATGCAATGCTCTGCGAAACTATTTGCTGTCAAATACCAGACAAGCAAGCAAGGAGCAAATGCGTTGGCTTACAATGATTGAAGAGCATTTGTATACCAGGCTTCAATAGCTCAAGTTTCAGATCAGCGCCAGGGTCGACGTGGAAAGTAATGGTAGTGCTATCGTCCAACAGATTGTGTGTTGGACTGTAAGCTCGTCCCTGGCGAGGGACTAGTTCAACCTCCTCTACATCCGCATCGGTGTCGTCATCTTCGAGGCTTCTAACAGTTTCGATAGACGCGCCAACAATGGCATTTTGCTCAGAAGTTTCTGTCTGTGTCTCCAATGGCGGCATTGATACAGGCGTGGTTTCCAGATGTTGGCTCAATCGTGTCGCAAATTCCGGAACATTGGAGAAAGTGTGCCCTTTGCGCTTTCCTTTCGAGATTGTTCCCTCCACAAACCTGATTTGGCGACCGATGCCAGTACATTGGATACCCTTCTTCACACACTTAGCACATTCAGGCGTGCCTTTGTCGCATTTGATGCGACGTCGCGAGCATTCTTTGCAGCCGTCTCTCGGCATCCTGCCATCGTCTATGACTCAGGTGAATCTAGTGCGCAGCACATTTGTTGGCACTTCAAGACGGCATACAAAACGATGTTGTCGTGGAATATCTTGCCGTCGAGGTGCGGAGAGAAACCAATTTGCGGTTGATCTTCGGACGAAAGCGCGTCCTTGAACGCGTATCCTTGTCCCTGCTGCTTATCATGCGGATGCACATAACCTGCCTGAGGCAGTCCCATCCAACACTTGTAAGTCTGATTATTCGATACGCCTGTCCAAGTACCGAAAATTGGGTTCCTTGTTCTATTGTACGTGATGTCTGCCGCCATATTGCAGCAGCAACCCATGTCGATTTCGTGTGCCAATTGCGCATCTGTTGCGCCCGCTGGTAGTCCTTATCAGCGCTGTGCCGGCTGCAAGCGGGCATCCTACTGTTCAAAAGATTGCCAGAAAACGCACTGGAAACAGCACAAAGCATTCTGCAAACAACAACAGCAACAAAACCAGCAACAAACCTCCGCCCCTCCCGATACGACTGGGGACAGGACGGAGTTCAGTGAAAACTTGAGGGGTTTGCTCAAGGACCCTAAGGTGTTCATTGACGACGAAGAAGATAACGACGTTGATGACGACGAAGATTACAACATTGACAGCAGTAACTACGACGATGATGACGATGACTTCGACGATGAAGCCCCCAGACCACTTGCTTTCTTGCGCACCCGACCATTCCCGGACCCAGATCTCTCTATTGATGGCTTCCCTGTCGCTATAGTAGACACAGAAGCCTACGTTGAAGAAACCATAAAGAAAGATCTCACTGCTGCCATTGCCACAGCTACAATTCTCTGGAACTGGCACCCGAACGCTCTCCGCGCCTTTCTAGACTGTCAAAAATACTCGGCCTTCGAGTTTGCTACGTGGGACAGAGCCCCTGGAGCTGAGAGATACGTCACGCATATGATCAGTCGCCATGACCGGGCCATCCTCATCGGGCACTATGATCAAGACATCGACTGGGGCTTTAAAGTCAGCTATGGAGTCCTTGAGGATGGTCGCTGGGAGCCACTTTGGGGATCTACGAACGTTTTACCCGGCAAAGACAAACCAGAATGGGTCAACAAGATAGGAAACATGTGGGCTAAAGACGAGCTTTATTTCAAGCCATGGTTGCCCAGAAAGAATCGTCAGCAAGTACTGACTTTGGGAGGCGGTAAGGTGGATCCTGCTACGCTGTACATCACAGAGGATTATGACCCCGACAGCATAGCAAGCGCTTCTCAGAGGCCACTCTGTTTTCTGCACACGGACCCATTTCCTGGCTTGAATCTCTCCATCGATGGCTCGCCCGTTGCTATCGTGGACACAAGCAAAAGTGTCTACAATGACAAGACTAACAAAAAGAGTCTTTCCGGTGCCATGGCCATCGCCACTGTCCTCTGGAGTTGGCATCCTAATGCTCTGCGTGCCTTCCTCGATTGTGAGAGGTACTCGAGATTTCAATTCATAATCAACGAAGACTTGCCTCGGCTCGGGAAATCTAGCATGTACCTGATTGACCGCGACAACCGAGAGGTCGACTTTGGCATAGTTCACTACGACACCGGCCATTATGATGAGGATACGGACTGGCACCATCTATGCACCTACCAGATACCTGAGAAGGGCCGCTGGGAGCCAACCTATGCATCAAACGGCTCCGTTGAAGGTGAAGAGCCATCATGGGTGCATAGTATGAGTGGCATATGGGCAAGATGTCAGATGAAAAATGCTCGATGGAAGCCTGCATGGAACCGCTTTATCACAATGCGATTGGATAATGTCGAGGTAGATCCTGCTACACTGTACTGAGTATTGCCGTAGATTTTAGATAGAGCCACTCTTATATAGCTCCTATTGTAATAGAATCAGATTTCGCATCACACTGTAGCCAGAGTGCATGAGCAATTGATCTTTGTTTGCTTGTGAACATGCTGAAAGCAGACGGTAAACTCCGTTTTCGGGTCCGCGCCCACGGGCGCAAAATTGAGGCTTCAAGGTGCTATCGGGAGTCTCTTGTTCAGCACGAGGCGTGCGGACGGCGGTGTGAGCTGTTTGGCAGTGTCCTTTTACGACTTTCGACCAGGTGAAAGCGCACAACATGGCGTCACTGCTTCAGAAAGATGCGCAGGATCTTTTTCACCACCCGCACTTTGGACTCGAGATTACTCCACCAATACTGCACCGATTGCGCTCGAACTTAGCGCATCATGATCGCAGAGCGACGATTATGTGGGGTGTAGCTTGGAGTCATCAATTGTCACCTCGCTTTCATGCTGAAAAGTGAATAGTAGGGTGGACTTTCTTCACCGGAACTGCAAACGGCGATTGTGAGCGCAATTCGCGTCCGTTTGGAAAATCGACTACATGATTGGAAAGCTGAGAGTCGACTCTATCTCAGGGCAGATGGCCGAGTGGTTAAGGCGCTGGCTTTAGGTTGTATGGAAGGATTCGTTCCGCGTGGAGAAAATCTTTCCTATCGTAACTTAAACCGCCAGTTCGAAAGAGCGTGGGTTCGAACCCCACTCTGCTCATCATTTTGCACTTTTTGAGCTACTCAGGAAGTCTGTAGGACAAGAGGGGATGATTTTATGATGAATTTTTTGCTAGTGAAGCCTCGCGGTCGAGTGAGAGATGCGGCGAAGCCTGGGCCTCGGCTTGCCATCAGGAGGCAAGTCCAGATAGAGAACTCGCATCCAATCTGTTCAGGCTATACGATTTATGCTTAGCTGATCGTCTAGTCCATGTCGGCGAACGGAAATGTCTCGCTGTGGATTGAGAGTTCGTCCCAAGAGAACGGCACATCAAAGACTCAGAAGATACTCTGGCATATAGTGTCTGCACCGGCACAAAGAACTAATATTCGTAATCACCGATGAGGTGACGCCTCAGCCTGCTACTTGCAGACTATCTGAAAATCCAGGCAATGCATTTGAGAAAAATGACAAGACAAAGCATCGGGGCAGGATGGTATTTGTTCTACCTATATACTGCCTTGGAAAGACCTCTCAACTGGAACACATTCAATGATACTATCCCTCAGACTTTCCGTGTACGTATAGACGTTCGAGATTTTCAGGCCTGCTTTCGAGATAAGGTCGGCCCATTCCTCTCGAGTGCGCTCACGGCTTGCACAGCATATCATCATGGTCCAATCAACCTGTGCAGCTTGCCAATGAACATCATTGTTCTCCAAGAACATGTCATCGATGAGAATGACGCTATGAGGACCAAGAGCATCTTTTGTGTTTCTCAAAACTTGAATGGCCTTCTCATCGGGGTAGTCGTGGATGATATGGCGCATGTAATAGATGGCGGCTTCACGGATTTGCTGGGGTTGGAAGAAGTCTTGCTCCATTGCTTCAACTCCAGGGTGGCTGATAGCATGTTGCAGAGTAGCAGGGATGTCTTGCACGATGATGCGACCAGGTGCGTCAGGCACCTTTTCCCTGAGTGCAATGCTTTGATGTCCGAAACCTCCGCCTACGTCGACAAATAAGGGTTTGCCTGATGGTGTATTCTTCGCGGCTTTTTGGTAAGGATACGCATCTAGCCAGATTGGCATGTCCATATGTTGCACGGTCATGTATGCATTGAAAGCCTCGAACAATTTCGGCTGAGTCTGGAAATGAGCGAACAGTGGTAGATCAGAGCCCCAACCAGCCATGAGTGCGGTGTCCATTGCTGATTCTGGATCCTTGTAGCCAGTTCGCTTGAGGAAGTCAGGCAAAGCCTTGAGGCCTGGTCCTACGTAATCGCACATGTGGTAAACACCGCCTGCGAATCCTGGAATGGCGAAGGTCTTGGTGATGCTGTTGGCAGCAAAGGTCTTGGTGTCGACTTCTTCGACGAGGCGTACAGAGGCCATGTAGCGAAGTAGACGAGCCATAAGCTTTGGCTGAACGCCTGTACTGCTTGCAAGCTCATCAACAGACGTCGGTTTGCCAGTTTTGGTGAGTACATCGAAGACTTTAAGATCACAGCCGATACGGACGGCGGCCAGAGGAAATTGTGAGAACAACAATCGCTGTGCGTGGTCTTGAGGACGTTCCAATGATCTAGCCAGGTCGTGGAGTTTATCGATCAGCTGCTTGCGGCCGTGTTCGTCGGCGTCGCGCGCCAGTGCTTCGATTTGAGGAATAAGGGCGTCCATCTCGAATTTTGGAAAACTGGACAGGGTACAAAGTAAACAAGCAGATAACCCGACGGCTGGCCTTGTCTCTTATAGTCTTCAGTCCGCGATCATGTTTGAAGGATCAAACATCGTGCATGAGCTGCACCCCACTGATAGCTGATACTCTGATTACCTTAACGGCGATCATACTGCTAGACAAACCAGAAGGATGGACATGCGGAACTCAGTGATGTCAGTGGCTTTTCAGCCTTTTGTGATGCTCCAATACAAGTTGGTGACCTTGTACAAACACAAGTCATCACAGCACTCAAAGAGACTGTTCAGCGGCTTCAGAAGCAGAAAGACAACGAGGAAAGAAGTTGCAGGTGTATGAAACGTCACACCTGTGAAGACAGGGTCTAGCTGTTGTGAGCTTGATCGAAGCTTATTTCTAATCAAGAAAGCTTGACCCGCATGCAGCTAACCTCCAGATCCTATATCGAGGGCCTACACGGCGACTTGAACGGCGACTGTAGAATGATTAAACGGCGACTGAACGGCGATGTGAAGCAGACAAGGCGTATTTGTAGCTGCATCTGTAGCTGAGCCACGTTATGCACACTTGTCGACTCAGACACTCCTATGTCAAGCGGGCTGGAGGATTCGTGACAAAGCTGATTCTCTGTCGGCACGGGTGACAGCACAGATGTACCATGCTTGTGTTCACCGCTCTGTCTCTTGACTTGTCAAAGGTCACCTCTGATCTGCTTCTTCCGACACGAGATAATTTCAGAGCGCCTTCCAGGGCGTACAACCATCTCGCGAGTCAGACAATGCTGGCGCAGTCAAAATTGAGGCCTGCTTGCATGAGAATCTGTGTCCGAGGATTTGCCATGACAGACGCTGTGCTCACCGCCTTGCTGTACGAGTAGCTTTCTCCACACGAAGACCTTCCACCTCAAGAGCTCTGCCATCTGCACATCTCGGTTTGAAGCATGTCAGCACAAACAACTCATCCAGGCGAAGTGTCACTCGCGAAGCTTCTGGCGACGCTGACAGCCACGCTTCACCCGCAAACCTACGTCTTCGCTGTACTCGCAGATGAAGCCTCACTTCCGCCATTTTCTGAGGTGGAGATGCTCTTCCGCGAAGCCAAGGCGGAAGGTATCACAGTGATCACTACCCAAGAGTATGCAGAGACTCACGGGTTAGAGTACGTTTTCCCATGTCGCAAGATCACCCTCGACGTGACTTCAAGTTTGGATGCTGTTGGCTTCATTGCTGTCGTTGCGACAAGACTGGCTGCTGCTGGGATGGGCGTCAATCCAGTCAGTGGCTTCTACCACGATCATCTGTTCGTGCCATTGGGGCGAGAGAAAGATGCGCTCAAAGTCATTGCTGAGTTGGCCGAGGAAAAGAAACAAGAAGCTCAGGTTTGAGGAGAGTCGCGATTGCTAATGCGCTGCTCCTCATGCCCAGTGGAGTTACGGTCCGTGAAGCCTTGAGATTATCCGCCTTGGCTGACACTCCTCCGCAACCTCCTCTTCCTGCATTCCCTTCCTGGCAATCTTCGGATCAGCACCAAGACCCATCTCACGTAACATTTTGACATGTTTGTTGCATCAAATGCATTCCGAAGATTACATATCCTTGTTGCAAGCGAGCAGGATCGTTGTCCCCTCACGCCATCGTTCTTGGCTGGCTCCGTGATGATCGGAAATGCACCCCACACAGTCCGCCCAGACGGGTAAACACTTCTTGGTAATGGCACAGGATTGATCAACATGAACACGATCAAGAATGCATATATATCCTGATGGTTCGTCCCTGTTGTGATGCTCTGTCTACGCCGATTCTCACCATGCAATTGACCGCGCTCGCGATTGCCCTTATCGTCGGCGGGTCGCTGGCGCAAATGAAGGAGGACCAGCTTCCGGTAGGATGATTTCTTGAGCAAGGAAACACATGACCTCTTACACCCTTCAGTTTCCGGATGTGACCTATCCAGATGCCCTTTCTCCACATCCAAACGCTGTCTCTGGTGCCCAAAGTAACCAGACCTCTCCGCCAAGATATCCCAGTCCTTGGGGAAGTGGGGCCGGCGAATGGGCAGAAGCATACAAAAAAGCAATCGAGGTCGTCGAGCAGTTGACCCTAGAGGAGAAGGTGAATTTGACTACAGGTATGATGCCAATATACGATGATGTGAGCATATAGCTAATGAGTGTACCAGGAACTGGTTGGCAACAAGAACAATGCGTCGGCCAGACCGGTGGTGTCCCTCGACTAGGTATCCGTGGACACTGCCTTCAAGACTCGCCCGTTGGTGTAAGATATACAGAGTAAGTGCACAAATGACAATGACCCGCATACAATGATTCTAACAGATATACAGTTTTGTCAGTCTGTTCCCTGCAGGAATAAACGTTGGTGCTACTTGGGACAAGCGCCTCGCATACGAAAGAGGCAGAGCCATGGGCTTCGAAAGCCGTGACAAAGGGGTCACTGTCCAGCTAGGTCCTGTTGCTGGCGCACTAGGAAGGGCAAGTCTTGCTACGTTCGAGGTCAGAACTTATCGACAATGCTAATAAACGAGCCACAGTCTCCCACAAGCGGCCGCAATTGGGAAGGCTTCAGTCCTGACCCCTATCTCACCGGGAAGCTATTCGCCGACTCTATTCGAGGCATCCAAAGCACAGGTGTACAGGCATGCGCTAAACACTACGTGGGTAATGAGCAAGAACACTTCCGTCAAGTCCCTGAGTCTCGCGATTACGGCTTCAACATCACACAACCTGGTTCTTCGAACATCGATGATCAGACTTTACACGAGCTATATGTCTGGCCTTTTGCTGACGCTGTCAAGGCTGGCGTGGCTTCTGTCATGTGCAGCTACAACCTCGTCAACAATTCGCAGGCCTGTCAGAACAGTTACTTGCTCAACCATGTGCTCAAGTCCGAACTCGGGTTCCAAGGTTATGTTATGAGTGACTGGCAAGCCACCGCGAGCGGTGTGCCCGCTATTCTGGCAGGACTCGACATGACCATGGCTGGAGACATCCGTTTCGGCGATGGATCAAGTTACTTTGGTCCTAATCTCACCATCGCTGTTTTGAATGGTACCGTGCCGCAATGGCGTCTCGATGATATGGCCGTTCGTATCCTTGCTGGATGGTATCTCGTTGGCGGAGACACTGAAGTACCCAATCCCAATTTCCAGTCATGGACACCTGATACGTTTGGCGCCGTCCATGCACACGTCGGCTCAGCATGGGGTACAGGGCTTGTCAACCAACATGTTGATGTTCGCCGGGAGCACGGGAGATTGATCCGCGAGATCGGTGCTGCGTCTACGGTGCTTCTCAAAAACGATCGTGGCATACTACCTCTGAACAACACGGCAAGGCTGACGGCAGTGTTTGGCGAAGATGCAGGCAACAATCCAAATGGCCATAATGGCTGCAGGAACCATGCCTGTGACATCGGCACGCTGGCTACTGGTTGGGGCAGTGGTCAAGCCAGCTCTCCATATCTTGTCAGTCCAGACGCGGCGATACAGCACGAGGTCGTCTCTCGCTTTGGTTCTTATGAGTCCATCACCAACAATTCAGCTTTGACTCAAATCAACGCATTGGCCCGCCGAGTCAACGACGTTGGTGGAGTCTGTCTGGTCTTTAGCAGTGCAGACTCTGGCGAAGGCTTTGCCAATGTTGATGGCAATTACGGGGACCGGAAAAACCTCACACTATGGCAGGGCGCTGATGCTGTGATTGCAAATGTGTCTGCCACATGTAATAACACGATTCTGGTCATCCATTCTGTTGGGGCAGTCGAGATTGAGCAGTACAAAGAGAACCCGAACATCACTGCCATTCTCTGGGCAGGTCTTCCTGGTAAGTAAGCTGAAATCTCTGCATGATATCCTGACTGACAACCTTGAAGGCGAGCAATCAGGAAACGCAATTGCCGATGTTCTATATGGTCGTGTCAATCCCGGAGCAAAACTGCCATTCACTATGGGTCGCAAAAGGTCAGACTACGGTACTGACGTCCTCTACACTCCCAATCAAGAAGTCCCGCAATTCAACTTCCAAGAAGGCGTATTTATTGACTATCGCGGATTTGACCACCGCAACATCACTCCAGTCTATGAGTTCGGCTTCGGTCTAAGCTACACAACCTTCGAATACTCTGACCTCGTTGTGGAAAAACTCGATGTCGCAGACTACAAGCCAACGACAGGAACTTCTAGACCAGCGCCTACGTACGGCAAAATCGACAACGACACTTCTACCCATACATTCCCGCAGAACCTCACTCGTATCCCACTGTACATTTACCCATGGCTGAACAGTACAAACCTTAGCGAATCCTATGGAGCGGCAAACTACGGCAACAACTCATTGATCCCCCAAAACGCACTCAACAACTCCAGCTACTCATATCCACCCTCTTCCGGCCCCAACGGCGGCAACCAAGGGCTCTGGGACATCCTCTTCCACACCCGCGTCAACGTAACCAACACCGGCTCTGTCCTCGGTGACGAAGTCCCCCAACTCTACATTTCCCTAGGCGGGCCTTACGACCCCAAGATCGTGTTGCGAGGGTTTGAGCGTGTAAGGATAAATCCTGGCGAGACTGTGCAAGTTACATTTCCACTGGCGAGAAGGGATCTCGCGAGTTGGGATACGGAAAAGCAGGATTGGGTTGTTAGTGGATATGAGAAGAAGGTGTTTGTTGGGTCTTCGTCGAGGGATTTGCCATTGAAGGCGGTGCTTAAGGTGTGACAGAGGAAGTTTGCAGTTTTGTCAAGACTCAGCACAAGTTGGAAATTCTGTGATAGTTGCAGAAGTGAAGAGAATTCGGGAACAAGGTGTGGCTGTTGTACATTTGATCTCGATTATTCAGGATATACAAATCTTTTACTGCGCTTGAACAGCCGTCAAAGCACCTTTACTCCAAGTCTTGACTCTAGCCTCGTCAATCCCATCCTTCACTTTACGTGACAATACCTCCAAAGTCGATGCATCCACATCACCGACCTTGGCTCTCATATCCAACCAAGCCAGCACACCCGTCCTAGTAACAAGACTAGTCGCACCACCCACAGCAGCAATTCTATAAACGACCTTCAACACTGCATCCTTGACACCCTTAGGCGCTGATGGACTAGCAAAAAGATCCAGCACTTTCTCCATGCAATTGCGAGGAAGCAATAGATGCACATCTTGCAGTGTCCTTGTGCCAATTGCGAAAAATTCAAGCACGAATTCAATTTCTGCCCAGTGTTTGTCGTCTTCTTCGGGTGTTTCTAGGACCGTTATGTCGATCCAGTAGTTTGGCAGTTTGCCGATGTTCCAGACTGGGCCTTTGTTGAAGTATTTGTTGATTTTGGGGTACATGAAGTGAGAGGGGTCTTGAAGGATGGTCAGAGCTTGTGTAGCAAACACAGTGACAAGGTATGGAAGTGGTTGTTGTGCTATGGTTGAGGGTGACATTTCAGCGACCGTCTCAGACAGCTCACCAAGGAGCAAATAGATCTGGTCTTTGTCGTCGTTTGTGGATTCTTTGACTTTGAGCATGAGTTTGCGAATTGCGGCGTGGGCTTGTAATCTAACCGAGCTGTCTTGTGACGACAAGCAGAGGATAAGACTATCGATATCGCCATTCTCGAGTGACTCGTCTAGATCCTTTTGTTGCCATCTGCTCAACTCGGGGTGATTTTGCTTTTCAACAGGAGGCTCTGAGAATGCAAGAGGTTGTTTGGTGGACTTTTTATCAGATGAAGATGCTGGGACTGACGTCTTGTCATCATCAGACTGTCTGCGAGAAGTTATTGATCGCAATGTTGGTTCGAGCTCTACAGATGAAACGACAGGCAAGTCTGTTACTCTCTGTCTGATGAGCTGCAACAACTCGACATCCTCACCCATCACCTTGAGCAATTCGAGGAAGCGCGAGAACCAGGTTAACACATTGATGCGGTCAGACTCTGGCAATTTCGAGGTGAAGGGAATTTGCTCCAGACAGACCATGACCAGCGCACTGAGGGCCTTGCCATGATCTGAACTGCCGGCCAATTCATCGAGATCATCCAGGTATTTGATTGGTTTTCTGACAAGACGACCGAGACAGTCATCGATGAAGGTGAAAAGAGCCTCGCTTGGCTTCCAAGTCTCGTCATCCACAAGACTTGCAATCAAGGCATTTACAGGTGGCTCCTTCGTTTGCTGCTGGAGGATGCCATGTTCATCAATGACCGACTGGAGCAGATTGATAAACTCAGATCCGGTAGACTGATTTGCGGGAGTCTGTGCGCTTAGACGGAGCAAAGTGGTGAATGGAGAGAACTTGAGCGAGCCTTGTTTGTGCCACCAACGCATGCCTGCAGAGCATTGAGCAATGACAAGCAAGTGCTGCAGTTCCAGCAGACGAAAGGCGTAGTTCTCAGTCTCGGATGACACTGTCTCAACTCTTGACATTGCCACGGTCAAAGCCTGAGAGACGTCGAACTTCTCTTCCAGTGCAGTTTGTGGTGTGACCTGGTAGTACATGCGGAGTAGTCTTGAGATGGCTTCCTTCTGAAGGATGTTGTCGTCGGAGATTTTGCGGAAAGCGGCAATGACGTCTTTGACTGGGGGACATCTTTGACAGAATTCGGCAATCAATCTGATGGATCCTTCCTTCCAAAGAGGATTGCCTTCAGCGGCCGCTACAGTGAACGCTTGCAAGACTTGATGCAACTTCTGGAAAGCCACAACCAGAATACGGACAGCGAAAAGAGTGATGAGATCGGAAGATTGGTTTAGAGATTTTGTCAAGATCCTTTGAGTGAGAGGCAGAGGGAGTATGTTTTCAATGGCGATTGAGACTGGAGGAGGGCAGCTTGCGTAGTGATCAATGGCCCCAAAGTATTTGGGGAAAGGAACCTGAACGGATGAGAAGAGGAAGGACGCATAACCAATCCAGGTGTTGGTGAGCTTGGGCTCGAATGAGAACTTTTCTCCTCTTGAAAAGTAGTAGTCTGCAATAATTTCGGGTGCTGCGGCGAAGATGGAAAGAAGGATATCTCTCTCCTCCTCGCTTGCATATGGCTTCAAAGTCTGCGAGAAGCCAGAAAGAATGGTGTTTCGTACGGGCACTTGACCTTGGAACTTATTGTACCAGTCGACAGAGTCAAGACCGAGATCAAGGGCGAGATCAGTTTCAACATCATCATTCTGATCTCTAGTGTGACGCTCGCTTCCAGGAGGATACCAGCCGCTGGGACGGAGCAGACCAAGCGAAGGAGTAGTGCTGACGAGTTTCAAAAATGACACGATTGCAGTTTTGCCACGTATCAAGGTAGATTCATCGCCTGTAGGGCTTTCGGTGGCAGCGAATGTGCGCAAAGCAGCAAGGACGCCTGCTAAAGAACGCTCGCTGATTGTCTGGGTCTTTGTTGCACGGGGAATGGTTTCGTCGCGCAGGATACCAGTTTCGAGAACCTTGAAAATCTCTTGCAAAGCATCGGCAGAGTCGTCCTTCAAGTGATCAAACAGAGCCTTGATGATGTGGCCGTTCTTGAGGATATCAATCTTGGCGCCTTCTCCCTGGTATTTGAAGTTTGCGAGCAGATAGCGAACAGCATTTGATCTGATTGAGGGACCAGAGCCGCTTTTGGTGAGACCGAGGTTACGAGCGACAATCTTTGTCTCGAAAGTGAAGTCGCGTTTTGCGTAAACCTGCTTAGCCATGAGACCAGCATCAAAAGAGACCATCTCGGTCAGGATACGTAGAGAAGGCGAGATGACATGTTCCTTGTGCTTGGGAGCAGAGACACTTCTCGAGATGAGCTTTAGCTGGGCATGGTTGAGGAGAGTCTTGATTAGAAGAATGCCGTATTCACGAGATTCAATGAGGGAAGCGATTGTCTTCAGAAGCAGAGCCAGGATTGAAGCAACAGAGGTAGCCAGGTAATCATTGTTAGTCTGGTTAGCAAAGCCCCATGCCTGCATAAAATCAGGAAGATATTCGGCATCCTTGTCACGGGCAGCTTTCAATTTGGCGGCATCCAGATAGTCATTGAGAATGTTGATCTTGGCCGGGCGATTGGGTTCGTCAGGCTGGTAGAGGATAAGTTCCAAGAGTTGCTTGAAAGACTGGATACCATTCCTCAAGTTCTGGACGCCGTCTTGGCTGAATACAAGAAGTTCCTGAAGCTGACGAGCGGAGAAAATATCAGTGGCGGGAATGACGGCGACCGGGGGCTGTGTTTTCGGCCGCTTGTTGTCCCTGTTTTCATGGCCGTCGAACTCGGCGAACCTTTTTGACATTTTGTAAAAGTGGATGTTCAATCAGACACGCAGGCCTTGCAGAAAACATGGATATGCGTTTGCGGTCAAGTCTTGGCATCAGATTGATGAAGTTTTTAGGGTTTGGGACCGACGGCGGGAGCGGCCGAAGATCAGAACGGGCTCGGCATACGTGAAAGGCGCTCGGACTTCTGGACCTTTGTAGAGGTCGAGAGGCGTCAACTTTCCGTGTCGCTGCAATCGCATTTCTTCTGTGGATATTGACCTGCTGGACATAGTGGACGAGGACGCGCCATTGTTTCGTGCCGCCAAACTATACGAGAGGACTCCTTGGACATACCTTCCCACGCGACAATCCGTTGATCGGCGGCGCACGCGACAGCAATCCTGGAATGAGCGACCTGGACAAGGCCATTGCGCAACTGCGCTCCTGTCGGCCCATCCCCGAGACGCAGGTCCGCGAGCTCTGCTACAAGGCCAGGGAGCTGCTGATAGAAGAGGGCAATGTCGTCACAGTCAATGCCCCTGTCACGGTATGTCGACCATGCTCTGCTCTCGCTCTCACCTCTCCCATGCTGATGCGCTCCAGATATGCGGCGACATCCACGGCCAGTTCCACGACTTGATGGAGCTCTTCCGTGTCGGCGGTGATGTTCCTGACACAAACTACCTCTTCATGGGTGCGTTCCCTGTCGCTCTCGCACCTTCGACCTAAGCTTACTCCTTCTAGGCGACTTTGTCGACCGCGGCTTCTACTCTCTCGAATCCTTCCTCCTCCTCCTTTGCCTCAAAGTTCGCTACCCTGACCGCATCACTCTCATCCGCGGAAACCACGAATCAAGACAAATCACTACTGTCTACGGCTTCTACGACGAATGTCTACGCAAATACGGCAGCGCAAATGTCTGGCGATACTGCTGCGAAGTCTTTGACTACCTCGCTCTCGGTGCCTTGATCCTTGGTGCTTCTTCAGAACTCAGTCCCACTTCTGCCGAGCTCCCACAAGACATCCAACAACCCTTTCCCGAGTCTCTCGAAGACGTCGAAATCGAGATCATCAACTCACACAACCAAGTCATGAATCGCTTCCCTCGCCCGAAACCCTCCACCGAATCCTCCGTCCCCAACAGTCCTTCAAACACTGGTCCTGCTGGCACAGGCGCAACATCATCAAGTGGTGGATCCGCTTCGAATCAAGGAGGTGCCGTTCTATGTGTTCATGGCGGCCTAAGTCCCCTGATCGACAGCATCGATAAGATCAGATTGATTGATCGAAAACAAGAGGTGCCCCACGAAGGCGCTATGTGCGATCTATTGTGGTCCGATCCTGATGACATTGACGGCTGGGGTCTGTCACCAAGAGGAGCTGGCTTCCTGTTTGGTGCTGATATCGTCAAGCACTTCAATCACAAGAACGACTTGAGCTTAATAGCTCGCGCACACCAACTGGTCATGGAAGGCTTCAAGGAAATGTTCGACAACACAATCGTCACTGTTTGGAGTGCGCCGAATTACTGCTACCGCTGTGGAAACGTCGCTGCAATCTTGGAGTTGTCGGAAGATGGAGCCAACGGTGGATATACACCACGCAGCAACGGCGAAATCGAGAGGTCACCAGGTGTTGTCACCGACATGGTACTAAAACAAGGGCCAGGCCGAAGGTACCGTGTCTTTGAAGCAGCGCCGCAGGATTCTAGAGGAATGCCTGCCAAGAAGCCAGTTGCCGATTACTTCTTGTAGAAATCAGCAAAGGATGGAAAAAGACTCATTGATGACAAGAACGATTTCCCATATTCATCGAAAGCTGCAGACAGAAGGTTGGCAGTTTTGCATTTTTCATCGGCGTCAAGGCAAAAACACAGACACGAATGACTTGATGGTAGATACCCCCACAAACATGAAAACAACTGTAGATTTTTCTCTCACAACCTTTGCGACTCCCAGCGGACAATTTTCTGTTTTCTGATAATCTTATCATGGCCGTTAAGCACATGGGCGGCGGAGCGGAGAATTGCTCCGATGTCCGCGTCACTTCGACGTTCCTCCCTCCATAACTCCGCTATAGCCTTAGAATATCCGATCCTAAGTCCTATGACCATTCTAAAGAGCGATACATGCACAGAGATGCTGGTCAACAGGGATTTTTCGAGTGCCTGGCTTAGGCACCAGGATAATGATTTTGCTACCAGGATAACAACTAAGGTACCAGCACGACAGGGTTGGTCGTGATGTCACCTCAACCTCTGATCCTGCAGGAAGTATAAAGTCCTCGAGGTAGCTCCAAATAGAAGCTGCTATTTCATACCGCTTCTTCTCAGTCAACACTTATCAACACAACTTTTACTAGCCCTGTGACTAATCTGACCTTCGCATCCACCTATCATCCATATCTCAGCCCTCACCTAGCAAGATGGTTCCTCCATTAATCACACTGGAGGAGCACTATCTCTCTCAAAACGTGCGTCAGCATCTCGCTGACACAGGTCGCCAAGACCCCTACGCTCAATTCCCACCTCACCTAATCGACAAACTGACCTCTCTGGGTTCAGACCGTCTAGAAGCCCTGGATTCTGGCAAAGTATCTCTGCAGATCCTCTCACACAGTCCACTCAACGCATCTCCTCAGGAATGCAGGACGACAAACGATAATCTGGCAAATGCAATCAAGGACCAACCCCGATATGCAGCTTTTGCGCTCTTGCCTATGGCTACGCCCACAGATGCAGCTGCCGAACTCGAGAGATGCGTTACACAGCACAAATTCGTCGGCGCTCTGATCAACAATCACTGCAACGGTACGTTCTACGACGGCGAAGCTTTCCGCCCTGTTTTTGCCAAAGCCGAGGAATTGGATGTACCTATCTATATTCATCCAACCTTTGCAGCAGACGAATGGATGCCCCACTACCGCGGTAACTTTGGCGAAAAGGCAGCACAGATGATGAGTATAGCAGCTTGGGGCTGGCACTCTGAAACCGGGTTGCATGTGTTGCGTCTCTGGGCTTCTGGGCTCTTTGACGAGTTTCCAAAGCTCAAAATCATTATTGGACATATGGGAGAGATGCTTCCTTATCAGCTCGATCGTATCATCAGTACTTCAGCCTCTTGGGCTCCAGAGAACAAACGCAGTCTGGAAACAGTCTGGAAAGAAAACTTCTGGATTACTACGTCTGGCATGTTTAGTCTGGCTCCCTTGGCTTGTTTGCTGAGAATGTGTGCCAAAGACCGCATTCTGTATTCTGTAGACTACCCATTCAGTGGTAACGAGAAAGGCTTGAAGTTTATAGAAGAGGTTGAGGCAAGTGGGATGGTGAGTTACGAGGACTTGGAGTTGATCTGCTACAAGAATGCCGAGAAGTTGCTTGGAGTCAAGGCCCTGCAATAAGAATTGTGTTTCTTCCCCCATGATTCCATGTTGCTCGTCTTACAAAATGGTCTTACAGAATGGTAATGTGGATTTGTATGATTTGATTCGCATGAGACAGCGTGTCCATAGAGAGCCTACTGAGTTGAGCACTCTCAAAGGAGAATCCCCTATCTCTGATACTACTCTGCATTTCTACAGCTAGATTTACTCGTCTCTATGCGCTGGAGATGTTCAAACAAGTGGTTTTTTATTGCGATTGAGATAGCTGTGTCACTATAAAAATGCACGATCGAATCCGTATAAGGAAGCGTATCCATGGAGAGGCTGATAATCGAGCACTCTCAAAGGAGGTTGCCCAACTTGCAACACTACCCTGCATTTTCATAGCGAGATATAGATCTCTCTGCACGACGCAGAGATTCAGAAGGGGGCGCACGACCAAGCAAGTGGTCTCTCCAGTGTGATTGATATAGATGTGTCACCATAAAAATGCACGATCTTGTCGGAAACAACACCGCATTCATAGAAAGGCCAGATGAATCCTTGGTATCGAACAAGCAATCCTGGTACTGAAGAGAATAATGACCCAAAAGCATCATGCTCTCATCTCCACAACCAATACACAACACCCAGTGTATTGTTGCTCGATCTGCGCAGCACTCCGGTTGGATCTTTTACACGCCTGTAGTGTGTTGCTTTGCGGAGATTGCCACTGGCGCCCTGGTCATCGTGGTTCGGTTGTGGACTGGAGAGATGAGTGGGCCAATTGACTCCAGAAGAGAAGCAGCAGCAGTAGCACAGCGCATCGTGCAAATGGATCCAATCAATCACGGTCTTTCCGGGTAGTATCTGCTCGATACGCAGAGTCCTGTCTGAGCATCGATGTGCAGCAGGATCGTTGAAAGCCAAATCCACGCGGCCGAGACGCAGGAAGCGAAGGTCGCAGGTACACTTGTGTCTTCGCTGGTGGAAAAGCAGGTTCAGCGCGATATTTCTGCAGATAGTATCGAGGGCGGCTTCTGTGCGGTCTTTTGGCTGTCTCGGCATTCTTTTACAGGTAAATGTCAGGTTTGGATTGGGATCTGGTCCAGATGACTTGTCGACTTGTTTGTGTGTGTTGATGCCCCATTGTGTTGAATGCCAGTGCTCAAGCTTCCTACGCCAGACTCCACTGCCTGTGTTGATCCAATGCTCTTTGAATTCCACGGGCTCATAAGTTGGTGGCTGGTCGTTTCGATCAAGCCTATCTCTGACAGTAGAATCTCGAATTATGGAACTCCGACCCGATGCGTCAGCCGTGTCACCCCAAAGTGAATTCCAGATGATGTGGAAGTAAGTTGTCCCAGGACGCTGGATGAAGATTCCACGCTGTCTACGGCCGTCGACTATCTGCGTAACCATTTTCGAGTGAGCAGAAAGGATATTGAAGATCGAAGTGTGTCGAATGCAGTCGTGATCTGGGGACGGGACAGCAGCTTATTGAATCAGGCTATGACTGGTTCATCAAGGGACTTGCGGAAGTTTGAGCAAGAATCTGGTGGGGTCGCGTGCCTTTTGATGCCGAGCGAGAGACACGTGTGTTGCATGGAGTTGCCATTGATTCGTGATGAAGACGAGGATGTCGAATGAGGCGAAGGAGCGAGTTGGATGAATGTCGGTGATGTTGAAGTGCGAGAGATTTGGAAGTTGTTGCTTGAATGGTTACTAAAGCTGACGAAATTGGCTGTATCGTGCCAATTGCTCCTTCCATTGTTTTCTCTTTGTTTTCTTGATGCCGATCGACCGATGCCAGCAAGCTGCCTCTAGATCTTGGTATCTTTTCGTGCTAAAATGTAGTATTATAGTATTATAGAAAGGCACGATTGTATACACATGAGAGATAGCTTCCAGAGAGAGAGAGCGTGGTAAGCTAAGCACTCTCAGAGGGAACAAGTCTATATCTCGACGATACTGTGCATCTGTACAGCTACACAGGCATCTCTCGACGCATCAAGGGGTGATAGAGGCACACAACACGGGACTCAAAAGGAGTACACTACCAAAACGAGCCTTTTCTTTCTCTCAATCGCAACTGATGTGAATTTAACCACCTATCAAAATGCACGATGGTGTTTTGTTTTGGAGATATGGTCGAGGAGATTATGTGAGGCAAGGGCTCCCAGTGGATGTCCTCCAATCCTACAAAGCTTCTTGCATTTTGATAGTACTATAATCTGATACTTACCGGTCTGGAGATTGAGACAAAGGGTTTGAGGGGCACACCACCACGTCAAGCTGGTCTGATCTCCCCAGTGGGAGGATGATATATATCACTATAAAAATGCACAATGTTTTAGAACTCAGGGGTATGTCCAGAGAAAGCCCATAGTTTCTCATTCTTTTCCATTTCTACATACTCGCCTCCAACTCGATATTGCGCAAATGACGTGCACTCTTCTGCTTGCGTGCATCAAGATATTTGCGCCAAAGCACGCGGAGAGAAGGCAAACAAGCAGTACAAATCTGCACAGCAGGCTCAACAGTCGTCATGATAGCCGCAGGAACAAGATTCCAAGTAAGATCCATGCCTTCCCCAGCAAGCTGCACCATAACAGCCAATCGAATGACACCACAAACCAAAGAGCTAGTGTCAAGGGTCAGCGGAGAGAGCAGAGAAAGAGATAGGAAGATACTTACATGACCCAAAGCAAACAAGTAACAGCCACACCCATTTTCTGCTGTCTGGGTAGATCGAGTCTTTGTACCTCTCTTAACGGCAATAGCAGGATAAGCACATCAGTAACCACATTAGGGATCTGCATGCCATAGTAAAAAGGCACTAAGTCGATGCATCTGCCGTCAAGCCAAGGGGTCCACGCCTTGCGGATGGGTGTACAGATGAACACTCCAGTAAGCAACACCGAACAACACCACATGATCATCATGGCGATGAGGGCAGACGTCATGAGGAGAAAGTCGCGGTGTTTGGGGAAGAGACGGCGGTATTGGAAGAGGATGGATAACTTGATCGCGGTGATGCAGAGGGGGTATTGGATGACCAGAGTATACTGGAGCTGCATAAACTTGACAAGGGAGGGGATGCCGAGGGTTGAGATGTGGCGGCCGATGCCATGCTTGATGACTAGCCAAGATGTTAAGATCAGGTATGCATGGAAGGATTGTAGAAGACAAGACTTACGTAGAGAGTTGCTGATATCGAGGCCAATCTTGAAGAACTGCGATCTCTGCATCAGTAGACTGCGCGGATGGTACCGCACGATCTTTGACTTACCCAGGCGATGATGATCAGCCAATCATCAAAGTACAGACGGATGCGCAGAACATGTCTGGCGAGCAGACGCAGCACAACGAAGACAGTCGGAAGAAGAATGGCGAAGATGGTAGCAACGATCAATTGGTGGGCGCGATTGTCGTGAAGTCCCTGCGCATCGGCAGCAGGAGCAGGAGTCGACATGGTGCAGAATGGCTGTTGTGATGTTGTCGAGACGAGGGAGGAAACACACTCGACGAAGGTCAAGTGAGATGTGGTGTGAAAGTGTGTGCAGACTCATGTCAAGTTAAGTTCTTCGAGAACCAAGCTTCACTTTCGGAGCGAAACTCCCGATTTGATCGACTCATCCCTGAACCCATTGTGCATCTTGATGGTCCAAAAACTACTTTGCGTCGAATTAGGAGTCCTTAGAACTGCTGCATCTCGTAGAACAAGACCCTTCAGCATATAACTATTATGATGCATAATAGTCTTTAGCAGCAAAAAACGTCTCTTGAGGACCGTCATTTGCATAAGCTCTCTCCGGATACAACTTGAAGTGAGAAAGAATTGTACATTTTGTTAGCTCATTGATGGCTCTCAATCGAGTTAGGATTCCCTTCTCAAGAGCTGCTGTATCGCACGACGCAAGGATCATCGGCACCTAGCTATCAATATGCACAAGAATCTTGGGTAACCAAGAGCTTCCGCTGAGATTTGTCATTTGCATCAGCTTTCTCCGGCCACAACTCGAGATCAGAGAGAATTGTGCATCTCGATAGCTCAGAAACCGCTCCGTGTGTGGTTGGGAGGGACCAAGTCGTGTCCAGAGAGAGCTTTCAGAGACAACAGGTCTCACTGGACACTTCTCATGCTCTGGACAAGGTTCTGCATTCTTATAGCTGCATAATCCAGGGTTTCGCGCTGAGAGATGCAGAAGCTCTGAGAAGTACTCCTGACTCAATGCAGAGCGATTCTTGAGCTGTCAAAATGCACAATGAAGTCAAGGATTGAGGTGTTTCCATAGAAAGCTTGTGTTTGAAATTCCTTGTGTCGAGGATTCGTTCCAAGCTATAACTCTATAGGCGTTGGCATAGAGAACAAGAGAACTACTTCGTGTTGCGAAAAGGTAGAGACAGCCAAAGGTTAAACGGCAGGAGATTATTAGGACGCAATCGACGTTGTTTAAGCACGGCATTGCATGCTCATACTCACATCGTCTCCCAGATCCTGAGAAAGCTGCGTTCCGAGTACAATATGCCGAAAAGCACACCATGACTTACAAGATCTCAACTCGTTGAACCATCACCCACGGCTCCCGCTTCGTCGATGAGTACCGCACCCGCTTGGAAGCTGCTCTGCGCGAGTTCTACGCTTGTCGCCGTACCACCCACACCTCGTCGACTGTTCGCGTTGGTGGTGTTGCTCTTCCTCGTGTGTTTAGGTAGGACATCCGTCGTTCCGACATTCTAGGTCGCGCTTAGCTCGAGGAGGCTCAGCGCCTGCGCGAGGCCACTGCTGGCAACGCTGGTCCTGCCGTCCCTGCTGGTGGCGGCGATTAGGAGGAGGACTCTTCCGTCCGTGTCCCTCGCTCTGCTGGTAAGCGCCCTGCTCGTCGCATTGTTAGCGACTCTGACGACGAGTATGATGACTTCGACTACTACTCCGACTAGGAGTAATTCAGTCTTCTCTCTTGCATCCTCGTGCTATAAACCTACTCTAAGCCGGTGTCGAAGATTTGATCGGCCATTGGGTTTTTTTTTTCTTTGGGGTTGGGAGGTTTGGAATGGTTCCCGTTTCTTTAATGCTGCCCGCGGTCTCTAACCTGCAAATGAAGTTTCTTGCTTGTGACCTTTGCACTATCGTAGGCTTTCTTCTTAACTTCTCCGCATGAGCTAACTCTGATGCAGGTAATCATTGGTTATACTCCTCTGGCCATTCCGACCATTTCACCAGGTACGAAACTTTCCCCTTCGCAACCTGTACCACAGATCACTGCGAATGGTTGAAACCACATAGCCGCCTACATGTTTATATGTGGTTTCTGTACGGTATTCCTGGATCCTGCCGCCCATGCCTTCTCTAACCTCAAGCCGTGGATGAGACGCAGAGTACATATGTGTCAGACTGTCGTTCAGGCTACCATTAGGACACTGAAAAGGAAAATTGGCATAAACAAGATCCTGCAGCTTAGAGCATGACAGAAGGGTGACAGCCTCGGAACAGTATCCCAGACGGCAAGCAGCGAGACAAGATTGATGATGAGCAAGAAGAAGACTGTGATTGCAGACTGACGAGCGTTGTCGATCACAGCTGTCTGCTGATATCTGCATGACCCGCTTGCTATAGCTTTGTTTGACTTGTCGGGCTTACTGCATAACATCTGATTGTGAAGCTTGTTTATAATTCTTTTCTCCTCAGGAATTAAGGGGCTTAGTTCCGAAGTTTTGAGCGATAGAGGATGTCGGATGAGAGACGCCGCCTTGACGGGCTTTCCCTGGACGCAGTTCTAATCCGAATATAATTTTGCACCTTCAAAGCTTGTTATTCTGCTCAAGATTGGCATGGGAGAGAGACGTATTGGCAAATTGTGACAGAGTCTGGTGCTTGAAGGTCTCCACAGTTTGCTGATTGCACTGAAGTGTTTCCTTCCGCCGACAACGTTACTGCGGTACATTGGTCGGGCCCAGTTGTTGACTGTTTTCAGGAGAAGTCAGAGAGTCGCTGAGGAGAAGCCGGCCAATCTTTAGCTATCTTTTTGGCAACAACAAGATCCCAGACATTTCCAGAGAAAACCCAAGTCGCTATGCAGCGCGTTTCGAGATCCAAGACCGCATGTATTCTCTTCCTTGACTGAGGAACAGTAACTCATCAGTATACAATGAACGAAGAGCAGAAGATTTATTCTTTTTCTCGGGCCTCAAGCATAGCGAGGACTTCTGGATCCCTAGGCTTGTAGAAGCGCGATGCTCCTTTCGCTTCCATTGGTACAATTTTGGACCATTTCGATTCAGCGTAGCAACCAAGGCAGTCGTACGAAGTAGAATTGCAGTCAGATGTATTTTTGCGCTCAAACTGCCAAGCGAGGTACGGTCAGCATGGATGGGACTATGATGTGATGGCTGGTTTCGGTCTCCTAAAAAAGAAATCGAATCTCATGATGGTTTGCATACGTACCCAAAGGCGACTGCCATTAATCCTAGTCGTGGCACAAGTAGCGCAGGTTCTCTCGACTTTGTCTTGATGATAGATAGGCCGCCAGTGTTCCCAGACAAATTGGCTGAGGTGCTCTCTCTGTAACCTATACCATTTTTTTAGGCCATGATATAACCTGAACTGAGGATCGGCGCAATAACGCTGTTTGTTCCATTTAGCTGAGTAGGCATTTTTGTTTTGGCGCATAGCATCGTCTGCAAATATGCGATCATGGAACCGTTTATTGGCAGCATACACGTGTTGTCGAAACCATTCGATGTCTCTTCTGCGGTCTGCATAAAATTTTCTGGAAACTTCAGCCCGTTTCTGACGATATTCTGGATCAAGCATCTGCTTGTGATACCGCTCTGTTTGATATTGTTGTTTTCTCTGACGATATTCTGGATCAAGCATCTGTTTGCGATACCACTCTCTTGCATATTGTTGTTTTCTCTGACAATATTCCGGGTCAAGTATCTGCCTGTGATACCACTCTCTGGCAGATTGTCGTTTTTTCTGACTATCCCTGGCTTCATGCTGATGCTGTAGTTGTTCCTTCTGCTGGCTCACGATGGTAGTATCATGTGATGAGGCTTGCGGAGCAGAACGAGAATAAAGGGCTCTGAGACAAGCTGAGATGCTGTGGGTCTTGGGACTCAGTGGCCGCAAATATCTCCCCCAAATAAAGAGAAGAGGCATGATCTCGAAACAGGAGGATGTAGTATCTTGTACTGCAGATATGGAATGACTGACAACAACGCGGAAGGAAAGCGCGATGAGCATGTGAACGCCAAGACCAGCCATCGTCATTGCCTATTTTGTTTCTGTCCATTACGCAGTCCATGTCTTGTAAACACACCAGCTGCCACGCATAACAAGATGAACGACCTTGTTGAATTCTTACGTACACATGACGAGGCATTCCGTAGGTATATGCTCCTGTCAACCCTCATTGCGCCAAACAGGACTCCGCTAATATCAGCACCAGTCGCAACCGCCTTCAGTCTCTCTACTCAGATTTTCGCCTACAAAAGACATCGAACCCAGATGGATACCAAGCAAACTCTCGAGCATGGATGCGCGGTCTGACTGCTGCCGCACGCGCTGGCCGATTACCACCCGCCACAACAGCAGCTGGACAACCAAGTCACGTCGTCTTTGGAAGCGGTGAGGAACTGTCGCGCGCCTTGAACTCTCAGCAATGGGGTCGCCCGTTAGCTCTCGGTGCTGTCATGCAAGATGCTGTCGAAAGACGCGAGTTCATTCCTCTGGACGATTTTCTGAATGCGACCAAGAGTGTTTATGCAAAGAGTTGGATTCCTTCACCGTGGCAGGTCGTCAGTTGGGGTCTCAAGCAGGTTGGAGTTGCCTCGCTGTTTGGCGCATCCGATAAGCTGTCAGTTGGCAATCTCGTCGTTATGGCCAATGTTGAGGTACTGCCCTATCACTCTCATCACGAAACACACGCTGACTCGAGTACAACAGGAAGCAGCAAATGCTATCATAGCAAAAGCCTCCCAGCTCGACCAGTCAACGACCTCCTTGATCTTCTCTCGCTCCCTTTTCGAGTCAGAGTTCGCCTATGTCCTTGACCCGACAAAACATCCCGAGGCCGCCTTGAGCACCACTGACTTCGACATTCTCCTTCGCTATCTATCCCGCGACAAACCCTACCTCTCCTTCACCTCCTCGACCATCAAGCTGAAATCTACCTCTGAATCCGCACCTCAACCTATCACCCAACAAGACACCGACATCGCAAACCTACGCACCCTGATCAAGGCCCTGGAAACTCAAGTCTCAGCCCTTACAGACAGAATCACAACCCTCGACATTTCAGCCCGCGAAGCCGTCGCCGCGAAACGCACAGTTCAAGCCAAATCAGCCTTACGCAGCAAAAAGCTTGCAGAAACCACTCTACATACACGCAGTGCTACACTATCACAACTGGAAGAAACGTTTACAGCCATCCAAACCGCTGCCGATCAAGTCGCTATAATATCCGCCATGTCTGCTTCTGCCAAGGTCTTGAAGAGTTTACACGCAGAAGTTGGAGGAACAGAAGGTGTGGAAGAAGTTGTGGATCGCTTGAGAGATGAAATGGAGAATGTAGATGAAGTTGGGCGTATCATTAACGAAGCCAATACCTCCAAGGTTGATGAAGAAGATGTGGACGAAGAGTTTGCGACTATGGAAAGGATGGAAAAGGAAAAGAGGGAACAAGAAGAAGCGGCAAAGACTGCAGCGAGATTGGCGGAATTGGAAGGGTTGGAGAAGGAGAGGAAAGAGAAGGAGGTGGAAGAGAAGGGGAAAGAGGGAGAGAGGCAGACAGAGATGCAGGCGGAAGCTGCGTAGGTTGTTATAGGAGTCTTACGAATTAATGAGCATTGTACATATGGCTGCTCAGGTCAATGACCAACTGTCCCTGAAGCGACTCCCAGCTTGACGTGGAAGCGTATCCCGGACCTTCCAAAATGCACAGTCTATTCAAAATAGAGCTGATGTCCAGAGAGAGAGTCTGTTGCGGTACTTATTCTCAGTGGACCTTACTCTGTTTTTCGATATCATTGTGCATTGTTATGGATATATCACTGGAGGTTTGCATCTGGGAGACCAGCATTTCGTGTCGAAGGCAGGTCACACCAAAGCGATGCAGATGTGCAACGCTCTCCTAAACGTGTAAAGTAGGTCTATGAGTCTTCGGAGTGGTCACCATCTCCTCTAGCATGATGCCTAAGTTCTGGAGACTGTAGAAATACAGAATACTATTATATTTTTTTTTTTTGCCGATGTCAGAGGTTGTCCAAGGTGGAGTGAATGTCTCGTGTCAAAATTTCCATGGGAATTTGACTAACAAGCGATTGTCTAACAATCAGATCAATTGTTACACACATCTCAAGAAGCTTTTCTTGACTTTGTTCTTCTTCTATGATGTGTCGCATTTCCCTGTATCTTGCACCTTACAACGCATTATCCAACAACAAACATCTAGAAGCATCTCACAGCAAGGTGACACGACCATCATCTCTGCTTCCCTTGCGACAGTGGTTGAATATATTGTAGCTGAAGAAGCAAAATGACATGATTGGGCGTCTGGCGCAGTGGTAGCGCGTCTGCTTTGCATGCTGAAGGTCTAGGGTTCGATCCCCTAGTCGTCCATACTTTTGCCTTTTTTTTTTGCTTCCTTCTCCAATACTCCATTGTTCTTTTCTTTAGTTTCTGGGCTGGAATGTTGGTGAGTTGCGAGAGTTTGTTTTGGTTTTGCTGTGTGCCTGGAGATGAGGATTGTTGTTTTCTTGCAGTGAGTTGAAGTGTCAGATCAAATGGCCGTTGATATGAGTTGACGTGTGGCTGTGGAGTCAGTCTGAGCTGGTGCTGCTGTCTTTCTCCTTGACAGCCCAGTTGCGTTTATGATAGATCGTTTGTCTCTGCAACTTTACTGAGACAGTCGTGTGTACATTGGGATGTGGCATGATAACAAAGTAATACCAATGATTGACCTTCAATTCGTTTGTATTCTTTTCTTTTCCAAATGCTTTGCTGTTTTGTTGCTCTTTCAAGATGCTACTTCTTGCGTTGCCTGACTTTACTTCTAGTAGACGTGGCAGGAGCAGACACAACTTCATCTTCATCTTCTTCCTGTTCTTGATCTTCGCCATCTTCTTCACTCATCTTCTCAGCTCCTCTGACTTCTTGCATTTCTTTTCCTCCTTCAGGGACAGTAGACTCCTCGGCAATCTCTCTAATCATTGCTTTGGCTTCTGATTCTTGTCCATTGAGGGCATGGCATTCCTTGCATCTCCATGTACCCAAGTCTTCCAAGGAGCGTGTGCCTGGAGGAGCTTGACCATTTACCAAGCGACATTTGCGACACAACAGCACGATGCGGTTCTTGGGTAGGGTTTCGTCGTCACCGAGAACAACGTCTAGGATTCTGTCGTACCAGCGCGAGCCAGATGAAGCGTAGGGGTTTTGATCGCGTGGAGTGGGTGCTGTGAAGGCGTTGGGGGCGAACTCGGCGTTTGGATCGCGTTGAGGTTGTTGAGGTTGCGGAGGGAGAGGTTGGAACTGAGCGTTTTGCTGTTGAGGAGGAGTCATAGGTTGAAAAGAGGGAGGTAGCTGGCGTCCTGGGATGTTCGCGGTAGGCGGAGGAGGTAGACCAGTTCGCTTGACAGGAATAGGTTGCTTCTTGGTAGGAGTGTCTTGTGCCTGTCTCGACTTCTGCTGGGGCGACTTTGTGGGAGTAGAGCCGCCATACTTGTCCAGCAGCTGCTGGGTAGTGTTGTATTTTGTGGCTTCCTTGAGCTTGGAGATAGCATCGTCGCGTTGTTTGTTCAGATGGTTGAGGTATGACTGGCTTGAAGCGAGGCGGTAGTTGAAGTATGCGTCAAGGCCAGTTCTGACAGCATAGATAAGCAGAGGTGATGCGGCCAGGCCAGTGTACTCGATAGCAGTGCAGTTCGGTAAGCCGGTGACCAGAATGAGGATGGTTGCAGCGAGGAGGTAGGCAAATGTGGTGTACAGAGTCCATAGCACTTTGTAACGGCGTTGTCGCTGGTGTAGACGATCGTTGCGGGCGCTCTCTTTGTTAATCTTGGATGAGAGGGAAGACAGCAGCTTTTCGAATGACGCTGCCGATGTCGCGTCGTGACCCTGGTCTGAATGTCAGTATGACTTGAAGAAGATTCGATGCTTAAAAGGTACGTGCCTTGAAGGGCCAGAATGAAACCATTTCTGCTATGAACAATGCATGTGTGTCAAGCAGAAGAGGCACATGCAAAAAGAAAGATGAACGTGTCGCAACGTGAACGAGAAGCTCCGATGACGTTGGACTCCACACGCGTTGCACCTTCCGCAGCTGAAAGCACCGAAGTCGAAGGCTCAGGTCGCACCTTCCACCAAAAGTCACAAGCCGAAAGTCAAGGGGACAGGGCCGAGCTTCCGATACCCGTGCCCATCAACGTGTTCCGTCCAACAAACAATATTTCCTTTTCTTTCTCTTGGGTATTGTTCCTCTAGCTATGCTGCTTGTCATATCATAGTCGCATCATCATGTTTCAAGTAAGCCCTTACATGTTCAGTCAGATCAACATTCTCCTGACAACCAACCACTGCAGAGGCTCAAGGGCAACTTGGACCAGTTCTTGGACTCCAAGATTGCAGAGGAACAAGCTCGCCAAAGAGGTCAATCCGGCACATCAGCCCCTGTGAAGCGCACCCCTTCATCTGCTGCTAGAAGGGGCGTGTCTCGAACCGAATCACCGAATCGTCCAGGAAATCGTGCCCGCGCCGACTCGAATCGTGGCATTCCTACCAAAGGGCCCGACCCAAGCGAATTCGTTATTGACGATGATGAAGCTCCTACTCGCACTGCCACTCCCAATCCTGCTGCGAATGAAGCCTCCAATTCCTCCTCTGACCCACCTGCTACCTCAACCAACGAAAAGGAATCAGTCAAATCCGATGCTCCTCCTTCAGAAAAGGCACAAGATACAGGAAAACAACCCGACGAATTGCCCCAAGATGTCCGTCAAAAGCTGCGCAAACTCGAAAAGCTAGAGTCGCGCTACACTGAACTTCTCCGTTCCTACCGCATTGCTCATGCAAGGGTCACCGCCATCGAGCCTTTCGAGGCCGCTCTCCGCGAAAACACCCCTCTGACTTCTATCGCTGATCCCTCTGCTCTGGTCGAATATCTTATGCAGCTGAACTTGAAAGGCGACATGGTCATGGAAGAGTACAAGAAGGTTACTGGCGAAAAGGATGAAATCAAGCGCAAACTCGACGATGCCGAGAAGAGAGCCAAAGAGGCATACGATGAGGCAGCAGGTTTGAGAAAAGAGAGGGATGAGAAGAACAAGTCTACCGCAGAGACCGACCCCCTAGGCGCCAACACATTATCTGTCGACGACAAGGATGCTAAGTCTACCAGAAAGAGCGAGGATTTCTTTTCCTATGAAGAAGAGGCTCCACGTTTACAGGAAGAGTTGGACCAACAAACACGTCAAGTTGAAGAGCTCAACGAGAAGATCACCTCTCTGGAAACTGACCTCAAGACTGCCCAGGACTCTGAAAAGACAGCCAGAGAAGAACTTGAAAAGGTGAACAAGGATCAATCGAGCGCAAAAGAATCTCAAGAACAGTCGAAGTCTGATTCAGAGAAAAAGCTCGCCGACTTGGAGAAGCAAAAGTCTGATCTGGAAAAGCAAAAGGCCGACTTTGAACAGAAGGTTTCGGAGCTGGAGAAACAAAAGTCTGACCTAGAAAAGAGGTTCAAGGAATCTGAGGGTACGCTTGAGAAGATCAAGACACAGCTGGACCAGATTGATCACATCTCAGCATCTGAAAAGGAACCACTGGAATCGCGAATCAAATCTCTTAGTGACAAACTCGACAAGGCGACGTCAGATCTCAGGACTGCCAATGATCAAATTGGGGAGTTCAAGACGAAAGCCGCTTCTGCACAGGACGCTCTCACCAAACTCGAGAAGGAAAATAAGGAAAAGGCGAATCAGGATAGTGGCAACAAGAAACAAAGCGATGCCGACAAGAAGCGGTTGGAAACTCTGGACAACTTGGTCAAGACGTTGAAGTCACAACTCACTGAAGCCGAGTCAAGCAAAAAGTCATTGCAGAAGGATGTGGACAGCATGCGTGGCGATTTGAAAAAGAGCGAGGCCGACCTGAAGGCTGCTACCGAGGCTGCTCCAGTAGCGTCTACTCAGGACACATCATTGGATGAGCTCCGAGGGCAGTTGAAGGCTGCTGAAAGAGAACGTGATGATGCTTATCAAATGATTCTAGCTTGTGGCCACTGCAAAACTTCCGAGCCGGAAGCACCTGCAGTAGTCGAGCCCGAGCCTGCTCCTGCTGCTTCGGCTGAGACGGCCAACGCCACCCAGACTGCGGATGGTGGAGCAGCCAAGAAGAAGAACAAGAACAAGAAAAAGAAGAAGGGTGGTGCTGCTGCCAACAAGCCTGTCGCAGAGACATCAGAGAGTGTTTCACCTTCGTCTGCGCCTTCTCCAAAGCCCGAAGAGCAGTCTGGACCTGTTCCGCAAGAGTCTGTCCTTTCACCTGAGCAGTTGGCTGCCGCAAGAGCACATATCACCAACTCTCTCAGCCAGCTAGCTCCAAGAGGTGTTCAATCCGAGGACAACGACCAGAAGATCAAGGAGTTGAACATTGTCATTGAGCAGAAGGATGGTGAAATCAAAGAACTCACAGCTCAGATCGAGAAGAAAGAGGCAGCTATTGACAGACTTGATGCTAAGCTCAAGGGTGAAGACGATCTCAAGGAAGAGATTGACGACCTCAGAGAACAGCTTAAGGATATTGGCAACGAGTTGTGCGGTGCAAAAGATCAGATTAAGACTTTGAAGACACAAAAGGACTCTGAGTCTGGTGAACGTGCCGAAGAGATGAAGCAGCTTGAAGACAGATGCAAATCTCTGCAAAAACAGTGCGATGACCTTCAGGCTGAGATCAAGACCAAGACGGAGGATCATGCAAAGGTTCAGAAAGAGCTGGACGAGATCAAGGAAACCTCCGGTGCTTCAAGCAAAGAGCTCGAAGACAAGCTTGCGAATGTCCAGAAGGAAAAGAAGACTCTGGAAGATGCCAACAAGAAGCTCAAGGCAGAGACCGAGTCGCTCAAGTCAAGCCATGGAGAGTCAAACGAAAAGCACAAGAGCTTGACTGCTGAATTTGACGAACTCAAGTCCAAGAGTTCATCCTTGCAGACTGACTTGTCTGCCGCTAACGAGCTAGCTCAGACAAGATACAAGGATCTGACGGCACTTAGAGAGCACCTCAACAAAATCCAGCCTGAGCTAACAACGCTGCGTCAAGAAGCCGCCGAGCTCAAGAAGGCCAAGGAAGAGCTCAGCACAGCCAATGGCACTCTTCGTAGATTGGAAGCTAAGGAGAAGGATCTGCAGTCCGAGATCTCTACTTACAAGACTCAGACAAAGGACAAAGATGCTGAGATCAAATCTTTGAACGAAAAGGTCAAGCAGAGTGCAGAACGCACAGCAACGCTCGAGGAGCAAAGCAACAAGATGCAAAAAGACCTTCAACGGGCGGAGAAATCACAAAAGGAAGCCACCGAGTCTAGAGACAAGCTTCAAAAAGATCTCACCAAAGCTCAAGAAGAATCTTCGAAACAACGCGAAAAGTTGCAGAGTTTGGAGAAGCAAGTTGCTTCTTTGAACCAAGAATCATCACGATTGAAGGAAGAACTTCAACTCAAGTCTGCTCAGCAAGCTTCGGCTCAATCCCTAATGGACAGCATGCAAGATCAGACTCGCGAGCTGGCAACTCAAATGAAGGAAGTCAAGGAACGATGCGAGAGTCTCGAGGAAGAGCTTGCAGATGCCCATCGTCTCCTCAGCGAACGCAGCAGAGAAGCAGAAACGATGCGCCGTCTGCTCGCTGATGTCGAAGGTCGTGCCGAGTCGCGCGTCAAGGAAATGCGCGAACGAATGGACGTAGCAATCGAAGAACGTGATCGTGCTGAAGAGGAAGCAGTTACCGTCGGTCGCCGACGAGCGCGCGAACTCGAAGACTTGAAGCACAAACTGAGAGATGCGGAAACATCACTCTCCTCCATCAACGACGAAAAGGAGGAATTCGAAAGAAAAGAGGCACAATGGCGCAAACAAAAGACCGACCTCGAGAGAAAATCAGAAGCTGCCACAGAAGAACTAACCGAAGTCAGGAGTGCAATGACTCAACTCCGCGACGCTCTCGATGAGCATGAACGTTCGTCCCAAGCCCTCGAAAAAGAAAAAGCAGACCTCCGCAAATCCCTCTCTGAAACAGAAACCCGCCTCACCACCCTCCAAAAATCCTCAAAAGCCCTCGCCGACGAGATCAAAACCCTCAAAAGCAGCAAGTCAGAAAAACCATCCGCTCGATCATCACTCGAAAGCTCACGTATTGGGTCGCCTATGGGAAGTCGCAATGGCAGTGTCGCTACCACGGGAGGCCCCGATGCTCGCGGCGAAGCTATGGACTACGTATACCTCAAGAATGTGCTTTTGCAGTTTTTGGAACAGAAGGATAGAAAGCATCAGTTGCAGTTGGTGCCTGTGTTGGGCATGTTGTTGCATTTTGACAAGTAAGTCTTTTGAAGCTGTGGGATCGATAAGATGGATGCTAATGAGCTTTATAGGAAGGATGAACAGAGGTGGGCTAGTGCTATCTCTTCGTTGTAGATGATGATTGGATGCACGAAGGGTAGCATTTTTTTCTGTGTTGTGGATGAGATAGCATAATCCACGTCGCTGTATCAATGGACAAAGCAACGGGGTTGCTATACATACCTCTTACTCCCTAGTTCTCCTTACAGCGTGACGGGTCGATGGACAAGCAATAAAAAGGCACGATATCATTGAGGTTGAGGTATGTATCCTGAGAGAGCCAGCCTGTCGAGGTCTCTCAGTGGATAATCCCTTGATTCTTGTAATCATTCTGCATTTTGATGGATACTTGAAACGATAAGCTGTGCGCGGGAGGGACATGAACAGGTCCTGGACAAGGGGTAGAGTGAAATCAATGATCCCGATAGACCAAGTATTAGGAGGCTACTATCCCTATCTCCTTTCTCTATCCTCTCCTTGCTGCAATACAGGTCGATTGAAAAGCTGTAGAAAGGCATGATGATATCAATATCGAGGTAGGTAAGTGGGGGTAACGTCTCTCGATGAACATGTCCATGGTTTTTTTTGATGCTATTCTGCTTTTTGACAGTCACTTTATGATACTAAGTTTTTGATGGGAGAGAGCTGCAAAAGAGTGATGAAAAAAAGGAGGGTGTCTGAGCATACTGGGTTCGGGTAAAGTTCCTCGTGTGGACGCTAATTGTAGGATTTCGAGATGATGGGCCGTAGATGGGCCTTTGGGTCAAAAATACTCTGTGGAGGCCCTGGATACGGCGAGTAATGCGTAGCTTTCCTTGGATTCCCACTCAGCCCTTGATCATCGTGATTTGGCCTTGGACTCGATTTTCTCGCAGGCACAGCTGTGTCGTTGTCGATGTTGGAGCAGCTTCAGTGCTATTTTATCGCATCTCGTGTCTAGAGAAGCTCTGTGTCTCCATGCTCGGAGTCATTTTTACAAGTCAACTCGTGGACAATGATAGCTCCTGACTACTGGCAGCGCCCCAGGCTGATAGCGACGCTGTCAAAAGGCACGAAAGTAGAACGATGACAAGCATGAGACGGCGTCCACTGAGAGCTAGCGGCGAGAGAAAACAAAAAAAAAAAAAAAGAAATCGAAAACTGGCGTCCAGCGCCCTTGATGCAAGACATTGTTTTGTAAAATCTAAAAACAATCTAGCAAATCTACTCTCCACGTAAATACTTGTAAACAACTGAAAAGTCTTTGCCCTTGTACTTCTCATTTCCCTCTATGGCAGCATAGATGGAAGCAGCCATAGGACCCAAACGAGGCTCGATACCGAATTGCTGAGCAGCATGCATGGCCAGTTTCAAATCCTTGTTCATCAGTGCTGTGCCAAAGCCGCCAGCATATTCTTTGCTGGAAGGGGCATCAGGAAGGACGCCAGGAACGGGGTTGTTGACTTCGCTAGGCCAGCATTTTCCTGTGCTTGTGTTGATCATGTCTGTTAATGCCGAGGCGTCTAATCCCCACTGCACACCCATGTTCAAAGCTTCGGCAGTAGCGATGTTGTTAAGAGCCAGCAAGTAGTTATTCGCGAGTTTGCCCTTCAATCCAGAAGTTTGGGGTCCGAGGTGAAGTACACGTTTTCCCATCATCATCAAGACTTCAGTTGCGCGGTCGACCAGTTCTGGAGGTGCGCCGATCATGAAGGTAAGTTTTCCTGCTTCGGCACCTACAATGCCGCCAGACATGGGAGCGTCGATGAATTTGCCTTGGCCGGATGAGTGAGCTGCGTTAGCGACGTTTGCAGAAGACAGAGGATCGATGGTTGAGCAGTCGATAAAGAGTCGTTCCTGGTTTACGCCGTCACGGAGCAAGGTAGGCGGACTGAGCATCGATTTGAAGACGTTTTGGACATGGGATGGTCCTGGAAGTGCTGTGATAATTGTTTCCTAAGGGCTGGTTAGTTCTCTTTGCTTGCTCGGAATAGTTCGAAGACGGTGAAAGTGACTCGATGAGTTCGGTAGTTATCGATGTATATCATAGGGTGTTGGACAGTCGAGATAGACTTACTGATCTTTCGGCAACATCTCTGACGTCCTGTCCGATTTCTACATTCGAGTTCTCTTTGACGAATCTTGATGTCGTCTCGTTGTTCACATCATGGATTATGAGGTTATCAGAGCTGGGCAGTTTGGCTCGTAAGTTTTGAGCCATACGATAGCCTGTTCAAGATCAGTCGTGATACATGTAAGAATGTAGCTTTCGAGTACACACCCATCTGTCCCAGCCCGATAAAGCCATAGGTCGCGTGCCGTGAACTCGAAGTCGAGAAATATCGCTGTACGGGAGCATTGACAGCATAGAGCTGGCGTCTCAAAGCATTCATCTTGAGTGATTAGTCTGGCCTTAGGTATAAGTTCACAAAGGTATCGAGGTTGTCAAGAACAGCATGTCTTTTTCCTTATCAACACGGGAGATGGTTAAACGACATCATCAATTGTGCCTAGCGAGACAAAGATCGGCTCTCGGGCAACCGAGGAAGGGAGTAAGGTGCCACGGATATCCGGGGACTGCGGAGACGGGAAAGAGGGGAAGGTCAATCAATCAGCCTCACGGCTCACCTTTTTCGGTGCCTTGTTCTGGAGCAGCATGGCCGAGTCGGCAGCAGTCGCGAAACTCCCCGTATGCAGAACACTTTCACGTGTGTACCTATAGAGATGCACAACGTCTTGAAGAAATAGGGCAGTGTCCTTTAGATTCAAGGACGTCCAATTAGGCAGTTATCTGGAGACACACCCTGACTGCACGATACCATGTCCCTGTGCAGCTTGAGATGCTGCCATGTGTTGGCGTGGGGTAAGTCTTCAGTCTTCAGTCTTCAATCTTCAGTCGTTAAGTGGTAGCCTGAGCGACATGAAACATGCTTTTGAAACCGGATAGCTATCTGCGGTATAAGAAGTTGTGCATGACCAGTGCAGACTTTGTGCTCGAGACCATAAGATTTCCACATCTGTGTCGAACGGATACCACTTCATCACTTCAGATTAATGGTGACATTCATAATCAATCTACGAGAATGAGAGAGAATTGATTTCGTTGATTTGTGGATGTGAACAATGTCACTGCCTAGTGTGGCGCACAAGTAAGGCTGAGCGTCTCTAGCGTTTCTCGCGTCATCGGGTGGGCGTGAGGCTTTTGGCAACGAGGCAACCGCTTTCAGTCAACACTTCACCCCTCTTCTTCCTTCGCGCAAGCATCGAATCAACATCTCAGACCAATACCAAACAAACAATATGTGCGGCAGTGATATCTTCTTGGGCTTCCTGGCCATTCTCTTCCCTCCCATCGCTGGTGAGTGACTACCGCAATCCTCCCCCTTCTCCACACGTACCTGCGCAGCCACCGCTGCAGCATGGACCAAGCAGGGTGCAACTTTGCAAGAATGAGTCGCTGATATAGTCTTGTAGTATGGGTCAAGCGCGGCATCTGCTCAGCCGACTCACTCATCAACATCGCCCTTTGCGTCTTGGGTTACCTGCCCGGTCTACTCCACTCCTGGTACATCATCTCGCGATACCCCGATCCGACGTACGACGAGCTCGCTCAGGAACCTGAGGGAGGCCGTGTGACATACTACTATGTCCAACAGAGCCACCGTCCTTCGGTGAGCAGCTCAAGGGGTCCTGGCTACGGAACCATCACCGGTGCTCCCAGCAGTCAAGCTGAGGGATCGCAACCCCAGCAATACCGCCAAGATCAGCAGATGCCTAGCGCGTCAAAGGGCGATGCTGCAAACCCTCCCACCTACGCTGAGGCTGTTAAGGGCAACAACAAGGTCCAGTCACACGACTAGATTGCCACTGCATATCACCTAATGACGAACGATCACTCAACTTATACCCACAACAATACCCACACCTTTCTGATCCGAGAGCGCGATACATTTCGTGTAATTAACTTGGCTGTTTTTTCTTGTCTTTTTGTTTGACTTGTTCTACTGTCGCGTGAACAGCGCGATGGGCAACATGGAACGGCATGTTTGTGTTATATCATGTTCAATATATGCTTCTCCACCATCAGCTTGACCAGACCTTGTTCGTATTCTCCAACTCGTGTGTGCTGGGCGCATCTTTGAAGGCTTCATCTTGGTCACTTCCATCCAGGGGCGCATCTGGCTCATCGTGGAATGGCGTGGTCTCTGAGCTGTCTGCCGCAAGCACAGTCGGTTCAGCACCAGCAGTACCCGCATCGCCTGTCTCTTTTCCTTCTTCTCTTCTTCCAATAATAACACTTCCAGCAACCAACATGGCAGCTCCAAGCAACCAAAGTCCAGGCAAAGATTCGGAGAAGATCAAGACGCCCAGGACGGCGGTGATCATGAAGTTTGCAGATGTGTTGATGACACTGACTCTTGTTGTACTCGAGGCGAGGGTGAGGGCGCGCGTAAAGAGACCCCACATGACTCCATTGAAAACGAGGTTCAGGACGAAGAAGAGCTAGGCGGGAAGTCAGAACTCCTGAGACAGGTATCGTGTCGCAAACTGGGACAAAGGACATACACCGCGAACCAGATATTCAAAGAACTTGTTTGGACCTGATAAGCCAAAGATGTGAGACAGAGATTCAGCCCATGCTGTGGTTAACTGTGTTGTAGTGCTATAGGGGTCAGTAAGGGTGAGAGGGTGACGATAGCTTTGTGTGTCTTACAGTTTGGCGAAGACACCATTCAAGGCGGCACAAGCTCCACTTGCAACCGCAAAGACCAACCACTTGGAAGTGGATGTTGACATGATTGATATTCGATGGACTCGCGACCAGATGCTCGATATGGCTAATCTGATCTGGCGGAACCTTGATGATTCTGGCGGAGCGTTGATGGTGCCAAGACTGCGTGACGGCGGGCGGAAGTTGGAGACGGAAATTGCCGCAGGCGCATCATTGCAGGTTGCCCGAAGCGTCACCTCCAACGTTGGCAGACTGGACGAGGTCAACACGCATCCAACGAGACTACGACAGCCCCGACGACTGCGCAGTCCCTGATCAATCAACATGGGCGGTCTCACATACGGCCTCTATGGCGCAACCACTGCCCTGACTGTCATCGGACTTTGTACGCTCCTATCAACCACCTGCAACACTCCTCATGGGCCTCAAAGCTAATACCACGCCTTAGATATGCTCTTCAATGGAGAGGGTGAAGCTTTCAACGTACGCAAACACACCAACGCACATCCATCGCATCCGAACACGCGTCTGACACTCGTCTCAGGTTGGAGACTTCCTTCTCAGCATCTCGCCCCACGCATGGGCTAGCACGGGTATTGGCCTTTGCATCGGTCTCTCGGTCGTCGGAGCTGCATGGTCAGTAACACGAATCACAACAACAGAAAGAGCTGAATACTGAGACAAGACAAACAGGGGTATCTTCATTACCGGTGCCTCAATCCTCGGTGGTGGTGTCAAGGCTCCCAGGATACGAACCAAGAACTTGATCTCCATCATTTTCTGCGAAGTCGTCGCCATCTACGGTGTCATCATGTCTATTGTTTTCTCAGCAAAGATGGCCTCGGTTGGTCCCGATGCCGCAAGATCTGGCAGCAACTACTACACTGGTTTCGCCTTGTTCTGGTCTGGTCTCTTGGTCGGTGCTTGCAACTTGGTCTGCGGTGTTTCTGTTGGTATCAACGGTAGTAGTGCTGCCCTTGCTGATGCTGCCGACCCCAGCTTGTACGTTGCATCTCAAACTCGGACGTCATTTCATTCATACTGACTGTAGTTCACAGGTTCGTCAAGATTCTCGTCATTGAGATTTTCAGTTCCGTCCTCGGACTCTTCGGTCTCATTATCGGTCTTCTACTCTCTGGTCCCGCTGCCGACTTTGCCTAAATGATGACAGCCTGGATGCTGTTCGTCAAGTTCAACAAGAAGAGTCATAATATAAGCGACATGCACGATAAGAAGAGAACGGTCTGTCAAGACTGCATCAACAAGCAGTATTGCAACCAGATCAGATCAGCATTAGTATGGCGTCCGGAGCGAAGAAATCAGGGAGCCATGTTGTTTTTGAAAGCATCTGAATTGTGGAACTTTACCACTCGTGTATAGACCTTTGTATAGCAAAATGAAACATTTACCACAACATAACGAAAATCTCCATCATGCTAGGCTGATCTCAAAATGAAACCCATAGATATAGATACAATGAGTTGTTAGGAAGAATCCTAGCACGTCTGAGTAATCCATGTCTTGCTTTCTCGAGCGTCAACTCCACAATCCACTCCCGCCATCCCGCAACCTCGACTTCACGCCATCCAAATCCAACGATCCCATTAAAATCCGGACACAATGGCATCCTCGCAACCCAAACTCACAGCAGCGATTCTGATCATCTCAGAAACAGCCTCGAAAGATCCATCAACAGATAAATGTATCCCCGCTCTATCTCAAGTCTTCTCCGACCTCGGATCCTCAAACTGGACCATCTCAACCACAACAATCATCCCAGACTCCATCCCTGCAATCCAAGATGCAGTCCTTAAAGCCTGCGATCAAGGCATTAATTTAATCATCACCTCTGGAGGTACGGGTTTTGCAGTCAAAGACGTAACTCCCGAAGCCGTGGGCCCATTGATTGAGAAGCAAGCTCCGGGGTTGGTGCACGGTATGCTTGCTAGTAGTTTACAAGTTACGCCTTTTGCGGTGATGAGTAGACCTGTTGCGGGAGTCAGGGGAAGCAGTTTGATTCTTACGTTGCCGGGGAGTCCGAAGGGCGCGAAGGAGAATCTTGAGGCGGTGTTTAAGTTGTTGAGTCATGCTTGTTTGCAGGCTAGTGGGGGCGATTCGAGGCAGATGCATTCAGGTGGTGTGAAGAAGTTGGAGAAGGAGGCGGGGGTAGGTGGGGGTGAGAAGGTTGGTGGACATTCGCATGGGCATGGGCATGGTCATAGTCATGGCCATGGTCATGGATGTGGACGCGATCATGGACACGGAGGTCATCACGGCCCAAAAGCCCACACTGCACCCGAAGACCGGCCACAGCAATCTAACGACCCTTCTCAAGGACCTAGCAGGAGATACAGACACTCGCCTTATCCTATGCTCTCAGTCAAGGACGCACTCCAGCAAATCGACCTTCACACGCCCTCGCCTACCACCATCACACTCCCCGTCAACGAATCTCTGGTCGGCCATGTTCTGGCCGAGGATGTCACAGCACCAGAATCTGTCCCTGCCTTCCGCGCCAGCATCGTAGATGGCTACGCCGTCATCGCTGGCCCAGATGCCCCCAGCACCAAAGGAACTTTCCCCGTCGCAATGATCTCTCACGCTCAAGCCGGAGAACACCAAAAACTCCAACCAGGACAAATCGCCAGAATCACCACTGGAGCTCCTCTTCCTCCTGGCGCAACCAGTGTCGTCATGGTCGAAGACACCATCCTCGTCTCCAAAACCGACGACGGTACAGAAGAGAAAGAAGTCGAGATCTTGACTTCTGAAATCGAGGTTGGAGAGAATGTCAGAGAAGTAGGTTCAGACGTCCAAGCTGGCGATGTCATCATGCGAAAAGGCGAGGGTATCTCTGCTATCGGTGGAGAGTTTGGATTACTGGCTTCTGTGGGTGTTAAACAAGTTTCTGTGTACAAGAATCCTGTTGTCGGTGTTTTGAGCACTGGAGATGAGATTGTAAACCATGATCGTGAAGGAGAGTTGAAGCGTGGAGAAGTCAGAGATACTAATCGTCCTACCCTCCTAACCGCCATTCGAGGTTCAGGCTTTGAAGCCGTGGATTTGGGTATTGTTTCCGACAAGTAAGTTTACTCCCTCTCGCCATTACTTCGAGGACAAATTACTGACAAAGAGCGAAAACAGACCAGGAGCCCTGGAACAAACCCTCCGCGACGCAACCCGCAAAGCCGATGTCATCATCACCTCCGGCGGCGTCAGCATGGGCGAACTCGACCTCCTGAAACCAACCCTCGAACGCCAACTCGGCGGGTCCATCCACTTCGGCCGTGTAGCCATGAAACCTGGTAAACCCACCACTTTCGCCACCATCCCTGTAAAATCCAACGACGGCTCTCGCATCGACAAAGTCGTTTTCTCGTTGCCTGGAAACCCTGCTTCGTGCGTTGTCACCTACCATCTTTTCGTACTTCCGGCTTTGCATAAATTAGCTGGTGTGGAGCCCAAGGGTTGTGCAAGAGTCAAAGTACAACTCGATGGTGATGTCAAGTTAGATAAGCAAAGAGATGAGTTCCACCGTGCGGTAGTCAAGGCTGGAGCAGATGGATTGTTGCATGCTGTATCTACTGGCGGACAACGCAGCTCGAGGATTGGAAGTTTCAAGGGTGCGAATGCTTTGTTGTGTTTACCTGCTGGCGAGGGAAATATCAAGAAGGGAGAGATGGTTGATGCGTTATTGATGGGCAAGTTGATTGGTGATGTTTGATAGATAGAGGTTGTTATGGTGTAGGATCTCTTTTCTTAGCATAAGTATCTATCTACTCGATGGGTAGCTATCAACATGTACCGTCCCCAAATACCTCCTCCTCGCGCATCAAAACACACCCAGATACCGCAAACAATCAGGCATACAAGGCATACCATCGTTCAATTCCGCGCCGCTGACAGCACATCTCCACGCCAAGAAATCACCTTTAATATAGACAGGCCTAATCATGCGGGAATTTCTACGATAGCTTTCTTCTCTTCTTTGATCAACTAATCACCTTCAACTTACCAACAATGCACAATTTCACGATACAGGCGACTCTTGTTTTCTTCACTCTAGGCACCATCAGCACAGTCGCTTCGCCAGCTGATATGCTCACTGCTCTCATGCTGCCATCACTGTTGTCCAAACCCGATGTATCAATCCAAACCCTTTGTTCAGGCGCCGAGGGAAATACAACAGCGGATGACTCCACCACTGCAGCAAAAATAATAAGCTCAGGAAACAAGGAAGATAATCAAGCTGCACTAAACACACAACCCTCATATTGCCCCGACTCCTACGAAACCATGCCTATGTGTGTTGACTGCGGCGGGTTTACCCTTTTCTATTACAAGGAACTTGATTACTATGATACGCGATGCAAGGGTGTAAGTTTTTTTACTTTTTTTTTTCTCTTATAAACATAAAGACGAGCACATCCCACTGACTAGCTTAGGTTGGAGACAACGAGGACTTGAAAGATTGTTCGTGTCTCGAGAGAAGATACCAAGAGGATGATGATATTGTTTGCAACATGTTCGCCGCTGATCCTGATATTGATCCTGATCCTGAGGCGACAAGGAGAAAGACGGTAGAAGCGATGATACAGGTCCCAGATAGTATCATTGATCCAATCACTGGCACCGAATTGAATCAGCCGCATATCGTTTTGGACGATGATTTCTGGGCCGCTACTGTTCAGGAGATTATGGATCAGGAAGATAAGGAACAAGAGGATGAGTGCTTGCCAAAAGAAAGTGTATAGATTTTTGAAGGAGAAGAGTCGCCACAACGTGTGCCATACAGATCTTCGATTGATATGGTTGAAGAGGTTCACATGTATGAAGCTCTGAAATGCGTTGTCTTTGCTCCGTGGACCAACAAGAGCCATCTCCGGAGGAGAAGAATAGAGCCAACGTTGACTTCTTTGGCTTTAATGGCTCATGGTAAGCCTTTTGTCGCTCATGGTTGGATAGAGAATTGTGCTAAGCCATGAAACAGACCTTTCACGGCTCTTGGAAGTCGTGAGACCTGCTTTGTTCATATTTGCTTGCAGGATGTTTGATAGTCGATTTGACCATTTTCCCATAGGATAGTTAGAGTCATAATAGGAGTTGGCAACAATCAATCAAATTTGAATGAATTCCGCTTATCACCTGTAACACTGCTCATAATGTCCCAATCCTCAGGCACGTTCATCGAAACCGTTCGGTCCTTGAATAGAACAAACCAATACCTGCCATCGAAAGGTGAAAGCACAATATTCTGCAGCCAGTCATTAAGAGATCTTATCCCAGGAAAACTGATAAGGTTACTAACCTCAACTCCAACCTTACTTCTTAGCAACTTTGCGTCGAGATCAGGATAGTGGGAAGCAAAATCCCAGAATATATCTCCTTCCTTGCCTATGAGTGCATAGGTTTTTCCTACCCCAAGTGTAACGTGGACAGGGTCTTGAACATAGGTCTCTCGTTCGGGGTACCTGCGCTTTATCTCGATTCCGAGCTTTTGATGCACTCCTTCGTAGCCTTGTCCTATCGGAAAGTTGTTAATGTAGTATGAGCCCTGTGGTCCAAGAGAGACGTGAAAAGCTTGGTCATTGAATGTCTCCTTATTATGTTCGAGAAGTTCCTCCAGCGATGAACAATCGGAACCTGTGGGCGATTGGAAGCCTGTGGGAAATCTAGTCAGTTCCTGATTAACAACAGGCTCTGCTGATCAACGGACGCACGTCTCTTGGTCTTTCCTTTATGGTCTTTCCAGGAGTAGAAAAATCCGCCGTTTGGTCCAATACTAACGCAGTACATTTTCTTACTCGTCTTGAGCTCCTCCTCCAACTTGGATGGGGGGTTTCTCCTGCCGCACCAATTAAACAAACGTGTTCGCGCTTGCGTATACGGGGTAAGACATTCACCTACCATACTATGAGCCCTGAACCCTCCCATACGTATCCGTCTTCAGCAAAGGCTAGGAGTCCTCTAGGTTTCTCTGGCACGAGCGCAGTTATGAGTTTCCTATACGTATCCATCTCAGCAGAGACCAGAGATTCTTGGAGGGTTTCCCTGCTGAGAAAGTATGGGATGCGAAGCAGGGAGTAGACCACTTCAAGCAAGACTAGGCCTGTCGACATAGCCTTGCCTGACGGAACATTATCCTCACCGGTTGGCCTGCTGCAGTGATACACCTGCCTGTAAACGCATGATCAGAAATATGCGCAAGCGAGGCACGCCGCAAACCTGACGACCAATCCGGAGCCGGCGATATAGATGTTGGGCAAATCCATGCTGCGTTCCCGGCTCTTCTCCAACCTCCACTTGCATCTGGCCTTAATGCATGCAGCCAGTTACGAGAAGCAACCTGCATGCTTAGAGCAGCATGCATAGATGTATGGAAGTTATCCCGTGCTAATGGGGGTCTACAAACCCAGTACCGAAGGGAACGAGCACCCAAGTTGTTGGGACCACCCGACTATAAAACAACACTCTCGTTTCATCTCTGAGATTTTTCATTCGGCCAACTTACTGTGGCATCGATTTCGGATTGGATCTTCTAGCACTGAACGCTGACGACTCGAATTCCACTATGGAGAATCCCAACTCGATCATGTCGAAGGTTGTCACGGGGTACAAGTACGCACATTTGTTCAAGATCTACATATTGCTGGCCAGACCCACTAACGATGCGAAGCCCAAAAGATTATTTCATCGCAGTGATGGGAGTAACAGGATCTGGCAAAAGCACTTTCATTTCTCGCGTCACTGACGGAGGAGCGAAAATTGGACATGACCTTGTCTCTTGTAAGTGCACTCCCCATCAACACGACGAGAGCTGTAACGAACTTCACTTACCTGACTCACATCGGTCAAGGCACAAGTCAGATCGAAAGCTTCCAGTTCCAGTACAATGGAGCCACCGTTCACCTCATCGATACTCCAGGCTTTGACGATACCAACCGGACCGACTCAGATGTGCTCCGGGACATCGTCTTCTGGCTGAATGCCGCATACAAAGAGAGTGTGAAGCTGAGTGGCATTGTATATCTTCACCCAATCGACCACAGACGGATGACGGGCTCGGCATACAAGAACCTACGTATGTTCCGCAAGCTTTGTGGAGATGAGAGTCTTCAGACTGTGGTGCTTGGAACAACTATGTGGAGCCACGCCGACAATCACGCCGAGGAACGCCTCCAGGAGCTACAAAACACTGCAGCATTCTGGGGAGATATGATGGCGAAGGGAAGCCGAGTGTTTCGACACGATGACAGCCGCGCTTCGGCAATGAAAGTGATCAGCTACATTCTAGACCAGAGGAAGACCACAGTCCTTCAGATCCAACGACAGATGGTCGACGAGGGCAAGTCATTGATCGAAACATCTGCTGGTAAAGAGCTCGAGAAAGTACTGCTGCAAGAAAGGGAGCGCTTCGAGAAACGCCTGAAAGCAGCACGAGAAGAGATGGAAGAGGCCATCCAAGAAGGAAATCGCAGGGCAGCCAACGAGGCAGCAGAGCAACAAGAACAACTCCAGAAAAGAATCGCTGAGGCCATGCAGGAAACTCATGAACTCAGAATCTCCATGGAGAAACTTTTGGAGCAGAAAGATGCCGAATACAAAGAGGCAATGGCAGGGCTCCAGTTGCAGAAGCAACAAAGCCAGCAGGAATCTCAGTTGAATGTTGCAAAGATTGAAGAACTCACACGCGAGATGAGAGCAAAAGACGAAGAGGCAGACGAGCAACTTCGACAACACCAAAAAGACAGTGACGAAATAAGCGATCTATCCACAAATGAGTGGACGGAAGCGCAGACAAGTTTCCATGACTGGAGGACAAAGCAATCGGCCGAGACACCTGCATTGTTCAAGGAATCATTCAAAAAGAGTGCGGGCACGGCGACGGGGAAGGTCGTGGTTGGTGCGGCAGCTGCAACCATATTACTCTCGTGTAACATGATGTAGGTGCTTCCAACACGGTTTATGTAGTCTGACGATACAAGAAGTTGCTGTTCTAGCGACGTATGGCGTTTCTTCAGCTTAGCGAAATCTCGTCCATACAGCCATTGACGCTCTGGCCTTAACCTTACCTTGGGCACCCTGAGCGACTCGCGGTGAGCATCGACGTTGGTGGTTGGAAGCAAATTGTATTGATGTTGGTGATGGATGGTGACGGATGTCAACCGAGCTGATTATGTAGATGATGAGCGTCACTCCTTCCCAACGTCACGCGTGGAGGGTTGGTTCAGTAGATACAAACAATGTGGGGTTCTGTCACGAGACGTATCTGTCTGGGTAGTCCCTGTAAAAGGCTTTGATTGCACTATCCATAGAAGATCTTATGTCTGTCGGGTTGTATGCACGTTCATGCAGCTGCACGTCCTAGCAATGCCGCATGCCGAAGGGCTTATCACGTTCAAGCAAAGGAACATGTATGCCACGTATCAAATGACCAACGCAGAGATACTTTTTCGAGGCACTCAGCCTATCACTCAGCCGTGCTTTCAGGTGCATAGTAGCTTGGTGGCTTGTTTAGTCGCTGTGCGTCTTCTGCACTTCCGTCTGGCTGGACTGCTCACAGTACAGCCTGTGCGGAGGCTCCCACCCAGATAAGGGTGGCAATACAGCCTTGCAGGGCATGTCATCTTCTTTCATTCAGGCATCTCTTCGACACTCTTTGACGGTATGAAAAGCTCCACACATTCACGATCGAACGTTTCGCCTGTTCCGTCCCGTTGCTTAGACCCAAGATTGCTCACGCGTGGATCTTTTTCACCAGTACTCTTTGACTCGTGGTGTCTCAAGACATGTCGTGGTTGCGATCTGGCTGGCAGGTTGCTAATGGCCTACTGAATCCAACGTACCAAGTCACAAGACATATCGAAGACAATGCGACACTCTCGAGCGATGTACCTACTCCTGGTATGCTGCGGAAATCAGTAATACCACAACCAAGATGGACTCATGTGCTGACCTGATGTGACTAGATGATATCGTGATTGCCCTGATGGGTGTAACGGGCTCGGGAAAGAGTACTTTCATCAAACGAGTGACTGGACGTGAAGACATTCAGATTGGACATGAGCTGACTTCAAGTTTGTCGATATGCAGTGGCAATCATAGATGTCATGCTGACTTTCCAAACAGGTACCCTCAAATGTAAAGCGTACCGTTTCCAAAACGCTGGCTTGACCTTCGCTTTGGTAGATACTCCGGGCTTCAATGATACATCTCTGGATGACGCAGCTATCCTCGCAGAACTTGCAACTTTCATGGAAGCCACTTATCGTGCGGACGTGAAATTAACGGCAATCATCTATCTACACCCTATTACCGACGATCGATTGGAGGGGTCTGCACTAGACAACCTGTCCATGTTCCAAAAGCTTTGCGGTCCCAATTTCTATTCCAACATCGTGTTGGCGACCAACTTCTGGAGCTTGGTTGACGAAACGACTGGAAGGCGGCGCGAGCGGCAGCTAGAGGAAAATGGTGACTGGTGGGGTCGAATGAAAGATCACGGCTCGCTGATTGTTCGACTTCCAGATGATCGCGAGGAATGTATTACACTGTTGATGAAGCTGTCCGGGAACAAAACGCTGGCACTACAGATACAAGAGGAGCTTGTTGATCAGGGACAGCCAATTTCTAGGACCAGAGCTGGTTCAATTGCCAAGAATTCTGAAGCATTGGAGGAGCTTCGGGAGGAATGGAACCAACAAGTGGCCGCCCTGGCTGCAGAAAGGGAGGCAGCATTACGGAAACAGCGGGCTGAGATGCAAAGGCTACAAGCAGAACGACGAACGATTCTGGAAAAGGAGATACAGAAATTCCAACAAGAACTCGCAGCAGCAAAACAGATCCAAGAGGTATCGATACGAGAAATTGAAGAGAGTCATCGGAATGGACTCGAAGAGCAAGAACGGTCGAACCGGGAGACAATGTTGCAGAACGAGACGATCAACGAAGAGCTGGCACAATTAAAGATCAAAGACGCCCAAGAGACTCGCCAACGACAGCTGTCTCTGAAAAAATTGAACAGAGATCTAGCTGTTCACAAACTTACTTCCAAGATGAAGAACCAGATCAACCTTTTTGAGGTGGCAAAAGCTGCCCGCACTGTGAAATGCAAAGTCTCCACAGCCTGGGATCAGACACTACTTGGACGTTACTGCGACGAGTGTCTCCACCCTTGCTCAGCCCGAGTGTCTTACAGTCAGTTTCATGCATGACTTGGACGTGTCCTCAGCCGTCCTTCACTGAGACGCCTCTGCTCAATTGCTGACCAGCTCTGCAGGTTGTGTGTCCTGCGATGACTTTAATCTGTGCTCGAATTGCTTTGATACAGGCCATCGCTGTTTCGACACAGAACACCAAGGCATGGCTCGTAGGAGCCTTGTAGGTACAGACAGAGGTCGATGCCGCAGAGCTCTGTCCCCATTAGAGGCAAAGTCCAAACCAAACTGCGACAGATGCTCAAAGATGATCGAGCTTGGATCCGTTTTCTTCCGTACGTAACAACTTGTCCTTCTTCATTCCAGGGAGCAATGTCTGTCTAATACATCACTTCCAGATTGTTGTTCTTGCAACGCTGACGACTATGACATCTGTCTCGACTGTCATCAAGGGTAAAACGTGCTTGAAAACCAGTCATACCTTGCAAAGATTCTCTATGTACTGAAATCTGATCGTGTTGTCGCGCACACGGTGTAGATGCACATAGCCACAATCCAACATAGCAGATGATACCTACTTTCCTTAGGTTCGGGGATCAGGTTAGCAGCACGGCAGACCATTCTGAGATATCTATCTTAAATTACACTATTTCCCATTGTATAGATGTGATCAGTCCTTTCTATCAGCTTATACATAAGACCTCAAATATCTCTGAGAGCAACAGAAAGAAAGGCTCGGAAAACGTACTTGAATCTTATAAAAACCTTGCAGTAAAGTCCTCGCTAGTCATAACTAACCACGGCTTCTGTGTACGCGCAGCTAGACGATCATGTGTAGTGGTATATCAAACTGGGGTGCTCAGAAAGATAGTGTTTTGTCAACACAAGAATACGACTACCAAATGACATAACGCAAGCAGAGAGCACGATTCATTCTTGTTAAGCAGTAACAGAGGTTCGATAACCAGATTAACCAACTGCCTTTGTCGTTTATAGGCCCTTGTCACCAAACGTCCAAGTCACTGTTTCGGGTACTCCTCGATCTTCTTTTGAGACAGCTCTGGCGGTTCGTGATTTTTGCAAGTATGCAATAAACTCTATGGAAAGGAGAGAACGTTCATCATCAAACAACCATACATTAACAACTCATCCTCAGCTCCAATGACATCTAGCCGTAGATCATGCAACTCATAAGAGAACGAATATGATGGGCCTTGCGCAACACAGATTGCAGTGATACTATGAGAAATTCAGGCTTTCCTCCTGTATTCAAGGACCGTGGCCATGAAGATCCTTCGGGTTCTCCGTCACATACAGATTGTTGTTTATGCCGGTCGTTGTGTCGTAGTCTGCATACCACGTGCTTGGATCCCAGCTAGAAATGTCATCCAGACTGGAAAACTCGTCATTCTGAAGCCAAACGATATCGCTGGTTACAAGAGGCTCAAGTGGAACATCTTGGTGGGCATTGATACCGGTCGACAAGACGTTCAGATATTGTTGAGAGTCTGTCGAGAGAACGGGTCGATCGTGATTGGCGTCACCCTCGAGATGTGGTTGGACCGGGTCAGACACTTCTGGCGGCATTGCAGTAGTCAACCTTCCAGAACTTGGACTGCTGGAGACTGTCCTGAGGGTGACTAAAGATGGAGGATCCTGCTCAACCTCATGGATTCCGTATCGCGCTAGGAACAGTCTACGGATGATTGGGATACGACTTGCAAGATCGTCCAGGTCGTTGGAGGACTGTATCATTTCCCGAAGGTGAAGTTCGAAGTCATCGACAACGGATGATATGATAGAGATCACCGGATCCTGCAGATCTGAGTTTGTTAGATCGTCAAGTACACTAGACTCGAGAGTCTACCTACATGGACATGGTGTGTGGCCCGTTTCAGGAAACAACCGTCTGTAGGCAAACCGCCACTTCTCTTCATCTGTACCACCTCTCAGACGCTGGTTGACTGCTGATTGTAGGGCTGTGCGTTCGTCGTGAGTCATCCACCTTATACGCTTGACAGCAGTCAATGGGACTGGGGAGCATGGTTCCGGGGCAATTTGGTGTGCCTGAAGCTCCCCAGGGCTGCCAAATCCCATCCGAGCACACCTCGGGCACTGCAGTGGTTGATCGCCATGCACTCGTCGTAGATGCTCGCTGCTCTTGGTCAGAATACTTTGATACATGTCCCAGCTCTCTAATTGTGGTAACTCACTACAACCTATTCATATTCTCAAAGTCGTGCGTCTGGCATACTAGGAACTTGTTTTGTGTTTGAGTGTTAGATCTGTACATCACCGGATCATGTTTATGGTATAAGCATGCAAGGCGACGTGGGGATACGTTTTCACACTCGCCTGTAGTAACACGTCTTCTTTTGTTCGGTCTGTCTCTGTCACTTCGGCCACAGTCGTCAGATTTACTATGATCGGAAGGTTTACGGGATGAAGCAGCCTGAGACGAGGACGGAGAAGGTAAAAGAGGTGTAGCTTTGGGTGAAGAACCTGAAGATCTTTTTGAAGTCGATGTGAGCTGTCGAAAGAACGCATCCGACGTGCATCGGATTACAAGCCAAGCTCTGAACTTGGAGATCTCCAGATCAAGGAGAACGCTGTCGATATCATCTGCTGATCCTCCAGAACTGGCCATAGAATCTGTGTCTGTTGGATATTGGGAATCCTCACTGCCTGAATGGCTCTCAAACTGCTCGTATGTTCGATCTTCCTTGTCAGAGTTGGCAGACTCATGATTTGTCTCCTCGTCACATTGAAACGAACCAGGGCTCTGAAGCTGGTCTGAAGTGAGACCGTATCCGTCTCCAATAGAAAACAAGTCATTTGAGTGGTATGGCTGACTTGGTCCTAAAGTAGGGTCATGATACTGTAGAGACATTGGTAGCGGAAGTGATCCCCAATCATAGAGGCCACGAGGGTTGGTCTCTTGAAAAACATGACCGCCGAGCTCTGCCGTATCTGCTGGATTGTGGTGCTCCTTTGCACATAGCTGAGATAGTTGGTTATGCGTAAAGCAGAACGGATATGTAGATGGTTCCGCAGGACCGAAGGAGAAAATCTGGTCTGAACTGGACCGGTGCTTGGAAGGTATCGGAACGGTCATCGGGTAACCTGGATTAACATTTGCTTTGGCCATGCGATCAAATACTGCGTTGAGGGGATCCAGCTCTGGGTTCTCGTCGATGGTTAGTATTGCACAGCCTAAAGCTAGGCCTTTCTCTGACTGTGGGCCGCGATTAGCGGTGTACAAGCTCTCTTCAGAGCACCATGAGGAATCAGAACAACCCGTTGAAATGGTAAGACCAGGTAGGGCGACGGGACCAGATGAATATGATCCAATGGACTCAGAATAGATTGGATTCGTGGAATCTGAGGGGGATGAAGGAGGGACGTGCCGGACCGGGCTGGTTACATTGCTTGATACGGGGTTCTGTCCATGAGAATGACTTCGATCGTTGAGTGACACTCTTCGCGGAGTCCTAGCACTAGCCAGCTGTTTCCATTCAACCGAATTTGGTGTCACCTTTGAACTGTACACTCTGCTCAGCACATCGTACAATGTATAGTTTGTTGCATGGACTTACTTCTCGACAAGCTGCTCAACATCCATGGCTGTTCCCATGTGCATTCGACTTATGTGCGCTTTGAACTTGTCTTTTCGAGTCCATAGCTTCTCCCTTTCAGCGCACGTCGGTAGCGCACATCTCCAATAGCATAGCTTAGCCCCAAGCATCAACCCCTTCTGGTGTCTTTCCAAATCGTAAGACGTCGCAAAGTCTTGTCCGCATGTGCAGCCTTCGTACCTACACTTGTATGGTCTACTATGTGTCAAAGAGTGCTTCCTGTCCAGAATCAGTTTTGTTGCACTCAAGCAGTAGATCATAGGATAGCGCACTTTTCTTCAGCTTTATTTCTGAACCTCCTGTCACAGTGGGGACATTTCGGAAGCTGGAAATCTGATGATGCATGACCAGGCTCGGGATCAGGCCAAGACTCTGCGTGAGCGCTTCCAGCCACAAATTGTTGCTGTAAATCCTCGTTGTACTGCAGACCTTCCCCGCTACCAGACACATAGTTGCCGTAGGGACTTCTATCTGGTTCGATCAACTCAACGTAGACTGAGGGTTCCAAGAAGATTGCGGGTTCCGCGTAGGTTCTACTCAAGGGATCTTCGGTCAGATTTCCCTCGTACCTACAGATTGTATCTGGCTTGGCGTACGAGAAACCGTATTCGCTTGTCATTGTCAGTATATTGGTGTTGGTTGTGAGAAACAAGTGCAGAGCTCTGGGGAAACCCGCAGTAATGTACGAGTGCTTCAACCGAGCAGGGGCGTGGGGGCTGCATTTGCGCAGCTGCGTAGAATGCTTCCCCCGGGCTGAGCTGCAGAGAATCCTAGGGTGACGGTTTTTGGGGAGAAGAACGATCTTTGCCGAGAAGTACTGTGCATTTCTACACCTATCATAGGGTGGAGAGGGAGTGACCTGGTAAGAGATTGCGACTTACGCAAGCGCGCAAAACCCGTCCAGAAAGTCCCAGATGCAAATTCATGCTTTAGATTTAGCAACTCACGCGACTGCGTGAAAGCTGCCCTCATATCTCTATTGCCAAAATGTGCCATACTGTCAGTAATGGACGACATTCATAAAGCAAGGTCGCACCGTATACGATAGGAATGTTCGCCAAAGTTCTTGACATTCACCTTTTCATCATGTCTACGAGGAAGCAGATCGTGCAGTGGAATATCGTTCGTAAAGGCGCGAATGGCCTTTACTACCTGGAAACCGTGTTGATCGAACCTGAGGACTCAGGGGCGGCAATCTTCACCCGAATCCAGAAGCTTTGTTATTCCTTTCGGGATACTCTTAAGCACAAGGTGTCTTCAATATTTCACTCCCCGGTTGTGTATACTGTTGCTGCTGTCAAGGTGAGAACGCTCAACTTCCAATGTTGCCCAGACTGACTGGTTCCTGCAAGGGCCATGAATTGACAGATGACATCGAAGCTCAGACTTCTTTATGTGAAGTTTTCGTCAAGAGTCAGCGCTACAATGAAGCATATACGCTGGCACTTCGAGACCCTGCCAGGTTCGAGAGACAGGACAACCCGAACTTCACAATCAACCGCTCGCAACTCGCAACGAGTGGAAGGCCAGGACAGACTATACATGCTCTTCTCGTGATTCAAGAGATCCGACACGTTAAAGTCGTTTTGCTTTTCGGAGCTGTTGCTGTGTTGTCTGTTGGGATTGGAGTCATGGCCGGGCATTTCAGCAGAGACGTCAACATGGGCGTAGGTGTGACGGCAGGGTTGTTTCAATTCTTGACGATGCTCCAATGGTCGTATATCTGGGTAGCTAGAAGATAAAAGTGGTCGAGACGACAGGAATAGAGGCTTCAGAGCATATCAATGTGCCCTCTCGAAAGCAGCCTACCTGAGGACTGATTTCTGGCAGAAGCAAATTCTCGATGTTTTGGCAGCATCTATTTTGAGCAGACACGAGTGACAAGCGAGGGTGCTGAAGTACGTACTTTTTTTACGATAGCTTATCTCGCAGTTCATGTACGGCTGTCAATATAGCCGTTGAGTCAGGTATTCTCAGTGAGGCCGTTGATGCCGGCATTTCAGCTAGTCAGGTATTGAAACACAACGTCATTTACCAGGGCTTTCCATGTCGTGCGAGATGATAGGCAATATACAAGCAGCCACCAGCGTCACGATAGCTGTCAAAGATATGGCGAAACAAGAGACTGTCTCAGAACGAAGAGAAGAGCGGCAGAGTGACTCGCCAAAAGTTGTTTGGAGCGTCGTCAGCCGTGAGGGGAAAACTGGTGGTCAGCGCAAGGGGCGGACGGACTTGGCTGAAGTTTGAGGAAGGAGCGAAGGTTTGTGGAGAGGCGAGGCTAAAAGCGTCCACTGCTTAAGTTTGGCGGGAACGGGCGAAGGATCGACAGATGGTGCTCGCTGCGGCTCCAGAAAGACAACAAAACTGCAAGCACGCCTGTCTCGATCGCACCTGCCATTCTCTGCCTATTTTCTGCCATGCGCCTGCCATTGACATAGCCATAGCGCATCTAATATTTCTTTCTCTTCTCGCAACTCCTCAGTCTCGAACAAATGGGCAAATGTACGCCTTCTCATGACATTCTTCTTATCGCGAAAGATACTGATTAAGACAGGGCGATATGGTGTAATTCTGGATGCCGGTTCATCTGTACGATCCTCCACCAACCCATGCCCGTCGCAATGACACGACTGACCTACTCAGGGCACCCGAGTCTATATTTACCGATGGCTCAATAACCAGCGAGCGAGGAAGGACGGCTCTGATCTCGACCTCAAAAGTCTGCCGCAGCTGGAGACAAAGAAGAAGTGGACGCTCAAGATCAAGCCTGGTGTGTTGGCCTGATGTTTGTCGCTTTCATACACAGAGACTGATGTGTTTTGACAGGAGTCTCGACGTTCGGAGAGAAGCCAGAACTCGTTGGCCCCGACCATCTCAAAGAGCTTGTCGACCACGCCCTCGAGTACATCCCCGATGACCAAGTCCAAGATACTCCCATCTTTCTCCTCGCCACAGCTGGCATGCGCCTACTTCCCGATGTCCAACGAACCCAAGTCCTTGACAACATCTGCTCCTACCTACAAAAGAATACCAAATTCCAGTTACCCGACTGCGGCCTACACATCCAGGTCATTCCTGGCGAAACAGAAGGACTGTATGGATGGATAGCTGCAAACTACCTACTCGGCGCCTTTGACGCCGATGCCTCCAAAATGCACCTCCATGGCAAGGACCACTATACATACGGATTTCTGGACATGGGAGGTGCTTCTGCTCAAATTGCATTTGCACCAAATGCCACTGAAGCTGAGAAACACGCCGAAGACCTGAAGTTGTTGCGCATGCGCAAGGTCAACGGTGACCCAATCGAGTACAAAGTCTTTGTCACAACTTGGCTAGGCTATGGTGTCAACGAGGCTCGCAGACGTTACATTGAATCACTAACAACAGCAAGTCCCGGAATCGTTGAGTTGCCTGATCCCTGTCTTCCTACTGGTTTGGAAGTCACTAAATCTGGTCACGCAATTCCTCCTGGTTCTCATGAGGCGGCTGGAAGAGAAACATACCTTTTAGGAACAGGCAAGTTCCCCGAGTGTCTATCTAAGACATACCCCTTGCTGGACAAGGATGCGCCATGTCTAGATCCTCCGTGTTTGCTGCACGGCGTACATGTCCCTGCAATTGATTTCGATGTCAATCATTTCGTCGGAGTTTCTGAATACTGGCACACTACTCACGAGATCTTCGAAATGGCTCACAAGGACAAAGCCTACGATTTCAACACCTATCAACAACGCGTTCTCGAATTCTGCAGTCAAGATTGGAAGTCAATACAACAGGGTGTGAAAGAGCAAAAATGGGGCCAGAAGGTTACAGAAGAGAAGGTGGCCGAAGTCTGCTTCAAGGCTAGTTGGTTGATCAACATGCTGCATGATGGCATTGGTATTCCAAGAGTTGGTCTTGAAGGTACAAAAGGTGGTCACAATGGTACGAAGGCTGTAATCGATGGAGCGAAAGAGAAGGGCTTCCTGGATCCGTTCCAGGCCGTGAACAAAATCAATGATGTCGAAGTCAGCTGGACGTTAGGGAAGATGGTCTTGTACGCTGCTTCACAGGTGCCCGGTCCGGACGACAAGGCACTGGCAGTTGGTTTTGGCAGTAATGTTCCTGGACCCAACCTTCCTAAGGACTTCCAATTTGCAGGTGGTAGCCCTGTCACCTTGCCGACCGATCTCAAGGATGATGATGTCGACTGGCACGACAAGCTCTTCACATCAAGCTCTTCCCGCAGATTGCCAGGTTTCCTACTATTCCTAGTCATCCTCCTGGTGGCAGCATTCCTCCTCTGTGGTCGGGACAGGCGCAACACCCTACTCAGAAAAGCAGGCTTCTCACCCGGCAAAAGCAGCAAACGCAAACCTAATGCTGTAACAAACAGCCTAGGCAAACTTTTCGGCAGCAATAACTCTGGCCCCGCATATGAGCGCGTCCTAGAAGGCGGCATTGGTCCTGACCCCTCTGACTTCGAATTGGATGATATGAACGAGAACGATTCGGACTCGGACACCAGCAACGGCCGCACTTCTGGCTGGGCCACCCCCAAGATCAACAACAATGGCTTCAGCAGTCCAGTCTTGCACACTTCACCTCGCTCTGCACGAGTAAATCTCTACAACCAAGGCTCTCAACCAATGTCTGGATATTTCGATGGACCCGCTACTCATGGCTCGAGCACTCTATCTCTTGCTACAACGCCTGGATTGCAAGTGCCACATGGTGGTAGAGGTGTGTTGGCGAGGACGGAAAGTAGAGAGCAACTAGCTACTGCGACATTGCGCTCAGGAAGCAGGAGTCGGGCGGCCAGTCCTAGTCGGATAAGAAGCCCACTCATTACGCCTCTCAAAGAGACTGTCGAGTGAACGGGAGAGGGCTCCTAGAGACGACCAAATTTGCATTTGAAAGTGGCGTTCAATGGAGGATTTTCTGTCTTGTCGTTCTGTTCCCCGTCCTCTCGGACCTTGGGAGTCTTTACTGTTACATCTCTCACGAGATCTGGATTTGTATTATATTAGCGTCGGTGTTTCCCCCTAAGAAGGAAGGGGCGTATCAAACTTTTTCGACATTCAATCGAACTACCTGCTTCTGCACGCTCTCTCTGTTGGTATCATGTCCTTTGCTGTGACCTGTTCTGTAGTTCTGTACATATATGGTGGGTTAAAAAGTGCAGCAAACAACGAAGCTCATAAGCAGACTTGATACTTGGAGTAGGTGGCATGAGCAGACCTAACTCTATGCATTTTGTGCATTTACTCGAATTTTGCCACATTAGTTTTTACTTATCTTTGCAGACTCTTTATTCTGTCCAAAGAAGTTTTCCTGTATAATAGAGGAGCATGGCATGTCACGAATGCTATCTCTCGTCTCGTGGATTTTCTCAACTGCCTGCCTTCCTGGTATGTCTACCAAATGAAATCAGGCATTAATTTTCAGCTCCTAAACATGTATTTGGTTGGTTTTGGGGCGCCCATGGTTTTTTGTTATCTCAAGAGCTCGCTCGCTTTTGACCTGTTTCGAGCGCTTCTGCTTCAGCACACACTTTTGGATCTTTTGTACTTCTCTTTTTTGCCTGGAATTGATTCTGCCCTTTCGTTCTCCTGACCTCTTGAGTGGGTACTTTCGTTAAGAAACTGGGAAGAGAATGTGCTTGTAGCATAAAAGACGTATGATTTGCCTGAGATATGATAGACGGCGGCAAGAAAAGAGAAAAACAGAAACATGCACAAACCCTGTGGTAATAGGTCTTTGTAGAAGTGTTAAACGCCTTGTTTACGCCGCAGTTGCCTCCCAGAACACAGCAACGAAAACCAGCAAAGGAAAAACGGCAAAGCAAAATCCAGCATGCAGAAAGGTGTGCCGGCAGTCAGAGATGAGGTGAGAGTCCAAAGCAGGACCAAGCCCACTTCCAACATCGTGCCACCTCTTTAACAGCAATTCTTCCCCATACCACCCGCAACACCCTGACCCTGGTTAACATCAACCTGACTAGCTCCAGCTCCACTCGCAGCAGCACCAGCACCGCCGCTCGAATCAATAATACGTTTCTTGATATCCGAAGCCAGCGAGAAGAAAGCCTTTTCCACATTGATGTTTGACTTTGCGGATACTTCGATGAATGGGATGCCGAGTTCGTCAGCCAGGGCTTGGCCTTGCTCGGTACTGACGGCGCGTTTTTCTTCCCAGTCGCATTTGTTGCCGATGAGGATTTTGTTGACGCCTTCGCTGGCGTGTTGTTCGACGTTTGAGAACCAGGTGCGGATGTCTGTGTTGCAGAGTGGTTAGTGAATGAGACAAGACAAGTATATGAGTGAAAATAAAAGGAAGGGAAGATTTGGGGGTAGGGACAGCAGGAGACAAGACTTACTATTGAAACTCTTCTCATCCGTCACATCATAAACCAGCAAGATACCCATAGCGCCACGGTAATAAGCAGTAGTGATGGTGCGGAAACGCTCCTGGCCAGCAGTATCCCAAATCTGGAGCTTGACACGCTTGCCATCGAGTTCGATTGTGCGGATCTTGAAGTCAATGCCGATGGTGGTGATGAATGATGGGGTGAAGCTGTCTTCGCTGAATCGCAGCAGACAGCATGATTTGCCAACGCCCGAGTCGCCGATTAGAAGGAGCTTGATCTGTGGAAAGGAAATGTGTTAGAAGACATGTTCAACTATCAAGGTGTTGACGGCGGAAGTGGGGTCCGTACGAGGAAGTCATAGTTGCGGTTTTGGCCTGCCATGGCGACGGCAGAATGTGGGAGAGAGTGACAGCGGTTGGCAGTGAGGGGTGCAGAGGTTGCAGGTGCGACAGTGATTTATCGGCAAGCAGCGAGTGCAGAGAAGTGTCGACGACGATGAGCAGTGGGTCGAAGGCGGTGTGTGTCTGTCGTTGATGGTTGATCGAGGGGCACAGGATCCGATGGTGTAAGAGACAGGGGAACAAAGACAAGAGACGACGTAGGCGGCTTTGGATTGTTCACAGGCGTGGAGTAGATGTGTATAGACAGACAGCGGCTTGTATGGTGGATGAAGCGACAACGACGACGTCAAGGGTCAAGGCAGATGCCCAAAAGTTACCGTTGGCCAATGTCCCGCCGCCGCTGCTCTCAATCAGCCTGCGCCTGCCAAGTGTCCCGACCAGACCAGCCACGACCCCGACTTCTCCAAGACCCCCATCCACACAGACTTCAACACTAACAACTGTTTCGAAACGTCTCCATTGATCAGCCTGATTCACAAAAACCAACTCCCAGCCATGTCAAGTACAGTCCTGTTTATGCCTATTGAGAGGAGAGAGAGAGAGATATCTAAAAGTATCGCTTGTACGCCCAGCGGATCCTGTTCACCACCTTCCTCTGCTTCTTGACTCCAGTCCGCACATCGACCAATTCCTCCACATCCTCGACAAAGTCCCTGAATACCTGTGCAGGCATGACTCGGTATGCAGCCTCGCGCAAAACATGTACCTCGCACAACAACAATCCATGATCCTTGTAGTACAACTCTCCAAATTTCTCTGTAGGTGTTGAGTTGGTGAGTACGCGATCAATGTTGCGCAATTGTCGCATCATGTGTCCTTGCTTGCGACTTGCGTCTGCGCCTCTTCGTGATGTAAATGCAGATGACATCCAGCGTGAAATACCGATTGTGACGAGAATGCCAGGAGTCAATCCCACGAAGCCAAATACCAGTTCTTGACTCTTGAGCAATGCATCGATGCCGCCCATAGCCACTTCGACATCGACTTTAGTCTTTTGTACTTGAATCAACAGTGCGCGAATCAGGTTTCCACGGATGGTACCCATGAAGGGACTAGACAGATCCTTCTCGTATGCTTTGAGCACTGGTGTCAAGTCACCCTCGCGCACCTTGGCTCTGATGCTTGCAATTTCTGCATCTGTAAGTGGGTTGCCAGTCTCTGTCGCATTGCCTGGGTTGTCGACTGCAAAGTCCACAACCATGCGTTCCAAACTAGCTCTGTCACCCTCGAGAGACCTTTTCGACATGATCGACACCTCGCTGTCTTTGTCATGGCGAATAGTCTGAATGACCTTGCGAGTGGGCTCTACACACCAGTTGATCCAAAAGTCGCGAATGGTGTGGCCAAACTCTTGAATCCAGGTAAGAATTTCCGCTTTTCGGTTGACGAGGTAGCGGAGGATGGTGCTGGACGAGAGAATGCCTACAGTGATGGGGAACCAGTATCGAACAATACGTGATGGCTTGCCGTGTTTTTGCACCATGACCTTTGACTGCTGCGTATACTCGGGTATTTTGGCGTGTAGCATCTTGATCAGTCTGTCGGCGATAGTCGCAGGATGTACTCCCAGCTCGGAAGCTTCTCCGTTTTCTTGTGTGTAGACTTCAACATCGTAAAGCGGATCGTCGTCAGTAGCTGCTGCGATGGCTGCGTCGAATTTGTCAACAGCAAGCTCTTCTTCGTTGACCTTGGCGAGGACGGCATCCATAAGAGCAACATTGCGTGCTACACTGGCCTTCCACTTGTCGCGGCCTTGAGTACCATTCGGCGTTGCAAAGCCTTCCCCATGCATGTTTTCATTCATCAAGCCCTCGCCCAGCAACACACCTAGCGCGTTGGCTCCACGCAATCTGCATCTCTTGAGCTCGCTCTGCTTCTGGCGAACAGAACCACGAATCCTTGCAACAGGGCTCACGACACGTTTGCGCATCTCCTTAACACTCTTCTCCCTAACCACCTCTTTGACCAGTCCATAGAACTCAGACCAACGCGCCGTCAAGCTCTGCTGAGCTTCAGCACCAGCATCGCGAATGTTGAAATCAGCGCTTCTTCTGCGAACGTCGGCCAAGACGTATTGGCTCCACTGGGCCAGACGGAAAGGCGCAGTCTGTATGCTGTAAAGTGCAGTTGCGTGTCGACTGCCTAGCACCTGATCCCAGTACCAGACATCGTCTGCAAGTGCAACTGTCTCATCTAGCAGGCGCGACAGAATCAAGCCATATACCTGAACGGTAGCCTTTGCAACCAGCAACCAAGCCAACTCTTGCTCGTATTCGCCATCGTGCTTTTGCGTGGACAGATCCTCTCCTTCGTTCGGTAATGAGATTTGGGCGCGTGTAAGGTAGTGGTGAATTTGCGACGCGGATAGTAGAGGGTTTCGCGAAGAAGGTGTTATGGATAGCGATTTTACTAGTGATTGTAGATGCTCTGCGCGGTCTGAAGGGAAGTGCTGGTCATCGCCTGTAATGTTGATGGGGCCGACAGGTGGTGGTGCATTTAGCTGTAGACGATCGATTTGCGAATCTACTCGCCGCACTTGACTGTAATCTTGTGGTCAGCTCTATATGCAGTCTTGTGTGTATGCGCGAAACTCTCTTCGTGTGCTATAGACTGTCACAGCATAGCTGTAGAAATGCACAATCTTGTCGCGAAAAACGTGGTCTCCAGAGAGATCCCATTAGAGACTATCTCACTGGCTCGAGTCGCATTTCCGTTGTGAATGTGCATTTCAACAGCGTATAACAACCCCTCCACTCACGATGGAGAGAGGGTAAATCGCAAGATCATGACAGTCTTTGACACGGAGAGGTTCTAGCTTCAGTAAGCAGCGCTGGACAATAGGCAACTTACTCGATAACAAAAGACATATTCGCGCCTGTATCCGTAGGAAACAAGACTCAGTCCTCTCTTGTCATAACTTTGTAAAAGACCTTTGTGTAGCTGATCAAAGCTGTGCAACGTGGACCAACAAACGTGGAAGCCAAGTTGTGATGATGATGACGAAAGTCTTGCTTGCCAAACCCGGGGATCGTCATGTGTCAGAAGCATGATTTTTGTGTGCCCAACCACACCAACTCACAAGGCTGACTGCATATACGAGGTCTAACGCTTTTTGGAGCACATTCAACCAGTCATGTTGCAACTCGTCCTGAATCTGAAGCTTCTCGCGCTCTAAACTTACTGGTAGCGGCGATCTAGTCTCTCATTTTCAGGTTCAATCACATGAGCAGAGTTCTAACCACATCTCTTGGGAAACACTCAATATAAGAATTGGAAACGTAGGATATTTTGTCTTGCATGCAACTTCATGCATCTATCGTTCGTAGAAGAACTAGGCAAGTCGGAACCGAACTCGAATGTTTGCTCGCGTGTGTAGGCATCTCCCCATCTCGTCTAGGAAAAAGAACTCCATCCCAATGCAGAAGATACGAAAAAAGAAGGGCAATCAGAAGAAAGAGCTCCGGTAAGCGCTGAAACCTGACACCTGTAGAGACACAAGATATTCAAGCATCATCATGCCAAGTCCGGAGAGCACGCATAAAAGCGTGTTGGAACGTAAAGTAGACTTGCGATGCGCGCTTACTGGGCCTTTCTGGCCTTTGCGAGCTTCTTCTCTCTTCTTCTCTTGGAGGCCTCAGGGCCAGCCTCGGTGTCCAAGCAGTAATCCCACCAGCGGAAAGAGCTCGAGTAGTTGCCAATGAACTTTTCATGGTGAACGTCGTGGTGCTCAGCGCCAGCCCAGAAGGGAAGGAAGTGGTGGAGCGACCAGGGGAACTCATAGCCAGAGTGTGCGTCAATAGCTTGGAAGAGACGGAGGACGATCCAGATGTACATGGTCAGAATGTGGAGGTCCTTGGTGATAGCGCACCACACGATGGGGATACCAACGGTACCGAAACCCAAGCTCATGACTTCAATTGGCGAGGCGTATTCGGCAGCAAGACCGAAGGGGGCAGAGTATTGATGGTGGATCTTGTGGACAGCCTTGTAGAGAGGGCCCCAGTGGAAGGCGCGGTGCATCCAGTAGTGCCATGCATCCTCGAGGACGAAGAAGACTGCGATCTGGTAGGCCATCTTGTAGAGAGGTGGGAATGGGACGCTGGTGCCGAGGCCGAAGAACTGAGCCATAGGGTGGAAGAGCCTGGAGAAGCTGGAGTTAGCAATGCGATCATGGACGAGTATTCTGAGATATTGTCATACCAAATCTGAGGAAGCTCAACAGTGAAGTGGCTCAACAGAACGAGCTTGGCGCATTGCCATTGTTCAGCGGCAGTAGGGATTTTTTGCTGAAGACCATGTCAGCGTGCTGATTGGGAGGCGCAACACAGGAAATTGCTCGACATACGTTCTGAATCTTGTACTTGTTGAAGTAGGGAATGCAGTCGATGATGATCCAAGGAAGAGAGCGGCCGAAGTAGACGAGTTCGTGCATCAAGAAAGACATGATACCAGTGGCGAGCACATCGTTGCCGATGTATGCATACCAGGCCATCCAGAGCTTCTCAAAGTAATTGAGGTGGACATTGTACTCAGAAACCTTATCGAATTGGTTCCAGTATGTGTCGGAGGTGTGAGGGAGAGCGTGCTCAAGAATAGCTGTCGCGTTGCTATCACCAAAGTCAGATTGCGTGTCCCTGAATTCAACAAAGTTGTGTACAAAGGGGGCGTAACTCACAGGTACGACATGATTGCAAGCCTCTCTAGAACCTTCAATCGCAGCTGAAAGAGAGAGAACCCGTAGGTGAGTGTGTATGTGTGTAGAGCAACAGAAGTTCTGAAGAAGTGATGAGCTACCCTTTTCTTAAACAACCACACGCCGCCGCCCACGTCGGACCAACGTTAAATTTCCAGTGAGGACCAAAATCATACGATTTGCCCACATATGGTTCCACACGGTCCCTGAATTCGCGGAGGCTAGAAGGCCGACCAGCCCTTTGGCGGTTGATCAAAGCCAAGATTTGGCGTTCTGACCAATCATAGCCTTCACCGCCTGCGAGCTAAGCATTGAGATCATCTCGTCGACGCGCACAAAACAAAGGGCCATGCCGGAGAACTCCCTTTTCTTTTTTGCCCCCTATCAAAGCCACAAACCCGAGCTCATCCACCTTCCGCCGTAAGGAACAGACACCGGATTTCTGGTCTGATGGCGGCAATTGCGTGGCTCCACTTTGTAGCATCTTATCACCAGATCTTATAGAATTGTACGAAGATCCCGAATACCATAAATCCTACATCTGCTGTTCAAATCCCGGGTCGCCGTGTTTTGTGATTGTGGTGGCATGCATGGATGGCCTCATTTCTCGTACCATGTTTGAGGCTTGACCTGATATTGCATGCTCGTGTGTTTGTGTTGTTATTCAGGGTCTTGGTATTGTCTCAACATATCTCGCTTGCCCGTCGTGGATGTGAAGTATTTCTTCCACGTCATATCCATCAATTGTCTACAACAAGCCCTCGGAGTACTAAGGTAAGCTTCAATGGATGACTGCGACTCTTCTCCAGACGAACAAACACATGCCTACGACAAGGTCCACGACAACGGATTCACCGGATATCCACTCAGCAAAAGAAAAGAACCGAATCTTGTTTCCTTAAAGTCTGCATATTGACATCCGATCAATGCTAGAGAGAAACAACAAAAAAAAAGGTATTAAGAAAAAAGACCAGACCACGAAAATATCTCCTCATTCTTCTCTGCATCAGAAGAAAAGCGCCTGTTGTCTTTTTGCTTTCCTGAACCTCCTAGATGTAAGCAAAGGTTTTGGTTCCTCTCGTCCCTCTATCCTCCTTCTTTCTTCTTTTGCTTCTGGTTTCCTGAAGCGACAACAGCAGCAACGACCTGCTGTGATTCCTCATCTCTCGGCGACGGCGTTTCTCGTAAATGTAAGAAGAACAATGTGCTGCGGTGGACTGTGATGCACATGACTATTACCATGCGTACGGCCCAGTCTTTGGTAAGTGTCCAAGAACAGCAAAGGTGCTTGCAGCTGCACTACCGTTGCTTCTTAATCTCTGTGGCCCATCCATCAATGCCATCACCCTTGGTGCCGGGCTCAATTTCCAGCTTGACACCATCCATGCCTTTTGTGCCATCAAGGAAGCCGTGGCCAGCCATACCTCCAGCGTTGGCGCGGTCTGCAGGGAGAAGTTCGAGCATGGGCAACAGGAATTCGGCAATGCGCTTGCTCTCCTCAATGCTGAAATGGTATTTCTCTCTCAAAACATCAGGCAAAGCCCAGTGGCGGAGACGGTGGATGTTGCGCAACTCTCCCTTGCGATTGAATATCTCTTGTGACCATTTTCCGCCAACGCACAACGACTTGGGGAAGGTGCCGAGCAGTTCGATGACTTGAGCGATGTGATCGTCGTCCTTGCCGTACTTTGTGCCAGATTGAGGGTCGAAGAGGTAGTCACCGGTAATGAGCTCGAAGACCTGGAAAATAGTTTGTTAGCTCAAGTCTGGCAACATTGACAAGAAATTGACTCACCATGCAAGCCATGCTCCAAACATCTGTGCTAGCACCCCACTTTGCTCCAAGGATAACCTCTGGTGATCTGTATTGTCGTGTCTGAATGTCGTTTGTGAAGTGGTGCCCGACCCAACATGCGTTGCCCAGATCGGCAATCTTGACTGAGATTGTGTCGAATGATATTTCTTCTGGCACCTTTGTGGTTGATGAAGTTGAGGACGAGAGGTCGATACCAGAGACATTGTTGGCAAGGATATCACTACAAGCAGGGTTAGTCAGGGTTGTATAGCAGTAGAGTGGATAGGTGAAACGTACGCAGTCTTTTCGCGTTCCTTTTGCGCCGCTTCGTCCGAGATACCCAGAGACTCTTTCATAGATTTGGTGGGAGAAGTCGCGCCTACAGCACCACTCATTTCAACATCTTGACTCGGACTGGGGCTTGGGCCCGTAATCGGAACTGGTTTACCTTGGTCTGCCATGAGCTTGTTCAAGCTCGACAGGTCGGATTGACTGAAACTAGCGTTGAGAGGGCTAGGTAGAGGTTGACTGCCAGTAATGAGAGTTCTTCTCCTCCTTCTGCCGTTGCGGTGTTCGTCCTTTGCCTTGCCGGGATCTTCCTGAACATATGTCTTGACAATCTGCTCGACATCACCAATTTCGATGAGGACGTTTTCGGGCTTAAGGTCGGTATGAATAATGCCACATTCGCGGTGGAGGTAGTCGAGACCCAACAAGACCTGCTTGGTAATCTGTTTGACAAGGGGCATGGGAATGCCTCTGTGGTTCCAGCGCTTGATCAAGCCTAGAAGGTTTTCGCCCAGAACCTCAAAGACCATGCAGACGTGCATGCCGTGAGGGCCTTTGTGGTTGAACGAGTCGAGCAAGCTGACTACATGTTTCCTGCCAGGGTGGTCTATGTTGGCCTGGACAACCTTGTTAAGCAGTTTGATCTCGTCCAAGGCGGTTTCGGTATAGTGAGCGGCAGAGCGCACGACCTTGAGAGCGACGTGCTTGCCTGTGTCGTTGTCACGCGAGAGCCAGACGGTTGAGAAGTGACCCCAGCCTAGCTTGCGCACGACAGTGTATTTGCCATTGTTGTATTCTTCGCCGACCTGGACGGGGTGGTAGCCGCCCTTGCAGTAGTCTTCCGAGTCCTCCTCATCGGCCGTGTTCTCGGTCTGTTCGTCGCCAGAAAGCGAGGATGAATCTGAGCCTGACGGACTCACGTCGCGGGTGCTGGCTGTGGATTTCTGGTAGCTCATGGGCGAAGCGGTGCCTGAAGCGCTGTGGGAGGAGAGGTGTTAGTTGGGATTGTGGTAGGGTTATTGGATTGACGTACGCTTCTTGTTCGGTGGTGACGATGGGTTTCAGTTCTTGCTTTCTGCGCTTCTTGCCGTTGGTGCCGTTGGCAGCGTTGGATGCGGAATGGGCGACCTGCTTTGCTTTCTGAATTGCGGCCTTCTTAATGTCGGACCCATTCATTTTCGGGCGTCTGGACAATGGCGCGCTGCAGCTTGCTGGCTCTGATGGACTATCAGCAGCCGGCGGTGCAAGAAAGAAGTTGATGAAGAATGAAGAGTCGGAACGTGGGAGCTCTTTGTGCGGAGATGTGTGTCGCTTGCGTCGTCCTTGTCAAATGCGCGGCTTGTGGAAGCTGGTCGAGTAATACGAATGATGGATTTGCGACGACGAAGGGCAGGCTTGTCGTCGATATGCTGTGCTGTCGCAACTTGCAGCGGGCGTCAAAGCAGACAGACAGCGGCGCGGGTCGGGGAGTGACGCTGTACACTTCTTGGTTGCGTTCTCTCAGTGGTCAAAGCGGTGCCCTGCCAACTTGTTTCTGGAGGTTCTTATGATCAACTTCCTGCTTGTTTTGCTGCTTGTTGCTTGCTTGTCCATGCGCGACTTTGTCGGCGCCCCAATCCGAATAATCAAATGCCTCTTATGCCGATGGGGATGCAATATCTAGATGGTTGGGATGTGTCTGCCCAAGCCCGCTATTTTCAAATCCTTGTCACGTCACGGCCTCGACCAAAAGAAATCAACTCGACCACCAAACAGCACCAGCTTCACTCATGAGCAGTCTCTTTGAATGTATCTGTCTCCCCGAGCCCCTTTTCCACTCCTTGTGCAGCTTGCACGTCCATCTATTGGTACTGAATATCGATTCGACTATCGTGTATCCTCTTGGCCTGTGCTCTATCTTTTCCTTGCGAATGGCGGGGTGGTTGGTCTTCTCCACCGACGTGATGCCTTGTTCATAGGATGTTGGTCATGCAAGTCACACTTGCTCTTGTCAGTCAGCCAATCCTTCTGAGACATGTCACTGTGCCTGTTTGCACTTTCACATAAAACAAGTACTGTGCCACCATGCCATGTGGGCTCTGCTAGTTATGACATATGCACCCACTAGTGCGCGATTCAGCCGATGGCACCCGGTCTAGTGTTCGATTCATAACGACATGTGCTGAGACTCACTCCACTGCCAAGTCCGACACATCTTCTGGCAATACATGGCTGTGAAGTATCATGAGGACATGCAGGACATCAGTTGACAAGTATAAGTATGATATCTGCTTCAAATAATAACAACACAAGAAGTTGCTCTGGTTCATGTGCATTGATTACCGTCGTAGTATATCTTTGGGTTATGGATGATAATCGACACGCTGTAGGTAATTCGTGTAGTCGATGGTTTTATGCATGACCCAAGCTGGGCATGAACAGGGTCGCCATCGTGACATCTCTGATGCAGCATATCAACAGCAATAGCTGCCCTCTTTACATTGATGCTAAATGCTGACATATGTGCTTGTCTTTCCCAAATTTGGAACAGTATTTTCCTGTTGATGCATGCAAGTTTTGATTGTATGGAACGTCAGAGCGGATCGAACGCATGTTTCTGGAAAGCAAACGAAGGAGATAAAGCAAGCCTCGTCTCATCATGACTATGTTCGAGGTGTTGTAAAAGATGTTCAAGAAAACTTCCGGCTATGCTCAGATGTCCCAATATCATACACAATAGACAAGATAGCATCTCTGATACTGTGAGTGTTTGCTGTCATGTGTTGGTGATGTCTCTCCGCACTGTTTGGTTGCAGCCTCGGAGCGGAGATAAGAAGTAGTGACGGCGTCATGGCGATTGTCGCAGAAGCTCTCGAGCTCTTGTTCGTTCAATCACAGCACTTGTGATCTTAGCTATTCAATTCAACAGCATGGCGTATTTGGCATCTATTCACAGACCCAGCAGCGTCCGGCACGCGCTGAAGCTGAACTTCCTCAGTGCCGAAGATGATACCCTTGTGGTGGCGTAAGTTGCAATCTACAAGCTTCGTTCTATAAGCTGACACCAAGGTAGCAAGGCCAACCGCCTAGAGTTCTACGCTCAACAACAAGATGGCCTCGTGTTACAGCACTCAAAGGCCATCTATGGCAAAGTCATCATGCTACAAAGCATTCGTCCCGCCTCGTCCGAGACCGATCACCTCTTCGTCGGAACCGATCGATACATGTACTTCACTCTCTCATGGGATGCCGCCAACAAGCAACTACGAACCGAGAATAGTTTCAAAGATCTGTCAGACCGAGCAGCAAGAGAAGCACAACTGGGAGAACGGTGCAACATCGATCCTACACGGAGGTACATGACTATCGAGATCTACGAGGGAATCGTTTCTGTTATCCCCATTACACACGAAAGCAAGCGCAAATCAATCTCGACGGCTCAGCTGGGCGACATAGGCGAACCGACCTCCGTCAGGATACCCGAATTAAACGTACGGTCATCGACTTTCTTGCACAGGAGGAGCGAAAAGGCAAAGCCACAACTAGCCTTGCTCCACGAGGACTCTATGGGAAAAGTCCGCCTAAAGGTCCGCGACCTTGAATACACTTCGTCACTCAAGTCCAACGAGCCTGGCACAGCTGAACTTGAGAATGAACAAGACGCAGATGAAGAGTTGGATCTGGGTGCCAGCCATCTCATACCTCTACCCCACCCAGCCTATGGCGTGCTCATTCTGGGAGAGACGAGTATCTCATATTGCGAAGAGTTTGATGGCAGAATGGCCAAAGTCGCAAAGAGCGAACCACTGAAAGAAGCCACAATCTTTGTCGCCTGGACACAAATCGATGATCAGCGTTTCGTGCTTGCCGACGAATACGGTAAGCTATACTTGCTGATGGTGACGTTAAATAGCAAGAACGATCTCGAGGGCTGGAAGCTGGATATTATCGGTGAGACTTCACGAGCGTCAACCTTGGTATACTTGGATGGTGGTCGCATCTTTGTGGGCTCACACCAAGGCAACTCTCAACTCATTCAAATCACTCCCGGCTCTATTGAGATTCTTCAAACCTTCCCGAACATCGCGCCTATCCTCGATTTCACTGTCATGGATATGGGCAATCGCTCTTCTGATGCTCAAGTCAACGAGTATTCCTCAGGACAGGCCCGCATCGTCACAGGTAGTGGTGCGTTCAAGGATGGTAGTCTGCGTAGTGTGAGAAGTGGTGTCGGTCTGGAAGATCTTGGTTCGATTGGCGAGATGGAAAACATCACCGAAGTCTTCAGCCTGAAATCGAGTCCAGCGCTCGAATTTGCAGACACGTTGGTTGTATCATTCATTGCACACACACGAGTGTTCAACTTCTCCTCTGACGGCGATGTTGAGGAAGTCGACAACTTCAAGGGAATGGATCTGTCTCAAAGCACGCTGTTCGCTACCAATCTTGCTAAGGGCAGGATCCTGCAAATCACCGCTTCTTCCATCCATATCCTCGACCCCGACAGTGGCATGAGTCTGGCCAGCTGGTCGCCTGAGGGTGCCTCTTCCATCGCTGCAGCTTCAGTAGCGGACAACAATATCTTGGTCTCTGTTAGTGGCGTTGGTCTTTCGATGCTCGACGTCTCTGGCGACAACGTCAAGGTAACGGCATCGAGAACATTCGACGCTGGCTCACAAGTTGCTTGTATATCTTTATCACCCACGCTACGAAACATTTGTGTTGTTGGGTTCTGGCAAGACGCAAGCATATCGTTGCTCGACGCTTCTTCATTGAAGACTATCCATTCGGAGACGATCGATGAAGAGAGCATAGCAGTTCCTCGCTCGCTACTCGTCGCTCCGATCTTGGAAGGCTCTTTACCAACACTGTTTATTGGCATGGCAGACGGAAATGTTGTTACGTACTCGATTGATCCTAGCACCAATGCTCTCTCATCAAAGAAGAGTATCATCCTTGGTACGCAACAGGCCAGCTTCAAGGCCCTGCCTAAAGGCGACGGTCTGAATACTGTGTTTGCCATCTGCGAGCACCCGAGTCTGATTTATGGGTCAGAGGGTCGCATTGTATACTCTGCCATCACAGCAGAAGATGCAACATGTGTATCTCCTTTCGACACCGAGGCTTTCCCCAACGCTATTGCAATTGCCACGGCGAACGAACTCAAGCTTGCTATCGTGGACGAGGAAAGAACTACTCACGTGCAGACATTACCAGTCAATGAAACTGTCCGCAGAATTGCATACTCTGCCGACTTACGTGCCTTTGGTCTGGGTACGATCAAGCGCACTATCAAGGATAGCTTCGAACACATTGAGAGTCACTTCAAGCTTGTGGACGAAGTTGCATTCCAAGAGTTGCACACATTTGCTCTCAACCAAGAAGAACTGGTCGAGAGTTGCATTCGTGCCAAGCTAGATGATGGCACTGGCGATCTCGTCGAGCGTTTCGTGGTAGGCACGAGCTATATTGAGGAGGATGTGGGAGATGCACCTAGAGGTCGTATCTTGGTGTTCGAGGTGACGGAAGATAGACACCTCAAGCTCGTGACCGAGCATGCCGTCAAGGGCGCCTGCAGATGTCTAGCAACGTGCGAGGGTCGCATTGTGGCTGCTCTCGTCAAGACAGTAAGTTTTTGCGATGTTCAACTACAGGCTATCTGCTTACGCATCATAGGTCGTAATGTACAACTTCAAATACGAGACGGCGAGCCGACCATTCCTCGACAAGGTCGCTAGCTATCGAACATCCACAGCACCCATCGATATCTCGGTTACAGGTGACCATATCGCCATTGCCGACCTGATGAAGAGCATCTCTGTCGTGCAATACAAGAAAGGCATCAACGGTCAAGACGATACGCTCAACGAAGTCGCCCGCCACTACGACACCACCTGGGGCACAGCTGTCGCCAACATCTCACCAAACACCTACCTCGAAAGCGACGCGGAAGGCAATCTACTTGTCCTCAACCAAGACATCAATGGTTTCTCGGAAGAGGACAAGCGCCGCCTGCGTGTACTTTCAGACATGCAACTCGGCGAAATGGTCAATCGCATCCGCCACATCGATATCCAACCCACTCCGAATGCCATCGTTATCCCCTCTGCTTTCCTCGCCACTGTCGAGGGTAGTATCTACCTGTTCGCTACTATTGCACCACAACATCAAGATACACTCATGCGCTTGCAAGAGAATATGGCAGAAAAGGTCAGCAGTCCTGGTAATGTGCCGTTCAACCGCTACCGCGCGTACAAGACTACGGTGCGTGACAGTGAAGAACCCAATCGTTTCGTTGATGGAGAATTGATCGATCGCTTCTTGGACTGCGATGAGAAGTTGCAGGAGGAAATCGTGCAAGGTCTCACTGTTGATGTCGAAGAGGTCAGGGGGATGGTTGAGGCATTGAGGAGACTGCATTAATGAGAGAGACATATGCCTTCGTCTACGCAAGAAATAGTCAGTATTACAGAGGACGATCAAACTCATTCTTTAGCTGTAGAGATCATCTATTCTTCACGGGCCAATGTCGCTTTACTCACTATGCTTTTAACTCTTCACAACGACTGAGAGCAGTATATCATGGATTTGCTTGAAGACCGACCTGTATATACTGAAACTGGAATATGCATAACGGCGTGCCGATCAAGTGGATCTTTGAGCTTATGCACATGGCAATGACGCTATACAATATTCCAAATACACCCTCCCAGCTCTGCCAGACCACTTCTCTTGAGCAAAGTAAACTAATATCTGCTTTCCCCTTATTCCAACAACATAACACTTGGATTCCCTCCATCATTCCATCCACAATGGCACCTCCAGCACTCCCAGCCCTCATCGAAGATATCCTCTACCCATGCCCCCACGAACCACTTCCTCCTCGCACAAAACCCATGCGTGTCCTCTGCCTCGGCCTCTCACGCTCAGGAACAGATTCCCTGCGTCGCGCCCTTTATATGCTCGGTTTCTCTCACGTGTGGCATGGCTTTAACCTCCCTGATCCCTCTTACTCTGCTTTACCCGGCAAGATATTCACCCGTCTCGCTCGCAGGAAATTCTCTCCTGGCTCTAACGACCAGCCAATCTCTCGAGAAGACTTTGAAGTTGTACTGGCGGATTGTGATGCCGTAACAGATACTCCAGCTGCAATCTTCGCACCAGAACTGATAGCCGCATACCCTGAAGCCAAAGTCATCCTAAACGTCAGAGATACAGAGGCCTGGCATAAAAGTATGGTTTCTACTCTCGCTTCGCTTCCGGGGAATATCAACTATGGCTGGTTGATATATTTCCAACACCGCTTATATTGGACTGCGAGGTCGTTTTTCGAAACCACTTATTATGGGATTTTCGATGGGGATATTGAGAGGACTGGAAAAGAGGCTTATGAGAGACATAGTGAGAGTGTTAGGAATGCGACGGAACCAGAGAGGTTGTTGGAGTGGAGGGTTGAGGATGGATGGGGGCCTCTTTGCGAGTATGTTTTTGCCCTTCAACAATCCTAATTGAGAACATTTGGAGATTTTTTTTTTACTGACCTGTGATCAGATTCCTTGATGTCGAAATCCCAGATGAAGAATTCCCTCACGGCAACAATGGAGAAGAATTCCAACGACGCCTTGAGCACTTCAAGAAGGTTTATCGACACCAGGCGTATCAAAACATCTTCGGTCTTACTGGAGCAGTGGTTGCAGTTGCGGCATTCACGTATTCCTGGTATGCGAGGATGAGAAGGTAGAGAGCTTCCGGTGGAAGTAGTCGACTTTGGTTAGATAACCAGTGTACGAAACAATCAAGGTCGAAAGCGCAGGCACCGCCTATTGATTCTACTACAATGTGGAAGAGGCCGAAGCACAACTGATCAAGATAACGCAAGCACAAGGGGACGAGAGTAGACCATGATCACAAGCTCGAAAGAGACAGGTAGATTTCAGAGATGGAAAAAGAGGAGTACATAGAGAATCAAAGACAGAAAATGACCGCTCGCCTGCTATAAGGATAATTGAAAACACAAAAGGACAACAAAAAAGATCAATCCTCATCATCGAAATAAAAAGTGGTGTAATCCACAGAACAGCAGAAGCAAGATTTTTGAAGGCTGTGTTCAAGAAACAGCTTGGTGAAAACGGAGACTGGGACTTAGAAAACTGACGAACAGAAGGAGCACTCCACAGACAGCCTTTGTCTAATTGACAGCGCGCATGTTAAAACGATGCTCAAGACCCTGAGTCGCATACTTGGCGTTGACAGGCTCTTCATCCTCAGCAGACTGGGCGCCAAACTCGTCGACGACCCCCGAGTCACCAGACTCTGATCTCAAAATCTTAGTAGCAGGAAGCTCTGGGATATCCTCGGAGAGAGTTGTGCGCCAGTGGCTCTGCATGCTTCCTCTGTCGGGAGTGGCAGCTGTGGACGAAGAAATCATGCTCATAGATGTGCTGCTGCGATTCAGCGTGTTCAGACTGTGACTGTGCACGAGATCGGGTGTGGGTGGAATGCTGCTGCGAACGGTGTGGCTGCGCGAATCGTAGTTTGACGAAGCAGATGCTTCAGATCTATTGTCGTACTCGGAGGGGGCGTCGCTAAGCGATGCGCGCGTCATGATGCGACCTTTGCTGCGACGCTTCAATTTGCCTCCATGTTCGGTGGATGCAAGACTGGCTTCGTCGTCATTATCGTGACGGTCGCTAGCAACTGACTCGGCGCGATGAGCCATGTTGAGACCTTCGACAGCAGCGGCACACTGCTCGCTGATGTTACGGATGATGTAAGCGATAGCGTCAGTCTTGTCACGCAATTGGCGGTCTGCTACGTCAGTCATGCTGAGTCCGCTCAAACGACGACGAGCATCAGCGTTGCGACGAAGGGCCTCAGCTGCTGCATCTTCGCCGCGAGTCGACAGGCGAGTGCTGCTGCGTGATGAAGCACGCGAGGTCTGAGCACTAGACATATCTCCGGAGATGGAAGAACCGGGAGCAGGCGATACGGGAAGAGCAGTGGCTGCAGCCTCATCAACTTCATCAGGCAACTCGATGGTGCGCACAATGTGCTCCATGTGGTGAGCCTGACCATCGATCAGAGCACGTAAATGGAGAACAACCCGCTGTGCCTCGTCACGTTGACGGAGTACAGCAGAGTTGGTCTGTTGCAAAGACGCGATTTCTTGCTTGTTACGCTTGCGTTCGCGTTCGAGCTCCTCAGCGATTTCCTGCTGCAGGACAAGAGCCTCCAAAGCATCGTCTCTTTGCTTCTCTGTGCCGCTGAGTCTAGGTGTAAGACGAGCAATCTCCTCCTTCGCCTGATCTGCAATCTGAGCAATTCTTCTGTTCTCGCGCTTGTGACTCTCAATCTTGACCTTGAGCTCTTGTGTCTCCTTGGTAAGTGTCTCGGCGAAAGCTTGGAACTTGAGGAATTGCTGCTTCCACGAGTCGAGTTCAGCATCGAGGATGTTGTTGCGCTTGTTGACCTTGACAACTTCGGTGTCCATGCGACACTTGAGGTTGATGAAATCTTGCCATGCCTCGTTTGCATCGCGAGAGTATTGGTTACGTTCGCGGATGATTTCGTTAAGGTGACGCATCGAAACCTTCGTCATCAGAGGCTTCTTTTGAGAACCGCCAAAGACGGCTTTCAGGCCAGTGTTGCGGCCAAGCTTTTCGCAGACATGGTCCATAACAGACATGACTGCGTCTTGGTTCCACCAGCCAGGATCTTGAACACTCTCAACCTCGCCACGCATGACGATAATTTGGCCAGCAGGAATAAGCTTGCCCCCACCGTAAGCCGAACGGAGATGTTGAGGAACACCAGAAGGAGCGACATCGCCATTCAGAGCCTGGGTAAGACGGTTGACCATTTTTGTTCTTTGACCTCCTGTCAGAACATCCGGAGGGCTCGAAGTCAAGACAAAGTTACGATCGAGGTCAACAACCAGAGCATCGTTGGGAGCAGTGAAGAGAGTACGACATTCGGCAGTGACACCAATGATGTACGGACCAGGTTCCTGGACAAGGTCCTTTGCGTGACGAGCGTGCACGATAGGAACATACAAGCCGCTCCATTCGTAGACGCGAACCAGATAGCGAATAGTTTCGGCAGCCATTGTCAGCATAGCAGGGTAGTGACTGACAAAGATGATTCTTCTGGTTGGCGAGATGGCGGCTTCGACGACACCGACGATGTTGGGGATAGACAAACAAGAGAATAGAGGCCACATGGCAAAGTTCTGGAAGCCGGTAGGAGAAGAAGGGAACTGGTAACATAGGGCGTAGTCCTTCATGTCGATACGGACCAGGTCGTTGAGTCTGGGAGCGGGGAAACTAAGAATGCGAGAAACTTCCTCTGCATGGAAGAGGTTGGTGGCTTTGTTCCAGTGAATCCACATGCCACGGAGGTAGTCGCCGAGAAGGTTGTAAAGAGGGTATCTAGAAAGGAAACTCAAGCAGTAAGGGATCCAGTATGTCTCACCGGGAGTGTCGTAGTAGTCGGATTCTGTACGCTTCCTCAATTCGCGGATCGTCTCTGCACGTTTTTCATCTGCGCGAGACCAAACACGAAGAGCAATACCGTATAGAGTGTGAGAGGAATCTTGCTGGAGGACGAATGCATGGTGGACACAGTGAGGCTGCATCGTGCCAGTACAGATTTCGACGTCGTGAGGGAAACATGCCTATACAGCGTTAGTGCATTATAATGGTATACATGGTTGTGATGTGTACCCTCATGGCAGCGTGAAGAGCACGGGCAATGTCGTTATCCTGCTCCAGTCTTGGACTACTTCCCAGAATCTCAGGAAGCCAAAATTGACCAACAGCACCCTTCATGTGTCCAATCTTTCCCTGTGGAGGCGGAGGAGCCTTGACCCATTGCGAGGGCTCACGGCCGACACCACATACCATGTAGGCATGGGTGAGAGTCTTTGGTGTACGCTGACCATTTCGCGGCTGGGATAGTTGGGCTGCCAGAGGCTGTGTGATACGTGAATGGAGCGACGAGGTACGGTCCGGGATAACCAGGTCTTCGTCAGCACGACTGACAGGGCGAGACTCTCCGCGCGAATCTCCGCGCGACGAGCGTGGGCGTGATGTGAAGCTCGGAGGCATATTGTCGTTATGGTCGTTGAAGCTTGTTACAGGAGCTCGTTGTGCGACCCCGCGTTGCAATCGTCTTGTTTCAACTTTATCTCCCTGCTTCAACCGTCCAAGTCGGATGTGCCCAGTTGTTCGCTGGCACGACCGACGTCCAGGTATATGAGGCTATAGCTGGCAAGAGGAGGAAAGCGAAAGACGGAAAGCAGCCTTTGGAAAGGAAGGAGTGTCGGGCAGGAGGAAAAGAGAAAACGGTGCAAGGACGAAAGAGCAGAAGGCAGATCAATTCATCGACAAGCCGAAGACCGTACACAGCAGAGTCGACTCCGTAACCCACTAACCTCGAATTGCAAGTCATGGCCATTTACAGCGCGCCACTACGCCCATCGCAGCGCAGTCCGATGGGGGGACACGGGATCGACAGCTGTGCATAAACCACACTGGAGAAGTGCACGGTGCCCCATCTCAACTCTACAGAAGCCGCACCGAATCAGCGCCTGCCGTCGGCGCGCCTCAAGAAATGCTGTGGACCACAAACCTCGCCCTAGCACTGCAACCCCAGCCATCATCCGCTCATTGCTTCCTCACTCTTTCATCTGTTGATCAACCAAGGCTACACAAGAAGTCTTCTCTGACCACCAGCAGTCTGCAAGCTGCTTGTTGCCCAATCTCCAATCCACGCTGCTTGGCTTGGCTCCTGTTTCGCGACAATCTATTTGCTCTCATTTGGCCGGGTGATGTTCATTACCACTCCCAAATCCGCAATTCACTACATCCTTGTTATATAACTAAATAGCCTTGAACTGCCCTCCCCTCCCGAAGCCTAGAATTGCCTCAGCTGGCACCCCTGTTACATTTAATAAACGTCGTGTTCGCTACTGTCCATCTTCGACAGACTGCCGTCAAATCATTGATTTCCTTCGAGGCTGGCTTTGGTCTTCTCAACCAGAGAGAATCGTGCGTTGCGAGACTCGCGCTCGTCTGTGCAATGATGCGTGCAACAGTGCCTGCAGCTATCCGCTGCACCCACGTTGCTGCCGTCATGCCTGATATGAAATACTCCAACTCAATCTGCTCAACCTGTTCTCTTCGCTTCGAGACGCAAGCCCCAATGTTGCCAACAGCTGAACATCAGTCGGTCTCGCCGAACCTCCGACCTCGGCTGCCCTGATCCATCGCATCTGATAAGAAAAATCTGATAATCTATCACCAAACAGCAGCACCATTAACATGTCTTTGAGGTCAAGAAACTTGCACCACAAACATTTCAATGTATCTTTTCCAGACGAGCGAATCGTGCAGATTACTCTGAACAGACCTGACAAGCTCAACTGCATTGATCAAGCCACTAGCAAAGAAATTGCCCAGATCTGGGAGTGGTTCGATCAAGATGAGAGTTTATGGGTCGGTATCATTACAGGGAATGGTCGAGCCTTTTGCACTGGCGCCGATCTGGCAGGTAGGCTTGACAATATCACTGCTGTGCCACCCTCATGGCTGACTTGACATCAGAATGGAACGAGATGAACAGACGCGGCATTATCAACGACATGTCAGCACCTGGCCTTGCTGGTCTGCCACGTAGAGCAGGAAAGAAACCCATCATCGCTGCCGTCAATGGTATCACCATGGGCGGTGGTTTCGAGATGGTTGCAAATTGCGATCTTGTAGTTGCCGTCTCCTCGGCCATCTTCTCGCTGCCCGAAGTGAAGAGAGGCATTGTACCAGTCGCTGGTTGCTTGCCTCGTTTGACACGAACCTTGGGTCTACAACGCACCACCGACCTCGTGCTCACGGGTAGAAACGTAACAGCCAAAACGCTTCATGATTGGGGACTTGTCACCGAATTGGTCGACTCTGCTGAGGATGTCGTACATGCCGCTATCAAGACTGCTCAGCTGATGTGCAAGAACAGTCCTGATGCGTTGGTTGTCGGCCGCTTGGGCATCAGACTGAGCTGGGAAGCTGGTAGTGTCGAGGATACCGTGACTACTCTTGCTAACGAGTGGTACCCACGTCTCGTGCAAGGCAATAACTTCAAGGAGGGCATCAAGGCATTTGCAGAGAAGCGTCCACCTGTCTGGGTGAGCTCAAAGCTGTAGATGCGCATCACAGAGCATGAGGCAGGCCCCGACTTTATTGTAGACAAACAAAGTTCGATGCTTTCTCGAAATGAGCAATTGCATGGGAACAACCCAGCCGTCCAGCGTTGAGAAGCGCGTTACCAACACGTTTGCTGCGCTCTACGCGTCCTGCAGAATAGTGATGTGATTCACCGGCTCTCCACCTTCTGTGTTGCTCAACCGGATCGCTTCTTTTTCGGCTCTTGCCGATCTTGGTTTCCACGCGAACTTTGATCCGCTTGTTTCGAATTCGCTCCGCGTCAACCTCGACCAGTTTCTCGAATATGTGGATCAACAAAGAAGGTCACCACATGAAAGCTTAGTCTGCGCTGTCAAACAAGCCTCATTACAGGACTTTAACGGTTTTTGAAAGTCCTGAGTTCTTTTGACAAGGATGGTGATTTTGACGAAAAGCATGAATCATGGTTCATGTCGCACGAAACTTACTCGAGTACGAACGAGTGTGTGACAGGATGTCATTGTTTCCATGGATCGAGCCGTGCAGTGCGATAAGGCCACCATCCATCGCGGCTCATCGTGGACCCTCCACTATCGTAACACGAAATAAATGAACTGTACCAAAGATCTCTTTTCCAGCACTGACACAACCATGAGGGCTGAGGTCCAGTTTGACCGGAGACAATCCCGCCTAGTCAACTCTCAACCCTTGACTCAAGATAGGCGATCCAAGTTGTTCGTAAGCGCAGAGCTTGAAGCTTCGTCAACAACAACAGCAAAACCCGCCATGCCGTCGAACAAGCATCGGTCTTTGTGTGTAATCAGGCCCACAACCGGGATACCCACCTCTGCCATATCCACAACCTCCTGCACCATAATAGTATCCTCCTCCGTATCTTCGTTGCCTTCGGCCTCCCGGAAAGTAAGCTTGTGGTGGTCTTTGAGGCCCGCCATATCCTCTGCCATATCCGCAAGATCCAACTCTCTCACATGCTCCTCCGTAATATGTTGGGTGACGATATCCACAGCCTTGCTGACGACACTCGGGTGATAAGGCGTTTGGTCGACTGGGGACCAGATATTGCATTTGTGGTTCAGAGTCGTAATCAGGTCCTTCAGCAGGGTCGTCGTCATTGATGATATGCTCAGATTCGAAGTGATGGCTCATTCTAGGTTTCACTTTCTCAGGCTTTGGCAATCCAATGATTTGAACTGATCTCTGCATATCGTCGAATGAAGTTGCCGATAGCTCATCTCCAGCCATCTCGTCCTCAGATTGACGAACATTGCTTGGGATAACCAATATCGTCTCCAGAAGTTTCGTAGGAAACAATGCTGACAGTCTGGAGCCTTTGTCGTTAATTTGGCCAAGGTATTGCTTTCCCTCCAGTAATGCGAGTAAGTGTGCATCAGCCACACTGTGTGTCGAAACAGTCGAGTTTCTCGCGCTTGTCATTGTTGACTAGCAAACACAACCGATGAAGCATTCATTGCGACGATAGAGACCAGCAGTGGTATATCATTGTGCTCTTTGCTGGTCTTCGTAAGCATGAGTATATCCGTACCTTGACTCAGGCCAAGATGCGAAAGCCTTGATGTCGTGCTTCTGAATATTGTATGGGGCTGCTGCATGCAAGTCATCAGGATTCATATAGTCGCGAAACCCACCAATTCGTAAGGCGATTATCAGATTAACAATACGCGTTACATGACAACAAATTGCTGGAACCATTCTTGAGTCCGACTTTTGACATGCAAGAGGCATGACTGACGTGGCCGCCTCGACCTTTGTTTATCGTCTCTTCAATAGATACGTCTGATGTCGACCAAAGATCTACATAGCCATAGCACAGATCTTAGTTACATTTAGGTTACTGCTCAAGCATCGTTGTCACAGAGTCGAGTAAACGTCGAAGACATCCGAGTCAACATCCACGAGCGAAGAACCTACATCGGTCTTTTTCCCACACCGCAAGAATATGAGAGATCAGGTCACCGGCAATGACGATGGTGTATGGAAGTCATGTGTCCCAAAACTTGTTGACTTATCAAGGGGATGAAATGGGTCAAGATAATAAGGGCAAGTGCTGATTGTGACTTCTTGAAGTGATGGCTTTCGCGAAACGTTCTTGCTGTCTATTCCAATGACCTGACCAGATGATAGTATTACTTGAATCTGGCAAATGTATTGATGAGATGCTGAACATTGACTCAGAGATGCTACAATTCACAAAAGCCACCGGAGGAATTTATTCAAAACGACTTCCAAAGCTAATGATACAGTAGGTAGATTTGTACGCAAGATCCAAATTTTTGTCAAACAGAAAATTGCTCACAAGCAAGCAAGAGTCAAAAGAAAAACGAAACCCTTCCATTGCCAAAATCCAGCATCAATCTCGTCGCGTTTTTGTACTCGAGTAAACCAAAACTTGCGTGAGCACATCAGTGGATCTCTCGGCGCCTTGACACAAGAGCCATCAAAGGGCTTTCGCTTTCCAGGTCAAACTTCTCAACCAACACTGTCCAACATTCAGATCACGAAACATCGTAACGACCGCTTTCTTGTTGAAGTCAAGATCGACCCGAGTATCCACATGAGCATCGCTTTCCAGCAATGTAGTAGCGGCCGCAACTGGGGCATTGGCGTGTTGCGAATATGACCTGTGGCCAAAGTGAGTCGAGGAAAGCTATGCTTCAGGTCAGGCTTTACTTACAGGACCGAGAGGAGAGACGTCGATATGGTCGACACATGGTGAGAGTGGGACAGTGGTGCATGGCTGGAGCATGCTGTCATTGGTACTGTTCTTGCATGAATGAGGCATTGTTGATTATGACAGGGATGGACGTCTGCGTTGGAGTTTCAGAGAGGTTATGTGGTCGGCTGGTTGTGATGTTGGTAGAAGCTTGGTTGTAAAGATATTTCAAGATGATTGACTGTGTCGACCTCTGGTCGGTATACTGTTCGAAGAAGTCGAATGGTGATGATGGCTCTAAGGTGATTCCATCAGTCCTTATATACAGCAGGCTCACCTGTCAATTGCCTCGCGGATCAAGGACCGACACGGAGATATCGCAACATGACAGCAAGTCAAAGCTCTTCTTCACCGCAAGATTTATATCAACTTCGACAAGTCAACTTTCTCGAGAGCGGCTCGCGGCAATTCACATGAGGGCTAATTCCAGCAAGGTGGTTACGCATCTAGATCGAGTTGGGTGCATGCAGGAACACCCCTGGTTTAAGGTTTTTGACCTGTCAAACCCGTTTTATGTCCCTGTTTTGTGGGAAAGATCGTGCTATACTGCATTCGAGATGACGAATATCAGAAATGTGACCGGTAGCTAATGGATCCCTTGCGACGTGTTGTTGTCAGCACTGTCATCCGGGTTTTGAAAAGCAAGAGTCCGAGGAGATATGAAGCAGAAGTGCACAAGTAAGGGAGATGTTGCATCAGACTACTGTCTCTGAGAAATTATGCTTCCGCTCGTCTGCATGTTGAGATGCTTGACGTTGTCGGCGCTTAAGAGAGTAGCATTGGAAGATGGCATGAGATGTGACAAGCCAGTCAGGATGTGTCCAGGGATGTGTTCATCGTGGATGAAGAGAAAATGTTGAACACTTGCATCCCTCAAACACGAACAATGTTGAAGGTGAGCCATTCTGCAGTAAGTAGTGACACCTCTCTTGCCCCGACCGGACGTTGTTGCCGCGCTGTCGCGTGCTGCTCGTTCCAAGCGCTTGGCCGCCCCACTTTTGCTGTGCCTGCTTTTGTGCATCTTGTCTTGCGCTCGTCCATTCCAACCATCAATGATGATTCCTGTCCTTTGCACTACCAACATCGAGCCGGAGGTTGGTGTCTCGGATGTCGATGCCGTTTGGAACTAATCATCACGATAGCTGCTCAATCAATTCTTGGTCGAAGCTTACGCTGCCGACACAGATGCTCCAGAAGACCTATGCATTTTAACCACTAAAGACTGGTCTTACTATCGTAATGAAGCTCGGCTGAGCCCCGGAGAAGCCCAAATACAAGGACGCATTGCTGTACCTCGAGGTGGAGGTCCAATGGAGTCACCTTCTCGCCCACCCTGGACGAAACGATTCGAGACGCCCTTCCTGAATCAAGATGCGACAGATATTGCTCAGACCCTACGAAGTGCAGAAGGTCTCCTATCAAGCATGAACAAACAGTTTTGTATTGTTCTGGACGGACAAACAACCCAGGACAAAAGTGTGTTGCTAGTAAAAACCTCTCGAGGACCTGAGAGCAATTTGCCGAGCGATAATGGCAGTCCTATTGTTCAATACAGGACGTCATTCGAGCAAGCTAATAGTATTATACAAGGGGTATGTATTGGTGAAGGATCTCTGGAGGAATTGCTGTGGAACGACAAATCTACTGGTTGATAGTTTCGCATGAGGAAACGAGCAAAGATGCTTCTGTTCGCTGCTCAATGCAGGCAGATTGACTCAGGCAAGTCAGATACCATACAGCAAAATGGGAAGCAACACATACAGCAACAGAGCAAGGGTTTGTGCCGTATACTTGAGCTGCTCGCATACTGATTGGCTGTGGAGCACACGTGATGTCGGCATCTTGTACGGGCGCTTGACCCCTTATTTCGCCAAGTCGCGATGAACAACCTGACACGATGTCTGGGTCCTGCACGACCTTATCACATCAGATCTTGTGTTTTTGAACATTGACCCAATATTACGCAGCCCTCACCGTCATCAAGAGTGGACAATGTTGTTCAGAGGCCCGAGGGTGACTGCAATCCCTTCCATGATCGGCTCTACTGGTCAGATTTACCATTTCAAGGAGTTGATTCAGAAGAGAGCGCACGTTGGGCGTGTCTGGCTAGCAACAACCAAGTAAGCTGGTCATACCCTTTACATCGCAGACTTATTGTTCTGCAGACCAGAGCACAACCCGCACATCTTGAAGGATATCCCTGAAGCCATATTTTCCAACTTCAATGAAAACATACGACCTCGATTTTGTAGGGTTAGACACATAAGAATTGCCTCTCGACCAGATACCACACCAGCCCATACTGGTCTATAACTATCTGACAGATGACTTTCACTCTCTCATCAAAGCGAAGATCGATCTTGGAGCAAGGAAAAAGATCTTGAAGGCAGTCTTGAAGGGACTCGCGGAACTATATTCGAGAGATGTGGTACACCTAGGTGAGCACGCTTCGCATCAACCACAAACCCGCTTTCCAATTTGACGATCTTCAGACATTAAATCCGACAACATCCTCGTCAGTTGCCAACACGTAACCGGATCAACCTTTATCGAGAACACCCTGATCAGTGATGTCGAGAATGCGGCATTTTTGCCTAAAGGTAGGTGTATGAAAGGAATGCTGCCAGGAAACGAAAGCTGGCGCAGTCCTGAGGGACATTTCAGAGGGGAGCGTAACAAACCATCAGATATGCTTTCCTTTGGATTTATGGTATGCGAATGTGAAAAGAGATTGGATCCACTCACTGACAGGTTCAGTGTATCCACGCTGTCCTTGGACAGGTTATCTTCGCACTCAATGATGACTTCAAGAAACATGAGATGCAGAGTGCTCTCCCTTATTTGATCCATCTCCAGCGACAGATATGGTTCTTTGGGAATGAGGGCGGCCTCGAAGGACTTGTGAAGCATGTTGGTGACGACGAACTCAATTGCCAGGCTTTACGGATGCTTTGGGAGGAGCGACATGAGGATTACATCGGTTATTCGCCATTCAGCAGTTGGCCAGAAGTTGAAGATGAGAACTTCAAAGACCTTATTGGTCAGATGATGAGCTTGGATCCTGCGCGAAGGATTACGGCCACTCAAGCTCTGGAACATCCTTGGTTTGTAGGTATGTAACGACGATTCAGAACGGAGGCAAAAGCATGATCAATCTCCAGATTACGCCTGGTATGCCATGAAGAAACAGAGCCGTCTGCACGGTCCGTACAAGGGAATGAGCGAACCTACTTGTTCGCAACTCAATCAAGCAGAGTTTCGAAAGAGGCAGTTTCGATGTCTACTAGCAAAAAGGAGAGCAAAACGTACAGCAGCAGGGATTCCCACGTGGTCACCCACCGTAGTACTAATCTGCCGTTCAACTGCTTATGTATGGCAGAGCGGACGGGATGCCCAGTTTTCAGCTGACTGTGGCCGTACGTGGAAGACACGTTGACCTAAGCTGATCATCATGTTACACCTTCACTACAAAAGACATTCGGCATAGCTAGTCGGATATCTGCCCATGATGGTGCCGAAGAATATCCATTTGCGAGTGAGAACTGATGGATGGAAAACGCCGTCTATTGCTGTGATTTTTACCAAAGAGGAAATTGAGACGCGATCCTCTTTTTGTATAAGCGATAAGCATCGCCACTATTAGCTTTTATGTCCTAAGCTCTTCCATAAACATCGTGATAACATTGACCGAGATCAGGACAACTGTGCAAGAAGATTGGTCAATGTTTACGCCCAAGCTTCACAGATCACTTACTATACTGGATCCTGACCAAAGATGATATGCCAAAGATGCTCGAAAACACGGCCGCTTGTATCATCATCAAGTGGTGTCTCGTGCAGCCACTTCAAAGCACCAACATAAAACTCCAGAGGTCGCTTGCGAACCTGATCTCGCGAAACAGCAAATTGGGCACAGCAAGTAGCGCCTATCACCTCCGGCACGTCGTTGTTGCCAAATAGCTCTTTCCATACGTGCGCAATTGCGTGTTCTGCTCGTCGGTCCTCTTCGTCATGATATTCGTGGAAAGGTCGGGTCCCGTCCGGACAGCCAGGATTGGCGATGCAACGAAGATTGGCATAGCCATGGCTCTGAACAAAACCAGTCTGGAGAGACAACAAGCTTTTGACATTCGAATACCCATCTGCATCTGTGTGCCATGCTCGCGGGTTGCCGTCTTCGTGAGGATGTACAAATGCAATGGTCGACGGAAGTTTTTCAAAATTCTCTATGAGGTACGTGAGATAGACATTAGCCTCTCGCCCCTTGTTTCTCGAAGTATGCAAAGGCCAAGTGTCGTTGTCGACCGAGTATACAGCGTTCTGCCATCTGCGATTTGCGTCAGAGCTTTCCAGATGGGAACAAAAGCCGAAGGACTGACGTTGGAAGCTTCTCGACCCAAGATGTATCCTCACTATTGGTTTTACCCATTACAACGATCTGGTCCAAGGAGCTCAAGCTACTTGTGCTTGTTGTTGTAGACGCAGTAGCTGGGGCTCTATTCAGAGCAGTGGCGGTCGCAGTTGCTTCGAAGCGCTCGTCATTTAGTGCAGACGATGAAGCCAATTCTACAGTCTCGTTGGCTTTCGTTAACGCACCATCTTCGGCATCGACGAACGATCTGAAGTTAGAGCCATGGAAGGCTTCTGCAATTCGCAAGCGATACAGACAACTTCTGATCAGGAAGAAGCCTGCTAGAAGCAAGATTGCAGGGAAAAATCGAGTCGCTGCTTTCATATTGGTGGTATGCTGAAGGATATGGTAAGAATGCTGGTTGCTCCAGCCTGGAGCAATATATACGACAGCCTAGCCTTCATCGAGAGCTCGGCCTTGGAAGACCACCATGAGTTGAAGGATTGCCATGAGTGCCGCATCGTAGCGGCGCGTAGCTATCTTCGTTGGTGCCGGTATATTGCACTTGGCCCAGCGAACCTGTGCCGCTTCACAGTGGCGGCTCCGCGAAATCTGTTTCTGCAGCTTTGAGATGGATTGGGACTATAATAGCACACTTGGTGATGTGACATCAATTTGTTTCGCTCTCAAGTGCCAACGACATGGTTCGACCTGGACGTCAGTCCCTTAGCGGCGCTTAATTTTCGCGCAGATGCCATCACCTTGACTTGGGCTCTGGACCACTCATTTCTGGCTGGATTTCGGTCGACATAACTCGACAATAATGGCAGTTCATGACATAAATCAGTCAGGCAAGATGTAGCAGAAAATAGAAGGACCGACTATATACGTCGCTACGGCGAGGTCTTGGCGGGTTGACATCTCACGACGTCGCGTGTTGCCTATCATCATCTTCCATCAGCTTCTTTGGGAGTATAGAACGACCTACATCGGCATCAGAGAGTTTTGGTTAGCGTCTTGCAAACCGAGCACCGGTGGTACAGATCTTGACTTCGGCCAGTCGCAGATAAAGTGAAAAGCAGCAAAGAGTTGATCGATGGCATAGACGAGAACACGAAAACAACACAGTATCGCCCGACTCAAGAAGGAGATTCGTCGATGCGGACCATAAAAGAGATAGTCAGTCACCATCAGTACATCCAAGGCTGATCTCTGATCATGTGTATTCCAGGCAGGTGACTGCGTTCTCGGGTTGTGCTTCTCTGCCGGATACCTGGGCAACGACTACATGCTCTACAAACTGGATTTCAAGCACTATAAGTCTCAAGTTTGGCGCAAATACTATGCATATCGGCAAGCAAAGCTATCACAGAAAACAAAATGATGCGCGGTTGGAAGATTATCGTTGAAGGACGGAGAGTCCAAGCATCGACAATGTTGATCAACAGCCGACACAACAACACTGACCAAGAAACATACATATGCAGCTTTGCTATCATCTTCTGCCTCTCACCTGTGCCTTTACATCCTAGCATTGTGTAACCTTATGGATTGCCATCTATAAACAACTATAGAAACATACCGGATCTCCATCCAGAGACCTTCCTTAGCTAGATTGTCGCATAGAGTCGCCTTGAGTCTGTGTTTATCAAATCAGGAAAGCACGAAATCTCAAGACTAACAGCCGTTATAATACATATTATAGCATTCGTCAAGCAACGGGGATCTCGCAGTACCAGACCCTTTACTGCCGTCTTGCTATATTGTTCGTTTCGATATATGTGCCATTCACCTTCCTCCATCCGCTGCTGGCTCCGTGCATTGCAAATAGATAAGAGTCTTATGCACGTGTGTTGAGAATGTCACATGCTTAATACGCGCGCACTAAATATAGCAAGCCGCCAGCAAGTGTTACTGCAGCTTTTCGTAAGCGCACCAATCCTTGCTTCTGTGAGTCTGAATATATCTCGATCTTTTTGTCTATATGGAAAACTCTCAAGCAATGGGTTTTGACCTCTTGGTCACAACGCAGAATCGTGGATTGGTAACGCCACCTAGAATGAAGCGGTCGATGTGGCCCTGCGATTTCAGTCAATGCAACAAACCTGCAACGCGCGTCCTTGGCGATTGTGTGATATGTGGGAGTCATCTCTGTTATGAACATCTTCAGGAGCGTTCTCATACTTGCCCGTCCCCTCAAGTAAGATCACGTAGGCAATATCGGTCCTAGAAGACTGACTCACTGATGAACCAGGACCAAGATTACGATCAACAGCTTGACAAAGCAGAGGAGAATGAGATTGCGCAATTACTGCATCGGATTAATTTCGAACAGCTTGAACTGAGAGCAAGCTCTGTACGCAACAACATTCCTTGTCGAGTCGAAATGCCTAAGAATGACAAAGATTCAAGATGGTCCATGATGGGTGGGATGAACCTTCACGTAAGGATCATCTTCGAAGACAAAGTCTGCTGGATAGCCCGTATACGGCGCTCCAACGCGACATCACCACCATCAGAGTTACGAGATCGTATCTTCATGAGTGAGATCCAAACGCTACTTTTCCTCCAGACGACCAACATACCAACGCCGAAAGTATGGGACTATGCTCTAGAAGGACCAGAGAATCCTGTTCGAGTTGGGTATATCCTCATGGATTGCATGCCGGGAAAATCCCTTGATCGGTTTTCACTATCCGAAGAAGGAAGAGACAAGATCATCGCACAGATTGCGGACATCTATTTGCAACTCCGCGAATTTCCCTTTGATCGGATCGGGTCTATAGAACAGGCTGACGAGAAACACGTGGGACCTCTTGCTCGAGAGTGTTTTACCGATTTCACCGATTCCGGCATTCGACCCCTCGGCCCTTTTTCAGATCTGCAAAGCTACTACAAAGCCTCGATTCAGCTACTGCTCGATCTCATTCACCGCGGCGAGATACATGCAGACAGGCCAGTAGATGCATATCTGCTCTACAGATACCTTACGAGATTGTTCCAGAACTATACCCCGATGTGTCAGAAACTCGAACGAAGACATATCTCAAGCACGCCGATGACAAGGGGAGCCATATACTCGTCGATGAAGAAATGAACATCACTGGAATCATCGATTGGGAATGGGCATTCACAACGACAGAGCATCTGGCCTTCAATTCCCCAATGCTGCTACTCCCAACCTGGGATTTCTTTCAGGGTCTCGGTCGGATCGGTGAGGAGGAACAACTGTTTGCCAAGTGCTTGGAAGCAAAGGGAGCCTCTGATATGGCGTCCTTTGTACGGGAAGGCAGAAAGCACCATCAATTCGCCTTTCTGTGTACTTTTGATCTTGGTATCAGCTTCCAAGATCTGCAAAGCTTGTTTGGGGGGCTTCTAAACAGTATGAAGGGTGTTGACGGACACAGCTGGGAAGAATGGAGACAACAAGCTTTAAAACAGTTCGACCAGGATCCTAGGTTAACCGACATCCTGAGCAGGTCCGAGGGATGAGTGAAGCTCCTTGTTTAAGCGTAGAAGATTATTTTGACTACAATTCTACTCTATCTATGCGCTTTTATCCCCATTGTCGACAGCATGGGTAGACATTCTTCTGTGAAAGGTACTCACGGCTTCTTCGCACAAGTCGAGCTATTCAAGAATCAATGGGCATACTTTATGGAGAGAACCCCTAGGTCGTGATGCTCGCTCTGTTTGTAACATTAAATGTACAGAAGGAGCGCAGTTAATTGGTAGTTAATCAAATGTTGTTGGCGTCGCAAGTTTCTGTTCGACCTAGATTAATGCAAAATCTATCCACTCTTTTTGGGTTATGCAATCTTTACATAAATCTGGTTGCTGCCTTAACCCTCCCCTGCCTCCCATTCAGTCTCGTTGGCGTAACCTGAAAGAACAACAACTCAAAGAACAACATATTGGTAAAGCAACACTGCAAATATGACACTCGAGAATGTTATGCTTGAGGGTACGCTCATGGAGTACTTTCCTGTTTGCTGCACCACCAACATGCCTGTCAAGGTGACTTCACAGCTACCTATTGCACAGTAAAATACAATGTTGACTCACATTTTTGTTATATAGGATATCAACCGTTTCCTAGCCGAAGCACAAAGACAAGATCTTGATGTTGGGTTCGACAACAACTTGACTCTGGTCCACAGCCTCGATGTCCAGCTCGTGGGGCCCACCAAAGAACTACGAGGCAACGACGAGACCTTGCAAAGCCCGTTCAATGGCTGTACATTCCTCGAAATTCATCAGAAGCTGAAGGACATGGTGGCCGCTACAAACTCGTCACTAAACACTGAATGGTTTTTGGTGCTTGATGAAGAATCAGCGCAGACTTCCACTGCTGTCATTGTCAGTATTGAAGACGATGGAGACGTACAATCGGTCCGGGCCGAATATACAGAATGTTCGACATGTATATCGGCAGCCAGTGTATCTCACCCTTCTCTCGATGAGATGATTGAGATTGCGAATGAATATGGGGATGGAGTCATTCGGATTGAGAAGTAGGGATTCATATTGATTATGCTGTCATATTTATGCTACAACTATTCAGATGCACACTTGATATTCGTTTCTCGGTATGACCATGCATGGCACACATATGCTTGCACTCCTCCAAGACAAACTAATTTTCGATACAGACTGTCGAAGTCGATGGCCGTAATGATAGCTTCACATGGAGGAAGAGGTCGATGATTGTGCCTCAACTTATCCCCAGAAAAGCGACCGCGAAGCTTTCTCGGGAGCCATCCGAACCATCTGAGTCGTAACGGTCGCTCCAAACACAGCAAACGACAGTATAGTGCAAGATGCCGTCTTGAGAACATGATACATGCAATCTGGTTTGCACCATGCTAGCTTCTCGTCGCCGTCTCGTCTTGAGGTCATGACATTGCGGATGTCGGACGCGCCTTGAACGTAGATATATGCAAGAATGCCGATAGCGCCCATAGTAAAGCTAAAGCTTTTTGAATGACCTTTTGCGAGGTTTGAGTTTGTGGCTGCGCCGTAGAGGAAGATCATGGGTAGGAGAGGTTTGTATCCATTCATATTGATGAGGAAGTTGGTTTCTTCCGTTATGCGAATGGAAGAATGGGAAGAAGGACGTTCCTTGGAGCCTGTGATAAAGGACTATTGAGAATTCATATGCATGCCAGTCTTTGTTGAGAACGTCATCCGACAAGCATAAATCTTGATTTATGCCAAAGCATTAAAACTTGGCATAAGCTCTCACGTTCGGATCCGACGCTTCCGGCTCCGAGATGCTCTTGCTCGTAACTACGCAACTATAGCTCCTGCTTTGTAATCCTCACATGTTGACGAACTGATTGGAACATACTTATATCAAGGAACGTCTCCAGTTGAAGTTTGGTAACTGGAACTACAGGGCAAAAGTATCTTCCTGCTGCAACTCTTGATATTCGAGACTCCATCTTTAAAGACACCTCAACAACAACTAAACATGGCACCAATCGGCGTTGGAATAATCGGCCTCTCAGCCTCAGGTTACTCCTGGGGAGTGTCTGCCCACCTTCCCTACCTCAAAGACTCTTCAAAATACAAAATCACTGGTATCTGCAATTCATCAGCCGAGTCCTCGCAAAAGGCAGTCGAAGCCCACAACCTCACAGACGCAAAAGCATATGGCTCTCCTGCAGAGATGGCAGCAAGCTCTGATGTTGATCTTGTTGTCTGCTGTGTTAGAGTTGATCGTCACTACGAAGCCATCAAACCTGCTCTTGAAGCTGGAAAGGACTGTTTTGTGGAGTGGCCATTGGCTTCAAACTCTGAGCACGCTAAGGAACTACTTCAACTTGCTGAGAAAAAGGGTGTTAAGACTATGATTGGCTTACAGGGACAGATGAGTCCTGTTCTCAGTCGTGTCAAGGAACTCATCGAGAAGGACAAGGCGATTGGCCGTATCATCAGTTCGAACGTCACTCTGGCTGGTATGCTAGGCACCAAGGAAACCACAGAGGCACATGAATACCTCAATTCCGCTGAGATTGGTGGTAACATGTTGGTCATTCCCTTCGGTCACTTATACGATGCCGTAAGCTACACTCTCGGCGAACTCAAGGATGTTTCTTCGACACTGTCGGTGCAGTATCCAGATGTGCCGGTCAAGTCTGCCGATGGCTCAAAGGTCGTGAGAACGACCAAGCGTACTGCTGCCGATCATATCACAATGTCTGGTCTTCTATCCAATGGCGCACATTCTTCAGCGACCGTAACCGGCGGTCAAGCTTTCATGGACGACTCAGGCATAGTATGGAAAATCGAGGGTGACAAAGGTGTTATCGAAGTTCGTGGAAAAGAACCTTTCGCTCTGAGCATGTCACTAGACATCAAGATCAGAATGCAGCTTTTTGAGACTGGAGAGACCAAGGAAATTGAGTTTACTGAGGATAAGCCGGGTCCTCCTGGTAATGTTGGAAGACTTTATGAGGCTTTTGCTGATGGTCAGTATTATCCTGATTGGAAGTGGGCTGTTAAGCGTCATGCTTGGGTGGATGCTCTGTACAAGAGCAACGATGAGGGCAAGCGCGTTTCCTACGTCTGATTTGAAGATCATACGATAATTCGCTAGATCACAAACATACGAGTATAAGAACAACAAATCTATCAAACTTCCACTGTGCTCCAAGCTCAGCACTACTACAACTCTTCGGAACCACCTTGGCGCTCCAATTGTCGATACTCATCAATAGTTTCCGTACATGGGATTTATCCGAGATGCTTGCTTAAGATAGGCCATCTAGAGATTGCCAAGGTCGCCGTTGTAAGTGCTGCCACAAGCAACAATACCAGTGCAATTTGTACCCTTACGCGCCATAATAAGCTCCTCGAAATAACTCACGCCCTCAGCACGCACATCATCAGGCATAGAACTGGACGTAGTGTTCTGATTGAAGTAGTAAGCCTCAGGTTCATCCGCATCAACAGCGACCCAAGGTTCTGCTGGTACTGGATATATTGTCAGCAAAGTCGAGATTAATCCAAATCGGAGTGCAAGACTCACCACCAAGATGCATGTTCGGATCGCCATAATTGACAAAACTGATCCACATACGGCACATCTGCTTGGCTAAAGTGACGAGCGATTCACGTGCTGGCCCGCCCAGGGGATTGGGATTCCCGTTCTGAGGGTAGCCGAGACCTTCTGTGTTGTAGAAGACGAAAGCAACTTCTTGGAAGTGGACTGCTCCGGCGAAGTATGGGAGACCATTGACAAGGGCGTTGAAGATACTGAAAAACAAGATCAGTCAGGGTGTATCTGAATCAACAAGCGAACTCAGAGACTTACTAGGTGTAGGATGTGGCACCATGTCTTGCCCACCAGTGTGCTGTCAGACGTCTACCTGCATTCATACTCATGTCCTGGCCGATGGCAGCAGCACGCTTAAATTGAAGTCCGATGGTAGCGTTCGGTCTACCATGAAGAGTACTAGGTACACCAATATCCGGAATGTCAGGGTAGAGGATGGCGATATCATGGGCTGTAGCATTGTCATAACCTGACCTGACGAGATAGTTCAAGACTTGCTGAGTCGTATTGAGCCCTCCTGGCCCGAAGCCAACACCCTCGGCCTCGTTGACTCCGATAATGTAAGGGACTTTGAGGAAGTCACCCTTAGCAAGTGCTTGCGAGGCAGTCTGAGTGAACCAGTCTCCATCAATGACAGGACCGTATCGAGCTCCCTGAGTGGCGGTAGAGTTGATGACAGAGTTGAGCTTATCAGTAGGTACTTTACGGAGGCAATCAAGTACAGAACCAGCGCCATTGCATCCTGTAGCTTTGCTGATGTTGGCGATGACGGGTTCCCAGTCAGCAACGTGGAAGTCAGGTTGGAGTCCAACGGGAGCTCCAGATTCAGCGATAGCTGCATGGAAGAGACTGTCATTGCGGCCATTGTAGGCAAGTAATTGAGCTCCAACACTGGTGCCTCCTGACGATTCGCCTTGGATGGTGACACGGTTGGGATCGCCTCCAAAGGCAGCGATATTCTCTTGGACCCATCGCAAAGCAAGGCGTTGATCTCTGAATCCGTTCATGGTGTTGCCTGACTCCTGGATCTCACGTCCATAAAGGAAGCCCCACGAAGACAGACGATAATTGATACTGACAGCGATGATTGGCATTCCTGCTTCCACGGACTGTTGAACGATGAAGGATTGATTGTAACGATGATCTGCACTACCACCCATGACAAGGCCTCCTCCATGGATCCAGACAAGTACAGGAAGGCTCGCATGGGAACCGGCTGGCTTGATGACATTCAGAGTCAAACAATCTTCGCTCACGTAGTTGCCTTGGCTCCAGGTATCTCTGCCATACCCAATGCACTCTGGACTGTACTGGGTAGCGTTCCTGATTCCAGACCATGTAGTGTTGAGAGATTGAGGGACACGGAAACGTAGTTCGCCAACAGGAGGTTGGCTGTATGGCATTCCGAGGAAGCCGTCGGTGCCATAGGCGGGTGCGTAGTAGCCTGTGTAGGTGCCATTCTTGACGTGTGCAGTAGGTACGGAACCTTGGTGGTTGTTATCCCTCTTAACAACAGCCGCGCATGCAGCATTGAGAAGCACGAAGCCGCTCGCTAGGGCCTTGATGTTGACCATCGTGAAAGAAGATATACTTTTGCTTCGACTGATTTTGGACTACCAGCAAGAGCCTCATATCTATAGCTAACCATTTTCAACATGGATACCATACCAAACAAAGCCCCGCCTTGAGCTTGATCTCGTGGTACTTCTGAGATGAAGCTGCCCCGCTTCTGAGGTGATATCTTGTAGCATTGTGCCGCGGTATGGTGGTAGTCCGACACGTCAGAGGCTCAGAATCCGCGTATGAATGTACTCTCAAGCAACTGCCGTTCTGCTCTGCTTGAACGATCTGCGATGTATGGCTGTATGACAGGAAAGGACCGACTCATGCGGGCATCGGGGCCGAAACCCCTCACCATCAACCCCGCAAACATAGCCCTGAATATGCACTCCACATACAGATCAACACATGGCAGATATCTTGGTGGAGGCTTATACAGCTTTTCAATATGACGTGCTGAGTTTTTGTGGTCAAGAAGACACATGGCCGGGTAAATGATGTCGGCCGTCGTCGGCCGGACTTGCCAGAATGAGAATCTCTTGCCAGCACAACTCCACATGATACTCTACACCAAGGTGGGGACGAACGAGCGATGTGGAGGATCGCATCTGCGGAGGTCTAGGTCCCAGCAATCTGCAGGATCTACTTGATATAGGTCTTTCGTTTCTTGTTTCTCAGCCATATCCACAGCGAGGTCCTCTTCAAAGCTCGCAGAGCTCTATAACCAAAGCTGTATATCACATTAGCTTTGGACATGTCTGTGTATCTGACGGCTGACCTTGTAACTTCCGGTGGCGGTTGTTGTGCAGTGGCAACGAATGCAGTGTTGTCGATGTTGCTTGCATTACTTTCAAGAAACGATTGAGCGCTATACCGGTTGAGAGATTCGACTGGCAATGTTTTCGCCAAATGCGTGCTAAATATCTTCCAGGTATCCAGCACGATTTCGGTTGTGTCGGTCCCGTGTCTGTAGACTGTCCATTTGTACTCCCTGGGACACAGGCTACATTTTCGTGTCTCCGTGGTCCTTTTCCAAGCTGGGACGGTCCAAGCCGGGACGGTCCAAGCCGGGACGGTCATGAGCTTGATGAGATCAGACGCTCTCGTTTCGATCCTCTGATCATCGTTCAATGGATGGTGGTATTCATCCTCACAGATGCGAAGGATTCGTGCTGCTCTGAGGGCCAAAAACTGGTTGCTTAGAGCGTCTGTCTTCGGGTTTCGTCTGTGTTCCGAAGTGTATAACAAACGTTGACAAGCATGTATCACGGGTAGCCCTCCTATGATCTCTATCTCGATCGTGTACCGAATCCAGAATGTTGCTGGTATGTTCCCGCTCTTGTCATAACCAGTCCGCCAATCTTTTTGAAACGTGAGGCAATCCAGGAATTTGTCTTGGACTGAGCTGTACGCAATATAATCCCACACAGCTCTCATGCACCAATCAGGCAAGAATTCGCCCGGAACTACCTGTATTCGATGAACGGAGAGATCTATCATGTGGCAGCGTCGACAGTGTAACCAGCCGCGTAGTGGACGATCTTTCGTGTAGAAACGATAACACCTGCGACATAATGAGTGATTCGGAAGATCCATCCACAAGAGCATGATGAAGCGAAGGTGGTCATCAAGTTGAGGATACGGGATCGGAGACGACATCATCATGTGATTGACTGGCCAGCGCACAGGTCCTCGAAGGTCAGGTTTCCAGATCTGCTGCAAGTGTTTGTTTCGATATAGGTCGTGACATGTGAGTGAGAGGCAGGCGGTTTCTCTAACGAGCAAGTATCCCACTATGTTGTAGAGCAACTCGAGAGGCAGTTTATTCAAAGGTCCCGTTTGTGCAGTCGTTGGTCGGCCTGAGAGAAGGGCCGGCTCGCTGAGCTGTAGGTCTGATGGTTCCTGAATATCGGGATCGCTTGAGTATGCTTGCATTGTCTGTTCTACCACGGCTTGTCTTTCGACAGGAGGAAACACACCAAGTTGACGGGCCATATCAGGAGGTAAGTCGTGTGCAGTATCGTCAAGTGCCGAAAGAGAATTGGTTATATACGAGTCGCACCATCTTTTCGCGAGTGATGAGGTGTATTGAGGCAGATATCCACAGATCAAGAAGCATTTTAGAAACTATGGCCCATAGATTGACTATTAGTGGCAAAAATTCCCTCGTGTCTCATTACCGTGACTCAGATGCGGTTTCTAGAAGTCGGCAGCAAATGATAGGTCTTGACAATTTTCAGAAGAGTCGCTGAAGCTGAAGCTTTCATGTGCCCTGCTATTGTAGCGCAGACTTGCTTAATATGTCTCTTAACATGGTCTCCAACCGCTCTCGCGAGTCGCACATGTCAGACTGTTGATTTTGCTGCGGAGCGCATGTAGAAGCAGCTGTAGTAATGAAGCACAGAGGTTGTCGTGGGAGAAGTGAAGCAGGGGTATATTACGGAAGCTGCGACCAAAAAATAACAAGGAAATCATGAAAGAGGCAGGAAGAGGAAATTTCAAACAAGGTCGTCGAATCATGACTCAGAAGTCAAAAAATTGCCAACAGCCTCAACAAAGGCATCTGTCTCTTCAAGATGAGGACAATGACTGCTTTCAGGGAAGCGGACCCATTTCACCTTGCCAGGGATTTCCCTGAAAAATGGCTCCATGGTGATGTCTTGAGCTTCGTCGTAGTTGCCGTTGATCAATAATGTCGGAACATTGATTTTGTGAAGCTCGGGTGTGATGTCCCAGCCTTTGAGTGAACCAATAACGTTAAATTCTGAAGGTCCGTTCCTGAGTAATGTAAGCAAGATGTTTTCCAGGAAATGGAATGTTAGACTCACATAGTCATGTATACAGTATCATCGTCCTTGACTTGGTCCAAGGTTTGCACAAGCTCATCGGGAAAAGGTACGACACGGCAGACGTGTCTCTCATAGAAACTCATCATGGCAGTCTCGTACTCTTCCGTGTCTGTTGTGCCTTGCTCCTCGCAGCGCGTCAAAGTCTCCTGGATGTCCTTAGGCAGCTCCGTTCGTAGCTTATCTGCAACTTCGAGCCAGGTATCCAAGCTAGCTGGAGAATTGGCGACGATCAGACGGTACAAGCCAGCCGGACGTTTTGTGGCATACAATGCACCAAGCATACCACCCCAACTTTGTCCAAAGAGGTCGAATTTCTTGATACCAAGGTAGGATAACAGATTTTCCAACTCGGCAATGAAGAGGTCGGTAGTCCAGAAGCCGGTGTCTCCTTTCTTTTCACGCAGATGTGTTGAGTTTCCGCAACCAATCTGATCGTAAAGAATCACTGGTCTTGAGAAAGGAGCCGAGGATAGATGAGCGCAAGGGAGGATGTAGTTGTGAGCCATTCCAGGCCCGCCATGCAGACAGACCAAAGGAGTTACATCCTCAGACAGCTTTCCATACAGGGCATACCATGTCTGGGCTTGAATGTCAGTTCCTGGGACCTTGAAGGCGACTTTCTCAGTCTTCAAAGGTGCAGGCAAAGTTTTTGACGTGCGGCTACCGGCACCGGCAGCTGAATTCATGACGACCCGACGAGTTTGTTTAGGGGTGAAAAGGGTATATCAAAGAACAGAAGAAGGTGCCAAGCTGGCTTTATAGAACCAAGAATCGATTCGAGTCAGGGTTTTCTCGGTAGGCATAAATCATTGTGACATTCTCCCAGTAGGCAGCGATCAGCACTTGTACAGAAGTAGAAGGTAAACGGCGAGCAGTCGTCAGCGTTCGAGCCGTGTAGTCAGGCTGAAGAGCAACATGGTGGTTGTATATGACCGATGTCGGAGATAGAAGAGCCATGTTACAGAGACAGTTTGTTCGTCATGGGTGCTTTTGCTGGCAATCTTTTGACGTTGCGGCCGGAGACAGAAAAAAAAGGTTGATGTACGGATTTGGTGATTGGAAGAGATGGCCTGCCTATCCGGGAAAGCGTCGAAGCTTGGCCGACGATCGGAAAGCGCTCTTGTGCGACCTCCCTCGTTCCGTGCCAACAAAACGTTCTTTCCCTCCAATCCCATCACACAGTTGCGTCTTATTCGACTGTCCATCACACACGAGCCGCGTGCTGCCTATTCACTTCCGTGTCTGCCTCTGGTAAGTTTCCATCACATGCGCGCCCTCTCCTACAAGCACAAGCACCGTCACATGATGAGATTATATATATTGGAGCTGTCCTATCTCTTCGGAGACTGAGGAGACAACTTATTACCTTATACGCAAACATCTGAAACAACCCCTCCTTCACTCTATACCAATCACGCGTCTCCACATGAGAGACGATCTCGTACTAACGCCTAACAGCACTCTATTTACGTTCGCGACATCCATTCGACCTTCCCGAAAAGTCTGCGCTCGCGTCCAAGCTACAGCTCCGCCTGACCTACGCCTATCTGTCAGACCTTTACCCGTCTGGCAGAACCACACTCTCTTGCCTTCTGCAAACTGAATACACAGTCATGTCTGCCGACCCTCGGAGGCGACCTGCGCCTGCACAATCTGCTCCTCCACCGCCTCCTCCACCTCCACCACCAGCAGAGGCCCAGCCTGATTCATCTGTCCAAAGCTTGGATGGCGCGAGTGGCCAGGCATCAGCACAACAGGCTACGGCCGAAGATAGCTTCAAGCTGCGCTTCTGCACGGTATGCGCCAGTAACAACAACAGGTATGTTTCGCCGCGTGATGCCGTAAATCGTGTCTCTGTCTATCCTTGTCTTCTGCAAGATGATCCATTACGTTGCTTGCTCTACTTCTGCCTCTTCCTCTGCATAAACGTATATACTCGCCGAAATACAAAGCCTCTGCTTGTTCATCATCTCGTCCTGCCACGCTGCCATCATGCCACTGCTCCCCTTGCACCAGCCACCGTACTAATACGGTGATGCAGATCCATGGAAGCGCATTTGCGCCTCGCCGGCAGCGCTCAAAAATATCCCACCATCTCCTTTGGCACTGGCTCGCTAGTCCGTCTACCTGGCCCTTCCATTACTCAACCGAACATCTACAACTTCAACAACACCTCTTACGACAGCATGTACCGCGAACTCGAAGGCAAAGATGCTCGCCTCTACCGCGCGAACGGTATCTTGCCTATGCTTGATCGCAACAGAAACATCAAATGGGGTCCGGAGCGCTGGCAAGATTGGAAGATCGGATATCCACGTGTGGGCAAAAGATATGCCAATGCACCTATTCCAGGCGACCCCGTGTATACGAATGACATGGGTGCCCAAGGAACGGAATCAGGAACAGTGGATATTGTCATAACCTGCGAAGATCGCTGTTGGGAAGCTGTCGTCGATGACTTGCTGTCAAGAGGAAGCCCACTCAATCGTCCTGTTCATGTCTTCAACGTCGATATTAAGGATAACCATGAAGAAGCATTGGTAGGAGGAAGAGCCATTCTCGAGCTCGCCGACGAGCTGAATGCTGCTGCTCAGGATGAGAGGAAGATTTATGCTGAAAAGACAGGCAGTACTGAGGGTTTCGACAATGCTACTGGAGGCTCGAGGGACGGCTTTGATGCTAGGGTGCCAATCATTCTGGGGGAGTGGCAAGAAAGATGGCCTCATCTTCCTGCTTTGTGGACTTTGGCATGGTTCTAGACAAACACTCTCTTTGACCCATGTGAGCCCTGTACGACAGTCGATTTCACTTGCTAGAATAGCTTTATACCCCACAATCACCGAAGATGATCAAATGGATAAACCACAAGACGCATGATACAACACAACTTCCCTCATTGGCAAATATACATCCACTCTCGCGGATAAGAAGCAATCCTGCGTTCTGATGCCCACTAAACATGATACACTCTGAATTTGAGATCTTGCCTAGAACCCATGCACACCACTCTTAACACCCTCCAAACTCGCACCACCCACAACGCCATTCTCCTTCAACGCAGCAGCAGCTCTCTCAGCAATCAACCCCGGCAACATCGTCCCCGCCGACGCCACAGCCTTGACCTTCATAAACGCCGTAAACTTGTCATCATCAGGGAGTAACCAGACCGTCTTCTCCGCCCCCTTTTCCCTCTTACAAGTTTCAATAATCTCCTGCATCTCGGATTCGTAGAAGCCTTTTCCGATGACGACGGCTACAGGACCAGTGGATGAGGAAAGCAGAGATGGGAGGGATGATTTTGCGGTGGGCAGGTCGTGGCAGGTGTGGACTACCTCATAGCCTTGGGGTTTTAGGGCGGAGGAGAAGGAAGAGGCCATTGTTGCGCTCTTGCCGCAGAGAGCGATGGGGACGGGGGTTGGGAGAGACATTGTTGAGAAAGATCTTGGAGATTGAAGTCGGATTGAAGTCCTGGAGACCAAAGTGATTGTCGAGTATCTGGATGGTCGAGGAAGAAGTGTCCGTGAAGCAATAGATCGATGTAGTGGAAAGGTAGATGTAAAGCTCATGTGCTTCTTTGTTGTGCACCTCGGACAAAAATGTAGTAGCGAGGGGGTGCTCAAAAGACCAACTTTGATGTTGTCCTACAACCTGAAACCTACCTTGGTCGCTCTTATATACATCAGTGCATTTCAATTGCAGTCCTGCAAGCAGTGTGGTCATCGATCTTGCTTTCCCGAACGGACATGAAGTTGCTCCTCTCCGGCTCGGACATCCGATATCAAGACCCGAGAGCCCCGAGAATACCATTTTTTATGGCCTGAGAAACCATTCAACTTGCTTGATATGCTTGAAAGGCCAAGTAGGTCTAGCATTGAATTGACGTGATGTGTATGCGTTGTGGAAGTGTACCGGCGAGTGTTTGTGATGTGACGATAAGGTCGTCCGTGCCGAGCCGCTGCATCATGAACCCTGACGACAAAGACCTTCGAATGCGCGAAAGCAAGTGCGAATTTGAGTGAACTTGACACATCTTGCTTGATCGATATGACAAAAATATAGGATACGTCCAGTACATGGAGCCACAAGGGGTTGGTTCGAAACTACTAATTATTTTCTTTTAATTTAGGCCATAAACAAAACCTTCCTACAATTCGTTTTTCACGATTTGTGTTGCGGTAGCAATGATGCTCTCAGTGACTGTCTTGCCAGCGTTGTGTTGCCGCAAGCCTTCCTGCTTGTCCACGACCAAGTCCAACCCAAGGAACAATAGCCAAGTAGCTCCGAGAGCCAAAACAACACCACTCACACCAACAATGATAACCATCCAAAGCCAGTCAGGTATAGTTGCAGGTCTCTTTGGTGGGTTTGAAACTTGGTCCAGAGACTGGTCAAGACGAAGAGCCATTTGCTCCTTTGAGAATTCAGCTTCAACGCGCTTGCGGCCATTCTCGCCCATCTTGCGCAATTCGGCAGGATTGGGGGATGAGAGAACACGTGACATGACAGCAGACCATTCTTCAGGCTTGCGGATGTCACGTAGCCAGCCAGTTTCTCCTTCAACAACGGTTTCAAGAGGGCCACCTTCATTAGCAGCCAGCACGGGTACTTCGGCGAGCATAGCCTCGAGAGGCACAATACCAAAATGCTCGTTCTGTGGAGTGTATACGAGCAAGTCGGCAGAAGCAAGAAGAGACTGCTTTAGTGAGTTGGGGACAGAGAGGAGGAAGAGGACCGATGTGTTGGAAGAAATGGCGGAAGGATCAGGGAGCGATTTGTGAGTTTCATGTGCGAGTTTGAAAGAATCGGCCAGGTCCTGTAGTTCCTTGTGAGTGCTGACGTTCTCGGGAACGCGAGGATCATAGCCGCCAGCAATGACTAGCAAAGCGGACTTGCGAATAGAATCCTGTTGCATGGCAAAAGCTTTGACAGCAAGAGCAACGTCCTTCTTCTTTTCAAAGCGGTTGATACTCAAGACGAGCTTTCGACCTGGCCACATGGCTTTTCGCTGCAGCTGATTCGCAGGCGAAGTGTCGACACAAGGATAAACGACCTTCAAGTCCCTACTTGACAGTTGAGGAAAGACACGCTTCACGACACCACCAGTGAATTTGCTGTTGACGACGATACCAGTACTAGAAGCAGTACTCCAGCCTTCAATGGCATTGAAAGGCACTCTGTAGGCCTTCTTCAGAACAGCTATGGCACCTTCTCCTTTTTGAGCCAGCAATTGATCCGGGAAGTGACAGTAGAAGAGACTGCCGACGTCGGGATAGAGGAAGCGGAGGAGAGGCACGGCGGCACTCAGTTGATCGATGAAGAAGTGGGTAGGTTTGAGATGGTCGAGTTCGTAGTTCCATAATGCGATTATGCAGACGAGGTGCAGCTGTCTTAGAATGGCACAGAGAATGGCGAAGCGACCAAAGATGGTTGAGGGGACAAGCGAGTTGCCGCGGACTCGTACGTCGAGGGTTCCTTGATTTGTTCAGCCTGGTCTCTCAGCAAATGTGTATAGCTGTGTAGACGACTACTTACCATCACGAGCTTCTTCAAAGCAATGGCCTGGATCGCAATGCGACGTGAAGATGGTGACCTTGTGGCCACGCGCTTGGAGGCCAACAGCAGCATCAATCACCAATCTCTCGGCACCTCCAATGCCCAGGTCTGGGTGGAAGAAGACGATGCTCTTCTTTTGCGCCATTGCTGATCGAGAAACAGACAGCTCATGGTCCCTGACGCAGCCTGAAGCTTGTTGGCCTTCGATCAACCCCGCCATGCCTTCCTTTCTTGGCATCACAGTCCGGGGTAAACCTTCCTGTGCCTCGGCCCGTCCATCCATGATGCTCCTGCATCAACATCGCCGCGACTTCTGTTCGTAAACTCTTAGAAGAACATGAAGAATTCCTGACCACCATGGCTGACAACAACGCCCCTGATCTATCCATTGTGGGTGATCGCCTAACACTACATCCACCAGGCGTCATCCAGGACCAAGAAACGCCTCTCCTAACTTCATATGCTCGTTTTCGCTCAGCCCCCTTGGACTTTTTGCGAGAAGTCAGCTTGCATCTTTCTGGCTCTGGTTGGCGCTCTTACAATGACTTCATCGGGCGAAACATCTTCTACAATGGCTTCAGCGATCATATTAAGGCTTTGGTCCTGAAGAATCCCCGACTACAATCTAGGATCTCGGAATTGGCACACAAAAGACTTGATGTCGAGATTGCTGAGGGTACTCTTCCGACCGACAAGGTTGAAGAACGACGTAATGAAATGGAAGCTCAATTGATCCAAGTTGCCGATTCCTGGACCGATCAAATGATCTGCAAGATGGACAGTAGGAGGTTCATCCGCGGTGCATACTACTTTGCAACACAACTTCTCACCAGAGCCTACCATCAGGGTATCCACGTCTCTAGCGAGGAAGTTCTGCGCCTTCGCAATGTTGCTCAAGAAGCAGAGAGAAAGAAACAATCTATCATTTTCTTACCATGCCATCGCTCACACGTAGACTACGTCTCATTACAGGTCATCTGTTATCGTCTTGGTCTTGCCTTGCCTATCGTAGTGGCTGGAGATAACCTCAACTTTCCCGTAGTTGGGCCTTTTTTACAACATGCTGGTATGTCTGACTCATTCGGTCTTTTGTTTATATACTGACCTTCGCAAGGTGCAATGTGGATCCGTCGTAGTTTTGGTGACGATGCATTGTACACAACTCTTGTTCAAGCATATCTGGACACGTTGTTACAGGAAGGTCACAATTTTGAATGCTTTGTTGGTATGTATCACTTATCCACCTACACTGTGCACTACTCACACACACCCAGAGGGCGGCCGTTCACGCACAGGGAAGCTCTTGCAGCCAAAGTTTGGTATCTTGAGTTTCCTACTCGAAAGTGTGCTATCTGGCCAGGTCGAAGACGCTGTGATTTGCCCCGTGAGCACACAGTATGACAAGGTCATCGAAGTCGAGTTAGTACTCCCACTACATGTTTTGTTAAATGTCATAGACTAATGTTGATCAGCTCCTACATTTCAGAACTGTTGGGTCAACCAAAGCCCAAGGAATCTTTGGGCAACTTTCTGTCCTCCTCATCTGTCCTATCTCTCAAGCTTGGCCGTGTTGATGTCCGTTTCCATGAGCCTTGGAGTCTGCGTGACTTTATCAATGAAGAAAAATCTAGGCTCACAACGTTGCCACCCCGCATCAATATTCCGGAGGATGTTGCTCTGAAGCGTCGCCTTTTGACTACCCTCGGCTATAAAGTCCTCTCAGACATCAATGCAGTCTCTGTCGTCATGCCTACTGCTCTAGTCGGAACCGTCCTTCTCACTCTTCGTGGACGTGGAGCTGGAAAATCAGAACTCGTACGCCGAGTCGATTGGTTGACGGAAAGAGTCAAGAAGCAAGGTGGTCGCATAGCCCACTTCTCTGGTCTTCCGACAACTGTCGTTGTAGAGCGTGCTCTGGAAGTGCTAGGACCAAACTTGGTTGGAGAGTATAAAAACTTGCCCGAAAAGACTTACTATGCTGCAGATCGATTCCAGCTCAGTTTCTATCGTAACATGACCATTCATCTTTTTGTGTCAGAAGCACTGGTTAGTGCTGCGTTGTACACGAAGGTCAAGCTGGGTGGTGGTCCGGAGAATCAGAGCATCTCATACCATGATCTGTATGATTATGTATACTTCCTCTCACAAGTGAGCCAATCCCTTCCCTGCAATCGTCTGCATACTAACGTTACAAGCTCTTCCGTGGCGAATTCATCTTCCCAACTACACCTCTAGCAGAAAACCTCACCAACACCTTGACCAGCCTCGAATCCGACAACATCATCTCCATAACCCGATCCTCAAACGACGGCACCACAATCGACTCAATCTCCCTTGACGAATCCGAGCGCCTTTCCGGTCGCGAAAACTACGATTTCTACTGCTTCTTAATCTGGCCATTCATAGAGGCTAGCTGGCTAGGGGCTATCAGTCTCTTGATGCTTACACCCCCGTCATCCAATACCTCTCAGCAGACTTCTCTACCTTTGAATGCTGTGGTCACTCAAGCACAAAAACTAGGCAAGACGTTGTATGCACAAGGCGATATCTCCTACCTGGAAGCCGTAAACCGCGAAACTCTTCGAAACGCCTATACTCGATTCGCCGAAAGCGGAATCATTTCCATTACACCACCATCTAAGGATGGCAAGATCCCAGCTACTGTGCATTTGACGTCCGAATGGTTACCTGAGAGAAATGCGGAGGGAAAAATCAAAGCACAAGGAAAGCTTTGGGAGTATTGTGAGAGTATTAGTAAAGGTAGAAGAGAAGGTAAGAATAGACGTGATGGAAATACAGTTGTGAGGAGGATTTTTGGGTTGGTAGAACTGGTTGGCGAGGGCCTGTGGAGGGATGCTGGGGTTGATACTGTGGAGATGCCTGGTAAAAAGGATGCAGAGTGGAAGGCGAAGAGGAGGGAGATTAGACCCTCACCGAAACTTTGATTGTGGTTTGGAAAATGTAAAGTCGATCGTTTGTCATGATAACGTAAACTTCGTTTGTCTCGTGTCTGCAACTATGTGTCGTAGTCCTCTCGCCCCGGTCTCCTTCTCAAAGTGTTCCCTCGTGAGCCCTCGATGTCCCTTCGCTGCGCTTGCCCAATGATCAATCCCACTTCAAAAGCGAGACAACCCACAAGCCGAACATACCCCCTCAAACACCCCAATCCTACCCGCAATAATTTCCTCCCCCTTCTGCATCGGCAACCTTCTCTCTCCCTTAGTCTCCATCAAAGCATTCCTCAAACTCCTCAACGCGAGCACATGATCAGTACACATCTCGCCTTTCGCAACCATACTTCCATCTTTGGCTTGTACTCTTGCCTCTACAAGTACGAATGCTTTTCCTTGTCCGTCGGTTATTGGTGTGCTTCGTCGCAAGATATTGAAGTGGGTTTGGGGGTTGGAGATGCAAGGGAAGAGTCGGTGCAATTCATTCCAGATGGCTGGTGAGACGGGGCTGAAAGCTGCTGCTAACGAGGCTGCGAAATTGATATAGGATGGGTTTCGACAGATGCAGATGGGAGTCGAACGACTCAGCGTACCAGCTCTCAATGGTTGGGTGGATTGAACATCGTTGTTGCTGGACGGAGGACTTGCACTACTACTGCTTTGGCGGCGAGGGGAATCTTTCATGAAGAGATGGTCGTTGTCGCTTGATGGATAGTCTTCGTCTTCGTCTGCAGAGCTGTAGTTGATGAGACTCATGGTGCTCCTTAGATTTGATTGTTTGAGGTGATCATAGTTACTGACGCTGCCTTTGGACTCGGGTGCTGATGTAGAGGATATTGAAGATCCTGAATTCCAGGAGAATTGGTTTTGTGGTTGGCAATGGAGGCGACTATCTATGCTGGTGTTTTTGTTGCGTCTTCTCTTCTCGAAAATCCTGGTTGTGGTATATGTAGATGCTGACATGTTTGCATATACAGGAAAATGTCTGACTTTTTCCTTCACGCTGACTTTCGCAGGCAATCAAGACCTTTGTTTCTTGCTGCTACCTTCGCTTGCTTGATATTAAACCTGAAGTCAGTTGCCAGAGTTCGGCGTAAGCTTGCTGTATAGATAAGAGTGTGCAATTTCTGTCAGAGCAACACAAACATGCGCTGTGCATGTTTTAGATTTGAAGAGTGGATGTGACAGATCGGTCATGCGCACAGTTCAACGACAACTGCCTATGTTACATCTGCAGCAAGTACATGTATCAGCTGGGTGGCGGCTGCAGTGCTGGCTTTGTATGGTCAATGACCACCCTGCGGGGCAGCAGGGACTTGAAGCCCGGTTGGTGTAGCACACTTTTAGTGGAATTATTCTCACATTGGACCACCGGGTGATCTTGTCTGGTCCTCTGTACTTTTCGTTTTCCAGTTACATGGGATGCGCCACATGTTCAGTCACATGGAACGACCTGAGTTGCTTACCCATCTGCCTGGTATCCATGCCATTTGATGAACGCGAGCCGCAAGACGCATGATGTGTTTGGCACTTGCGAACGGTCGGACAGATACCAGGCCACTTGACGGAATGAAGGCCCGGTCATGCATTTGCCACACAAAGCGAACAAAATGTTGCACAATTGTAGGTACCCAAATCACATTGGAACGGATAGCGTTTCTCGAGTTGATCCGAGTCATCCATTGTGACCTTCACCGTGATTATCTGCCTGGAGATCATGTTGTAAGAGTTGGCGGTATCAAAATATCAAGACCGGACCCGTTCTCCTTATCGAAGTCGATTCAGTTGTACGTAAAGTACAGTCGCTTGCAGACTGAGAATCGTGACCAGAGATTGACTTTTGAGAGCTGTAGCCAGGTACGTGTCGGCCAGCTGATATCGAGTTTAGCAGCGCGCAGTAAGCATACGTGCTGTATCAGTGCCTCTCATGTGTGGTCAATCATGGTTTCGCACAGAAGAAGACTGGCTAGCTGGTTGGCTGGCATTCGTGAACAAACTCGATTCGCAAGGCATCCTGCATCGACAGACAATGCAGAAGTTTGGAGTAGCCGATGTAAGGATCCGACATTTTTGAACGGCCATCTCAAATCATTTCTTCAAGATATCACATGATGGTCTTGACAAAGTCGGATGAAACAAGAGCCGCCGCGTTCGCAGCAGAAGTGTGTTTCCGAACGGCAAGCTCGACCGGCTCTTGCTTCTAGAACTTGTGGCCAATCAGAAGATGGCAGAACTCATGACAGCGGGGCAGCGGTGGTCAGAGCTTGATAAATCTGGGGTTCTCGGCGGAGGTGCCCCTCGGACCGCAGTTTTTTGAATGCCGTTTTGGAGCGCCGAAGTGGCATGGACGAGCAGCCGATTCAATCTGCCGTCAACTTTGATGGGTCCATGGGCTAGCAGTACAAATAGTATATAGACCGAGCTCCCCAGGTGTCACGTAGTTCCTCCTGTATTTCAGTCCTCAACCTCTTATCCACCATTTCCCTTCTCACACTTTCCAGAAAGTTGCCTGTCCAGCACTTTCGTACTCCGCATATCCTCAGAAAGTCGCCTCTCTGTACTTGCACTCCTCGCAACTTTACACACACATCCACCAAAATGTCGACCAACGCAAGATTTGACCCCAACTTCACTCCCTATGTCATCAATGCCATGGGACCTGGCACTCCCGACCGTGCTCGTGTCATTCTGGGATCCTTGATCAAGCACATCCACGACTTTGCCCGTGAGGTCGAGCTTACTCCTGCTGAGTGGATGATGGGTGTTGAGTTCATCAACTCGATTGGTCAAATCAGTACTCCCATTCGTAACGAGGGTCACCGTATCTGCGATGTCATTGGTCTCGAATCGTGAGTCTACTTGTCTCTTCAAGCGACAAACACAACTAATCAGCAATACAGCCTCGTCGACGAGATCGCCAACCGCATTGTCACCGAGCAGGGCATGTCTCCCACTTCCAACGTCATTCTCGGTCCCTTCTGGTCGCCCAACGCTCCTTTCCGTGAGCTCGGTGACAGCATCATCCAAGACCCCAACGAGAGCGGAAGAGTCACATTCATGCACGGTGTTATCAAGGACATGGACACTGGCAAGCCCATTGAGGGCGCCGTTCTCGACATCTGGCAAGCTTCTGCCAACGGCAAGTACGACTTCCAGGACCCTGACCAGTCCGAGAACAACCTCCGTGGCAAGTTCAAGTCCGACAAGGATGGCAAGTTCCACTGGTACTGCTACCACCCTACTGCCTACTCTCTTCCCACCGATGGTCCCGCTGGTGTTCTCCTCAGACTCATGGACCGCTCTCCCTGGCGCCCTGCCCACATTCACTTGATGATCACTCACCCTGAATACGCCACTGTCATCAACCAGCTCTACCCCAACAACGACCCTCACCTTGGTGATGACTCCGTCTTTGCCGTCAAGGACGACCTCATTGTCGACTTCAAGCCCAGAAAGGATGACCCCAAGGCTGAGCTCGACCTCGAGTTCAACGTCACCATGGCTCTCAAGAAGCACCACCCCAACCCCAACTCTGCTCCTCCGGTCTCTTCGTTCGAGCGTTCCATGGGTGGTAACAAGAAGCCTACCAACCCCAACCAGGCTGCTGCCAACCTGTAAAAATGTCAACACAAAAGCTGGGGATTCTATTTGACGAGGATGGCATAGTTTTTACGATTGGACATTCGTTGAGGGTGGAAGACATATTGTGCATATACCATGTCTGATTCACGAAGGGCGTTGTGGGTTCTTTGCATTTGATCGGCGATTTCTGCCATATTCATATTCATGTTCGCTTTCTTTTCGCGATATATCCAACATGAATTTCATCTTTTTCAAACTTCATGATAATCTCCTATTTTGAAAGTGACACATCTAAGAATCTGTAGTCTGTCGATGCTCCAGCACGATCAAGACAAACTCGACTACAGAGTGACCCTGTCTGAAGCTACTCATATGAACTCGGCAGCATCATCACACTGGTCGCTTGAGCCTTATTCTAGATATTATAGTTCTAATGACCAACAGATAGCAAAAAGGCCTTGCATGAAGGATCACATCGAAGTTGAGAACTCCTCGAAAAGTACCCGCCAGATATTGACCTCGGAGAGTTTTCGGACACTTTTGCCAATGACATCTTGAATCAACCAGCTATATATATTCATCAACAGCACTCCCCCATGTCCATATTGTCTCTCAATCCAGAATATCAGAGTGACGACTTGCACAAGACAGCAATCATGAGTCACCAGGACAACGACGTAACAGCCCATAATCGTGAAACCTGGGAGTGCGTACCCTGATCTCTTTTATTCTCCTCTCACCAACTTTCAACTAATCAAACTGCCTCCGCAGTTCAAAAGCAAAAGACTACGATGCCAAACCCTGGCAAAAGAAGATAGCCGCTCAAGTAGCTTCAGCACTGGACTCTCATTCTTCCTGGCTGGGAGCAAATTGGACTTCTTCCTCGAATAAAGAATGCAAGCTGCTGGATTATGCGTGTGGGACGGGTAGTGTGACGAGAGTGAGTATTTCTGCTTCTTCCTAACACCAAGGAAGGAATCTGAAAGGAAGAGATGCTGACAGGGCGATGGGAAAATAGGCACTAAGCAACCACATCACCCACGCAACAGGTCTAGACATCTCATCCCAGATGTTGGAGCAATACAAGACTCTCCTATCCTCTTCCCACCCTTCCCTTTCCCTCACCACCGCAATCGCCGATTTCTGCTCTGAAGACCCCGATCCTTGCCTCCAAGGCCCAGAGTTTTATGACTTTGATGTCGCAGGTGTGGCACTAGGCTTCCACCACTTCAACAATCCTGGGCTTTGTATCTCTAACTTGGCGAAAAGACTCAAGAAGGGAGGAGTCTTGTTTATCGTTGACTGGCTACCCAAGGACGTTAAACCTGAAGACCACATAGGACACCAACATGCTCATCCCACCTCCTCTGACACCAAAGAAGGAAACGATACAGAAGAATGGAAGAAGATGCAAAAGACAATCAAGACGAACGGATTCACAGAAGAGGATATGAGGACTTTCTTTGAAGGAGCAGGATTCCAAGATTTTGGATTTGTGGTGCTAGAGGAGAGTTTTGTTTTGCAGATGAATGGGAAAGAGGTCAAGAAGACTGGGTTTATTGCTAAAGGGAGGAAGGTCTAGGGGGGTGGATAGGATATGGGAAAGGTTGGGAGGAGTCTTGTGTGTTCTTGATGCTCTTTCTTTGTTTGCAAGTTTGATAGCTCGAATGCTGCTTCCCAATCAATCTTCAGGACATTCCTTCAAAACCTTGTGACCTGATACCTGGTTTTATAATCTACTACGCCTGGAGTGATTTCCAACGAGCAGCGATGGTCTAGTGGTCAAGACACCACACCAATGTGTCTTGCAAACACAAGCAGGAAGGGATGGTGAGTGCTCTGCAACACCATCTCGGAAGTGTGGAAATCGTGGGTTCGAATCCTACTCGCTGCGTTTACATTTTTGCAGTCAAACGACACCTGCACCTGCACGATATGAAAGTGAAGCTTGGTTATAGAGTGTCCAAGAAATTGGATTTGTGTCAGATCATAATACCATCTATCCCCCTTTCCGCATGCTTTTGTATAACCCGAAAATAGTCTATGGAGGAAAACAAGAGTCGATCTAAGCAAGAGACTTGAGGTCAGACATGCCGAGGCGGGAAGCCTCCTCGGTGAAGAGAGTCTTGATCTCCTTAGCATCGGTCTTGCCATCAAGCTTGCTCTTGAAGACAGCAAGGTCATCAACCTCAAGCTTGGCAATCATGGCATCAACATCGTTGAGAGCCTGGTCGATTTGAGCAGGGCTGGCCTCGCCATCGGCAAAGTAGTTTCCATCCTTGACGGCACCGCGAACGACACGCTTGTTCTTCTTTGCGGCGTTCTTGGCTGCCTCCTTTGCCTTCTTTGAGTCGGCCTTGGCTGCCTTTTCGGCCTCCTCCTTCTCCTTTGCAAGACGAGCCTCCTCTTCCTTGGCCTTTGCTGCCTCCTCGGCGATTCTAGCGGCCTCGGCCTCTCTTTCGAGTCTCTTCTTGTTCTTCTGGGCGTGCTCCTCCTTCTTGAACTTCTTGATACGCTCGTCGAGGGAAAGACACTCGTCGACCAACTGGCGCAGACGCTGGTTGTCCTCGGCCTTTCTCTTCTTGCGGGCGTTGTTGTTCTTGCGCTCGACGTGACGCTTCTGGTCACGGTTCTCGTTGTCATCGGGGACATCCTCATCAAGGTACTCGAAGGATCTCCAGCTGTCAAAGTTGTACCAGAAGTTGTAGAAGTTCTCGACGTGCTCGCGGGTGCTGTTCTCGTCGCCGAGCTTAGGGACGGGCTGGACCTTGCTGAAACGACCCTCAGCCTTGAAGACAGGGCTCCAGAGTTTGTAGAAGTTGCCCTTTTGGGTTTGCTTCTTGGATGGGGGCTCGACCTCGGCAGCCTCATCGACGGAATCGAATTGGCGACGCTTGACGGGGTCGCTGAGGATTTCGTGGGCGCGCTGGATGCACTTGAAGAAGTTGTCGTCTTCGTTACCACCGGCGGCGGCTCTCTTGTCGGGGTGGTGCTTGAGGACCTTTCTGCGGTGGGCCTTCTTGATTTGCTCCTCGGTAGCCTTCCAGCGGTACTTTGTTATGCCGAGAACGGCGTAGTGGTCCTGGCTCTGTATGGTTGTTAGATGTGAAAGTGTAGAATGAGAGTCAATGGCACATACCTTCCAGTCCTTGGCCTCACGGGCAAGCATGGCAGGGTCCTCGGGCTCACTGATGTAACCAGCATCCTCATCCTCAACCTTCTTGACGTTCTCCTGGGCGCGAATACGGTCATCCTCGGAGAAGGTACGCTTGTGGCGAGTCTGGATCGGGAGTCAGTATGATTTCTAGATTAGAGCAAAGCAAGCAAACGTACTCTGCGAGCGTGAGCCAGGAAGTAAGGGCCGACAGGCTCAACGCTGCGACGAGCGGCAGCAGAAAGCTTGCCAACAGCCTTGAAGTCCTTGTCGGCAGACCAGCCGGCAGGAAGGGTAGGCAAAGCCTTGTTGATCTGAGTAACAGACATATTGATGTTTGATATGTGTAGATACAAAGGGAGAGCAAGACTCGCTGGCTCAAAATCTGATTGAGAGTCTCGATTTTTTGGTCCGGGGAATCGAAAGCTTGGCACGCCTTTGCCGTCCGAGTCTCTCCATCATAACCAGTCAATAATTTATTGTCACAGCCAGGAAACAATTCACATACATTCACCTACTTGACCCAGACAACATGTCGGCACAGTTCGTACCTCACAACAAGACTGTCGTTCTGTCGACATATCGCAACCTCTTGCGCGCAACCCGCATCGCCTTCCAAGGTAGCCATCCATCGCCTTCGACTCCAGCATCCGACCCAGGTCGCTGACACAGCATTTTACCTGCAGGCGACGACAGCACACTATACAACTCCCGTAGATTCGCGCGAGACTCATTCGACCAGAACCGCGGCATCAAGGCTGGCAGCATCGAAGCCGAGAAGGCTGTAGAACATGCCCAAGGAGTGGCTCAGATCTTGAGGGAAAATGTAGTACAAGGCGCAACCGACAAGGAAGAATCCGACACTTACAGTGAGTTCCAGGCTGCTCCTAAATTTGACGACTGAACAATCCGACTCCAACTGACACGATACCCACGAAACAGAATTGCGAATTCACGATCAAACTGAGAGGGGCGACAATGAGTCTGTCAAGCAGTTCAAAGGAACCACAAAGTCTTTCGCAGAGGTCAAGCGCTGCTCTCTGATTTGATATGTAAAAATATATGATACCCCTGCCTGTTCAACCTTACTCATCTCAAAGCACACCAAGCCTGAGAACGCCATGCTTTCCTGTCAAACGCCTAATGTTCCAATCTCTTGCTCTGACTGAGAAAAAGCCTACTCGCCTGCCAAACTTGCGTATTGAACATCTTCAGATCCAGGTGGAGGAGCAACCAGATCAAAGTTGTCGGCCTTTTCAGACGCTCCAGCTGCCGATGAAGGACCAGCAGCAATTGCCGGTCTGGTTGCTGAAGCTGCTTTGACGGCCGCATTTGTCTCACGTCCAGCTCTTGCATTCGCCATACGAGCGTCTCTGTCCATGTTGTCCAATGTCTTGGGCTTGCCCCATTGAACTCTGAGTGGTACACCCTTGACAACAGCTCTTCCTTGACATGCAGCAGCAGCAGCTTCTGCAGTATCCCTAGTCATGTAGTTGATAAAGGCGCAGTGTGATCGATGTGAACAGACGAGCGACCGGAGTGCTCCATATTGCGAGAAGAAGACGCGAATCTCGTGTTCAGGAAGGTCATCCTCGACACCAGTGACGAAAAGCGACATGACATTCTTGTCGGCCGGCGGCAGAATGTCTTGCGGTTGTGGTGGTAAAGTCGCAGTGTTTGGGAAAGGTCGTGCTCTCGATGCGCCCTTGACAGGACGTGATGGTGGTCCGTATCCAGCTGGCCTCGAGTCTTTCGTACGAATAGGTCCTGGTCTGGCGCCTTCCGAAGACGGGCCCTCGATCATCTTTTGTCCTGATGCAGCACCCTCCTCTTCCAATCTTCTCTGCTTCTTGTAATGAGGCTCACTCTGGGCAAGTCTGCGCAGCAAATCCCTGGCTTTTTCGTCCGTCTTTTCATAAGCCTCGATAGCTCCTCTACCCTCTTCGATCTCTTTTTCGTGATTCTGTGCATAGTATTCTCTGTTGATTTCACTGTTGGGTCCAGGTGTGATCATCTTCAAGGCGGCGTCGCGTACAACGATGGGTAGTCCAAAGCTCAAATCGAGCATACAGCACTGACAGCAGTTTTTCAGTCTGGCGCATGTCAAGCAAAGATTTGTTCGCTTTTGGCGAGCTGTGCGATCGGTCTTCCAGCGGAATACTGTGAATGGACGAGTGCAGATTTTGCTGCGTCGTGTTAGTAGAAGCTCGATAGCGATGCACAAGAGTAGGAAACTCACCATTCAGCACCATAATCTTCTTTCAGAACCTGAACGTAAGGATTGTCGCCAAGGCACTTCTCACAAGCCGAGGGCATGTCGGTCGACTCCCATCCTGAACGATTCAGATCTTGCTTGGGAGGCATGGTGATAGCTGATTTGGGATGTTGAAAGTGGTATTATTGGAGTCGCGGAAGATGCTAGAAGTGGCTGATGAATTGTGGAGGTGACGCGACGAGCGCGCAGGTCAAAGTCGAGAAAATGATGGCTGCTTGTATAAGCAGAAGCTGAATCCTGAGCACCACTCGCAGATGGCAACCAAAGTGACGATGTCCTTGCCGAAGTTCAACCTAGCACTTCTTCCAGACACCTCCGTTGTCTCTCCGCAATCGATAAGGCGGAATCCACGGTCTCCGTATGCATGTGAGAGCCGCGGCGGGAAATTTGGGTGAGGCACGGTGAGGACTCTGAGATGCGCTAAGGGCAAGCCAATTGCAGGCCGTGAAATTGCGTCCCCAGAGGCAGGTACGCCCCCAGCGCGTTCGATCTCGTACGATGTTTATGGAAAGAGCCACCCCTTTATAATTCTTTTAGTGCTTGCTTGCCATTTCCTTGCCCCAACTCGCTGTGCAGTCCACTTTCCTCTTCTCAATCGACTCTTCTCTTCGCGTTCAACCGCATCTTCAATTGTACTCTTTTGTAGTGTCTTTCTCTTCTTCTACAACTTCCCCTTTCTTTCGACACAACAACAATAATGGCTCCTCATTCGCTTGAACAAGAAGACCACTCGCGCGATGCTGCCTTCAACAAGGTCATGCACGGCACTTCTGCCCAGAAGAGAGGTGGTTTTGCCGCCATGTTGAGCAAGGGTGCAGACGGTCAAAAGGCTGCTGTTGATGAGTACTTCAAGCACTGGGACAACAAGGCCGCAAAGGACGAGACTCCTGAGATTAGAGAGGTGCGTCTTCTTGGACACTCAGATCCTCTAATTGGCCTCTTACTGACCTCCCGAGCAGGCTAGAAGAGCCGAGTACGCTACCTTGACCCGTCACTACTACAACCTGGCTACCGACCTTTACGAGTACGGTTGGGGTCAATCCTTCCACTTCTGCCGTTTTGCATATGGCGAGCCTTTCAGACAAGCTGTTGCCCGTCACGAGCACTACCTCGCTCACGTCATGAACCTCAAGGAGAACATGAAGGTCTTGGATGTTGGTTGTGGTGTTGGTGGTCCTGCTAGAGAAATTGTCAAGTTCTCTGGCGCAAACGTTACTGGTCTCAACAACAACGACTACCAGATTGAGAGAGCTACCCACTACGCCGCAAAGGAGGGTCTTTCGCACAAGCTTGACTTTGTCAAGGGTGACTTCATGGTGCGTCTCTTGCAACACTCCAGCGTCAAATCACAAAACTGACAATTCCCCAGCAAATGTCTTTCCCCGAGAACACTTTCGACGCTGTTTACGCCATCGAGGCCACCGTTCACGCTCCTTCGCTCGAGGGTATCTACTCCCAAATCTTCCGCGTCCTCAAGCCCGGCGGTGTTTTCGGTGTTTACGAATGGCTCATGACTGATGCTTACGACAATGACAACCCTCACCACCGTGAGATTCGTCTCGGTATTGAGGTCGGTGACGGTATTTCCAACATGGAGAAGATTGAGGTTGCCCTTGCCGCCATGAAGGCCGCTGGATTCGAACTCGAAATCAACGAGGATCTTGCAGAGCGTGACGACCCTTACCCCTGGTACTGGCCTCTTTCTGGTCAGCTCAAGTACATGAGCAGCATTTGGGACTTCCCTACACTTGCCCGTATGACCAAACTTGGTCGCTGGACCGCACACAACTTTGTTGGCACTCTTGAGAAATTCGGTCTTGCTCCTAAGGGTACCCAAAAGACCGCCGACTCATTGGCCGTTGCCGCTGATGCCCTCGTCGCTGGTGGCAGAGAGAAGCTCTTCACTCCCATGTACCTCATGGTTGGACGCAAGCCCATGAACGCATAAGCGATGAACGTTCTTGTTTTCTTCTACTTTTTTCTTCATTTTTGAATACCACTTACTAGAGAACCCACATGTTTTATTAATCGGCTTGGAAGGGATCACTTTGCATGGCGATTATGGGATATCGCTCGACAGCAGAAAAGAAACTGTTGCGGATACATTTTGTCTTGACTATTAGAGATATAAAATGTACAATTATGTTTGAACGATCACTTTATTGTTCCTCGCGCAAAGATCTATACAATTGGATGTAGCCATGTGAGCTTCATATTCAAATCGTTCCCTTTCTATCAACATGTTTCATTCCATCGTTACCCAAATGTCCATCCTATCGTGATCATTTCATGTAGTCATCACTTCATTCCCAACTCATTCAGGTTATTGTTCGTTCGTACCTGCGAAAAATCATATATCAAAAACTCCATCGTTAATTTGCAGGACTTGCTGTTTTGGTTGACGTACCGACAAATACCACCTGCACACTGGCCAAAGCCACAGAAGCCATGAAAATTTCAATGCGATTCGCGGATGTAAAGAATGCCAAACAAATACTGAATGTTGCGCTCCAGAGCCCGATAAAGATCAATCTCCAGATCAGCTCAGGGATATAGTAGAGGGCGATGATACTGGCGGTAGGAAGTAATGAGGCGAACAAGATGCTGATGTAGAAAGCCAGCTTTTCGAGGATTTCTCCTCGGTACATGTGACCACCAAACTCTGCATCTTCCTGCAAGAGTCGATGTCCAAACAGTACATGAAAACGTTGCACGACTTTGCTCCTCAGCAGGTTTGTAAACGAATCTGGCGCCACATGTCCAGATAGACTGACGAGATCTGTCTGCGTTGCTTTTGCCCTTTCATGTGCTCTTGCTCGTTGTTGATCTGTTTCGTATTTGGCCTTTTCGTCGATACTCAGACTCCAAATGGTGTTTTCAGGGTGGTGAAGCCATTCTTGTTCGTTGTTGTGGCCGTGGATTTGGCTGTCGCAGATGAATTCGCGAAGACCTCGCACTTCACCGTGGGTTGGGCGGGGAAGGCTGTATAGCTTGTGTTGTTGGATCAAGATCTCGTCTTGAAGAGTCTTCGTCAGTAGTGATATGGAAACGCAGTGCGTAACGGACTGCAGGGATATGTATCGAATGATGAGTGTTAAGAAAGGCATCACTTACTATATTCCTTCAACAATCTGCGGTTCTCCTCGTACAACTTATATCGGGAACGAGCTCTTGAGCCCTCTGGAGCTACGCGACCGTTGTGAATACCTTGCAAGGGTCAACATCAGTGTTCAAAGATTTGTAACCGGCATAGAAAAAGCATACTGCGCATGCTAAATTGCAATTGCCTCAAATCCTGATCCCTCTGATCATCCATCTCAGTCTCATAAAGCTCTTCCTCAATATCCAACAACTCCGCCTGAAGATACAGCAGATTCCTCGCATTGAGTTCCGAGAAACGTCGAAAGATGGCAAAACCAGGCCGCTCGCCGATAAATCGTGCTAATTTGGGATATCCTTGTAGAGCAGGTCGTTCGCGAACAGAGTTTTGACGCAACAAGCCTGGTGATACGAAGGTTGACTCGGTATTGCATGTGTTGAATGATATCGGTGAGAAATGGACGGAAGAGCTTGCGGCAGAGTTGGTTCTCGAGTCTTTGCCTACAGCTTGGACGTTTGTTGAGATGCGAGGTTTGTCTGTGGGTTCGATGACGGGAAGCTCAAACCTCTCGCCGGCCATGGTTGGTGGCGGAGTATGCTGATTATTGACTCAGAAAAGGCAACCAGGGGAGAATAGAGATAGGTTGAAGGGTTGAAAATAGAAAGTGGAAAGAAAGGAAAGTGTCACACAAGCAGTCCTACCTCTAGACACAGCCCAGATATCTGCATGAATAGTCGCCCCACTTTCTAATACCAATGATTGGATGTTACATGCATGAACAGAGGTGTTCTCCACCACGCAGCAAAGGGCTGACATTTGGCCCGCCAAGAGCAGTGCCTCGTCGCCTGAGTGATTTTGATTGAGAAAGTACCGGTGAAGGAGGTGGCAGGACTTGCATGAGGCTAAGGCTAGTACGCAAGCTTCGCCTTGCAGTATATGAGATACGCCTACGTTGCTGTATCTTCCAGCCCCAAGGCTTGCTTTAGTGCTTATTAACACGACCCAGCTGCGTCTCTTATGGAGCAGAATAGATTACATTCCATCAAGCTATTCGGGAACTTGCCATAGCTATCGATAGTCGTCGCAATCGAGCTCCGCCATCGTTTGCCTTAACACAATATTGGCGGCAGTGCCTCGTGGCTTGGAGGATGGCCCAGAGTAGGTAGGATCACTTATAAGACGATACATGTGCAATTGAATCTTTTCTCGACCTCTTGACTTCTATCAATTCCCATACTCGTCCACAAAGAAGATACTTGCAAGATCCCACAAACATGGACCCTCAACAATTGACACCTGCACTGTCCGTCGACGACTCACCATCCCTATCCGACAGCGAAGCTTCATCCGGCATTCCAGCAGAACAAGTAGACATAATCAGAAGCATCGTCGACAAATGGCACAAGAAGCCTTTACAAATAGCAAACGACATAGTCTCAGCATTGGTACCTTACATCCCAACTCCAAACACCACAACGTCTCCCAACTGACAACCCCCCTTCCAGGAGGGCGGCGACCACACCCACATCCCATTGATCGTCCGCAACGGCGACAACCAAGAAGTAGTAATCTGGGCCAAATGCGACACGGGCGCATGCGCAAACTTCATCACCATGGCTCTAGTCCGCAAACTCAAACTCGAATACAACCTCCAAAAGATCGACGACTACGAAGCTGCTCAAAACCTCGAGTCCAGTCCTCGTGATCACCTAGGTGTTGGGTTGATCAAAAAGGTCTGCAGTTTTGAAGACAGAGAAGTCAGTATTAATTATGTGTTACCTATTACTTTTCAGACTGGAAAGTTTAGGAAGCAGCATGAGAAGGTGGAGTTTGAGGTGCTGGAGATTGGTGATGGGGTTACCAGTCCTGCTTCTAATGAGAGGACGGATCTTTTCCTTGGTGCGAGTTGGTTGTTCAAGAATGAGGTGTTTATGTTGAGGAAGAGCTATTATGTGGATCCACCAAAAGACCTGCCGGTTGTTGAGACAGTACCGAGTCAAGACTCTGAGTTGACACCAATCGGTAGACCTGCAAGCAGTGTCTATATTCCAAGGGGTACTCCTTCGATCAGGCTCAACGCCAGTCCAGCACCTCCTAGGCTTCCGAGAGGACGCATGGCATGATAGTGGTCGCAATTTGACGATACAATGGGGGACCTAGGGTGTAAACAGTACGTGGAAACTGTTTGGAAATTGTGGTCATTGGATAGATTTGCTCAGCGGCTTTTGTATGGTATTTGGTTGGCGTACTCTACGTCCTTATTGGGGTTTCTCCCTGCCAGGCTAATAATTCGGCACATGTGCAACACTTCATGGTTCCCACATCCTTGTGTACACCTTGCCTTGATCATTGACTTTGGGTTATCCTGTATCTGGATTGTCGAACTGTCTGGATGATCAATCATCTTGAGGCCCAGCAGGAAGATCAATGGCTTGTCTCGTCCGTTCCTGAGGACTGCTGGTTTGAGTGTCTGGACGGCCGCTTGGCGGCAGACATGTGGTCCAGACGTGCCGTTATCTTGGTTGAGCATGCAAGTCTGACGTCTACCCAAGCTCGGCATATGTTTTGATGTTCTCATCTAGGTGACTCGATCGGCTCATCCTGTCATTTCGACATCGGTCGCCTTGGCCACTTGTTGCTTGCTAGCATCCGTAGTCTTGGTTTCAGCGGCCTCTCTGACAGCTTCTGCGAGCACACTTCTTGATAGCCCAGCAGCATCGACAGCACGATCAACCAATGTCTCAAATCCTTCTCCAGCATCGCCCTTGACCCATAATTCTGTAAGTTCGTCTCTTGATTGAAGATGGGCGACTACAGCTGCGGCGCGCAGGTCGTTGTGTTCACTCGGGCATGGATCCAGTACCAATTCTCCCTTGCCTTCACCAGTGACTGCAGCAACACCACCAGAAACAAGATCAACACAGTCGATCCCTGCATCCACAAGAGCGGCACTTGCAGCAGTAACGCAACCAGCCAGCACATTCATCAAACCCACACCTCCAATGTTTTTCTTGCTGGCATCGTCATCACGCCACCAATCATCTTCCTCACTTTCCAGAACGGTAATTACAACCTCGGCTGCAGATTTGGGCCAGCGCTCGCCAATCACCACACCTCGTAGTGCAGTTTCCAGATGCAGTCCAAGATCTCTTTCTGCAGTATCGCGAAGATAACCTCTTCTTTGACGACTCGCGAATGGCGCAAACTTGACGTGTGTGCTGAGAAGTAGATTCGGGCTGAAAGCGGCGGTGCGAGGAAGTGGTCGTGGACCATGAACAGTGCAAGTAAGTTTGAGAGTGCCACTTTGGGCTACGAGTGTTGTTCTGGCAGCGTCGGTAGAAGGATGAAGTTCGAAGTAGGCTGATCCAGAAGCTGATGGCACCAGACCTGTTTGCAGGAAGATTTTACGAGGCGTGGATGCGGATCGTTGACGAATTGGTCGTTGTGATGATGTTTCGGTGGTGGGGACGAAGATGGGAGCAGATGTACCGCCTGCAGGCGCATTGGTACGACGGCGGTCAGCCATGGTAATTGATCACTGGATGTGTATAAACTGGCAATGTCTTGTTGGATGATTTCTTGATCTGCTTCTGCTCCAACTTCGGCAAGATGCGTGACGTCCGCGCCAGATGGTCCAAGCTTTCGAATTTTCTGCTACAACCTGAAATCGCGTTGCGGCTTTCTTCCTTTTTCCTCACACAACCTTCTGCCTCTGCGCGTCACCTCGATTGTCGACAACATGCGAGACCGCTGGCGGCTTGCTATACTTTCTTTTTCTCTTTTGTGTAAGTTTCACCCTACAATATCACTGTGGTTAGGAAGAAACTCCAACACAACTAGTTGGCGATCAACCCTCGGGGTTTCCTGAGCCATAAACTAACATGCACTACCATCTGAACCACATTCTCTATCACTGCTTGTCATATTACTTGATATTCAAAGTTGAATCTGTGCTGACCCGCGCAAAGTCTTCTAGTTTCTTGTTCCAGCTTCGTTCGTCTTCAGACGCCGAGAGTTCTTCCACTCGATGCATAAAAGTCATGCACACTTTGGTGGAAGAACTCTTCAACTCTGCAATGGTAAGCTATTTGCTTCTCTTCTACACATCAACCCCGCCAAAGGTGTTTTTCAGGATGATTGTATTTTAATTTCAGTTCTGCTACTGAGTAAATCATGCGGATACTTATACACCAAAGCTTACCTTGTCTGATCCACATTCACCTTTTGGGCATTTCTTCACATTAGTTCATCACGATCTTTTCCCGATCATCTTTGCTAACAAGCATGAAAAGACAGATACACAAACAGTGCAAAGCACACTTACTCCTGCAAACTACAGAAGGGTAAGCTACCGTCCCTTCTACATCATCATCTACACCCACACATCCCCTCCTTCCCACCAAACGCAATGATGACAACTAGTCAATCCATTCAATGAAGTTTACCTATACCCGCCGAGCCCCCCTCCCTGATACCCTACCTGTGTTTTAAGTCCAGGAATGACGGGTTGTGGAGTTGCAATTAAAAGCCTCTAGTAACTCGTCAGAGTGGAAAAGGTTGTAATGGGGCTTCCGTGTATTGGATGAGTTCACTCGTCTTGGGTGGATGATTCCGGTGCCGGCGGGAAGGGCTTGAGTAAAGACGGCTTTCTGAGTTTCTGCGTTCCCTTCAAGACAATTTATCGCTTTCGATGATCTAGTAGCATGAAAGTTCCTTTTGCTGACTTTCGATAAAGTAGGTTTGAATGTTCTTGTGTGTGTCGAGAGGAGACTGTCGCGATTCAACATTGCGGCGGCCAACATAGATAGTCTATCAATCATAATTGTTCTATATCCACTTCTCTTATTTCCAACTGCTCGTTGTGCTTTGTGTCTCTTCACATTGGAGGCTTCTCGTTTCCAGCCTCTGCTGTCGATATTGGTCTCGAGTCTTTACACGGAGAAGTGGTTCCTTGTGCTTGACCCTACTCTCCTATCGAGTCCCCGTGTCACTACGTTCATGAAGTCATCAACCTAGTCTTATACATCATGTCCTAAAGTCATTTGCTTGAGAGTAGCAAGGCCTGGAGAAATGATAGGATCTGGTAATGGAGTGAGAGATGGTCACACATTTCTCATTCTGCATAGCGCACGAGCAATGATGAAATCAATTCTGTCGATGGGAAGTGAGTTGTATGATCATCCTATACTCTCCTCATCGAATCTTGAAGGTGATGGGTACCTAATGTGTTGAAAGTAGGGAAGTGACGATGAATCAATAACGGCTCAAAAAGGAAAGCGCGAAGTGAGGGTCGCGTGCATCGGCGCGTCGCACTCTCTCGAACCTTGATTCTCTTCACCTCGACTCTTGCCCGTCGCATACCAGCACCTTCTCGAGCAAATCATGGAACACAATCTTTCAGATCCTAGCGACTGGCTAAATACCTCACTTACACCCTTTGCCGCACTTGAAAACTCTCTACGATGTCAAGTATGCAAGGACTTCTTTACAACGCCCATGGTCACCACTTGCTCGCATACATTTTGCAGTATATGTATTCGCCGCTGTTTGTCAGTTGATGGCAAATGTCCTGCATGTCGCGCCAACGATCAAGCTAGTAAATTGCGCAGGAATTGGGCGCTGGAGGAAGTCGTAGGCGCATTCAAGACGGCTAGACCTGTTGCGCTGGAGATTGCGACAAAAGACAAGAAGGAGAAAGAAGATGCGCCGAGTCGACCAAGCAAGAGAAGGAGGACAGAGAGACACAGCGGTGGAAGTGACTTGACTGTGCGCACTACGAGAAGTCAAAGCAAGAGGACACAACAAGTCGATCAACAACCCACAACCCTTGATGGAGCCGACGAAGATGGTAGTGACGCTGAATACACCGAAAACGGCAGCACACAACCAGAAAGACAACCCACACCAGACGACGGACTAGTAGCCTGTCCAATCTGCCAAACCCGCATGAAAGAAGAAGTCGTCTTCAACCATATCGGAACCTCAGCCTGCACATCTCCCTCACAAAAACAAAAGAACCCCCCACGTTCTTCCACAACACAAACGCCACAACCGTCAGCACCTCCAAAACCAATCCCAGACCGCCTCGCCGAACTAAACTACTCCCTCCTCAACGACAAAGCCCTTCGCAAAAAACTCGCCGAACTAGGTATCCCCACCACAGGTTCCAAGAACCTTCTCTCACGCCGCCACACCGAGTGGGTAAACCTCTGGAATGCAAATGTTGATGCAGGAGCCCCACGCTCTAAACGCGACCTCCTCGACGAATTGAGAAAGTGGGATCGAAGTATTGGTCGCGAACCAGATCAATTTGGTACAAGCAACCAGGTTATGAAAAAGGACTTTGATGCTAAAGCGTGGAGTACTGGAAACAAAGACGATTTTACACGTTTGATCGAGCAGGCGAGGCAAGGGAGGAATAAACAACAAACACAGCAAAAGAAGGAAGCAGACGAACCAACCAAAGAGACAGAGACACAGCAAGACATCATGGAAGTCGACAAGCCAGAAACCTCACAGACCCACCTCGAGCCAGAGAAGGATCTCCCAAGCGGCTACCACGACGCTACACAACCACAAGAAAATTTCCCAGACGCAGATCATCCACCACCGTCTGGACAACGAGTCGAGCCTCCACCTTCAATCACCAAGGAAACCTCTCTGCCTGAAAAGTTTGGGACTGAAGCAAAGACGGTGGATATGTTTGAGGTGTCGAGTCATCCTGTTGCTGATGTGGAGACTATGACGGAGAATAGTGGGCATTGAAGTGTTTGCTGAAAAAGTGAGAGGTCGAAGTGGGAAGGATGGCGATTTTGCTATACTCGGGATGGCTGAAGTTGATATGGGACGAATCATTCTTGCTGTTGCTTGTAGATGGCTAGCTATAATGACCAGACACTCGACAATCAGACCATTCTTGCTGTCTCTTCGATATGCACATACTATTCTACAAGCTTCGATCACCATGACATGTTGACTGTATACGAAAACTCGTCTCGGGAGCATATTCTGCAAAACTCTATCAATACACACATTGCACCTGCTTTCTCAGAAGAAGACTAGTGATCAAACCCCCGGAGAAAGGAATCGATATCTGTGCCTTCAAGAAGCTTTCCTCAATCAGAGCCTCCATTATGAAATTAAAAATTCGCGAATAGTGACAAGAAGACTTGTGTTACACTCTTGCCAGACACTGAGCGAATCAAGTCAATCTCAGCAACAACAGCATCATAGTGCAAAATGGAAAGCAGCGAATTATTGGATCAGAATTGTGGATTAAAGCAATGACCAATACCATTCAGCGCCATCGCCATGTCTATGCGAAACCTCGTAATCATTAGTTAGAAGCGAAAAAAAAAGGGGGGGGGGGGGCACATCAACAATGCCATGAGAGCAAAGAAGAAGAGAAACGAAATGAAAAAACAATCAGCGAGAAACTCGCCAACAACAAACCCCATGTATGTACCCACCGTCAGTAAGCTCAATCATGAACATCCTTGAGCTGAAAACGTACGTATGGAAAGAACAACGCTCGTAACGCCACAAAGATGAAAAACAGCTAGAGTGCCCAGTCAGCCAGTGATTCACACTGATCATTACCCAAAAGACCTGAAGGAAAGCCGGTTCCGCAGGCCTCGGTTGGTACATCCTTGCCGAACAGCTCATCAAAGTTGTCGGAAGACTCTGGCTTGTGATTCAAGTGAGTCATATCGATGAATCCATCTGGCAAGTTACCGGACGCATTCTAAGCATCTGGCTTGTCGCTCAGTGCCTCTATTTTGCATTAGTGGATGTCAAAGAAGTGTAGTCAGAAGATGGGCACTTACGTGGCTGATGAGAAGGTGAATCAAGTCTGGCGCGTTTATGAGTAGGATACTCACTTGCACGCACGTATTGAGGGTCTTGAGGATGAGATTGTTGATGCTGATCATGCTGTGTTTGAGGTGGTGAACGTGGACGATCCATAGTACCTGCTTGAGCGGCAGCGGCCTGAAGTTGACTTATGGCAGCAGCAGGAAGAGAGTCGTTGGCATGGTCTTGGGGTACAGGCTGAGCATTGGTAGGAGGCTCGTGTTGATGTTGGTGGTGTTGATCGTGTGTGGATTGGGGATAGACATTAGATGGTGCGCCATGACTCTGCGCAGGAGATGGATCAGGATAGCGATGTTGTTCGTGATGGGGGTGGTGATCATGCTGAGCAGGTTGCTGATTGGGGACAGGATGATAGATGGGACCTTGCTCCTGATGTGAAGGCTGGTTGTCCGAGATTGAGGCAGATCGCATAGAAGCCTGCTCAGGTGCAGGTGGGAAGTCGATGTTCTGGTCGGATAATTTGGACTGCAGCAGGGAGATGTAGTTTCTCAAAGCCAAGTTCTCATGCTCAAGAGTCTTGTAGTTCCCCTCCATGACTAGATATTGCTTTAGATCCTCCTCGAGCTTGTTGATGTGCTGCTCCTTGCGCAGACGGAAAGCGCGCTGAGCAGCACGGTTTTGAGCAGCACGCTTTGTGTTAGAAAGCTCACGCTGAGCTCGTCCCTTCTTGCCAGCAGCAGGACCTTGTGCATTGGCATCCACGGCGGGGTCGGGATGAGGATGGCCTAGATCCGGACTGTCGTGGGTCATGGCGTATGGTTGGATGGCCATGACTGGATCGTGTTGATGGTGTGGAGGTGGTGGATGCGACGGGTGAGCAGCGTAGGTGGTGGGAGCAGCATGCTGGTGAGGTTGCTGTGGTTGAGGAGGGGCATGGTTGTTTTGAGCTGCGATGAGTTGGTCGCGCAGACCTGGAAGCGTGCGCAGTCAGTTCCTGTTTGAGATGCACGAAAAGTCAAGCCCGGCTTACTCATCTCAAAGGCTTGCGAGTCCTGTATGCTCTGTCAGCAAAGCGTGCTTAGACTCGGTTTGGTGATTAGTTACTTACAGCAGCCGAAGACATGGTCGTCGTTGTGGTCGCGCTGCCGGCGTCACAGAATTGGTGACTGCGCGTGTCAGTACTGCCATCTCGGTAGAGGCCATGTCGGCGGGGATATATGTCGACAAATTGGTTGCTTGACTTACCTCGTCCTTGGTTGTCGGGTTGGCTTAAACAGGCCGTGATCACTAAGCAAGACTTATGTAAGACGCCGCCGTCAGTGCCTTCCCCAAAAGACGACGCACATCCGACCCCGCCTTTTGCTCCGTCGGCTCCATCGCCATCCGCTTTTGTGCAACTTGCATAAATGACTACCGACGCTCTTTCCTCTCTTGCTTCCTCTTCTGCGCTGCTGCATGCATTCGAATCCTGTTCAATCCCTCGATGACATCCGGTATTCTATCGAGTGATTGTGAGCAGGAGCAACAATGCTTGTCTCTTTGCTGTCAAACTCGCTCACTGTGAACCCGAATCATTTGTCACCGATTGATTATAGTCAAGTCACGTTGTACGACTGAATGTCTGACCGGTATTGGTAGATACACACGGACAATAGCCAACCCCTGGATGAATCCTCTCAGCAGGTGCTTTCCGGAGTGGAAACCATCGTGTATCCCTGCAGTCAAGAAACGAATAGAGTTGTGCTATTGCAAGCTCTCTGTAGACAAGCACAGGAAGCCATACTTTATTATGACTCTCGACAGTCTCTTTTTATAGGGAGAGTATAAAGGAGAGCAAGATTCTTTCTGCGTAGATACAATGTCTCCGGTTTCAATGTGTCCTACTTGATGTACCACAAAAACGCAGAATAGCTCTTCAAATTATTGGATTGTCCGGTGAGAGCCTTGATATTGTAACCTATCCCTGGACGAGTACAAGAAGTCAAATCATATCATGCCTTTTGACGACCCCTTATTCTACAGATACTCTACGTGAGATACTGTCCTCGACTTTTTGGACCCACATCTCTGCTAACGTTGCCAGTTTCCTTGAACTTATTCCAATGCAGAATATCTTAGATTCTATGGAAGCGTTCACTGAGAGTCCTTACAGAAGACAGAGTGATACAGAGTCGTTGTGGAAGCCAACGTTTTTATGACAAAGAAATGACAACAAAAACGATTCAAGATCAGGACAGACTTCGCTTTGCCAGATTTCAAGTGAAAGACGGAAAATTCAAGTGAGTGCGAGACGACGGAATTTTTCTGTTTGCGCCTCATAAATTACGCACATCTCAATACCCGACAAGAAACTCACACGGAGAGTCTCCTCTGCTCACGTCTTCTTTCTGTTCTGGTGATACAGCAATGACAGCAGCAGCGACAAACATGAAGAACATAAGATGGGAAGACCGCACCAACAGAATAGTCATTCTGTTCAACAATGAGCAGTTTGCGCTGGCCAGAAAAGAAGTGCGCGTGCTTCTTGACTATCCTGAACTGCATCCCTTATGTCGAATCCGATGCCTGATCGTCCTTGCCCGAGCTGTCGAAGACCGCTACCAAGCTCAGGTAAGCTTGACGCTCTTTTATGCTGGCGATACCATTCTGACCGCTTTTAAGATGATTTACAATGACGCCAATCGCATCTGGGCTTTCATAAGACGTCGATGGCCTCCTAGAAACACTTACAGAAGGGGTAATTGCCTCATGGCCGAAGCGCGCCGCAAGCTCGACGACCTGCGTTCAGACATACTTGCAGATGAGCCCAATGATGACGGCTACTTTGATGGACCACCAAAGTGGCGACCCGAACCCGCAAAAGAAGAGAGAGAGCGTTCGACCGAGTCTGTAAGGGTTCATCCGTTCAAGAAAAACGCTGAGATGACTGACCAGAAGAAGGGGAATTCTCTGTCTGAGGTTGACGACGAAAGTTTTCTCGACAAGTTGAAGAGGCTTAGAGCAGAGACATACGCGCCCATCTCCGAGTACAAACTCGACCAGGGTTTCTGTGTCGATCCGCGTGTCTTTTTCAGTATCAACATGGAGTGTATCTCTGTCGAGAAGTCTATGATGGTTTGCGACATTATCGAGGAGCAAAACAGATTCTTTCCTTTCTGGCACACTCCTGGACAAGCCGAAAAAAAGAAGGCTGCGATTCCTGGTTCGTCAGTCTCCAATCCTCGTCAAGTACAAGACCGCAACATTGCATTGCCTGGCCGATCAATCCTACCTATCATTGAGAAGGAAGACACCAAGATCGACAAGCCCAAGACGATCCTCAGAGATGTGCCTGATGAGCTGAGTTCCGACGAAGATGCCGCTGGAGGTAAAGTCGAGAAGCTTACCATGACGGAGATCTTTCATTGGGATCAGTATGAGGAGAGCTCCGAGTCTAAGCTTCCATCACCCACCAAGGTCAAGCCCTCAGCCTCGCCCAAGCCTTCACGTTCTCGTCCTGCCTCCTCGGACCATTCTGCTTCAGCTCCTCAACAAGCCAACGATGTCAGCGCTCAGGCCGAAGATTCTCGCTCATCGAGCACATCTGTGCTTGGCTTGAACCAAGTTGAGCTACCTCATTCATTGAGCGCACCTCTGCCCGAAACTTCGAAGAACGTGGAACCCAGTCACGAAATCCCTCAGTCGACAAAGAAGAATCGCCGCTCTTCAGTCAAGGGTGTCTTCAAACTCAGTGTCAACAACCTCAAGAATCTCAAGACCGCCACCATCGGAGAAGTCATCACTCGTGACAGAAGACGCCTTCCGACTGCCAAATCTTCGCTCGAGGCTGTGCTTAAGGCTGATGACAAGAGAAGAGCAGCTGCTGAGCGTGACAAGAAGAACAAGACGCAGAAGAAGTCGTCTGGACAACTCGCATCAGACGCAAACACTTCTGAAAGATCAGGACGACGACTATCGATCAAGTGTTCGATGAGCTGCTTGTTGAGTTGTTCATGGTGATTACAGCTTATTCAGAATAACAAAGCATGCTGTTCAAGATTGGAAGTCATTGAGATTGAGGTTGGATATGGAGATTGAGAAGGAGTCGGCACTTAGACCAGTCTTTTCCAACTTGGTAATTAATTTTTTCTTCTTTAATGATTTTCTTATCCCGATCTCTTCGTGTGCTCAAATTTCGTGCTGTAAAAATGCACAGTAATAACAAGTAACAGGATAACGTCCACTGAGAAGTCACTGATCATAGACTCTCTGTGGACATGTCTGCGTTTCAAGTAAAACACTGTGCCTTTTTATAGCGTATAGTCTGCTCTCTGCGTAGTTGAAGGATGATGGACTGAATCAGGAGTCACAGAGTTTGACATATAGGGAATGTATACTAGAGTCTGTAGCTCCCACCGTATCCCGACTATAACTACGGGCCAAATGTAGACTGCGAAAAGGCGTTGTTGTTTTGAAAAGCAGAGGCATGTCCCGAGAGATTGGAGAACGATGGTTTCGATTACAGAATTTGACATACCACTTCAAAATCTCTCTTTGATGTAGGTGTTGATACCATTATTATTCTAAACCACTGTTTATCCGGTATGCCATGCGGGTATAGTATCGACCAGAACACCCCCTGATAACGCCATGGAAGCACAAAACCCTTGAAATAAACCACGCCAAATTACCCACAGCTTGACCGACCCCAGATCCGCCTCCCCAACCGTCAATGCATCTTTCCCATTTCCACGTCTTGACTTTCTTCCCAATCTTCCCAATCAGCAGATGATCCCACCTTGCGACTGATGAAGATACCGATGCTCGTCGTTAGCACGGCAATTAGGAACCAACTTTCAAACCATGCCTCAACAAAACGTCCTTCCAATGGTGCACCCAGAGCCTCGCTGATGACGCTGCTCACCTCACTAGGCAAGTTGCTCCTCAACAATAGTGCGGAAGAGATGACATATGCACCGGCGACTTGAGAGACGACAAGCGGCAGTGCAGATTGTGCGCGGGCAGCTAGTTTGGGGAAGAAGCGAGTGAACAAGCGGAAAGTCTGGAGAACGGCGTTGAAGGACAGCAGGAGCATGACACCTGACAGCACGAAGGATATCTGACGAGACCAAGCTTCGCGATCCAGTGAAGGGTCGTAATGAGTAGTGAGCAAGGCGAGGACATTGTTGATGGGGTCTGAAGTCGCAAATGTCGTGTTTGGCTGCCACCATCTGCGGAGTGAAGAGACAGTTGTCGCTCCGATACGGTAAAGACAGTAGAATGAGAAGCCGAGATTGAGCACATTCAACAGACGTCCAAGACTATTTTGCGATCTTTGCTGTGTTGCATATCGAGTTTTCAGAGTTGCCAGGGAGGAGGAAAGAGTCATCGTCATTGTCTCCAATCCCGAGATCTCCATTTCCAGGCTGCGTTGCTCATTTGTGTCGGAATTGCCCTTGATGGAGCCTATCATTCTTGTCATGATCCCGCCCTTGTCTTGCGGTGCTTCAGACATTTTACGCTCCAATGCACGTAGACGACTTTGCTTGACTGCTAACATATCTTTGGTCGCTGCCAGCCCGCTTTCTTTACGCGCAATATCGCTCTCACGAACCATGCGGTGTTTCACGCCGAATGTCTGCCAGATAGAGGACACTGCGGCAAATCCAGCAAGAGAAGCCATGAGAGAAATTCCGATGATGCCAACACGCTCAAGACATGCCTCTACGAAGTCAAAGTCCTTGTCCTGACTCGGGCGCCCCGCTTGCGAATGAAGAGATGCTGGAAGAAGTGATGTATGCGGCACATACCAGAAGGCGAGAAACCAGAAGCCCAGCAACAAAGCCTCGATTGTGTATCGGAGGGTCGGACGAGACTTGCGTGTGTTAGGAGTGGCATATTCTGAGCGAGAACGTGATCCAGTAATGAGAGTGTGTACTTCCAGACTTGGTATGATGATAATGATCAGGATGAGTAGTGAGAAGAGGGTGACGCGCAATGCCAGTCCTCGAGCTGCTGGATTCAGAAGATTTGAGATTTCACACAGAATCAGCTCCACAAGAACAGCCGATAGAGCGATCGTTGTAGAAAAAGTGACTGCAGCTATGCGCTTGAACGTGATGGTTCGCAGTGAGTTAGATCCATGGTTGTTTGTGCGTTGAGTCTCCCGATTGAAGAATGGTATGTTCTGGTCCTTATGCGAGTTTGATGACGCAAGATGCGGCACGACCTTTTGCCATACAGCGACAGCAACAAACAAAAAGGTCAAGGCAAATGGCGCTGATGATAAAGCGATGGTAGATGGTGGGAAAGAGTCAAGTCTGCGCCGAAGATAGGCAGGCTTACACTCGTTGCAATCATCCAGCGACGGAAGCATTTCCCGGGGCTTGTTCGGCGTGAGATTCCCAGATGGCGGGGAGCTCAATTTTGTATCAGGTTTGGTAGTACAGTAGGACAAAGTTCTTCATAGTAGGTGCAAGTTCATAGGAAGAGAGTGTTTCGACAATCTTCAAATGAAAATCGACCAAGTCCACGTCAGCCGTTGGACGAGGGAAGTGTCAAGTCGTGTTTGCAAGTGGCTGGTGACGTTCCCGGGAGTCGGACTTTGAAAGCCGGTAATGACGCTCCCAGCTGCTTATCTCCTTATCTTCCAACGTCACCTCTTGATTGCAACGTCTCTAAAAACCACTTGAATTCGATGCTTTGGACAGGACAGACGAACTTCGAAGTTTTACTCAACAAGTTTGAGATGCAATTTCCTAGGGTTAAACACAAATTTGTGTATGTGCAGAAACATGCCGTGGTGTTGACATAGCAGGGGCGGAGCCACCCCTGCTAGGATCTACAGCCTAAAGTTGCCACCATTGGCAGGTTCAGCTCAAATCGGACTTGACAGCAAGGGACGTTTGGAACATCGGAATTGCCTGAAACATACAATGATGCTTCGTTTGTCACTTTTCCTTGCTCTCCTGAAACCATGCTTCTTTCCTCGCCTACTCGAGCTCCCAAAACTGCCACTTCCAAAGTCGTTTCGTTGACATGATGCACAATACTTTCAGGAGATATAGCATTGCCATTGAGAGTAGAAGAGAGGATCAATTTTTGTGTTCAACTCTGCCTTGATGTTTCTGGTTGGGAGGTCAATGTGGACTCTCGAATCATACCTATGATAAGGCTTCAGACAATCGAGATCCTCACAACGCCAATGCCACAACTTCATCAAGATAGCACAAGTAAGATAGGCATAAATATAATGAGACAATTTTCATATTCCTATGAATAAAGATATAGCTAGGAAACCCGAGTTATAGAAAAGCCCTCAGAGAGGAGGATACAAGAAGAATAGTAATTAATAGACAAGTATAAAGGAAAGTCATTAGCCCGCATGTTATGCGTCAGTAGTTAGTAATATTACACTGGATCGGATAGATCGAGATGTATGCGCGTGAGATGAGATACGAAAGTGCGTGAGCCTGTGAAGCCTCGATGCCTGTGAAGCCTCAATGGCTTCAGACATTCCAGTTGATCGAGGATCGATCAGGGGACCGTTCAGACATACACTGTAGTCCAAGTTGTCTCAACAGGCTGGGCAGCAGGGGTGGTGCAAGCTGCGTACACAGTCACAGTTGGGTAGGATCCAAGTCCGGCTCCAGCGGCTCCAGCGGCGGCTCCAACTGTGGAAGAACCGATGACATTGCCAGCTGCGTCAACAGTCTGGTAAACGGTCTCGACGGGAGCTGCAGCACCTCCGCCGACTGTGACGGTAACAGTAGGCTGCGAGGCGTAGTTCTGAGGGAGAGTGATGGTCTCGACGCTGGGAGCGTAGGTCATGGTGCTAACTGGCTGAATGACAGTCACAGTTGCGCCTGAAGGGTATCCGGTAGGACCAGCGTATTGAGTGACGGTCGAGACAATTGTGGTGTAGACAGTAGCGACACTGGTTGCACCGACGTATTGAGTGGTAGTAGCTCCAGCCTGGGTGACAGTGGTTGTGATAGTTTGACCAGCAATCACAGTGGTGGTAGTGACACCATTGCCAGAGTTGTCCTGCACCTTCACGGCAGAGTCGAAGCCATCCATGGGAGTGGCGTAACGAACATCGCTGTAGAAGGAGCAGCCAGAAGCTTCGGAGAAGGTTGTGCCAACACACTGAGCTGAGAGGGAGCAGAGATCAACGCAGTTGGAGAGGGTCTGGGGAAGACCGTTCTCAACGGCTTGACGCTTTTGCTGAACTTCGGATAGCAGATCGAATGTAGTGCCGATCAAGAATTCCGAGCACGAAATTGCAAAGGTGATCTCGAGGTTGCTAACCAAGACGCCTCCGTTCAGCTTAGGGCAAATGAAGCTCTCAGCTGTGACGTTGCTAGGAGCAGCAGGAGTGGTGGAGTTGGTGCTGTTGCTACCAGCACCAGTACCGGTCTGGCCTGCACGAGAAATGACCGTAGCGAAGGTCGAGCCTTGGGTAACAGTAGTAGAAGACTCATCGATCGATGTGAAGAAGGTACACATGCCATTGTCGTACTCAGTACCAGCGCAGTTAGTGTTAGCTGCACATGTTGTCAAGCATTCATCAAGGGTGGCTGTGGCTCTCTTGGCCAAAATAGCGAAGTCAATGGTGATTCCAGAGCGTGAAACATTAATCTCGATGAGGAAAAGCACTCCGTCGATAGTCAGAATAGTTGAGGGAGTTGAGACCGCAGCACCGGAGGTAGTTGAAGAGACACTGGAAGAAGTACGGGAAGCAGAGCCGGTAGGACGAGAAGAGGTGGAGTTTCCTGCACCAGTGATGCCAGCAGAGCGAGTGGAGCTTCCAGTGGCACTACGAGTGGAGTTGGAGCCGCCGACTGGGCCACCAGAGGGAGTAGCGCTTCCGGTTGCAGAGGCGGTGGTGTTAGCAGAAGATGAGGCACCAGGACGGCTCTCGACAAGAGCAAAGTCGGTGCCAGGGGTGGAAGTCTCAGAGTCCTGGTTGACGCTTGAGTAGTACTCGCATCGCTGAGTGTCATCGGAATAACTGGCTCCGGCGCATTGAACGTTATCACTGCAGGTGTTCAAGCAAGAGCCGATACCTGAGGCTGCCTGTCTCTTTCTTGAGAGCTGCAGAGGGGTAACATCGGAGTAGCTATATAGCTGTTAGACCGAGGCTTCAGTGACAAGATTTTGATAAAAACTCACGTAGTATCATCCATGATAGTAAAGACCACGCCGGCGTTAGTCACCATGGCTCCGTTGGAGAAGGTAGAGCTAGCCGAGGAGGTAGTAGAGGTAGCGATAGAGCTGCTGTTGGTGTAACCACTGCTCTGAGCGCTGACAGCGCCGAGCAGGGCCATCAACGAGACGGCAAACTTGGCGGCCATTGTTGATAGAACGAAAGAATAAGAACACTAAAAGCGAGTGATGTTCTGGTCGCTGGTCGTCCTGATTGTTTGCTGACTTGAGTGGATGAGAAGAGGAATGAGTCTGGTCATGCCCTCTCTTTATATCCATGCCATGTCCAAAATAACAACACCTCAGCTGCGTCATTACAAGTGCAAGGATTCCGTGTCTCACGACGAGCTGAGCAGCCGCTGAGAGACAAGACCACCATTCATTTCGCAAGAGCTCCTATGGCACGCAGGAGCTGCAATACCCAGGAGCGGCAATTTTATCGACCGTTATGCACGTACGATGGAGTATGGTGTAGGCGACAAAGAGCGATGGCATGGCGAAGGAGTAGGATCGACCCGACAGACAGAGTCCTCTGTTAGACTAGTGAAACGTGCGCGGCGAATGGGTATAGATTTTGGAGGATATGGTATGATCAACATGAGAAAGTGGAAAGAGATGTCTTACTGCCATGCGGCTCAGATGTCAAAAGCAAAGAGGCAATGAATTTACCGGCTTTGCTGTGGGGTGTAGTGATGTTTGCCTCCCTCCTATAGGTTGAGGGTCGAGTTCGTGGGGATTTCTATCATAAGAATTAACGGTTGTTAGTCCACCCCAATCACAACGTCTTTCCTCTGTAACAGATGAAGGATGGTATGGTGTGGAGCGCTGTCATGACGCATCACTTATTGTATACTGAGTATGGAATATTTTTTCAGAATATTTTTAATCAAGTGAATAGTGAATATAGCCAATTTGACCGACCGTACATTCTAGTATACATCATCTGGTTGATGTCGAATGTGATCAAGAAAGAGATGCAGGTTTGTGTTCCTGCAGAAGATCAGGTACTTCCTCCACACGTGCTTGGCATGCATGTTTCAGCTCAGGGCCAACATGCAGGAGGAAGGATCGGCGCAGGTCGCGCTATTGGACAACTCGACGCTCCTCCGTTTACTCCCGTTACGACTACTACACGGTGATATTCTGAATCACTTGTCAGATTGCGTATGCAAACATCGGCATCCCGAAGTGCTGAACATTTGCCCGCCAATCGCAGCCGCCTCGCGACTACATCCCCATCCACACAATCTGATCAGATCGTGTTGCCGAGCATGTCAGACATCCAAGACCAACGGGCTTGGAAGAGGATGGAGATGTGAGGAGATGCCAGACGCTAATTTTGGGAAGAGGTGAGTAGATCCTTGGCCAATTTGGCATGATTGATGTTGGAGAGAGTGTCCGCCTCCATCCAACGCGTCTCGGTATCCAGTCAGTCAACAACGACTTGATCGAGATACGCGATCTGAAGCGGCATATCCTTTGGCGAGGACGGCTCACTCAATCTTGAGGACGTTCAAGGAAACTGGGATCATTGTTGACCTTGCTCTCGAACTTTGTCCACCAGGCTTCAAAGGCCTTAAGCGGGACAGTATCACTTCCAAATGACGCAAGAAAATTGAAAGCGTTGGCAATGATACGCTGTGCGAGAACTTTTGTTGTGACTGGTGAGGCGGTGGCGGATTGTCTTGCTGGCACCAACTGTGTTGAAGATTTCGCCTTTTGCTCTGCCAGCAATGCCTTGACCTGCTCAGCAGGTTGTATCTCTATGCCAACAACGATGGCAGGTCCTCCTATTGCCACGCCTTCCGGGGTCTCATCCAACATGAGCTGGTCATCTCCTGCGCCTTGCGCAACATTGTTGCCCGTGTTGATCTTGAACATGGTCGAAGGCCTCAACGACGACAAGGCGCCAACCAGCTTGAACTCGGTCGATGGTGGAATCTGAATGAAGATTGCGGCAGCGGCATCGGGTGGCAGCTCGTTGCCTGGTAGAGAAAAGACGGCGATATGGTTAAAAGCTGGTTGCGACGGGACCTGGAAGGCGTATTGCGTCGGAGAGATGGCCTGCGGTTGTGCGTCTACGGGACGACCAGAAATAAGGAGACCAAACATGACGGCGTGCTGTCAACAAGATTCGAATTGCGATATGTACAGTGATACGAATGACTTGACTTGTGCGACCTTCTTGTTGACAAACCCTTCAACTTGTAAATTTATCGTTGCCCTGAGGATTCGAGCTGTGGGGCCAGCTCTGAGCTCTCGTGTGACTGGCACTTTCTCGAAGCCACCGTCACCAAGCCTCGGCCTCCTTGGTATACACCGCAATTTGTGCAATCCATCATCTCACCAACCATCATGGACATGTTCTCGCTGGAGAAAATGCGCGACATGTTGCCTTCAATGCCCTCGATAATGTCCCCAACCAGCGAAAAGGCACCAGATGCGACCGCTACAGAAAATGCAGACGCAGAGATAAGCCATCACACTCAGCCTGACAGTAGCGAACCCATCAATTCTTTGGATCCACAACCCATTGACGAGTCGAAACCTAAATCAAATCTCGACCTCATCAATGAATGCGACAGCTTCCCGTACTTCCAATCAACTCCTCAACTCTATCTCAACCACGTTTCAACATACTATCATCTGCGTGTCGCTGCTTATCCCGAAACAACTCTTGGCTATATCTTACCTTCTGTCGCTGAAGTTCTGCGGGGCCTCGAAGAATGGGAGTTGGACGATGATGAGCGAACCCTTACGCTCAAAGCTGGTGAGGACGAGCCTACTCGAAGTGCGATCCTCGCCAGAACCACAGCTGCCATGCGCGCAATTGGTCACTTTTCAATCCTCAAAGGCTGGCGCAACGAGCTCTACCCAGTCTATGGACCTGCGCCTGCCAGAGAACTGCTTTTCAGCATCGAACGTGCAGCCAGTGCCCTTTTCGGCGTCGTCACCTATGGCATTCACATGACTGCTTACACAAAGTCTGCTTCTGGTGAATTGAAGATCTGGACACCACGTCGCTCCAAGACCAAGTCGACATATCCCGGTATGCTTGACAACACAGTCGCAGGTGGTATGGCTACTGGCGAGAACCCCCAGATCTGCTGTGTGCGTGAAGCAAGCGAGGAAGCTTCTCTGCCAGAAGACCTGGTACGCGAAAAGGCACATTCAGCAGGCACTGTCACATACTTCCACATCAGAGACTCTCGCGCTGGAGGCGAGACGCGACTTCTACAACCAGAGTGCCAATACATCTTCGACCTTGAGTTGCCCGAAGACATCAAGCCAAAGCCTTCGGATGATGAGGTTGAGGAGTTCTATCTGATGGGAGTGGACGAGCTCAAGGAGAAGCTCAAAGCCGGCGAGTTCAAGCCGAATTGTGCTGTTGTGTTGCTCGACTTCTTCATCCGCCATGGCGTTGTGAACGCACAAAACGAGCCTGACTTCATCGAGATTGTGAGCAGGCTACACCGCAAATTGGATTTCCCTACAGCTTGAAATCAGGGGTAGATAATTTACTTTCATGTCCAGAAGGCTGGTCCGAATGGTCATTCTCATTTACATTTTGAGCATGCATATCTATCAGAGAATTGTTCCAATGAGAAAATGTCTTAGAAGTAGATTCAAGCAAACATAAGCCCACCATACACCGAATTTGGATCAATCCATGGCTGGAGTCTCCTCAACTTCCCTTCAATGTCATTATTGACCATATATCAAACAAAAGTACTTCCAGATCTTATCACTGGTCGTACTGTGACACATAGTGTCGCCTAACCACTTTACGCAAACACCAGGAGGCACATGGTGGTTATCGTGATAGTCGGATATTACTGCCAGGGTCATACCGCAAACAAGCTGACTTGCGCCAAGGACAAATTCGGCTCAAGACGGAAGGTACGTCATGGGCGGTGTGGTTCAACATGTTGACTTTCTAAGCAGGCCCTACCAGCAGAAAAGCTTCCACCAGTTGGTACTAATAGTTAGTAGAGCCGCGCAGGTAGGTTTTGTAGCCTTCATTCCTCTAACAGAATACATTGTACCACCAACATGGACTTTCCTTCGAACACCCCAGAAACAAATGAGTACGCAGCCCTCAAAGCGTTCCTCGACGATAGATCCTCGCTCGACGAAACTGTCAAGAACTTCACATCCAACTCCGACTCGTCATCCGCGGAAGACAAACTCCTACGCTCTTGGGATGCGCTAGGTCTTACTGCTTCCAAAACGCCCTCGGATTCGTCTGCACAAGACAAGCTCGTCTCCTTCCTTACTGCTCTCCGCGACTGCGACACGAAAGTCGGGGATGTAGAGGGCAAGACCGTTTCCTGGTCTTCGTTCCCACTTTTCGGTCGCCAGATTCGTGAACACTGGAACTACGACGAAAGGGCTGCACAAGAAGACAACGAGGTTGCCTGTATGTGGGCCAACGCCAACGCTTTCGCTGCGCGCGTCACAGCCACCGCATCTGCATTCGACAGTTCCGACCCACGCGACTTTTCATTATACGCAATCTGGGCATTGAGGGCGGCGTTAGAAGACAAAGATGATGTGCCCGATGCCACAGTACGAGCAGCCGCAATGTGGATATTGTATGCTGGCGAAGTGTTGAGGAAACAGAGCAAAGGCAAGAGAAGCTACGAGGGCAAAGTCGCCCAAGCAGGGAACAAGTACCCGAATAAGGAGTGGAATGGGTTCGAGATGGACAGATGGAGGAGTTGGAACAATCGCTTCGCAAACATCAGCGAGGTGTCGCCGTATCCTGAGATCAAGGATATTGCGAAGAAGACGAAAAGACACATGGGTGATTTGGCGAACTGCTGATTTGATTGAAGGATAGACAATCCAACTGCTAATCAAAACACTCAATCATCCAAATAGGCACACCACAACATCAAACGTAATAATTCGTCCCGGTCGTTCATCATACACATCGCTTTATACCTTGCCGTCCTGCTTCATCAAATTTGAGACGCCTTTGATCAGCATGCTGATCGGACCGTCGTGGGCCCTTCGCATCTCCTTCCTCTCGAAGCGATGCTCGGCTCGAAGTTCACGCTTCTCCTGACGGTACTCTCGCTTCTCCATACGGTGCTCCTGGCGAAGCTCGCGCTTCTGTTGTTTCCGCTCACGCTTTGCTGCGCATTTACTTTGACATGTCGATCGGGGAGTGTGCATGTTGACGTTGTTCGTTCGGAGTTCCAGGTTGGCATTATTGGAGCTGTATGAAGGAACAGCTCGAACATCGGACGTTCCTTGATTGTCAAGATATTTTGATGCATCGATGTCTTGGCTTGAGGTGATATCTTTCGATCCTTTCTCGACTTGCTCGTAGGCTGGAGGAGGATCCAGAGGCTCGCTAGAAGCAGCACGAGAGGTAGTGATTGGTTGATCCTGCACCAGCTTGGCGCCGGTCGACTCTTGTGGATTGGCACGACGTTTGCAGCACATTATCGGTGGTTGAATAGTATGTCTGATGAAATAGAGATTGTTGTAGATATTGGATGTTTGATTGAAGAGCTGATGAAATGGTATGAATAGAATATTAAGGAGCACTGCTTATTTATCTCTCTTGAAGGTCATCTCTACAGTCTTATCTCAAAGACATACAAGTCGTGGGCTGTGCTACATGGATGTCATACTCGGAGGACGTACTTCTCGCTGCCTCGTCCGCTTTAGGAAAGACTGCAAAGCTGCGGAGGGATTCAACGCCGACCCATGGCTGTATAGCCACACAGCAACCGATCTTTATCCGTTTTGGTACTGATAGCTCTCGCACGTAAGAACAGGCAGCGGAGGAATATATATGAGAAGATAGCTCCGAGATCTTCGTCGGCCGTAATTTCGCGCGCGCGGTGCTCTTGAATTTTGTCCGCTGTCTACCAACACAGAGGATGATGGCTAGACAATCACGACTCATGTCCGGACGTCATGAGCCGCAACAATTCCCCCGTCCACGACCAAGGATACCAGCGGCGACGACACAGTATTCGCCATTGGCCAGTGTTACCATTCTATTTGAGTATCCTCTTCGAAACAACAGCTTCGTCAAGTAGTACCAAATCCGACATCAGGAGCGTATCTGAAACGCCAAGCCCTAAACACCTCATGCCAGCCGCTCAATCAAGCCTTTGTGACTTGACAAACATCGCATGTGCACGTTGAGAGTCTAGATCATTGGTAACAGGATGTTCACAAAAACCTCTCCAGGGCAAGCCCAACTCTGCCTTCAATGTTGGCAGCAGATCGTCAAGGAAATCCGAGCGGAGTATTGCCAACTTTGGCTGTGAAACTCGACATATGACTCTAGCTGAGGGGTATGCAACACTAATGCGTTACAGCTTTGCTGCAAAAGAATCGCGGGATAGCTGGATCTTCGGGCGAAGGCCAGGCAAGTACATAATCGCGAGGTTTGCAAGCTTCGACATTCGAAGATCAGTCCACTCATTTTTTTTTTTTCGATTCGTTATAATCTTCTTGAGCAATCATGCGGTATTCCATTGCTGCATTGTCTCTTGTTTCCCCAGCGCTGGCGCTGCCTACGTTGCCTTTTTTGAATGGTGGTCTGTTTGGTGACCTCTTCTCGCATGCACATGGCTCAGCTTATGCCGAGGCACCGGCATACAATGGTGGTTCTACTTATGGTAGCGAGTCTGGTCCTACATATGGAGAATCACCCGACTACGGCAGTGGACCTGCCTATAACAACCAAGGATCTGCATACGGCGGTACTGCCCCTCAAGGAAGTGGCATATCTTCTTCCGTAGTAGATGCAGCATCTGCTAGTACAGGCATGTCCGGATATGGGATTGCGTCTTCCAGTGCTGTATATAACACCACCACAGCTCCGACCATTGTTCCAACTACTGCTTCTCCTGTCCCAGCAGCTTCATCAAGCGAAGTTTCCTCATCTGCCGGCGAGCAGACTTGCGACAGTCCTGATATTATCGGCTGCCAAACATCATCTGGCTCTTCTGCTTCTGAAGTCCCGGCAGATAGTGTGGGCGTCTACGATTTCATCATCGTAGGGGGCGGCACCGCTGGTTTAGTGATCGCAAATCGATTATCAGAGAACACAGACACGTCAGTCGCTGTCATTGAGGCTGGCGATCTGGTATTCGACAACAAGAATGTGTCCGATGTAGATGGCTATGGCTTGTCTTTTGGAACGGCAATTGACTGGCAATACGAGAGCGTACCTCAAGCATATGCCGAAAACAAAAGCCAGACAATGAGAGCTGGCAAGGCTCTCGGTGGGACCAGCACAATCAATGGTGAGTCTATCATTACGAACAATTGAGCTTGATATCTGACGAGACTCAAGGCATGGCTTACTTGAGAGCTCAAGCAGCTCAGATCGACGCTTGGGAGCATCTCGGCAATGACGGCTGGAATTGGGAGAGCCTACTGCCTTACTATAAGCAAAGCGAACACTTTCAGATTCCTACTGAAGAACAGTGTTCAGCTGGTGTCAATTACGACATTAGAGTTCATGGAACGACTGGCTACCTCAGGACCGGATGGAACACTGGTCTTCTTGGTGAGGACGTCACTTCGCTCGTAAACGCCACATACACTTCTACTGGATTGCCATACATCCCAGAACCTAACGGTGGTTCCATGCGTGGCTTCACTCGCTATCCCGCGACCGTAGACCGCGAGCTTAACGTTCGTGAAGACGCTGGCCGTGCTTACTACCTGCCTATCCAAAACAGAACCAATCTGGACCTCTACACAAACTCTTTTGTACAGCGCATGACCTGGGATGGATCTTCGACGAACTCAACCCCTCGTGTCGACGGAGTACAATTTACCGATGCTTCTGGAAAGCAAAAGACTCTTAGTGCTAAAAAAGAGGTCATTCTTTCGGCTGGTGCATTGAGATCACCTCTCATCTTGGAATTGTCGGGCATCGGCAACTCTGCGTAAGCATGATTAATTTATCTAAGAGACTTTGCAAAACTGACTAGGAATAGTATTCTAGAACAACATGGCATTGACGTCAAAGTTGACCTACCAACTGTGGGAGAGAATCTCCAAGACCAGACCACGGGTGCTGGTGCATACAGCTCCAACAAGAGCTTCTCAGGCACAGCCGACTACGTCGGCTACTTCAGCGTCGCGGACATCTTTGGCAACGACACTTACGACTTCAACTGCACAATCAGGGACAACATACTCCAATATGCTACATCTGTCGTAGAAGCCTCCAATGGTGTGCTCGACCAGAAAGTCATGGAGAAGTTGTTCATGATCCACTATGATCTCATCTTCAACCAACAGATCCCTATTTCCGAGATCCTGCTCTCTCCTGGAGATGGCAGGATGGATTTCTCGTACTGGGGTCTGCTTCCTTTCTCTCGTGGTAATATTCACATCCAGTCCAATGACTCTACCACTCCTGCTGCTATCAACCCCAACTACTTCCAGCTCGACTATGACTTGAAGCAGCAGATTGGCACTGCCAAGGCAGTGAGAAAGTTGGCTGGTTCTGATGCTCTTTGTGAGGTCGTTACTGGAGAACTCAGCCCTGGTCTCCAAAGTGTGCCCCTTGATGCTTCTAACGAAGTCTGGGCCAAGGCCCTGAAAGAAGGCTGTAAGTATTCGTACTTTGCAAGGAAAAAGCAGACGCAGTTGCTGACTCGCTCTATTAGATCGTTCGAACTACCACTACATCTCCACAGCAGCCATGATGGCTCAAGACCTCGGCGGTGTAGTCGATACCAATCTCTCAGTATATGGCGTTGACAACGTGCGCGTTGTCGATGCCTCAGTCATTCCTTTCCAGGTCTGCGGTCATCTGACTGCCACCATCTATGCGATTGCAGAGAGAGCTGCTGATGCTATCAAGCAGCGTTACTACTGATCTATCATCCCTCTTCCCCACAGTCTCTTGTTGTTTCTTTTTTCCGAGTCGTTCCTTTTTGTAGCGAAAAATATAATTCCTTGTTTGTCTCTATGATTTGTGGGAAGAAAAAATCGTGCCAAGGAGTTATCCTTGTAGTATGAGAGCTATCCTTGTAGTATGTGAAACAGGTGGGTGTTTCATTGAAGCTCAATGAATCTTAGAACCCTTGGTCTGTTTCGAAGATGCGAGTGCGTGCCAACCGAACCGCTGGTCAGAGCCTTTGAGATCTCAAATCGGTGCAATGCCAGCGTTACACTGCCGTACCTCGTCACTGGTCCCTTACGATCACGACGAGCTTATGCCGCAACCAACCCAATATCCAACACTATTGACCATGCCTCAAAGCTTGGCAACAGAGCTGTTGTTGATGGTCAAGTATGAGTTGTGGGCGATACCGGCAGACCAAAAACTTGATACCGTCTATCGAAGGTTGATACAAGCTAGTCAGCGGGTCGCGCCTTGGTTTTGAATGGTAGGAAAAACGATAGAATCATTCCGAGCTTTCGTTTTGACAAAACTAAAAATGAAGCTCAGGTCATCATAAGGTAGCATGCACAAGTGGATCTGCGGAGCTGATGTTCTCAGTAATATGGATCGTTCCTAGATCTGGTGGTGTAATGGTGATGTGCCTAGTCGTAGTTGTGGGCCAGGTCTCAGACGATTGGCACTTCATTGCGTAAATTTGCGGCAACATGAAATCTGGAAAGATTGTTCTGCTCGAATATAGTTGCTCTGTTTGGCATCATTTGGTCCCACAATGCTCGCGAAGCCACGTCAAGGCTGTCCGAGGGATATAAATATTGACGTAAAGTGAGGTCGATCAGCGACCAATCGATATGCAATAGACTCGAGACCAGCTTTTCGAGTCCGTCCAGGAGTCTGGGAGATGGGATCTGCATAGTGCCGCATATCAAAAAGAGAGCCCATAGTCCAATCTCAGCGTAGACGGTGTTGATCAGAACTTCCGGAAACAGGGACTCGCTCATCTCCCAAAACTGTTCAGAACCGCTACCCTGCAAGTGAGAGACAAGCGACAACAGCGCAAGCTTGATATGCATTTCGGCCTGAACGGAGATAGTGTCATCCATGGAAGTCTGAATTGGCGAGAAGTTGCTCGTCAGATTTTCCAAAAAGTTGTGGTCGGTCAAGCGTGTCTGAACGTCAAGCAAAGCAAATTTACGGTGTCGAGGTCTCTTCATGATAAGGTTGATTTCCGAGATGAGTCCCAATGTCGAAGGCGCAATTGGACAAATCCGATAGGATCGTGCAATGGATGCAAAGCCGGTTGGCAGATCAAGGCTGCTCAGGTCACTCGTGAAGGGTCGGTCCAATCCTTGCGGTACATACACAGGCTCCATGCCAGAGTACCATCGCTGGTCGTAGGTGACAAAGGAGACAAGGCGACGAATAATTGGCGGCAGTGTGGCATCGTGGAACCCTCCGCGCAGGTTTATCATCGTCTTCAAACCTGTCATGTGTGCCATTGCCGAGACCTCATCACCGAATTGGAACTCCCAAGCGCAGAGCAAACACACCGTTGCAATCATTTGGTCACTTGTGTTCAAGCCTGTGGATGAATCCAATCCAACCTGGAGGCTACGCATTGCTTCGAGACGAAACCATGCGGTAATCTCCTGAGTTTGTTCCCGCGAGAAAGATGGATGAGATGATGCAAGAAGCAGATTCGTGAAGAAGAGGGCGCGATGTGACATTGTATCAGGCCATAGCTCTTGGCGAAGGATTGGTCGGTCGGATATGTAGATGGGATCCTGATGGCTTGGAGCGAAATATGTCAAGTCTGGGCAACAAGGTCAGTCGAAGTTTTTTTACGAACAAGAAGCATGAGAGCTACATGTATCGACCAATTGCGGGATCTTCGCATGCCAGGCGTCAGGGTAGGGAAATGTCAAAGACGAGTCGAATTGAATGACCAATTGGCTGAGTTGTGGACTGATGGTATAGTCCTGTTGTGCCGGACTGAGGGAAGTAGGACTGGAAGAGTTGCGTCTTGAAGAAATGGAAACCGATGAGCTACTAGGTGCTTCGGTATTGTCTTTGATCGCCTTTGCTTTGCTTCTCCTACGCACCCTTGGAGGTATTTGATCCTCGGGAGAGCTCGAATTGGAGCTGGCTTTGGCGGCAATGGTGTTCTTCCGACAAGTAGCACTGCTTAGTGCAGCCTGTGATCGAATGGCCCTTCGCAAGGGACCCTTCTGGGTGTCAGAGGGGGTAGTGATATTGATGAACATAGTGCTGCATTATCGCCAGCCAGCACGAGAACCAAGTAGTGAGCGAGCTTACAGCTGACTTCCGAGTTCTGTACGGGGGGACAGCGGAAATCATATTTAAAGAATAGGGTATGCCTCTAAAGCAAGCCTTCGCTCATCCGGAGCGGACAGACTCGAGATCCGCATACCATGGCATGCTCGCATCTGCAACGACGTTACGGGAGTGGGGCCGCTAACCTTTGCTGACTGGTAACCTTAGCCAATCTACTGGATAGCATCATGCTTGGTATGTGCACAGTGCATCTCACCTCTTGAGCCTCTTCAACGATCTCGATATAGCAATGCGAAGGCTGTGGCAGAAACCAAACTTCGACTTCTCCAGTCCCTGATCGAGATGGATCGTGATGAATGGTTACGCAGCATCAGTACATGATATTGGAGCAGAAGCTCGTCATCGGAAATGGTGATACGGCCGATGTGAGTGCGATAGCGAGTGAAGAACCGATTTCAATTTCCAGGGCTTCTAGTGCACTTTGATACAAGCATTTTAGCGACACACGTCCGATGGCTTGAGCCTTACTGGGATAGGATGAGAGCATTTCGTCCTCTGCACTGCAGATGGCATGTGCTGTCTACCCCGAGTCGGATGTCGAGGACCGTGCCAGCTAGCTGCTTGAACCTATTCGGGAATGGTCTGACTGATTTGAGTTTCTACGTCACCCTTTTGAAGCTGGAGCTCACTCCTCTTTCCTTTCAACCACTGCTTAGTAACCTCGGTCCTTACCGAATGTACAGAAAGGTATCATGCATGCCCGTTGCAAGCGCGGTTCGATTTTCGGGTGCTGGGTCCGGCGAGTCGCGGGTGATCATCCCAGATCTGATTGGTGGCTGCTTCTAATTACATCTGTGATTTCTTAAGAATTTCTTCTTCGCATTTCGAAACTACTTCTGCCGCGAACACGTTCACCTCTCGTGCTTGATGCGATCTACCTGATCCACCTGCGATCGTCACCAAACAGTAAATTTGCCTGTAATCTGCTAAGAACGCGGCAGACTTGCTGCCTCGACAACATCGGCAAGGATAATTTGAAATCGTCAGTCGGTCTGGACGCAACGTCAAAGGCTTGTCCTCCTTTTCGATTTGACGTGCCTTGCAGATTGCCACAATTCCTGAGAGCTGAAGTGACAAGATACTCAGGATTGCAGCCCTTGCAGACGTCTAGCGCATGAATCTGTACCGACCAAGCGGTACCTATTGTACCTGTTCCCCGCTTGCAGTAACAGATTGCTGTTCACAAACGTTGGTGTAGGGCTTGAGGAATCAGAGTCTGATATGTATACAGTTCGCAAACATATGTAATCCCGCGTTCAGAACTACTCTCTGCACGTGGCTGGGATGATCATTATTAGCTGTGACCACGAACAGAATTGAGGCTTCGAGGACTTATATTCAACTAGTCGTATTCGTATTGTCGATCGGTAAGCGGCCGAGCCGTGGAACTATCTTAACCTTCTATCAATACCGACAGCCTCCAAGCTTTTGTTTTTGTTCCATGCATCTTTTGCTACGCCAAACACACTGCTCACGATGCTTTTATCTACAGACTTGATTCCGCATCTGTTGACTATTGCATTGCGTCCGCTGGTCGGTGAAGCACAAACTTCGTTGCACAATTATGCAGTTGTCTAGATGAATGCACGATGAAAACATGGCCTGAGGCATCCGCACTTCCCGCCGGTTGGTTGCGGCGACCCCGAAGGTGTTCTAAGCTTCAAAGTATGCATGATACATAACCACCGTGCATTCTTCGACAAGCCGAACATAGCTTTCGATAGAGTGGAGGCACTCCACAGCCTTAGCCAATAGTCGACCCCAAAGGCTCAATCTAACCCTTTCGCAAGCGAACGCGAATCATTTGAGACTTTGCGCTGACTGCGCAATTACGCAAACTGACAGATCTTGGTCCACCAATCGGAATCAATTGTGATTGTCCAGCCCGCCTTACCGAGTATGGAAACCTGAATGTCAACCTGGGAACATCGTGTTCACATTGAGGTAGCTCGAACGAGAAGAGGCAATAGACAAAAGAAGATGCCAAGGAGCTCTTTTGACACTGATGAGGAAACCGATGCCCCACGAAGAGCGCATTTCTAGGTTCTCGATCTGAATAGTGTGGCGCTCGCAGACCAACCGTCTCGAAGCTGCCAGCACTCGCTATCCGCAGCATCATATTCGGACCTTTGAGTGTGCAAATCACGTAGCCCGCGCGAAATTGGCCTTGTGTGAAAAAGATGTTTTACAACCATAATTTGCTTCTGAAGACGTAGTACTCTGATCATCCCGGATTGATTTTATACTTGTATGCCGACGATAGTGGATACCTGTACGCGTTCTCTGCAAATGGCACGGACCGCCATAGGAGGATGGTCTATGTTGTGATTACTCAAGGTCCAGAGCTTTCATGCCGAGAAGGAAGGCAGGCTTGTCTTTTGCGCCAGCTACGCAACACAACGCAGCAGGTCATAGTTGAGAGCGCTCTCAGAACTCCTCCGGTATCGTCAAGAATTGAACGTTCTGACCTGTACCTAGCTGACTCAGGTTCCAGCTTGGAGTGTCTCTTGTACGTGCTACTGGTCCCACATATTCTTTCTTTCTGAAATAATACGTTATCATCATCAGAATTACCGCACCTACGAAAAGCGCGGCTGCCACGTTGAAATTCGTCGAAGATACTGGCAGACTCGGCGGAGCAAACGAGCAGATGAAGCAGTTTATCGAGAATATCTGGAACAGAAGGTCTAATCAGCGTTCTGCTTCAAGACCAACATACTTTCGAGGCTTTGATCAGGTGTGTTCTGTTGCCTCCATCGGTGTTGATAGCACATTCGAAGAGATGTTTGTGCGGTAGTAACCATGTAGCTTGCTTGAAGATAGGCCAAAAAAAGCCAGGAATGGTATGGGCGTGAACTTACAAAGGCAAGAACGTTGTTGACCGGACCCCAAGTAGGTCCGAGGCCCCATCGCGCTTTTGGCATGCTCTGTGGCGATCTCATGCGACGGTACAATACGCTCGAGATGGCTAGAAAGTATGACATGGCTTGAGTGGCTTGAGCAAGCCCCACCTACGCTATCAGTTGCATTCAGAAGCATCCTTCAAGACAAACTTACGATCCCGTAGAAGGCAGTCTGAGACCCAAGATTTATCAGTGACAATAACGCACTAAATACTGCCGTCAAAAACACAGCATTGATTGGAGTGAGCCGTCCTTTGTGAACCTTTGATCTCTTGTCAGCTAGTTCTTGCTGTGCTTCTCAACATCTGAATACCTTGCTGATCCACTGAGAGAACGGAAGTCCTTGGTCTCTTGCAAAAGCATAGGTGATTCTTGCAGTGGCGGCTGAAAAGCCAATGTTGCTTGCCCCCAAGAGAACAATGAACGCCAGAAGAACACATATTATAACGCCGTTTGGAACGGACAACTGGAGAATGTAAAGCAGTGAGTAGCCAGTTGGATGATTTAGGGCTTCTTTAACACTTGGAATGCAGAAAGCAAATATTGCGACAGCCTGAAAGAGAATTGTTAGATTCAAGACGTGTGTTTTGGTTGAAACCTTACGAGAAGTCCACAAAATCCGCTGATCAATTGACTGCGCATTGCTGCCCTTGGTACGGCTACCGCAGCATCTTGAGCCTCCTCAGAAAGCCGAATTGGGGCATCAACGTCTATTGACATTAGCTCTTTGCACTTAGAGAGTGCTATCGAACTCACAAAACAAGCTATAGTTTGCATTTGTCTGACCAGCAAGTACTGCAAGAGCTGTAGAAGGCCACTCTGTGTTCTCAATCTGCAAGAAAGCCCTCTTTGATGGAATATGCGGCGATAGTACTCCCAAAATGGCTTAGTTGCTGTTAGCATCGGTCAAAAGGGTGGATTCGTGTTCAGGATTCAACTAACCAACGATTGCAATCAGAGCAAGAATGTGTAATGACATACAAACATTCTGCAACGTGGCGATCGTGCGCGATCCATATATATTGACTAAGACGACCAGACCGAGACATGGAAGCATAAATACAATTGTCTGCCACGTCAAATCACCGTTCGCAGGACGATAGATCGTTATCATGGACTGGATGAGCGAGCCTGTCAGGAAGAGTCCTGAGGCATTTCCGCATTGCCAACCAAGGAGTGTCGACCACGCTGAGGCTGTCAGTCTTTATACCTCAAAGCACTTGTCATACACTTGCTCACCCGTGACATAGGACAGAGACTGCTGCCATCGTTGACTGGCGAATTCTGAAACCCAAAAATGTTGACCCGCTGAGCTCGGTGTCCTAACCCAAATGTTAGCTCGACCATAATTATGTTGTCTTCTTATACCTACATCGAAGCCATTTCTGCCAGCGACGCCGTAATGAACATAGAGCCCACAAAAGACCACACATCTATATTCTTGGTCAGTATGACATCTCCTCTGGATCAGAATGACACCACAAACAAGACCAGAAAAGTAAAGCACATCCGCCCGCTTCGAGTGTTTGATTGTTGTTACTAATATCGATCAGGATCGTTCAAAGTCAGGTCAGCATTGACTCACAGTAAGATGAATTCCCATGTGCATTGCGACCTGGTGCAACACTATTAGTTAATGTGCTGTACGCATAATTTCAAGACTTACAGGCACCCGAAAGATATCAGAGAAAACTGTTTGAACACTCTCTGGAAAGTGAATCAGCTCCATCCTTCCGCGATTATGCGAGAAGATTCAAACCCACCCTCATTTCCTGGGTCCTACCCATTCTCAACATATCTTTGAAATCCTCCGGTGATCCAAGCTCCTGTACGGGCACTGTTGATGCAGACATATCTTCTGCGTCATGGGCCCAGTCTGGTTGATAGGAAGAGCCTCTAGATAATGGTGTACGGGAAGACGACAGCCTGGTTAACCCGAGTCCTGGTCTGGCGATGTCGTCCAATTTTCTGTTTCCATCTCGTTCATCGGGGAAGCTATCGCCCCGTGTGGTGATGGGTCTGAGAAAACTACCTTTCCTTCGCTCTGCAACCTCAACGCTGGATGCCTTCTGGATAGAGTCTTCATGCATTGTGTTGGTGACCCAGGAAGCTGGAGGCCAAGGAAACAAAGTGTTCTGGTCGTAGAACTTACATGTTCTCTAGTGAGCTAATAACGTTGCAGGCCCGCCACGAGCCTGGCTTGTCTTGGCCTAGAGCTCGCAGGGTGAGCTCCTATTTCACAGCCTATGTACCAGTTTCTCATGGGCACAAATTCTGTACATTGAACGCCGGTCCAAGCTTGCAAACGTCATGCAGCTAGATGAATTGTTCCCTACCACACACGATCCCTGACCAGGGTGTTTTTAGGGCAGGGCGTTGGTAGCCTGTTCCATTTCTGTGCCAGGTCAGCAACGTTTGCATTGAATGTGGCTTTTATCCGACGATTTTACGGAGTTCTTGGCCGCGTAGGCATCGACAAGATTACAACGTCCCATCACGCCCGAACTTGACCGGTGTCCAGATCATGCTTGTTTGACGGACGTTGTCATTAAATTGTGTTTGTCGTCGAATGGAAGGTGCGGATGCGGGGTTGCGGCGACACCGAGTCAGCTTTGAATTGGAAGAAAGAGTGTCACCAGCGACCTTTAGGGAAGCCACGACCAACGGTCTTGCGATTGTGAATTCTAGAAAGATGACCTGAACTCATTGTGTCTCATCTTGACATCGAATCTCATCATCCTCATCAACTTCTTTCTTCAAATGCTCGTTGCGAAATATCTCGCGACACTCTCACAGGCGGTATGAGTAAATACTCAGTCCTCTCGAGAGATGCCCTTCCTCCAGACGTCTACTACTTCTCCCAGTTGACATCAACAGACCATGCTGGTATCGTCTATGTGGTCTGCATCGTCAGTCTAACATATGCAATTCTCTGCAGCAGTGTTCGTTTCGTTCTGCGCCGCGGCATGTACAGCTTTGACGATGCTGCACTGCTAGTGTCCACTCTTGCGTGTGTAGTCCAGCATACATTCGTGTTCGTTGCGCTCCACAATTGCCTGGGAAACTCATCAAGCATTCTTCGGCCACAGCATCAAGAGATACTCAACAATGTAAGCGATGTTCATCTAAAGGACGAAAAGATCAGGTTTAACAGTTCTCAGAGCAGTTACACGCGGCTTGTTTTGTTCTTTGTGGTCATCTACTTGGCCAAAATTTCCTTGACACTTTTTACTCGCCGGCTGTTTTACGGCCAGGAACGATTCAATCGAATTATCTGCGATGTCATGCTCGTTGTCAACCTCGTTTTCTTGGTTGTCAGCATCCTGCTTATCTCTATCGATTGTCACGCTGGATGGTATTTCAAGAACAAAGAGCTGTGTCCTGGGCTGGTAGGTCATCTCAATTCACCACCTGATTCTGAACTATCCAGCTGATCTCACGGCAGCAAAGTAGATGGGTCACGATCAAGACACTCGACGTGTTGTCTGAACTGGCCATCGTGATTGTTCCGATCGTACTTATTTGCAGAATTCTGCTAAACCCGAAGCACAAAGCAGTCATCATCGGTACTTTCGCTGCGAGGCTTCCTGTCATCGCCTTCACTATGCTTCACTTGTACTACCTGGATCTGTCTCTGAAAAATACTCAAGATCGAGGCTTAGCAATTGTTCAACCAGTTGTCTGGCTCCAGGTCACTCTTCTCTGGAGTATGGTTACAGCATCACTCCCGTCTTTCAGACCACTGATTTCACCTTTCGATACTGTGATGGAAGATTCTCCCAACCATTCCGAACCACGCAGCAATGGCGCTGTGCTCATCATGGGAACTGACAAGGAAGGAAACCCTCCTGCAACACTGTCTGTATCTAATCCATCTAGATTGCCTCAGATTGAGCCAGTGAAAAGCGCTGGAAGCCAAACTGGAGCATTTCGAGGCCGTAATGAAACCATTGTCGAGGGACCAAAGAAGAAGCTTTTTCGACTGTCAAAGAAGGAAGAAGATATCGAACTAGGCATCATCCAACACATCTCTAGTGTCGAAGTCACTTATGAGGAACCCACAAAGCCTAGCCGTTGGAGTAAGGTCTGGCGTGAGTCGAATTCCACAATGGTCGAGGAAATGCCTGCTGCGGTAAGGGCAGCAACAAGATCTGAGGAAACGTGAGCAACCACGATTCGAAAACCTCCAAGTTCACCATGCCAACATCTTTCCAGGCCACCTTCTCGGAGAAGAAGTACCTATGCCTTTGTCGACGAGGCCGATCTGGTCGATGAAATCCACAGAATTTCCGATGGCAACTCGTCCGTATGAACAACACATAACAAGTCGAGAAAAGGCCAAAGAGCAAAAAATCTGCTTTATCACGACCTCTGAATCAATCGACATGAACAGCAGATGTCGCTTCATCTCGTTCTGTTGAACCATCTAGCATCGAATGACGTCGATAAACAAGAGAAGCTGTCAAATCGAGAAGCGTTCAGAAGTGTCACACACGGACACACAACCAATTCCAGAAATCGAGAACACCTGCAGTCAGTGTTCGTTTCATTAGCCTGGAACACCGTTCAAACTGGAGCTACATTCAACATCCGCCGAATAACTAATCACCCGTCAGTTTCGGAGTCTTGTCCGGGTCCGAAACGTGGGCACCCGTGCATATTGAAATAGGTCCTTCTCTTACACCAGACTGCTCGCACTATCGACACGCAGATTCCAAATGTCGACTTGTCGCTTACATTCGCAACGGCGCGACATACTTCACATGGGCTTCTTCTGGACTGCGATCCTGTACATTTCAGACAGCCGGAGTTCTACCCGGAGGCGAGATGCGAGATTCGGATTCACTGTCGGCGACTTCACAAATCTAGACCAGTCTGGAGTAATAGAAGGAATACAAATGGGGGCAGCGGCACGATGCGATCGCATTCGCTACGAACTTGACGATCTCATGATTTTCATACCTTTTGGTCACTGGGTACCTACTTCAATTAATACTATCAAGACGGGAAAACCGTTACAAATCTGACTGCATAATGCCCTAAAGCTAGAGTGATCCAAGAAAAACCCAACAATCAAATAAATCAACAATGGTCCACTTCTTGTAATTAGTCCTATTCCCTGTGTGATAGCTTTTATACACCCTTGTTTGCCATTTTATAACAGGGCAGCAGCACGATGCGATTGTATCTTGCTACGGACTTGATTGAGACAATGATTGGATTTTTTTTTCTGTCTACTCGGGGAGTACAAGATACCAACTTTGACTCATAGCTTCTGAGAAGAAAAAGAAATGTTGAAGATATCGCTGTCTATGAAATGCGCAATGTCAAAGCTAAGAGCGATGCAAGAAAAAAAAACAATCAACCTCGAAGGTCAAAGAAATAACCCTCTCTCTCATCTTCGACGAAAGGGAAAAAATCCTCTCTTCTCCTCTCCGACAGACCTCCAACCCTATCCCTGCGTAATGGTTTTTCCCTTATTGCCATCCTTGGCCATGATAGCCTTCAAAACCTCCACACCAACAGCCATAACACTAGCATCCCTACACTCTCTCAACGAATCTTTGATCTCTTCCAATCCATCATGTTGCCTGACTTTCTCCATTCCCCTAGGTCCAATCTCTCCGGGTGCAGAAATGACGTTAAGTACACAGACTAACCCTCTATGTTTGATTTCATCTTTGGCATCAGCGCAGAGGTCTAAGAGGATAGGAATGCCACGTTCATGTTCAAGGACTGCGTTTGCAGCTGCATCCCATTCTGTCAACATAGCCAACGCACCGCCAGCTGCGCATCTGGTAGCTACATCTTCTGCATCCGCCAGCGCGAGAAGGATGTGTAAGCGTTGTTTTGCCGCCGCACTGCCATCCGCGTATTTCGCAACTCCGGCAGGTGAAGCCATGAGATTGCAGACTAATTCTACGGCACCGCGTTGAATGAGTTTGTTGGAGGAGAGTAGAAGGTCTTGGGTGGGATCCCAGGCTTGTTTGAGGAGTGCGTCTTTGACGCTTTCGTCTTCGAGGGAGGCAAGGTTCGTGAGTGCGAGAAGGGATTCGAAGACGGGAAGGAGATCGCGAGTGTCTGAATTTGTGTCGGGAGTAAGGAGGAGAGTCAAGGGCCGTAATGCGGAGATGGCGGGCATGGCTCTACTGAACACGTGGTTGGGATCTACAGAGATCAGAATACGTGCGAGTGCGTGCGCGGCTAGATGAATTGCTGCTTGTGCAGAGTCCGAGGCAGCGGCAGGCCCTGTAGGAGATTGGAGACGATCGATGGTTTGAAGAAGCAGCTTTACTGCGCCTTGTTGAGCGAGTTTGCCGCGATGTTTTTGCTCGCGTGCGAGAGCGTGCAGGATCTTTGCTGCTATGCCTAGGATTGTGATGGTGTAGTGGCTTCTAGCCGCTGCTACGAGGACGGGTACGAGGTCTGCGTCTAGCACTGTCTTGCAGCGTGCTGTAACGTGTTTGTCATCGTCCAAAGGATCTTTTTCCTCGGGCTTCTTGGCTTGGGCGTAGTCTTTCAGTTGTGACATCTTTTGTTGCTCCTCGCTTTGTGCTGGGCGGTAAGAGACTAGGTTTGAAAAGATGGTCAAGATGCCAAAGGTACAGGGGTCAGCTGTTGTTGTCGACTTGAGGCGTTCAATGAGCTTTTTGAGTAAGGCCGAATTGGACAAAATCTCCATCTTAATCTTGGGTTGAAGCGATGTGTATGCCAGACCCTCTATTGAGCTCTGTTGTTCTGCAGGGCTGCTGGCGTTCATCGTAAGATTTACCAGAAGAGAAGAGAGATCGTCAGCGTGTGTTATCGAGGACTCTTCGGACTCTGGCTTCGGTCTGCCTGACTGTTAGTGCTGGCACAGGATGAGAACACAAAAAAGAGAGCTCACGGAATCTTGGCTAACACTAATGCAGCCATACTCGCGGCTGCTGACTCTGTACTCGTGTGCGCCACATCATCGAGCCAGTTGTAAGCGACTTTGGAGATACTCTCTCTGCATGCCTTGTCGACACATGCTGCACTTAATAACTCCATCGCTGCCTGTTCGAGTCGATGTGACTTTCTGCAGGACATGTCAGTGGTAGATTTCACAATCATCTGCACAACTCACCTCTGTCCCATTGAGTTTCTCTCTAGCACAGGCACCAAGCCCTCCAAGAATCCAGGTGTCAGGAACAACTTAGCCACAGTCTGTGGTACAATCGGGAAGACCGAAGCTGCTGCCGAAAAAGCCACGATCAATTCGTCATTATGTCCTTTGGCGACACCATTGGTAATGTAGTCTGTAAATATGGCTTCACCCTCCTCACGGGTTTCCTCGAGGAGTTTCGCAACAGCCAAGGTTGCCTGTGCCCTGATCTTAGTATCGAGACGAATGTCCAGCTGAGCAAGTACAATCTCAAAAGCGTCTCTGTCAATGAGACCAGCCATATCTTGCGCATTGCTAGTAAGCAGTCTGGCGATCAAGGTCATGCTCCACTCTCCATGCTCCAAAGCAGGATCCAGGAGTTTTCCCAGAGCAAGTAGGAAAGCATCTCGCTTAGCCTGTGTCTGAACCTCGGTACTAGGCCAAGCTTCTGCATCCAAAAGAACAGGTAAGATGCTGTTGAAACTGTGTTCACCGCGTCTCCAGAGCAAGCGAAAGTATCTGGTTGCTTCTGTGCCGACTTGGATCCTGTTGGCAAGTTGTTTGCGAGCTGCTGCAGAATTGATTACAAAAGCTCCTGTAAGTTCATCTCTGATTTGTGTAGGCTTTCCATCATGGTCGAAGAGCAAGTGAGCGACATCGTTAATCTGGTCAGAAGGTACAGCAACATGCTGCTTCAGCAAACTGACAGCTTCTTGACCGTCCTTCTGCTCTCCATATTCAACATAGCTTTTGACCAGAGACAAGATCTGACTTCCATCTGAGCCCGCTTGTGACAGAGATTGTACCAAGGCTTGGACGTTTTTGTTGGTAGGTGCTAGGGAGGCTGCTTCCTTGGCTAGCTGGGTTGCTTTCTGGAGTTGGCGTTGCTCGATGCAAGATCTGGCTTGAGCCACCAGCTCCTCCGCACGTTGGATCGTCGACGAGTCTGCCATTACAGCATTCCAGTCGCTCGTTGTTTCTTTCCCGTGATAAATTGTTGAATGTTTTAAACTATCTTGTGGTATTTTCAAGGAACGTTCGTCTTACATTTAAAGCCCAAAGCTCGGACACCACAAACAGCAGCTCTTGGCTTCATCACCAGACGAACAAGGCAACAACCACGAGAGAACGATCAAGGGCCGATTGCAACCAACAAGGACCGATTCAAAAAAAAAAAAAAAAAAACGTGGACGATATGCAGATAGCAAAAATTGCTCATATACGAAAATGCTACTTCTAGATGCAATATCAAACCACAATGCCCCGCCTATACCAGCCGCCAGGACCCCGCCATGCATAAAGCCATAGAAGACATGCTACCCAGACGCTCACTGCCATGGCCCAAAATGTCGGCGCATAACAAGCGCGGCCGAAACATAGCTCGCTACTTGCCTCTACGCCTTCGTTGGCTGCATATTGATAGACAGCACTGTAAAGCAGTCCCCATAGGGTGGCTCCCAAAGCAGGCACAGTAGCAACACAAGCCCAATTAGTACCAAAATTCTCAACTCCCCAGACGACCGAAGTGATGATCGGGGTCAAACTGAAAACAGCACCATATCCTGCGCCGACCGCCGCACTGACCCACCAGAAGCGTTCGCCATGTTCTTGCACAACACCCGAAGCAAGAACAGCCTGGCCAATAGACATGACGAGTGAGAAGACGAGCAAGAATGTTATGCGTGAGATCTCAAGGCGTTTTTGAGGTTCTGCAGCATCTGCGCCAGGCAAGGTGGCCATGGAGGACATGAGCGAGTTAGGACCTCTACGATGCTGGTGTGGTACAGAGGTAGGAGCGAACAAGTCGGACAGAGTACCTGTCAAGATACGCGCAATAGTTGACGTAATGGCAACGATCGAGACATGAGTAGCAGCACTCGTAGGAATATCCTCGTCGGGAACGTTGGGCGGGTATAGAGTGCCAATGACTGTGCCTAGGTTGTTGATGAAAGCCTCACCAGGACCTGTGACGAGGAAGAAGCCACCAGCGAGTAGCCACATAGTTCTGTCAGAAAGGAAGCGGCTGGTCTCCTCGTTGAGCAGCCATGTCTTCTTACGGGCTTCCTCTTCTTTGCGTTGACGCTCTTCCTCGTCATCCTCATCTGGCACGGCACCATAGCTATCATGATGCTCGTGATGAGAGCCTCTTCTGAAGAAGGCACTGTCTTCGAGCAAACCACTTTGTTCCAACTCTTCAATTGCTTCATCAATCATCTCGTCCTCGTCGATAATCCTCAGCAGGAAGAATCCGATGGCACCAGCTGAGAACAGAGTGCATCCGAGGAAGATGAAGAAACGGAAGACATCAATGTCTCCAGGCGTGCCGTCAGGCTTCTTTTCATATAGCAGGCGACTTCCCACCTGACTCTCCCACATGCCGCTCAAGCCAAAAGCAGCAATGGGCAGAGCCAGTGCGAGACCCTTGTGTTTTCCTCTTCCAAAGTTCTTTGCGCAGGTGGTGACGGCACTGAGGTACATACAGCTGGTAGCCATGCCAACCCAGACGAAGGAGAAGACCATGACAGCAAAGGGCCAGTCAGGATTGCGGTATGTGAAGGCTGCGAGTATGTAACCGAAGCCAGCGAAGCAGCCTGACAAGATCGAAGGAATGCCAGGACCGTAGCGGTCACAGAGGAAGCCAAAGATAGGCACGGGCAGGTACATGCCCAACTCGGCGGTGATGGAAATGGTATTGACGCGCAGCTGGGTGTAGTGTAGGCGTTTCTGGAACAAGGGAGCGTAGACGGAGAAGCAAGTGATGGAACCGGCTACCAGACTAGAGTGGTATATCAGTCATGCTCTGCTAGCAGTAGGTTGGTAGCACAACGGACCAGTTGATGATGGCCCAGGCAAAGGTGAGATAACGCGAGAGCTGACGCTGCATCTTCTGTCTGTCACGGTTCTGGATACCCTCGGCGACCTGCTCAAAGAAGCTGCCGGCATAGCTGTGCTCAGCACTGGGTCTGCCTGATGATTCTCCTTCGTCGTCGGCACGTAGTAGCGGTCTGCCGGGGTGGTAGTCCAATTTGTCGATGACTGTCCCCCCTCGACCAGCATTTCCACTTCCTTGACCGGCCATGGCGTTTATCTACTACTTCCTCTGTTTCCAGAGGATAGTCGGTATAGCGTCAAGAAGAGGACGAGGCCATGGCGAATGACTGTCTATCGAGCCCTGGTGACTTCACTGACTCGTGTACCCTTCCGAGGCACGAGCCACCGATTCCGTCATCTCCGCAGTCGCATTCACATGTGCTGCCGTTTATCAAACGTCTCATATTTTCAACTCGACCAAGCAATGTCTATCACCCTGGTCATGTATTCATCAGTCCAGTGTTTCGAAGGAGTCGCCCTAATCTAAACGCGTGGAGGCTGAGGACAGTCGAGAGACAGGTGTTGGTCTAGACAACATCACGTCAAAAATCATGTGGAAACAGAGGACGGGAAACTGGTAAAAACGCTTCAGATATGCTGTGAATCTTCTAAACTTGATCTATGACCAATTCGTGTCTATCTTACACATCAACTCGCTTCTCCTCGCAAACCCCGCGAGCTCAGGGGTATATCATATCTCAGAGTTGGCTCGCGGTGTCTGCTTGCGTGGATACGCCAATAGAGAAGTGTGCTCGTGTGTGATACGAGGTATTATTTGTGACCTGACTCCTTGCTCTTTCTGTACTGTATGACGAGACAGCCGACCAGCAGCTCTCCCATCAACGCACCTTGACAGTCATTTAGTCAACATACTTGGGGAGAGTGGCCATGACACCGTCCTTGGCGATAAGCTCCATAGCGGTGGTCATTTCGTCAATGAATCTCTTGTCGCCGCGCAAGTCGTCACCGAAAAGAGACTTGATGCTGAGGAGCTCGTGGGGCTTGAGACCACCAGCCTTGGCCTTGGCCTGGAGCTCCTCGACCATCGGGTCGTCGACGAGGAACTTGTTGCCAGCATCATCGACACCATTGATGTAGCGGAACCAGGCGGCAGCAACGAAACAGAGACGGCGGAAGTTGTGCTCACCCCAAATCTGCTCGGCGATCGAAGGCATGATAAACTGAGGGATCTTGCCAGAAGCACCGAGACAGATACGAGGAAGCTGGTCCATGATGGTGGGGTTCGAGAAGCGCTCCATAAGAGTGTCGCAGTACTTGTCAATGTCGACGCCGGGGATGTTGGGCAGAAGAGGCTTGACTTCCTTGTGCATCATCTGCTCGACGAACTTGCGGTAGACAGGGTCGTTGATGACCTCGTGGATGTACTTGAAACCAGCGAGCTGACCAGCATAACCGAGAGCAGAGTGGGAACCGTTGAGAAGACGCAGCTTGTGCATTTCGAACTGCTCGACGTCGTGGACATCCTTGACGACCTGAACACCAACCTTCTCGAAGGGAGGGCGGCCATCACAGAATTTGTCCTCAACAACCCATTGCATGAAAGGCTCGGTAACAACTGGCCATTCGTCCTCAATACCAAAGTCTTCAGCGAGTGCGGTAATGTCGGTCTTTTCGGTGCGGGGAGTGATACGGTCGACCATAGAGTTGGGGAAGGCACCCTTCTCGGAGATCCAGTTGGCGATTTCGGGGTTGGCGAGTTTGGCGAATGAGACGAGCATGTGACGAGTGATGGAGCCGTTCTTCTGCATGTTGTCGCAGGAGAGGACAGTGAAAGGGTTGAGACCAAGCTGGTGACGTCTCTTCATACCGGCGTAGAGGAAACCGAAGGTGGTCTTGGGCGAGTCCTCGTTCTTGAGATCGTGCTGAATGTCGGGGTGCTCGGCCTGAAGCTCGTGAGTGTTCTCGTTGTAGTAGTAGCCGGATTCGGTGATGGTCATGGAGACGATCTTGGTGTCGGGGTGGGCCATCTTCTCGATGACAGCCTGGCGGTTGTCGGGCGCAAAGAGGAACGAAGTGATGGCACCATTGACGTTGGCAGAGCTGCCGCCAGCTCCACGCTCAATGACAGTGTACAGGTGGTCCTGCTTCTTCAGGATGTCGCGCATGGAAGCGTCGAAAGGCTGAAGACCGACACCAGCAATGGCGTAGTCGCGTACGCCATGCTTCTCCATCAGGTTGTGGAGGTACACGGCCAAGTGAGCTCTGTGGAAGCCACCGACACCAATGTGAACAACACCCTCCTTGACCGACGAACGGTCATAGGTGGGCACTCTCACAGTTGCGCGACCCGACTGGGACGCGATCTGCGAGAGGTTCTTGCTGAGCAGCTTGAACGACTGCGATGTAGCGTGAGGCATGATGTCTCGCAATACAGAAAAATAATTGAGAAGAGACGAGTTGCAAGAGAGAAAGCTAGTTATGTAGCTACGCGGAAGATGTTCGGACTGGAAGATCTTTCACTCAGCTCTTCCTTCACGTTGCTTTTCGAGCAAGGGTCTGTTGAGTGGAAGTAGCCACCCAGTGACGATTATGACCAGGTCAACAATAAAATCCGGGATGACGCTGTCGGGTGGAGCTCCAAAAAAGGTCCAACCGCCAGCTCCGACCGCAGCCTCCAGGGGCTCCCGAGATATCCTGCATACATTATTTCCACCTTGAAGCTATTTGAGGAGCGAGATAATTACAATGCGCAGCAGCAGGGATTACGAGATTGGCATTGGTCTAATTCTGATCTGCTGCGCAGTCGCTAGTGTAGCAAGACAGCAGAGTGATGTACAGTTCTCAGCTGAATGCGCCCAGGTGGGTTTATCTATATGGATGTGGCTCCGCAGATCCTGGCAAGTATTTCTTTCTGAACTCGGAGGCCTGCAGATCTCAGACATTCGGATCACGCTCCATGCGCCGTGCATGATAGTATCTTTTTGCGAACGCAGAGCAGTCACGGATGTTGATTGCGAGCTACGGTGTTACGGCCTAAGGAGAGAGCCATCAAACCCATGGCTACAAATTACGAAGTTACGAGCAAGTCTTCATTGGCCGAAAACTCTTCACCAAAAAACACAGGTCTGCCACCAAAGTGGTGAGAGAAACTAACCGAGAACAATGGACAAGAAAACAGGGTGCTTATGACGTATGCAAAAGTTGTCTCCGCAAAAGCTCAGGGCTATTAATATACATAGCACGTTGAGAACGTTATTAAGAACTATAGGATGTATACTCTGTGAAGAATCTCATTGCTGTAGTTCATTCCCACCTCGAAGAGCCAAAACCGTTAGAGCGAGCTCCTCTTCTGTGGTATGATCTGTGTGTCCAAAAGAGCGATGCTGAAGTCATCCAGATAGATGTTACCAATGCCTGAGTTGTCAGCCGTCGTTCCGACAAATACATACAGTGTCGAAGTACTGCTGGCAGCTGTGAAGCTGAAAACATCGTGTTCGGCAAGCCAACCTGTGCCTGGATTTGACGTGACAAACGAATCTTTCTCATCATCAATAGCTTCGCTCGTGGTTATTGAAACACTGCAGTACTCAGTGTCCGGGACATGGCAGGAAGAATGGTACGAGATGCTGTAGGTGAATCCTGGACAGAGATTACTCATGGTGTTCACCAGATAGACCGATACCCTGGAGTAGTCTTCAGTTTGCTCAAAAGTGAATTGGCCGCTGAGAGAGCCGTCATAGGGATTCGTTGTAGTAGGAGCCCAGGAGCTAAAGTAGCCACCCGTAGTCGACCAGGCAGTCTGGTTCTTGCCATCCTCAAAGCCGCTATTGGGAATGCGAGGAATGAGGGTGCAGGTCGGAGCAGTGGTAGGTGATGCGGTAGCCAGACCAGAAGAAGTCGAGTTACCAGCGCTGCTGGTGATACTAGCAGAGAGAGTCGAGCTTCCAGTAGCACTAGCAGTGGAGGTGGAGCTGGCCGAAACACCAGGAGTGCGGCTAGCAGTAGGACAAGCTCCATCAAGGTAGTAGTAGTCACATGTGCCATTGTCGAAGTTGAAACTGGTTCCAACGCACTGAGGATTCTCAGAGCAAGATTTCAAGCAAGCCCCGAAATCGGAGTCTTCAGAGGAAGCGGTACACAAAGCGGGAGAAGAGGTGGTCGTAGTACTGGTGAGAGAACTTGTAGTGTTGTAATAAGTGGTCGGAGAAGCGGTGTTGACAGCGGTTGACAGAGTGGTGAATGAAGTTGTGGAGCTGCTTGATGAAGTTGTAGATGGCGTCGATGGTTCCGCGAGTTCGACATAGAAATCCATAGCCGGAATACTACTAGGTGCGTAGAAACCCTTCCAATCGAGATTTGCATCATACGAGAATGTAACCGGGAGCAAGATTCCATCGGCGGAAGTGGTAGCACAGCTCAAGAGGTAGTTCTCATCGTAGCTGCATCTCGGGTTGCCGGGATGGTACTGCCCAAACGCACCATAGTTTGAGATATCGCCGTTATCATAGATCACTATGTATGAATCTGTGTATTGGTTAACATTTGACTGATACAGATATCCATTAGAATCGATTTGGAAGAGAGTGTGTCGAGAAGATCCCACAGTGTAAACTTCTCCCTTGAACACGTAGTATTCACTTGATGGGGCTTCATCGTCAGCGACCCTTATATAAAATTGGCCGTCAGTTCTGGCCGTAGGTGTCTTTGTGGCGGACTCCGACGAAGTCGAGGTAGAAGGAGTGCTGGTGGTGCTGGAAGGAGTAGGTGACGCGAAGGAACTGCTTGACGAAGTTGTAGATGGTGTTGATGCTTCCGCGAGTTCGACATAGAGATCCATAGTCGGTAGATCATTGGGTCTGGAATTGGCGAACCACTCATAGAATCCCGACCCAAGGTTCATGTACGAGAAGGTGACAGGGGAAAATGTACCGTTGGCAGAGGTAGTAGCACAGCTCAGGAGGTAATCTCCATCATAGGCGCATCTGAGGTTGGTGGTGTAGTATTGTCCAAGCTCATCATAACTACTAATGTAGCCTTTCCCAACCGAGTCAAAAGAGGTACCAATCCAGTATTTATCGGAGCCTGCGACTTGATACAAGTATCCACTTGAATCAATTTCGAACAATACTGGATCGAGATGTCCAAGACTGTAACCGTCGTCCGTTGTAATATAGAAGCCATCAACAGTTTCGGCAGAGTTCGCGACTCTGAGGTAGAATTGGCCGTCTGTCCTGAGCGTTGGTGTCTCTGTGGGGACGGCCGAGGGGGTCGAGGTAGAAGACTGGGTCGTGCTGGAAGAAGTTGGTGACACAGAAGAGCTAGAACTCGAAGCTGATTTGCTTGTGATACTCGAAGAAGATCCTCTCGAGTCTGATGCCTTTGTTGTGGAAGACTTGCTTGAGCTTAGGAGTGTTGATGAAGATTTGCTGCTCGTTGTTGTGTGTACGGAAGGCCGAGATGAGCTCAAAACTTTCGACGAGGATTTGGTCGAGCTCAGAGACTTAGTAGATGTGGACGTCGACGATTTCGAGCTGGAGCTTCGGCTAGCGGATGATGAAGTCTTTGCTTTAGTGCTGCGGCTAATCTTCTTGGTGCTGCTGACCATGCTCGAAGAGCTAGTCGTCTTGCGGACGCTTGACGTGGACGACTTAGAAGTGGATACAACTTTCGTGGTTGAGCTGGTCTTTGTGCTTTTGGCTGACGAGGGAGTGGCCTTGTGGCTTGAAGATGACGCCGATTTCTTACTTGAGGATGAAGACAGAGACGACTTCTTACTAGAAGAACTGGTCTTTTTGCTTGATGACGAAGTGGGCTTCTTGCTGCTTGATGACTTGGTAGAACTTGTCTTGATAGTTGTCTTTGTCGCAGAGGTCTTCTTGCTTGACGATTTCTTGGTAGTCGAAGGAATGGACTTGCCTTCGACACAATCACAGAGTGCCAAAAGACTCTTTGCACTATACTTGCGGAACGGAGATGTAGTTCTTGGGCTGCCCATATGGTCAGTGTCAGTCAGATAAAGCTAGACTGTGTTCACTTACTATGCAGTGTAGAAGTTGCAGAAATGCCATGGTTCGGTGAACTGCTTGCTCATTTCGGCGCGGCAAGATTGAACAGATTGTCCCTTTGACAAGACTGGATGGTCTACGGTTGCTGCTCGCTTGCCTTTTGAGGGCTTCGAGATGCATTTGCATGCACTGTTGACTTGGGACACTGTTAACTCCATGAAGGGAGTCCTAGTGCGTGTGCTGAGATGCGTCAGCAATATTCCAAGCTTGTGGATGTCGATCTTACGGACTCTGAGTTCCACCATGTACAGAAATATGTAGGCTCATTGGCTGTTCGCTTGACGATGGCGATGTCTCGTGCGTTACATTTCGAAGTTGTGCCTTGTGCAACAGGGGAGGACGAAACGCCAATGCTGAAGGAGAGCAGGACTACCACATTGAGCAAGTAGAGGAGATACATCTTGCCTAAGCATGAACTGAGGAGGCTGATAGTTGTTGGTTGTTGCACCGTACTCGGAGGCTCTTATTTATACATCAGTTCTCTCCGGCAGGACTGCTCTTGCCAACAAGTGAACAACCATTGAGTCGCAAATATCGACCACCTTGTTTCTCAAGACATATCCAGCATCCTTCGCACTGAAAAGGCACAGACGGCTGATAGTGTTAAGGGGCATCTCCGAACTCGACTTCTCGTTCACCAGGCGAACATTGAGTATATTGTCTCAAGAACAATCCAAGCAGCCTTGGACCCAGCTGAAGAACAGTCGCAATTACCTATAGGTCCGTACGGCTGTGGATACTGTGTGATACGAGTCATGATAGTTGATGGGGCTTTGAGCAAATATTCCGATTGGCAACTCAATCTCGCGATTTATAACAGTCAAATACACACTGAACAGCGCCACGAACGACGAGCTGAAAAACGACAGTATAGCAAGGCGCTTCTAGGAGGCTCTGTTAGAACAAAAGCGTTCTTCGCAGCTAGCCACTGTGATCCTAAAGGCTTGGCTGTTAACGAAGTAGCGATAAAACGGTCAGCTAGAAGCATCCACGCAGTGTCGGTGAACCCCGTTTTCGAAACCATGGTCGTTAAGGAAAAGATGTCAGGAGTACAGAGCGGACCATTTTCCAGTATCATCCTTGCGACTCGACCAAATGGGAAACCATAATAATGTCATCTACTCAAAGACACCGTAGGATTGAGGTGGTCCTCATGAAATGGGTAAGTCGTTGAGATGGGGATCAAGGATCGATTCCGTCTGTAGGTTTCCGCAGAGGATTCCGAGCTCCTTACTACAAGCACCTTCAGTGGGTGCTGCTTCCTCAGTCGAAGGTATGGCTTGGAAACATAATTCCCGCACACCTTCGAAATCTTTAAAGCTCACGAGCTGCTAGACGGAAACTTTCGTTTTCAAGATATCGCAGGCGATTCCTCGACGGTATAGTTCGGAGTAGAGAACAGTAGTTTGAGGTGAGCGAAGCAACCAGATGAGTTCCTGGAGCTTAATGATGGTCTTTTTGAAAGAAACACGAAAGGAAGGGCTACAGAAATGTGAGGCCAGGGTGACGGGCAGGAGGCGTTCATCAGGGTGCAAATGACGTGGGCTGAGCCGCAACGCTTCAGCCTCCTTTGAGTGGCAAAGCAGAGGGTCCTTTATTATCAACATTCTCCACTTAGCCTGCGATCTGCCTACCCTACCAAATTCCTTATCATCGGTCTTCAGGATATCATGTCAGAAATTGAGAAGCAACCTCTGATCGAGGACCAGCCCAAGGCCACTCTCGAGGACCTTCGTTCAAGATGGAATGAAGCCCGTGCGAACCTCCAAGCTGCCGCCCAAGAGCTCTTCACTGCAAGACGCGAATATGAGCGTGCATGGTCTCGTACAACTCGCGGTCGCATCACCATTGCCGCTTTCTGTATCTTCATCATCACCATCTTCCTTCTGCCACTTGGAGGCCTTGTGCTGTTGGGTTTGATGGACGATGAGCCCGAAACGTACGAATACCTGCCCAGACGAGTACCTCTGGAGGCCCACATTATGAGCAAGTGTCCTGATGCTCGTGATTGCCTTCACGACCTTGTACTCCCAGCTATGGTGAATGTCAGCAACCTCGTCGATTTCAAGCTGTCCTACATTGGAAAGTAAGCATCTACAACATGATGCGCACGTGCTTCACAGTAGCTGACAAGAAAACAGAACCATAGAGGACGACGACGGTGTTGTCTGCATGCATGGCCCTTCGGAATGCTTGGGCAATTCCATCGAACTCTGCGCAGCTCGTCTTTATCCTAACCCCAGAATCCACCTCGGCTTCACTATGTGCATGTCGCGCAACTATTCTGAGATTCCTTCAGAAGATCTTGCCAAGGACTGCGCTTTGGAGCATGGTATCGACTTCGAGAAGCTGAACCACTGCTTGAGCGTTGATGACGGCGCATACTCCAGGAATCTCCTCAAGAAGTCTGTTCAGAGAAGTGCCGAGAAGGGTGTCACTAAGAGCTGCACCGTCAGAGTCGACGACAAGAACTGGTGCATTCGTGATGGTGGCAAGTGGACGGACTGTGAGAACGGCCACGAAGTCAAGGATCTCATCGAGCACATCTACGATTTGAGATGGAAGCACAGCAGTGCATATGAGGCGAAGATTGGTTCTAACTGATTTTCATGCTCTTCTTCATTTTCATTATCGACGGCATGGCATTTCCATTCTTGACAGTCCCTTAAAAATTGATGTTATCTTTTTGATCTGATAATCTAAAGTGGCGTTCCTGTACCCCGCAAATCGATCATGGTCCGACTTTTTTTGGGCTGGAACGATCGTGACAGAAGCGTCAAAACTTCTTCTCACAACAATCTTGCCTGACTATACCGCAACCCTAATACATACAACATGGCACCCTCAGCAATCTCGCCCGAAGAGACTCCTCAAGTCCCCAGCGGTGACTCGACCGTTTTGGCTCTGCGTAAGACGCTGACCTCCGAGAACGAAGCGCTGGCCGCTCGCTTCCGTGCCCTCTTCTCCCTCAAGTACCTTGCTTGCCAGGAGCCCCGTACCGAGAACACCATTCCCGCCATCGATGCAATTGCTGCTGGATTCTCTTCCCCCTCCGCTCTCCTCAAGCACGAGCTCGCCTACTGCCTGGGTCAGTCTCGTCACGATGCCGCAGTCCCATACCTCCAAAAAGTTCTTAGCGACCGCGAAGAAGATGCCATGTGCCGACACGAAGCCGCTGAGGCCATCGGTGCTCTGGGCGACAAGGGCAGCTTGAAGCTCCTTATTGAGAGAAGAGACGACGAGACCGAGGAGACTGTTGTCAAGGAGACTTGCGACATTGCTGTTGGTCGCATCGAGTGGGAGCACTCTGACGCTGGAAAGGCAGAGAAATTAAAGCAAAGGTATAACCACTATAAGATGAGCGCATAGAGCTACAAAGCGACGACTGGAACTAACGTCAACCCAGCGATTTCGCTTCGATCGATCCCGCTCCTCCTCTCGCCATTGCCGCAAAGCAGCCCACAATCGAAGAGCTTGAGCAGACTCTCCTCAACTCCAAGCTCAACCTGTTCGAGCGTTACCGTGCCATGTTCGCCTTGCGCGACCTTTGCTCTCCTCCCGATCTCCCGACTGCCGTCCCTGCCATCAACGCCCTCGCACGTGGCTTCACCGACTCTTCTGCTCTGTTCCGTCACGAGATCGCTTTTGTGTTTGGCCAGCTTTCACACCCTGCATCCATCCCTGCCTTGACCGGAGCACTCAGCAACCTGAAGGAGAGCAGCATGGTTCGTCACGAGGCCGCCGAGGCTCTTGGCAGCTTGGGAGACGAGGAGGGCGTCGAGGAGACACTCAAGAAGTTCTTGAACGATGCCGATCAGGTCGTCAGAGACAGCATTATCGTCGCCCTTGATATGGCTGAGTTTGAGAAGAACGGCGAGACCGAGTATGCAACAATTCCTGTTGTTGCTTAAAAGCGAAGCATAATGACCCTTGGCGTTTGAAGATAAAAGGCACTACGGATGGAGTTTTTGGATCTGTTATTAGACAAGATGAATGAAATGTTTATATTCAACCTTGATGATTTGAACCAGCATGAATCGCAAGACCTCCTCAACCCACATGGCGCTCTCGTCAGACGGGAGAGAGTCGTTTGCCCAAATTGAAGAACAGCTGATGCAAAAGCGGATCCCATTCTGAATACAAGCTCTGAAACGCGCTCAAAGTAATAAGACAGATCGTGTCAGCTGTGCGGAGAGCGTTTGAATGAACGGGGAATCTGTGCTCAATTTGGACTCAAAGAGGCAGGCGGTGAGCTCGCGCGGCAGGTCCCTGCCTAAACAACTCTCTTTCTAAGAATCAATCCATCACTCTGGGTGGCACCTGCCTAACTTACGATTGTTCCGCTGCGTTTCGGTATTGTCGAATCCTGTTGTCGTCTCTAGATCTGGCACCAGCAACTCTGTAATCAATCCACTACCATCGCCAAACTCTTCCAGGCTTCGGGATCCGCTCGCAAAAGTAGCCATGTTAATTAAACAACACTCTTGAACTCGTAGTTCCTGTCCGCAATGTCGCAATCCAATGGCACCAACCAGCCAAATGGAACACGCAAGAATCTGCGTGTTCCTACCGTCGCCGAGGCTCTGCCATACTCGCCATTCACATCCATTCTGCCATTCACTATTGGTATTGTGTCGCATGATCCGTATGCCTTGCACAACAGCTGATCGTTCTATACAGACGCCATACCTCCTCCCTTGGCTATTCCCTCCGCTTCCGCACAAGTCTTCTCGTCCGAAGAACAGAAACTCTCGGCTCATGGAATGTTAGAGCGTCTCGATGCTCAAGCCAACAATGCAGAAAGAGCTTCGGAACAATTGACCAAGACACTGGAATCTGTCCAACACCTTCTCAGGCCGGACAGTCTCACTCAGTACCGTTTCAACAAACCTGCCAGGTTTGCGCAGACCAAACCTCGTCAAGGCCAATCCACTTCGACCCCATCGAAGCACCAGCTCGGTCCGTTCGCAAAGATGGTCTTGGACAAGACGATTCCTTCTCACTATGCCACCACAAAAGCCAACCTTCCTGCATCGGCCCCAAGTCTGAGCGCTAAACCGCCAAAGCCGCCTACCCATGCTGTAACGCCAGCATCGAGCGCTACTGCCCCTCTGCAGCAACCCCAGCATGGCTACCAGTCAGCATCTTCGACGCCGTTCATACCCGCGACACAGTCCACATCATCTGCTTCCAAATCCTATCCACAAGTCGTCATTCCGATCCCTCCTTCGTCGGCCCGCGCGTCCTACCAGACCAGCTCTTCACAGGCAAACGGCATTCTCTCAACGCCATCGCAGAGCTCTCAGCCCAGCTCCCAGAAATCGAACATCGCTGTCGTGATTCCTGACACGCTGACTCAAGCACAACGCGCTCAATATGTCTCCATACCGGAACCAGCACCAAGCAATGCTCAAAGTGTTTCTCAAAGGCGCGCAGACTACGAGGCAGACCAGCGACTAACTTCGGCAAGCATTGCTCAACAAGAAAAGGCAAATTCTGCAGTTGCTAGACTCCAAACTCTGATCGCTGAAATATTTGAGGCCGAAGATCAAATGCAGGCCGATACATCTGGCATGGTATCTTCAAATGCTGCTCGCTTCTTCAACACTGATGATGCAGTTGAAGGTGCGCCAGTGCTGCAAGCTGCTGTTCAAACACAGCTTGATACCGCTTTGTACAAGGTGGTCGCGAACGGTCGTCTTTCCAGCATCGATATCGACGACCTAGCCCGCATTCAGCGTCTTTGTGACCACGCTGTGACTGCTGCAGGTACTACCAATTATCGCATTGACGACGACACCCCACAGGAGGCTGATGACTGGCTTCACCGCATTGGCATTGGAGAACAAGGTCTAACTGCTTGCAAGACATTGCTACGAATCATGACGGCTGGCCGGGAGGAGAAACAACTGTACTCCGAGGAAACGCTCACTACCCTTTTGAACAGTCTGATCCATTTGGTTGAGATTTGCATCATCCCTGTGGTGGAGATGAGAAGCAATGGAGATATGGGCGATGCATTTAAGTTCGCCTCTTCGCAAAGCAAGCCCCTCACTCAGGTTCTGACGGTCTGCATTCGCGTCATCAAACTCTTGGGCGATCTGATAGCCAAGACTGATGTCGATGAGCGTGTCATTGTTTCTGCCGAGTTCATCTGCAAGACTTTGGTATTCGTTGAGAATGCGACGTCTGAGAAGGATTCTGCTCTAGGTATCCAGAGATTCGAAACCGCTCGTAGGGCTGCCATGGATGTACTTGCAAAAATCTTCGCTCGCTACCCAGAGCAGAGACAATCAATCTTCGATGAGATTTTGACCTCGCTTGAGAAGCTCCCTGTTGGTCGACAAAGCGCCCGCCAATTCAAGATGGTTGATGCAAAGCCAATACAATTGGTGTCCGCTCTACTCATGCGTCTGGTTCAGACTAGCGCGACACGTATGGAGGTTAAGACGAAATCTATTCCTGATGAAGATGATGCCGAGAAAGACGAGGATGATTCAGAGTCTTCCGAAGAAGATGCGGATGCAGACTCGGACTTTGAAGGCGATCAAGAAAAGAAGCAACGCCTCAAGAAAAAGCCCAAGCCCAAGAAGCGCTCAAGCGACGGACCGGAAGATCTAGCATCGGTTGCCAATCCCCTGTATGAAGCTGCATACAGAGATGCTCACTATGTGGTCAATTACATGGTTCAGCGTGCCTTGACTTCGACGAAGTCAGGCGATCAACCGTACAGAAATCTTCTGGACATCTTCACTGAAGATTTTCTGAATGTTCTGGGCAACACAGACTGGCCGGCAGCCGAGATGTTCCTTCGCGTGCTTCTAGCCAAGATGTTCGAACTGTCAGAAAATCACAAAGGCTCGGCTCCCTCAAAAGCGATGGCTCTTGAGTTGATGGGCGGCATGGCCACTCGAATCACTGAACTACGTTTACAAGCCCAGTCAGCAGCGCGCAATCCGAACACGGATCGTTCGGAAGTCACAGCCAAGCTGTTGCAAATACATGAGAACATTTCGGCTGAGCAAATTGAAGAGGATGAGTTGCTATCATTTGATGGCCCATATCGGATCATACTCGAATATCTCCAGGCTAGAGGCACGGATGACACAGAGTTATTGACCGCTCGTGGCTATCACTCTGTCCTGTGGGCCAAACAGATTCTTCAGCTCAACCAGGATACTGCGAAATCAACGAAACTTGAAGAACGCCTAGCCTTCATGATCAAGGATTCTGCATGGCTGGAGACTGAATACGACTTCAAGCAAGTCAGCACTGAGGATGGAAGATTTGCAGCCGTCCTGGTAACTATGAACCTGCCCTTCTGTCGAGCCTTCAACAAGATCTTTAGCAAACTTCTTGGCACCATGGCTGGCGATCAAGCCTCATTGAGAAGCAAGAGTTTGAAGAGTATTGAGCAACTCCTCGAAATGGACCCCACCATCCTTGACCAGGGAACGTTCTTCATCAACAGTATTATCAGATGTCTTGCCGACAACTCGACTCAAGTTCGTGACTCTGCTCTTGGTCTTATCGCCAAGTGTCTTTCTTTGCGTCCAAAGCTGGATACGATGCTCTACGAGCGCGTCATCATGCGAGCTCAGGATGCCAATTTGCACGTTAGAAAACGTGCGATGAAAATGTTGAAAGACATGTACTTGCGCAATGACGCCCTCAACATGAAAGCATTGATTGCAGACACTCTGATCAACCGTGTTACTGATGCTGATGAAAGCATCGTGGAGCTCGCTCGTCACACTTTCGAGGATATCTGGATGACACCTTTCCACAGCATCTCTGATTCGGACACTAATTCGATCAAGCAGAAGCTCCGTCTGCGAGAGCAAACCAGTCTGGTGATCAACATCGTCAAACGCAAGACTGACACTACAGAAGCTGTTTTGCCAGAACTTCTGCAGCAGATCTTGTCGGAGAAGTCCAAGGCAGCAAAAGCTAATGTTGTCGTGTGTAAAGAGATGGTTAAGCTTATGTTTGACGCTATCATCGATCCAAACGAGCTTCCTGAGAGTCCAGCACAGCAGCACGTGCTGCAGACACTCACCATCTTCTCTGCAGCTAACGCGAAGTTGTTCTCAGCTGACCAGCTCCAAACTCTTCAACCTTACGTCAAAAATCTCAGCACTGATGATAACCTGCTGGTTTACCGCTCAGCAATTGTCATTCTGCGTCACACCCTGCCTCACATGAAGAACCTCAATCGAGACTTTCTCGTCAACATACAGCAAGCTCTACTTGGTAGCTTCACCAGGCTTCCACCAGCTGAGCTCAAGGAAGTTGCGACATGCCTCTGGACTCTTGATGGTGAATTGCATAACACCGAGCGACTTGTCAAAGTAACACTGTCACTCTATGACCAGATCAAGAAAGGCTTGCCTGTTGATATGAACAGCAACCAAGCCGTAGCACAGAAGACGAGGAGACTCATCACCATCGCCGGTCATTTTGGTAAGGCCTTCAATCTTGATTCCTACCTCGGCTCGTTCAAGGAGAAGTTTTCGGACTTCAAGGGTGAGCATGTGGCATTCTTAGCTGTGGATCTGATTTGTCCTTTCACAAAACCCAGTCAGCCCATGGTCCTTCGCCAAGCTGCACTTGACAGTGTATGCATGCTGTGTCAGGCATGGCCTAGTCAATTGATGCGTGCCGACGTTTGTAATGCATTCAAGTTGGCCCTTGAGTCTGACGATCAACAACTTCCAATGACTTTAATTGTCGGTCTGAAAGACTTCTATTGTGCTGGCGACAAGCCTGGTGAGTCAAACTTGGTCCAGGTTGGTACTGGTGTTGAGGCTGGTACCGAGAGACTTGGAAACACCTACATGGCTACAGATCGCGATGGCGCGGCCACTTCCATTGCGCAACAGTTCTTGGGTAGAATCCGTGATGTTGCTCTTACTTCAGCTGATGCTCTCGCATTCAACGCAGTTCAAGTGGTTGCTAGTATCGGCCGCCAAGGACTCGTTCATCCCAAGGAGACAGGGCCATGCTTCATCGCTCTCGAAACATGTCCGGACACTAAAATTGCCACCTTCGCCTTCCAGGAGCATATGGGTCTTTACAGCAAGCACGAAGCAATGTTTGAAAAGGAGCACATTGGCGCTGTACATCAAGCCTTCACGTATCAGCAAAATGTGGCCAAGAGCAACGAAGGATACGCAGGCTCTCCACCAACCTCGAAAATGCACCATTTCTGGGAAGTACTCAAGACTGGAAAAGCCAAGATTCGCATGAAGTTCTTGTCAACAATCTGTGGCAAAGCAGGTGTGGGCTTTGACGTTTCGAAGGTAGACATGTCGGATCCACTTCCTTCGCATGTCGCTTTCACTCGATTTGTCTGCGAGAATCTTGCATTCTTTGACTACGCAAAGTTCGACGAGCTCCAACACCTGATCGATTGCATCGAGAAGGTCATGGCCAATACCGGCACTCCCGTCGCTCACATGGTCGATGTTGACATTCTTCGAATGCTCATTGAAAGGGATGTCCCTATGACTGATGGTGAGAGCGGGATCACCAATGGCGCAATTTCGTCTCAAAACAAGCCAGTCGATCCAGCTCGCTCACGTGAGCTGACAGTCTACGTTCAAATCCTTCTGCTGCTTTGGGAAACTCGCACATACCTTCGACGACTGTGGAATGTTAGCAAACACCAAGCAGCTACGAAGGGCAAGGCGAACAAAGAGAATGTCCGTGCATTACAACGCATTCCCAACTCAACTAATCTGACCGAGAAGTATCTCGCACGCAACCAAGAGATTATGAGAGCCCTCGAGTCGCCTGAGAGTCAACTCAGCCTTTGCACTTCGTTCTCGGAGGTCATGGCAGTCGACAGTGAACTCAAGGTTGACAAGGAAGACGCAGATGGTGACATGGATACTTCAATGACGCTTAATGGGGATGGCTATGAGACGCCCAGTGAGAGAGGCGAAAGTGCGACACCCGGCAGTGGACAGAAGCGTGGCCGTAAGAGGAAGAGCATCGATTCCTCCCAGAACACTCCGAGAAAGAAGGGACGACCAAGAAAGAGTCCGAGTGTGCAAGGTCGCTCTGTCTCTTTTGCTTGACGAAGAGGTTGCATTGCTACTTTGGCTTTGCCAAGTACTCGAGTATATTGCTTATGCCTTGCGAGCTTGAGATGCTATGTCGTTATCGCTTCAGCATGCTTTGCGAACGTTTCTAGGTGCATGCGAACGGCACATATTGAAAAGGAGGAGAACATGAATAGATACCCATGATAATTTCGCGAATGCAAAAGCAAAATCTTATGACAATCACTGATGATCCTCTGCTTGAACGTGATGTGTGTTGTAGCTTTAACTGTATCTCTCTTTTGCAGTCCATAGATCCTACTACTATAAAAATGCATGATAGTATCCAAGATTCGACTTTGTCCAAAGAGAGCATACGAAATGCCGGACTCTCACTAGAGAAGCTGCAATATCTCGATTGTATTGTGCATTTTGATAGTATATTGTACTTCTGGCCATGGCAGAGGAGATCCTTGCTATGGAAACTATTGGCCCCAGGCTCTTTTTTTGAATAGTTTCTGACTTCCAAACACTATGCGCCTGTTTTTTGGTACTATAAAATCGCATAGTAGACTCAAGTTTAGGAGCGTATGCAGAGAGAGCATGCAGAGTCTTCGGCTCTCACTGGTCAAGACTCGAAGTCGTAGATTACTGTGCATTTTTATAGTACGTTGTTCTGTTCTTTGCATAGGAGAGAGAGTCTTGAAATGCGTGGTTTTGACCCTGGGCACTTGTCTGTGTAACTATATCCCTAGATGCGCGTGCGCCTGCTATCGTTACCATAAAAATGCACAATAGTTTTGATATCTGAGTTGTTTCCAGAGAGATAACTGCAATATTGAGCTCTCACCGGAAAAACGATAGTATTTGAAAACCTTTGTGCATTTTGATAGGCATAAAAAAGCATTAAATCTAGTTGGGAGACCAAAAAATGGTAGACGAGGTGTTCAACGTGTGACAGATTGTACACATCCCGCGCTTTGGTAGTCAGAAATTTGTACACGATGATTTACGTCAACACATTCAAAGAGGATATCGATCAAGCGGGAAGCAAGTCATTCTCATTAGTGTTCACAGACGCCATTGTCGCGCCTCGTTGTACCTAGCCATATTCTCCAAGCAAAAGCAACCCATCCCCACGCTCAACCCTCCAATCTAGCCTTCAACTCCTCATGACAGCGTTCAAGTTTGTTTCTGAGGTACACAAAGTGACGTTCCATAACCACCACCAAAGCTTTCTTGGTCTCGTTCTCGACCTGGTTAGCGACGTCTCTGATAGCTACCTTTGACAACTCCTCAACAGCAAGCTCCACCCAAGCACCAAAGCTGGCTTTTCCTGCTTCAGTAGCAGTGAGATCGTTGGTATCGGAAGCAATGGCTTCCCACATGGTTTTGGCGAGGTTGTTGGTGTCGGTACCTGGAGGTTTGATGGTGGGGTTGTTGAGGAGGTTGGTTGCTTCCTCAGTGACCATGGTTCTGAGGCGGCTTTGGAATTCGTCCCAGGGGTTGTTGCTGCTTGAAGTTTTGTCAGTATTGTTGAAGGAGTAGATGCAGATATTACTTACGAAGACTGAGAGCTAGCACGAAGGTTCAGCTTTCTTTTCTTGGATAGGTCTGAGTCGGCTGGAGAGGCGCCGTTGCGTGAGTTGGTATCAGTCTTAGCAGCGTCAGGAGCAGTGATTTTGGGCTCCATAGGCTCGGTGACAAGGACCTCTGCAGCTTTGGTTGCACCAGGTTGAACTGCGGTGTTCTGATCGGCAGTGGACGACACCGATTGAGCGCGGGAGGATGAAGGCTTGATAGTGATGGTCTTCGAAGCTCTGCCTTTGAGGGGACCAGACGCAGGTGTGGCGGGAGTGGAGGTAGCAGTTTTGACCACACTAGCTGCTGTGTATGGTGATGGCAGAGTAGGAGAAGACTCAGTAGAGGTAATGAGACGTGAGCTCTGACGGCGTCTCTTAGCAAGAGGCTCGTCCATGTCACCTTCTTGTTCTGCAATAGCGTCCTGAATGAAGACTTCGGGATGAACTCTCTTCAACCAGTTGTGCTGATCCGACCACACTTGCTGGAACTCTTCGCGAAATTTTTGACCGTGCTCGTACACAGCGCTAGGAGGATGACCTGCGTTGAAGCGGTCACAGTTGTCAAACATGAGCTCAAAGTCAGCTTTGAAGGAAGCTGCAGAGTCGTAGATGTCCCTTCCAAATTTGTAGGCAATCGTTGACAAATCCATGGGCTGTCTGATGACATTCAAGTAGGTGGGCACCGCGACGATGTCAACAGGCTCTTTGAAGGTGGCAACATACTTGCGGTGCTTGAATCTCTTGAACTCTTGAAGGACATGCTCGCAGAACAGGAAGTCTGCATGAGACATGCTTGTAATAGCGTGCTTGGAAGCCATTGTGAGGATCTTTTGGTGTTTGTTGAGATCAAGGCAGAGTGTGTAATGTTTGTTCCTGTGGAAGAGGATGATAATGGCGGTGTTTCGATGAGAATGGGTTGCGAGACAAAGGCGGAGCGCGCAACCAAGCAGCACCCACGTGACAAGATGACTACTACGTAGCCCCCTACTATCATAACGTGTCGGACGCCAGCCTGAGACTCTTTGAAACATGACTGCTTGTCGATATGCTGTCCTAGAACTAGATCTGAGTGTTTTCCTACAACGTTTCCACCAATATCTGAGACATTCTGACCTCTCTCTGGACATACCTCCAAATTGAGACAGCACTTTGCAATTCAACGGGCATACTGAATCTATCCCTCGGGCACTCGAGAGTATTATAGTATCTAACAGCTCTCCAGACATGAGCGCTTCAAAGTTGATGCTATAGAGATGCAGCATGTAGTCTGCTTTGAAGGTTTATTCTACTGAAAGCTTTGCTATCCCCGAGTCTCTTTTGACACTTTCCAAGGATGTATCAGAACTTTGCCTCTCTACTGGCATTACAGCACTATTGTTTCAGTATGGGAGAAGAGTGCTTGACGTTCGCTGCGCCCCACTTGTTCAGAGTATTCTGTTTTTTCCAAAAGGACCACTTCAGTATGAGTATGTTATAAAAGTGCAAGACAGACCTCAAAAGTAGGCACATTTCTAGGGAGAGCACCGCTCTGAAACACTCTCTTTGGACTTCGTACGTTTGATCAAAAGGGTCTTGCATTTTGACAGCTATGAATCATTGCATGACTTGATTGGAGATATGGTCATTCGAGGTCAGGCCGACAACGGGATATGTTATGAAAGCATGTCGCATTCAGCGTAATTTGACTGTTAGACACGGAGAGCATTCACGACAGGCTACATCTGTTATGTCGGTGGAATGAGAGAGGAGCGTTCCATCAGCAACCCGAAGCGTCTCTTTCTATGCGCCAGCGTTTACCTCAGGCAATACAGCACAGAGGTTCGATTTTCAAGGTAATTTTCGACAGGTAGTATGCACGAGAGGTTACGTTTGACAGCCCGGTGGCAAGATATAGACTCTAAGCGTTCTTGACCTCATGCGTTTCATCTTGTGGACCGGCGAATCTGAGCATGGAAACACATAAACTTGATTCGAAATCCTATTCTTTCGTGGTATCTGATTTTGAAAGCTAACTCAGTGCTTTTCTTCATGCCTATCTACTGCCAGTCGGTAATCTCCTTCTTTGGTAGCTTCTGTAACTCGTTATCGGCCCTTTCTGTCTGCACGTCTGTCGCTTTATTGCTTATCTCCATCTTCCTTCTTGAGCATCCTGATAATGTCTCTAGCATTCTGACCAAACAGCACAGCCTGGTTCTTTGTCTCATCTCCAATTGTCTGGATCAGAGCATCCTTGACTGCCCTTTCGATGCCACCATTTCTGAGTTCTGCCATGGACATTTTATCGACTCTCTCCATTGCTCGGTTGATCCATGTTGTCTTGGTGCGCTCGAACTGGTACGGTGCAGTGAAGAGGTAGCGACCGTAGACACGAGCTTTGTCGGAAAGGTCACTGTCGCTAGAGAAGTCCAGGCCTTTGGCCTGCTTTTCGATCTCCTGAGACAAGAGATCCTTTGTGTAGTCGTTGAATAGATCTTGGTGGCTGTGACATTGTTAGCAAACATTGAGCTGAAAGAGAGGTTTGTAAGTCAAAGGGAATCACCTCTTGCTAGCGATGGTTGCTGAAGAAGCAGGTGCAGCGATAGCTGCCGGTGAAGGAGATGCTGAAGAGACACGCTGTCTCTTGGGGGCAGGCTCCTTGACAACAGGGCGTGACAGAAGATCTTTATAGATCCGGTCTTGAGGCGTCTGGCTAGTAGCAGAACGCGATATCTGGTCTTGAAGAGGCTGATTGGCAGCAGGACGAGACAAAAGATCTTTGTAGATCTGGTCTTGGGAGGGCTTCTTGGTCACAGTGCGCGAGTGGATAGGGACGTCAATCTCGTTCATGTTGAGAGCACTTTTGCCACGCTTGAGTGTGATGCGAGGCTTTCTGAGAGGCTGTGGCTCAGGCTCCGAGTCCTCATAAGTTGAGTCACTGTGGACTTTTGAGGCCTTGGTATTGAACTGCTTGGGAGGCATGGCGACGGCTGATGACGTGTTAGAGGATAGAGCTTGTAGGCAAAGAAACGATACGCTGATTGCTTACAGTGTTTGCTGGTGAGTTCGTTGGTTGGAGATTGGTCACGTCGAAGAACAAAGGGAGAAGAAGAAGGTTGCTTTTGAGGCAGCAGGCGTCTGAGTAAAGTGAACAAACCAGGACGCTCGGCTTGAGGTGAACAAGAGGTACAACGTCTCGTGAAAGCCGACAACTTCTCCTCGAGACTGTCCAGATCGTCGGAAGCGTCGAGAGAACTGTTGGGAGCAGCGTCGAAACTCAGGTAAGATGGAAGTCGTCGAGGGAATATTTTGGAGCAGCGTCGAGACTCCAAGACCGTACCTTACAACATGAAGTGTTATAGAAGCGCAGTATAAGTTGCATCTCAAGGACATCGGCCAGAGAGAGCGTAAGATGAACAGGCTCCCAATGGACAGGCTTCCATTACGTGTAGCTATAAAATTACACAAACTTATTCAGATCAAAGATTTGTCCAGAGAAAGCTGAGATATCCATAGCTTTCAATGGACATGATGGAATAACTCGATCAAACTGTGCATTTTTATAGCTCATACAGCTCGCTGGAGAGACAGCAGAAAAAGGATAGGAATGCACATATGGATACAGCTTCTTTGGACACAAAAGAAGTCTTCAGGGCTATGAAGAGGCAGGAAGGTACTCTGAGAGGAGGGGGAGCCGATGAAACTATCGATACATGCTCAGAGTTCAGATCAAGCTTGTCGCTTTCTCTGGAAAAGAGGCCAAAGTGTCATCACTCTGTGCATTTTGACTGATACATTATTGCTGTTGTGGCAGCAAGAAGCATGCCTGTATGATGTTTTGTACCTTGGAATCACTTTTGCGCAACAAAATCTATGATATCTTTGTCTTCCATCGCCGGTAATCATCTTCATTGCTCTTGACTACCAGAAAGAAACTGCAAAACTCCATTCTATAACTGCTAGATCTGCCAAAATCTGCCCTTCTTACTCCAACTGTCTCAAAAACTCGGCCCTCTCAGCAGCCTTTGCAATCTCCTCTTCCTGCTCCACAAGAGCCAACTGCTCAGTGACGGTCTCTATCCAAGCCTGCAGAACCTCAACTCTGATGGCAGCCACAGAGCCTGGCCACTCCTCGCGAGTGATCTTGGAGAAGCACTTGGCCCTCCACATCTCGTTGGAGATCTGGCGGCGCTCAGGTCCCCAGATCTTGCCCCAGAGGGCAAGGGTACTGGCTGCCATCTGGTCCTTCTCGGCGGCGACGACGGCAATCTGCTCGGTCATGATGCCGCGCAGGGCACCAACGGTCACGTCAACTGCGTCCTCGGAGGAGTCGTTGACGCGGACTCTCTTTGGAGTCTCCTCGTCGTCGACATCCTCCTCTGCATTTTGACGACCTCTCTTAGAGGCGGAGGCGGTGTTGGAGGCAGAGGGCTTGGGGGTGGCCTTGCCGTTGCCCTGGGGTGAGCCGAGGGAGGGGCTGGGAGAGGGTCTCGAGGAGCTGTACACGTGAATTTGTTAGCATCAAAATGCACAATAGTTTATCAGATGTGATGGCGTCCACTGAAGCAGACAACGATGATGGAAGACATACCTCTCAGGCTCAGCATCACTGGCCGATGATCTCGGCGAAGAGGAACTGTATCATTGTTAGCATCAAAATGCACAATCGAATTCGAGATCTCTGATGTGTCCATTGAGAGTCCAACTGCAGATTTCAAGACTTACATTTCGTTACCAGATGTACTGGCGGTGGGAGCAGCATTACCAGCGCTAAGAGCGCTAGCACTAGCAGCAGCAGCCTCTCTAGCCAACTTGCGCCGTGTTGTAGACATCCATCTACCCATTTCGCTCCATTCCCACTCAAACTCCTTAACGAATCTATCCGCATACTTCTTGACGAAGTTGGGATTTCTGTGGTTGTACGTATGGCAATTCTGGATCATGAGATAGAAATCCTTCTTAAACGCCTGGGCATCGGCATAAGCACCGGCCCCAAGCTTAGTAGCCATGGTGGCGAGATCCATAGGACTGCTGATCATGGCGTAGTAGCCGGGAGCATGGTCTTCTACTTCGTCGACAGGATCGAGGAAGATTTCGAGGTAAGGAGCCTTGTTTGTCTCCCAGAACTTGAGGAATCTCTCTAGCAGGTGGACGCAGAAATCGAGTTCGCTGGCCATTCTCACGGCTATGGAGGCGGTGATGAGGGCGTAGGGTCTATCTATAAGGAAGTGTAAGCAAAAACAGGACAGCATAGCAGAAAACATCGTAATAGCAGTGTCTAAAGCGCGCAGTAAGGTTGAAGACTAACTTACGAAGGTGGAAATGCAGCCGCTTTGCTAGGCGCAGGCTTGAAACCATATATCGAGGCGACGAAGGAGCGTCCAGGACGCGTTAGCAGTGATCCAAATCCATAGACAGCAGCAATATACGCCTGTAATAGCGTATAGTAGCAGCTCAACGATCTTACCGAGGAAAAAGAGGCAGCAATGGCTATACTGGCAATGCGTGAAAGGTTCAGAAAGACGCAACGGAAACCGAGAAAGTCACACCAGGCGCACTGCTATCTTATCAAGCCGACAACACGGTCAAAGCTAGCTACAAGCCAAGGAAAGCGCTACGGACCCGTCCAACACGGTTTTAGGCCCGTAGAGTGCTTTCCAAGTGTGTATATTGCGCTTTCATAGCATTTCGAGACTACAAAACATCTCACGTGATCATTAGGGTTTGGTTCTGGGTAGTATATCCCTTGCTTTGCCAGTCTACACTACTTTGAGTGGAGAAACCATGCAAGAATATTGAAGAAACCCTAAGCCGATCGCTCGCGGGACTTCGGTGTGAGGTCGGCTTGTGTTTGCTTGAAGTTACTTGATGGCTTTCAGTGACCATCACACAATTCGTCACAAAGGTGGCCAGTGCGGTTAGATGTGGTAGTTCCAATCTATTCTACCTATCCCCTTTTGCAGCCCTTCTCCTCATCTAAAGATATACACAGCACCAGAGCGATCAGCAGAAATGATCATGCCAAAAGGATACTCCAGCAAAGCAACAGCAGTAACAGTATCCTTATGACCCTTGAGCAACTGATTCGCCGACTTGCGAATAACCTCATATCTAGCAATCTTGCCTTCTCTGTTCTCCTTCTTTCTCTTTGATGTACTGCCTCTTTCACTGTCTGCATCGTTCGATACAGGTGAGATTGTGCTTGCGCGGTTTGGGGCTGGACTTGATGAGCCTTTGTCTTTTTCAGAGGCGCTGTCGTTGAGGTTTTGCTCTGTGTAGACGGAGATGTCGTTGCCGAATTTGGAGGCTGTGTAGGTGGCTTTGTCGTCTTTGTCGTTGACGATCATGGATGAGGCGATGCGATCGGTGTCCCAGAAGCGAATCTTCCAGTCTGGTCCTGTGGTGACGAGGAAAGGGTGTCTGGGTTCTGAGCTATCGGGCGAAGTGTGCATTGACATAATGAATGCTTTGACAGCGCCCGCACTTGCACCCGATCCTCTTCCTGACCTGTCCTTACCATTGTCAGATGGGCGAGCGCTAAGGTGCGGGTCTGATGCAAGAGATCCAAGAATGCGAGATGGCATGGCGCCAGACTTGTCTTCGTCAACGTTCAGAAGTTCAAAGTCTCTTGCTTTCAGAGCGCTACTACTGTCAGTCTGATCAACGTGATACACCTCAATGCAGACCAGCTTTTCAAGATCCCATACGGATACGTGGCTTGGAGATGTCAGACCAGCAACACAGATCTTTACTCGCTTACTGTCTTTTCTGCTTGGATGGAGGGTAAGACGTGTGATGGGTGCCGGCCGAGGTACTGTCCAAGCACGAAGCCGGAGACGGAAACGAAGATCCCAGATGTCGAGAACACCATGAGAAGTGCCAACCAGAAGCCACTGCCATCGTTTTGATATGCAGAACGATGTCGGTGTACCGTGTTGTATCGGATTGACGAGCTCATACATGACTTCCATCGAGTAAACGTCGATGAACAGGATACGGCAGAGATTTGTGACAATGACGCAGACCGATGTACCATCTGTCTTCCCATGCTCGACACCAACAGCATATTCTTTCTGTCCAGGCTGAGTAGGAATCTGCCAGCTTCGCAAGACCTGGAGTTTGCCATAACGTAGTGAACCATTTGCTTCGGTCACCTCGACCCTGACAATATCAACCGTTCCGTCTGATGCCGTAGAGATGAAACTATGTGTAGATTCTACGAAGCAGATACTGGTTATTGCTGCGCCAGAAGCATGTCTGTGAGCTTGACGCGATCTATATGCCATGTTACGTTCGAAACGGCTAGTGTCCCAAACTCTGACTGAGCCATCTTCTGAACCAGTCAGGAAGAACACCTGATCTGGTGACACAGCAATGCAATTGACTTGTGCTTCATGCTCTTCAAGAACAGCAGTCAACTGTCCCTCTGGCTTCCAGTAACCTTGCGCTTGCTGGTTTGGGGCGTTCTTGGTTGCCATGCGAGCACGAGGGCGTGTCGGGACTCTGGGGCCGAACTCACGGTCACTGCCCGGATTGGCCCCAGTATAGACTGAGTCTAATAGCTTCAAAACAGTTGGATCACCACCATGGTAAGAGTGCGTTGCAGAGATTTTGGGTCGCGCTGGACGTGCGGTGGGTGTAGCTTGGCCAGATTGCGAAGGCGTGACAGACGCTTGGTTCGCAGGGACATCGAGTTTGCCGACAGCATTGACCGAGTCAGTGCCTGTTTCTGCATATGCTTTTGTCTGTTCTGTGCGCTTCATGAGGTTCATTGCGCTTGACTTTGAGTGGAGCACATGGTTATGTCCACTTCTCATAGACATGGTGGACGCTGGAGATGTCGATAAATGTGTGGGAGCGTCAATGCTTGCCATCTGCTTACGATGATTAGGCGTCCTGCCATTGATGGGCGTGGGTTGAGCCCGAGAGCTGTCTGATGGCCCAGGTGTGCTTGATGCTTGCTGCGTTGTAGTTGGGTACGGCTTGCCTCTTGCTGGGTTGAACAGGTTCTTGGCATCCTGCTCTGCTGGTGTGGCAGCATCGCGTAGAGCTTCCTCGAGTGATGTTTTCACGCCTTGTTTCGTGGGATCAGTTTGAGGGCGGTATGGTTCGTAAGAGACAGTCTCTGCTTCAAAGAAGACATTCTGCAAAGGTACTTGTATCGCATTCAAGGAGACGATTTGGTTGAGTTGAGAGTCGTTTTGCTTTATGACTTCTTTGTCTGAGCGCATGGTCGTTCGCCAAATATAATCTCTTAGCGCAAGAAGTTTGGGCTCATCTTCAGTGCGCATGCCAGCAACGCGAAGCTTTGCGAGCCATTGTTCATCGTCCTCATTCTTCATTGCTTTGCTCAAGACACGAGAATCGCCATCATGGTAGAAGTCAGACAGAGTTTTGCTGCCGCCTGCTTCGAAAGAGAAACTCTTAACTTGTTGTGCATGCTTCCAGAAAACGCTCTTGTCGGCCTTTTCTGCCCAGGTCTTTGCTAGGTCATATGCTGGTCGAGGGAACGGCTTTTGGAGAGCATCCAGAAGTTCGAATTCGGAAAGACCAGCTGACGGCATTTTCAACACAGGCTGCAGCAGTGGCACTATCATACTCCAGACATCTGCATCAGAGAGATGAGTTGACGATGCTTCGATGAACTGGACAGCTGCTTCACGTATCCATACATTCGGATGTAAAGTGAAGCGAGATATAATCAGTACCAGCTCGACAGTCGTCCATCGCTGGAACAGTCCAAGATGTGCCATGCTTGAGAGAGATCTTATTACTTGCTCGGTCACAGTTTCTTCTGGATCAGTCAATGCTTGTACCATTAGCGGAAGTATGAAGTCCTCCAGACTTGGTCCACCAATAAAAGCAGCAACACCAACTATAGTCTCAAAGAAAGCACACTTCAGCGTCCAGTCTTCATCGTTGAGATATGTATTCAAGTGTGTAAGAATCAGATCGCTGGCAATGGTCTCGCCGAAGAACACGCAAAGGTTGGTGACAGAACCAAGGAATGCTCTCTTGACGGAAGAATCGTCGTCTTGCAGAAACAGCTTGGTCTGCGCTTCGAAGTGTTGAATTAGGTCTTCGCGAGTAGTGTCATAGGTGTTTTGATAGGCAGCGTACGAAGTAATGTCGTCTTCTGCTTCTGGATCTGTTGAGGGTAAAGATCCATCGGCACGCAATGCTTGCATCATGTCCAAGAATCTGGCTGCTGTTGTGGCTAGACTTGCAAGACAAGTTGCATATGTCGCTCTTAACGGTCCTGATTTGCGGAACATAGGGCTTGCGACAAACTTCTGCAGACGAGGTAGCAGATAGTTGGGGAATATGAAGACGTTCATAGGTGATAGCACAGTGACGATGGCTAGCAGCTGGGTGATGGTCCTTAGAGCAGCCATGCGGACATTCTCTGACTCGTCCTCAAGCAGAGCAATAGCATAAGGCAGCACTCGATCGAGCTTGGCTTCGTCGGTCAATCTTTCTCCTAGCGCCAGAAGTAGTTCGCAGCCTCTGATCTTAGAACTAGCGCGAGCAGTCGTTCGCAAGGCCGAAATCACAACATTGAGGAAGAGGAGAGCGCCGTTATCTTGAACACTTCCAGCACGATCTGCTGCATCATGTCTATTGTTTGGCAAGTCCACTTGGAGTGGGAACAAATCCAGACCTGAAGTGATCGGTGCGCGAGTGGACTTTTCGAGTTTGTTCACGTCTGAAAATCCTAGGAAGTATGAGATCTTGTCGAAATCGGCATTGATACGCTCGATGCGATCATCTGATCCTCCTGTATTCTTTGCTCCAACCACCACTGGTTTCCTGCCGGAAGTCGGGTCTGTGATGAGATGCATATATTGATGCAGGAATGTGTAGAAGTAGTCCGGGAAGCATTTGCCTCGCCAGAACTGTAGGTAGTCTTCGGCACTATAACGTTTTGCCGGATCGAGCTGGATCATGTGAGCAACCATCTCTCGGATGTTCTCATCCTTGATGTTGTTCAACGTAGTGTGTGTCGGGTCGTAGTCTCCTCTACGATATTTGAACAATTGAGTGAGCGTAAAGGTGGGCTTCTCGGTAAAGAGTTCAGCAATGACACACCCCACACTGAAGATGTCCATCGGCCAGGTGACTTCATGCCATGTCTCTCTATTCTTTCTCTCATACTCGTCGTCTTGCGGATTTGGCTCATGTTCTCTGAGTTGCTCATCGTCCACGAATCGTTCAGGTGCAACATAACAGATGCGACGGCCTGTGGTATCGAAGAAGATGGAGAATGTTGCTGGGTTGTTCTCGGGCAGTCGTCCCGGCTTGAATGCAGTGGAGAAGTCAGTCAGGTATAACCAATTCCAGGTAGTCACAAGCATGTTCTCGGTCTTGATGTCTCCATGGCAGATGTTCTTCGCATGTGACTCTCTGACAGCACACAGAAGTTGGTATGCAATCCACTTCCTCTCAATATCCTCAAGCGAAGGGTTTGTGCTGATCCTGTCATAGAGAGAGCTGTGAATATATTGGCGAACGAGGTAGCCATTTGTTGCAGTCTCAATGATGCGATGGTAAGGCAAAGTGTTCGGTACGTCTGTGAGCTCTCTCCTCTGGTAGAACAACTTCCGCGAGTATTCTTCGAGCTTCAAGTTGGGGTATGGCTTGATGAAGACCTTGGCAATCACGAGTCCATCCTTGTGTCTTGCGCGGATTGTTTTCATGAACCGTACAGCACCCAGACTCCTCTCTGTCTCGAGATCGGCGAGTTCAGGGACATCAATACCAGCCGAGCCAGCAGAAACGTTGATGGAATAACCTTGACCCATGATGATGTCTGGCTACGCGCATGTTTCGCGTTCACGAGTCTTTGGTGTACTCAGATTCGGAGAGCATGCGCAACACAATCTTGGTTCGACAATCAGAATGAAAGAGTTTATTCAAGTGTTATTTGAATCCATGATCAAGAAATTGTGTAAATGCTAAGTCCGACACTAATCCAGGTGATTGGGTAGTCACATGGAGGTGGCAGGCACGAAACAAACAAGACAAACATGCCACCTTGGAGCCAAGCGTTGCACTCGCGAGACTTTCAGGCACAACTTGCGAAATGCATGCGATCGGCATGTTTTGTAGAGAAACCCTCGCAGTTCGTTTGACCGCATAGCAGAATATCCATGGTGAAACACTCAGAGCAGGTGATTATCACAATATGGTTGTTTGTTGATTTTCAAGGTAAACATTGGGCAGTCACAATATCAAACGCGCAAAGAAGATGGAAGTGTTTGAAGTATTATTTTTCGTTGATTCATGACCATCAGGTATTTCTACGGCTGATTCGTGTAATGCATTAGAGCATCGCAATTCTTCTCATATCAAATGAGGTTTTTGCGTTGGGTCGAAATGTGTTTTGTTTGAACAAGAAAAGGAATCATCGCTGATATCTTGGAAAGTGCTGCTCGAAGAAGAGAGAAAGCATTTACTGAGGACCGAACGAGCCCTTGCCCTTGAGGGCGGCAGCGTCCTCCTCAGCAAGCTCTTGGTCGATCTTGGCGCCCTTGGAGGGCTCGTTGCCGTGTGCCTTGGCCTGTATAGTGTGTTAGTATGTTGTGGTATGGTGAAAGTGTTGCCTTGCGTGGATGAACGTACAGGAAGGGTAGCGTCCTTCTCGATCTGCTGGGCCTGGAGGGACTTCTCCTCACCCTCCTTCTCGCGCTTCTCCTCACGCTCAAGCTTGTTGGCGATCGAGCGCTCGTCCTCTGTTAGGTTGTTAGTGAATGTGTCCAAGCAACGTCGACGAGTGAATCTTCTTACTGGAGTCGTTGGCCAAGTGAGAGTGCTCCTTGCCCTCGTGGAAACGGGCCTCCTGCTTCTGCTCGGCGATCTCAGAGTCCTTGTAGGTTCTCTGGTCACCAGCCTCGTAGACACCAGAGTTACCGACGTTTCCAGTTCCAGACATGTTGATTGATGTGAAGTGGTTTTGAGGTTGCGGGGTGGGTTTGAAGGTGAATTGATGGAGTTGTGAGTTGTAGAAGATGTGTTGATGGAGGGAAAAGAAACGTGAAAGAGTCTTGTGAAAGAAGTTAAATGTGTCTTCAGAGCTCCTGCATGACAATGACGTAGATCTTGCTTGACATCATCAGAATCTTCTCCAAGAATGGACAGCTGTGGGGTTGTTAGAGCTTTGGGCAGCTCCAAAATCCACTCTTGCTTGACACACACGCACGCGATCGAAAACTCGGGAAGGCCGCACCGTATGTTTGTTGAGCAGCACTCCGTCATGGGAGGCTTTTTGGATTGAGCTTTTTTCCATGTACTTCTACGTGACCATATGACGAGACACTTGAAGTGCCTTTTGGGAATCATCCATCTAAACGCCGCCAGCTTTTTTCATGCATGCATTTCAGTTCCAGTAAATCATCAGTAAAAACGCCAAAATAAGCCCCCAATTGCCCCGCCCGATTGTACAAGAATTCTAGTTTGTATCGTGCGACTTCGCTATTTTCCCCGATTGCTGCGAAGTTCGGCCCTACTCCATCTCGATCGTGCCTGGTGGCTTGCTGGTCACTATTTGGCCGTTAGTAAATTCATGTCCAAGAAAGTTCTGATGTTTGTTGGTTGTTGTGGTGACTTACCCTCGTACAGCACGCGACACACACCGTCGACCTCGTTAACAATGCGAGTGCTGACCTTGCTCAAGAACTTGGTGGGGAAGTCGAAAACGTCGGCAGTCATGAAGTCGGTGGTCTCGACGGCTCTCAAAGCAATGACTTGAGCGTGGACTCTCTTGTCACCCATGACACCGACGGCCTTAACAGGCAGAAGAGCGGCGTAAGCCTGACTGATCTGCTTGTAGTAGCCAGCCTTCTTGATCTCCTCAATGAAGATGTGATCGGCCTGCTGGGCAATGCGAACCTGGTCGCGAGTGACCTCTCCAATGATACGGATAGCAAGACCCGGGCCAGGGAAGGGGTGTCTCCAGACAAGATCCTCCGGAATGCCGAGTTGAGTACCAAGAGCGCGAACCTCGTCCTTGAAGAGCTCTCTCAGAGGCTCAATGAGCTTGAGGTGCATGCCCTCGAGCAGACCACCAACGTTGTGGTGAGTCTTGATGGTAGCACTGGGGCCCTTGAACGAGATACTCTCGATAACGTCGGGGTAGAGAGTACCCTGGAGGAGCCACTCAATCTCGCCCTCGTTGGCAGAGCCCTTGGCGGCAGCAGCAATCTCCTTTGCCTTCTCCTGGAAGATCTCAATGAAAGTGTTTCCGATAATCTTGCGCTTCTTCTCGGGGTCGTCCTTGACACCTGCGAGCAGGTCGAGGAAGCGGTCGCTGGCGTCAATGACGGTAAGGTTGATGCCGAGTCCAGCGGTAAGAGTCTCCTTGACCTGCTTGGCCTCGTTGAGACGCAGGACACCGTTGTCGACCATGATGGCGTGGAATCTGTCACCAATAGCCTCGTGCATGAGCTTGGCGGCAACAGTAGAGTCAACACCACCACTGACGGCACCAATGACTTGTCCCTTAGGGCCAACGAGGGCTCTGATTCTCTCGATCTCCTTGCCAACAAAGGCATCCATAGTCCAATCTTGCTTGGCACCGCAAATGTTGGCGGCGAAGTTCTTGATGAGCGGCGTGCCCTTCTTGGTGTGGGTGACTTCAGGGTGGAATTGGATACCGAACCACTCCTTCTCCTCGTGGGCAATACCGGCGAAAGGTGCGTTCTCGGAAGCGGCGACGGTAACGAAACCTGCGGGGCGTTGGGAGAGCTTGTCACCGTGGGACATCCAGACGTCCATGTCGTCCTCGAGACCAGCGAAAAGAGCGTCGACGTGGGCGGTCTTGCCAGAGTGCTTGTGAACGTTCAGAATGGCGTGGCCATATTCACGCTTCTCGCCAGCAACAACGTTCTTCTGGTCGCTGTGCCATGCGATCTCCTGGAGACCGTAACAGATACCGAGAATTGGGACACCCAGCTCGAAGACAGCGGGGTCGACGTGGGGTGCATCATCCCAGTAGACAGAGTAAGGACCACCGGAAAGAATGATACCCTTGGGCTTGAAAGCGAGCTCCGAGATCTTCTGAGTGCAGGGAAGCATCTCAGAGTAGATGCTCAGCTCGCGCAGACGGCGGGTAATCAAGTGGGTGTATTGCGATCCGAAGTCGAGCACCAGGATGGTGTCGAAAAGGGTGTGGGGCGGAGGAGGAACATTGGTAGCTGAGTCGGCCATTGTGAAGGTTGTGTGTCTTGGATGCGACAGAGGGCGCTACAAGACGAGAGAAGAGAAGTGGTATGGGAATGACTAACACGCGAAATCAATAATTTTTCTCTCTTCTCGAGAAGCCAACGATCAAGGGTCCGACCTCGAAGAGGGCCTGAAACGCTTTACTTGATTGGGTATGGTCTGTTCTTGGCTCTTCTTATCTCAGCTTATCGCCATCCTCGGTTTGAATATCTTCTTGAGCTCGATCATTCTGATGTACAAACTTATGCTATACAAATATTTACAGTCGAGAACTGCTGTCCCGTGATAGTCAGATCTCTTTCTTCAGCCAGTCAACAATAGTCTTGCCAAACTTCTCAGCATTGGCGTGCAGACCCCAGTGACCACCCTCCAAGGTGACATTTGTGAGCTTAGGCAAAAGACCATTCTTCATGGCCATGCCAATTGCCTCTGCACGGCACACCTTGTCGCTGTCAAAGCCAACGAAGAGCGAAGGCACTTCGACAGTGATTGCCTTGACTCTCTTGGCTTCAAAGCTTTGGATACCGCCCACTGCGGCCTTGTACCAACATGTTGGTCCGGCGAATCCATCGCGCTTGAAGCGAGTCATGAACGCATTCTTCATCTCCTCGGTGGCATAAGATTCGGTCTCTTGCTTCTTGTCTTGAAGCAAGTAGTCCTTCAGGCCATCCTCTTTGCAGACTGTGTCTAGCCAGCTGGCCGGAGGACCATGCAGGACAGTAAAACAGCTCTCGAGATGCTCATCAAGAACTTTGTAGCCATTCTCGCTGGCCATCAAGTGCCAGTAAGGAAGAGTAGGGTAGCCAAAGATCTTCTTGGTCATCTCGTTGGCTGCGTCCAGGTCGAAGCGCTGATCGCTAGGTGGGTTATAGGCAACATTGACCATAACAAGTCCCAAAACACGTTGGGGATAGTAGTTGTAGAATCTTTGGGCAAAAGCACAGCCCCAGTCATGGCCTAGCGAGACGACCTTTTGCAACTTCTCGTTATCAAGGATTTCTGTAAGGTCCTTGGTCATGTGTTCGAAGGCATACATGGCAGGATCAACAGGCTTGGAGGTGCCAGCATAGCCCAGACAGTCAACAGCAATGACACCGTAGCCAGCAGGGATGAGATGATTGGTGGCTAGGTCTGCCCATTCAGCGGCCTCGTCAGGGAAGCCATGGATACACAAAACAGTAGGGTTCTCTGGTTGAGCCGGTGGCTGGTGGTAGTATGTGTATGTCAGGGAACGTGAGACGTCAAGGGTCTTTTTGGTCAGGGTATCCATGTTGTGCTTGGTTGAAGATGTGGTATGTACTGTGATTAGAACAGGGAAGAGGTCAAGAACAAGACATGGACAGACGATGTTTATATGGCAATCGACAAGTCAATTCGCTTACGGACACAAGAATGGAACAGTCTGAGCTCACAATCGGCTAAAATTACTGTAGACGAGATGTTCCATGAAAAGCTGGAGCCCTTCGGACGAGTTGCCGTTTGAGGATCAGGACGACGAGAGACGACCATCACATGCAATCGTGGGGTCGGCATCTTGGCATGCAGCTCGAAAAGTTGATGCACCTTGATTTCCGTCACTTTTTTTTTGCGACGACGACGACAACAAGATACCAAACCACACACAATGCCCAAGAGAAAGACAACAGCAGAGGATGCGCCGGTCAAGGACCACAAGATGCGCGACGACGACGAGTCGAGCAGCGATGTACGTCCTGAACATTCCAAGGACCAATATTTCAAACCAAGCAACTAATGCAACCACCAGGACGAGGATATGATCGATGTAGACTTTGAATGGTTCGATCCTCAACCTGCCGTCGACTTCCACGGCCTCAAGACGCTGTTGCGCCAACTCCTCGACGTCGACAACGAACTCTTCAACCTGTCCGCCCTGTCAGACCTCATTCTCTCCCAACCCATGCTCGGCAGCACCGTCAAAGTCGACGGCAACGAAAGCGACCCCTACGCCTTCCTCACAGTCCTAAACCTGCGCCAACACGCTCAAAACCCCGTCATCGCCGAGTTAACCTCCTACCTCTCGCGCAAAGCCTCTACCATCCCTAGCTTGTCTTCATTACCTTCTCTACTTGCCGCAGATTCAAAGGCAGAGGTTGGTTTGATCTTGACAGAGCGCTTCATCAACATGCCCTCCGAAATCGTTACACCAATGTACACAATGCTGCAAGAAGAAATCCAATGGGCGCTTGACGAAAAAGAACCCTACAACTTTACGCACTACCTCATCCTCTCAAAAACCTACACAGAGGTAGAATCAAAACTCGACGCACAAGAATCGCGACCTACGAAAAAGGGAAAGCAGCAAAAGGCAGATGCCATGACGTTTTACTTCCACCCTGAGGATGAAGCGCTGCAAAAGTTTGGTGTCGGACACGGTAATTTTGATCATGATAAGGTTGGGGAGGAGGGTGCTAGTGATGCGAAGAGGGCTTTCCAGGAGGCTGGTATTAGGCCGCAGGGACATTTGATCCTCATCGAGGCTGGAAAGTTCAACGATGCTATCAAGGGTGTTGGCGAGTATTTGTCTGGCAACTAGAGTATACACGACAAGGAGTAAGCAAATAGAAGGCTTTGATGCTATGAAAATGTCTTTCACAGAAGACTCGTTGTTCTCCATGCATGCAAAGAAGCTCCGGCAATCGTGATTCATGAACACGAAGTGTCATCACATAATCTGCGGGTCTATGGGGATGATTTCTATACAAACATTATGTATGAGATGGGACAGTCCAATACAATGCAATTGACCATTCGAAATTTGAAAGTTCTTTCATGATGGTGGCTAGACACGAACAGTTCATGATACTTGACAGCAACTTTCTAGCTCTCAGCATAAGAAATCACAATTTGCTCCATCAACAACGCAACGCACGATCAATGCATACAAGGATAAGATAAGCAACGGAAACTCACTTCATGTTCACGTCTATGTACTCAAATTTATTCGAAAAGGTCGTGTTGACGAGGAAATCGCCATTATTGATCTTGGGCACTTGTATGGGGTATCACCCTGTCTCGAGCAGGCATGCGAGATAATACTTTTTATTTTTTTTTATCTTTTTCATTATTTTCTTTCCGTCTCCTAACTTCGGTCCCTTGTTCTCTAAGTGGAAGAACATCGATGCTAACAGAACCTCATTCTTTACGGTGAGCTGGGTTGTCACGTTGAAGGACAAGATGCAGTTGTAGATTTGAACTTTTTTGACTTTTTATTCTGTAATATTTTCTTTTCTTCTAGCTCAGCTTTAAAAACCATGCAAAACCCGCTCGCAATGAACGCCTGGGCTGTGCTCATTATATAGCTTTTCAATCATTTGCATGCTTCATGACCCCTGGTATATCATTCTCATGAAAAGACGTCCTGATGCAGAAGAATCATCACACGGAGCGAGCGTACTTCCCCAAATACAGCTCGATCTTGTTGACTTATCCTCTCGCTCAGCATTCAAGTATGCATTTAACCCAGCAACTCGACATCCAAACCAATGGCTCTCATGAAAAGGTTGACTTCGCCCAGTTTCCTGGCAGCCATGTCCTGAGGCAATTGCTTGCTGATCTCAACAGTAGCCATGACTCTGTCCTTGACACCAAGGACAAGACGTTGTTGTTGTTCGGGGCTGGCACTGACACCCATGGTAGCCAGGAACTGCCAAATCTCAAAGTCGTTGCTAGTGTTGACGTTGTCGGTGGTGAAAATGTATGGAAGGACGGGTTCTGCAAGATCGAATAGACGGTTGTAGAGCTGAGTCCATTGGCTCCAGTCCTCGTCCGAAACCTGCGCGCTTGATTGCTGCTTGACGAGGAAGGCGCGTGAAACAAGCATGGTAAGCATGGCGACACCAATCTTGGTGCGAATGATGGCTTGCACATTGACGCGGTCAAGAACAAGACCAACAAGGCCGGAGATGATGTTGAGAGGAGCGTCACCAATGTAGGCGAGCAGAGTAGGAATGACGGCTTGGCTGAACAACTCGACCTCATCACGGACAGCACGAGGCAATTGAGGCTCGTCGGGGTGAGGGTAAGCCAAGCGAATAACGTCAAGAATGTCGAGATGAATAATAAGGATAGTCAGAATAGTCAGACGCTGTTGATCGTCAATGTGACGGAAGACGCGAGGAATGGCCTTCTTTCCCTTGGCATGAGACAAGATGGCGATGAATGGATGAGGACTTGAGGGATTCTGCTGGATGGGTTCCATGACTCGTAGGTTGAACCACAGCTTCTGGTTAAGCTCGTGAGCTCTTTGTCTCCACTCAATGTGACGCTGGATAGCATCTGGGTGGCTCTCCTCATTCGGTGGTGGAGGCAGGTGTCGCTCGTGGTCCTCCATTTGCATCAAGGTCTCGTAGACATTCTCGATGTTGCGGAGGGTAGACTTGCGGTCTGCAACGCTGGGCTTGGCGACTCTCTGGTTGTGAGGTCTGCTCTCACTGTCGGGACGCTTGAAGCTCAACAGAGGACGGGGAGTCTTGGAGTTGCTGAAAGCAATCTTACCCAGACTTCCCTCAACAATCAACTGTCTGTTCTTCGGTCTGGCCTTGGCGGCCTCAACAGCGCGCTGAACTTGCTGTTCCATTCTCTGCATGTGGTTGTCACCACCACGAGGATGTCTGCGACCAGCTCCATAGCGACCACCAGTCTGGAAAAGATATGTCTGAGCAAACTGGTTCAGGGGTTGACCAGGATGTTGTCTAGGAGCACCACGAATCTGAGCGTAGACCTGGTAGTAGAAATCCTCGGCAAGCTGAGCATCCGAAGATTGCTCATCGACACCACCAGTGGCAGTCAGAAGCTGTTGCAGCTGAATGCGGGTGATGAAGTTCTTGTCCTGAGGTGTCATAAGACCATTGTCTTTGGACAGCAAGAAGATCTTGTGGTTGCGCTTTGCACGTTTGGCCTCCTCTGCAAGGAAGTGTGCACGCTGTTCGTCAGACAATTGCATCATCTGGTTGGCCTGGGTGATAGGAGGACCAGAGTATGAGGGACGGTGACCATGGCCCGATTCACCGGGCGGAGGAACGGAGGGAGGGCCAGTGGGAGGCATCTGCTGTTGAAGTTGTTGAGCGATCAAACCAGGGTTTTGCATGCCTGGGGGAGGCTGGACAGGCATGTGCTGAGGTTGAGGGAAGGGAGAAGCCATCTGAGGCTCTCTTGAGGGCTGTCGTGGGGTGTGCTGTTGCATCTGCTGGACACCGGAGAAGCTGCTTCCTGGAGCGTGAAAAGGCTCTTGAACGGGAGTGTGGTGCTGAGGCATGTTCATGGTTCCAGACAAAGGTCGTGACTGGGCACGCATTGAAGCCTCGACTTCTTCAAGGCTCATCATCTTCCTGCTAGAAGGAGTCGAAGGCTTGATTTGAGGCTCTTGGGCAGGCTTCTTGGAAGGCAGGCCCCAGATGCTGGCGTTGGCTTCGAGCTGGGGGATGTACTCGGGCTTGGAGTAGTTTTCGTAGCCAGAACGGGAGGGCTTGGGCTGCTGTTGGTGGTGTTGGAAGCGCTGCTGAGGCTGAGGAGGCTGGCGAGCATAATGCAGAGCCTGTTCTTCTTCAAGAGTACCGGCGACCTTGTTGGTAGTGCCGAAGAAGTCAAAGTCCTTGCCTACACGGCCACCGTCACCGAAGGTATCGTCATTGAAGGCATCGCCAGCCTCGTCAAGCTTGTCGGCCAGGTTGTCGTAGGTATCATCGAAGTTGAGGCTGAGGCGGGTTCAGTTATTTGATGAGGCAATAGAAAATTGGAGACTTGGACTCACACATCGCCCTGGTCAGCAGAGTCGCGATTGGCAAAGGCGAAGGCGTCCTGCTGGCCGGCAAAGAAGCCACGACCAGTATCTCTGTCCTGCTTGTCCCGAGGGAGGTTGGTGTCGAAGCCAAAGAAAGACATTGTGAACAGCAAGGGAGGAGGGAGGAGGGGTTGAGATGCAGTCGACCGAAGACTGCGCGAGTCGAAGTGAGCTGTCTCAATCACTGCGGATTGATACAGGCAAAGAGAGGTAGGCGCGGGGTATGCGCTCGTGGAAAGAGTGCGGCGGCGGTATCAAGCAGCGGCAGCAGCAATGATGATGCAGCGGGCGGCCAGCTTGACTCTCGGGCTCTCAGCAGCGCGACGAGACGGTGATGACATTCCGGAGAAAACCCGTGCACTTCTTAATCTGCCAAGACTTTGATTCATGAAGCAACCAGCTCCAGCACGCACCAGGAACAGTGCGGAAGCGCAGCCGTGCTTTCAGAAGCAACCAGCAGGCCGTTTGACCAAAATCACGATATCTTCAGCTGCAGGGCTATAACATGTACCAACATTGAGCCTGCCGGCGATGCATACAAGCCACGGGCGCAGAATCGACTTTTGTTGAGCCGTTGTTCTTTTGATGCGTCTACGTACGCAGGGAGACTGAGATCAGAAGCTCTAGCCACTCCTGAACGCTCAGAACCAGTGAACGCGCGGTGCTGCTCACCCCCTTTTCTCCCCTTCAGCAGAGATAGATAGCATCTACAAGCACAATACAAATTGCTCACGCAACCCGTTCGAGCCCACGGCGATCGCTTCCGTCTTTTCTGTTTCTTGCCCTTTGGCTTTTCTTCTTGCCGTTCATTATATGGGACGTTAGGGACTGTCTTACTCCCAAGTCCCTCCTTCTAACTACTTTGGCTTTTTGTCCCCGTACCCTTCTCCACAAATAGCTTGACGTGGTGCTATTCCAGCCCTCGTGAGTCGTGGCATTTTACGACGACTCCCTTCTTTCCGTCGCATCCCCAACTGTTTTGACCTGTCTTCAACTCCATCGCAACAATGGCGGCCAGGTATCTGCGATACATCGTCTTCGCCATCGTCGCACTCGTCGTTCTCTTCTTCATCTCCAGTTCCTCATCAGTCCCCGGACGCGAATATGCCCAGAGTGCCACAGATTTGATCAAGGATTCGAGTTCAAGATGGCGTGGCTCGCAAGAATCTCACGGCGATGTCAAGCAATCTCCCTCTGACCAGGGAACCACCCCTAACACTCACGCCGGCCTCCCTCCCGCAACAAACCCCGGTCCTCGCATGAACGCCACCTTTGTTACTCTTGCTCGCAACTCGGACGTCTGGGAGATTGCTCGTTCCATTCGTCAAGTCGAAGACCGCTTCAACAAGAAATTCAACTACGACTGGGTCTTCCTGAACGACCAGCCTTTCGACGACCAATTCAAGAAGGTCACTTCGGCCCTCACTTCCGGAAACACAAAGTATGGCGAAATCCCCAAGGAGCATTGGTCTTTCCCCGAGTGGATTGACCAGGACAAGGCCGCCAAGGTCCGCGCCGACATGGCCGCCAGAAAAATCATCTACGGAGACTCGATCAGTTACAGACACATGTGTCGCTACGAGTCCGGCTTCTTCTTCCGCCACCCCTTGATGCTCGATTACGAGTGGTACTGGCGTGTTGAGCCCAGCATTGAGCTCTTCTGCGACATTGACTACGACACTTTCAAATTCATGGCCGACAACAAGAAGAAGTACAGTTTCACTCTTTCTCTGTACGAGTACGTCGAGACTATCCCCACTCTGTGGGAGAGCACCAAGAAGTGGATGAAGAATCACCCTGAGCACATTGTCGAGGGCAACTCTATGGGCTTCCTTTCCGATGACGGCGGCGACACCTACAACCACTGCCACTTCGTGAGTAATCACACAAACAGTCAGTTCAAGCAAGCTTACTAATTCGTGTCCAGTGGTCCAACTTCGAAATCGGCAACCTCGACTGGCTCCGCAGCCCCGCTTACCTCGACTACTTTGAGGCTCTCGACAAGGATGGCGGTTTCTTCTACGAACGCTGGGGAGACGCCCCCGTTCACTCCATCGCAGCCGGTCTGACCCTGAAAAAGGAGGAGATTCACTTCTTCAACGACATTGCCTACTACCACGTTCCCTTCACCCACTGCCCCACTGGCGAACAGTACAGAATGGACCATAAGTGCCATTGCAACCCCAAGGACAACTTTGATTGGAACGGCTACTCATGTAAGTTCCTGCGACAAACCCTCCGACGTCGCAAGAATATCCGCTGACATACAAATCACAGGTACCGCACGCTACTACGAGCTCAACGGCATGGAGAAGCCCGCAGGCTGGGAGCAAGAAGGCAACTGACTAGCCAAGAGACGCCTCTCATGGGCCATAATCCTGTGCATCGTCCTCTCCGTCCTCGCCGGCTGCTTCATTCTTCTCCTTTCCATTCGTCCTATCCTGAACTTGGTACACTCGATGCGCAACCAACGCAGTCGTTACGAGCCGCTTGGCCCTCACCCGTCCATGTCGGAACGAAAAGCCATGACTAAGAATATCTACTAGAAAAAGGAGGCTATACCAATTTTTGTTTTTCTTGTCGGAATTTGCATTCTTCTGCTTTTTGGTCTGGGTGGACATGGGCCTTGAAACGGAGTGGTGTAGGAGTACCCAAAAGGTGGCTACGGCGTTTTTGTTTGAGAAGAGACTCGGAGCGGAGGAGAGTGATCATCGATGCTTGCAGCAGATATTGAGACACAACACCAGAGAAAATGAAAAACAATCATGAAATTCACAAATTTGCAAGGCCCAGAACATCATTGTGACTAGAGCTTTATGTCGTGACTCCGTTGACTCTTCTCCCGTGTGCCCGAGACTATCACAATATATCTATCGAATTGCACAGTGTTCTTTATCACGAAACGACTGTTGCAGAGAGAACGTTGTTCAGGTAATCTCAAGGCCACGGATTAGTGTGAGAAAAGGCACTGTGCATTGCTATAGCATTACGATGATATCACATGCCATCGCGGGAGAGACTCCGATTATCACATTCGCAGCGAGGAGGTATTAGGTGGGCCTGAGCGATCATTGTCATTGATCTGTATTGAGTAAAATTCCATTGTTGCTCAGTAATTTTTCGTCTCGCTTCTCAATAATAATGATATCTCTTTATGGTCCATTAACTTCTTCTCGCTGCCATAAGTCTTTCTGCTCGACCAATGCTAATTACCATTTTTCCCAATTGACAAGGTCGCATCCTATCGCTCTGTCCGCTTATTGACTGTCTCTTACTTCTTGTCCACAACATAGATGTGGAGACCGTCCTTGAAAGTCAACGCCTCGATGAGTGCCTTAGTCTGACTCCAGGGCACTTTGAAAGAGCCCGAGTTGATCTTGCACATCCAGATACGCTCTGGCTTTTTCTCCATATCTCCCAACTGCTCGAGCATATCCTGCAGTGCACTGTCTGTGCTGTCCATAATATCGTCTTTGCAGTCCTTGCCTCTACCGTACTTTTTAGAAGTGAACAAACAACCAATCCAATGTTTAGGGCCGGTGGGCTGGGGAGGGATCAGCAGACAAGTGCTGAGGATTGAGTTTGGAGTTTTGGCGTCGCAGTGGGCTTTGTAGATGGCAAAGTGGTCTGGGTATTGTTTTTTGAAGGCGAGAGCGATGCCGGCGCCCCAGCTTCCTACGCAGTTGCAGGCATGGAGGAGGAGTGTGTTGGGTGGAGCATCGAAGAGGTTGCCCTTGCGCTCTGAGATGGTGATGTTGAGGGCTTCCTCTTCCTCGGATGAGTCTTCTTCAGAGTCAGAGTCAGTCTCGGTTGGAGGTGCTTTCGATGCTTTGAATGTTCGCTTCTTGGTGAGTGTGGAGCTCAACGATTTGGCAGGTTGCTTGGGATTAGCCTTTGGCTTGGTCTTTGTGGTTTGGCTGGGTATCTCAATGATGTCGTCGTCAGAGTCGTTGTTCTTTCTGCCTTTGGTCGGGACAGCCTTTTGCTTCTTGCTGGACGAGGGAGCAGCCGGCTGAGTCTTGGACTTCTTGGGCTTACTGGCCACTTCAAGCACATCCTCATCCTCACTGTCAACAGGCCTCTTGAGTGCTTGCTTCTTGGTCGAGGTTTGCTTTTTGATGGCTAAAGGGTTCGTCTTGACGGGCGCCTTGGGAGGTGTCTTTGTGTTAGTCTGTTCATCGTCACTGCTTTCCTCATCTTCATCATCTTCTTCACTATCCTCTTCGTCATCGTGATCGCTGTCGATCGACTCTGGAGTGACTTGCTTTTTAGTGGTAGAAGTTTTGGGCTTTGTAGTTTCACTGGGAATAGCCTTGGGCTTGGCGGGTTCACTGATAAGATCCTCAATGCCTTCTTCATCACTTTCGGAGCATCTTTGGATGGTTCTTCTCTTCTTCTGTGTCTTTGCAGCTTCAGAGGTTGAGCTCTTTGGCTTGGCAGAGGTGGACATTGTGGATGAATTGTCAGTAGAGGCAGGTGCTTGGTGCTCGAGATGTTGAGACACGCCAGCGTCAGAAGAGCCCTTGCTCTTGACCATCTTGTATAGAGAAGAGGTTGATGTCGAGGAGAGGAAGTAGAAGAGAAGATGGAGGAATAAATACAAAACGGAGTGATAGTCAAGGCGCCGACGCTGATTGGACTGTGAGAGGAAAGGTAAGCAGCCAATCAGCGGGCGTTGGCTCAGCCCTACGAAACTGGAGGACGCAACGAATTGTTCCCGCCGACGACGTCTGGCCTCCTCAGTGCAGCAACATCCTCCGTCTCTCCTCACACCTCACAATGTCTCTCCTCTCAGTCTCGACGGCAGCCTCGCTGGCTCGCCAATGCGCTCGTCCTTCCGCCGTCCGCTCCTCTGTCGCCGCCCTCCAGGTCCGCAATGCCGGTTCCAGCGCCACCACTGCTGAGAGCTACACCAGCCCTTTCCGTGGCACCAGCAACCACCGCGACACCACCCACATCCCCGACTTCAAGAAGTACCGCAACACTGGTGGCGAGACCCAGAACAAGGTCTTCCAGTACTTCATGGTCGGAACCTTCGGTGCCGTGACCGCCCTCGGCGCAAAGGCCACCGTTCAGGGTATGCCTACACCACCCAATGCGACACCACAATCCTCCCGCCATGGTTCTAACATGTGCTGTAGACTTCCTCGTCAACATGTCCGCTTCCGCAGATGTCTTGGCTCAGGCCAAGGTTGAGATCGATCTTGCCGCCATCCCCGAGGGCAAGAACGTCATCATCAAGTGGAGAGGAAAGCCCGTCTTCATCAGACACCGTACCGCCGACGAGATCAAGGAGGCCGAGGACGCCAAGTGGGAGGCTCTCCGTGACCCCCAGCCCGACTCTGACAGAGTCAAGAAGCCCGAGTGGCTCGTCATGCTGGGTATGTTCTACCCCAGGCTCAATTGACACGACAAACAAAACTAACATTATCATCAGGTGTGTGCACTCACTTGGGTTGTGTGCCCATTGGTGAGGCTGGTGACTTCGGCGGTTGGTTCTGCCCTTGCCACGGTTCACATTACGATATTTCTGGCCGTATTCGCAAGGGTCCCGCTCCTTTGAACCTCGAGGTTCCCGAGTACGACTTCCCCGAGGAGAACTCCCTGGTTATTGGTTAGAGCGTTACTTACCTCGAACCTTTCGACTTTATAATGCTGGGTAAAAAAGGAAACCATAGACGAGAGAGCGACCACACAAAAAACGCAAAAAACGACTTTCAAACACTTATATCTTGCGCATTTCGAATGCTGTCCAGAAGTGATGGAGAGCCTTTTTTGTGGTCTTGTATGGATTTCGTCCTCTCACCTCAGCTGCCCATCTTCAAACTGCCTCTTCCTACGAATCGACCACCCCTTTCTCCTTATTCTCTCAATGTCTTTTGTTATTGTACATGTATTTTCAGCCGCATTTGACTTTAGAGCACCATGTACAAAAGTCGCTTGCCAGATTATCCCTTACTCCCTCTGACCTTGCCAATGTGCACATGCCTTTCAACCCGGAACAGCTAGATGACCTACAGTCGAAATAACCTTGAGCAGATCTTGATAAACATTCAGCATTGACCTGAACGCTGGACATCTCTTGACATAAACCAGGAACGTACAGTACGAAAGCCAAGAGAACGATCGCACTTGGACTCGAACGACATTTACGGAACCACATTCTGTTATCAATTTCACTGATAGTCGATGCGAACGACATGCACAGATCGCTGGATTTGACATGAAGATATCTCAAGAACTGCCTGTCAAATAAAAGTAAGTAGATATGATCAAAAGAGCAGAAGAGTGAATCCGTGTCCACAGAAGCTTTAGGCCAGACTTCCTCTAAACCTCGGACGTTGCTTCCTACGAACTTCTCGAAGTCCTTCTCGGACACAGATGAAGCGACGACTCGACATTCGCATCGTTTCTTACCATTCGAACCATCCAGAATCCTCAGCATGCAGAACAGATCTCTTGGGTTTCCCCGCATTCTCCGCGCTTGACGCGCAACTTGACAAATGCAGTTACCCATCGCTTACATGTCTTTGTCGATCATACTCGGTGCGGTGTTTCAAATCACCCAAACGTGCACCTTTTCTTCACACGTTGATGAGGATGTGCCGCAACTAGATAAATGTGCCGGTTCTAGATGTTGAAGCTCCAAGAGATTCTATTAATGAGATACATCTTGGCTTTGGCTTTGCTGCACTCAGATGTGAGTGTTTCTGAATTGAGTTTGGGTAGTATGTCTGAAGAGCTTTTGCCATTCATTAATGCGAAGGAGTTGAAGTAGGTGACGATACAGGAAGTAGAAAGGTTGAGTATATAATAGATGTGAGGTATGTGCTGCGATTCCTGCTGGTACCGTTCTGTTCTACTCGGCGTACAGAGGGACCTCGAACAACTTCTCTTCAACCATGTGGATATCAATCATCCCCTTGGCTCTTGCCTTTGCGGGCCAAGTCGCCGGCCAAACAGTCTATCTAGCTGGCGACTCCACCATGGCTCCTGGAGGCGGTGGTAAAGGCACAGAAGGCAAGTCTCATTCTTCCACTCCATCATCTCAACCACTCATCTCTCATCCGCTCCAAACTAACCCAAGCTCCTCCTCAGGCTGGGGCCAATACCTCCACTACTCCCTCAACCTCCCCGTCGTCAACAAAGCCTTCGCAGGCCGTTCTGCCCGCAGTTTCACCCGCGAAGGTCGCTTCGATGAAATCGGGACTCTACTCAAAAAGGGAGATTTTGTGGTCATTGAATTTGGACATAATGATGGAAGTAGCCATCCTGATAATGGAAGGTCTGATTGTCCAGGTAATGGCGCCGAAACCTGTCGGTATGCCTACAAGTAAGTGTTTGCATCTACCCCATGCTCAGAAAAAACATGACTGATGGTTTTGGGGACAGTGGGAAGACAGAAACCGTACATACGTTTCCGTGGTATCTGGAACAAGCAGCAACATCCTATCTCGCCAAAGGAGCTCACGTCCTTATCTCCTCTCAAACACCCAATAACCCCGATCAAAGCGGTGTTTTCGTCTCTTCCACTCCTCGTTTCGTCGATCTTGCAGAGACAGCAGCGACAAATGCCAAAGTGAATTTTGTGGATCATAATGCCTACACTTTGGCGGCGTACAAGGCTTTGTCTGTGCGAACTGTGGATGGATATTATCCAAATGATCACACGCATACGTCGCCCGGGGGAGCAGAGTTGGTGACTAAGGCTTTTGTGAGGGCGTTGGTTTGTGAGGGGAGTTTGTTGGGGAGTCATGTTAAGAATGATACTAAGGCGATCGAAGGGGCTTGTTTGAAATAGAGACTTGCAAGATGTATTGAGAGCTCAGCTACTGATAGAACAACAGCATCATTCTATTGATCAAAACTATGTAGCACTTGGCTTCGTACTAGGTGGACGCTGCCACGAGATAATATAGTTGCCATACTTCTGAGCGTTCGCCCGCGACATCTGTGGCATATCCATCTGAACAGTCTCTTTCGTATAAAGATCATACATGACAGGCCTTGGTTTAGGCATTTCAGGGAACGGTGGTGGAGTCGGTGTAGACGGGCTTAGAGCTCGACGACTTGTAACCCATTCCTTCAAATGCAGACGGAAGTCCTCAACCTCTGCATCTAGTTCACGTCGACATGGCCAACCCTCGAGATTCATGACCAGATCGGGGTTTTGCTTCGAGGGATGAACCTTTCGATAGGAATTGTCCAGTGTAATGATTTCGTACAGAGTGAAGATGACTCCTTTGACATCGTTGAACTCCTCGACGTGCCAAGGCAATCCCATGGCCGTTGCATACTCGAAATCAATCATTTTAAGCTGGCTACCCGTGGGTGCTTGTTCAAGGCAGATGAGGTTTCTAGGTGCAATGTCTTGGTTGGCAATGCGAAGTTCCAAGTTGAGGTAATCAACGAGAGAGGTCAATTCGTGCAACCAGTCCAGCCGAAAGAGTTGGGTATGGTCTTTGTCAAGTGAAGGTGCAGGAAGGTATGGAACTGTGAAGCCGAGTATGTGTTGTGATGTTGTGTCGTCAACCACAATGCGATCCAAAGGGACCAGGTTAGGATGTGCAGGTAAGCCATGGAGCATGATGATTTCTCTCCATCTGCGATGTCGATACTGCATGATTGGTGTATTCTTGAATACTACTTTCTTCGTGGTGCCATCGTCGTCTTCGTAATTTACGAGGTCCACACCAGGCATGATCCGATCAAGCTCAGTCAGCTTGGCCATCTCAATCATACAGCAATCTTGGAGACTTGGCGCATCGAGAAGACTTGGATAGAAGATTGCCTCTTGAGGGTCTTCTTCAGGATCTGACGACGTCGAGACGAGAGCGCCTGTGGCATCGACGTTGATGGTATGAACAGCAGGATCGAGTTCATTCATGTAGCGCTTCAAGACTTCAATCGCATCGACTCCTTCGCGTTCATGGTCAAGTCTCAAGAAACTCGATGGGCCACGAATCCTATAATGACGGCGCTGATCGAAGTCCATGACAGTAATGTCATCGTTGACATGGTTGGTTGAACTGCAGTCGACCCAAAATCGATATTTTGGATCAATCATGAGGGTCGTCCGATGAAGAGAGTATGTAGGTCAGAATAGTATGCTGTACAACACCAAAAGATCTTGATATCGGAGAGTACGTTGGAATGTGATGTAGTAAACAAGAGGACGAAGCGCTGAGATTTGCGAGACGTCACATGTTCGCGACTTAAGCGCCCAAGTTGGTGCTGAAAAACACCCGCGATGCGAATGACCGGCAAGTACACCGGTGTTTGAGTAGTGCATGAAGTAAAAGTCGAATTAGAGTTTGGTATGTCATATGCGGTCGAAGACGTGATAGTCTGAATGTGCAAGCCGCGACAACAGTTTCGTTTAGGCGAAGAGGCTTAGAAAGGAAGTTCGTAAAAGGTTGAAATGTCCACAAGTCTTGATTCGTCTAGAAGATCTTGCTCAAAACCTTCTGAACATCTTCGGACTGCGCCGACTTGCTCGAGTCCTTGATCTTCTTACTCTTGACTTCGTTCTGCTTGAAATCTCTCTTCAACTCTCTGACAGCACCAGCAGAAGCAGGTTCTGCTGCAACACCAGCCCTATCCGCTTGAGCAGCCTTCTTAGCGCGCATACCCTCCAACATCTTACTCCTCTCAATATCCTCAACAAAGCTCTTGTTCTCCCTTCTCGTCCTTGCAACTTCTGCGCGCAATCTAGCCGCTCTCTCGGCATTCTCGTTCGCAATCTGCTCGGTCAAATGACTCCACTTGAACCCAGTCAGATACTTCATGTTCCACATATCATCATGGTAGAAGTTTCCCTTCTTGCCACCAATGATGTTGCCGTTTAGTGTTTCCGCAGCATCTTTTGCGTCTTTTTTGTTGATGAATTCCACCCAGCCGTCTGTGAATGACTTCTTCTTGTTGCCGCCGTTGCGCACGCGCTGTTTTTGGGCCACAGGGTCTTCGGGAGTCAAGAACACACGTCCGATTTCGCCGTAGGGAGAGAGGTAGTGTTTGAGGGTTGCAGGTTTCATGAATGGTGGGATGCGCGAGATGTAGATTACACCGGTCTTCTTTGCTGCTTTCTGGGCCTTGAGGAGTTGTTTCTGGGTCAAGGGTTTGACTGTCTTTTCTTTTGTGGATGTTGTTGCGGGTTCGAGAGTGTCGTTGTCGTCTTCATCGTCCTCGGGGACAAAGTCATCGGCATCTTCGTCGTCTAGCTCGAAGCGTCCTTTTGGTGCTACAGGAGCGGGCTTCTTGACGATTGCGCTCGTCTTGTCCAGAGCTTCCTCATCTTCGTCGTCAAAGTCTTGCGAGTCGTTGTCAGAGTCTTGCTCGACTCTTCGTCGCTTGATGGATCGTGCGCCACGGCTCTCTTCTTGCTCTTCCGAGTTGTAGCCTGCATCCTCTTCCTCGTCGCTGAGTCCGTGGTCCAGAAATTCGTTGCGCTTGCGGCTAGTCATATCTGCGACTTGTCAAGGTGAAATGGTGTGGTCAAGGTTGTTTTTGAGAGACAGAACAATGATGGAATTGGCTTTGAGTTTGGAAATTTTGGGGTCTTATCGATAGAAGTATTTTATGCAGTTGTGCAAAATTATGTAACACAACGCTTCTATAAAAGTCCATCTGTTCGATGTTCTGCCTTCTGACACAATCAACTCCATTACCAGTCAAGACCAGACAGCAAAAAGATAGCCTTTGATCAACAATCACACGCTTGAAGAAAAGCAAGCATAACCCCATCAATCAAACATGCAGAAGCAGCGACCAAGATTCATGCATCCCATGCCCATCAGCAACAGCAAAACCACCTCAACAATCTCATTAACCAAGACCCTTCCTTCTTGACAGTCACTTCGTGACCTCCATCACCGCGCTCACAGCTTGGGGCATGATCTTCCAAGATCTCCACGTATCCGCGCACATGACGACTTCCACATCTCGAACATCTGCACACTGCTTGGCCAGCTGCAGTGATAGGCCATATGCGAAGTGTGCATGGCTGAGTACATACATCAGTGCTTGAATCTTGGTGCGTATTTGCGTTCCTGCAACAGCAATATATGGCCGCGTAGTGAGTGGTACGATGCTTCTTGCCCGGATCCTTGCTAGCTGGATGAGTTTCTGTAGACTGCTCGCTGGAAGCTTGTGCAGTCTCTGTCGCAGATACATCGGCCGTAGTCGTTGCCCAAGACTCTTCAGCGGTACCAGCCTCAAGTTCGTGCGTAGCCCAACTGCTTTCCGTCGGCAAAACATCACGTTCAGGAATGCGTCTACCTGGCCGATGATGAAGAGGGTGAGGGTCATGTCCACTGACTTCACTGTCGGTGTACGAGTCCTCGCTAGATCCAGATATATGGTGGAGCGTCCTAGCAGCACAGCCCGGACAGTGGATTTGATTGTACTCCCAGATGCGATTGCAGATGTTGCAATGCATGATTGACTTGTTGCGGCGAAGGCGTGTTGGATCCCAGCTTGCCTCATCGGCACGAATGGCAGTGTCGATGGTCTCTGGTTCTGCTTCTGGTTGACTAGGCGTATCGAACTCGGTATCGGACATGTGACGATGTTGGCCTCGGAAAGTATCGATGGAGAAAGGAGTCGCGCCTGGTGATACATCATGAACGATAGTAGTTTGAGCACTGTCAGAAGAGTGTTGACTTTGGTGCGCGGTATATGTAGGTTGCTCGTTTGATGGTACGTCCATATCAGCTGGTGCACTGTGTCTTCGTGGGGGATCACGAGCTTTGGTGAGTGGCTCTGTGTCATCCGCGCTGCGACTGCTGTATCGACCAAAACTGATGATCCTAAGAAAGCGGCGACGAATAGATCCTGGTGGACTGAAAGAAGGCATGTTTGTGTCTGTTGATTCGGGAGATACGGCTGAGAAGTGTAGAGAAGTCACTATATCTCCTAGGCCTCCGATCGTGTTGCTCAACGAGCGGAGATGACCGTAGATGGTGTTGGCGGACTGGTAGGGATATGGGTCAACCATAGCTAGTCAGATCAAGGCTTAGGCTTGTGTGAGAGTGTCTGTGAGACGCATTGGCAGATGATGTCTAAGTCAAGCACTCTTGGGATAGCTGAGACTGACCGAGTCTCTTTGATCAAAGATACAGAGTCTGACAGAAGAAGGACAAAGTGGTGAGTATAACTTCTTGGACTGAAACACGTCTTAGCAGCAAACAGCAGTCATACTCAACCATCGCTTTCGTGACAACATTTTGTGCATTGAATCATGATTTTGTCATTATATTCATACTGCAATAGCTTTAGACAATGCCTCCATTGAAGAGTTTCGCTCATTGTGCATCACACACAAAGTCATGCAGTCTACCAAGTCTTTAGCTGTTCGGCAGTCAGTATATCGATCACTCATGTTGCTGTGTCTAGAGCTTACCTGTCATCCTCTTAACAGAGTCATCACCTTCGTCTCTGCCGTTCATACGCGTATACATCAGGACGGTCTCATTTCGCTGCTTACGACACTTTTCATATAGTCGCAGACGTTCTGGAATCTCTTGCTTGGAGGTTCCTAATGGGAGAAGGACAGCAACAGAGACTGCGTCTTCGATAGCCATGGCACCACCCTGTCCCATGTCTTAGATTGTGTCAGCTTTACTTCCTATGCATGCACAGAGATTTGCAGTGTCTTACAAGGTTGGAAAGGATGAGCGGCATCGCCAATAATGGCAGTAGATCCTTCACACCATTTAGGTAAAGTTTTCATGTCGTACATGTCCCAAATCTTGAGACTGTCTCCAGAATTCTCCATTGCTGCCTGCACTGCAGGGCAGAAGTTTTTGAATGCGCGAAGCATGAGGCTCATGTTTCCAGAGGTGTTGTATTCTATCGAAAGTCAGTAATCTTGATGGTCTCCGGAGTTGAGTCTTCGTACCATCTACGGTAGTGTTCTCAGGATCTTGGAACTCTGAAGACGGAGCAAAAGCACACATATTCATGATCTTGTCATCACCACAGGGATACGCTACCAAGCGACGGTCTGGCGCTGACCATTCGACAAAAGCGCCTGGTGTCTCGATAGATACGCGATCTGTCCTGGGATCCGCTAGCAGTGTCTCCTTTGACACCAACCAGCGCATACAAGATTTTCCAACGGCATATGGTTGAATCTCACCGACCATTCGCTTTCGTGTGAAAGAGTGCAGACCATCTGCTCCAAGAAGTAGATCGCCGTTGAAGGATCGCCCATCCTCAAGGGTCACACTGGCATTGTAGAGATCGATGTCTGTGACTTTGCAGGCTAAATGGAGTTGAACAGGAACACCAGCTCTTGTTGTCGAGGTAGCTTCAGACTTGAGCTTATTGTGAAGATCAACGCGATGTACAAGATACCATTCCTTGTATTGTCAGTCAGTGAGTTCAAGATTTGATAAATATACGCACTGTCTGCCAACGGCTTCTGTCTTCTGGACCAAACTCTTTTGTATGAAGTAGATTGCCATTGGCATCAAAACGACGCATCTGCAACAGTCAGCAAGGTCATTTCTCATCATTGCTACGATGCCTTACTTGTCTCAATAGAGTTCCGCCAACTTCGCTTGGTCGAACATCCATCCATTCCAATAGTGCTGTAGCATTTGGTGCCATGTGCATAGCAGCACCGGTCTCGACCGCGAAGCGTGATCTCTCAAGCACCTGAACCGTCATCAGCTATGGCTTCGTCTGGACGAGTTGATTCCACGGACCGTAACCTCATGTCCTTGTTTTCTCAAAGCAAGTGCTGCAGTCAAACCAGCAATGCCAGCTCCGATAATGGTAACCTTGAGAGGACGTTGTTCAATATCGATAGCCATGTTGTATGCTCGAAACTATCCTGCCGTTGGGTTGTAAGAGGACAACAGTGTTCGGCAATTGCCCCTTCTATAGCAAGCCCGAAGCATTTGCACCATTGTCCGGTCGTCTGACTGACGGACTTCGGGATGGGGTCGAGACCGAGACGCGCGATGCATCCAACTTGAAGGTGATCGGCGTTGCGGGTCATGCATTCACAGATTTGGGCTTCGGAAAGCAGCCACACCCGCTCTGCCGATGGCATTACTCAAGGATGGCTTGTCTTTGTAGGCTATATTATACATAGGTATAGCTTTGGACTTGTATCGATTCGTGAGCATTTTATGTTTGTCTCCTCGGGTTCAAAGTCATAACAAGTCGTCTGGATGTCGTATGTCAGTTAAACAAGCTTACCCCTACACGGAAGCTCGTTAAGAAGATCTCGTGCTATACTAGAAACTAGATCTGTGTTTGTGTCATGTGCATTTCTCGGGCATTGTGAAAGCAAAGTGACGGATATGCAAGAGTAGTGTGCTCATCATGAAAAGAGAACTGGTATTAAGAATTATAAATAATGTAGGGCTATAAAGACCTGGGTCTATTCCAAGTCGGGGCAGACCGATAGTGCATCTCTAACAACCATATCTGTCGATTGTATCTGAGGTATCGTCAAAGCCGGGGCAGTGTTTCGTGGATAAATGTCTGGAACAACTCTTGAACACAGACGAAGCCGCTCTGGAACAATCATGTGCCTTGCTGAGAAATCGGACATGCGATGCGGAGGGGGGACGTCTCATGATCTCGTCGCAGACTCAAGAGTAGGTCTGTCGTGAAGGCGGAGGCGGCGGACGCAACATTGGCTGCGAAGCGGTAGGCCTCAATGTAGGCGGGCCAGGCTGAAGCCCACCAACACTAGCGGTACGGCTTCCTGGCGCAGTGGAAGGAATAGGTGAAACGCCGAGGCGGTTGCGAGTCTTTTTAGTCTTGTTTGGCCTTCCTCGCGACGCAAACATATCTTCAGGAATATCATTCCAGTTGTCTTGTGTATTGTCGCTGGCCGTAGCGATCTTGGGGACGCCGTTTGGTGACACTGGCGCAGTTGAAGGTGATTGTGGTGGCTTGCTCTTGTCGTCTCTGATAATCTGGGCGGCGCCTTTGTTGACTAGTAATGCGACGTCTTCAGATCTGAGTTCGAGAGGGTTGTACTGTTGGAGTGCTTGTGATGCGCCTTCGATGCCGTGGTTCCGCTGAACGTGTGCAATGGTTTGAACATCGTAGACCATGTATCTACCGCTGGTCAAGGTGATGGGGAACGGTTCAGAGACGGTGCTGTTGGCCATATTGATATGCTGCCGAGACTATCGTCAGGGTCTATCCAAGCATTGTCAGCGAAGGAGAACGAGGCAAAGAACACGTTGTATCTGGTGGAAGTCGAAGTATGTGGACAGGGTGTTGTGAAGAGCATATATCAGGCTCGCAAATTTCTCAGGCGATTGAACACCTTGATAGATTCGCCATTGCAGGGATAGCATACCTTTGAGAAGAGAGTAGTTGGTTGGAGTGTTTATTCAACCCATGATGATGCTTTCCCTGAGAGAAGGACAAAGCCAAACTGTGGCAGAATGACGCCGTTTCCAAAAGACACCAACAACAGTTTGATTGGTTTGTCCGGACTTGGGCGGACTTGAGACTCATCAACACAGCTGAACAACTGCCAGGAATTGACCTGTGATTTTTGTTTCAGAGGAGAACTTCTCTGTGAGATCGTCATGAATATCCTCTGGTTGTTGTTCTTTGTTTTCTTCGTGCCCCTTGTCGCGCTTCTAGGTGGGCTTTTCATGCCACAACTTTGAAAAAGCTTGTTTTGACATCGCATAGTCTGGTTCGCTCTTTCAAGCTGCCTCGGAGACCATGTTCGAGCTCGAATAGGCGGCACCACGATCAATCCTCGGCATGGTGCTTATGGCAGGACCTATGCCCGCAACATCCCCTATCCTGGAGCCGCGGGGTCAGAGGCCATCGAAATGGAGGACATGTTGCAGCACGACAAGTGGGAACTTAACGACTCGGATGACGAGCCTTGATTCTAGATCTTATATGCACTAAAACTCTATGTCGACCTTGGTGGCCTTGCCCAGTGCACCTCCCTCAGCATTACCCTGCTGAGCCTCGGTATCTCCTTCTGCTGGCGGCAAACTGAAAGGTTTGATGACGAAACGTCTTCTGCTGACGGTGAATGCCAAATCATCGCCAACACCAGCAGCCGCACCCCCTCCACCACGCTCAGTCGTCACTGGTAGCTTGTGCAGCTTCAGCATTCCCTGCGGCTGCTCGTCCGTTGCTCTTGCACCACCACTCTCGGCCAAGCTATTTGCAGCATCCATTAGGTGTGGAAAGGGAGTAAGTTCGAGCACGCCATCCGAAAGGGTCTCGGCCCAGCGGACGAGGGCGGACGAGCGATCATACAGCTCCAATGGGAGTGTGATCATGGCCGTAAGGCGGCTGGGATACTGTCGAAGCAGGGAACGAAGAGTATGCAGGAATTGAAGCAAGTTCTCTGGTGCACCAGCAGAGGGCGGATATAGAGCGGGCGATAGGAGAGAAGGTATTACTAGGCGATGTATCGTGTGAGGCTGAGAGGTGCTCAATCGCTGGGCAACATTTTGCAGAATAGCCAGCAAGGGCGATTGAAGTGAAATGGCGATATGGTTGATGTCAGCTTCGGCCGGAACAGCAAGACGCTTTGCAAGATCAAAAGTGTGGCAGAAGGCTAGCGATTGTTGTTCATCTTGGTGATCAGATGTCTGGACGGGGGCTGGACCACGTTGAGGGACGACTGCGAAGCAGTCAGATAACTTTGTCCTATAGTGTCTATGTATGGTTGTTCACCTCTACTGCCTCGATCGGCATCTACTTGACCCAGCCTTTCATATCTCCAAGCGATCTTCATCTTCTTTTCGTCACTCTTTGCTTGCTTCTGAGCCTCTGCAGCTTCAGCATCTCCTACCAAGCCTGGCAGGTCCTTGATCCATTGCTCGCCAGCACCCACAAGATGCACAGTGTGACTCTGGATGATGCCCTCAGCAGCATAGTATCGCAACAGAGCGCCGGCAAAGTCTGTAGTTCCACTCTCTTCAACAAGCAGCGACGAGCCTAGCGCCAGACCTGCATGACCTCCTAGTAGACTGTCCAACGAGTAGGCTCCTGTGGACGTCGTTGGCTGTCCTGTCAAAGGCGAGGGGCGGATGCCAGAGGCGGTAGCTGTTGGTCCGGCGTGTGTCTCTACTGAAGCATCTGCTGGGGATGACGCGGCCGGAGATCTCTGTACACCAATGTTGCGCTTGCGAAACGACATGTTGCTAGTGACTTTGACAATTTTGAACTGAAGATGTGCTTGAATGCGAAAGCGAGCAACCTGAGATTTTGCGCCCGGACCGAATTGCGGAGCTTATCTGCTATCGCTCGGCCCCCTTGCTCCGGTCGATCACGTGTGTGAGCTGCAAGGACCCTTCCTCTCACACCGGACTTTCACTCCAGAGGGCACTTGCACGTTCGACTTCAGCATCATCCAGAAAGTAAAGTATTCCAATTTCCAGCATACGAATACGACTGCAATTCTCTCGCGAAGTTTCACCCAATGAAAAATATCTGCTCGCCACTTACGAGTCTTGCAACTTGCCACGACCGGTAGAGACTCTTATACCCGTATGATGTTAGTGGCTGCGATTACCTTCCACAAGGAGTATCTGCCTCGTTAAGCTTTAATTCAAGCCTAATGACGAGAGCCCCACTGCCGCTCGCTAGTGGTCACTCCCTATGGCGTAAACACTGCCACGCTGTCAGTTTTCCGGCGCTTGTCTAGGTTGCTGACACAGGTGGAGGTAACTTACCACTATGGCTGACGGATGGCAAGCCGCGGCGTCGCTAAGCTTCATCAACATGGCAGGTGTGTGACTATCCCCGCGACATCACTCGAACCTAGGTCCCCACGAGTGCATGGTTGTTGTGGTTCAGTTGGACGCCTTTCTGGAGATCTCCGCCTTTTTCAGCCAATCATCTGTTCCTAGTTGTCACTCGAGACCTTTGTCCCTGAGCGTCACCCACACGCCGAGGGACGATCTGGGGGTGAATCATCCATGACTGGAGATGATCATCATGAACCACACCTTTTCGACGTCTCTCTCCGCATCTCCAATGCGACATGGGGCCCACCGTTGCACGCTTTGGTTGGTTACTACGCACTCTGCACCATCAATGGTGATTTGTGTTTCGGCCGCAAGCCATGTCTGCTGTCTTGACTTTGCAAAAATGCCTCGGTGCTTGCCTCTGGAGTTGAATATATAAAGGCCAGAGATCGCCCTCAAAGGATTCTCTCATCGACACATCTACTCACATATCACAATCATGAAGACTCTACAAATCTCATCCGCCCTTGCCCTTGCCTACGCAGGCTTGTCTGCGGCCTACCCCAACATTCTTGCCGAGCTCGAATCACAGAAGAAGGCTTCTGGCTTGAAGCACAGAGGCGCTGGTATCTTCGATGCCGCTTCTCAATTGGTCGATGTTTCTGGCAAGCACGCCTTTACTCCTCCTGGCAGCGGAGACCAGCGTGGACCCTGCCCAGGACTGAACGCCCTTGCCAACCACAACTACCTCCCTCACAACGGTGTTGGTACCATCACCGAGTTCATCGACTCCACCACCTCTGTCTTTGGTATGGGTGCTGATCTCGCCGCCGTTCTTGCTGTCTATGGTGCAGCCATCGACGGTAACCTTCTTGAATGGAGCATTGGTGGCCCAACAGCCAACGTTCCTTCCATCAACCTTCTTGGACAGCCTCAGGGTATCAGTGGCTCTCACAACAAGTACGAGGGTGACGCATCGCCTACCAGAGGTGACCTGTACGTCGATGGTCAAGACTACCTGTTGAAGATGAAGAACTTCCAGGCCTTGTACGATGCCGGCAAGGCAGACGACAACTACGACCTCCAGCTCCTGACCGACAGAAGAGCTGCTCGCTTCCAAGAGAACATTGACGGCAACCCCTACTTCTTCAACGCCCCCTTCTCTGGTGTTGTTGCTCAACCTGCAGCGTGGAGCTTCATCTACCGTTTCATGGCCAACAAGTCTGCCGAGTACCCTGCTGGCAAGCTTGACGGTGAGGTTCTCAAGTCCTTCTACGCCATCACTGGTGAGGATGGAAACTTCACCTACACTCCCGGTCACGAACGTATTCCCGAGAACTGGTACACTCGCAACCAGGCCGATCCCTACGATCTTCTTTACCTGAACGTTGACCTTGTCGACCAGCTGCTCCAGCATCTCGAGTTCGCCAGCATTGGTGGCAACACTGGTACAAACAACAGCTTCGTCGGTATTGACCCTGAGGAATTGACCAACGGTGTCTTCAATGCTGCCACTTTGACCCAGGGCAACAACGCCATGTGCTACGGTCTGCAGCTTGTTGTTCAAGAGCTTCCTGACCTTCTTTCCGGTGTTGTCACCAACCTTGCCTCTGCTGTCAACCAAGTCAGCTCTGCCTTTGGCAATGCCACTGAGAAGCTTGGATGCCCCAAGCTTACCCAGATCAACCAGGACCAGTTCAACAAGTACCCCGGCTACACCAAGCTGAAGTCTGATGGTACCTACTAAGGATGGTTATATGAAGAACAGGAATGAATAAAATGTTATGATTGTATAATTAGACTCAGCTTAGAGCTTAGAATGTTAAAGAATATCTTCTCCCATCACTACTACCTGACTTGTTCTTGCCTGCTACCTGCCTCTGCCCAGTAATGCCTGCATATGTTTGCGTATCAGACCACTGTGGAGTACACATCTGACCCTCTCAACTTGACCATACAACGTCATTTCTTCACAGTAATAACGCAACTAGATGCTGAACCTTTCAAATAGGTGTGGTCTGCAATCTTTCCAAAGCTACATACTCTCTGCCTCACACTACATCACCCACTCCAAACCTTGGCCCGATGTTTCCTACTTTGCTCCCAACGCCAAATCAAACGACTTGACCGTAACACTACCTCCCGAATTATTCTCCGCAAAGTTGAAGATTCCAAATCTGTATCCGATGAAAAAGTAATAAGTCGTGTTCATGGTATACGGCGTTCCCAGCGTCTTAAAAGTTTTGCCATCTGCACTCCAAGAGAAAGTTCCTTGATGGGTGCCAGCAGGTTTGATATCAGCGTGTAGACGCAAATATACGGTCTTTGTTCCTGAAGGAAGGGAAACAGAGGTTTCGGTTCTGCCGGTGGAGAGGGTGTTCCAGCCTGCTCCTAGAGTCAAGTCGCGTTGGAGGATTACGGCGTTGTTGCGGATGGCGATGTAAGCAGAGTTATCGCGGAAGAGAGCTAGACCAGCTTGGTCACCACTAGACATCTTGGAAATGTCAAGAGCGACGGTGGCGGTAGAGTCTGGACCTAGTATCCTATGCGTGAGGGTGTTTTTGGCGTGATAGAGGTCCTTGGTTACTGAAGAGGTTTTGAGCACTAAACCGCCTCCAGAAGCAAACGAGAAGGATGAGGTATCCGGGTTGTGGTTCCACTCCCATTGGGGACCTAGTTTGGGTCCTGTAAAGGTATCGGTGCCAGTGGTAGACTTAACAGGCACGGCAGGCACTGGGTAAGGATTTGCAATCGCAAACCCATTGGTTTGTTTCAACGAAGGCCAACCTTGGGCATCAAACACAAAAGGCGCCAAAGCAGGACTTCTGCCCCCAGGATACGCATCCACAAAACTGAGATAGTACCAATCACCATTGGGAGTATCGACCACACTTCCCTGATGTGGGTTTCCACTGCCCTGAATACCACTCGCAGGAGCTTTTGTAAAGAGTTTGAACTCGTAAGGGCCTAAAGGACCAGAATCTGATTTCAGGACGTATTCGTTGGAGGCGGGTTGAGTGACGAAGATGTAGTATTTGTTGTTGATCTTCTTCATGTGGGAGCCTTCGATGTAGATGCTCGAGCTGTAGACCTGCGTGGTGGACTTCTGAGTGAAGTCGTTGTTCAGCTGTGCAACGCTGATTTTGGTGTTGCCGTACTTTGATGAGAATAAGAGTCAGTTGCTTGATCAAAGATAGCAGAAGAGATGAGTAGAGTAAGACTTACGGCAACGTAGATATTCTGACCATCAAACAACATGCCACAATCGTAGTAACAAGTCCCAATCTCGCCAACCTTGCTCCAATCATCAGCAGGATCCTTGGCCTTGTAGATGTAAGTAGTCTTGAAGTCCACACAGCCAATCCAGTAAAAAGTATCGTCATACTCTCTGTACTGCATAGAAGAAGCCCAGATACCACGAACGTAAGCTTGCTTGCCATTGGCCAAGTCATATGCAGTGTCATGAAAGTCCAGTCTTGGGACTGAGTGACCGATAAATTCCCAATTGACAAGGTCTCCAGATCTGAGGATTGGTGCGCCGGGAGAGAAGGACATGGTAGAGGCGGAGTAGTAGTATTGGTTGCCTTTGCGGAAGACATCGAGGTCTGCGAGATCGTACCACAGTACTGGGTTAGTGTAGGTCTGCTGTGCCAGCGTGCTGCCGACTGCAGACAAGGCTGCAAGAACAGATGAGAACCTCATAGTTGATCAAGGCCTGTGGAGATCCTAGCAAAAAGCTATAGATGGATGTGGTTGAAGCCATCTCCAGTCTTTATACCTAACCATGCTCAGGGAAAGTTCGTGACTTCAAGCCCTAGCGTCACATCGCTTACAAGAACTCGAGAGGGGTTTGTAGGATTTCGAGATGCCTACCTAGTGTGTGACTAGGCATGAACACGGATAAAATAGCAGCAAAAGCATGTCTATTCTGCCATGCTGATCACCGAAACGAGGGGATCATCCTCGAATAGAAGGCTGTGTCGCCTACTTTTTCCAATACAGTCCCCGCAGACCGATGCCTAGCAAGAGAACAGAGGTTCGCGATTGATGGAAAATACGAAGCATCTACGGCTCGAAACATGCCTGAAACAGAATATAGTAGTCGTGGCTGCAGGGCTCTGTTAAAGGTCGAGGTCAAAAGATGCGACTTGCCCGTGCTCGCCCGAGGGCTCAGTACGCCTTTACGAGTGATGCCATCTCCATATCTCATGAGCGTAATAATCATGTGCTTTTGTACAGTCTACAGGTATTTTACATACTCTATGAAGAAGGTGATGATGAAGACGCTTTGTCTGTCTCGACATCCTCCTCATCTTCTTCCTTCTCCAATCCGTTCTCAGACTCCGCTTCTCGTTCTTGTTGGCCCAACTTCACAGATTTATCCAAACGTCTTCTAGACAGTCTCTGTGGCCTGTTGTTTGGTAGATTCCAGATCTCATACCAACTGTCGGGATGAAGGTCAAGTGGCCCTGGTAGCTCACCGACTCTCGCCGGCTTGCCCTCACTAGGCTCTGGAAGACATATCCATTGCCTTATGCAGCCAGGAATGTCCTCTGTACTGTGGCTGATAGTCAACAATGCCTGTGACTCTTGAATGCCGCCAAAGTTGACCAGGTCATTGTTCATTTGCACGCTGTTGACGATTTTGTTACCAGACTTGTATTCCAGCTTCTCACCATGAGCGAGGAACAGCAGACACTTTTCGCGAACAGCTTTGTCCATGCCACTCAGCGCTTCATCCAAGATAATCAAGTCAGGTTCAGATATCAATGCACGAAGGAACAGCAACAAACGCTGTGAGCTGAAGGGCAAATCTCTGAAGGTGATGCTGTCTGCCCAATCGAGATCATCGTTGGCAATGTGAAGGCGCTCCAATCTACGTTTCATTTCAGGATTTGCAGGTCCAGTACGTCTCAGCTTGCTTGCAATAATTTGAAGCTCGCTGGTTTTGGTGGGTGATAGTTCAGGAGCAAACCAACGCAGGAAGGAATCGACACGAATGTCTTTCTGGCGCGTCAGACGAGGTTTTGAAAGTGGCGTATCGGCCCAAGCGCTCTCTAGAACACGGCGAATAGATAGCTGTTTGGGGAAGTATGTGTGAACCTCCGGCGAGCTATGTCCTATGCGCGATTGGAGTTCGAAGATACTGATTCCGAGCTCGCCTGGAGACGGAATGCGAGAGCGGCCGAATAGCTTAATGGGGAGACCATATGTCTGAGGATGGTCCGATGTGATCAAGGATAGAAGAGTGGTCTTGCCGGAGCCGTTTGGTCCAAAGACACCCCATCGTTCTCCACGGCGTACATTCCACCAAAGGCCCTCCTTTTCGTTACCATCGACGGACTCGGACCAATTTCCCAGGACTGTTCTTTTGCTTGCCTCATTATCCACTCCATAAGATACTTTTACGCCTTGCATCTCGACCAGGGGTTCTCCCAATGGGATCGGAACATGGGTCATGGGTGAACCATCACGACTTAGTCGACCCATTTCGGGACTCTTGGCACGAGAAGGTCTTGCAGGGGTTAAGACTATGCTTCTTCGCAAGCTTTGGTGAAAGCCATCATCTCCACGCATGACGCGCAAGTCCTTCCAGACACTACCTCTAGTACCTTGATAGCTGACTCTTGTGTTTGTTTCGGGATCGATGACGAGCACATGAGTAATCCAAGAAGGTATATCATCACCTACTCGTAGGGATAGAATGATGTTTGGACTACTCTGCTCGGCCATTTGCTGGAGGAAGCTTGATATATGGAGTGTGGTCATAGGATCAAGACCCATGAATGGCCCATCGAGCAGGAGAAGTTTTGGTTTGGCAAGCAAGGCTTTTGCAATGCGAGCTCTGCGCGTCTGGCCATTGCTGAGGTTGCTAACAGGTAGATTCAGCAGAGGATCCAGATTCAAATTTGCAATGACGTCTGCTAGCAATTGTGTATCCAAGTAATCGGCCGGCTTTTCGAGAGCATTGAGCTCAGTGTTTCCCTCAAGGTAATTCAGTAGAGAGAAGTCTGTGACTTCGCGATGAGCCTCATATCGCTGACTGAGGTATTCGCCCTTGACAGCAGTGCCGCCCAAACCGCTTCTCTCGGCATCGAAGCCAATATAGCCAATGGCGCGATTTTGAGGAGTGTTGTTGTGTAGCAGGTAGGGATATGACCGAGCATCGGGAGGAGTGCAGAGGTATCTGCCGCTCAAGACTTTGAGCAGATCGGTGCGTGCAGACGAGGTGGCACTAACGATAGCCCAATGCTCGCCAGCGGGAGGGAGGTTGAAATTCAGGTCGCTAAACAGAGGTGATGCATTGTTCTGGTCGGTCGAATCCTTGTATATTGTGGCATTTTGTAGACGGATTAGAGGCGAGTCGGAGGCGAAACTTGAGGTGGACGATAGTCTGGATAGACGGATGAGATTCTGGGGATAGACAAATGGTCGTCGGCGCAGTTGCGCTCTGAACATGGCGAATTCAAGTTGCGACTCGTCTGAATGTTGCGCCGACAAGTCGCACGCCGCCCAGAAAATCATGCCAAGCAATATCCTCGCGTGCACCTTCCTGTTCTTATCAAAACTTCCTATCACCTCCGCACTTACTCGGCTCTCGGTCTTGTCTATCGTTTTACAACCTCTTCAATTCCGGTCCATATTATAACCCTAGGTAGTCACTTCGCACTGACCCTGCCTTGCTAGCTCACTTCCCGTCACGTATCGTCTGTGAATCATGTTTCCCGCTCTTCAACCATCCAGACCCAAGGTAAGCAGACAAATCGCTTTGACATGAACCACCGAATATTCGGCCTAACTGTCCTCAGTATCCACCGTCACAAAATCCACAGCGACCAAACTTCCAGCAGACTCGACCTGTTTCTCATGACACATCAAAGCCCATGAGCCAGATAGAAGCCATGCCGCCCAACGTGTCTAATCCGCCTCAAGCGTCTCCGTACAATCCTGCAACTTGCCATCCAGTCTTTTTCTCAAACTCCTTCCACAAGCCTCCTTTTTCTATACCGCTGGTGCCTTCTTCTGGTTTCCATCCTTCGGCCACTGGTTACATCTTCAACTCGAACAAGCCGACTCCACCAACTAAGCTTTGATACTGTTTCGAGCTTCACACTCTATCTTTAAAAGTGCCGCAATCTCTTCCAGCCTACACGTCTAAGATCTTCCGGCCTTCTTTATTTTCCTACAGCTAGTCTGACTTGCTGCTTCTGCATTGATTCAACCTACATGGGATCAAAGGCCACGTGATGTCTCAGCACGGAAGATACGTCTCTTTCTGCGGTCCAACTGGAGTTTTGCGTGAATCGAGCTAGCGATATAAGAGCCTTTTGGGCAGCCACTTCAGTATCTCAAGGTCCCCAATCAGAATCTTTGCATAGCAGTGCGGGCCAAGGGCGATATTGGTGGAGAAAATCGTCGTGTGCAGGCTGCTCTAGACGACATCGCGAGAGACGACATTTCTGTACGAAGCAGCTATCGGTACGGCAAGTTTGTCGTTGCAGCCAATTTATTCTGCTTCAACATCCTATCCACTATAACAAGTGCCATACTTGCATACAATTTCAAATCGAAGCTTCGGATGAAGACCAAGATCTGGGAAACTCTTTCCGAATCGTGGAGAAACGGCAGATACTTTTGGTGACGTGCACCAACGTCATCTAAAGTTCAAGAAGCACAGACAAAAATTGCCTAAATGGTTAATCAGCCTGGGGAATGTCAATAAATATTGAGCCTCCTGCCAGTCGTACTCGTACAGACTACATAAACACAGATCATGTCATCAAAGGAAAATTCGACCGAGCGGCCGAGCGATCATAAACAGCAGAATGGCGATTCTGAAAAGGACGAGGAGAGCGAGAAACCCAAGCCTGTCGGTTTGTTTTCTCCAGAACTCAAACATGTGAGGCGAGAAATTGCCTGGAAATGGTTATTGACCACTGTCATACTTATGATAGCCATCATGGCCGTGCTGTCCCTCTGTGAGTCTTGAATAACAAACATCCTGGATTAGATCCTGACTTTGATCAGACTGGGCAGCATTATACCACGTGGAGTCGAACATATCTTCTTTGGTTGTTTATGTCGTGGATTTCGATGGTCAGGGCCCTGCCAGTGTACCTGGAGTCGAACCATTAGTCGGTCCTATCATTCAAGGTCTCGCGCGTACGCAAGTAGCATCTGGTACACCAACTCTCGGATGGGGCCCCTTATTCGGATCTGATTTCAACTACGACCCAATCGCTGTACGACAAGCCGTCTACAACTGGGATGCCTGGGCTGCCATCATAATCATGCCCAATGCAACTTCACAACTCTACAGTGCTGTTCAAAACGGAAACACAAGTTATGATCCCATGGGAGCATGTCAATTGATCTATCAATCCTCTAGAGACGACACGAATTGGTACGACTTCATGTATCCGATCATTTCACAGTTTCAAACCCAGGCTACGACTATGGTTGGTCAGCAATGGGCTAAGATGTTCCTACAAAACGCAACCACCGATCAAACGCTCTTGCGCAACCTTGCCAATGTGCCTCAAGCTGTTTCGCCAGCAATTGGCTTTTCGGAATTTGATCTCAGACCTTTCTATCCTTATACGACCATTCCAGCCACCACGATTGGACTCATCTACCTCATCATTTTGAGTTTCTTCTCATTCGCTTTTTACCTACCTATCTGGTTTAGATTCTTGAATCCTCAAGGCCATCCACCTCTCAGATTTGTCGAGTTCATTGCTGTTCGTTGGGGAGGCACTGTGCTTGCTTACTTCTTCCTGTCTCTGGCATATTCTTTCGTCTCTCTGGCTTTCCAGATTAACTTCGCTGGTGGTAACCCAATTACCTCGGAAACTCAAGCCACGGATATTGCGTATGGAAACCCTGACGCGTATGGTCATGGCACCTTCCCTGTGTACTGGATGTTGAACTTTGTCGCCATGTGCGCGCTAGGTCTTGCATGCGAGAATGTGGCTATGGTTGTTGGTCAACCGTGGACGGGTCTCTGGCTAATTTTCGTGAGTGATCTCCCTCTGCCTCAAAATTTGTTGCTTCAAGAATACTAACAATGAGCAGTGGGTCATCACTAATGTATCAACCGGCTTTTACGACATCGACATCGAACCTGCGTTTTTCCGCTGGGGTTATGCATGGCCGTTGCACAATGTTGTTGAAGCCAGTAGACAGATCTTGTTTGGTCTGCACTCACGCATTGGCCTTGACTTTGGTGTGTTGTTTGCCTGGGCGGCTGTCAATACAGCCATTGTAAGTTTCTCGCATGTCTCCCTATTTGAATTTTTCACTGACAGCAATCGCAGTTCCCCTTCACGTGTTGGTTCCTCATGTACAAGCGTAAGCATGAGGTACACGAATACTGGGCTTGATGGATATATTTCTTAATCATACCCAAGGAGACACACAGTCCGATTCTTTGTTTCTCTTGTCCAATGTTCTTTTTTGAATCACAATACACCAGTCTTTAGCACACGTGAAGGATGTCAAAGCCAAAAGTATCTCTCAATTGATGGTATCAACCTCCTACTCAAGACCAGCAACAGCCCCTTTCCCCATAACACCTCTACCAAACCACTCACTAACAGTAGCGAATTTATCTCTGCTCCTGCCAAGCGCATCCAAGAACAACTCATGCCTATCAGCGCTTTCCTCTTGCGCACGTTTGATAGCCTTAACCGTCGCATTATCATTCGCACACTTGGGACACTCAACATCCGACTCTTCCTCTCCAGCCCCCACATACAAACACCTCTCATGGAAACTGTGTTTGCACAAAAAGTGCACGGTGGGAAGGTCCAGAGGAGCGCCACAAGCAGAACATCTGGTTGCGGAAAAGGAAACAGGTTTTGTAGCCAAGGTCTCGAGTTCGTTGGCTTTTGCTGCTGTGTCGGTGCGGTAGGAAGAGATGAGTTTGCGGTTGCTGGCAATCTCGGCGCGTTCGCGTTCGATGGTGCGGGAGAGGTATGTTTTGACTAGACCCATGGTGGCGACTTTGCTTTGGGAGAGGGTTTGGATGACTTGGAGAGGTGCCATGAGGCCGTCGTCATCGATCTTTTTGAGCACGCTATCGAGCTCGGAAGACGCTTCTGCAAGGATCTCCTCAGTTGAGGTGAAGTAGGCGAGTGCTGCTGGGTACAATTGTGGTTCTTCGGGACCGTATTTGCGGAGTGCTTTGATGGCGCCAGCAGTATCGTTCGCGGCAGTATACGATCGGAAGATATCGAAATAGAGACCTCGTTGTTCTCTTACGAGAGTAGTGCCATCACGGAAATTCGACAGATGTGAAAGCAGAAGAATGTTGGAAGTGCCCATACGTGTCTGTAGATCAGGTTAGTATGCAGCTCATGCGTTACATGTCATCCCGTATGCTAAAGCACGTAATGCGTGTCTATCGAAAGGCACAGTAATATTAGAAAAAAGGAGAATCCCACCGAGAGGCGACAAATTATCGACTCTCAGTGGACACTGGCCTGATTCCGAACACAACTGTGCCTTTATATAGTGATGACTCTGCACTTTGATACAGTGGGAGTGCGGTGACTTACGTTTTGTTCTTCCACCAAATGTCTTGCTTTACTCTCCCATTCAGTCTTCTCGTCGCCAGTCTTCTTGCTCGCAATCTGGAGGTACATCTCGAACAGCGTTGTGTAGAGATCGGTCTTGTCCTCATCTTTCAATTCCGGGCTAGCGATGCAGGCCTCGAGGAATGAGATGAACTCATCGGGATGGTCCACAAAGGAAGAGAATGCTGCTCTCGGCTTTGGTACCTTATACTCGACATACTCGTCTTCAACAGTAGTCTCAATGACTTGCTGCGTCGTCTTAGTACCTCCTGGTGTACGTGGTACTTCTGCGCTCATGTAAGGTAGGGGTATCAGAGCAGCTAAGTTCTGTACAGCAGATGTCGCCATCTTGCCAATACCACCAGATTGTTCTTGTTCTGGTGTGATCTCTTGCTCCACGACTGCATCCTTCTTGGGACGGAAGTTTCCTGTGAAGTAGTCGATGAAGAGTTGTTTCGTGTCCTCTGGACAGTGTTCAAGAAGCACCGTGCCATACTTGGTAAGACTGTCATAGGCTTGCTCGGGTTCCAGACGCCAGATGTAAGCCAAAGCTTCCGCATATCTTTTGAGGTCTTCGATCAGAATATCCACAACCAAGCCGTGCTCATTATGTTTTCTGGCAAGAAACGCTGCCTGGTCCGAATAGCCACCTTGACGACACATGGTAATGGCAGTATCAAGGTCGAACTTCAGATCTCCAGGCGACTTGATGAAATCTTCGAGCTTCTCGACGTCTTTCAATTTCGCATAGCAATTCAATAGCAGCGTAGTGTGATCTGAAGAAGCCCTGTGATGTTCATGCAACTCTTCCAGATACTCGATGAGATTGCGTATCCGTTGGTTGTCAAGGAACTTGCGGATTATTTGGGATGGTTCGGTGTTGTCGATAGCGCGAAGATATTGTTGCATGGCCGTGTCAAAGTCGCCTTTCCGGTATAGGTAATCGCCATATTTGCGGAAGATGAGGTTCTGCTGGACAGCATCCACCTTTTCTTTTTGTGCCAAGTTGATGGCCAGGACGAAGAACTCGCGTTGATACAAGATCTCGAGCTTCTGCTGGAATGTCTTCTCGGTGTAGCGCAGCACTTTCCCATCTAGTGTCACGATATAGACATGACCCCAAGCAGAGAATAGAGCAGTCACTTGACTGGGCAAAGCCTCGGTGTGAGCAATGAGTTTGAGGTCGGGATTGAGAATGGTGAAGTTAGAGGTGCTGAAGAGATCATCTGCTTGGCCACCGCCGAACGATCGCGTGGGAGCGTTGGTCATGTTCTTTGGCGGCGAGACCAGCAAGACATAGTCCTTGTACATGGCAGTAAGCTTCTTTGGGCCTTCATAGGCATACGAGGCAACTCTGCCACGGGGGTTGTAAGCGTAGACGGCATCGTCCCGTGCAACGATGATATCGTTGGAGTGCAGATCCTTTGTAAGACATCCAACAGCGCAACCGTGTTCGTCTAGAGTACGAGCGGGCTGACCCTGACCTTTGCCAGAAATGATGAGGGTTGATATCCTGCTTGTGGTCGAGATGAAGAGGGTGGTAACGTTGGCTTCCCTGAACTCGAGACCAGTGATAGGTTCGTCTGTCTCAAGAACCGTGCGCTGCTTTGTTCCGCGATCGTGAATAAAATCACCTCTTATCACGGTGACAGCACCGTTTGCGAAACCAACAGCAGCTTGGGACAGATCGCGTAGTACAGCAAAGGCGGATACTGGGAAAGGTTTCCTGCCATTGGTAACCGAGACGGTGGTGAGACAGCGCGGTATGCCAGTCTTCTTATCAGGGCGGTCTAATGCCCAGACCTTGAGAACGGGTTCATGAGGTAGGTCTTCGGCGAGAGTGACAAGAAGCGACGAGTGTGGGATCTGGCGGATGTTGGTTAAAGCACCAGCTTCATGAGCTTTCCACGACTGAGTGACTTTGAAGGATTGATTGAGGATGCGAATAGTTCCATCTTGAGAGCCGACATAGACGTGATCAGAACTGGCGGTGATGCAGCTCACACTACCTTGCTAACACTGGTCAACCTAGAGTCCATTTAGATGACTGGGTGTCATACCTCTAGTATCGACTTGTCGGCGTCATCGAGTTTGATGGGTGTGACATCGAAGAATCGAAAAGCTTTCCACGATGTCAAGGCCATCTTGTCAAGCCATGTCCTTGTTGTCGCAGCTCTTAGAGACGATGCAATGCGCGCGTCGGCGACGTCTCCGTCATCTCTACCGAGCGCCCGGGCTCATCTTGGCGCGTCCCTGTGTGCAATTCATTCCAACAAATGTAGCTATAGAAATGCACAATACCATTGAGAGACAAGGTGGCGTCCATTGAGAGGCAATATCTTGACAGCTCTCTCTGACCATACCCCAATGCTGGAGACTATTGTGACTTTTCACAGTATAAAGATGCTCGTTGCTGCAGTCGGGAGTACGATGAGGGAATGAGTTAGATTGAATCATGTGATATCGCGGGGTCGCAACTTCCTTTCCGGCGCGTCTTCCTCTTGTCAATTCAAGGCCTCAGCTGTGGGCTGTGAGGACTAGCAATCTAGCTCAATGTCAATTGCATCATGCCGCCTCGTTTCAACGAGATTCTCGACTCGGAAGATGAAGATGATCTCGTTGCTGTAAAGCCTCCTCCTCTGGTGGCGACTACTCCAAGTGGGGAAGACGCGCCAGTCGACATGGATGTAGATCAATCTACTGCCAGCACTGAAGAGCTGCTCAGACGTGCTCAAGTCGCCTTGATGGCTCCCACCCAAGAAGACGTCCCTGTTGTCAATTTCTCTGATCTCGCTGCCACTTCCGTCGATACTTCTCCCTCGAGTACAAACAAGAAGCGCCCTCTGCTCGACACTGATCCTCAACCTCGTTCGTCTGGAAAACTCAAGCGCATTAAGATTGTCACAAAGCCCGAGTCTGAAGACGCTTCCGCCGACGTCTATGATGTACCTCACGTTCCTCCTTTCGATGGCACCAGCGACACCATTCCCGGTCCTACTCTGCCATCTGCAGCTGGCCATGATCTGCTCAATCCAACGAGAACTCCCAAGCCTGGACTGCGCAATTCTTCCCAAAACCAACACTCGTCTTCCGACCAGATGAATAGCCTTACTCCATGGTCCGGCACTGCTGTTGCAAGCAGCGATAAAATCAACTCTGACGATGCAATTGGTCTGCCCAAAGAGATGTACATCCCTAGACCCAGTCGATCGAGGTCTGCACAAGTCGAAAATAGTCACATTGACTACGCCTTAAACGTCGAGAAGGCTGCCAAAAAATCTAGACCAAAGCGCTCAATCACAGACTCTGCCGATCATTCCACCTCGGCCTCAATATTCCCCGAACATCCCATCGATCAAGCTCCTGAGTTTGAGAGATTGTCGCCCACCCCTGATGCTGGTCATCTCAAGAATTCACCACAACTTGCGTCCACTGTACCCGAGTCTGTCCAGGCGCCTTTCTCATCTGCCAAGTCTTCGAAATCGGGCAAGAAGTCCACCAATACAAAACAGCCTGGTAAACGCGGTCGCCCCAGGAAAAATGTTATCGTGGACGAGGAAGATGAATTGGCACAAGAGAATGTTACTTCATCGACAACCAAGACACCCGCATCGGCCAAGACAGAGGTTCAGGTCGTCATAGAGCCAAAATCTGAATCATCATTGGCAGCTACTGTATATGCACAGTTGCAGCAAAGGTCGCGGGAATCAACCACAAAGCCACTAGATGAACAACCGCCACCGGAGGATATATCTGCGCAATCCCAAGAAGCGAATGCCGAGACTGTCAAGGCCGAACCTCTTCAAGCTGACGAGGAGTCGGAGGATGAAATCGTAAAGCCTAGAACTAATGCCAGAACCAAAGCTAAGGCTAAGTCAAAAGCGAAATCGAAGACACCAGAGCCAGTCTACAAGGAAGATGATGAGTCCGAGCACGAAGTCTACGACGAATACTCGCAGGAGGTTATCAAAACGAAACCGAAGAGCAAAGCAAAACCAAAGGCCAAAGCAAAAGCAAGAGGCAAAGCAGCGAAAGCTGTTGTCGAGCCAGATCCGCCTTCAGATCATGATGAAGACACGCCAGAGCAGCCTCTAGTGGACGACCACGAATCGGCAGCGGACCAAATCTCCGAAGCAGAAGAAGACTCAGCAGAAGAAGAATCCCCAAAACCAAGATCCAAGGCCAAAACAAAGGCAAAACCTGAACCCAAGTCGAAAGCAACCGCAAAATCCGAACCAGTGGCTCCGGAACCTGCTGCTGCTACACCCAAGCCATCCCCTCCTATCCCTCAAGCAGAAACGCCAAAACCTGCTGCTGTCGAAGTAGCTACTTCAGCTGCGGTTGTAACGCCCACAGTCGCTACTATCAAGAAGGACGCAAAGTCATCTACTAAACCTAGTTGGCAACAATCGACGTATCGGGTAGGATTGAGTAAGACACAACGAATTCCATCTCTGCTCAAGGTGTTCAAGAAGTAAATTTGTGCATTCTTTCGGTTTTGTTTTCATGCATTGCGATGGTGTTGTTGGGTGGCTGGGTATTGGTTTTGCTTTTGTGGCTCGGGACGTTGACTATGGATAGCATGCATGGCAAGGCAACGACTCGAACAGAGGTGGAACTATGGGGTTTCTTTCTTATCACGAATTGCATGATACCCACTTATTACTGCATGTCTTATATTAGCTATGTTTTCGTGGGAGCTTTCCTATCTCCATGTCAAAATGATATTGATCTACAGCAAAAATTTGATTCAAATTGACACCCAGCTTTGTTGTACGCTGCCGGTCTTCATAGTCATAAGATCAATTTCCGAATCTGGTCGTTTCGTCCAACTGCTCAGCGGCATGCGGTTTGATCGACAATAGAGCATCAAAGAGCTCACAAATTCCATGCTCACTTTTACTCTCTAGTATCTAGGTCCTCCGCGACCTCGTCCCCTTCCACGTCCTCCATGTCCACCTCTGCCACGCCCATTCCCTCTTCCTCTTCCTCCTCCCCGACCACCACCTCCCCTGCCACCCCTGAACCCACCATCTCTTCTCTGCTCATCAGGTCTAGGACCCACTCTCATCCTCTCCTCCCTCTCTTCTTCTGAAATATCAAAAGGATTAGAGATCTCCAACATCTCACAGAACCTACTAGTCTGGTTGTTCGTGTATTCCTTAGGAGCGCCTTGAACATGAATTCCAGCAGCAGGATCGAATATCGGAGCTGTTATTTCGAAGTTCTGGGGGATGGTCATGTCTTTGACGTTCTCCTTGATCCATGTTTCTGCGGTGTCAATCAAAGGCGCGTAATGTGCTTCTCCCAGATCTGGTGGTGCGCGTGTGTTAGGGTCGCCACCGACATTTAGTTCGGAAGCGAAGACACGGGTAATGGCTAGCCATTCTGTATCGTATTCCAATTGCAGAGGTCTTTGAGGTGAAGCTGTAGGATCAGAGATCGCTGGCATGGAAAGCACTTGCAAGAAGTCGCGGTTTGGAAGGCATTTGTCCAAAGCCAGAAAATGGGTCTTTGTGTTTGTGATGCCTGGAGGATGGGAGATTGGTTGGTTTGTTGATTCAGGGCGAGGCGGAGGTCGTGCGAATGAGGCTGGCAGTTGAGCTCGGAGGTCTTCTGGAACTGTGGATGCGGTTGTTGTGGGTTCTGTGGATGCTGCAATTGGTACTCGGGCGCCGTCAAGTCCTTGGCCTGGAGCTACTGGTGCAGTCGTTGGTTCGGTGTCGTCTTCAAGTTCGAGATCGATCTCATCTGCATTGACTGGCAGAACTGCAACACTTTCGCTAGATTTTGATGTTGGCGCTGCTTCATCGTCGTTCATGTCGAGGTCGATCTCGTCTGTGTTCTTTGTTGGCTGCACTGGGGCTGGGGTTGCTTCGTCATCCATGTCCAGGTCGATCTCGTCCGAGTTCTTCTTGATTGACTCGTCAACAGGAACTTCATTGCTGGCAGCAGCCGTAGAATCAGATGCCTGTCCAGGGTTCTCGTGGTCAATGACTGCAGCATACTTGCAATGCAAATGCGCACTGAACCAATACGGCGGCCTCAATCTGTCCATCACATAAGTGGCAGCCACACTTCCCAATTGACCATTCCTAGCATCTTCCTCTAGATGTGCTTTTTGCCTGAACAACTTCTTCCAATCACCCTTCCATTCCACACCTCTAGGCCAGTCGTGAGAAATTCCCACATCAACTTGTGTGCGTATCTGTAGCAATTTTCTCACATCCAATTCTCTGACGTGATAGATGCTTTTTACATCACCTTCGTTGTAGGGAAGCCTTTCAAAGTGCTGTTTCTTGTAGTCGAAGCCTTTCCAGATACCGCTCATACCAGCTATCCTCAACGGACCGAGTTTGAGTACGTTAGCAGCACCCATGTAGTAGATGTTTGGTGCCACCCAACCACCATAATACAGTTCAAAGAGATAGTTGGCGGCTTCATGGTTTCCACCAACGAAAATCGTCAGGTAAGGTGCTTTGCGAGCTCCAGAGTAGTACTCGTGGAAATCGTGCATTTCGCGGTATTTGGCTGGCATGGAGACACATTGTAAATCATGTGCATTGCGTACTGACTGTTTTGAAGGCTTAGCATTGCTTGTTGATTTTGTGGATGGCTTTTTATAGTGTACCTGGAAGTCACCTCCGATGATCAGAAGATCTACTCCTGGCCAGCCTTTGACAACGCATGCTCGTTCGATGGAAGCGTAGATTGCATGGAGTGTGCCGTGACCCTGTTGTTTGTGAGTTGATTTATTGCTTGGTGGACGATTTGGTCAAAACATACACATCCCTCGACAGCGATTCTGACGCCATGCTCCTCGGACAGCTGTGGCTCCATCTTCAGTCCACGGCTTTTCGGCCAAGAGTAACGATTTTGAGACTGAAAGTTGATGAAACGGGGAAAAAGAAAGGTGGATGGTCTGGTATTCTCATAGAAAGTGATGTCTTGGCGTCACAAGTCGCACCTCCTTCATCAACCATCGGTGTACTGCTTCCTCGTGCCTGCCATATTCAACTCGTCAACATTGAATCTTACAAGAAGCTCCTCAATCACTTCAACCATCAGAGAAGAGACCATTCCACACAAAGATTTCGCTTCACTGAGTCCTCGAAATCCCAATCAAAATGTCGTCCTTTTCATCACACAACGACCTCCTCCAATGCGTGGGTAACAACAATTTCTTCCACCACTACAAGTCAAAACTAAATTCTGAAAATGTGATTCACACTCCTTCACCTTTCTCTTCTCGCTCCATTCATTCCCTCCTTTCGAATCCCCTCACCCTCATTTCCGCCTCTTCCACTCTTCTTTCATATCATCTCATCATACATTCATTACATGCCCCTAACAATTCCACAAGTTATTCGTCAATCTACGCAACGCAGCAGCAAGTTGGGGCACAGAAAGCAAACAATACAAAGAAGTGCACAAAATGGTCTACGATCACTTGCGAGAAATGCAAGCCCAAGGGAAGAAGACGGATTTGACTGGAGTGAGGCAACAGCAATTCGAAGAGGCGGATAGTCTATCTGCTGCGTTTCAAAAGTTGGACTTGGAGTTGAGGGAGCAGGAGCCTGGCGATAAGATGCAAGAGTAGATAATGGCAAATGGGGACAACAGCATTGGGACTGGCGTTTTGTGAAGTGTGATAGAAAGGTGTTTTTGTATTTCTCATGATCGAATTTCTTTAATAGCTGATCTGGCCAGCGAAAAACGCGCAAAGTGGTATCTAGTTTAATGCGTCTCTTCTTCTTCCAAAGTCTAGATGTCCATCTTATCTTCAACATCATCAACATGTTCCAATTTTCTCTTTCTGCCACCATCTAGTCATTCAGAGGTGGTAGGTTGCTCCTGCTCCTTTTCCTCAGTGTAGCCATAGTTCTCAGTGTTGATGTCCTTGAGACCCAAATCTTCCTCTTCCTCTTCGGTACGCTCGTACTCCTCGACAGAGATTTGCGGGTCGGGTGCAGGAGCAGTGTAACTCTGGACGTATGATGAAGCGAGAGGGTCCTCAATGACAACAGTGAAAGGTCTCTTGCCCTCAATGGCTTCACCAAGAGTTGCAAAGAAGTCTTCCCAGGTGCGCTTCTTCTCGATCTCCATAGAGTCGGCAGCAGCGCGAAGCTCTTCTTCGTCGTCACCGTTCTCGAGACCGAAAGCTTGAGCACGGAGATCTTTGCGGAAGTTGGTCAGCAGACCTTCGACGGTAGTGAAGCGGCCACCCTGAGTTCCAGGCTCGACACGGAGACCCAATTCAGGACAGAGAAGAGCGGCACTCTCAGACTTGAGAACGTCGCGGGCAAGATCCTCAGGTGTGTTGACTTGGAGTGTGATTCTTGAACCCTTCTCGGGAACTTCACCACCGGTCTTGACTTCGTTGCTGCGGTAGCCGCAGTGCTCGCAGACGGTGCTCATGAGAACGACTTGCTTGAAGAAGGGAATGTTGACCATCTTCATGTTGGTTGTGCAGTGGCGTGTGCAACCAGGGCAGCTGGCGGGGAAAGAGTAAACTTCGTTCTCGCGGATTTCGTCGTCATCAACGTTATTGGTAGTGACTGTTCTCGGTGCTTCGTTACCACCAACAAGACCACCAGCGGCACGGTACTCGGGTCTCATTTCGGTAGCAGGAGCGTCTTGACCATCGACGGGACCTTCTTCGCCGAGACCAAGTGCAGCGTTCTGCTCAGCGTTTCTGACAAACTCGGTACGGGTGTATTTGTGGCGGGCATCAGTAGGCGAAGGCTGGATGAATGAGTTGCCGGATGGGTCCTCGGCAGAGACGGTGAAGGGGTATTTGTTGCCCTCGAGCATGTCACCGAGAGCTTGAATGATCTCGGCGACCTTTGCGCCAGCCTCGGGCATCTGCTCCATTCTGGCTTCCTGGTTTTGTGCGAGATCCTCCTTGACACCAGCAAGGATACCTTCAATGTTTGTCATCTGACCTCTTCCTTGAGGAATCTCGAGGTCAATATCCTCAATTCTGAAAGCGCAGCTGTCGCCCTTGACGACGGATCTTTGCATGTCATCAGCATTCTCAACCTTGAAGATATATTTTGAGCCGCGTTCCTGAATTTGACCGGCGGATGAGATCTCGGTGTTTTTAAAGCTGCAGTGAGGGCAGTAGAAGGACGAAAGGACGATTTCGCGGAAGTAAGGAATACGAGTGAGAAGAAGGCGGGTCATGCCCTGAGAGAGAATTAGTTGGGCGCAAACAAGAAGTGACAGTGGGTGGGGCTCACGTCAGCGTGGCAGTTCATGCACAAACTCTCAATCTCGTCAACAACTCTCTGGTCATCACCGTCTTCAGTCGAAGCGTTCATGCCCTCGACCTGGCGACCCATGTCCTCGAAGAGGTCCTTCTTCGCTAATGATTCAGGCTTGTTTGCCGCCATTGTTGCGAAAATGTGTGTTAAGGAGCTAGATTCGTTGCAGAGTGACTCTTGTCGATGTCAAGTCGTATAAATCAGTGAATGTCGTGTCGAGTAGTAGTGTATAAACAGCAACGAAAAAAGTTGTTGCAAGTGTGAGTTGTGAAGGAAAGTCGGATTAGCAATGCGACTGGGCGCTACCAGCGCTCGGGAGAAGCTTCTCGGCCTGCCTTCGCGGGGCAATAATTTCATGGAGCAAAATTTCCAGCTTATCGATAACAACCAAAAAAGACGTCAGATCAAAGATTAGATATGATCTTTTGTTGATCAATTCTTCAGTCAACATGTTCCAGCAACTTGTTCTCGCAGCTGGTTGTGCTTTCAGTTGGTCTTCATGAAATCCATAAAGTCAAAGGCTTTTGGTGCTGAAGCCGGAGCTTTTGACTTTGCCAGCATGGCTTGTAGACCACCAAGTTTCTGCTTGCGATTTCGCTTCTTGTCTGCTCCAGCACGAGCTTGTTCAGAGGATGATGAGACTGCTGTTGAAGGGGCAGGACTTGGTGTACTTGTTGTTGTTGCTGCGGCCGACTTGCTGGTAGTCGTGGCACTTGACTGAACTGGTGCTGGAGCAGCGGCAGGCTTGCTCTGAACAGACGACAGGGATGATTTAGAGCGTCTGGCTGGCGCCTGTGTATCCGACTTTGCTGTGTTACTACTGTGGCATAGGTTACACTTGTAGTCGATGTACGTGTGTTGAATTATAGCAGGCTCTTTTGCGACTTTCGACTTGGTCTTAGACTTTTTCGAGGGAGTTTCAGGAAGCCTTCTTTTAGATACGGTACAGGACCATCCGGGAAGTAGGGCATGCCCACATGCGCGACACTTGTTCAAGTCTTCTTCTGTATGCGACGATGATGGTGACTTGGACTGTTGAAGCTGTGACGCTAGGAAAGCCGATATGTGCGGTGATGTCGACAAGAGCAGATCCGAGGCTGCTTGAAGGTGTTTTTGAGCAGGCGTGATGCTGTCTGTATTCTTCCTTGACTGATTCATGTTGAGTATGTATGTTTGGTGGTTGCGACAAGAAAGTCAAGAAAGTGATGGTGGATTTGGCAGTGACGGAGTTGATCGAAGCGTCGCACGTGAAGATGCCTACTCATCTTTGATTGTTACACCTTCTCTTCTAGACTTCCATTCTCTTCGACCAGCACATGGTCGCATAGACATCCGACATGAATGCTGTCGACGCCTCGTCGCATGAGGAGGTCGCCGACACAGCCGAGGCTCCATCTCTGCTAACCATCATCCTCGACACCAATCCACACGCTTGGGGCCTGCTATCGTCCACTCTACCGCTCTCGACCTTGATCGCGAACCTCCTAGTCTTCATCAACGCTCATCTCGCCATCAACAACTCCAACCAAGTCTCTGTAATCGCTTCACATTCGGACAGCGCTCGCTTCCTCTATCCCACCACCCATGACGACCTCAAAGTACCACACGGCCACGCCAACGATGTCCAGAATGATGCCAACAAGTACCGTCCTTTTGCGCAATTGGAGAAGGCCTTGACTACAAATCTACGTGCCTTGCTGTCCACAACAACTCCCGACCACCTCAAAGCCTCTACATCAACAATGCTGTCTGGCGCTCTCACTCTTGCCCTGACATACATGGCCAAAGCCACCTTGAACAACCCAGCAAGAGCAGGAGATGGAAGTTACGATGCCACAAATACTGCTGGTACATTCACAACTACCAGTGCGGACGGCACAACACAACCTAGCCACACAGGTCTACAGAGCCGCATCTTGATTCTCAGTGTCAGCGGAGACATTGCAGACCAATACATTCCCATCATGAACACCATATTTGCATGTCAACGTCTCGCAATACCTATCGATATCTTGACTTTGTCTGCCCATTCGAACGCCGAATTCTTGCAACAAGCTGCCGACGCTACGGGAGGTGTCTACATGGCCCTGGGTAACCGCGTGGCTGGCCTTTTACAAGTTCTCATGATGGGTTATCTTCCAGACGCTACTGCACGAAAGAATCTCGTCAATGCTGGTGAGAGTGAAGGTGTTGACTTCCGCGCTGCCTGTTTCTGCCATCGTAATATCGTCGACTTGGGATATGTCTGCAGTATCTGCTTGTCAAGTATGTTCTTTCCTACCTCATAGCACTGACTTAAGCTAACATGTGATAACAGTCTTTTGCCAACCGCCTCCTGACAACAACTGTCTTACCTGCGGTACAGCTTTGTCATTATCAGGTCATGCTGCCAAACCAGTCGTCATTCCTCGCAAAAAGAAGAAGAAGAGAAAGCTTGATGGAGCTACACCAGCAGACTCACCTACTCCAGGTCCCGATACACCGAGATGATGATGATTCAGACACGACACAAAGATACATGATGACCACGCAAGTCAAAGAAAGTTCGCAGAGACACATTCATCCTTGACCGCTGCGAATACGGCAAGAGACAACATCTGCAAGGGCTGAAGAGAACCATAAGCACAATTGTGATTTGAAATGAGAGAGACTCTTTGCAGGAGACTTCCCTCGCTTATACATAGCTAGATGGGCAAGGAGAAAGGTCTTGGTAAAGAAGCATGATTGAGTGCGCAAAGACCGCCGCTCTGCTTCAACTATGCCCAGGCCATAGATATGAGCCAGCTTTTTGGAATGAAAAACGACGCCGTAAACTCCACGCTATGCCCCTTCTCGAATCCGAGAAATCAAGTGTCTTTCCTTGCCTCTTTTTGTGTCTCTATGCGCCCGTTTATGTAATTCTCGCCCATTTTCGAATTCATTCCAACTTTCTTTGCGTGCCTTGATCTGATTTATTCAGCGCGTCCAGCCCGATGTGCTTTGGATAAGGTCCATGATGCGCCGAAAGGTTGTATCGCGAAAACGAGTGGAAAGGGCCAGATTCAAGTTGCAAGAGCTGAATGTTGCGCTGCGAATCGAGTGTCGCTACGCTCATTTCTTGATCAAGAGGTAGACGTAGTCGATGCGCAGAGGAGTGAGCTTCTTGTAAGGACCCTCGAGGTAAAGAAGCAGACCACCAAAGGAGACGTAGACCTTGCTGTAGACACTTGTCAGTATACGCATCCCAATCAAACACCATTCGCGCATCTCTGCTTTTCCCTCTCTCATCTCCAATTTCCTCGTCCGCAAATCCTCCTCTTTCCATTTTGCACGAGACGTGGCATAAACACTCACATATTCTCCCCCTCTCCCTCCTCAAACCGATAAACCTTGCCCCAACAAACATAATCAAACATATCCGCCAAGCTGTTTTCCTCGTTTGTCTTTTCCCTCCATCCCTTGCTCACATCCTCTTTGGTGCCGTCCAAGTTCAGTGTCGAGGCCAGAACCACCTGCAGAGTCTCGCCAACAGCAACGGGGTAGATTTCATGGTTGATGTCAAGCGACAGAATGGTGGAGGAATCGGTGGATGTGCCCGTGACGCGGGATACGCGGTCGTATTTCTGGTTGTTGAGCGAGGTTAGGGTGAAGGTGTCGTCGAAGAGGGTTGCGTCGGCCATGGTGGATATAGTTGGGGTTTGAGGATGTGATGGGGAGAGAGCTGTAATTGAAGTTGTCGCAAGCAAATCTTTGGAGCTTTGCGATGTTCAAGTCGCGACAGATGCAAAACTGGAGGAGCGGAGAAAGCCGACGTCGACTCCGACTCTTCGACGCCAAGAATTCACCTATTCGACTGACCTTCTATCTCACTCACGCCTCACTACTCTACTAACTAAATCTGTCACTGGCTTACTATGTCTATGAAAAGAGATTGGTGCGTCAAGTCACAAGTCGGTTGAATTGCCCTCGCTGCCTGTCATCAAAGTCGGGCTTGGGCCTAATAGAAGGACATCATTCTCACAGTCGATCTCCTCAAACTTTCGATATTATGCATTGTGATGGTACAAATTATTACACTACGGATATTAGGAGTCATAGGATGAGCCATGTGCTTTCAATCAAGCTGATTCGATTGTCGTCCAGCAAATCAATCCTCATTCCATCTCACGCCAATCAAGCATTTTTCCTGCTGGCCTTGAACCTGATTGCACGACCGCCTTGAGCAATGGCTCCGTTACCTGTACTACGAGACATGGTGCAAGTAGGTTTCGTTTCTGATCCATGAAACGATGCCAATGCGAATGAATCTGTGTTGTGAGCAAAGTGTAGATATATTCCTTCGCGCGTTCTCTTCACAGCTAAAACGCCGATGGCGCCTGCTGAGTGACTGTTCTTGACACTCGGGTGTCCTGTAAACATGTCAGTATCTTGATTGATGCACATGATATGTCTGCCTCACCTATAAAGTCACGTTCGATAAACGATTTGATTGCATCAGCATCATCAGTCTCGACAATTCCAGTCGGAGTCTTCTTCACGCTGTAGAAGAGACGCTCGGCTGTCACTGTAGAGGCCATGGTAGTGGCCATGTGCTCGCCCGTTCCACTCGTCACCGCAGCGACTGTGTTCCGATCCTTGTCATCTGGATCGACTGGTATGACGGCAGATCCAATACCAACCAGAGCAGCGGGTCCAATACGACCACGATGCTTCATGCCGATACCTCCTGATGATGCACCACAAGCAATGTTTCCATAGCTGTCGATAGCGATGGCACCCACAGTATCTGTAATGTGATCTTCCTCGCCTATACGTGGCGCGGAGAGAGGTGGGGGTGGGATTGAATCTGATGGCTCGGACGACGGTGGCTCCATAGACTGGACGTCAGTGCCCTCCAGAGTAGGCAAGCCTGTCAAAGTGGGCTGAAGTTCTGGACTTGGTGTAATTGATGGTAATTGCAAGGACTCGGATGACGTCGAACCAGACTCCTGCCCTGAGTCGCCTGAAGAACCATCATGGCGATCACTATAACGCGAGCTGTATAGTTCAGACAAATTCTGATAGTGGTCTATCTGCATCGTGTCGGTCGACGAGAAGGTCTCTGCAAAGTAGTCACCTGAGTAGTGACCGTCGTTGACTCCGCGGCCATTTGTGGCCAGAGGAGAGCTGCTGTAGACTGGACGGGGACCCGGCGGACCATAAGGATCAGAATAGGTCATGAGCGCCTCTGCAGGATACCCGGTAGGGACTCTGGTAGGAGTAGGTGCTTGCAAGCCGTTGGTCGGGGCTTTAAGAGCATGACCTGGTAGAGTAAGGGAATCTGATGATGGGAGGGGCGTAATGGGTTGTGCTTCGTTCCAGACTCCAGATTCGAGGGCACGTGTATGTGCTCGGCGCATCTGTTCCCGCACACGGTCTTCTGAATCAAAACCCAGCAAGTGCTTAGGTGTTATCGCCGTGAGCGAGCTAGGGGTTTGTGGCGCAGAGTTTCTTTTGTTCTTCTCAACGGTATTGAGGTCGTTTCTCCACTTCAACCAGCGTTCTTTGGCAGCAGGAGAGACCAGAGCATCGTAAGGTAGAATTGGCATATCCACGCTTGCAGCGAACTCAATGGCACCCTGGCCGACCAGCAAATTTGGAGGTACTCGACGTAGAGAGAGCAGTTGAGTGCTGCGGTCCAGGAGTACGCGAGCCAATGAGATTGGGTTCTTTATTTCTGCATCATGTCAGCTCGATGTTGAGAGGTGTTGATGTGGTGCTGGAAAGACGTACGTGAGACAGCACCTACAGCTCCACTACGACCAAAATGATCGACAATGGTAGCATCACACTCGACAATTCCATCTACCGCAAGATTGCTTCCATAGCCAGCATTGGTTATCTCACGATCTTCCAGAACCTTAATAGCGATCTCGATAGCGTCAAGAGCAGTCCCACCAGTACGCAAGACTACCATGGCCGCTTTTGCAGCACTACTCGAATTAGCTGGAGGCTGAGGATCTGGATTGAATTGACGTACTCGTTGCAGGCCTGGAGGTGGATCCTTTCATTCTGCAAGCTGTGATAACCAGCACCGGCATGGACAAATATGCATGGTTGATCGGCACCATTCTTTTGGATCTTGCGTGGTTTTGTGTGGAGCATCTCGTATACGAGTTGACGAGGAAACGGTGAAATGACAGATGTTTCTTGAGCGTTGAAGTGAGATATGGCTGAAGGTGTGACGGAATAGCACGACTATTCTCAAGTCGCTGACGTCGAAACAAAACAGGTCGAAGAAGGCACGCTAGGTTGGTAGGGCAAGCGGACAAGAAGAAGGATAAAGCGAGTGATGATAGCCAGAAGAGACGATGGGTCTTGCAACTAGCCGCTTCGGAAGCGACTGAGAGCAGAGTGAAGACTCAAGGATGAGTCGAGTTGATGGAATATGAGATCTAAAGAAGAATAGGCAGGATGTTTGTTGGCCTACAGCTTGGAGGAGGATCGCTCTTTCCATTTTTCTAAGGCTGTGCAGACGCAAATAATCAGTTGAAGCGGGCTGCTTGTCATGACGCTGTTATGATCATAACGAATACTGAATTCTGAAGACACAGGCAAATGGGAGAAACATGGCGCAACAAGAATACTTTTGATATAGAAGTCTACTAGCACTGCGATATACGTAGGTTTGAACTGCCAGGCGGTCAGATGCATTTGACTGCTCTTGGAGAACGTGCACGGACTACAGCGGGGAGAGAGGTTGTGGCCGAGCTCTCCGTGACGACAACGCCCTTGGAAGCCAACGCGACACCAGGTTGGCTGGACTGTTCAAGGATTGCCATACACTCTCGGTCGATATCTCATCTTCAGCTTGACCATTGGCCTCTGGCCTCCCTTTCTTTACCTCTAACACACTCGCCAACACTCCGGTCATCATGGCTAACCAAACTCCGGCCGTTGTCATGGACAAGTACGTGCCTCCCCTGCTCTCATTGCGCGCATAGGCAGCAATACTGACTCCAACTAGCGGTACAGGTTACACAAAGCTCGGTTGGTCACACTAAAGTCTCGCTCATCTTGTTCGCAATACTGAGTCCGCAGGTTTCGCTGGCAATGATTCCCCATCCTTCGTCTTCCCTACCGCCATTGCTACCAAGGGCCCCACCGACAGCTCTGCTGGCCGCTCCGGCAGACCTGGTGGTAACAACTCTTCAATGCTCTCAGGAAAGAGAGGCACAGAGGATCTCGACTACTTCATCGGTGACGAGGCTCTAGCCGCTTCCAGCGGTCCTGGTTACGGCCTTCACTACCCCATCCGTCACGGTCAGATTGAGAACTGGGTACGTAGGACTATGGAATCGTCGACCACTAGCATTGAATACTGATATGCGCAGGATCAAATGGAACGTTTCTGGTCCAACTCGATATTTAAATACCTTCGTGTCGAGCCCGAAGATCACCACTTCCTCCTTACCGAACCTCCTCTCAACCCTCCCGAGAACCGTGAAGCCACTGCCGAAATCATGTTCGAATCTTTCAACGTCGCTGGTCTTTACATCGCTGTTCAGGCTGTGCTGGCTCTTGCCGCTTCTTGGACTTCATCAAAGGTCCAGGACCGTTCCTTGACTGGTACCGTGATCGATTCAGGAGAGGGTGTCACTCACGTCATTCCTGTCGCTGAGGGTTACGTTATTGGTTCCTCGATCAAGAGTGTTCCCATCGCTGGTCGTGATATCACCTACTTCGTTCAGAGTCTCCTCCGTGACAGAGGCGAGCCCGACAGCTCTCTCAAGACTGCCGAAAAGATCAAGGAGGAGTTCTGTTATGTCTGTCCCGACATCGTCAAGGAATTTGCACGCTACGACCGTGAGCCAGAACGATTCGGCAAGCACACAATCAACTACCCGAACGGTCGTAGTGCTGTTGTGGATGTTGGTTACGAGCGTTTCCTTGCTCCTGAAATCTTCTTCAACCCCGAGATCTACTCATCCGACTTCCTCACACCTCTGCCCAACATTGTCGACACTGTCATTCAACAATCACCAATCGATGTTAGAAGAGGTCTTTACAAGAACATCGTGTTGTCTGGTGGTTCCACCCTGTACGAGAACTTTGGCCGCCGACTTCAGCGTGATATCAGACATCTGGTTGATGCTCGTATCCAAGCTAGTGAAGCTCGCAGTGGTGGTGCCAAGTCTGGTGGTCTCGATGTTCAGGTCATTACTCACAAGCGACAACGTCATGGTCCCTGGTTCGGTGGTAGCTTGTTGGGTCAGACACCCGAGTTCAGAAGTTACTGTCACACAAAGGCAGAATACGACGGTTCGTTATCATCCCTTTGCTTGCTGTTTCCCCATACTGACTTGACACGCAGAATACGGTCCTTCAATAGTGAGAAGATTCGCTCTTCTGGGTGGCCCAGGCAGCACCTAGATGGCACATGTAGACTAAACGCTTTGTTCAAACCAAATCAACAAAACCATTTCCATTTCATGACAACACCCAACAATGATGAGTGCCTTCGAGTCTGTCTTCGTCCTCTATTCGACTGCTTCTTGAAGGCAGATGATGATCAACAGATCGTCTGCCAAAATCAATAGTATGCACATAAGTTAACGAGAAGTCCCTGCTGAAATGCACATGTACCTTCAAAAATTGATCTCGGCGTGCATATCCAAGACGACCTGAGCTCGAGGTCGGTTGCATGCATCCCCTAAAAATAAACAAGGGTCGTGGAGCAAAGCATGGGGTCTTGCCGAGGCCGGTCTCTCCCGTCCCAAGAATGTCCAATCACGACTTGATTTCTGAGCAGTCTTCTCACGACTCGTTCTCTCCCTCTTCATCGTGTCCCAGAGTAATGTTTCCAAAGCAAGCCACATGCATACCTCAAACGAATCACCCGATGTTCCGCTGTATACAAGAGACGGCACAGGGCTTCGAGCCATCATCCCGCTTGCTTTGACCGCCAAGCACCTGTACGAAACAGACCATGGCTTCACCTGATGCCGTTCCAGTGTTTCGATCCAGTCGAGATAGATGGTGCATGCGACTTTTCATATCCACCTTTCTACTTCTGGCTGACAAGATCGGTTTCGACTTTCTTGACCACCATATATGGCAAGAAACAATATCCACGATAATGCCCAGACTGCAAGCAAGGGAGGTCAGTGCAGCAACAGGCGAGGTTTGTGGTTGCTGAATATATAATATAGCACGATCAATGATTCTTCAGGTCTGCAAGGTAGGCAGGTTCCTTTTTCTTTTCAGCATTTCTTCGTGCTGCGTCATTCGTTCTTCCCCTCGCTTTGAACTTGTATATTGGGTCTGCTTCTCCAGAGTATTCTGCTTGGCTATCACCCACCTACCGTCTTTTTCGTCCTGAAATCATCAGAAAATGCATTTCAACAGCCTGGCTTTGGCTTCTTTGGCCCTAGTTCCTTCCCTCATCGAAGCTCACGGTGATATTCCTGGAGCACCCAAAGTTTTTGGAAGGAGATCTACCCTGAATGGGGTTAGACGAGCACGTACTGTACCCAGCACTTTCCAGCCAGCCATCTCTGAAGTCCATGACAAGCGTCAGGCTTCTACCAATACCGATGGACAATGTGGACCAGGCTTTGGTTCTTGTGCTGCCGGTTACTGCTGTTCAGAAGCTGGTCAGTATCATCAAGAAGAGAGAGCCCTGTGACTGATGCTGACAATCATCAGGCTGGTGTGGTAAGGGCACTGATTACTGTGCTGCCCCTGGATGTCAATTCAACTATGGCCCCGCGTGTGACGACAATACCATTCCACCTGGCAGCAGCACCTCTTCGGTTGCAAGACCCAAAGTCGGAAATGTCCCATATGGTGGAGCTGGCATCTACGATTGCACAGTGGCTGGAACCATTGCCATCACTTATGATGATGGGCCTTATATCTATACTGATCATGTCCTGGATGTCTTGAAGCAATACAATGCCAAAGCCACATTCTTCATCACCGGCAACAACAATGGCAAGGGAGAGATTGATAATGCCGCTTTCCCTTGGGCTGCGACAATCAAACGAGCATACAATGAAGGACATCAAATTGCATCTCACACTTGGACACACCCCCATCTGTCCAACCTTACCAGTGCTCAGAGAAAGCAAAACATGTACAGCAATGAGATGGCACTGCGCAACATTTTGGGCTTCTTCCCTACTTACATGAGGCCTCCCTACTCTGACTGCACCGCAGAGTCTGGATGCGAGCAGGATATGGCTGACCTAGGTTATCATGTCACCTACTTTGATGTCGATACAGGTACGAATTTTTAAAACCTTGTTTGAAGCTAAGTCACTAACATGCAGTAGATGATTATGATAACGATTCTCCCACACTTATCCAAAACGCAAAGAACAACTTCGATGCAGGAATTGCAGGAGGAAACCCAGCCACCGACGATTACCTTGTTATTGGACACGATATTCACAACCAGACTGCCAACAATTTGACTGCCTACATGCTGCAAAGAGTTCTGGCACTTGGTTACAAACCTGTTACCGTTGGCGAGTGTCTTGGAGACCCTGAAGCAAACTGGTATCGCAGTTCTTCTGGAAATGTCTTCACTTCTTCCACTTCAGCCGTGACTTCAGCCACTTCGACTTCTGCAACTATTGCTCCCACAGCAACCTCGAACAGTGGACAGTGTGGCGGAGGCACCGGGTTTATGTGCACTGGATCTGAGTTTGGAGATTGTTGCTCGCAGGTACGTCATTAACAGATGTTGAGATTTGAGAATTGTACTGACCATATCCATTTCTAGGCTGGATGGTGCGGCTCTGGAACTCTTTACTGCGGTGAAGGCTGTCAAGCTGCCTTTGGTCAATGCGGCATCAATGTTCCTCAGAGCAGTAGTACCACCTCAACTGCCCCACCAGCTCAGCCAACAAAAGTTTCAACTGATGCAACTTGTGGAGGAACGAGCGGTATGACCTGTCAGGGCTCCGTCTTTGGTAACTGCTGCTCGCCTGCTGGATGGTGCGGAAGTACTGCTGCTTACTGTGGCGATGGCTGTCAATCGGGCTTCGGCTCTTGTGGTGATGGCGGTTCGGCAGCAGGAAGTGCTGTTCAAGCAACAACCAATACTGCTGTGAAGTCAACGCTTGCTACATCTGCCACCAGCAAGGCGGCTACCACCACGTCAGCACAGCCAACCCAGACAACGACAGCTGCAAAGGCAACAACCACGAATGGATCGAGACTTCAGGTAAGTGATTGTATATCGCTGCAATGATAGGTCTATACTAACGACTCATCTAGACATGGCTCAACAACTGGTTTAACAAGTTGAGATCTGGATCCAACTAAAGACACAGCCGAGTGTCGTGATCTTGTTTTACGTTTGAATTGTCGGATTATAATGTTGGGATGAAGGTATTGGGAATTGGGTCACAGTCGACCTCTAGATTGGTACTAGACCATACATGAGCTGAGAGAGAAATGTCAAAAGTATTTGTTAATGAGCACAAGATTCTGTATCGAGCCTTGCAAGTTGCAGATTCAGAGACCTGTACCTTTTGACATAAGATCTTTGTCACCACTCTCTGTACAGCAGAAGGCGCTCCATGCGATATGACTGCTGCGGTCTCTCCGAGATAAGTTACCTGCGATACTGCAATCGAAAGCCTCATGTTGCTTTTTCGAAATGGTTCGGAAGTCGCGGGACGAATGCGCTGAAGCCTCGAAGATGGCGTCAATATTCGAAATGTCCAGTCAGCGGATGCCACGGCCTCAAGACATGTATCACACGCGATAGTACAGAAAAGCCTCATTCATGCATTTTCGAAAAGAGGGTCGAGATATGGGGGGGTACAAGATCGGATGACGGATGGTACTTTTGAGTTGGACATGACCGATGAGCCGCGGGGATCCTTGAGGAACGCGCCTTTTTGCAGCCCCTGCAAGTCCGCAACGGACAAAACCATCATCATCATTTTTCTGCCAAGCAAGGTTTCAATCGTAACCAATTAGATAAGAAGTATCCACACGTTCACACCTCTCACCTTTCACTTGACCCTTCACTGTCCGTGTTGTGTGTTGATGCCAGGCACGCTGTCGTGCCCCAATCACTAATCCTAGCTTGCCGTTGCTACTTGAACGAATGGCCTACGTCTCTACCCCTGCTTGCACCTTTACTAAACCAACTGTCCGTTTGCGCGGCTATCAGTGAATCTCACTGTTGTCACTGACCTTGTATCACTCTCCTGAGAGCTCTTTATCTCTACCTCTACCTCTACATACTTCCACCTTCGTGGCGGCTGCCTATCACTGGCATCTTCACTAGGCATTGGATACGATCAGCATGAAGTTTGGACAGAATCTCCCTCGCAATCAGGTGCCCGAGTGGGCATCTGCATACATCAATTACAAAGGCCTGAAGAAATTGATCAAGGCCGCCGTACAACACAGCATCGAGGCTGGTGGTGAAGTCGATCTTGCAGGTGAGTGCTTGTCGCAAACACCTTGGTAGCATGTTCAACTGACTCCTTCAGAATTCTTCTTCGCCCTAGATCGCAACATCGAAGACGTCGACAGCTTCTACAACAGAAAACTCGCCGAATTCTCACGCCGACTTAGACTTCTCTACGATCGCTATGGACAAGCTCCTCAGACACAAGATGGCATGGACAAGGAAGAGATGGAAGACTTGATGGGCGCACTATTGGAGCTCAGAGGACAATATCGCAACCTCATTTGGTTTGGCGAAGTCAACCGCAGAGGCTTCGTCAAGATCACCAAGAAGCTGGATAAGAAGATTGAAGCCTCGCATTCACAAAAGACATACTTGGCCGCCAAAGTTGACCCCAAAGCTTTCGCAAACAACCGTAAAACCGAGTCAGACATGCGTGCCATCAATGACTGGTTATCGAGCTTGGGTGAGGTCAAGGTCTTTGATGACACTGCCTCGATTGCCTCAACTGGCTCGCTGCATCGCGTATCGTCTAGAAACGCTTTGCGCGTACCCACAGCTGTACTGGACAACCTAGAACAGAATGTCCGCCAGGATGATCTTGCCAAGCTGCAGGAGCTCATTTCAACATCCTTGAAGGATCTGTCTCCTTCTATTGTTCAGAAATTGATGCTCAATCTTCTGCAGCGAGCTATCTCCGCAAGATCGTATGATTGCGTCAAGTACCTGCTATCACAAATCTCCTCTCTGACTGAGGATGATGATATGAACAAACGAAATGTCATTCATCGTATGGTGATAGCGACTGGCCGTGCAAGAGCTCTTGAAGAGAATGGACCAGCTGCAGTTCCCATTGGTGCTGAAACTAACTCTTTCATCAATGCAGCAGAGCTTCCAGTCCGTGTTCCTACTTCGTTCAAGGTCCAAGAGAAGGATATTGCTCAAACGCTCGGCCAGGACGATCCTGCAATCAAACTTCTTTCCTTCATCCTCTCGAATCTCTCCGCCGAGCAGAGAGCAGTACTGAAGGAGAGAGATACATACGGCCGTCTTCCTCTTCACTATGCTGCTCAATACGGTTTGGTAGCTGCATCTCAGACTATCATGAAGTACATGCAAGCTTGGGGTCAATTTGATGTCAGCAAGGGCATTGATTCTGACATCTGGCAAGACGCTGAGGGATATGCTCCTCTTCATCTCAGCGTCATCGGTGGCCACTACCGAACCACAAAGGCTCTGCTGCAAGCTGAGGACTGGCATGGTGAGACTGAAGACAGCCATGCTGCCAGACGTAGTGTTGAGAAATCAGGCGCTGCATTGGCTTTGGCGACAAAGAACAATTTCTACATGATCGTCAAATTGCTGGTTGAGGCTGGCATTGACATCAACTATCAAGACGAGCAAGGTGAAACAGCTTTGCATGTTGCTGCCCGCTTTGGTTTTGTGGAGTGCACCAAGTCTCTTCTTGAAGGATCTGAGACTCAAAAGGCCAACCTTGAGATTACCGAGAAGACATATGGTTGGACGCCACTTTTCATAGCCTGTGTCGATGGCCACCTTCCGATTGTCGAACTTCTGATTGAAGCTGGTGCTGAGGTGAACAAGGCTGATTTGTCGGGTTGGTTGCCTATTGAACATGCTGCCCTCAGAGGTCATCTTGACGTTGCGAACAAGCTGGAGAACCTCAGCCCGACCCCTGAGAATCTCGATGCACCTTCACCACTCCTCAGACCTAGCAATGCTCCAGGTACATCACCCAAGAACAACTCTTCTATTGGAGACCGACGATCCAACGCTCCTCAAGGACGTGATGCTCCTCGCATACCCGAACCTGTCAAGACTTTCGGTCACAGATACCTTACGGATGAATCCATGGTGCTGGTCAGTCTCGGCTCTATGGACAACCGTAAGAATGTTCCTGCAGTCACTCTTGACAATATCCCCCTTGCAGACGCACATGCTACTCAGTTGGATACTGCTCTATCGCTGGTCGTAGCGGCAACAGGTGCAAACGGAGAGCCAACAATCGTGGATCTGCCTGTTCAAGAGAACATCAGCACTTCACCTATCACATTCAAGACACGCGACCCGACCAAAGTCAGACTGCTCTTTGACATTGTTCCCACATATTCTGGTTCAAAGGACAAGATTGTCGGTCGTGGTGTGGCCTTGCTTTCTAGTATTAAGCCTAGCATTGGTTCAAAGCGCATGTTGCTTCAAGGTGACTTGAGTGTACCAATCGTCGCTGCAGAGACTTTGGATGTCATTGGCTCTGTCAACTTCAACTTCCTCATCATTACACCTTTCCAGCATCCCAACATGCATATCGCCGAAGATCAGACTTATTGGAAGAGCACATCAACACAAGTCATTGGTCACCGTGGCTTGGGTAAAAACATGGCATCCATGAAATCATTGCAGTTGGGAGAGAACACTCTTCAGTCTTTCATCGCAGCTGCTAACTTGGGTGCCTCTTATGTCGAGTTCGATGTCCAACTCACCAAAGATCACGTTCCTGTCATTTACCACGATTTCTTGGTTAGCGAGACAGGTATTGATGCACCTGTGCATACATTGACCTTGGAACAGTTCATGCATGCAAGCGAGGGTCAAACACCGAGAGGCTCACGTCCCCCATCACCCAAGAGAAGTCATTTGGATGGTGTGTTTGAGCAATCACGCAAGCAACGTTCTTACTCGCTTGGTGGTGCTCAAGATGAACGTGCTCCTGACATGTCTGAGCGCATGAAGCATACGCGTGACTTTAAAGAGAAAGGCTTCAAGGGCAACAGCCGTGGTAATTTCATTCAAGCACCTTTCACCACACTTGAAGAGATGTTCAAGACGTTGCCATCTTCGATTGGCTTCAACATTGAAATGAGTGAGTTTTCCTTGCAGTCCTCACTACCACTTGCCAGACCACTAATTACGTGTTCCCACAGAATACCCCATGCTCTTCGAATCAGAAGAACACGACATGGACACTTACGCCGTAGAACTAAACTCCTTCGTCGATACCGTCCTCACCAAGGTCTACGATCTGGGAACTGGCCGCAACATGATCTTCTCCTCCTTCAACCCAGACATATGTCTTCTCCTTTCCTTCAAACAACCTTCCATCCCCATCCTCTTCCTCAGCGACGCTGGAACCTCTCCTGTAGGCGATATCCGCGCCTCCTCCCTTCAAGAAGCCATCCGTTTCGCCTCACGCTGGAATTTACTCGGTGTGGTTAGTGCCGCTGAACCGCTGGTCACTTGCCCTCGCCTGATTCGCGTTGTCAAGGAAAGCGGTTTGGTTTGTGTTTCGTATGGCACGTTGAATAATAACCCGAGGATGGTGCAGAGACAAGCTAAAGAGGGCATTGATGCTGTGATTGTGGATTCGGTGCTTGCCATTAGAAAGGAGTTGACGGCTGCGCAGCAGAAGGCTGGGGAGCAAGAGCAAAAGCAAGAGCCTGAACCGGTTATTGAAGTGCCGCAGGTTGTGCCTACGGCGAATGGGGCCAAGACTAATGGACATGCTTGAGTTGAGGGAGGGGATGGGAAAAAAGTGCAAGATAGAATCAAGATATGATGCATGGCGACGGTATGTACAATATCACTAGCAGCATTGGAGGTATAGCGGGTTGCTGCCTTTCTCAGTCGCGTTTTCTCGAGCAATCTTCTTCTTTTCCTTCGCCTCATGTTCCAGCAATGTGATTGTTGTCGTGTGGTCAAGCAGGTAAGCATGGTCAGGGTTATGCACTCAACAGGCATTTTTCGCATCATTCACAACACCACAGCAAAATCCAAGATACTTGTAGGTCTTCAGCTCATCTGATATGATACTCCTGTGTTCTGCCGCGTGTTCAACTTTATCTGCAGGTAGCCGGGCGCTTGGTGATTCCGAGTTGTTCAGTGTTCATCCTCGATATGTGTTGGAAAGCAGATCATGTCGAGTTGCTGTCTATGACTCGATGAAGGTATCCACCACTTATCTAATCGTAAAGACAGCAAGTAAGTTGGTTGTGAAACTCCCAAAAGCAACACTTCACATTGAATAGGAATATTCAAGGGGCGAGGACATCTTACAGCAGTACCTTATATTTTATGCTCGAGCCGATGCAGGTGCACAAATCCGCCAAGAGCTTATGCAATCAAGACTTCACGCACCAAAAAAGGAATCCCACAAATTCCAAGTCAAGGCACGGAAAAAAAACTCGATTCTACCACCATTTTCTGAGGCTTTCCAAAAACACAAGATATTCATACAGAAAGCAAAAGTGATGTTGACGAGAGTGGGATTTGAACCCACGCCCTTTCGGACCAGCGTATTGGAAGAACCTTAAGCTGGCGCCTTAGACCGCTCGGCCATCTCGCCTTTTCGGGAACACGATGATCTTGCGATGTTCGAGTCCTTGATGAGGTGTTCGTTGTCGGGTGTGTATATATTCTCGAGGCTGGAACCTGATGATAGCCGAGAATGGTCAAACAGTATATGTTTGGCGTCCGGACGGTTGACGTGAGGTCCTGGTGGTAGGGCCGTAGTGTCGGAACAGTGTTGCTGTGCCGAAGGATCTTGTCATAGGGTGTGAGAAGAATAGCAGAAAAGAAAGATACGGAAGATGAAAAGTGAAGAGATATTGATTAGAGTAGTCCTCGAAAAGAGCCAAGGAACAGGTATAGTATTGTTGTGCCAGAGTATGCTGGGCGTCTTTGAAGATAGAGTGCGCATGGCAGACAAGTAGGGTCAGCGCGACTTGGATCGTGAGACCTCACGCTCTCTACTCGAGGCTTTGTAGATAAGATCTGGTGCTACCATGCAACGCAGGGCTTGTTCATAAGGTCGAACGGATGCTGTGTAGCAGGTCTTTGTGAAGAGGCAGGCTGCATCGCATGTGACGAATGGCCGATCGCTGATCTGTGGCGCATGTTGCGAGTGCTTGAGTTGGCAGCACTTTTTGTGCATAGCTTAGACTGGTGCACGTTGGCATGAAGTATGATGAGCAGATAGATGTCGCTTGTCTCATCTCTGCTCGTCGGCAATGGGGTTGGCGTGAATGTGGACACTCTGAATGCGAATGGGGTCCTTGGGTCTATTCTTTTTGTCGACCTGGACCGACTCCATCTTGTCCAGAGTGTCCCATCCTTCTATTACGCGACCAAAGACGGTGTTTTTTCCATCAAGGTGAGGGGCCTTGTCAAAGGTGACGAAAAACTGGCTGCCGTTGGTGTTGGGGCCTTTGTTGGCCATACTCAGAATGCCGCGCTGGTTGTGTTTGAGCTGTGATTTGATCTCATCTTCGAAAGGTTGGCCATAGACGCTGGGACTGTCTTTGGTTGAAGTGGCAGCAGGAGAGCCGGCTTGGATCATGAAAGACGGGATGAGACGGTGAAAGGGCGAGTCATTGTAAGCGTCGGATGCGCAGAGGGCGAGAAAGTTGTAGGTCGTCTTGGGGCAGGCGCTGCAGAAGAGCTCAAGTTTGAGGTCGCCGTGAGTTGTGTGCAGAGTGACGGCCATGGTTGTTGGACTAGCTGGTCAGTAGCTGAACAAAATTGGATAATGGTATGCAATGACGCTGATGGCGGGCAGGTGCTCGGCGTCTGGCTCGTGCTGTTGCTTGGTTGTGGTTGCGCGGGTCGCGGTTTCCTCGTTTGATTGCTTGGAGTGGCATCAGCTCATCAAACCAAGGAAGGCCCGCTCGACTTGTACGAGTTTCAGCGACATCATCGCTCAACAACTAATAACTCAATCTGTATTCTTATTTTCCAACCCTTGCCTTCTTTCTACGTGACTGTCGTCGGTCGCTCTGCCCTGCGTGACGCTTGTGTCTAGACCTCGCCCCTTGTCCGTTGCCGTCCCCGCCTCTGCCGGTCATTGTCTGTATTGGTTGACGTAGACGAGTGTCTGAGACTCTCATAAACCCAACTGCTGACAGGCTGTCTGCAAGAGCATTTCGACTGTACACCTCGCACCCAACCTTTCTCGACATAGCTGGACCGCCCTTCTCGACGTCCCTCGCCCTTGCTGCGCTCTCAATCTCCATCCACCGACTCGGTCCATGACATGCGGCCAACAGCGCCTCTACTGACGACGACCCTGCGCCCAACATGACCACCGCCTTTGTGCGTGTTTCTGGTCCGCCGAACAGTAACTTCCTCGTTGGATATCCTGGAATCTCGGCAACTTCTCCGCGCATAGAGGGCAAAGTCGAGATACGTCCGCTACTCGGTGTTTCCGCTCCTGTTCATGTATCACTGGTCACCGTCTGCCTACAACGGCGCGAGAGCATTCATCCTTCAGCCGACACAATAAAAGGTCATCTTGTCACATCAAATCGCAGGGAAATCATAGACATAGTTGGCAAGGAGATGCTGTTGTATCGCGCTCCCTTGGGTCGTGAGAGCGAAGCCATTCTGTCCATGGATCTCCCGTTTGTCATATTTATCCCATACGGCCGCGGCGGTGAAGAAATGGCGAGACGAGTACCACCAGCGAGCTTACAGTTGGATCGTCGCGCTGCCGAAACCTACTACGAAATTGTCGTCACTGTTCACCACGGCGCAAGCGACCAAAAGAAATACCCCTTTCCTGTACCCATTGCGAGATACGATACCTTGTCGACCTTTGGCATGTACAATCGACCAGAAAGCGCCGAACGTGTAGTCGACCACCTTGTCACACTCGCCATTTCATTACCACGCTGGTCTTATGGTCCTCTTGATCCAGTCAGCGTCTACATCAAATTAACACCAAATCCCGATATGCTTAGGAAGGCTATGAAGGCTACAGTCAAAGCAATCACAATGAGCATTGAAGAGGAGGTCATATACAACCATCAAGGAGATGAACCACAACGCAAAGCAAAAACGTTGGCTTCTTCCACCCATCGAGTAGGGATTAAGATGCCCGAAGCTGGCTATTTTACAAACTTGGGTCTTGTCTTTCCAGCTAGAGATTTACGCAATTCAGAAGGCATCTTGCCTCGCCAGAAGCGAGAATTTCCTCTTTACGCTGTAAGCGGCTTTACAACCACCGGTACTCTGTACAAGATAGAGTATTATCTGGTGGTCAAGGTATGTCTCCTGAACATTATTATCAATCCTTTTTCTAACGTTGGACAGGCCGTCATGTCTGGTGCAAAAGACATAATGATCCGTCAACCGATCGTTGTCTGCCCGTGGGATCATGCTGGCTGTAAAGAAGAGATGGAAGCCATTGAACAAGCTGCCAAAGACGCCTACCACATCTCTCCCGACAACCCAATGCTACCTGCTTCTACCATCGTAAGAGCCTCTGATGCCAACGGTCTCAAAAGTCTAGGCATGACCATGGTCGGAGGTCACAGGAAACCTCTGATTGAATGAGCTCGAACAAACTTCTAGTATTGTTTGCTTCTTTGTACCAATTTTTGGAACAAGTCACGACGTCACGACTGGTCCACTTTTCTTCATTTCTCAAGGAGCGGAAGGGACAAAATGCTGATTTGGCGAGGAGTTTTGGGTGTTGGAAAGATCGGGTATCTGTCAGGCCGGCAGATGTCTCAGTCCCTATTATCAAGGACGAAGACAGGCGTTTCCTTTGAAAGACCTTTGAATTGCATTTCTGGAGTTTCTTTTTTTTTGTTTTCCACTGTTGCATCCCTTTGTCATCCATCTTCAATGGTGACACCTTTTTGTCAACAACCGGCTTGCCTCCATATCGGGCAGCTTAATGCATGACCACATTCAAGAAACCAAAAACTCGATTGCCTTTCCTCATGACCAAGATCTGAGAACTGCTGTTACCTGTTTGTGAACCGTCAAGAAAATGGTTTAGATAACCGACATACTTGGACCAAAAATCTGGGTCTGGTCTGGGGGATAGACTGCGCGCGGCTGTTTCATGAAGTGGAGTGTCGCCTTACGCAACAAACCTCCCCACCTACCGACTTTCTCGAATCAGGAATGGGAAATTGCGTCCCCTACAGAATGAGACATCTTTGGTATACCTCTTCCGAAATGCCCACAGTGATCCACTTGAGGGGTACGAGTACGAATTGGGTTGCGCAAGTGGGTATCGTCTTGTTTTGAAGCTTCAACTTTTACTTTTCGATGAGTCTCGAATTCTGGCTTCAACTCTCTTGAATTGTGATCTGTGAAGAGAGCTACACCAACAAAACTCGACGACCGAGCTATTATAGTGTTATGAGACAATCATATAGGGCTGGTAATCTCGATTGGAATTTCGACAACACCCTCACGCAATGGCTGACACCAAGTCCAACTTTCAAATCTTCCAACAGCCATGGTTCTGACAAGACTGACTCATTGCGACAACGAACCAGACAAGGGTCTAGGACTTATAAGAGAACGATGTTCACACAATAGCTTGAAACTCAGAAACTGCTTGACAGTTTCAAACCTCGCTCTTTGAAGGAGATTCAGGTAGATTGGCTCTCCACGCCATGCCATTGGCGTGTTTTTGACTGAGGCTCAAGTAAAAGTCTCTATCTATGCACAGAACAAAATGCTTTGTAGATCTTTCTGATTCGGCGGGTGGGTTCGTGCCTTCGATCCTCCTGGGTTAAGCGCTTCCATGTCTGTATTAAGTAGAGCAAGGCATCCCAATTTCTCTTCTTGAGGAAATGGCAAGGCTGCCTGCTTTTTGCAGACGCATTACTCTATCTTCTGGAGGATCTCTCCTTTGCGACCTTGATTTATTTTGTTGATATTACATTTTCATCTTTCGTCCGCTCTTTCCATTTTGGCTTTTTCTGTTTTCACTGTCCTTGGTCTGGCATCTGGATTTCTACCAACACGACTTCTGGTATCTTCCTGTGGACACTCAGAGACCGCGCCACTTCGTATGGTATCAAAGGAATCACAGATCGAAACTCTACATGGTCTTCACCTACTGCTGCTTGCAAATTTATTCTAAATGTCTGGATCAAATTCTTCTTTCTCTGCGGTTACGGATACGGATCATCGAGGCTGGCTCTGGATAACCGTCATCACCTGCACAATAATCTGTCCTTTATTATTTCTTGGACGAGGGATAGTACGGTATAGGAGATATGGTCTTGATGACCTTGCTGTTGTTCTTTCTTTTGTGAGTTGATCGGTCGTCTATCTGCGTATCATACAAGAAAAGAAGCTGATGAAGAAAATCAGGTTTTTGTCATGGCACATTCAGCGCTCTTGATGGGATCGCTCAAACTAGGATTTGGAGTATTATTGACACCTAGGACACAAGCAGGTATTCTCAGAGCTGCAAAGGTGGGAAAGCAACACAAGAAAGGGAAAGCAAAGCAGGTATACTGACTCTCATCACAGCTGGTCTTCGCAAGCAGAATCCTACTCTCTCTCATCCTTGGAGCCTCCAAACTATCAGCTTTGCTTCTTATGCGCCGCCTCTTACCACCAAATGGCGTTCGCACTTATATCTGCAATACAGGCATTGTGCTTGTCATCATCTGGGGTGTGATGGCTGTCCTCACCACAAATACGAATTGCTCGCCTAGTCATGTCTTACTAGAGAACAAGGAAAACAGCTGTCGATACTTGGATACTCGGATTACTATCACCATGGCTTTGAGTTGTGCTACTGAGTTGGGAGTACTTGGTCTTGCTATTGCCTTCTTCAATCAGTTTCGAGTAGAGACACCACAGAGGAAGTGGATCTTGATGGCTTTTGTGTTGCGTGTACCGTAAGTTTCTCCTTCCACAATATCGATAACTTCGTCTTGAGTATATACTGATCCATGGAGCAGAAACATCGGACTAAGCATCGCTTACCTCCTCGCCTACTGTCACTTCCTCTCCCATGGCCTCTCTAGTATCTCCTTCATCCCCGTCGCCATCCTCCAACAAGTCCTCGCCACCTACTCTTTCTTGTCCTCAGCCTCTACCGCCTTCTTCCCCTTCACCATCCCCATTCCCCTCTCCACCTCTCCCTATTCCTCAGATTCCCCACTCAAAACCCTTTCACGCAGTAAACTTGCCAGAAGAATGTCTACACCTATGTCATTCTTCGGTGACAAGATCAGAGGAGACAGAGAAGTGTTTTCGCATAAAGCGAGGGTATTTGCTGATGTCAAGGGGGTTGCGAGAAGAGAAAGTGAAAGAAAAGTTAGACAGCAGAATAGACAGAGGGAAAGGGTAAAGGGACATAGAAGTGAAGAGAGTCAGGAGAGTTTGAAGGGGATTGTTAGGGAAGAGACTTTTGAGGTGCAGGTCGTGTAGGATTCTTTGTTTTGTTTGTTGTTGACTTCCTTCTTGGTGTCGGCATTGCTGGTTGTTTGGGGTCTGAATTCTTTGGGAGAAGATGTGTCAAGCTAGCTATCAATACCAAGACGAGCCCATTGACTCAAAGTGGGCCCCGAAAATCTCCCCTCGAAGGTCAAGGATTGAGTTGCATTGTTTTGCAAAACAATGGCTGGGTTGTTGAGAGGTACAAGAGAGATGTCACTTACTCTATCCGCGTACCTTTCGCAAAGATGGCTGGCCTGGGGCTCTGAATCCTTCATGAGAGATCCTCGGAAATTGAGGACTGAGTCGCAATGTTCTTGCAAAACAGTGGCTGGTTACTGAGAAGTACAAGTAAGATGTCACTTGCTCTATCTAAGATTCGAAAAGCTGGCGTTCCTCAGCTGGTCGAGAAGAGCTAACGTGTAGCGATGTACATACGATAGCTGGCTCCAGCTGTTTCAAGACGAGGTACCTTTCGCACCCAGGTTGGTGGGCGTAGTACTGGATATACCTTGAATACGACGATTCTGCGTGCGGGAAACGGCTGTCAGAAGCGCCGTCGTGCTCTAGACATCAAATATACTTTGCAATAAACTTGGTTTGATCAACGCTCTTGCACGAGATCTTGTCAGATACGAGCCTTGCAGACCTATTTCCTTTTATGAAGCACATGGATTGATATGATTCTGTACAAGGGACCTTGTAACTATGCAATGCAATGACAAGAATCCAGGAACACGATGCATATGGCATCCTTCTCTATCTCAACGACCAGGGCTTGTCTGCAAGGTATTTGAGAGGCGACCGAGATTTGAATTGGTTGTACGGACCAATAGCAAATACGGCTTGAACGAGGAAAAGGCAGGATCGATTTCTCTGAAAAGAACGCACCTCGATTGCGCATACCCAAACGGGTAATTTCAAAACCGAAATGCCGTATATCCGAGTCACAAAAAGAAAGAAGCAAGAGATGACTTTTACTTTCCACAAAATGCATATGCCATATGGGATAATCCTCCTGTCAACACCTCACAGTGAGACATTACCCGGGAGCGGTCCTTTCCGAGAACATTATTCAAGAGTCTATCTGAGAGTTTCAAGAGTTGGACAAGTCACGCGAGTTTTCCTGGAGCATCATTGGGTTGTGGGTTTTTGTGGGCTTGTGTTTTGATAGATTGGACCAAGCTTGATATAAAAGTCCGCTTCGGCTCCCCACGCAACCCTCCAGACTTCAGCTGTTTTATTGCCACCGCGCTGGGCGTGCTTTGCTCCTCGCGATCAGTGCGTTCATCGAGATGCAACAAGAAGGAAGCGGCTTGGCAGTCTTGGAGGCTCGTGTTGTCGTAGGAGTGCAATTGTGTGGGTGGCATTCTCGTCGTTGTTCGAGGTACGTGCTGGAGGTATCTCCGCCCGATGTTCGGTGATAAATTCAGGTCGTTATCTCGAAATTTGAAGCACTTGAGATTCGTAGAAACAGAATGGATGTTCATCAGGCTCTCACGAGCTTTATACTCTCTGTAGTACGCAGAAATGTCAATCCGGCAGGGTGCCGAACGTGCTTGACCGACGTACAACACCAGCAGTCGGGAAGCCGTATGCTGTACTAACAACTTGACATCAACGTAAATTCTCCGACGCAGGTCCGTGAATCATTGAAGATGACTAGCAAGCATATGGTCGTAGAGAAGAAGACTCGAAAAAAGTGAAGCACTGTCATTTGAATGTGAGGTTCATCGAAGCTCTCTTCAAAGCTCAATAAAGTCGGAGTTCAACTCAGTCTTGAGACACCAAGATAACTTCACCTTGCTTCCGTGACCATGTGCAGCACTTGGCGAGAAGCATCCACGCACGAGATCCATGCCTGAAACATTTGCTTGTCTGATAGCCATTGTTGAGCCATGTGTTTGAAGAAGTGTAAACAACGAGGCAGGGCATAATCCTTGCCTTGAACAAGGTTCGCGTAAGCAGCATTAGCATGCAAGGAAAGTCCTTGCCCGGCTGAGGAGCGCGTGCTGCATACATGTTACGGCATGAATCGCGTAGGTTAACATGTCAGCCCCGTCATTAATCGAGATGCCAACTGTGACTGCTCATGTAACAGGCAAACTGGACAACATTGCGTGTCCTTGGAGGCTCTAACGAGGTGGGGTCAAGACTAAATACCGACCGTTACATGGAGCGGTACCAGAAGAGTCGGAATAAGCTCCACCAAATCACCAAACAGAAGTTGCACAAGCTGAAGCTGTGGCTGGTGTGGTTGCCAACAGTTGTCGCCAAGCTTTGACTGGCACGGCAATTATGACGCTGATACAAAGTAACGTCCCGTCCTCTTGTCCCAACCCTCGGGTCAAGTTGAAGGACTATCCTTGCACTACACGTCCATCCTTGTTAGTTCGGAGATTTATTGCTGTACGACTTGCAGATGCAACAATTCGAATGAGGCCGGGGCCATGGCAGTGTTGAGGCCATGAGGTCTTGAATTGAATGTCTCAACCATGCACAATCACTCTACAGCAAGGATTCCATGAATTGCGAGCCTCATAACGATATCTGACCAGCGGTACATGTATCCGAGTGAGTATGCATAGGTACATTGTGCCGGCGAGACCGCCTTGAAGCTCTTGATCTCGTGGAAGAGGGTGGGGACTCGAGATCACAAAGCTAAAGTTTAACATGCATGAACAGCTAAGAGCATCACGCATGCATGACAAGTAGAGGTGTGCCATAGAAACGGTGTCGATTTACACCAATACCGCTTTACCCAACACTGTCCCTCCCTCGCCCACTGCCTTATGCACGACCCGCCACTTGCTATACACCCGCCCTGGCAGGATCGGCTGGTCACTCCTCTTGCCAACTTTTAGCTTCTTGTTTTGACCTTGTTGCTGGGAGAAGCTACTGTGAAGGAGCGGATCCTTTAGCGAGTGGATGCTGTTGGCACCCAAAGTACCAATGCTGGTAGGTGATTGCCTCTTTTCTGGGTCTGGCTATATAGTAGGAGCAGACTCCCAGCCTTTTCTTCATCAGCAACCCAGGTGTGACCTTCCTATCTTTTGTCCTCCTACCTGTCTTTCGTTTCAACATTCTGCAAACACCCGTTATACGTTCCACAACCTACTTTTATACCTATTCATTTGACTTCTCTCTTTATTTGCGCTTGAGATGAAGGCCGTAACCAAACTTTCTACCGCGGTACTGTGGGGGTCCGCTGTCGCCTATGCTTGGGTACCCCATTTTGAGAAGACGAAGCGTCAAGAAAGTCCAGTATATCACGACTGGAATTCTACTGCACCTCCTAGTCCCTCGTACCCGGCTACCAACTACAGTTCCCTTCCTTGGTTTCCCAATAACACACTCCCTCAGGATGTGACTAATGGTTCGTACCCTCTACGATAAGTCAATAATTACTGGCTAACCACGTTGTTAAGGTCTGAGCCCGTGGGGTATGCTCGATCATCCTGGATTCGGTCCATGGGTTGATGGACCCATGCCTCAAGGTTGTCCCTGGGGTATGCGACAGCAAAATGACACAAACCCCTATAACGAGAAGAATGTACCCAACACTGGCATGACTCGTTACTACGAGTGGACGATTACCAACCAAACAATGGCTCCTGATGGTGTTGAACTTCCTCTCCTTGTGGTCAATGGTCAATTCCCAGGACCGCTCATTGAAGCTAACTGGGTAAGTAGAAGTTCTCAGCTTATGCGAAATGCGGATTCTAACAATTTTAGGGTGATTGGATCGAGGTCAAAATCACAAACAATCTCAACGAGGGTACTGCCATGCACTGGCACGGATTCCTCCAAAAGGGCACTCCTTGGTATGACGGTACTCCTGGTGTAAGTTGTCATCCTCTACACAAACCGAGATGTTTTCTGACAGATTAGATTTCTCAATGTCCCATTGCTCCTGGAAAATCTTTCACTTACCGCTTCCGCGCTGAACTCTATGGTACCAGTTGGTGGCACTCTCACTGGTCAGCTCAATATCTTAATGGCTTGGCTGGTCCTATCATTATTCACGGACCCGTTGCCGACGAGTACGACATCGATCTAGGACCTGTCATGTTGACTGATTGGTTCCACAACAACTACTTCAACTTGCTCGAGCAGGTCTTCTTTGCTTCAGAATTTGGACCAATCTTCCCGCCATTTGCCAACAACATGCTCATTAACGGAAAGAACAACTACGACTGCAAGAACACCAATCTTACTTGTACTCCCAATGCAGGCATCTCCCAGTTCCGCTTCCAGAGCGGCAAGAAGCATCTCTTGCGTCTGATTAACCATTCTGCTGAAGCGATCGTCTTCTTCTCGATTGATGGATATCAACTCAAGGTCGTCGCCAATGATTTTGTCCCTGTCGAACCTTACTACACCGATCTTGTGACTCTCGGTGTTGGTCAGCGTACCGATATCATTGTAGAAGCTACAGGCAACAGCACTGATTCAGTTTGGATGCGCATGACCGAAGGACCTTCAGGACTTGGACCACCTCAGGGCCAAACTGGCTGCAGCTTGAATGATGGCAATGGTGTTGAGGCTCTCGCAGCCATCTACTACGAGAACGCCGACACTAGTGTGCCTCCCACCACAGCAACCACTATCGCCGAATCCCGTTACTACTTCCCACTCAACTGCAACAACCAGCCCCTGAACTACACCGTTCCGAAATATCCTATCCCTGTACAGGAGCCTGATGTCGTCCTCAACTTCACCATGTCCGCTGGATACAACTCCACCGGTGCCTTCTTGTGGTACTTGAACAATGAGACTTTCGTGATCGACTACAACGATCCTATACTCCTTGAGGCTGGGCTTGGCAACATTGACTTCCAAAAGGAGAGGCGTGTCTTTGACATGGGAACCAACAAGACCGTCCGTATAATCATGCAGAGTGTCGGTTTCCCTGCTTCCCGTGAGTCATGCTTCTTCTATACACATTGACGAGATATACTAACGAAGCCTTGCAGACCCCATGCACATTCACGGTTTCAACATGCAAGTCCTCAGTGAAGGTCTTGGAACTTGGGACGGTGTCTCCATCACAAACCCTTCCAACCCTCAACGTCGCGATACTCAGCTCGTCCAACCCAACGGCTACCTCGTTGTCCAGATCGAGCTTGACAACTGGGGTCTCTGGCCTTTCCACTGTCACATTGCTTGGCACATCAGTGAAGGCATGAACATCAACTTGCTCGTTGATACGCCTTATGTCACCGATGAGATGCAGATCCCATATGTCATGGCACAGACCTGCCGTGATTGGGCTGCATACACCAACACGACTGTTGTCAACCAGATTGACTCTGGTCTGTAGGCTTTGTTTTGATCTTACCTTTGTCCGTTCTATATAATCTTCTTCTGCTGTGGCTCTTGGGGCTATGGTTTAGCACTTAAAGTGTAATGTCAATATTTTTATCTACCTATAACAGAATCAAACGATTAGTCTAACGCCTACTTGTCTTGTTGTAGGGATAGAGAGGCAGACCTGTAAGATACGGGATCTGAATAATGAGCCATTAAGCGCTGACAAAGCTCTGCCCGATCTGGATTGATACGTATGCAGGTTCACTGCACGTAATCAATCACGCGAGAGGAAAGTTTCCCTTAACCCACAGACCTCACCGCCAATTCATTTTCCTTAAGGCCTTGAGACTCTCATACTTCGTTCAAACGTTTCTGTGTTGCATTCATCTTTCCCATCTCATACCTTGCATACAGCTTGCGGCAGTACGAAAATAGCATCATCTGTCTGCTGGGCCATACATTGACTGTTTGGGATCCTTCGAACAATGGTCAGCATCTTGGATACGACTTCACCTTCGATTCAGCAGCAAACCTGTTCCTGCAAAGGCGAATCAATCTTGGGTCAATGTATGTCATCGTCAATCAAGAACAGCTCAACCTGAACGGATTATTAACACCCGAAACTTATCAGGTCACTTCTTGTCACCACCCAACCGGGCGGACGAGCATGGTCACTACAAATGTATGGTCGAACATGCAGGAAAAGTCTATACAATCACATGGCGCGGATCGATGAATTATCCTGATGTTATTGACTTTCTAAATGATGTGGAGTACAAATGTAAAGAGATTGTCTTCCAGCCTGCGAAACAGGAAGTTTGGTCTTCCTCGAAGCTTGTCAACTTTGGCGCCGACGCTGTCCTGAGATGCTCACACAAAGGCCCATATCCGATCATCAAGCTTGCCCATCCTGGGGACGAGTCTCGTCTGCGCATTCAGCATGAGTTCGAAATCATGAAAGCTATGGCCTCCGTCGAACCAGCACTGCCAGTACCCAAGATAGACCAACATCTGCTGTCAGACGAGCAGGGCATCTTTGGCTACCGATTACGACTTTTGAATAAGCTTGAACAGGACGAACTAGGACGACGTTTGTCAGACGTTAAGGACGCTATAGAATGCTTGCACAGGGCTGGATTCTCGCATGGTGATTTGAACCCGAGTAATGTCATGAAGGACGACCAAGGCAATATAGTGCTCATTGACTTTGGTTGTGCAGGAGAGATTGGCAAGGAATCTTCTAAGTCCGTGCCAACATGGGTCTACCCAGGTCTGTTGGTCACTACAGACACGGACTGGAAATCACTCGAACGATTTACAATTTGAAAATAACAACATGGTCATGGGAAAAATGAACGTAAGTACCCGTGATGTCAGCATCTCATAGTAGCCTACCGACATGGACATGACTACCAAAATGCACAAAAGCTTTCCAAACAGAGTCATGGCCACTGACATACCTTAGAAGAATGTCTCTCACTGGATACGAATTGCTTTCTGAGAGGATTGGTGCATTTTTATAGTAGGAAATAACAATTTTGCCGTAGAGGGAGAATCATTCTTCATAGAGCAATTTCTTGATCGGCCGGCAAGAGATTTCGAGCTGATTGAAATGGTTGCTCCTCTGAGATAGCTGTTCAGAGACATCTACATGTCGAGTAGTGTACCTGCTTCTGCTGTTCCTTCAGTCAGGGGAGGAGGATCAGGAGAAGGATCAGGAGGAAGAGCAGGAGGAAGAGCAGGAGATGATGATGATGACGAGGGATCAATTGAGTAAGGGGCGAACATGCGTTGAGTGAGATGCTCAGCCAGCACAAGGAGGCTTTCAGCTCATGCAAAGATACGCATCGTTTCCTGTAACGATATAGAACCAAGTGTCAACATTAAAAAGGCACAACTCTTTTTCTTTGAATTAAGAGGTTGGCTAGTTGTTATGCATGAAGATACAGAATCCTTTTTCTTTTGATTGGGAACAGAGCTCCATCGATTATAGACAAAAGAAAGGGAGAACGAGAGCGAAAGAGAACCAAGACGTGATTGGATCCATCTACTTATGCTATTGAACGTCCCTGGCACTATTACAATACAACGATCTCATCCACTAATGAGTACTCAGGCTTGAGAGAAGCACTTTGTCAGCTTAAGTCATAGCAACGAAGGATCCCCTGCGAGCTCTTGACGATTGATCCAGGAGACCACCTTACTGCATACCCTGTGAGCGCTTTTCTTCGGCGGCCTTTCTTTCACGCCACAGACGGAGTGAACGCCCGGAAAGGACCCTCATATTCCGTGCCACGAACATCATGTCATGGTCGGGAAGAACGAAGTCGGGCACATCACTGAGCTCGCCATTGATCCTGCAGCGCTGAGGCAGGGTGTTCAGCCCATGCCCATCCACCTCACCTTCAGATTGAGGATATACGACTATCCATCGAGCCTGAACATCAACAATAGCATAGAATGTGGCGGATGAGTTAACACGGTTGGCAAAGAGCGTGCGAGGCGATCTGGAAGATCCCACGGAAAGCTTTTCGACAACACTTTTCAACTCTGGCATAGCATGATTCAGAGTATGATCGTCAATGGCTTGGACCCCGCTGTCGGCCATCCAGATGCGCGACAGCGGAACAACACTAGCAGTGGTGTTGTTGGTATCGTGGACAGCATCTGCCCAAAGTACCAGCCAGGAGACGTGAGCACTAAGGAGCATGTACTTGGCCCAGTTGGTATCTGGGGAGACCTTGGGCTTCCACTCCTGCCACAGTGAGGGGAAGTTGTGCCAGGCATAGTTGTGGGCCTTGGCAACTCTGATGATGAGCTCCATGACGCGAACTGCGAACATGGCGCTGTCCTCCCCAACGATTCCTTCCAGAAGTTTGTGCACCAAGGAGATCATCAAAGGGAGATCCTGAGGATTAAACCGATCCGGCTTCTGCAGCATAACCTCTAGCATGGCTTGAATTGCTCGATGGTCGTGTGACACGCCAGCTGAAAGATAGAGACGTGTTGTAAGTTGAGAGAAAGGCCGATGTCTGTATGGCAGCAGTTCGTGCTCAGAGACCATGGACAGCGACCAGTCTGTAGAAACGTCCTGAGGGTCCAAATGGTAGTCTTTTGTACACTCATCTACCAGGGTTGTGCTGGGCAGCGTGGTAGCGGCGTCACGTAATTTTTGTTGATCGCAGTGGATTGCAGGACCAGCGATGATGTTCTCGAGATGATGCAGAGCGGCTCCAAGCTCTCCTTGAAGCTCCGTTATGGTTGACTCCAATGACTTACGCTCGTTTTGCTGTTGCTCGTCGTGTTTGTGCAGATCCTTCTGCCTGCGCTCAACGTCCTTTTTCAATCCCTCAACTCTTGTGTTGCTCTTTTTCAGTTCTTCCTTGAGCTTTCCAATATATTCGACGTGACTCGAGACGGTCTTGTCTCGTTCTTGTAGGTCGTTGTTGAGGTCCAGTATTTGTCGCGTGACATCAGACTCTTTCTTTGCCATTTCGGCGACCTTAGAATTCAAGCTCTCGATTTGCTGATTCAAGACGCGGACTTCGTTTGCGTGCTCCACATTGAGGGCGAAAACAGCGTCACGGTGCGAGGCTTGAGAAGTCTCGGTTGATTGGTGATGCTGCGAAGTGGCGTGCTGAGCTGATTCTCGCGCTTCCCTCAGCGGACCCTGCAAGTTCCCAACCTGCTTCTTGGTATGTTCGAGTTGTGTGCGAGGTTCTGCGAGTTTGCTCATGTTCGTCAAAATGGTTTCCAGCCCTTCTGTATTTCTAGACTGACTGGCGATCAGCTGCTCATCTTGTGCTTCGTACTTGGCGGTCAGATCTTCGTGCTTCTGTTCGCAATCATTCTGTGCATCTTGCTCACGTCTGTCGAGAGCATCCATGGTCGCAATCAGCCCGTTGATCTTTGAACGGAGCCTTTCCGCGTCTTCTTCAGGAGAGTTCTGTCGGAGAGCAAACTCTTCAACTTTCAAACTGTGCGCCTTCTTCGCAATGTCAAGAGATGATGATTGAGGATGGTTCGTGAGAGATGCGCAAGACGCGAAGGTGATAGATGGCGTTTGCGAAATTCAGTGCGCGATTTCGTGTGACGCGTTGGGCAGTGTTGCTGGGGAGCAGGACTTTCTTTCGATGAAAGGGCTCTCTAGAGTAGGACTGGACTTGCAGTAAAGCACAATCGGAAGTTGTGCGCGACCATAAATTCTGGAGACTCTTTTTTGGTGTTGGCGCTCCTTCCTAAGTTGAAACCAATTTATATGACAGCAAAACTTGTACCAGAATTGACGGCAACGGTGATATCTCAGCGACTAGGGTCGAACAAGCTCTCAAATCTGGTAGACAATCATGTCTGCATCCGACTTGTGTGTGTCCGAGCAATGACTGCCCTTCCGCATCACCATGTCAACTTTATGATGGTCCAAGGCCCAGTAAGATGGATTTGCAGATAGGACATATTATCATCCAGGATATATAAAGGTATCAAAAGCATCAGAGCGCGTTGTATGGGCCATATCTTGAGTGTCCGATGGGAATGGTTCCTGTCCGGGCTTCGAAGCGTGAGATACGAATCTGATGCATGTTGTATAGGCAATGTAACACCAATGATACCTCAAATCTCGGAATGGATCCATGTAAAAGACACCTGTTAAATTCAGCTTTCAAAAAGTCTGACCAGAGAAGCATGTCGAACTCACGAATTTCCTGTTACTACTGTCTACCTGCATCATCATAACAGAGAAAGATTCGGCTCGCTCCCCTCTTTCTAGGCCGAGACTCGCCTCGTTGACTCTATGAAAATGCACGATCGTCCTTCGGAAGGATGGATAGCCACTGAGATACATCGATATCGAGAATTTCTTGTTGAAGCCTTCATCTTCTTCAAGGTCTTGATAGCATCAGCATTGTTGAGAAAGTCATATCGGGACCCGCTCCTTCGTCAAGCATCTGCGGTTCTTATTCACTCGGAACAGAGACAACGATGTGACTCTCATGGAAGACAGACGCGAAGAAGTTACGATGAGGCAGGAACAGGTGATGTGCATGCACGAGCCAAGGTCGGAACGAGACTCCACATTCGTTTGCAGAAAACCCCACATCTCGTCCAACCTTCCTTCTTTCACCTCTCTTCCTTGCCCTCAACATTGTGTCTCGATGGTCTGGAAAAACCCGCCATAAGACATGTTCGGTCATACTGAACTCCTACATGGACTGCTGGCACGCGGTGTGTTGCGGTAGATGCAGCACTGTATTTGTTTTGACATACTCGGTAGATCGATCCCATCTCCATACCATGTTGATCCGCCTTTCCCCTCATTTCCTTGTTTGCAGCCCCGCCACTTTACGCGACCACCGTGCACCAATTTTTCCGTCTCGTCTTCCTTGCAGGTCCTCTGGATAAAGTGTCATTCTTCCGTGCTAAGACTCTATCCAAACGAGGCGTGTTCTGTACCCAGCTAGACGGATATGTCAAGTACTTGGCTCATGAAGTGAGCAGCATAGGATAAATTTACTGCCATGCCCTGACATCCCAGTTTCCTGGTTGTTCTTGTCGTAGCCTCCCTGCATTAGACAGCATGAAGGGACTCTTCAAGAGCTTAACGCTCTCTTTGCCACTGAGTCTCGCTGCTCTTTCTCATGCGCAGGAGACCCAATGGCCACTGAGAAGCAATGGACTTACTGACTTGGTTGAATGGGATCACTATAGTTTCAAGATCAATGGAGAACGTCTATTCATCTGGTCTGGAGAGGTATTTTCCATTATTGTCTAGTATTAGCCAAGTTTGAGCCTGATCATGCAATAGATGCATTACTGGAGAATACCCGTTCCTGAGCTATGGGTTGACATCTTGCACAAGGTCAAAGCTGCTGGGTCAGTCAGTCGTCAACGCCATGGACCTTCATCTCTAACACGTAAGCAGCTTCAATGCAGTTTCCTTCTATTCCCACTGGTAAGCGAGAGATGGGCTATGGTTCCTACACAGGAAGCGGACGACTGATCTTATTCAGGGGATTCCATGCTCCACGTGACGGAGTCGTTGACTTCGAAGCCGGTGCCCACAACATCTCCAGTCTGTTCGAGACATGCAAATCCCTGGGTCTATACATTTTCTACCGTCCTGGACCCTATATCAATGCAGAAAGTACTGGTGGCGGTTTCCCAGGCTGGGTCACAACTGGTGCCTACGGCTCTTTGCGCAACAACGATACAAGATACACCGAAGCTTGGAAGCCTTACATCGAGACCGTCAACAGTATCATCGCTGAGCATTCAATCGCCAACGGCGGCAATGTCATCTTCTACCAGGTCGAGAACGAATACGGCTACCAATGGACGAACACTGCTCTCAGGACTCCTAATGAAACCGCAATCCACTACATGGAGATTCTTGAGACTGTCGCAAATGATACTGGTATCAACATGCCCACCGTACACAATAACCCCAATCTAGGAAGCAAGTCTTGGTCCATGGACTACGACATCAACAAAGTTGGCGGCGATACTTGGTTGTACGCCGTCGACAACTATCCTTCCTGCTGGAGTTGCAACCTCGAAGAGTGTAGCTCTACCAACGCCCCAGCTCCCGATTTTACTGTTCTTGACTACCACACTCACTTCCAGGAGACAGCACCAGGAGATCCTTCCTTCTTCGCTGAATTTCAAGGTGGCTCGTACAACCCTTGGAATGGTCCTGCTGGTGGCTGCAGAAATAATACAGGTCCTGATTGGGTGAATGTGTTCTACCGAAACAACATTGCTCAAAAGGTCACAGCTCATAACATGTATATGCTTTATGGCGGGTAAGTCTTGCTTCCTGCACGCCGTGCATCAAAACACTGACACCTTAAGGACCAACTGGGGCGGTCTTGCCTTTCCACTAGTTGGCACCAGTTACGACTACTCCGCGCCAATCCAAGAAGATCGTCTAATAGGTGATAAATATTCCGAAGCAAAGCTGCTAGGCTGCTTCATCAGATCTGCCAAGGATCTTCCTCTTATCGAAAGAGGCACTAACGGCACCAACCTCACTACCAACTCCAACGTCTTTACCCAAGTTCTCTACAACGTCGAGAACAATGCTCAATTCTATGTTGTTAGACATGCCAACACAACACTACAGACGTCTCTTTCCTTCAAGCAAAACATGACAACCTCTCTTGGAGAGTTCCAAGTCCCTCAGCATGCTGCTGATATTCGCATCAATGGCAGAGAATCCAAAATCCTCGTTTCGGACTACAATGCTGGCGAACAGAAGATCATTTACTCTACTGCTGAAGTCTTGGCTGTGTCCATACAGAATGGCAAGCCCATCATCGTGTTCTGGGTCCCGACCGGAGAGAGCGGCGAATTTTACCTCAAGGGCGCTCGGCATGGAAGCGTTAAACAATGCAATGGATGTTCTAGCGTCGGCTTCTATCAGACCAAGGATGGTGTCATCACGAGTTTCGCACAAGGCTCGGGAATGAGCGTCTTCCAGTACGGCAATGGCGTGACAGCGATTGTGGTCGACAGATCACATGCCTACAAGCTTTGGCACCCTGCTCTGACGAATGAACCTCATGTGCCTCTAGAAAAGACCGCCTTGGTCACTGGACCATACCTCGTCCGTAGTGCTGAGGTTGAGGGTGACACACTTGCTTTAGTCGGCGACTATAACGGAACAACACCTCTCGAAGTCTTTGCTGCAGGTGTCAAGAAAGTCACTTTCAACGGCGAGTGCGTTCCTGTCAAGGCTTCTGGCTATGGTAGTCTCAAGGGAGAGCTATCCCAGGACAAAGTCACTGTAGACTCGCTGACTGCCGCGCTTCCTACACTATCTCAGTGGAAGGTCGCCGATGGTTTGCCTGAGCGTGAGGCTGACTACGACGACTCGAAATGGGTTGATGCCAACCATACGACCACTCCTCATTGGGAAAAGCCTGCAACCAATTTTATTCTGTATGCCGATGAATATGGCTTCCATGGAGGTAACCTTCTCTGGCGTGGACGCTTCAACGGCACAAGTAGTGGTATTTTCCTGAACGTCATCGGCGGTACTGGTAGTGGTTGGTCCGCTTGGCTCAACGGCAAATTCATTGGTTCGACTTTCGGTGATATCAAGCTTGCCCAGACCAACCAGACACTAAAGTTTGGTGATGCTGTTAAAAGTGGAGAGAACGTTTTGTTCATTATTCAAGACCACATGGGCAAGGATCAAACTACTGGCGCTATTAACCCTCGTGGCATCTTGAATGCAACGCTGGCAGATGGCGCCAACTTCACTTCTTGGAAGGTAGCAGGCAAGGCTGGCGGCGGTGACAACATTGACCCTGTCCGCGGTCCTTACAACGAAGGCGGTCTTCACGCTGAGCGTCTTGGCTGGCACTTGCCTGGCTTTGATGACAGCAAGTGGGCTTCAGACTCGCCTTCTACTGGTCTCAACACCGCAGGCGCCAACTTCTACCGCACAATCCTACCTCTGGATCTGCCCAAAGGCCATGACGTCTCACTCGCTTTCAATCTCCATGCATCAAAGAGCACAAAGCTTAGAGCCCAACTCTACGTCAATGGATACCAGTTTGGCAAATTTGTTCCATACATTGGCAATCAGGTTGAGTTCCCAGTCTTCCCCGGTATCTTGGACTACCATGGCAATAACACCATCGGACTGTCAATTTGGTCGCAGGACAATGCCGACGCTAGTGTGTCTGTTAGCGTTAGTGTGCTTGGTGTACACTCTTCAGGTTTCGATGTTGGCTTTGATTCGAGATATCTCAGACCTGGATGGACGGAGGGGAGACTGCAATACTATTAGGGATACGTGATTAATTTTGGTACGATGAATTTGGATTGTTGATGGAGACACTTGTTTGCTCAATGTTTCCTTCCGTGCTGTGAACATTCAAGAGACAGCAGCAGCGATGGCAACAACTTGCCGCACATCTGGCAATAGTCGGCAACGCCAGCCACACCCACGCGAACAACTTTGGGTTCGCTCCTTCCTCAACGAGCCTTTGTGGGATACAAATCATGTCCAAGCTGGCAGAAGAACGCAACAGTTTTTCTCAACCAAGCTTATCTCCTGGATTATGTCGAGAAATTTGTGACGAGAACAACACAACGACTTCTATCGCCCCCGCTTCGCTATCTCGGAATCAATACTTGTCATTCTACTCTTACGCACAATCATCGCTTCAGAGCATCAGCATCCCGTTGCAGCACCTCCAGAATCTGTTTCTCATCCACTGTTTCCTCTTTCTCCCCGCTACCGCCAAAGATACCACCATCTAAGGCAATCTTTCGTTGTCTCTCTGGTATCGACTCCATCAGTCCCATCAATTCTCTGTCCTCAGCTGTTCGCTGTTCGTTGTATTGTTGAACAGTGATGAAGCCTTGAGGTAAATTATGTGTTGCGTCCTTTGCAGCTTGCGCTTTGAGGGCAGGTTGTTGGGGTGACGAAGCAGAGGTGAAGGCGTATATCGTAGGAAATTCGAGGACATGTTTCTGGTGAAGAGCGGTCGTTAAGGCGGTAGTCGGGTCGAGCGGTATGAGGACGGTGCTCGTTGATGAGGTGTGCGGTTTGTGTAGGTAGAAGTGCGTAGTCCCTTGTGTTGAAATGTCTTCTTTGGGTGGTTGCTGTTGTGATGCATCTTCTGCTGTGATTTCTTCCGTGGAAGGAGCAATCGGAGCGTCATTCGTCGTTGCTCCTTCTGCTTCCGTAGCAGGTTCAGCATCCGTTGTGGCGCCTTCCACAGATGATGTTTTCGACTCCTCAACATCAGACTTCTCTGCTTGCACCTTCTGCTTCTGCATTTTCCCTCCACCATCTTCCTGCGTCCTCTTTCTCTTCTTGTTCTCCCTCTCTTTTTCCACCACAAACTCCCTCCACGCCTCCTCAATCGTTCTACTCTCATCAACCTCAACAACCCTCTTCTCACCTGCAACAACCCACTCCACACTCCACACAATCCTCTTACTCTTCTGTATGAACCTCGTCTGATTTGCTTTTTGCCTCGCCATCCCTATCGGCGCTTTATGCACCACAATCCCATACTCTTTCAAATACTTCCCCAAAGCACCATTATCATGCCATCGTTTCTGGAATATGGGTTTGCCTTTTCCATCGAGGGAGACGCCGCGTTCGGAGGTCTCTTTGTCGGCGCGTGAGAGGTTGCGTTCCAATCCGCTGAGGAAGTTGTAGTCGCGGTCAATACCACCAGCGGTTTGAAGGGACGATTTAGATACGTAGGCGGCTGGGTCGCGGATACCACTGCATGCGGCACGTCGTTTGTGAGATTGTGAGCAGGCGAGACTGCAAGTGCGGACGGCATCACGGGGACATGTGTATTTGGGAGGTGCGCTGTGGCAGATGCTGCAGAGTGCTGTCAAGGGTGTTGATGGGTCTGCCATTCTGTCGTTGTGTTTTGAAGGTTGGTTTCTGGAGAGAAGGAAAATGTCAAGAGGAACTGGATTGACATGTGAAAGCTGTGACGTTTTTTGCTTGTCTCCGTTAAATCCGTGCTTGCAGAGTGACCCTGTCAGAAGGGAGGCGGAGGAGTCACCATTCTATACTTGATATGCATGGGATTGAGCATTATATAGAGACAGAGAGAAGACTAATTGTCATCGATCTTTGGTTATCAAGATCGCCAGCAACCATTATTGAGTGTGATTGAGATTTATTCAATAGCAATATTTGTGATCACAAAACAAAAGATGACAGCTTAAATATTGGGACGTGGGAATTGAACACGGCCTTTTCATACCATAGTGTTCGAGAGCTTCCGAATTTTCTATATCTTTGCTTGAGGAGGACGCTTGTACGAGTTGCTTCCTCCAGCACCAGCCTGTATAACTCCAGTCAGACACGTCTTTCAGATTGATAACCATTTCAAGTCTTTCTGTGCATGACCGTAGCAGCGGCCTTTTCCTCAAATCAGCACCTGTGCTGCAAACAAACAAGGAAGGACAAATGAAAAAGGCCAAAAACAAGAAAAGAAAATCAAAACATACCTGATGGTTGGGATAAATCAACGTATCAGCCACAACAACATTCTCCCTCCTGCCAGCAGCAAACACAACAACCTCTGCAATATCCTCAGGTGTCAAAGGTTCACAACCCTCATAAACCTTATCAGCAGCCTTCTTATCGCCATAGAATCTCACCACCGAAAACTCAGTCTCGACTTGTCCAGGATCAATCTCGATCACGCGAACACGGGTTGCGATCAACTCTTTACGCAGCGATTCTGTGAACGAGCGAACTGCGGCTTTGGTGGCGCAGTAGATGCTACCGCCGGGGTAGGGTTCGCGGCCTGCGATACTGCCGACGTTTATGATGTCGCCGGCGCCAGAGAGACCGGAGGATCCTTCTGTGCGGTTGAGGAAGATGGGTAGGATGGCTTGGGTCATGTTGATGAGGCCTGTGACGTTTGTCGCAAACATGATGTTCATGTCTTGTTCGGCGATTGAAGGGGCTTTGGCGACACCCTTGACCAGACCCCTGTTTGCCTGTTAGCATCTCTGTCCTCCTCTCATCAAGTCATAGCATAAGAGTAGAAGAAACGCACGCATTATTCACCAAAACGTTAATATCCCTAAACTCCTCTGGAAGATTTCCAACAAAGTTCTTGACTTCTTCAGGGTTGCTGACATCCAGCTGTACAGGCAAGACCTTAACACCCTCGCCAACTTCCTTGTTAATATCCTCTTTCAATTGCTGCAGGGCTTCCAAGCGACGTGCAGTAACAACCAGTTTCAGGTTCTTAGGACTGGTGCGAGCGAATTCCAGAGCAGTGCTCTTGCCAATGCCTGAAGAGGCACCGGTAATGACGACGGTCTTGCCTTCAAGACGCTTGCCCATTGCTGTGGCCATGTTGCGGAGTTCAGAGAAGTGGGATGCGGGGTACGGGATGAGTGTTGGACGTGTCGAGGAAATGAGGGAATGGACGGTTCGTAGAGGTTGGATGAGACGACGGAAGGACATGCGATTCGACAAGATTTAGCAGGTCTGATAAACAACAAACGAGTTGGAAAGAGCAAAGGGTCTACTGTTATCGCAATCACTCAGGGCGATGGCGAGCTCGACAAGGTGGAGCTTCGGCTGCGTCCATGCTCCACTCGCGCCGTCCTTTGCCGACCAACCGAGAGCTGGAGAGCTGAGATATCGGCCTTTTGTTTGTCCGCACAAGAGTTGAATGGCAACAAGAAATATGCATTTGAAGTACGTATAATCAATTATTTAGGCATTGACACTATCTATATGTCTGCTTTAGAAGTTCATGAGATCTGTGACATGTTAGTGACTCATTCACATGTCTAGGAGTTCTAATTGCAAGCTTACCTCTTCCGAAAAGTGCTCTCTTGGTCCAATCCATGGCAAGAAGAATTCTGGTACGAAGACTGACACTCTGCGAGAAGTAGACTGCACGCCAAAGATATACTGCGGCAAGTCCACCAGCAAAGTTCATACCGCCAAAGTCGAAAATGGCTGCATTACCGACATAAGCCAGGCTACCCATGTTGGTGTATGAGAAAGTCTTGTAAACGGCATCATCAATATCACCATAATCCATGGCATTCAACTCCATACCAGGAGCAGCTTGAGCGAGCTTGTTCAGCTTACGACCCAAGTAGATACCTTGCTGGTTGGCGCGTTGTGCTGTTGCAGGCAAAGATGTCATCTTGCCATCAATCTGCTTGAGCAATTCTTGTAACTCGCTAAAGTCAAGAGTACCACTCTTGTCCTTGTCATACTGTTCGAAAAGCTTGTCAAGACGCTTCAAGTGTTCGGCTGCTTGAGGGAAACGCTGCTTGACACGCTTAGCAACACCTCTCCAATCACCATAACCAATGAGCATATTCTCAGGATCCTTGCCCTTCTCCCAAGCAATGGTACGTAGGAAGGAAACGATGTGATCCGAAACATTGTTTTGAACAGTCGAGCAATCTCCAATGGCGTAGACGTCACCCATGGGGGCACCAACAAGACGAAGATGAGTATCGGTCTCAAGAGCATGACGGTTGGTCTGGTTGTCTCCAAGCTTTTCAGCCAGCTTCTTCGAAAAGTCGGTTTGTGCGACACCAGTTGACCACAAGCAGAAGCCCATGGGAATTTCCTTTGTAATAGTCTTGCCATTCTCATCCTTCTGGGTGAAGAGAATTTTATCCTTTTGAACCTCCTTGACACGTGAGTTGGTCAAAATATCGACAGAGTCCTTTGCGAAACGAGCCTCGGCGTATTTGGAGAGAGTCTCATCGTAGGTGTTGAGAATGTGGCCTCTACTTTGGATGACATGGACGGAGATTTCGTTTCTGAGAATGCGAGGGTAGTAGTTGCAGAGATCTTCGTTGAGCATGTCGAACAGTTCGGCAGCAAATTCAACACCAGTAGGACCACCGCCGCAAACAACGAAAGAGAGCAGGCGACGTCTTTCCTCATCAGGTGTAGAAGGAAGGGAAGCGGCCTCGAGGTTGCGAATGATTTGGTTACGAATCAGACGTGCATCGGTAATGTCCTTGAGGAAGTTGCAGTATTCAAGACCCTTAACACCGTGAGGGTTGGTAATAGAACCAACACCGATAACGAGCTTATCATAGGGGAGGTAGAAGTTTTGCTTGGTTCCATCAGGGTTGGTTGCCGATACCTCGACGAGCTTGTTGGAAAAACTAGAGTGCGGTCAGCGCAAGTAGTAGAATAGGATTGGAGATTACACACTCGACATCTTCAGCAGAAGCCTTGAGGAAATGACCCTTGACACGAGAGACAATTCTGCGAACAGGCTCGACAAGCGATCTGAGCTCCAGAGTACCGACAGTGGCAGAGGGAAGCATAGGAGTGAACAAGAAGTAGTTGGACGGAGAGACAACAGTAACGTGGTAGTCATCAGGGTTGAGCTGCTTGAGCAGAGCAACACTACCCCAGCCGGTACCGAGGATGACCAACTTGGGCTTGTGCTTCTGGGCCTTCTTTTCAGGTGAATCATCATCGTCGATAAGGTGTTCGGCAATGGGAAGGTTCTTAGGACCTCCTCTTCTAGGGTTCAGGGCGAGTTCAGAGACAACAATGTCAACCGTGTCGGATTCTTCCTTGTATGTGGTTGCATCAAAGGCGAAGAAGCCAACAACCAGGACACCAGAAACGACGACGAAAATACCGAGGACAGTGAAACCTCTCCACAGGAAACGGAGGAAACGAGATCTTTGAATAGGAGTAGCGGCGGGAGATTTTGGTGGAGGTTCGGTGGTTGTGCTTTGGCGACGGACGTGGTTCAATTGACGAATGATGGCGGGAGTTGCGAGGGATGCTTGCGCTGGCATGCGCTGCAGCAGTTCACGACGAACTGGACCATTGACCAGAGAGCGAGTGAATTGTTGCGAGCGACATGCCTGGACGATGGAGCGGCGCATTTGCATCCCAGTGCGACCGCTCAATTGGCGAAGCGGCTGCATCGTGGGTGAGATGCAATGAGTTACCAGTAAGAAAGGGTGAAGCCTAAAAGCTGTGACAGATAAACAACGAGGGATGAATTGACAAAGTCTAACACAACTCGAGCACGCCTACTCAAAGGCTGTCGATTAAAGATGACGAGTCAATGTGTTGTGTTGAGATCACGAACGAGAGTGTTCGTATCTGTCCAAGGTCAACGCGAAAATGGACGGCTCGATCGGGTCGTGACGTAGCCACTTTCGAGTTTCGGATCCTCCATCTTATCTGATCCGACCATGCCGTCCCTGCTTCTACCCTCGACCCTCGAGCTTCTTGAATCGTGAAATGAACCTTGTTGCACATTGCACAGAGGACTTAAAACTCTTGTGTTTGAGAATAAGCCTGCGAGTTTGTATTCACACTGCTGTTTTATTCAATAGCTCTGTGTGTCCGATCTCGAACGGTTAGGTTGTGCGTGGTTCAGACGAGGGTATCGAGAGGCATCTCTGTGATTATTCACATTCACATCACATTTGATCACATTCACATCACATTTGATGAGTTTTGAATAGGGAGACTTGCTCATAGTGCTGTCGTCCAGGATCTCGAAAATGTTTCTGCGTCACGCCAAACAGAGCTCTCGAGCAAGAAGTCTGCCGACATTCGGGCGTGTCTCTGTCCTTAACGATGCCATCAGGACTCTAGGAGTGGCTCTGATACTGGCATAGATACCCAACAAGAAGATGTTGTCGAGTTGCAGAAGCAAAACAGACCAACGTCTATGTTGTCTTCTAGAGTAGGTACATATGCTCAAAAGTATAGACAGCTTGAGAGAACGATGTTGCAGTCACTGCATGTCCTTGGCTTTCAGTCCACGTCAAGCACCTCAACCCCTTCTCCTTCCATATTTCCAGAGCACTCATCCACATGATCAAGATTATGATATCGAGGGTCACGTTTACAGATGACGAGTCATCGTTCAAGTTTAGGCATGCACCGGGAACAAAGGGTGCCGCATCATGGTGTTCGGATATCATCGGCATTGCGCGGCTGGGAGCGGTTGGAAGCGGCGACACAGAACAAGCAAAACAAAGGATCATGGTTTTTGTTTTGTTCTACGAAGAGCCAAAGATCAAGACAATCACGATGATCAATCCGCTAAGGCAGCAAGAAAAGCATCAAAGGCACTGGTCGCACGAGCACGAGCAAAATCAATTAGAAGATGTCTTGATGTTATATGGAATTTTGAATTTTGAATTTTGAGTAAGATAGTATGCTTTACAGGGGTATTGGTATCGCTGAAGGAACTGCCCTTGAGGGCAAAAGAAGCCTCTATATTGTAGAGTAAGGAAACTCATATCCATATGAGGAGTCGAACGCCGGACCATCGCTGATAACGCCATAGAAATGCTTGTTGTAAAGAAGGAACGCCAGAAAATTTGCCAATATCGTAATCGTCATGGAAGGCAGAGAGGTAAGAAGGAGGGAAAGGTTTAAGCGAGGTTGAAGGTAGCCTTCATGCGACGCCAGATCTCACCACGCATGGCATCCCTGCTCTCAACAGTGCGGGAAGCGGCGTCCTTGTTCTCGGCGGCGCGACGGAGAAGGTAGTTCAGGCAGTCGGTCATGGATCCCCAAGCAGTCAACTTGTAAGCACGAGGAATGTCAACCATCTCCTCGGGCTTAGCTTGAGTGGCACTGATCAGTTCGCAGCTGACTTCATCGGCCATACCCTGGAGTTGAGCGTAGGCGCAGGGAATTCTCTCCTCGCCGGAGCGGAGCTGGTTGGTGCGGATAGCTTGAGCCTTACGGACTGAATCGGCGTTGTGAGTTGCGAGGACCAGACCAACGTTGCGAGGGAAGACACCGTCATCGGAGGAGATAGGCTTAACGACATCGTTGTAGGTGCGGGTCAGAACTGCTTCGGCCATGCCATCGTAAGCACGGTGGGTGTCCTGGATAGTGTCCCAAATCTTTTCGCGAGGTTCAGAGTGCAAGTAAGCGCCACGAACGAGCTTGACACCGAGAGTGAAGCCTTCAGTCTTGGCCTGGTGGAGGTGGTTGGCGAGAGAGGCGGGTGCGCCCTTGAGGTAGCATTGGTAAGTGTTGTAGAGGACGATGTTATCGGGCTTGTTGTAGATCTTCTGCAGGTTCAAGGTCCAGGCGTCAATCATAGGGTTGGTGGTGGTTTCTTCGGCAGAGGGGACAAGAGCAATTTGCTTGGCTGAAGCGGCGTCACAGATCTCCTTCATGGCCTTGTCCATAATGTCGATGGGCTGCTTGCCCTGCTTGAGTAGCTGCATAGCGTAACCGCCCATACCAGACCACTTCAGACCGATAATGTCACCAGGCTGAGCAGCCTCGACAGTCTCCATCAATCCTTTTCTCCACATCTCAACATCGGCAGCAGTGTCGCTGGAAGGGACGTCGGAAAGAATCTCGCGAGCGTACTCGAAGATGACACCAGAGTAACCCAGGCTCTGCAATTGAGCGCGAGTAGCACGGACTTCTGCCTTTGTCTCACCACCGCAGAACTGCTTGTAGAAGGTCTCTCTGAGGATGAGCTTAAGAAGAGGGTTGCGCTCGACGTTGAAGATAGGGTTCTTGGCGTGGATCATAGCGGTAAGAGCCTTGAAGCAGACGGACAAAAGTGCAGGCTTGCAAGAGATCGAGGTGATCATGTAAGTTCTCAGAACGGTGGAGAGAGGGAGGACGGCAAGAGCAGGAGTCTTGTTGGTCTTAGTGACCTTTGATCCAGGAACATGCTTGGGGAGAGTAGCCACCTGAGGAGCAGTCATTGCATGCTGCTCAGCCGGAGTGCTGTGGATGTGTCTGGCAGACATCAAGAAGGGAGTTGCGACGCGGCCATCTAGGCGGCGTACCATGTTGGAGCGCAGCTTGAGGGAAGACATCTTGTCGTTTGATCTGTGATATCTTCTTGAAGGCTGCAAAAGAGGTCGATAAGTTTACTTAGATCTCCCTCAGCAGAGGGCCATCTGCCTTTAATACTCATTCCCATGACCTTATGCCGCCATTCTCCTTGTTCACTTGCCTCGCGGCTACCCTCGGTCTTGCGTGTTGACGTTGATAAGAGAAAGTTGGCGTTCTTTGTTATGCCGCTGACGCGATACCTGATCGGGACTGTTCCCCAGCTTACGCTAACCATATCAGGCCTCGCTCGGCTACAGTTTTCTGTCGCACCACAAGTCCAGATCGAAAGCAAAAGCGCTCCACCAATCTTCGACACAATTTTATCGCTTTGATAATCACATAGCTTCGGCTCTCCAGGTTATCATCTCGGCTTGCTGAACGGCCTGTATCGGTCTTGATGCTCCTTCTTTGCTTCATCTCCGCACCTCGCACCTCCTCTGGCTCCTCACTGCGAGTTCGGACAAGCTGATCGCGTTGATTCGAAACTGCTGAGTCTCCACCTCTCATCCATTTCTCTACCGTCGATATCCGACCATCACTTGTGCCGTCTGCTTCGATAGACAGATACCGGGAAGTCATGAAGTTACCGACGCTTGTTCGCGGCCATGCGTTTTCAACACGCAGTGCCTTCGTCTGATGGCTCTCGTGACTTTGCAACACCACCAGCTGACATAGCTCAACCTTGCTCAAGCTCTGGTATTGCAAGCTCGAACAAACAACGACACCAAAGGTAGTCACGGACAACATGACTGTGAAGGCATTTGTGGCTGTTGAGAGATCTAGATGGCTTCAACATGTCAGTCTGGACATTTGCTCGAGAAATTTTGCGGGACGCCGAGGAGTCCTCGACAACATTAAAACACGCGAACAACATCAGTTCTTTCCTCTCTCTTTCAGGTCATCAACGACAACTCACAGCTGGGGTTAATCAACAACCTCTTTCGATCTTTCTGGGATACCGATGGCGCTCAAGTCTCTGCTCGTATCCTCAGTGTTCTGAAGGGAACAAGCCAAGATCTTTGCGGTCTCACCTCTTGATCGACTTCTCAACAACTCGCGTCAAGTGTGTGGGCATGTCTGGACCTCTCGTTCTAAGTTATGTCGCCGGTCTTCATCAAACCTACACGGTTCATGCTCTGCCACAATCGTCACCTACGCAGCTCTCATCGGGGATCAGAGGGTTTCATCGATCGGCAAGGAAGAAGTTGTCCATCGCGATTGCCGCAGATCTTAGCCGACACTTCAAGCTCAACTGGCACCAGCCTTGAAGTTCGTCGGCCTTTGGAATGTCTGCAGTCTGTCAAGAATGTCAAATCAGGAGCGCCGGGTGCAAACAGCCAAGGTATACGATCTCAAATTCAACATCGGAAGGATCACCATGCTCGGCTATCTACCCCTTGACGCTTTTGATGCTTAACATATCGCAATCTTCAGAGTGGACTTTGTGCTTCAGCTTAACACACGAAGGCTGTTCTTGATTGCTGTTGTCCTTGGATTGTAGCGGACACTGAGGTTGTTGCTATTTGCCGGTTGGATCAACACAACTGACCAGAGAGTCTTCGAGGCGCAGTGCTGATCACCTCAACGCCTGCTTCTGTTCGCCCCTCCAGACGGACCAGAACATGATCTCTTTGTGGCTCAATTCTCGTCCTAACTCGTGAACATGAAGCAAACATCACCACAGCCAACTCACCTCGTTGAAAGGTTCAGAGAGCTCGAACAATACTTTATCTTTTCCAGTTCCTGGTTGTCACCGCTCCGTTCCATATACAAGCGGCCGACTTCTTGACCCATCAGCACAAATACCTTTTGCGACCTCCTGTTGGCAATGCAAGATCAGCTCATGTTCTAAACACAGAATCCAACAAAACAAATGTCACAAGCTAGAGTCTTCAGAACAACACTTTTATCTGCCATGAAGCCAGACCTCTCGGGAAACACCGAAGGCATTGAATGCTAGGCAGTTTGGCTTCTCTCATCATGCCCAGCTTGGTGAGAAGAATGTAGAGAAAGAGGAAACAACACACCTTCATTTCTTATCGCCAATGTTTCGTTGACTGGGCTCTTTACACCTGTTTGAGCTAAAGTCAGCCGATGGTGAAGCCGAAAGTCCACAGTCACATTGCAAAATAAGACAATGTTCAGAACACTCGTCAATATCTCCACCATGAAGCCATGTCCCTCGAAAACTTGGGAGCCGGAGGCACCCACGGCTAGGCAGTATAATGTTTCTCATCACGCATTGAGGCTTTGCCGTAAATGAGAATGAAAGTTACTGGCCTGATATGGACCTCGGATGCAGCAGCGGAGAACCTCAGAGACGCAGTCTGTGTCTCATCATGTCAGTAGAAGCTCATCAGAAACTGTTGCTGCCACGAAGATGTCGCTCAGGCATTTGAATTTTGTTCTTGCTCATTGAGAGCCACTCAAGGCTGGCTTTTTACTCGGGGAGCTTTGGAGGTGCCTGCCACCAATTCTTCTACGAGAGGCTTTGCTCTCGACAAACAACCTTGGTGTCATCATCGCAACCTGCGGGCAGCAACGTGGGACAGACTGACTTACCTTTTCTCCGACATGAATGGTCCGAATTGTCATCAACTGTACTCGCGAACCCTGTTCTAATTCGCCAAGCAACATCAGCAGGTGAATCTGTCAGATTCGAGATACGGTGCGCTCGGAACCAGAAAACGTGCTCAGAAATGCTCATGGCTTTTTGTTGTCCTCATTCACAGAAGTCGAGCAAAAGACAAGGAATGTTGCGTTTATCATTGCCACGAAAAGGTGCTAAAAGGGGCAGATATACCGAGAGCCAGGATCAGATGTGCACTCTTCAGCCTGCAAAACGCCCAAGAGTGTTAGCTCTGTTCTTTCAACAGCCTGAAGTACTGTGAAAAGTGATGGGAAGCTCAAAAGTGCCGTGTGGCTCTAGGTCATCGTCCAACGACATCAACATGCCAGACGACTTTCTTCTGCCTATAAGACACCAGTGCTGGTCAGCGATATTCTTTCAAGTGCTGTGAGGTGCTGTCGAAGGAAAATGAAAACAGCTCAGATACGCCAAACGGCTATCTGTTTATGTCATCCACTAAGTCAATATAAGAGCAAGAGATATTGTGCTCATCATCGCCGTTGACGAAGGTTTAAGGCAAGAGGCTCACCAAACGATCAAAATCCTCATGACTCGAACGGTATTGCCGCGTTCCTTGTGTGATTGGGACTTTATCGACGTCCGATCTTTCCTGAACTACCAACGCACTGCTGCAAAGGTTAATCAAAGTTCTTTTGCTGCTATGTTGAAGCTCGAAAAGGAAAGGAGAAGCCGATCAGAAGTGCTAGGCAGCGCTTGTTTTCCTCACCCACAGAGTCGAGAAGAAGATGAAGGCGAAAAGTTCTGGTCATCATGGCAAGAAAAGTACTGGTTGATGCACTTACCGAAGCATTTCTCCTGTTTTTCAGAAACCGACCAAAGTACTCGTGGACAGTCTTAGAAACCATCGGCAGCATTGATGTAGCAGAGTTCAGATCGGGCTCGTCACATAAGCAAGCGCAGTCATATCAACGCCCTCAGAAGAGTCTGCAGTAGGATGCCGCTGACCATCCAGTCCGCCCTTGACAAATGCCGTCTTTGGTCAGACTGAGCACATTGCCTCGGGCTTTGGACCCGCAGCTGTTTGAACTTCGTCTTCTTCCTCCTCTTGAGAGCATTTCTGCTTCTTGCAGTTGTTGAGTCAGTGAGCGACTTCTTTGAACGAAAACTTCTAGCTGGAACGATAGGAAACGAAGGCAAAACGTTCGAGTATTCATGTGGTGGTGAGATCGGCACCTGTTCAAGCAATGATCAGTCAAGAGCTCTGCAACATGACAAGGGGTGTGGAGGAAGTCGAAGTGCCCTTCAGAATCTGTTCTTCTTTTTGTCCTTCATGATGATGTAGGATTTGGAATGAGTAGTGATGCTTTCATCAGAACACAGTTGTTGGAAAAAGTGGGAGTATTCGTCCATGTTCGCCGGTCATCGTTCTGGTTGCAGAATGCATCTTGGTGCAGTGGCGGTACTCGGAAGGCGAAGAGGAGAAACTACGATGCATCTCGGCCACGAGCGACGTACGCGAAGGACAAGGCGAAGATCTTTGAACGCGTCAGCAAAGTCCTCAAAGAAGAGTCTCTCGGAGTGAAGGGCTGCTGAGGGGATGTGTGCTCTTCGACTCGACCTGTTTCGTAAAACACTGACCAGAGGAGCACAAAGTCTGGCACTGAGAGCGAAGAAGCATGGAGGTTTGATCTTGGCTGTCGAGTTACCCCGATGGCAAGCTAGCCATCGAAGCACATCATAGCCGTAAAGGAACGGTGTGTGAAAGGGAAAGACCTGACAAACCTGAATGATGGACTTGCGCTGTTGAGAGGTGGTGGTGTTGATGAAGATCTACCATCACCCGACACAAGCGAGCATCAGCGGCGGCGACATGCGCACTGTGCAGAATCTCCATGCGCACCGTCGAAGCAATATTTGCAGCGTGCATGATGGATGCAGATAGGTGTAGTGGCAATGCTTGATAAAACAAAGCAGAAGATGGCATAAAGTCATGGTATTGTTAGGCCACCAGGCGCCTGTTCGCACTGTCAGCATTGGCAAATCGAATTGGAGAGATGCTTATCAGATGGTCTTCTCTAACGCGATGTGATGCTGTCCTTGATGATCGCGAGACTCGAGTCGTGGTGGCTCAAAGGAAGGTGTGGACAGCTCAAGTCAAAGTTCACCTGGCCCTCGCTGCGTGAAACGACTTTCACCTTGGCGATGACCATCGCAAGACGACGAGAATGTCATAACAACTGTCCAACCATTCCGGAAGGTTCTGGACTTTACGTTCAGTGTTGAGAGAGAGTCTAAAGCTCTTCTCAGGCGTTATCATTTGGGGAAGTAAGAAGTTGATGTCTTCTCTGCTTGGCCAGCAAAGAAGCCCGGAAGCGTTGTGCAGTCCCCAATGAGAAGGTGTGGATGTTGTACGTGCCTTCCGTCGTTGTGCATCAGGGGCAAACATGATCTTGATCTCTCAAAGCGGTAGGCGTCAGCACCGTGGAAGCGCCTGCCTGCCTTGGGAGAAAGGTATCAACCCAAACTTCAGAATTAGATGTCTGTCTTTGCATATCTCAGCAGCAAGAACCTGTATCAGCATACGCAACGGAAGTCGCAAATGTTTTCGAAGCACTAGAATGTCCATTGAGAGCCTAACAACTGTCACTGAGGGTCCCATTGAACATAAGGACGGTCAAGCATGTTTCGATTGCTATCTATCTTATTACCACACGCGCCGAAAGTCGCAAACATACTCGAGTATTCAGAATGTCCTCTGAAAGTCTGAAACGGAACCACAAAAGGGCCATGAACAATGAGGGGTGTCAAGCATGTCTCAATTACCATGTACTCTTTTTCATACGCAGCGAAAGTCGCAAACGTTTTTGAAGCATCGAGATATCCGCTGAAAGTCTACACAACTGTCACAAAGGGCTATGCGAAGATGAGGACTGTCAAGGGAGTCTCAATTGCTAGGTACTCTTTCTCTATGCGCGCCGAAAGTTGCAAACTTGTTCGATGCCTGAAGATGTCCGCTGAGATTGACATCTTTGTTGATACATATAAAGAGGATGTTCAAGGATCTTGGGTACGGTTGCCATTCTCATCAAGGGGTCGGTTGGTGCGCAAGGTTTGGTACTTTCTGGAACTCTTTGCGTCGGAGATAGTCAATCGTCTCACTAATTCAGCCTTCGTGCCGTTGAGGTCTTCGTGCCGTGCCTTCGGCAGATCCCTGAGCTGCTCAATACTGGTGGCCTTGTCTTCGTTGTTCAGGCGAGAGATGGTTATAGCCTTGTTTTCCTTCATGCGGTTCAGGACCATGCTGTGCGAACGCAGGATTTTTAGGCGCCGGGAGCACGCCCACGAGTGGTTTACAGCAAGGAAGAGACTGGCAATGGCTTCATCTTCTGTTCGCGGACGTGCATCCCATATGGCGGTGTATAAAGAGGATGTTCAAGTGACCTCCTCGGCCTCCAACTCTCTTGACCTTCTTCAGAGCGTCTTCGATGTTGTCGGAGACAGCATCGCGCTTGCGCTTGGGGGAAAGAGGGAAGGCGTCGTAGGTGCATTTGCCAGGACCGTATCTGGGCTCGGGGAGCTCTGTGGTATCGTCAGTTCCATCGACGCGCAAAGAAAGGAAGCGTTGGATACTTTTTGCCATTGACACGGTTGTAGTCCGCGACGCGCTCCTCAGGTAGCTTGATCAAGTTTGCGGCGACTTGAATCTGGCGGAGGGTGATGTGGCCAGACTCGAGATCGCCAAGGTACTTCTTCTGATCGAAGGCCTTGATGGGTTTGAGCCCTTTGGGGTGGTCAACGGCCTTAAGAGAGCTGACACTATCAACACGCTCGCGCTTCAGCTCATCGGCGCTCATGCTGGCGATGCGGTCGCGAGTCTTGTCAAGAGGTCTGGCGATGTCGCTCATGGTGGTGCACTTGACCACTACCACCAAGTCGAAGCAGACGTGAACTTGGTGATAGTGGACTTTGAAGCGGGGAAAGACATGTTCGATGCTTGTACCTCAAGTCAGCCATTTGACGGGAAGATGGTGACATCGTACATACTCTCGTTGTTCATCAATAATGATGTTGTCCAGGTTATTCTCGAGGCTGTTCTGATCTTCAGAACAGATGCATTCATGCTGGCGTCAGGTCAGCAAAAGATCTGGATGAGCGGTGTCGTAAAGACAAACCAAGACTGCTTGTAGCCGGGGCTGCTGCGTGAAGCAAACAAGTGTGACAAGAGCTGACACTTGCGAGCCGCGCATGCACATAATGGTTTGCGTGGATGCGGTATCGTCACTGCTGATACCATCAGTCATCAATTCAGGTTGAAGGTTATCAAAAGTAAGGCCCATACCGAAACAGCAGACTCGGAGTGCCTACAAATCTTTGGCAATGAAGTAAAACAAGCAGAGGCATGCCATGTTGAACAAGAAAGATCTTGCGAAGGCCAGCGCAGGAACGCATGGCCTGGCAGCCCGCGAATGACGGTTGCTGATGCTGGGAAGCCAAGTCAGTTGAGGTTGCGATGAATAGAATGGAGAAGAGATGCTTACCTGGAGTCACAGAGCATAGCACGTGCGCGCAGATGCTCTGGGTCTGAAGAAGCCCATGAGAATTCAGGTGTGCTTTTTCCGGGGGCCTTGCAGTCATGCGAAGAACAGATCTGCGCAGCGTAGATGACTTTGCACAAGCGGACACGTGCTTCAGTCACAGCTCGGAGCAGGCTGCAGTGTTACCTTGATCTGTTGAACCAGAAAGAGTTGAAGTTTCTGTGAAGATGGAAGCAGATTCAAAGCTTGAGGGTGAGGAAGCTGCGTCTCTACTCTGCGATGATGGCCGAAGCTCAGAGCGCCTGCCACTTCAGCAATGACACAACAGCGCTCCGACTCTCACAACGAGTCTGAGCTGGTGCAAACACTTAGGAGAGTGTCATAATTGCTCACCGCTGCCGCCTCAGATGTACCATATGCAGGCTTCATGACTGAGAAGAACATCAAGTCATAGAGCAGGGCCTATATGATGCTTGATCATGACATACCCAGCACGGCAAGGTTTTGGACAGATAATTCTTGCCTGCTCAAGCAACTGTCTCATCAAAAGCACAGTATGGCAGCTGCAAAACAAAGCATGAAGAGTCAAACATTCAACATTCTTCTTCAGCTCCCAGTCAAAGACCAGAAGACACTGATGAAAAAAAGTGTTTGTCCACAGAGACCAAGGTCTTTGTCAACTTTCAGTTCCAAAAATTGAATGGACGCTTACAACGCCAATCCCGATGAACCTATAGAAATGTTAGCATCCCATAGGCCTTCACCTAGAAAGATGTCGGACGGTTGAAGAAGAAAGGGAGACAGAGCAGTTCATGTCCGGCTTTTTATATCTGCTGGGAAGGAGATCGATTACTTAAGCGCAAGTGGTCAGCGCTTTGTGAGTCCGTCCCTGCTACCAACCATCCAGCAGCGAATGAGGTCGTCTGGATCCGCATTGTTGCCTTTCAGATCACTCTACCAACATGCTTCGGCAGCAATACCTCCTGGTGAAGCTACTCCTTGTCCCAGGACCGAGGTCCATGTCTGAAGCCTGCTGCAAAAGCTGCCAGACCAAAGAAGATAGCTACATGTCTCTAAGCAGGAATGTACAGCTCCTTGCTCAAATACCAGCACACACATACTTTGAATGCTTTTCAATGCTGCATGTATACTGGTATAGCGTTGTGTGAATGCTGCCTGCCCTATCTCCGATCATCACATCCAAGCTCCCACAATGTGACCATCTGCTCTCCTCTCCTCTCATTGCGTCTATACCATCACAATGAGACCCTCCGTCTATTCACTCTATTGAGCAATAGCATGTGAAGGAGGCCCACGCTCGCGCTCAGTGCTCACACACACTCAAATCCTCAAAACAAAACCAGCTTCCTTCCTCCTTCCTTCTCTTTCTCTCCACAATGTCCATCAAAAAGGGCAACATGGGCGGCTCTCGCCAATCCCCTCGCAGGCGAGGTGGCTGGCGGGATGCCATAAACCGCATTGAGCACCGCGCACAGCGGGTTGCCTTTGCTCCCTCCCGGCCCGCTACCATCGAGCCTCGGGCTCCTGTCGACTTCTCGTTTGGTGTAGGTTTCGTAGCGATGAGATCTTTTGATCAGGCACTCATGCGTTGTTACAGCCTCCCTCGCCGCCCGCCTCTCCTCCGCCTCCTCTCCCTGCTCGCGGCCTGGTCTTGGTAAACCTTCTTACTTGTGCTCTATCAGAATCTGAATTTGATACTGATGTGTGACATTACAGCGCCGGTACTCTCCTCCTCCTTTGGGATGGAGAGACCCTCCTGCTCCTCCTCCCGCCCCTCGCCCTCGCGCCGCCAACCTTGCTCTTGGGTTTGTGCCTGCTCTCCCACTGCCACCATGTAAGTCTTGACTTCTCCCCTGCTATGGCTCAAAAACAGCATGCTAACGGTCCGGTTGTAGGAGATGAGCAAGAAGAGGAAGGCAGCAAGGTCCGAGGGACGTTAAACAATCCGACCACGGGTCATTAAGCATGTACAAATCAACCAATTTTCGTTTCTCTCCCCTTGATTGATTGATACTGTCTTTCCCATGTGCTTCGTTGTGATTGTGAATTTTTGATTACGTTGAGTGGAACAGTACAACAAGAGTAGCCTTGTATCTGTGCCTCGTTCTCAGCTTTACCCTGTCTCGTCCTAGGACAGCTGGATTGTTATAAATTTCGTGACTTTCGACTGCTCTATCCCTTTGTGCTAGTGCCTCTAGAGAGCAAGCTTCTCATCTATAAAGCATCTGTCTCATAGCGTCTTGCCGATGTGAAAGTACACTATAAAAAAGGCACAAACTATTCTGGAATCAATGAGAGTCCAAAGAAAGCTGCTTGATGGACGTACCAGGAGAGCGTGCTTTCATCACAGCGATCTACAAGATTGTTTTCGATCTCATCACATCATACTGGGAAAGAGTAATCAACGTTCTATCTTGCGTGCTCATAATTATTGGCATTGGAACAGCCTGTAAGTCCTGACACAAACTCCTGTGCTTCATGTTATCTGAATGTGGAAGCAGCTTCAAGCCGCAGAAAGCAAACTCCGTCCCAAAATTACACTAATCATGTTCTCTTCTCAAACGCCACCGTATACCGCCAAAGCCTTCTGAGCGAGAGCTCCAAAATCCAGCTTGCCCTGATCATCAGGCATGTACTCTCCACTTGCAATACAGTGCACCTTCATGTTGGGATGGTATGCCAAGTTCGGCAACAACTTAGGCGTGATGAGGAAATACTGCGAGGTATGTTCCGCACAAGCAATATCGACCATACGTGAGTGAACCATGCGTTCGTTACGAGGATCCATTCCTTGGTTAATCTCATCAACGACACGGAAGGGTGCTCGGGCCAGACTCTGCAACGCCATGAGATAGAAGATTGTCGACACAGCACGTTCGCCACCAGACTGGCGATGCGAGTCTAGAACGGACAGTTGTTCATTTTCTCTGTGGTGTCATTGTTAGTGCCGTTCCCATTCAAGAGTGTATATCTTGGTTGCATACCTGAACTTCACCTGAATCTGAATAGCCCATTTGTTGAAATCATCGTCCTCTTTGTAAACCTCGACCTGCCCAGCGCAGTTGATCTTGGCGAAGTTTTCGCTGAAGGCATCGCTGATCTGACCGATGAGTCGATCAAGCTCGGGCTCCCATTTCTGACGCACTTCATCAATGTTTTGTTGCAACTCCACAAGCTCATTCTCGATCTTCTCAAGTTTATACTTGACCTTCTCGATATTGCCAGCACGTTCTTCGAACTCGCGAAGGATCTGAGGATTGCCTCCGTCCACCATCTCAAGTCGAGCTTTGGTACTGTCAATCTCGGCCTCGTATTCGTCGAGATTCATCTTGTTGTATTCAGTGTAGATTTCTGTTTCTCTCTCCGAGAGGTCCTGAAGCAATTCGTTGCACGCTTTGAGTCCAGCTGTAGCGATTTTCTTCAAGTTGTCCCTTTCGGCCGTCAACACCCCTACGTCGCGTTCTTTCTGAGCGAGATTCTGACGCACTTCCTCGCTGTGCGCCTTGAGGATTTGGAAGTCCGATTCTCCTTCGATCAGAGCAAGGCTTGCTTGGAGGAGATCCATTTCCAGTTTCTGCAAGCTCTGGACCGAGGAAACAAGAGTTAAAGCATCCTGAGCTCGATCAAGGGTAAGCTTATCTTGCTTATTCTTGATATCTTGGACTCGGGCTCGGTAATTGGCTTGACGCTCATCCAAAGCATCACGCTTCGACACAAACCCAGCAATTTTAACCGGCAGTTTCTGCCATTCCGATCGTGCCTCTTGCGCTTGCTTCTTTTCGGCTTCGAGTTCCTTCTTTTTCTCATTAAGCTCATGGTACTCACGCCCATACCGAACACTCGCAGCTTTGTGCGCTTCAGCTTGCCGTTGAACTTCCTGCGATTCGTGCTTGAGCTCGGCAATTGCTTTCTTGTACTCTTGTTCGGCTTGCGTGTCCACGGGTTGGGAAGTGAAGAAGCGTGCCTGCCTGATACGCGCCGTACGTGTCGATGTACCGGCGTCACCATACTCTCTTCTCCTTGTCACGTTGTAAGTTTCCGTAGGTGTTGCCCAACTTGAAATATTGCTTGACATCATTCCATCAAATTGTTGGGAGCTCAATTCTTGGTACGCGACACCATACATGTGGATGTTTCTGTTGTCACAAAGCATGCTTAGAATCTCCTCAGGGCCTTCGAGAAGATCCAGAACGTAGGTATTCAAGCCAAGTCGTCGTAAGTCATCTGGAGAATAGGGTTTCTTCCAATAGTCCAAGGGCGTGTCCAGCATTCTCAAGTTGATATCAGACAGCCTCTGTGTGTTTAAGAGTTCACGTTGAAGCAGATTGAAATCCTCTTTGTGCGTCATTGTTATACAAACCATGTCTGCCTGGCCAAGCACTGACTCGATGAGGTTGGCAAACTTGGTATCCTTGACAGAACATTCAAGGATCGCTGGTCCGAATACTTTCCCGGTGAATTGATTTCTGTTTTTTTGAATCCAGTCCCAGGCCTTTGCGGTGTCGGGAGAGACGTTGTTGAGTTTGTTTACTTGTTGACCAGCTTTGGATCGGAGCTGTTTCAAACTGTTCTCTGCCGCGACGATACGTTGTTGAAGCGAATTGAGATCAGTAACTTTTTCGTCTTGCTTGGCGTTCTCATCTCTTGCGGCATCGGTCTTCTCACGTTGTTGGCGCGAGATGTCTCTGATTTTCTCGTTGAGTGCGGCAACATCGATCGTTGGTGGTTCATTCTCGGCTTGACGTTCAAGATTCTTAATTTGGGTGTCAAGACGGATACGCTCCTGCTTGTGTGTCTTGACGCTCTTCTGCTCGGCGTCTATTTCCTGTTCAAAAGCCTTGTGCTGTTCAGATGCCGTGTTCTGCTTCTTGATTTTCTGTCTAATGTCGTCCTGTGCACGAGTTACAAGACGCTGGCGGCGTTTAACAACAGCGTCAATGGTTTTGACATATTCTTCTTTTGCATTGACTGCTACCAAAGCAGGTTCACACTCACGCTGCAATGCGACAAGCTCGTTGTTGGCTTCCTTGCAACGTTCTTTGGCTTGAATATAGTTTTCTCTTGCAACATTGTAAGCAGGGAAGGGTCGCAGACGTTCCAGAGCAGCAAGCTTTTCTTGTTGATCCGCACGCTCGCGCAGGCGCTCAACATCGCCACGCTGCATGTTCTGTCGGCCTTCCAGGTTCTTCAAGTTCTCGGTATGTTGACCCTGATCGGCTTGGTATTTTCGCTGCTGACTTCGCATGTTCTTGAGCTGATCGTGCCAATCACTCATATAGTCCGGAGCTGCAGCTCTTTGTGTCTGGACGAGGAGTTCGATGGGGTCCAGTGCAGCAAATTCAACGACACGGTCTTGAGGAAGGAACTGACACAAATTGTCGACTTGTATAGAGAAGGAGCGGCAGAGTTCAGCAACAGCCTTTTGGGTGCTGGTTCTGCCATCGATCATGAAGAAGGTCTTATTATTTGAGTCTCTCTTGATAATTCGCTTGATAACGGGGTTGGTGCGATGACGAGCGGGATCGCGTTGAAGTTCGATCTCAATCTCGGCCTCTTTCTGGCCATGCTTGACGAATTCAGAAGGATCCTTTGCTCGACCAAGAACGTCTGGCTTGGCTCCAAGGCCCAGACAGATAGCGCAGACCAGAGTACTCTTTCCAGTGCCGTTGGGACCGATGATCATGTTCAGACTGGGACCAGGTAGGAATTCGGCCGAGGTGTATGTGACAAAGTCCTTCATGGCGACTCTGACGATAGAGCCAGGTGAATGAGTGAGGGGTGCGGCATCGTTCTCACCGTTCTCATAGCTGCGCGGCAGTAGAGGAGCCTGCGATAGTAGTTTAGTGAATGCGCAAGAGACAGCAGGCGGTAGACGATACCTGCGAAGAAGCATGGCCGTTCAAACGCGGGCGTTTGTCAGAAGACGAGGAGGCATCGATCTCACTCTCGTCGTCCTCACTATCGCGCGGCCTTCGCATGGGCACCAGACCAGGCATATTTGCGATTGATAGCGATTTGCTGCCGGGTCGTTGGTTTGGAAGGTCAACGTGCTGCCTGAGCTGCGGGTGACGCGTTTGGCTATCTGCCGACGCGACAGAAAGTGGAAGGCGCGATCATCCCGCACCCACAAGCATCTGCCTGCAATTCTACAACGCTATAGCAGGAAAGAACTGTATGTGTTCAGCTAGAATTCACTGAATGAATAATACGCTTGTCGAACCATGTGCAAGGCTCGTGTTTCCAAATGATGTCTATTCCATTCCGAACGCCTCTCAGTGGTATCATTGTGCATCCGTGAAAACCCCTCATAAACCAACCTATGCCATAGACAGAATATCGAGCCCTCTCAATCATCGCCCGCGCTGTCGTTGTCGTCAACAAAGCTTCCGTCGACACTTTCTTCACCAGCAATGCTGGTCTGTAAGCTTGCTGTACTGCCAACTCTCTGTAGCTTCATCCTTTTGCGTAGCGGCGTATTGTCTTCATCGTCTCCAAGCTCGTCTCTTTCTCTCTTGTCCGTCTTTGAATCTGACTTGCCGGGGCGCTTTCCAAGTTTGGAGCCCTTTACATCCTTCTTCATGCTTTCTTTGAGCCCCCTCTTGAGTACCTTCTTCCGTACACCTCCAGACTTGTCGTCGTCTTCGTCCTCGTCTTCGTCTCCATTCTTTGAGCCACGTGAGTTTGGTGTCGGTGTACCACCTCTGCTACCCAGCGGAGATGCTCCGTTCGCGTTGTTGAGACGAGCAGCTCTAGCACCTCTGCCTCCAATTCCGAGACACTTCTCCAAGTGTTGGGCAAAGCGCGTGATAAGCAGACTTCGCTTGCAAGACGGACATGTATGCCAAGGGATGTATGTGCCACCCTTGAGTCTTTCGCCGACCTTTGCAGCCTTCTTGTCAACAGGACCGCCAGTGTTGGGTTGTTCTGCCGAAGGCGACGGAGGTGCGGTGCCGTTCTCCTTGGAAGCGTTTGATTCGGCCTTCATCCTTTCGCGCTCCTTCTTGGTTGGTGGCTTGTCGCTGCCAGCCACTGGGAATGGGTTGCCATAGATATCGTGACCAGGTCGCGTTGACCAGGGAATATGTGTGCAGTATTGTATCTTCTTGGGAGGGTTCGCATTCGCTAGAGGAGGGTCCAGAAGTCGTGGGAGATTGCATGACGGACAGATTGGCAGTCCCGTCGTAGGGTCTACAGTTCGTAGAAGTAGTTTCTCGCGGCGATGGGTCTGGAGGACCAGATCATGGATGACGGTGTACAAGCAGTCATTGATGATACTTTGAGTCTAGCAGCTAGTGAGTACTGGTCTGGCTCGCCATGGGTTCCAGCACATACCAAAGACCCAAGGTCGACTTTCGCATCCTGATCCGAAGACATTGCCTCTGTGGTCGGTCCTAGAGACCAGTGCGCCGACTGAGAGGCGTAATTTGCAATTTAACAGTGGGTAACCTCGTCCCGTCCACCCAGTAGGCTCCCCTGGCGCACGAAGATAGAATGACGTTGGCCTGTTCGACAAGATGGCGAGTTACTCTAACAGCTACAAGAACGCCGAATTGCCGGCTATTCTTGACCGAACCCCAGATGCCAATTTTAGCTCCCGTCATCGCAGTGCGCTTTGTGGGGGACCACTTTTCTTGTGAAGCATGTGAAAAGGGCTTGGGGTCAAGAAAAAGAAATCATATACATTCGAAATCATGACATTCTACGTATAGACCTGTCCAATCTAGATGGCCAAGCTGATTAGAATGCCCGTCTTCCACGCCGTCTTCGGACCCGCTAACTTCTATGTACGCAAAACAGAGAACGCCTGGTATTGTTACACGAAATCATAAGTCTGTTCACTATGCCAGCGGGATACCCTCATACTCAGCGTAGCCCAGAGCGAGGTTCATGTTCTGCAAGCACTGAGTGGCAGCACCCTTGAGCAGGTTGTCAATTGTGGCGTTAATCACGACACGCTTGCCACCGCTGTGCACAGCAAAGCCACCAATCTCAACGCCATGCTTGCCGGAGATGTTCTTCACCAGAGGACTCTCGCCAATAACCTTGACAAGCTTCTCACCGTTGTAGCGGTCTTGGTAAAGCTGGCGGATGTCACGGGAAGCCATGGTCTCGGCCAGAGGGATAGAGATGGTGTGGTGGATACCAGCAAACCAGACAGCGACGTGGGGAATGAAGCCGATCTCACGTCCAAGTTGAGCACTGATCTCGCGCTCGTGGATATGATCGGTCAAACTGTAAGGAATCAGGTTGTTGGTAAGGTTCTCTACATCGTTCTTGGGGCTGGGCTTGGTGCCTGCTCCTGAGTAACCAGAAACACCGAAAACAGTGGGGTTTGCAGGGGCTGCTGCGAGGTAAGGGACCAAAGGAGCAATGCCGAGCTGGGCAGCAGTAGCATAACATCCAGGGTTGGCGATACGGGTAGCGCCGGCAATCTTGCTACGCTTGACGAGCTCGGGCAAACCGTAAGTCCATGATGAGTCAAAGCGGTAGTCGGCGGACAGATCGACAATGACAGACTCCTTGTGGCTTGAAGCCTCGATGGCATCGACGAAAGGCTTGCAAACACCGTTGGGCAGAGCCATGACCCAGCAGTCAATCTCACCAGCATCAGCCATGCGACGAACATCATCAGGAGAGAGGTTCTCGTATGTGATCTCGCGTTTGGTGTAACCAGCAAGCTTCTTGCCGTTCAATTCACGCGAAGAGACGTGGCGCAGATCCATGTTGGGATGACGGTTCAGGAGATCAATCAGAGCCTGACCAGTGTAACCACGGGCACCGATGAGAGCAACCTTCGAAGGGTAGTCCTTGTCCTGGTTCTTGATACCAAGAGGAGGGTTGGGGTTAGTGGTAGTAGCATAGCCACGTCTGGTGGGGGTGCCGAAGGTGCTGCGATTGGTCAGTAATTACTATTGTCTGCATTCTGACACGACTCACCTGCGGACACGCTGCATGTTGCGCGAGGAGAAAGAGCTAGTAGAGAAAGCTCTGGTCTGCTGTCCGAGCGATTCTCTGTGCTGCTGCAGCTTCTGTGCAACATCCTTGATTCTCAGAGCGCCGGATGCAGCGCGGTGGAGCTGGCTCTCGAGGTTGTTGTCGCCAAACATTTGTCTGCCGTGTTGAATAAACTCGGCCATCAATTCGCGCACTTCCTCGGGAGTCTCGATACCGTACCAGAAGAGAACCTCACCCTGACGGGCAATGCTGCCATCTGCCTTCTCGGAGAACCAAGTCAGGTTCTCATCGTCCTGCTTGACGGTCCAAACAAGCTTAGGGTAGTCGTTCTTCAGGTTCTGGAAGACATTGTCGGCGATGTTGGAAAGCCATGCAGCACGGGTCATGGTCAGAGTAGCCAAGTGAGCCAAACCGTTAGGAGAGGACGAGTCAGGAGGGAGGACAACAGCAAGAGCCTCCATGCCCTCATCGTGGTAGGCAGCGAAAGTCTTGCCCTTGAGGCTGTCAAGGTAGCGGTCGACGACGGCCTCGGCGTCAAGGCCCTCACGATCACGGACAAGAACCTGCTTAAGCTTGTTCACGTCGGAGAACTCAGAGAGCGATGAAGCCTTGTGAAGCTTGGTACCACGACGAATCAAGGTTCCGGCACCGGTGTGAGTGAACAGCTCGCGCTCGAGACTCTCGGGGTGGATGATGGCAACACTGGATGAGCGAGGCAGGTGGTCAAGGAGGTCCTTGATGTCTCGGATCTTGGAGCGGGTGCCGTGAATGACCCAGGGCATGTTCATGTAGCGGTCATACTCTTCATCAAGGTTGATGGCCTCGATCAGTTTGCCAGTATCCTTGTTGTGCAGACCTCCCTTTTCAGACAAGTAGACAATCTTGAGAGGGACAAGAGCCTTAGCCAACTCAGCAGCAGCCTTGTCAGCATTGACATTGAGGAGCTGACCCTCGGTGTTCTCAGCCATGCAGGTGAGAACGGGAATGTAGTTGTCGGCAATGGCGGCATTGATAGGGTCAGTGTTGACCTGGTTGACCTCTCCAACAAACTTCCATGTGTCCTTGTCCTTGTAGTCGGCCATAAGCACGCCCGAGGTGATGGGACGAGCACGAACACCCCATGACTCAAGAGCCTCGACGAGCTTGAGGTTCTCCTCGAGGAACAACTTGCGCGCAACGCCGAGTGTAGGGCCATCGGTAATACGGATACCCTCGCTGTACTGAGGCTCAATTCCGGCTTGCTCGAGCAACTTGTTCATCTGAGGACCAGCTCCGTGAATGATGACGGGGAACAGGCCCATCTGGTTGAGGTTGCGCAGCGAGCTGCAGAGAACATCGATGTAGTCTGTGAGGATGGCACCGCCAACCTTGATGACGGCGAACTTTTGCGACGAGACAGACTGGAACTGCGAGAGGTATTGCTGGACCTCGCCTGGCGGAACCCAGCGGCGTCAGTATCTTTCGACCTGTCTCTCGAGCTGCGACTGTTACTCACGCTTGGATCCAAGGTTTTGAAGCACATTGATAACGGCCGAGCGAGCCGATGTCTCTTCATGACGGGTGCTCTTGGAGACAGTGGCATAGCCGCTAGCAAGGGCCGGACGGACAGCTGCTCTGCACACTGCTGCCGCCGACACGCGAGCGGGTCTGGCCCTGCTAAGGGCGCGCATACAAGGGCGAGCCAACATAGCGACGTCTTTCGATTTGGGTTGGTGGTCGGTAGATTAAGGGTCACACACCGTCCAACATGCAGCAACCCAATGAGTATAAGAGAAAAGGCACAGCAGTTCGCTTTGCAAAGGACAAGAAAGTCACAATGCCTAGATTACGTGCGGATCCTTTGGTCGACGCCGATATTCGGGCCCGCAGCGGCTTTAACTCATCACTCACCCAGATTTTACTTATCAATCTAATCTGATTTTTTTTTTGACGTGCCCCTCATGCACGACTCATGAGTCATGCGTCTTGCCAAACATGGCTCTTCATTTCATCCTTGACTTCACTTTTCGATCTCTCGACTAGACCGAGATATTACTGCAAAGGGTTATATAGGAGCAGCTGCTTGTTATCAGTGCTTCGTCATGCAGTATGTTACTACCTTATGTCTGTTTCTATATTACTTTCTATCAAATAGCCACTTATGTGCAAATGCGATCGACCCTGACCAATATCAATAAGACCCTACCAATAACGCCTTCGCTTGAATCAGATTCTATACACTTTTCACCATGTCCTGATTACACTTCCTCTTCGTCAGATGAAGCGTCATCGTCTTCGTCACTCTCGTCCCAGCCTTCAGCCTCAAGACTCGATGATCGAATCCCGAAACTTAAAGCAAAACCTAGAAGACTGATACCACCAAATGTTCCAAAGGCAAGAGCTTCACCCTTGGGCTGAACATGTGTTGCTGCAGTGAACAACGATCCGGATATAAAGGGCCCGGCTGCACGTCCGGCTGCTGAAAGTGTTTGCGCAAGTCCATTGAGCGTACCCAATACTGAGTGGTTCGGCGCTGAGTTTGTGATCTGTCATCGCAATTAGCATTTTACTAGGTTATCTGGAACTGATGATCTTACCAGAAGTAGTGCACTGGTGAGGCCGCCGACTGCTGCCACAGTCTTGATTATAAGCACTACTCCAAGTTCAATCCACAACCAAACTTTTCCTGCTTGTGTGTCATTTCCAGTTCCATCCTTGCCATCCCTGTACCCTACCCAGGGCATAAGCAAGAATGCAATGACGAAGCCCAGCAAACCAACGCGATAGGTCATCTTGTTTCCGACCTTTTCACGCAGCTTGCCGAAAATGCCGACCTGGAAGACAATAGTGACAAGTCCAGCAAAGCCCAACGATAGACCAATCTCTTCGGGTGACAGACCACGACCTGTGGGAGGTACTGCTTGCGCGAAGATAGGGTAAAGCGAGTTGTATGAAATGTTTGAGAGCTGGAATATGAGGAAAGTGATGAGAAGAAGAATGGTGTCACGGTTGCAAACAGCAGAGCTGCTGAGTGTTTCGCGGTTGCCAGTACCTAGAAGATGGGTAGATTCACCATCGCTCTCATCGTCAGAGCTGTCTTCGTCCGCACCGTCGGTTCGCGTGTTGGCAGCTGAATTATCGTGTTGCTCACGGCGTCTGACATACGAAGGCTTGGTAGAATTGCCAGTGAACTGCCAGAGCCATGCAAAGAGATTGGACACTCGCTTTTTGAGAGGCGGCAGGTCCTTGGCCTCTTCCAGAGACTCTTCGAGGAAAATCAGAGTAAGCACAAAATCGATGATCAGAACACCAGCGCTGAGCGCATTTGGAGCCAGGTAAGGGTATGGGTTTCGCTTGCCATTCCAAGGAATGGTCTCGAATACAAGCAATCCACCAACCAGAGGACCCGTGATACCGCCAATGCCGTAGACGACGGGAAGATAGGTAAAGGCTCTACTTTGGTTGCTTCGGTCGGTGATCTCGCCTAAACAGGTGCTAATGACACCCTGGTTTCCGTTGACCAAGCCCATAAGTGTCTGAGCGAAGATAGCCTGCCACAGAGTTCGACTGAAGCCAAAGATCACAAAGCAGCAGGCAGTCAACAAGGTGCCCATAAGCACAACCGGTTTCCTGCCAATTCTGTCGCTGAGCCAGCCCCAAAAGAAATTGGTAGCGAATTGTGCCAGGGCAAAGCTCGAGGCTATCAAGCCGACGTATAGACCGACTTGGCCATCTTTAACCTCGGGAAAGGTGGAAGCCATTGCAGGCAGATAAGGTGAGATCGAGTTGAGGGCTGTCTGCTCGGCGAGCGCTATAATGGCAAGGATGGCTAATTGAGCCTTGGGGAGCGGCGTCTCCTCGTGACTGTCATCTTGCTGTCCAGACTGGGAATCGGCGTGGATGTTGGACGATGACGGGTTGGGCGAGGTAGGAGGTTTCCCGCGCGATGTGGGCGGTGGAGTCGGAAATGTCTGATAATGTAATGTTGATGATTGTCTCTGCTGCAGCGCAGGCTTGTCGGTGCGTGCCATCGAAAGGCGAGGAGGGAGAGTAGCGAAGAGTTGAAGCCTCGTGCGCTTCAGAGTCGCGCAAGGCGGAGCAGGTGGTAGACGGTGAGACGGAGTGTGAGAATGTCGATTTTTTTCCCCAAGATGCACGCGAGAGGTTGCAACTTGCAGGTGCCTTGTGCCTGCAGAAAGTCGATCGTTTTTCCACGACCATCCGCGCCAACGTTGCGGTGACGCACGCAAGCATCCCCGCTTTCGGCCTCCTGCCACCTTCCTAAAATGGTCGCCGTCTCTATAAGAAGTATCCACAAGTCGAGGACATGAACACGCGCAAATTCACTTCAAGCATAGTCGCATATCACACAAGCAGGGAGCAGAAACACCATCTGGGTGGTGCGAAAATTGAGAGGCGATATGTGCCTGGCAGCTGAATATACAAATCCCCACAAACGCCTCGCTATGCCACAGCATACTATCTCAATGCCAGATGCTTGTCTATTCGTACAAACGTCAAATCATGTCTAAGCACCAGACAACAGTTCTAGAGCGACTCCGTAGAGCCTTCCTGCATCTTGCTCATCCGCTGGTCTTGTTTCCAGCGTACAGTCCGGTCGACTCTGCTTTCGCCAGACAGTTGACTTTGAGGATCAATCTCTCTCGAGCTGCCTCGGCCACGACGGCCTGAGTTTTCTGGCGAAAGACTGCCGCTCTCGCCCCACATGCTGAGTCGCTGTACTTTTCGAAGCTTTCGTAGGCCCCAGACGATGGCAACTACACAGAAGACGCCGCAAGAGATGCTGACCAGTGGGAATCCGAAGTCACTTTCTTCGATGAAGTTCTTCAAGTTCATGCCGTAAAGACCGGCAAAGAAGGTACCCACACCAATTCCAAGTGCCAGAATTGTAAATTGCAGATCCAAGAGCATCAGTGAGTTGCGGTTGGCGTCCAAAATAGCTTTGACGCTGTTTCAGTTGTCAGTCAGAGTTCCGTGACCTGGTCCTTGGTCGAAACTTACATTTCTTCCGTATTGCGAATGTTGCTAACCAAGTTGCTGCTCGCCTGCACAATCTCGTCGCACACCTTGTGGTAGGATTCGAGCAACATCTCGACTTCAGTATGGTCATCCTCTTCGCGTGTCACACCGTTCGCCTTCTCGGTCAGGTACATGTCAGAAAGATCATCATCTGCCTCGAGTAGGTCATCGATGGCATCACGAACTAAGCGTGCTTTCTGCTCGAATGTGCCCAACTTTTTCGAGTAGATCAACAAGTGACGCAGCTTGTTGCGGTCGATGTCTTCTTCCAGTTCTCTCAAAACTTGCACGACAGGTTCGCGCACACCTTCAAACTCTCCCTCTAGCGCAGAGGTGACACTTATGAGAACAGCTTCCAGCGCGCGAAACTCATACGGTAGGGTATTGGCAGATCGGCCTTCTCGTAGCTGAAGCTTGCCTTCCAGATCGTACATGAATATTGATTGTGTGTGTGAGTCTGTCGTTCCATATGCATCAAAAACTAGAACGCGGTTGTGGTTGATCAGGCAGCTTATGTGCAGGATTTTTATCAGGATAGCCGAAGGGCGTACGAGAATGTGTGGTAGGGAAGCGGAATCGATTTTTCGAAGGTCGCGAGGAAGAAGGCCACACTACCAGGCAAGACAGTCAGCCAGCGGTCTTGAATTTGTTTGTCATGAAGTGGTACCTTGGCTATCAGCTCGCTCTTCTTGAAGGCACCATTGACCAATGTGACTTTGCCGTCGCCATCAAACTCTGTACATCGCATCCTAAGCTCATTCGTCGGCTTCACAATGCGCCCCAAGCTGGCAGCTCCTGCATCGTCGAGTAGTCTAGGCAGTGGTGGGAGGTCGTTTGGCTGTAAAGGAGCCGTCTTCTTTGGCCGCGCGTGTTGCCATGGCCTTTGCCATCTTGACCTTGTCGCACTGTTCCAGAACCCACGGCTCGATTGGCGTGATGCCTGCTGTCCCTCTACTCTCGAACAGGTCCTGCATTGCAAACTCGTCAAAACAGACGTTCGCGCAGTGTCTAGCGTAGCGTGGTGATGATTTCGACGGACTTGCGAGTGCGATGCAAGGAACGGTAGACACTCGGCTTGGATCCTCAAAAACTTCAAGACTGCTGGTGACGGCACAGGCGCTCGTACGAGCGACAGCGCTTGCATGTTATGTCTGCGGCTGATACTATTGATTCTGATTTCGCATGCGAACAATCTTTTCGTTCATGTCGCGACGACGTCAGACAACTGCTTGGCAGCGTCCCGTATTGATCAAGTCACTTTGATGACCTACTCACCCTGCTCTATGTCTTGGATACCAAATAACTCAGCTCGAAAGACGCGATTCAAAATATTGGTTTTTAATTTTGGCTGTAATCAGTTGCATCTTGTCTGTCTGTACATCTTCCTAGAATAAATCTCGTCTCGCTGAGAGGAAGCTCGTCGACTTCAAAATTTCGCAAATCTACATATTTGACAAAGTCAACGCAAAGTGACATCAGTGAGTTCTCCAAGGGACGACGGAATGCCATTTAAAGAAGCCGATGTCCGGTGTGCAGTATTCTTCACGGTGTGTTCTGCGCGTCAATATGGATACGAGCCCTGCGTAAATATCATATCGCTACCGGAGACACCTCCATCTTAGTCGCTAACACGCTTAATGTCGACACCACAAGGACGCATGCACGTAGATTAAACTTCTTGGGAGCAATTCCAAATCGCCTTGTCTGATCTTCGTGCCATATACCTTGATTATAGATTGCAAGCCCAGCTATTTACGGCGTATGCTGTGTGACTACCACGTTGGACTGTAGAACATGTAGCTGGTTGTTGATTTTGATAAACTCGAGCATTTCACGTGGCCATCCACGCGGCAAGAGCGCCACACAACCCTGGTGGCGCACGGGAGTGGTGAGACAGATGCCCAGAAACATCGTCAGAGATCGCAGGCTTCGTGCATCGGTGAGATTCGACCACGATGCACCACGATCTACGACCAACGCTGCGTCTGGCCCCGATCTAGGTTGCAGATTACAGAGTGTCGGGACTTGAGCTGCACGCATATTGCCCGAAACGTAAGTTGCTTCAAGTGGAAATGTCCGCAACGCCCCTCCAACGACCATGTCATGGCTCCCATGAGAAATCTCTCCGATCGCACCAACCCTCTCGTGTCTCTTCGGATCAGATTCACCTTTCCCCTTTCAGACACAGTTCACCCAGTTTTCCGGTACTCGAGCGTTGCCAGTCGTTGCTTGGATCTTGATGCTCTGCTGTTTTGCAATCATGTTGGCCTATGGTCGCTCTTCGCTTACCTCCCGAGCACCAAGTCTTCTCCTTGAGACCGATGACATATGCACGCTCGCCTCACAAACTTTTAGCATAGTCTATCGATAAATCGGTCGGCATGTCCTAAACGGATGACATCGTTGTTTTTGGGAAGCACATACTCAGCACTGGCTTCTCGATACTTCTAATCACTTAATATCTTTTTGATCTTTCTGACAACGTTCTTATTCGCTCTTGCGCCTAACATCTAGCACACCGCATCTTGTGCCTTCGAGACTACTCACGCAAGCTATACAGCATACGAAGACAGAATATGTCTTCCAAAGCACGCGTTCTTATCTACGTGCTGCGCCGCGACTTACGACTTGCCGACAATCCCATATTTCACGAAGTGTCAAGACTTTTCCAACAATCTCAGCACCCGTTTACACACTTCCTTCCTGTTTACACGTTTCCAGCCAATCAGGTCGAGGTCTCTGGATTCATACCAGATTCCTCTCATAAGTCACCATACCCAGAAGCTAGAGCACCGGTCAGTGGCTTCTGGCGATGTGGTAAGCTCAGGGCCAAATTCCTGGCAGAAAGTGTATGGGACCTGAAAAAGGACTTGGAAAGAGTTGGCAGTGACCTTCAAGTACGAGTCGGTACCGTCCACGATGCGGTCCGAAGTATACTTCAAGGCTACAAGGACCATGAAGAGGTGGACATTGCAGGTGTATGGATGACCAACGAGGAAGGTGTCGAAGAAAAGAGGGAGGAGAAAGATGTCAGGAAGCTTTGCAAAGAGTTCGACTCCGAATTCAAGCTCTGGGTGGACGAGAAGTATCTCGTGGATGAGTATGTATATGCTGTGAAATCGTTGTTCGACTTTACAGAGCTAACATGGATTTTCTAGTCGCGACCTTCCATTCAAAGATCCGAGTCAATTGAACGACGTCTTCACTGCATACAGAAAGACCGTGGAGCCTCTGAGATCCGCGCCGCGCAAGACTCTCCCAGCGCCTGATACCCTGCCACCTCTCCCAACCCATATCCCCGCACAATCCGAACCCTTCAAGATTCCGAACTCTCTGGAAGGCACCATATCAGCACTCAGTAAGCCACTCGGAGATGATCTCGGCATTTCAAACGTAGCGAAGTGGCCCAAAGGAGCAGAATCTGCACATCCATATGGAGGTGGTTCTAAATCAGGACACGAGCGCATCGACCATCTCATCGAGAGCGGCAGCATGACGACATACAAAGACACACGCAACGGGCTATTGGGCGAGGACTTTAGCACAAAACTATCTGCATGGTTGGCGCTTGGGTGTTTTACGGCACGTCAAGTACACTGGAAGCTGGTTGATTTTGAAGACGGCAAGACAACACTAGGAAAAGGTGCACCAGGCTACGGCAAGGGTGAGAACAAGGGCACAGCCGCTGTTCGCTTTGAGCTCTTATGGAGAGACTACATGCGCCTGTGCACGCGTAAATTTGGACCTCGCCTGTTTCAAGTAGAGGGCTTCAGGAACGACCAGAACGCATCGTGGAAGTACATCTCTAGCCCCTTCAGCGATTCAACCGACAAAAAGAATAAGGGTGGCAGCAACGACGATGCCACTGCAGCGGCTGTGTTGCGCTTCGTTACCGGTAGAACTGGCACAGGGCTTATCGATGCCAGTCAACGCGAACTCTTCTTGACCGGATACACGTCAAACCGCGCAAGACAAAACGTTGCAAGCTATCTGTCTAAGCACCTAGGAGTCGACTGGCGCATCGGCGCTGAATGGTACGAGTGTAATCTCATCGATTACGATCTCTCAAACAACTGGGGAAACTGGCAATATGTAGCTGGTGTAGGAAACGACCCTCGTGGCGAATCGCGCGTCTTCAACCCTGTCAAGCAAGCTCTGGACTACGACTCTCAAGGCGAATACATCCGCACATGGGTTGAAGAACTCAGAGACGTGAAAGTGGGCACCCAGAGCGAAGGAACGCAAGACCCACAAAACTTGATGGGCGTCTTTCAAGCATGGAGACTGCCCGAGGAAGAGAAGAAGAGATTGGGCATACAGTCGGTAGAGTGGGTACAGAAGCCTCTAGTCAAGATCGACTTCTCGCTCAACAGACGAGGCGGTGGTAGTAAGCGTGGTCGCGGCAATGGACGTGGTGGCCGCGGAGGAGGTCGTGGAGGAAGAAACGACAGAAGAAGTACGCCTGAGAAGGCACATGCATAAGTGCATGTTGTACGCTAATCACAAATGACAAAAAGCATCCTTAGAACTTTAACGATAATGCCTCTCCAAGAATTCTTGCGGCTACTCCTGAAATGGTCACAACTGACGCGTTGCTCAGCTGGTTCGAATCGATTTGGCTTGTGGTTACAGATCAGTCCTATCAGATCTCTAGTCATCATTCGCCCATAGGAACACATTTGGAGCAACCCGACGCCCACTGATTTCGAGATAAGACACTTAGTTGCTCTTGTAAGCATCAGATAGTGTCGTACTCGGTAACCTTTATAACTGAGCTATGGTGGTCATGACATCGGAGTTAAAGTGCAAGCAACAGAGCTTGTGTGGGGTCAGTCGCCACACACGGCATCTCTACACGACAGCGCGGGGTAAGGAAACAGGTTGGCACTGAGAAATAGAGGAAACATCTTCTAGCAAAGCCATCAGGCAGCCAAATAATGAAGAGTCTTCGTCGCCCTTGAAATACGGTCCAGCGTATTGATTCCAATGTCAGCAACGTATTCGGGACCGCGGGTTCCGGATCATCTCATGATGGATGCAAGCCGCGCGGAGACGGGAACGTCGAGTCTCGTCATAGCTTGGCTTATTACGCTGACATTCCGCCATCTCTAAACAGCTATTTAGGCAGCCAGACTTCTGCTGTTTGAGATTTTCTACATTCATCGCAAACATGAGGTTCTCACATATCCTCCCTCTGGCTGCCCTGAGCGCCGCATTTGTCGTCCCAAACGAACAGGTCTTTAGCGAATTGTCAATCGATGACACTACCCATGCTCGTGCACACCAGGGAGCTTGGTCCGAGCAGGTTCTTTCTGAAGTGAAGAATGACTTCGCCGAAGCCGAAAAGAGCATCAAGGAGGCATCAAACAATGCCAAACACGCACTTGATGAAGCCTTCAGCTCCGCATCGGACTTTGGAAGCTCGATGACAACCAAGTTCCAGGAGACTGCTTTCGATGCTAAGTCTTGGTTCGAGTCTGCTGCCAACAACGCATACGATGCTTTGGACAGCCATGAGGAGCACCCTCACCCTCCTCATCACGATGACCCTCACCACGGTGAACCTCATCACCCTCCTCCTCCTCACCACGGAGGCCCTCACCATGGCCACAAGCCCAATGAGACCGTCTGGCAGCTCCTTAGCTCTTCTAAGTACACCGAGAAGTTCTCCAAGCTCATCAGCGAGTACCCTGACCTCGTTGAGAAGCTGAACTCTACCGACTCTGGCAATTTCACTATCTTCGCTCCCAAGGACACTGCTTTCCCTGACCATCCTCCTCACCACAAGCCTAGCAAGGAGATGATCAAGAAGTTCATCGAGTACCACATCAGTGACGACTTCTACCCTGCTGGCAGAGTCCTTCTCACCCACACCATCCCTACTCTCATGGAGGGTGAGCACTTGCCTGGTAAGGCTGCTCAGAGACTTAGCGTCCACCTCGGTCTCAAAGGCCTGACCATCAACTTCTACTCTCGTGTTGTTGCCGTCAACATTTTCGGCACAAACGGTGTCATCCACGGAGTTGATAACCTTCTCATTCCTCCTCCAAGAGCTTTCAAGATCATTGACCTTTTGCCTTCTGAGTTCTCTACCTTCGAGTTGGCTCTTGGCAAGACTGGTCTCCTTGATGCTTACAACAGCACCGACCACCCCAGTGGTACTCTGTTTGCTCCTTCCAACTTTGCCTTCCAGAAGCTCGGCCCCAAGATCAACGGCTTCCTATTCAGCGAGTATGGCCGCAAGTACCTCAAGGCCTTGATCCTCTACCACGTAAGTAAAGCAAGCTCACGATATTTACCTGGGCCATGCTGACTTTCTCTAGACTGTGCCCGATAATGTCCTCTACAGTGACGCTTTCATCAAGGCCGAGGGACATGACGGCATCCCCAAGGGACACTGGCATGTCGACCTGCCCACTGCCCTGGAGGACCACTCCTTGTCGGTTGATGTCGGAAGATACGGTGGTCTGATTGACATCAAGATCAACGCCTTCTCCCGCGTCAGTGTCCAAGATGGTATTGCCGCAGATGGAGTCATCCAGGTCGTCAGCGACGTCTTGATCCCTCCCAAGAAGCTCGGTAGCGCTAAGCTCAGAAGCTTCAACTGGTTCGGTTCCGAGAAGGAGCTCACGCTCGAGGAGTTCAAGGTCAGATTTGAGCCTTATGTCGAGAGAATGATTGACCTCTAAACTAGAGGCGAGAGATTCTCTGTGTAACATGACCCACGATCCTTTATGATATTCTAGTCAGTATGTAGTTGCCACCAAGGCATCAATGCCCTGTGAAGCATGCAGCTTCTCTTTGTCACAAGTCGTTGCAGAATTGAGAACAATCCCATGTGATGATTGTAGAGGCTCTTGCGACCGATGTTGAAATCGTCCAAGATCCTCATTGTCCTCAGCAAAACGACGATACATACAACGCGACGAAAAATGTGGTGTAATGTTGTTTATTCGTTGACGTGATCACGCAAAGCCATATTGAGAGTCTTATCGAATCAGCACAATATGATAGAACGGCCATCTGGGGGTCGGAAGTGAGGAGGAAAGAGGCCAAGGTGTTGCGGCGGGGACGGCTCCTGATTGGTCAAGCTCCAGCGGAAGTCGAAACAGCACAAGGGTTCAAGTTTTGTGAATAGCATCCAGCACCAGCAACTACATTGACAGCCAACAGGCTCGCCCTTCTCAGTCCAGTTCGTCAAGCAGGTAGCCCAGCATCTGGACCAGCAAGTCAATCACGCTCGAGACGCAACTCAGCCACGACAAAGACACGACTTCGTCCACAATGGTCGCCCACCTCCATCCGCGTTCGCGATCCACCATGTCGCTCTTCAGCGGCTGCCTCGCAATCTGCTTTGCGGTCGTTGCAGCTCCTCACGTCCTCCCGTGTCCTGTCGACAAGACACAGCTCGCCGACAGTGCCTCGCCAGACGGAGAGCCCAGACGCCGAAGACGCCGCAAGCAGTCTGCTCCTTCTCCCGACTCTGATCAACAAGACGACAACGATATGAGCTCCTTGAGCGACATGGAGCGCCCCAAGCGCGAATGTCCCGTGCCAAAGCCCAGCGGTCTTATAGGCCAGGTCATGGGTTTCAAACCACAAGAGCAACGACAAAATCCTACCATCATTATCCAGACGCTGCGCGACCGCCATACCAGACAAGACACAGAATCGGGCGACAACTCCTTGTAAAACTACCCCAAACGACACGGGAACGTGTATTGTATTGGACGCTCTACAGTCTCTCTACGAGCAACCACTTCCCGACAAGCCGTGCACTCCGCCGGCTGAAATATAGCTGCAGCTGCCAGTTCCCGTGCTCGTCGAGTTTTCCGCTGTTGTCAGCGTCACATTCTCAAAAGCGATGTTGAAGCACGGATGCACCTTCGAGCAACTGACACTCGCTGTCCGGTTCTTCGATTCTTTTCCCGACAGCCAGCCGGTGAAATTGGCAAACACAATGTTGCTCACTTCCATTAAACTCGTGCCAGCATAGCTGCCATTGTCGCCCGAGTTCTGGTTGATGGTTGGTCCTGCATCTGCGCCCTCTACCTGGAAGTTTGAGAACTGGGCATTCCGGACAGATCCCCAGCCACCTCCTCGTGGCTGGCCTGCATTTTCGTAGTAGCCGTTGGCCGACGGGTTCTGGGGCACCAAGGCTCCAACCCAGGTCTTGATCAGGACGGAACCATGCATATCTTCATTCCATCGGATAATCTGTCTTGAGTCAGTCGATGCCTTGCGTCGATTGAGCCATCTCAAGACATACCTTCACGTCGTCCATGACTACATTCTCCACAGTGCTGTCATCGAGGTACTGTCCAAGGCTTCCGATGGCCATACCATTCCCACCTCTGCATGTGGCATTTTGGACGAAGATATTTGAAGACCTACCCTTCACCGCATAGCAGTCATCTCCCCCTGGAACTTGTCGTCAGCGACACTATCATCACGAGGAGGAAGATTCATTACCTTGATAGACGAAGTTCGTGAGACGAATGTTACGCGAATCCATTGTATCTCCAAAAAATCAGCCAGAAGTTCTGCATATCAAACCTCATCAATGCTTACCAAATCCATCTGTGTTTTGTACCCAGTTCTGACTAGCGTTTGCTTTAGTCGCAGTAGCGTTCGTATATAGCTCATCCACCCACACGTCGGTGCCGTTCATGATGTTGAAGCTCCACAAAGGCGGATCGATGATGAAGAACTTCTTGACTGTCACATCAGAGACATTCCAGAGAACAAATGGCATAGGTCGTCCAGGCAAGGTGTGGCCTGCTTCTGCAGTGTACCTTTTCAAGATGAGCAAGATTTCAGATGTCTTCGAAGGATTGAGGCTCACCAAACATCGCCATTGCCATGGATACCTCCTGTGCCATATCCATTGATACGTATATGATGACCAGTCAGAATGAACGAAGCAGCATGGTTCTGGAACGCGATCGGATAGGTAGAGCTGGTTTGTCTCCAGTACTCGATATCAGGAGAAAACTTGTGCTCTATTAGCACATCTTCTTTCTAGACATCATCCCTGCATGGCTTACAGTCCAGATCCCTCCCCAATTGATGTTGACATCGTTAACGATGGGGTTCAACTTCGAAGCAATCAAGTAGTTCTGGCCTTCTGGAAAGACTATGTCACCTCCAGTACCACATCTGCTGAACGCCTCGAGGATGTTGGGGACGTCGTTTGTTGTGCCACCATTAGCGAGAACAGTGCATTGAGGTCGACTGCCATGATCTGCATAATGGACGCCTCCGCTAGCAGATGCCAGTGGGAGAATGAACGTAAAGATAGTCCAAAGGTTCATTGAAATCATCATGAAACACAAGAAGAGAAAAGACTATCCTTTCCACTTACTCTGGGCCAGTCTGTGCCTCTTAAATACACTGCTGCAGCAACTCCTCACAGGGACGGCACAAAAGGAAGCCATATTTTTGCTCCAATCATTGCGATACTACCGAGCAACCATTGATGATCCTTCGCGGAGAGGTGCACCTGAAGAGACAAGATCTTCACGGGTACGAAACAAGCATCCTAGAGCTCGGCATGAAACACACCGAGATGGCTGACAAGAAAGGTGCGAGTGGAGGCTCAAAACGGAAGGAAGTGATTGCGGGGAAACACTTGCCATATGACGTCTGTGTTTTCCTGCAAGGAACGACAACTTGAGTACCTTTTTTATTCTACAAACAACAGATTCATACCGAAAATACATATATATCATAATTTCAAGATGGTCGCTGCCGCCACATTGACGAGATCACGGTTCATGGCAACCCTGCCGCGAAGCTACATCCAGACTTTCACGCGTGCATACACTGCCACTGCACCTAAGAAGGCAGCAAAGAACCGTCTCTACAACTCGTAATTTGCTACCTGCGAATTCAATTGCTCTTGAAGATTTCTGACGATGAACAGTGTACGCTACGAAGATGAATTCGAAACCCTAAATCTGCTTTCAGCAAGCAGTCGTATACCTTTAATCACCCTCTGGTCCGCATCTTGGTGTCCATCCTGCAAAGTCATCTCTCCACTGCTCAAGGAACTCATCAAAGAAGGTGTTGGAGAAGCTCAAGGTGGTGTTTCATATGCTGAGATTGAACTCGACTCGCCAACTCTGGGAGGCTTGGCTATGAGATATCAGGTCAGTATCATTCGATAAAATCTTGCGAAGGCGAAGATGAACTGACAACAACAGGTCAACTCATTGCCCACATTACTGGCATTTGATAGACAAGAGGCCCAGTTGGAAACCAAAGTTCACAAGGTAGAGGACATGAAGAACAGGCAATTCCTCATTAACTGGATCGAGACGGAAGCAAAGCGTCATGGCGAAGGTGGTGCTGGTGGCGGCAGTCTATTTGGCTTGTTTGGGCGCTAGTTTTGAAATCGACACGCGGTATATTATAGAAGAACGACCAATGGCTTGATGTTCTTCGTCTAGGACACGCTCAGAGAAGCTTGATGATCAGTCAGGGCAGAGTGCAATAACTGCTTAGCAAGAGACCAGCTAGAGACCTCTGCTACGAGGCTGCAGCATCATCAATTCTAGAAAGATAGGCAATTGCTTTCACGCATTAATTTGGCAATGATCGTTCAGAGAGAGACATCATGGGGTATATATATGATCTAGTAAGCGAACAACAATGCAGCCGACGAGCGATAAAAACACAAATCATTAAAGCGCCATAAAACGCCGCATGAACCAAGCCTCTCCTCCCTACTTTTTCTTTCGTCAAACATGATGTTGCACAATTCTTCCAGGTTAATTTGCAGCAAGACATTACGCAACCTTCGACAACGGCCGTGCGGAACGTACAAGAAGCACACAATTAGAGGACCGCAGACGTGGGTATCAATATGCAACCCGTGCCAGAATAAAAAGCGCCTAGGCTTGACTAGGCCTGATAATACAGTGCAGATTGGTTAGTAACGGGATTTGGTGCCACATAAACGTTCTGATAAGGATGTGATGGCATGGTGAAATCGGCATTGGCGAACATGGGGTTGACCATGCCAGCAGGAGGTCGGCGCGAAGCTGCTGGAGTCTGTGTAGGCGCAGGTGCAGCAACGGGCGTGATGTTAGTTGAATACTGCCCGTACGGCTGTTGCATTGGCACAGGGCTCGTAAGCAGAGACGTGGAATGGACTGGAGCGATGGGCTGGGGTGGCGGCTGTGGTTCGTCTTGCCAGCCCCATTTCTCCTTGAGTTCTTTGAACACGAAGGCGATACGCCATCCTGTTTCCTTGTTGATTTTCTGGAAGATTTGGAGCACTTCTTCCTGCTCACGTCGATCGGTCAAGCACTCAGCAGCATGCGCCAAAGAACGGATAGCTACACTTGCGACTCCCCTATAGAACGGATCAGTAACAGAACTCGATGGCAATGGACGAAGGTACTAACCTATCCTTGACATGAGCAGTGATGCCACAAATCATCTGTGAATGGCGATGCTGCATGTCGTGCATTTCGGGATTGTCCAGACCAAAGTAGGGATGTATTTGCGAAAGAAGAACCATGACAGTGTGATAGAACAGACGAGCAACAATCGTTGTACGTTTGATCAACCACACCTCTGGGAAACATGACTTGGACGAGGTGTGCTGAGGGTAGAGATAGGCCATAGGATGCATGGTACGGGGAATATTGTCGTTCCAGGCATCGGTCCATGACTTCAGCTTTTGCCATTCAGCATACCTGTTTTGACGACGCATTTCCTCGTCACGCTGATCCGATTCCTGATGCCGAGGTATGGTGGCTCTAAAGTTCGCGACTTTTGCGACGATGTATAGCATACGGTGAGTCCAGATTTCTTCTCGACCGTTGTGAATCTCGCGATTGAAGTCCATATCAATACCCCAGTCATCGGGATCCCAAGCGACCTGCCAATTGAAGTGCAAACAACTTAGGACTTCGAGCCCAACATTGAGCCAGAAACAAGCCGCACCAATGCCTTGAGAACGGGCGTTCCATCCACACTCTTTGATGAGAGCACGGGCGCCAGCAATGTGGTTCATTCTCTGCAATGCTCGCTCGCTCATAATCTCGTAGACATTCAAAATGACGGCAGTAGTAGCACAGACGATGGTGTCACGATTAGGATTCTGGAGGTTCTTCAGCAGATATCTGGTTGCAGTGTCGTAGTAGTGCAGAGCCTTTTCTTCACTGTACGCAGAGTTAACAAGCACTAGATGACGAGCACCGCATGCTAAGAAGGCATTCAACAGCATAGGCTCGCCTAGCGAATGGAAGGGTAGCAAGCGTGAGAACTGCGAGGTATTAGTCGGTGCTCGAGAACGCATGCACAAGGCGTACGTACATGTTTCATAGGATCCATGCTGTCCATCCAGAGACCGACTTCTTCGACGAAGACTTGCATGAACAGAGTCTCCTCTTGGGTTGTAAGAAATTCACGTCTTCCCTCAGTGGTCTCGTCTTGGTCTTGCTGTTGGCTGTAGGCTGATATCGAATTTCTCTGTTGTTGATTCGCGAACGGAGAGTCTTGAGTGGCATGATTGGATGTATTATACGCGCCGTACTTGTGATCGTCTGCCGATGGATATGATTCAGGTAGCATACCCTGAATCGGCGGCAGCGCTTGATATGACATGTTTGGATCAGTTGGAGGGTTCCCTTGAGTTTGTGCTTGGGCATGAGCTTGTGCCTGAGCATGAGCTTGCGCTTGAGCATGTGCTTGAGCCTGAGCATGAGCGTGAGCCTGTGCCTGAGCTTGAGCCTGAGCATGAGCGTGCTGCGCTTGAGCATGGGCCTGAGCTTGAGCCTGGGCGTGTGCGTGGGCCACGGCAGCAGGATTGTATTCGAACATGGACATTGCTGTCATATCGGTGGGTTGTAGATGAGCCTGTACGATGGAAGGCCGCGAAGGGCGCGCATCCTTTGCGCCGTACTTCTCCAACCCTCCAACATACTCAGAAGCAATATCGCGAGACTCGTCCATGAAGTCTACTTTCCATTCCAGCGTGGGAGCCTTCTGCGGCGGACCTTGACAATTTGTGTCGATGAAGTTGAGACGCAGACCACGTTTACATTGGCGGTTGGACTTTCGACAGTTCTGGCAGATGGGAGCTCCCTCGTCGCACTTGAGATGGCGCTCGCGACACGTCAAACAGCCGGTGCGGACGCGCTTTGGTTTGGATACGACAGCTGCAGCTGCATCAGGCGCAGGCACGTCGCCATTGCCTGTTGGCGTCGTCATGAGACTAGAATGGGTCCTTGTTGCTTAGCAGCTATAAGTGAACTGGACCTACTCCTAGCCGGCTGGTCGCGAGCGTCGCTGAGTCGAGTCGTCGAGTCGAGTCGAAACAAAAGCAGTAGGCGACGATCTTGCTGGCGGATGCGGGCACGAAGTTTCCTACTGGACCAAGTCGCGTCAGCTAGGCAGTACTGTCCGCACGACGGCGCGCGCTACAAGGAGGATTGAGTCAAACGAGGTGGAAACAGAGCATCAAGAGTGATGGTGAACTCAAAAGCGCGACGCAAAGGTGGGAAGTCGCTGCCGAAAAGCACGTCTGCACATGCCCTCGTTCTCTCGTTCACGCGCTTGGGCCCGCCTGCGCCTCGCTTCCAAGTTCCGTCTTGCTCCTTCCTAATCCACTGATCCTCCTGTTCCGCTATCGAGCCCTCTTCGTCTTCCCTGTTTTGTGCATGCCCTTGTGCATTTCAGCTCTGATACTGCCTACTCGATCCGCTCGCTTATGCTCCCTGCTGCCATAATTGCTTGCATGTTAAGAATCGTGCAATTCTGCGACACTACCTTGCCTGGTGCTCCTTTCGGCTGCTTGTGCTGAACAGACCCTTTGGCTGCCTCGATTGGCAACCCGAGCCTACACGCGGACGCCTTCCCGCTGTCATCTGTCACTTTGTACCGAGCACCTCTCATGATCTGTACCTGAACAGGTTTCAAAGTCCACACTGCTGCACATGGCTCTACTACAAACTGCTACTCTGCCTCCTGCACAGCCAACCTATGTGCTAAGAGGTCATAATGCACAGATTCACAGTGTTTGCTTTGTGCGTCATAACACCCGTCTCTTGACTGGTGACGCTGAAGGCTGGCTCGTCCTATGGAACCTTGCTTCCAGGCGACCTGTCGCTGTATGGAGGGGTCATTCTGCTGCTATTCTAGCCCTCTCAAGTTGGGCAGATGACAGGCTGATTACGTGAGTGACAGGCACATGTTATTTTCATCATCTGCCATTATGCTGATGAGCTCTCAGGCATGGGAGAGACAGTAAATTGCATGTTTGGCAACTGAAAGCATCAGACGAATCCACCTTCTCTGTTGTTCTTCCCGTAGAAGACGCTATTGCACCCCGTCATGAGCCATGGCTGTTGCATACGATTTCGGTGAACACTCTCAACTTCTGTTCATTCTCCGCATGTGAAGTCTCTCCATCAGAAGCTGCTCAACTATGTCCTGATACCATCGATAAAGCCCTTCTTGTTGCTGTTCCAGGAGATACTGAAGGCGATGTTGACGTTTATTCTTTGCCCTCTAAAGCAAAGCTCAGTACTATCCGTGCCCCTAGCACTACCAAGCTAGGTAAGATCTTTTCTGTTCCTTTCTCCCTGCATTGTTGCTGATAACGCCAAAGGCATGGCCATGTGTGTGAAGATCTTGAATCAGGATGGTCAACTTGTGTTAATAGCAGGCTATGAGAGTGGGCATTGCTGTCTGTGGCGTTCCGACCCAGAAAAAATCCAATGGACCTTGCTGTCAACCATCAAAAGTCACAGTCAGCCAATTCTCTCACTAGATGTCGCGCGTGGTCTTCAAAGATACTATACATCTGCTGCAGACGCTACTATTGCTTGCTACACTCTTACAGACCTGACAGCATCTCAGCCTACCAAGACAGCTCAAACCAAACACTCTGGCCAGCAGTCTCTTCATGTTCGATCTGACGACAAGATCTTTGCCACAGCCGGTTGGGACGGATGTGTACGCGTGTACTCTGCAAAAACCATGCGTGAACTTGCTGTGCTAAAGTGGCACAAGCAGGGCTGCTATGCCCTAGCATTTGCAGACCTTTCCTCAGGAGAGACCGAAACTCCGGCAGCTGGAAACACAAATTCAGACCAGGCACAAGCTTCTACTTCGCTTCAAACAGTCGGACAGAGACGCGAGACTAAAGCTCAGACAACACACTGGATAGCTGCAGGGTCAAAGGATGGAAAAGTTTCGCTTTGGGATATCTATTGAAGAAAGGAAAGAAGTTGGCGATTAGCCAAGGTTGAACTCCGAAGCACCACCACCCATCATGGCCTTTGTCTTTGCGCGCATTATTCTAGCTGCTTCCTGAGCATCAGTCATCTGCGGACCGTCGTCTCCATCGGTTGCAGATCTCTTTTCGCCCGAACTCTTTGCACCCTTGACATTAGCTTTATGACGAGAGTCCTTGGACCTCTTGGCATCATCCTTGCCAGGACGCAAACCGGGCACCTTGATGCTACCAGGCTTGTCTCTAAGCGCAAAGGCCTTAGCCAAGTGTCCGAGGTGAAGAGTCTTGATGTTGAAGATTTCTCGCTCTGCCGCTACATGGGTGGCGTAAGCTCTGATGTGACTTTGGTATGCGCGACGAGCCTGCTCGAGATGCTTCGGGTTCTCAAGGGCCCATCTTTCAACATCCAACTGCCAGTCAGTTGCCTTCTCCTCCCATTCACGACCAGAAGAGACTGTGCCCGTAGTTGGCGTTAGACCCTTCTTCAAAAGTTCAACAGCATCGTGTCGAGTAAGACCATGTCCTGCGTCTCTTCTGTCTTCTTTTAAAATGTCGACATATCCTTCCTCGTTACCAGGTTGAAGGAAGATCAAGGCTCGTCCGTCACGTCCTGCACGAGCGGTACGTCCGATACGATGGAGGTGATCATCTTTGCTGAAAGCGGGATCGTATTCAATGACAAAGTCGACATTTGGAAGATCCAGACCACGAGAAGCAACATCAGTACATATCATGACCGAAGCATCCTTGTTGTTGGTGAAAGCCTTGAGCGTAGATGTACGAATATTCTGAGGGAGCGATCCGTGCATGCGGAAAATGGAAACATCATTGTCTTTACCAGAAATGATTGGTGAAATGGCTTCAGTGCACGCATCGTCGATCGAACCTCCTTGTCTGATCTTGCCTGGGGCCAGCTTCTTTTCGTAGTTTGAAAGTTCTTTCTCCTTCTCTTTATTCGCTGGGGTCGTGATGGGGTTCATTTTATCCAGGTCAGATAGTTCAGGGTTCTTTTTCCTTTCCTCCTTGGCCTCGGATCCAGTAATTTTCTTTTGTCCACCACGTGTCAGGACCTCGAAGTGGAAATCCACTGAATCTGCGCATGACATGAACACGATTGTCTTCATAACAGATCCTTTCCTGGCGAAAGATCGACGGAGAATGGCGGCAAGTGTGACCAGTCTCAACTTTGCAGGAACGACAGCGTATGACTGCTTCAGCTGAGCGGGTGCTGAGAATGCATGACCGTTCTTCTCTGCGTCCTCAGCATCTCTAGGCTTTTCGGCAGAGATTGACACAGCCTCTTTCAACGTGATGTTACCCAGTCTCTCAACGTCCATCTTGATGGTTGCGGAACACAAGACCGTTGTTCGTTTCTCAGGCAGTCCAGGGATAGGGTTTTGCTGTACTTTTCGCATACGCAGATTCATCAGAGAGACAATCTTCTGAATGTCGTTCTCGAAACCAAGCTCCATCAGACGATCACCTTCATCCAACACTAGCCATCTTACGTTACTGACATCCAGTCTCTCTGTGTGCTCCAGGTGATCGACCAGACGACCAGGAGTAGCGACCAAGATGTTCAAGCCCTTTCTTAACCTGGCCTTTTCGGACTGTTTCTTCTCTCCACCGATGACGGTTCCAGCAACAATCCAGTGGGCAGCTCCAAGTAACGACTCGAGGACAGTAGAAATCTGCTTGCTGAGTTCTCGCGTAGGCGCCAGAATGATGGCAAACAGTCCAGAATCTCGTGTCAGACCACCGGTGCCTCCATTTGCTTTCCTTGCAGTCTCTGACATGGTGACTAGGCGTTGTACGATAGGAAGGAGGTAAGCCAGTGTTTTACCAGAACCAGTCTCGGCCTGAATGAAAGCGTCCGAGTCGTCTTTCACTAATTGTGCAACAGCTTTTGCTTGAATGGCTGTGGGGGCCTTGATACCCATCTTTTCTAGCAGATGGCGAGCAACGTTCGGTGACAAGCCTAAGGAAGTGAATGTATCGAGTTCGGAGCTCAGGGGAGCGTTCGAAGGCTGTATAGGTTCTGCGTCTTCCGCTTCCTCCTCTTCTTCAACGGGAGCAGTCGTGGCAGTTGGGTTGTATGTGAACAGGGACGAGATGACTTCTTTCGGACGTTGTCGTGGGGCATTGGTGCTATCTCTTGGACCGGTGCGGCCAGTAGTATGAGTGGGTTTGTACTCTCCTCCGTCGGTTCTTTGGCGCTTGAAGGGGCGAGGTTCGGAATTTGAGCCTGATCGTACATCGTTCTTTGCATCATTCTCCTTCTTATAATCCGGGTTGTTCTTGTTCTGGCCATATTGCAAGGCCTTTTTCGCAGTCAAACGATCCTTCCAGCGGCCACCCTTGTATGCGGTAGTTTTGGGAGCCCACGGTTGATCGCCAACCGCGAAGTTCAAAAGCATTCCATCGTCGGCCATTGTGAATGCGAATAGTATGTGTCGACACAAAAAGTTGATGCAGCGTCTGGAAAATTTCCAGGCTGCCCCAAACGGGAAGATTCAAGAAACTCTGCCGCAATCTGGGGGAGTCGAGCTTGGACCAGGCACATGTCCGCAACTCTCTCCCGAGCTGCCTCGGTGCCTTATCGTTGTCTTCTTCATCTGCCCTCCATCGAAAGTCATGCAAGAATTGATGATATGCTGCTGGGGACATCTTGTGCTTGAACTACCAAGGTAATGTTCAACATCATAAAGCCTCGTGTTCCCGGATCATCACAGTGACACTTCTATTGGCTGCCTGAGATTGCTTTACAGCCACGCGCCGCTCTCTGATCAACAGATATCCACTTCAGCTGAGTCCAGCAAGCCCACACGCCAGCTCTCGTTGGTAAATAGATATGGTCTCGCTCATCGCCGAATAACTATGTTTCAGATGGGCCATGGGTTTGCTGATCTGCGTATGTGGCAGCGCTGAGACACGAGAAAACCGTTGAACCATGACGTGTGTCCAACATTGCCTACATGCTGATATGCGTCCTGTGCCGCTCCTTCGTGACCTGCATATCAGAAAAAAATTATATCCTGCTCTCTAACACCATGGCTCTCACAGTCTTCAACATGGCCCAGCGAATGCGAGCAGTACAGTATACCTCGGTCCAGGGAGGGCTTGAGAAGAATCTACGCTATACCGAAGGTAGAACAACTGTTTCCTCGTCCTTATTTGCATGATTCTGATTGTTCAAAGATGCATTGACTCCTCCCCACGATGAACAAATGCAACGCGGAGACCACATTATGGTCGAAGTCATTTCTGCCTCCATCAACCAACTGGATTGGAAGACGGCCGAGACTCCTGTCATCGGAAAAGCTTTGACTTACTCCCTTACTTCTTCCGCCAAAATACCTGGCATGGACTATTGTGGAAGAATCAAATCAACGGGCTCTATCATTGATAGCTTCAGCATTGGCGAACTGGTCTATGGACGCTTAACCAGACCCACATCTTCAGGCACTCTGGCTCAATATGTAAGAATCTTGAGTTGAAGAGTCAGAATGATGGTATACTGATTTATGCTAGGTCAATATCGATCCCGGAACTTGTATACCACTTCCAGAAGGAGTTAACCCAGACCATGCTGCTACGCTTGGTATTGCTGGAGAGACCGCTTATCGTAGCATCGTGCCAAATGTGCACACGGGCGACAGGGTCTTCATTAACGGAGGCTCGTCAGGCACAGGTACCTATGGGATTCAGATTGCCAAACTTTTGGGCTGTCATGTCACCGTGTCCTGCTCAACATCGACCATCGAACTTTGCAAAGAGCTTGGTGCAGACGAGGTTTTCGACTATACAAAATCTGAAGATCTGATTGCCGATTTAATTGAGATTGGCAAGACAGAGCCCTTCGACCTTGTGGTAGACGATGTTGGACAGCCTGAGGATCTTTACAAAGAGTCACACTCCTACCTCAAGCCAGAGGGTAAATTCATCTCGATCGGTAGTAAGAACGACATTGTCTCACTGGCAGCACGTACGCTTCCGACGTTCTTGGGTGGTGGCAGGCGCAGGTCGGAGCAGGTCCACGTTTTGCTTGGATCACATCGGGATGATTTGGTGCAGCTTGGAAGATGGATGGCTGAGGGCAAGATCAAGGCTGTCATTGACTCAACTTATCCTCTGGCAGATGCAGCAGAGGCGTATGCAAAGTTGAAGGGTGGTCATACGCATGGAAAGATTGTGATTCGGGTGGGTGCGAAGAAATGAACTGGGCTAGAAGGTCTCTCGCATGTACAATAATCAGACTAGACAAGCTTTAATCGGTCTTTATCGTTGTCGCAATAATGATGAAGGGAAAGTGTGATCAGAAGCTAGGCGTATTTTGAAGCACAAGCTGGGTATTGCCCATACTCAAAACCACCGCGTACTGTGTATACTCGACAACAAGCAGCTGCAATTTCCACCTGCCAAAATGCTGCCCATGGGTTGAAAAATACGAAGTCGACCTCGCAGCGCGGGGACAAGCGATCCAAAGACCAAGCAAGACTTCCAGTGTCAACACAACACAGTTGAGCAGCAGCGGCGCAACAAGATGGCCTTCCCGCGGTTCCGCTCCTTCCAAGGTATATACTGCTTATTTCCGCACTCCTTTCACGAGGCACTATCTAACAGCTCATAGCGGTCTCACAATGCCTCCCATATACGCCGAGCGTCGTCAGACGTGCGATACACACCTTCCGCGAAGTCCAGCCCCTCCGCACATTTAGAAAAGAGCTTCAGGCATCTCAAAGGACAGTGGGCTTCGTCCCAACCATGGGCGCATTGCACGAGGGTCACATCTCATTGATGCGTCAAGCTGCTGCTGAGAACACCGATGTATTTGTGAGCATATACGTCAATCCCACTCAATTCGGCGTCAATGAGGATCTGGACAGCTACCCGAAGACATGGCAAGAAGATATGGATAAGCTACAAGCTCTCAACAAGGAACTACAGACCAAGGAAGGCTCTGGGAAAATCACTGCCATCTTTGCACCCATCACCAAGACCATGTACCCGACACTACCTCCAGCGTCTGAGATCAACGGTCCAGGATCCTTCGTTACAATCACACCTCTGGGGAGCCTGCTTGAAGGTGCCTCGCGCCCAGTTTTCTTCCGCGGTGTTGCTACCGTCTGTATGAAGCTGTTCAACATTGTCATGCCCGAACGCGTCTACTTTGGACAAAAAGATGTTCAGCAGACGGTTGTTATCAAGCGCATGGTGAAAGACTTTCACCTTGACACCGAGGTCAAGATTGGACCTACAGAACGTGAGGCCGATGGTCTAGCCATGAGCTCGAGAAACGTCTATCTAGGTGCAAGGAGAAGGGAGGTGGGTGTGGTCTTGTCGCGTGCTCTCAAAGCCGCCGAGAAGAAATATCTGCAAGGCAAGCGTCTTCGTGCTGATATCCTGTGGCCTGCAAATGAGGTCTCAACAAGCAAGATGATGGAACAGGACGACCTGCCTCCATCGAAGCGAGCGAGAGTCGAGGTAGACTACATCTCGCTGGCAGACCCAGATACAATGGAAGAGATCGAGGTTGTAGATGCCTCCAAGGGTGCAATTCTCAGTGGGGCTGTCAAGATGCTGCCTCTAGAAGAACCTCAAGAAGGAGAGGATTGTGGTCTAGGAGGTGGCGCTGTTCCCGTCAGACTGATTGACAACATTATCCTACAACCGATGAACTAAGCAAATACTAATACAGGGCAATGAGCCCAAGGACGTCTTGTCCAAGAAGAAATACTCTCGTGAAGATGAGTCATGTGTCTCAATATTGCATGAACAGGTCGCCAAATATGGATGTTACTCAAGATAGTATGTCGATTATCGACAGACCCGATGTACAGTACAATCAACCAGCCTTGTGTTCCCTCGGAGTGTTTGACATGCTAGAAACATGGAAATAACAAACAACGGCAAGTCGGTGCACGATGTCGCCGGCCAATGCTGATGATGGTTCGTCGATCTCTGCCGAGACTCGAAGTCCGTAGCGGGGAAGCCTTTTTCAACACCTCATGACGACTTTGCTGCATATCTGCATGCTCAATCCTTGGTTACTCTGCCGTTTGACTGCGAGAACGACAAGGCTTCCGCCATGTGGTTTTCACGGCGCACTGCCTGATGTTGCACCACCAACTAAGCCGCAAGCAATGCGAGGCGAAGGTGGACGAGTCCTTCAGCAGTCTAGGAACTACTGGGTTGAGACAGAGATGGTGCTCGACAGCAAAGACGCTAGAGAGCTAAAAAGTCTGTCTTGACAAGCCATTGTCGTGAATTGTAAGGTCCACAGACGCTGTATGAATCCTGGTCAAATCGTCTTCAGTACATGACTCTTACGTACGTCGGCTCTCCAACCCAACCACCTCGACCATAGGGCGAGACCAATGATGCCACTGCGCGTGCTACCCTCCCTTAGCAACAGCCCAACTCTGTTGGTATGTCCTTCAAGGTAAGTTTAGTCAATCGGACAACCGGCATCAGCATCCCGCCGATGGATGCCTTCCATACAATGCGTAAGTGTGGTGGAGCAAAATGGTAAGTGTTCTGACCTTGGTTTGCTATGTGTTTCTTCTTCTCCATTTCTTCCCAGCCGCTGCCTTTTCCTCTCCTGCATTCTTTGACAGCCCTTGGTGATTCCTGATGGTCAGTAGTGTCCGAAACGTTTCTGCATCTGCTTGTGCAGGAACAAAGATGTGATATGTGATGGATGGGTCTAACGACGATCCCAGGCTTTCAAGCGTGAGAGTGCGCCATATCGGCCAGAAGTCCAAGCTTTGGGTGGCATACCAACAAAGGCCGTCGACATACCAGTATGCTCTGTCTTTATGGTCCTGTACATCATTGCTGGTGCCTTGCACATGGCAACCTTCCAGAAAAACAAGAAGAAGGGAAAGAAGTTCATCTTTGGTGGAATGATGTTTGGTAAGACTAAGCACTTCTTCTAACCTTCACATCCAACAGCATAGCTGACCCTAGCGTCTAGGTCTCTGTAAGATCCGCATCGTAACACTGAGTCTTCGAATGGCATGGGCATGCTACCCGCAAAGTATTCGATTGGGCATTGCAGCACAGGTCTTTGTCAACATTGGTGTCGTCTTGCTGTACTTTGTCAACCTCTTCTTCACACAGCGCATCGTCAGAGCTCAACATCCCAACTTTGGCTGGAGCAAATTCTTCTCACCACTAATCCCTATTGTTTGCGTCATCACTGTCTTGACGATCATCGCTCTGATCGTTGGTGTTATTCAATCTTTCTACACCTTGGACACCAACATTCATCGGATTGACCGGATCATTGAGCTTTATGGATCAACAGCGTTCTCTGCCATCGCCTTCCTTCCCATTGTCATTGTCTCTCTATCGACACTTGCACGACTAATTCCCAGCATACGCGGACAAAAGGCAATAGACAAGTTTGGAGAAGGTAAAATGAGCACGAAGATCATCATTGTACTGGCCGCTGCGGTGCTTCTAACGCTTGCCGCTTCCATCAAGGCTGGCACTGGATACTTGCCACCCATTCCTCTCGTCAGCAACAGCAACCCACCGGTAGCCGAACCCACACCTTGGTACTTCAACCGCGGTATCTTCTACGCCTTTGGTTTTGGTGTTGAGATCATCATCTTGTTCTTCTTCATGGCTGTGAGGGTAGACAAGCGCTTCATCATCCCAGATGGCGCAAAAGGACCCTACAGCTACGCTGGCGGCTTCGTCTTCGCTGGCGAAAGCGGAAACGAGAAGTCCAGATTGGGCCAGCGCGATTCTACTCGCAACCTCACGGGCAGCTCGCAATCGTTGCAGTCGTGGGGTGGTTCGACCCGTCGCGGAAGAAGCAAGGCTCCTTCTGTCATCAGTTGGGGTGGCATTAGTCAGGCAGATACCGAGATGGGGGTGGGCGAGGATGGTATCGAGCCTATGCCTTATGTAACGGCCGAGGATGGCGAAATTGCTAAACCTGCGAATATTGGAGGTGCTGAACAAGAGATGGGCTGGGATTCGAAGAGCGGAAAGTGGAAGCTCAGGCCTGTCTCCAACATGTCTGCAGTCTCGACTGCTATGCCAGCAGTGCCCAGAGAGGACGTCTAGATGTTGGATGCGAATTTGGAGGATCGATATTTCCAGATGTCTCAGCCAATTGAACTTCTGGGCAACAGGCGTTTTTCAGCAGTCGAGCGAGGAGTTTTTGTTTGTCGTGGTGTCGTTCTGGGTTCTTGTAAATATCTCTTGATGAATTCACAAATCAGTAGTTAGTTTTTCCTGATGATTCTGATGCCATTGTCATTGCCGGTCGATTGTTTGTTGAGGAAGGCAGCCTGCATCGCCTCTAGATCTTCATCATCGTCGAGATCATCGCCAGACACCTGCGTATCTTGTCCTGATGAAGGTTCTTGTGCAGGCACACGTCTGACTTCGGGCTGGCCTGCTTGGCGAGCTTCTTCTGCTTTTTGGTCCTCGATCTGCTGCCTTTCCATCTCGTCAAACTCATCACGTCTGTCGATCCAACGTTCTTGGACGTCTCTGACATCGATCTTTCCACCCCAGCCTTCTTGCATGGCAACTTGCCAGACCGAGTCATTTGTGCCCTTGTCTGTGCCAAAAACATAGCCACTAGCACGGTCAATAGCGTGCAGCAAGTTTGTCATAGAGACCTTGTCCTCAACGGCGAGAGTCTCAAAAGCGACAAGGCCAAAGTCGCCAATCAGTTGGATGAGGGCTTCGTTGAGGGCTGTAAATTTTGACTCTGGCAGTTTGGGAATGTCGCTATTTCCAGCACGTTCCTCCAGGTTCTGGACAGAAGTGTTGTTCTGTTCGGCCTCGAGATGTGGTAATAGGTAGTCGAGGTCTTGAACTTCGGTGTAATAGTCTAAATTGAATGGCAGAGGCTCAGAGTTCTTTGCGAGATTGTCGATCTTGGTCAAGACGTTGACCAGAGGGAATGGAAGATGGAGCATGCTGCGAAGGCATAGCAGTAACGAGGAGACATACAAGGTAGGACGTGAGAGGGTGAGAGAATCGAGGAGATGAACAACAATCAGCTGGAACGAGTTAGTCAGGCAAAGAGTGGGTGTGAAGAGAGAGAGAGGCGGACTCTGTAACCAATCTTCTCGAGACGGTGGAACAATTTGGGCATTGTATTGTGATGTGTAAATAGTTCGACCTGGCCAGGACAGTCGAAGAGGATATATGAGTCGTTGAGTTCTTTCAAGCCTTCTTGGAGCCAGTCAAAGTTCTCTTGCAGCTCCTCGAGAGCGTACATGACACCACCATTAGGACCAAGCTCTTCCTGTTCCATGACTTCCTCCAGCGAGACCAGGTCCCGGATGTCGAGGGCGCATGGGTACGAAGTTTTGTCGTTGGCAGGGTCGAGGTTGACGACGGCGCATTTGCGATCGATGGCCGTGAGGAACTGATGCATGCCATCGCAGTACGTCGACTTGCCCGCACCTGGCGGACCGATGACTAGTTGTGCGAAAGGCATGCTGCTGAGACGTGACAGGTGTGATGGCGAAAGAAACAAACAACGAATCAATAATTGTTTGCAATGACGATCAAGTGCCCCGCAAAACATTCGAGGCCCACGAGAAGCTCCCACTTGGGACTCTCAAGTTGCTCCATGTCCATCTTCCACACGACATCATCACACAACAATGAGTGGTATTTCTCCTTCTAGTCTGGTCTCTTCTGCGCTTACTAACTCTCTGCCACAGCTCAAATAGAACTCGCAGATGCGCCATCCGATGCCATCTCTGCTGTCCGCTTCGCGCCTCAATCACCGAACCGTCTGCTAGTCGCATCCTGGGATCGCAATGTCTACCTCTACGACACAAAGACTGGAGAACAGGGCAGCTTGTTGCAAAAGATACAGCATCGCGCTCCCGTTCTGGACATTTGCTTCGGCGACGACGACTCGACTGCTTTCAGCGCTGGCCTCGACTGGGACGTCAACAGAATCAACCTTGAAACCGGCGAGAAGACTGTCATATCGTCACACCAGGCCGGTGTCAAGTCTATCGTCTACTCGGACAAGCACAACCTGCTCATCTCGGCCTCGTGGGACAGCACCCTCCACGTCCACATACTCAACAATGGCAACGTCGCCCATGCTCCCTCGACCGTTCCCCTGCCATCTAAGCCCTTCTCCATCTCACTAACCCCTACGAAACTCGTTGTCGCTATGGCTTCGCGCCAGATCTTCATCTACGACTTGGCTGCTCTCAAAATGCTCACCTCGCAATCCGCTCCTTCAGAAGAAACAGGCAACCAGAGCACCCTCGAGGTTCAACCATGGCAGCAACGCGAGAGCAGTCTCAAGTTCATGACCCGCGCTGTCTGTTGTATGCCCAACGACCAGGGCTATGCACTTTCGTCGATTGAGGGCCGTGTCGGTGTTGAGTGGTTCGATCCCTCGGCTGAGTCTCAAAGTCGCAAGTACGCTTTCAAATGCCACAGACAGGCCGACGATGGCGTCGATGTTGTCTATCCTGTCAACGCTTTAGCCTTCCACCCCGTACACCAAGGAACTTTCGTCAGTGGAGGTGGTGATGGCTTCGTGGTACTATGGGATGGCGTCACCAAGCGCAGAATCAGGCAGTACCAGGCATACCCTTCCAGTGTCTCGAGTGTCTCATGGAGCTCCGACGGCAGATATCTAGCCATTGCCATCAGCCCTGGCTTTGAAGATGGAAACGAGGTTATTTCCGAGGGTCAGGTCAAGCTGTTCATCAGAGAACTCGCAGATGGAGAAGCAAAGGGCAAGAGCGCCAAATAGACATGGCAGATGACGAAGGAATTTAGAAAAAAATGGTCTTTGATACATTAGCGTAGGCGTTTTAACGTCCTTGTTTTCCCAAGGGCTTGATATGGAAATTTAACATCCTCTCTGTTTCCCGTTCTCTTCAATCTTGGTCCACTTCGTCTTCGTCGTCGTCGCTTTCGATGCCTATAGATGCTCCTGCTCTTGTATTGCTTGCCGCACTGTCACTTCCAAGCATCTTGTCGAGTGTAAAGTCGGAGCCTCTTCCTTGTGCCGTCGCTCGTAGAATTGCAGCCTTTGCTCTTCTGATAGCTTCCTCTTCGGCCTTGCGAATGGTTCCAGACACTCTGACGACCTGAATAACACAGGCTTGATCGATGGGTCGCGGTAACCGGGTAACGAAACTCAGAGCGGCCCACACTAGACGATAGTGCGCGCGTGATACTCGAATTATAGCAGTAGAAGTGGCAGGAGATAGGTATTTCACTATCGAAGGTCAGCTTCTTTGTTCGACGCTGTAGTGGTGGTGGTTCAAACTCACCGACAAGACTGCTAGCGATCATGCCGCTGCCATAGTCTCCAAACAGTTCTGCAACACCATCTCTGATTATGCGTGCCAGCAATTGGGCATTGAGTTTGTCCGATGAAGGACGGCGGAAAGATACGACATCTGGGATTTGTCCGTCTCTTGTCGTGGACTTTGTGGGAGTGTCTGATTCGGGGTACAAAATGTTGACGAGCAGGTAGCGGTGCTTCAATCGGACCATGATGACGGATGTAGGCGCGTGTATCGAGCGCTGGGTTTTGTTCTTGCTGATGATGCAATCGGCATCTTATGTGCAATCAAGTCATGGTTGGTCAGGAAAATTGGTTGCTTCAAAGTTCACGAGGGCTGCGATTCACATCAAGGTCGAAGCTTGGCGACGATGCAAATGGACTTTTTGGCATGTCGTTTCTCGACAGATATTTGGGTATCTTCTAAGGCTTCGAAATAGGGTATCTATGCTAGTTCGCTTGTGAAAGTTGTCCGCTCAAGCACGCTTGGTTCTCTTCTTGCGCTTCTTGTTCTTCTTTGACTTTTTGCTCTTCTTGACGACGGTCGGTGGTGCAATCACGTTGCCCTCGTCATCCAGCTCTTCCTCGCTTTCATTGTCAGACCCGTCCTCATCCTCATCCGAGTCAGAACCTTCTGCGTTCTGTTTTGCTAGCCTCTGTTCTTCCTTCCTAGCCTTCTTTTCCTCCGCTTGCTGCTTCAATTTCTCCTCCCTTCTAATGGCGGCTCCATACTTTTGCTTGACTTCCTTCTCAAATGCCTCCTTTTCAAGCTTGAACAACATCATGGTTGCTCTTGCATCCTCAACTGAACTGTGCTCTCCAGCTTGAATTTCCATACCAAGGTACTCCTTAGCTAGCTTGCGCAGGGCGGGTGCTCTACCCATTGACATCTTGCGGAATGTCGAGTGTCTGGATGTATCACGAATATCTCTTTTCGGGTGTGAGAGCAGCAGCACATCCAAATCGTTCTTGACTGCGTGTCCAATCAAGATCTTCCCTTCCAGCAGTGCGGCCACCTCTTTCTGTACTTCGGAGAATGGGCGAGCGACGTCTGGTCTCAGGTGATGAGGTCGAATACCACTGACAAAGGTGCGGTAATCTGTAACTTCGACGCCTGGTACAGGCTGTACAAAACTATCGTAAATCTGTTCGCCGTGGAAGTTGACGATGGACACGCGCGCGAGGACGTTGTCGTCGAGAGGACCAGTGCCGACCATTTCACAATCGATGGCTAGGAACTTTCCGGGCTTGTGTGTAGGGTGAAGACCTTGGTTGACCAGAGAGTCGGTAGAGGTGCGTGTAGAAACGACATCCTCAGGGTTAGTGGAAGGTTCGGCATTGGATGCGCTTCTCGGTGTCGAAGCTGATGACTTTGAAGAAGAAACGCCCATCTTGGATCTTCTCTGAGCAAAAGATGGCTTGCTCAGCTCAGTTCTTGGTCTCTTTGTTCCATTCGAGGAGCTGTGGAACTTCTTTGGCTTTTCGTCTTGCGACTCGGTTGTCCTCTTGCGCTTCACGCCCAGACTCGAGTCATCGGACTTGGGTTTCGGTTTGAGTGTCTGCTGTAGTCTCTTCCAATTGCTCGACAGATTTGCGACTCCGACCTGAGCCATGATTTCTTGTTCGATAGTTTGGTCTGATCTGGGGAATCTGTCTAGCACTTTTTTCTCCAGCGCCGCGCTGCCGGCCCGACCATGCGCGGCGGCGGCTTAACGCCGGCTTGGCTCATCGACACTCTATCACATGCCAGATCTTCAAGATCATCAGGTACAGTATCTTCGTCAAGTTCTCGTCATCTCTCACAACAATCTCGGAGGAAGATAGAAGATGGAAGATGGTACAAGTATTCTTGTGACCTCGTTTAGGTAAGAAAGCTGAAACTATGCATCACTGTGGTTGATCACAAGTATTCCGACTCGTGCAAGCTTCAGGTCGCTTTCACATGCAAGACATCACGTCATGAAGGGTCAACAGATTTGAGAGATTCAGGTTGTTGGTATATTTTCTAGCCACTTCCCTGCTTGCTATCTTCCTAGGGTCTTCTATCACATACAGCCATGCCGTCTATTATAGAACTTGGAGCTCCTGACCGCAAGAACGGCGACTTGACAGTCACTGGCGACTCAAATGCGCTGCTATCTCTACTCAAGGACCAGATTAGCGCTTTTCCTCCTGGCAAACAATACAGCATTGCCATCAAAGAAGTACCCGTCACTGTCGAACGTCTGCCTTACTACCCAAAAGATGGTGACCGTCTCCAAGATCCTGGGACCGCCAGGGCAAACATTGCGGCTTCCAACGAGAGCCCCAACGGAACCTCTCAGGACGACTGGGCTCAGAACCACCAGCACCAAACAGTAGGTTTCGTCCTCTGCATTCACGTCAAATAGCATTCCTAAAACTATCTATAGGTTGTGCAGCAGCACGTTGTTTACTGGGACAAAGACCAAGATGGCATCATCTGGCCTCTGGATACCTACCGAGGCTGCCGTGCATGGGGCTGGAATCCAATTCTCTGCTTGCTCGCAACTTTCCTCATCAACGTCAACCTTTCCTACCCTACTTCTCCTTCCTGGATTCCTGACCCTTTCTTCCGTATACACATCTCGAACCTCCACAAGGACAAGCACGGCAGCGACTCCATGACTTATGACAACGAGGGAAGATTCAGTCAGTCTCTCTTCCAATCGGATATATCGCTTTCACTCCTTTGCTGACCTCTGTAGGACCTCAAAACTTTGAGGATCTCTTCGCAAAATACGATCGTGGCAACAAAGGTGGCCTTGACGCTTGGGATCTGGTTAGAATGCACAAGGGCCAAAGAATGGCCATGGATTTCTTCGGTTGGAGTGCATCCTTCTTCGAATGGCTCGCAACATATCTCTTACTTTGGCCTGAAGATGGCATCATGCGTAAAGATGATGTTCGCAGAATCTACGATGGCAGCATCTTCCAGTTCAAGGCCGACGAGTATGCCGAGAAGAAGAGAGATTACGGCCGTGCCAACAGGAGCATAGAGAGAAGGAAGAAGCAAGCTTAGATGCTGGTGGAGCAAATGACACACAGACAAAATCACAAGTGAGAAGACTTCAGCCGCTGATAGATATCATGATATAGATAGCAGGGATTAATGCGCGTTGTAATAAGAACCACACTCTAAATAGAATGCATGAATACTGTGCTAATTTAATGAAACGCTTTACTCGACATCTAGATTCTCCTGATAGAGCGAAAACTCCACCATTCGCTTAAAGTGCTTCAGATCTTTCTAGTTCCAGTCGGGAACCACTCTCTTTGCATAACGCATAAACTTCCAGAAGCCGACTGCCCACTCTACACTGCCCTCAGGATCGGTGACTCGCTCGGGCCATGCAATGCCAGCACCGAAGAGTCCAGGGATCTGTTTTCCGTCCACGTTTCTGAAAGCGCCTGTATCGGGCTGGTAGTTGTAAGTGATGTCAGAGCCAGTAGCATCCTTGAGTCCAGGCAGGGGATCTCTTGTGTAGCCAATGGCTTGCACGTAGCGATTACAACCCGGGAGATGCTTCTCGTAAGTTTGAGTCTCGTTTTCCTTCTCATAAGCAATCTTTGAGATGAACTTGCTGACAGGAGACGACTCGAACTTCTCGGGCTCCAGGTTCTCCTTGGCCCATGCTGCTGCTGCACCCTTCAGACCAGTATTGTCACGTCTGATCCAGCCGTCCATGAACTCGGCATATCGAAGAGGATGTCTTGTGAACCATTTGACCCGTAGATCAGGGTGAGTAGTGGAAGCAAGATTGTAGAGGTTGATGAGCACTAAGACGGCACTGTGAGATGCTCCAATCACAGCGACAGTCGTAGGCTCGTTAGGGATGGCTTTCGCCAGCAAAGTTGGGCTAAGAGCATGGTCTAGATCTAGAGCTAAAAGATCTGGTACTTCAACGGGAAGTTGTTGGTTTGTCGGAGAAGAGCCGGTGCAAAGAATCATTCTGGATGAAATAGCCTTGCTCGTTTCGCCATTCGATAGCTTGACATTGACAACCCAGTCGTTCGTCTCGCTGAGGATTGCTTCAGTCACCCGACCTTGGCGGGCTTCAACACCGGGTGCCTTCTTCAAGCCTTCGGTGAGCATGAGGCACATGTCTGCGGCATAACCGAGATCACATCCAGTGTCTTGAGGAAGACCTCGAAGATAGTCGACTGCATGAGGTGATGGCGTGTCCTTGATGATTTTCTGAAAGGGTGATACGGCCTCTGCGAAGTCCACAAATAATTTGACCTTGGTATTTCTGTCTTTGTTAGTGACTGTATAGAGATAATCAAGCAGAAAGATGGTCTTACGATGGAACCTCTCTGTATGCCTTGTTCACTCTGCCAGCCTCAAACAGATCATCAACCCAAAGTACTGGTCCAACCTTTCTTTCCAAAAGGTTTCCAAGTACTGTAATTCCTGCAGGGCCACCACCACAAACCACTGCAGCATACTTTGTTCTGTGAACGGACATGTCTGATACAAATCGTGAGGAATAAAATGGCTTAAAAGAGGATCCCAGAGATGTGCTATCTCTCAAGCATTTCAATGGGAGTGTCCCCGAAGAACCGCTCAATGCTCGGCGAGGAAGCGATCCTCCAGGGACGCGCCATGCTTGATTGCTGGAGTATGCACGACAGATTGGCTGCTGGCGAGGGCATGCACGTGTAGCGAGCACTGCCGCTGCATGTGATGATCTTGGTGACATGGGGGGTTGATACGAAGTAGAGTGTGCAGGCGTGGCGAGGTTCTGACTGGTTGATAAATGATTATGGTAGACACCGATTCAAGGGTCTACGCACGACCCGCAACGAGTTTCGTTTCCATCATGTTCGCAACTTTCTTCCACTGTTTCAGGACGACTCTTCTTGCCAGAATCGACCACCTACGTACGCGTACCATGTCTTTCTTTGATTATCAATTCCTCTGGTGGTTCATGCAGACCCATTGCTAGTCCCAAGAGCGCCTTGCTTCTGTCTGCCACTTTCTCACGATTGTTCACAAGCGATCGTGCGGGCTTCTTCCGCTGTCCCCAATCCTGAGTGTCCCCGAAGCATATCGGCGAGCTTGTTCTGTACCCAACCGGGATTGTCTAGGAACGTAGTAGCAGAAAGAGCGATTTATCTCATGAGTATCTTTGGATGCAGCCGAGGCCCTCTTTGCAGGCTCTCGAAACGAATAGACAAGAAGACACCTCCCGTCAGGAACGATACTGGCATCTTCGATTCAGTGTTCACCTTGATTACATCCTTCCGAGCAGCAATGCGTTGTGCCACTCACAAATATAAAGGTTTGAAGAGCCTCCCTGCTCAGCTCTCTCATTCAAATTTGTATTCGAATGGTCTGCTTTTTGCATGAGGCAGCTCGGAACACTTTGTCGCCCTAGTATGCTTCTTCAATAGCACAGCAGTCTGTAGGCGTTTCGAGAGCATTTCGAGCGCTGTCATCCTCTGCTCTCTTCAACAGTGCAGCAGCCCAAAAACTTCTACATCGCCTTGCGGTTCAGGGCATCGCTCCAAGCATCATCCGCTGACTTCCCCGGCAAGCATGTCATCAACCTGTGCTTGCCGATATGGTTGCCTTAACATCGCTAGCAACTCTCGCTATCTGGACTCCTGATCAATTGTCTGCACAGTCAGGAATAGCTTCTTCTTGCACAAGGTTTCGAAGTATGATTCTCAGAGATCCATTCGAGACTTTCTGATGAAACCATCTGTTTCCCTAGGACAGTTCCTCCATGTCTTCAGATCCCCTAGCACTCTCAAATTGATATTGCACGACTTGTTGCAGAATGATGGATTGCCCATGCTAATTTGGTCTGTTGATCATGGTCTATATATCCTCAGATCGGACGTACCAGTTGCAGCGACGACCGTGTGACTCGGGCACCCCACGCTAGCTGTTTTGAGCTAGTTCTGGGCTGGCCTCTGGCTTCTTGTTCTCGTTGCAATCGTTTGAATCTCGAGAATTTGTTCTGATGATTGATAACCCCGTAGAAGACGAGGATAATTCTCATCTGAAGTTTAGAGACATTTCTCGAATAGAAAGCCCGTATGAGGAGAATCAAGTTTGCAGGCCATGAAGAGACACCAGACTGAGGGCAGAGTTAGTCTTAAGAAGAGCCTTTGTGAATGCATGGCTCGCACGCCATGCAGAAGCGTATCCTGCTTTAGAATGAAGGCTGAATGTGTCGCTCAGTGGCGTGTCACCTTGACAATGCCATTGTCAAGAGTTGTAAGGATGGGAATGTTTAGACAGCTCAATGATCAATCTTCCATGAAGTCTCTCGCGCAAGATGGTATCCTCAAGGCATCGAGGCCATAGACACGAAACAGAAGGAGGTGATGCCAATAAATTCAGAGAAGAAATGCAGTCTAAGGAGAGCAGCAACTTGGAATTATGGATCGGGACTTGGACAGCAAGCTGATGGAGAGACTGGAAGAGCTAAGGGAAGGTGATGCGAATGAATAGCTTGTATACAACACAGCAATATACCGTGCTCCAAAGCGATCAACGGATGCAAATCGACTGGCGATGGGATTGCTCCAAGTAAGCACATGGTAAATCAGAGTCGGTAGCCCTTTTCAACCTCTCAATGTGTGATGGACCGTTGCACTGTTGGCGTGAATGCACCTTCGTTTCTAGCCTGCAGTTGTGGCCACGAAGGTTGCTGACATCTGAGCTGCACAAGTAAGGAGGGAGGGTTCTTCTCTTTGTCGTCAGCACGTAGGGAGAATGCAGACTCACTCCTCCCCTTTCAAGAAATATCAGTTGCATGATGCACATTCCAAATTTCAGCATAATTGTGCAACAGCGAGCATCTCAGGTGCATATATTGTGTTTTGAAACCCTGATGATGCAACGAGCCCCACAATTTTGCGATAGGGCGGCGATAAGACTACCAAGGGACCAGGCCGACGACGGAGTGATCTCCAAAACTTGACTTGTTGTCTTCTTACAGACTCGTCTTCTCCTTTGAAAACTAATGACAATCATGGCTGAAACAATTACCACAATCTCGCCCATCACCAACAAGGGTATCATCGAGCGCAAAGGCCTCAGCGACTCGGAGCTCAGCGACTTGGCCAGCAGATCAGCTGAAGCCTTCAACTCATACAAGAAGACCTCGCTGGACGAACGCAAGAAATATGTCAAGAAGGCTCTTGACATCATCACATCCAAGCAAGATGAGCTTGCCAAGGAGATCACAGAACAGATGGGTCGACCAATCGCATATACCGCCGTCGAGGTGAAGACAGCCGTCGCCCGTGGCGAGTACCTGCTCAAGATTGCCGAAGACGCCCTGTCAGATACTCCTGGTGAGCCTCAGGATGGCTTCAAGCGCTTCGTTCGCAAGGTTCCCCTGGGCCCTGTCCTTGTGCTCTTCCCTTGGAACGTGAGTCCGCCTGAGTCTCCTTCGCCTTGCAGAGTGCGGTGCTAACCACTACTGACCCATCTAGTACCCATACCTTACTCTCGTCAACTCAATTGTTCCCGCTCTTCTCTCTGGCAACACTGTCATCATCAAGCCTTCCCCACAAACACCAACCATTGCCGAACAAGTCGTTTCTGCCTTCAACGAAGCTGGTCTTCCCAAGGACGTCATTCAATACTTCCACTGCGGTGACTTCCAAAAGATTGAGAAGTTGGTCAAGAATCCCAACATCCAGCTTGTCTGCTTCACCGGCTCCGTTGCTGGTGGTCTTGCCGTACAGAAGGCCGCAAGCGACAGAGTCGACTCCAGAGTCGGACTCGAGCTAGGTGGAAAGGACCCCGCATACATCAGGCCTGATGTCGATCTGGCATGGGCTGCAGAAGAAATTGTCGATGGTGCTGTCTTCAACTCTGGCCAGAGTTGTTGCAGCATTGAGCGCGTCTACGTCAATGAGAAGGTTCACGACGACTTTGTCAAGGAAGTCCAGAAGGTCTTGGCCAACTACAAGTTGGGCGATCCCTTCGACAAGTCCACACACGTTGGTCCTGTCGTTTCCAAGCGCTCCGCTGAGACAATCCGCGCCCATGTCAAGGATGCTATCTCCAAGGGTGCTCAGGATATGACGCCCGAGAACTCTTCCTTCGAGTCGCCGCCAGCCGATGGAAACTACGTGGCTCCCGTGCTTCTGACTAATGTTTCGCACAAGATGGATGTCATGACTGAGGAGACTTTCGGACCTATCATTCCTGTCATGAAGGTCAAGGATGATGCTGAAGCCATTAAATGGATGAACGACAGCCAATTTGGTTTGACTGCCAGTATTTGGACAAAGGAGACCGAAAAGGGTTACGAACTTGCCGACGACGTCGAAGCTGGTACTGTCTTTGTTAACAGATGCGACTACCCTGCACCTGACCTTGCATGGGTCGGATGGAAAGAGTCTGGCAAGGGACAGACCCTGTCAAAATTCGGCTTCGATCAATTCTCCAGGCTCAAGAGCTACCACATCAAGAACTACCCAAAATAAATGCACAGTGCCAGTGCGATCATTGCATTTGATTTATGCAATCGACAAAGGACCATGAGAATCCTTATCATGAAACTCAAAAGAGACGTTGAGAGGAGGAATGGGCGCATGTTCACATTCTCATGCAGAAGTACGTTTAGGTAGCACAGCGAATCCAAGCTGAGACATCATCCCTCCCGTCAACATGAATTACGACCTCATCATCGGATCCTCGAACTCAAGAGAGAATTGGTCTATATGCACACAGGAGTGCTCTCCGATAAGAATGATGAGAGAAAACAAAATCGTCCTTGGCAGTTGCTGGTTGCAATGTCATGCAATCCTCGGCATGCCGAAGCATTCCAAAGATATTGTTCGGCAAGGTTGTCTCGGAAGGGGAAGAAAGAATGTGCCACCCATCATGGCCCATGGCTTTATCAGTAAAGGATTGTCTCAAGCAAGGCAAACGGACCTCATCAAGCTTTCGGTATCTGCCAATGATTGAGACTCTTGTGGATTTGTCGGGTCAACACAATCTTCTGCAAGATGCTACAATCTCCAACTTGCAGCTGAGCCGCCAGGTCTGCTGATTTCTGTTCTTCTCTTAGGTCCAGACATGGCCATACTCGTCTTTTACTGAACTTTTCTTGTACTTCTAATTGCATGTCTGCACACGACCTGTCCTTACCTTGCTTGTCATTTGGGAATCTGCCCATGTGCTGGCTGTTGTTATTCTTGACGTTTGTTTCATCTTTGGCGAGTCCTTTGTCCTCGTCGTGGTTGTGCTGAAATTACCTGCGTGCTTCTTTGTTTCATCCGGAACTGTCTTGTTTGTATCGGTAGGCCGTCCTGTCTCTTCAGCAAAAAGAGCTTACCAAGTTCATCTTTGATTTCAACACATTAGAGACATCTCTCGGCGATCTCGAATCAAAATACTACTCTGTGGCATCGGGCAGACCATTGTGTTTCTTCTCCACGAGTTTCTTGACCTTGGAACATCTCTCGCCAATCTCGAGCAGGCTTACTACTGTCTTTCTTGAGTCGGTAAACGACCAGGACACTCTCCCACAAAGAGTCTACCACGCCTGTCGATGACTTTTGACACCAGAGACATCCTCCCGTCATTCTCGAACAACCTCACTACTGTCCTCAAGAGTTAGCGTTATAGCCCATACCTAATCTCCCCCACGCCAAATTTGCCGTGGTCGTCGTTGACTCCCGGAATACTAGAGAAATTCTCAGACACACTTACCACGTTCTTCTTTGCTCTATAGACCATCGTGCCTCCTCTCTACGACGACGAGTCTACCAAATTCGTGTCCAATTCTCTCGGTACATCAAAGACATCCTTTCGGCATCCTCAAGCACATTTGAGTACCCTTGTCTTCAAAAGTTTGGGTTGACAGGCCATTCTTCCTCTTCTCGAGAAGCATACCACATTCGTCGTCGGTTCACAGTCCACGAGAGACACTTGCTCAGCATCATCGACCTTACTATTGTCTCGTTGGCACCGATAGACACTTGTCCGTGACGAGTTTACCGGCTTCGTCATTGATTCTCGGCCCAGTTGAGACATTCTCTCAGCATTGGAACACACTTACTGCTGTCTTGCTCGTGTCGAAGAGCCACTATAAATCTCCTCCTCCACGTCGAGATTGCTCTGTTCAACGTTGACTCTAGCCCACTAGAGATAATTCCCAGCACTTGAACCACTTACCACTATCTTATCTGCGTCGCATAGGTCATTGTGAGCCTTCTCCTCACGTCTACTTTGCCCCGTTCGTCGTCTAGTATTGGTGCATTCGAGACAATCTCTGGACATCCGAACTACTTACCACTGTCTTGTTCTCGTCGATCAAGTCATTGTAAGTCTTCTTCTCCACGTCAAGTTTGCCCTGTTCAGCGTTGACTCTAGCCCCTTAGAGACACCCTCTCGGCAGTCGAACCACTTACCACTATCTTATTGGATTCAAACAGGCCATTGTAAAGCCTCTCGTTCACGTCGAGTTCGTCCTGTTCGTCGTCGACTCGTAGCCCATCTGAGACAATCTCTCGACGTTCTAACACACCTACCACTGTCTTATTCTCGTCGGACAGGCCGTCGAGATTGTGCTCCACCACGAGTTTGCTCCGTTTGCTATAGAGTCTCGGCATCCAGACACACAGACTTGCTGTCTCCGTGCGCAGTCAACTCTCGGCATCCAGAGAAGCTCACTTTGCGCCAGCATACAAAGATCTTTTCTTCTTTAACTTACTTTCTTTCACGGATCAACGAAAACAAAGCAAAATGCCTATCGACTGGAAGAAGATCAAGGCTTTCCTCTGCTGCGGCGACGAAGAAGACACCCTCTTGCTCATCGTAAGTTCTGCGCCGTTGTTGACATTGACTTGACTGACGCCTTTGCGCACCAGAGCGGACCGACTGATTTCAAGCGCATCAACGTTGAGCTCGCCGGCCTTACTGAGCATGAGTTAGTCTTGCCTTTCCTACTGTCTATATCGAAGACTCACCTGCTGACTTTGCATACACTAGACGTGAGCTCATCAACAACCGCCCAGTCCCTGTCACCTATCCCTTGAACACCAAGGAGTCTGAGGGCGACGCTCGTCTGGAGCGTGCTGTCGCTCACACCAGAAGCCTAAGCAACACGATCAAGTCAGTCACCACCACCGCAATGTCGACCGTCGGAGCTAAGAGCTCTGGATACTCAGCACTCGCTAACGAGACTTCTTTCATGATGCAGCCCTTGAACTTCGAAGCCGCCGACTCTACCGAAATAAGGCAGCTGCTGCCGCACAGCGCGGACGGCGTGAAGACCAGCAGCAGCATGGAAACTGCTATGGCGGGCTGTGAAGAGGACGACGACGATGCCAGAAGCTTTGCGATGAACAAGTGAATTCAAGGAATTACAGACAGAGGGCGCAGGCATGGAAAATGAAGAGCTCTGGAGTGAATCAGATTCTGAATTAAGAAGACGGAGGGGTAACAAGCCAGCTCGCACTTCTAGCAGAGCGTGAACAAAGCCCAAATGAGAGCAGTCGCTTTTTCATGATTGTGCCACAATTTCCTCCCAGATCTCAGTGCTCGCTCGGCATGTATGAAATCGCTTTTTGGCGAACTCGTGGTTCGTATGGCGTTTCGGCATTCCACGTGATGCCAGCGTGAAAATGGTATGGAACTAACCCTGTAATAGAATAGGGCATAGCTTCAACATTCATGATGCATCCATTGCGTCTTCGAGAACTCCTGCAGGTATTCTGCCCTCGTTGAGAGCCTTCTCCAAACGAGTAATCTCAGCCAGAGTCTTTGCGTTCCTGATCAGCTCCTCGATGCGCTTTCTTTCCTTGTCGGTCAGCTTGACACGCGAGATCTTGTCGGTGCCATTTGCATTTGATGAGGCGGTGTTGAGCGATCTTGATGAACGTGACGAGAGAAGTTTCTGGGCAAGTTCGGTGGGTTCGGCCACTGTGCCAAAGAGCTCTGCGGCTTTACTGCGCTCTGCATCTTTGACCTTCTGAAAGTCGAGGAATCTGACAGATGGACATCTTGCGATGACCCAGTAACGGTAGTTCTGTCTCGAGTCAGAATCAAGACTTGTAGTGGACGAGTACTGGGGTATGACTAACCTCTCTTGAGGCGACGGGGTTGTCCAGCAAGGTCAGATGTGTCAACTTCTTGAGGTCGGACAGAGGCTCAAGGTCGCCGAGTTCTGAAAGGGAGTTTTGGGTCAAGACAAGCGTGTCAAGATTGGGGATGGAGTTGTGCAGGGCTGGGGCGATGGCGGTGATGCGGTTCCGGCCGAGATACAAAGCCTTCAATCGATGGTTCTTTGGGAAGTTTGCCAGAGCGGGAAGGTCGTTGTCTGTAAAATCGATGGCATCTTCGTTCTGGCGGCGGGTTCAGATCAGCATTGTGCCAGAGTCGCATAGATGGTGGGCAGGCAAACATACGGTAATGAGACCCAAGTTCTCTAGGGCAGGGATTTTGTGACCTTTTGCATGCCTATGAATCAGCTAGTTCAAGTATAGTATCTGTTCTTTCTTGATAAGGGATAGTAGTACCTCGCAGGTCAAGTTCGCGCTCCTTGAGCGGGTTGAGGTATGAGAGCGAGTTGTGCACAAGCTCGGCCGTGAGTCTCATTGTGTGATGTGTGGTGCTTGTGCTTGCGCGACGCGATCGCACTTGTGATAAAAGGGTTGGATGCGACGGGCGGTTTGAGTCGACTTGGTTGATTGATTTCTCGATGGTTCAATCTGTCGCAAAAGTGACGGCGCGCGCTGTACCACTTTCTTGGCGTCTTAACCTTTATATACAGTACACGGGCCTCCTAATTGTAATACCATAGTAAACTGATCTGTACATTGCTCAATTCTTCAACTATTTGACTTCAGAGTATGCTGCTCCCGTCACTGCATACTACTCCTCTTTTTCTCGTCTTCATACAGTCCGAGCCCTCTCCAAGTCTCTGCATTGATAGGGCAAACCATCTCATCTCGGCTGCATGTCCATCGCGTGTATACCTCTTGATCTCTTTGACCGGTTCCATCGCTATCTTCTGTGCTTTTAACCCGTGTACACGGCTGTCTCGATCGTGTGCGGTTCGTACGCTTCGTCGAATCGACTCTAGACTTGCTCAGCTCCCCAGCCGGCATCGGCATCCCTGTTGTCGCGTAAGCACCTCTGTGTTATGATAGCGGTGCTAGAAACTTACCTCATGTTGGCCGGAGGCTCGATGCTAGGTACGTATTCAAGGGCGACATAGACCATACCGACAAGTATGATAATGCCGCCAATGATGTATTTGATCACGTGGCCTGAGAAGCAAAGCCCTCCGATGAAGATGTAGACTGTCCCATGTTCGTCAGCCTATGTGATTGACAAGACCAGAAGCTCGTGTGCCGTACAAACACCGCGTCCAATGAAGGAGAACATGAAGGATGCATATCTGGCGATCTGAGGCGGGATTTGGAACTCTGCATCGCTGGTTAGAACATGTGTCGTGCTTGATCGAAGGGTGCCGTGAACCAAGAAGAGCATTGGCAAGACCGAATAGGATGATATAGATGCCGCAGATGGTGCCTCGGACAGTGACGGGGAAGAATTGACTGATTCCTCCAAAGACCTGGAGACACAGTCGCAATCAGCGGAGAGCTGGATATATCAGAGAAGCGGTCCTACCATCAAGGCTCCGGTTGCCAGGTTGACAATGCGACTGCGCAGTTGTGTCAGCTACTAAGTATTTAGCATACGTAGCGTTTCTACCCACAAGATATCTGAGAAGTCCATGACGGCGGTGCTGCAGGATCCAAGATCTACAATTGAGAGGTAGAAGAGTAGGCGTATTAAGAGGACAAAGAACTGGCAACCTGGAAGCTGTCAATAGAGAGCTTCGAGGCTGCGGCCTGCACTGCCAAGCTCCACCATCGTCACTCCCGTCCGCAACCATGTGCTTTCCCGATCCGTGCGAACAGCCCTGAGCTTCAGTCTTCCGCTTTCTCTTATAAAACTGCTACAATTTTGGACGACATGGGAAACAATTTACTAACAACAGACCTAGCTGGATCAATGCTTAAGAGCCACAAAAGCAGTCCTATTCTCATTTGTTACACATTCCTCAATTTGTCTAGTGGCTCATGCTCGAAACATTCTTCTTATGCCTGCTGATCTCTACCTACAAACGAGCTTTCTCCTTCAAAGACTCGTCAACAAGTTGGACTACAGCGGCAGCGCAACCCCATGAAGTTTGATATCCATATCCACCGTGACCAATGCTGTGCACAACCTTGATCGCGTTCCCGTCTGGGCCCTTGATTGTCTCCTTCTCGGTTCTGATGCCGCCCTTGCGCATCGGTCTCAATCCTACACCGTGCCTGATAACGTCCAAGGCTTCAATGCCCTTTCCCTCGGGTACGAGTTCAGGTGTCAGAGCAATTGCACGTTTCATGATGCGGATGGCCAGGTTCGGGTCCACTGCAGAGTCCCATTTATCCGCTTGCAAACAGCCTCCCAGGATGCAACCACCGCCAGCTGCACGATGCATGATATAGACTGCCTCGTCGTCGCCATCGTCAGTTCCTGAAGTGGTAGCCATGTATCCTGGGTCGTTTCGAACGAGAACGATTTGTCCACGAGCTGGGTACATGTTCTTGTCTTGCACTCCTTCCATGAAGAGTGAGAAAAGTCCAGTACAGTTGACTACCAAGTCGGCCTTCTTCCCAGATTGATGAAGCGATTTAGCATCTGCAATATGCTTTACGACACCTCGCTTGAAGATAACGCCGTTCTTGAGGCACTGAGAGACCAGCCAAGGGAGATAAATTGCCGTGTTGATGCAGACAGAGGTAAATGAGGTACCACCGTCCATGCCCTCTGGCAACTCGTCCTTGCTGAGGACTTTGAACTGCACAATCAGATCAGCATACCACCATGCGTAGACAGATACTCAATCAGGACTTACATTAGGCACAACCTTGCTGAACCATGCATCTTCGCGGATGAGTTCTGCAAACCACTCACTGACAGGACCTTTGTCCTTTTCTCTTCGATAGATCAAGGTATCTGTGCATGATCTTGAGCCTCTTTTCAAGCGCTGCGCTCTCTTATTGCATACCTTGGAAATGGATACCAGCTTCAGGGTGCTCCTTGGCGAGTCTAGCTAGTTCGGGCCATGTATTCTTCTCATATTCTTGCGATGGAGTGCCTTCCTTGCCAACACTTTGATGGTCAGCCTCAGGGATCAGACTAGCTACCTAATAACGTACGGCAGATAGTTTGCACCGGCCCACGGGGATGCATATTCAATGTCATAGTCTCCTGGCATATGCTTTGCGGCAACGGTGATGCTGTAGTTCTTGTTCTTGGACAAGATAAAGGCCGCAGTCAAACCAGATACTCCAGCTCTGGGGTATTGTCAGCTCGGTGTATCATTCTGAGTCAACAACGAAGACTGACCCCAAGACGACAATTCTATGTTGGGGTGCCATGACTGATGACCGTGATTATATGGTCAAGTGATTGGGTGATGTGTGATTGCTGCCTGCTTCTCGCAGTGACTGGTTCTGCCGCACACAGTATTCTTGAAAAGTGAGCTTGACAAGACAAGTGATTAGAGTCAGAGGATAAGTTGGGTTTATATACAAAATCTCTCCCTGCCGGTCTACCTACTTGTTACTTCTGTTATCCTCGTCCAAGTCGGCAGTTTTCCGCCCCGCATCATCACAGCTATCCGCTGGAGCACGCCCGCAATCGGCACCGATAAGTACATGATCTTGGCCGCACGCCCAAGGCCACACCAATCAGACAGAGGTAAGCGACCAGATTAGGGCAAGTCGGGCAATACAAGGAGCTTGAGGCTGACCATGGTGAAGGACGGAGTTAGACGGCGACAAATAAATAAACAGGTGTAAGTTCTGGCCAGTGGATGCGTTCATGATTTGCGGCGGAGTTTCACGGGCGTCAGTCTTTTTGCTAGTGACAGTGATGCGTGCGCCAAGCAAGCCCTCCAGCTTTCCAATTCTGCTCCTTGTTCTTCACTCACTCCTGATCACCGAGCGGGCCCTTACTCTCTACCCTTCCACTGTCATGTCTTTCTGATTTGCTGTTCCACTCGCACTCATGCCTGTCTGCTGTGTTGTTGACTTTGGTTCGCTGATAAACCCTCCCTTACAGCACAATGGGCGGCAGTCAAGAAGAATTTCCACTCTTGAATAGCCTTGGCTTGTATGCTGCCAACATTCTCGGTGATGGTATGGAGTCGTTCCATATTCTTTGCCTTCACCCACTAATGTAGCCAGGAAATTGCCTTTTCCACGCACTTAGTGATCAGCTGTACGGACACCAGAAAGAACACCAAGTCATCCGTTCCAAAGTCATCGACTACATGCGAGAACATGCCGACTACTACAAACAATTCATAGATGCTCAACCCGGTGGTGGCACACGGAGGAATCCCAAGAGAAAGAACGTCGGCTCCTTCTCCGCCGTTGCTGCTGCTCCATCCGAGGCAGACATAGACCACACGTTCCAAAACCACCTTGAGAGAATGGCAAAAGGTGGCACATATGGTGACAACATGGAGATTTCGGCTTTTAGCTCGGCATACAATGTAGACGTCAAGATCTACCAGCGAGACTTTGCCTACATGATCTCAGGCTCTGGTGACGACCGAGAGCGAGACGTTGCTCATATTGCTTACCATGTTGGTATCGTGCCCCGGCCAAGCGGTATTTCTGCTAACCTCTGTAGGCCTGGGAGCACTACTCGTCCATCCGCAACCTCGATGGTCCTCACTCCGGCCCGCCCAATGTCACTGTCAAAGCTTTGTCGCCCGACGAAGAGCAGAAACAGAAAGAGAAGCTAGCTCAGACACCTCACGTGCTCCCTTGGATGGTCGACGTCGTCTCGTCCTCTCTTCCATTCCTTGCCGACAAGCCTACCATCAAACGCACTCTCGAAGAATGCAAAGGCAACATCGATGCCGCCGTCGACAAGCTTATGGGTGCTGAAGAAAACGGCAGCCTGTCATCTGCACAAGAGAGCTCCAGCGTTGAGCGTGAAGCCGATAGTGAAGACGAATACCCTGGCAAGGATGGACCAAACAAAAAGCGAGACCGCAGGCCATCGTCACGACAGCAATCTGGAGAAGCCAAGTCAGACGAAACGCGGGCCAAGTTCGGGACACATAATGACTCTTCTGAATCCGTCAAATCAGAACCTTCAGAATCTTCGAAACCACAGCCTGACAAGAAGAACGACATCGTTCCTGACACACGTCCAAGACCCACTATCAGGCTGAAGTTCAATTCACAGAAGGCATCAACGCCAGCCCCTGCTCCAGGCAAAGGACCTCAACGTCAAACTGCTCGGGACAAGAAAGACATGAAGAAGCAGGCTCAAAAGGCCGCTCGCAAAGAGCGGGAGCAGGCAGCGGCTGGTGGCGATCGACCTGAAAGCCCAACCACTTCCGGCATGAAGCTTCGCAGCAAAGGCATGGTCAACACTCCACCCATCGAGTCCGGTTTCCGCACTCTGTTCATCTGAAGTGCAGGCTTTCTTTGCTAATGACCTTTTTCGGCATCGGATCCAAGGGTGGTCATGCGGGTACATGAACAAGACGCCCTGACATCCTCTTTCTTTTCTTTCATGGCTCTCAATGATGCATAGCGTGGGCACTTTGACGGCGGACAATCTGTGATTTTACTATACCACCATGAGCATGGCGACGGCGCATACAGGTAGATTTGGGATACGAATTGGCATTGACATGCCAGAAGCATGGCATGATGACACTAGACGGGTACTCACGCCCGAGCTTCTAATTCTTTTGCTTTCATAGCGAGCAAATATTTCGTTAGACGAGGTGCAAGCAAATATAATTGTTCCTCACACTCTAAAGCATTGCACAGTTCACAGGCAACTCTCTCGGCAACACGTCGTGCCATAAGTATCTTCGCAGGCTCTGTATACAACGGCCACTAACTACAAGCACTCAGTCTACACAGCAACAGCCTGTCCAAGCTTCATATAGTTCCAACAGACTACATGTAAGTTAGCATGGTTGACGCCTACAGCAATGATATGACACTTACTTGAATTTGCCAAGTCATCACCAAAGTAGCTGGCCATCAAATCTTCTCCAGAAGCAGTTCCAGTTGTAGAATCATAGATCACAGCCTTCTTTCCCACAGCTAAGCCCATGATGTTTGGGAACTCAGACAGCTCCTTGTAGGTTGGTGTTTGTTCGTAGTGATGCTTACGCATATCTTGATGTATGTTGATGGCACAGTAGTGGCCCATATGCATGGCACCTCCACAACGCTTGATACCAGACCACGATACAATGTCTCCTGCTGCAAAGTGACTATCTGCGTTTGGTATGTTGCCGTTGAACCGTAACCTGTAGAGTGTCAGTGGAGTCTAGGCAGATTGGATTGTCATTCGTACGATGTATCGATCTTGACATAGCCGTCCTTGTCCAACGCTGCAGATGGAAGATAGGTCGAGGTAGGTGTACTTCTTGAGATAGCTGTGATGACATGACCGGCTGCGATTTGTTGCCCTCCAGACAAGGTAAGTCTCCAGGATTTAGACCTATCATCAGTCTGTATGGCGGTCGTGTCGATCACTCTCTGGCCAAGAATGACCTTCACGCCAGCTTGCTGAAGCGCTTCAAGGCTTTTGTCCTTGAAGTCATCTGGCAGAGGCTCTGCAGATAGAAGTTTATCTCGAGAGTGAACGAGAGTCACTTTTTGCCAGGGTTCAACCACCTTGATCTCGCTAGCCATTTCAATACCCACCGCCCCTGAGTAAGATCATTAGTTTCTGTTCTATGGTGTGCAATGGACACTAACCTCCGCCTATCACCACTACGCCTTCTTCGGCATCTCTGATAGCTTTTGCATGTGCCTTTGCTTCAGCAATGAACTCGTCTCTGTTCAATGCTTGTGGCACGACAGGAAAAGATCGTCGAAGTCCTGAAGCAACCAGTAGATAGTCATACTTCTCATGACGAAGTTGTTTGGTGACAGTATCCACTATCGATGCCGTCTTCTTCTCGCAATCTACAGTTGCAACACTACCCTGTAGGAAGTGTACATTGGGCAATTTCAAAGCAGGAATGTCTTGAAATCTGGTCCAACTTTTAGAGGCAGCATCACCCGAGGCGAAGGCCAGTGGGTTCCCAATCAAGTGGTCTAGAATTCTCGTTAAGATACTGAGTAATATCGATCTGCAAAGGTACTTACAATAGCCATCACGCTCGTCGACGATTGTGATATCAACAGGCAGCTTGACCTTGGGATGTTCTTCCTGAGTGGATACAGAAGTAAATCGAGGCTGCTTCCCGTCACACAGATCTATGAGGTTGACTGTGGCTGCAAGTCCAGCATAGGAGCCTCCGATAACAAGAACTCTTGGAATGGCCTGGGGAATGTTCGGACCTTCGTGGGATGGCATAGTTGAAAACAAGGCGGAGAACTGGGATGAGGAAAAGAAAGGAGGAGAAGGAGAGTTCTTGGTGCAAGAATAACTTCTCAAGACCGCCGAGCACGGAGTCTTGGTAATCCTGCTATGGACAAGAATGGGTTTCAGGACTTGTGCAAAATTCATGCTGGTACAGAGCCGCAGCGGCACGTCCGGGTCCCACTTGCGTATTCATATTCATCACACAACGCCAAATTATGGTCTGATGTGAATCCTCTTCAGCGCCGGTTCGGCGACGCAGACAAGACTGCGCGCCCTGTGGGAAAGAGGACTTGTGCGTGATAGGTCAATGAACGTGCCCTAGTTTGTTAGCTTCATTTTGATCCGTGCCACTTATCTGATTGACAATAAGTCTTGGCATAGGGTATGCCTTCTGGATCAATTGATCTTCGCGAACACAAGGGTTTTTGTGCACTGTTGAAATGCACAGTTGCGATTCGAAGATGACTTTGACCATTGAGACGATTTTTCACCAGGGATTTCTTTGGGAGCCACGTTCTTTCCGAAAGCATTCTGCATCTCTGCAGCTACACTGACTGGCACCAAGCCAGCGCCCTCATGTGCTAAGACTGTCACAATCATTCCGGATAGTACATCTTCCGTGTTACACCACCATCCACCACAATCTCCTCGCCCGTGACGAAGTCTGACTCCACCAGGAACTTGACTGCTTTGTAGATATCCTCAACCTTTCCAACTCGACCAGCAGGATGCCATGAGTGATCGTGTTCCGTCATGCCATCTTCCCACTGAGTCGAGGCCTCATCTGCTGCTTTGTTCTCGTTTTCAACGTTGATCCAACCAGGAATGATGGCATTGACGCGGATGTTGTGCCTGTGACCTAAGCTTATAGCCGACGCTTGTGTGAGACCGAGTAGGCCACCTTTGGCAGCACTGTAGGCTTCGTGATTGTCCTCCGCTTGTTTAGCTCGAGTAGAGGAGATGTTGATGATACACCCAGCACTCGATTCGTCTTTGCCTTTGAGCATGGGTACGCAGAGTCTTGAGAGAAGGAACGGTGCAGTTAATCCAACAGCGATTTTGAGATCCCACTGATCCATAATCTCGTCTGAGGAAAGATTATCCTCCATTCCCTTGCCATCATTCCATATGTGTGGGGTAGCAAAAGCATTGTTGATAAGTGCATGTAGATTGCCGTCGAAGAACTCATTGACCTCGCGGACGACGGTCTTGATCTCATCGCGATTGCTCAGGTCGACGACCTTGCCCTTATAAGAACTTCTGTTGGTATCTGATGACTTTGTCCATGTCGATGCAAGCGAGAGCGTGTTCTGCAGCTCACTCTCGTTGTTGTCCAAGAGAAAGACACGGTTTCCAGGTCGTGTAAGGAGATTCCGCACCAGCCCTCTGCCGATACCCCTGCCCGCACCGGTCACGAGGTAGTTTATGGAAGTCGCCATGGAGGAGTACCAAGTCCAAAAGTCTTATGATAAGATATGATGTCTTTTTGACCTGCGTGTGGTATGCATGTAGCTTCAATGCTTCTTACCGCTGCTTGTGATGACTTGTTGGATGACGTAATTCACAGGAACAGGAAGACCGAGGAGCATAATGAATACAGAACACTTGATCTTAGCAAGTTGTGCCATGTTCACGAGGATAAAGCAACGCATCTCGGTAGGGAAAAAAAGATTGGGTATCATAAGTATGTTCCACTGAACAACTACGCTTTAGAGACACTGCTAAAAATCCAAGAGCTCTCACATGACGATGCACTCTGCTTCGTCTCTCTTCTGATTGCTTCTGGTCAAGCGACCCTGATTTGGCTGCGGCTTGACTGCTTTGCCCTTGCGTATCTCTTCAAGTCTCTCTACAGCCTTGGGGAACTTGTACGAAGCGGCCCTCGTGTACCACTTCTTACCTTCCTCAAGACTAGCAGGACAGCCAATACCGTTCTCAATGTAATAGCCCAAGGCATACATGGCCTTTGCAAGTGGAGGTTCACTCATCGCAGCTTTGCGTGCCCAAAGATATGCCTCGGTATCTGATTGGTTCAAGATGCCCTCGGCACCTGTGAGATACCAACCAGAGAGTGCCAGCTCGGAATTGTGCTCACCCTGAGCAGCTGCTTTCGAGTACCATGCAATCGAATTGCGTGAATCGACCGGTAGACCCAACGATCCATACTCGAAGGCTTGACCAAGTCTGAATTGCGACTGCTTGTAGCCCATCTTGGCTGCTTGCGTGTACATCTTCTGTGCATATTTCTCGTCCGGCTTCACTGCAGCGCTTATAGCAGGATCGGGATTTCCTTCTTCGTGAAGGCGAGCAAGCTCGTGGATAGCATGAGGATTATTGGCATCCGCATTGTCAGCCGCTCTTTTGAGGTACACCACCGCTTGCCCGACGTTTCTCTGCTGACCAAGCAGACCTCTGAGCAGAATCATCCCCATCTTGTACATTGCAGCCACATCTTGTAGTTGCGAAGCGCGTTGATACCATTGCACAGCTTTGTGATAATCTCGCTTAGTGCCACCTCCCTCCTCAGCTCCCATCTCGCAACACATGGCCGTTCGGTACGCCGCAGCGCCATGACCAGCTTTGGCGGCATTTTGATAGAGCGAGAATGCCTGCTTGGGATCAGGTTCTAGACCCAAGTCTCCAGATCCGTAGCAGTCCGCGAGGTAGAACATCGCTTCTGGATAATTGGCTGCAACGAGCTTTTTGACACGTTTGTGGGCATCAAGAACATACCGCTCGCTGTTCTTTGCAGTCGACTTTGCGTCTAAGCGGCCATTCTCTGACGCTAACACAGTTGAAGCTTCGACAAGTTTTTTCACCAGAACCATTGCAGTTTTCATATCATTAGGGTTCGCATCAACCTTTGAGCGTAACGTATCAAGTTCGCCTCTCGTCACTGGACTAGAGCTAACGCTATCGTCGCCTGTAATAGACTTAGGTTGCGATTGGGGGCGACTGTTTGATGATGAGTCTGGGTTGTTCGCGTAATTGCGTACTGGTGCGGGTTTTGGTGCAGGGGGGCCATTGTTCAGGCCAGGCCTGACGGGAATTGGATGGCTGGGCAGTCCGTCAGGGTTAACGGGCCGGCCATAGCCATGCTGTTGGGCACCTGGTATCGTTTGTGGGGCAGAACGCTGTTTGGCTAGTGGAGGCCCAAATGAATGGTCAGACGATGATGGTGGAGCAAACCCGTTCTGAGTAGCAGGGGCACTCGGAGACCTGTCCTCCATGGCAAAACGCGGGCGTGGGGCTCTCCCTGCCATCGTCGGATCGGGCCCGTAGCCATAATTAGCTTGTCCAGCAGGAGGAGGCGCGAAGCCATTCGCTGCTGCAGGTGCACTTGGAGCCCTGTCACCTGATGGTTGGCGCTGCGCAGGTAATCGATTATCGGGAGGTATTCCTGGTCTGAAGTCTTGCTGTCCAGGAACTGGTCTCCTCGACGGCGGTCCCCGAGACTGCGATCGAGGTCCGCCGTTCATGGGTCCAGGGTTCGGTCCCGAAGGCACAGATCCTGGAGGCATGGGTCGAGAAGGTGGCGGACCACGACGCGCTTGCCCATTCGGCGGGAAACCTGGAGGCATACCACCCATCGGACCCTGGTTAGGCATCGGGCCCTGCCTAGGAGGCCCGCGAGGCATATATCCATCAAAAGCCGGATTAGGTGGTTGGCCGTACGGCACAGGACCACGTTGCATGCCAGAATTTGGCGTAGGCCCACCTCGTTGCATCGGTGGCTGCCCATTATACGGCTGCTCTTGATATAGATTGTTGTCGTCCGAAGTGAATGCTCTCTGCTGCTGTGGCGGCCTCGGAAGCCCTGGGTCTGGATCGTCATAGCTCTGACTTCGTTGTGGGTTGGGAGGTGACATGGTCATATCTTCACGACCGTACGATTTGTCATACCGCTGCTCTCGCAGAGGCCTACCCGTATGATCTGCTCGTACATCATAGCCTTCGTTACGCATTTGATTCTGAGTTGGCGCCTCGCGCATGGGCATCTGGGAGTTGTAGCCATAGTTATGCTGTGCGGGTTGTGGCTGTCGATACATAGGAGCCATGGTCGTAGATGGTTGATCGCGGTAGGTATGATCGTGCTGTGGGGGTTGTGGTGGCCGCGTAGACATAGAGTATTGATCACCATGATCGCGATCCCGCTGTTGCTCCCAGTGTGGCTGAGCGTGGTGGTACACAGCCTGTGCCGGGTGTTGTGGGACATGATCAGGACAGTGAGGCTCAGGAGATTGTGTCATCTGCTGACCCTGGAAGCCGAAGTCAAAGGCGTTGATTTCTTCTTGCACAGGAGTACGCTGGCGCATATCTGGTGTAGATTTGGCAGATTTCAGCTTACTAGAAGCAGTCTGATATCCTGGCTGAGGTTGAGCAGGTTGGGGAGGACTGTTCAGATGCATGTTGTTCAGATGTTCGTCAATGGTAGGCTGACGCTTATGCGCGACGGTCTTGTCAAAGTCCGGCATGGCAGCTTCTATCTCATCTTCCCGGTTCATGGGCCGAGGCGGTTCCTGATAGTAATCATCGTAGACACGCCCCAAACTTTCGTGTTTATCCGCATGATGGTTCCAAGGCTGTTGAGGATGGGCAAAGTCGTCTTGATAAGCTGAAGCATTGGATAGATGTGCTGCTTGCGAGATACGTGCTTCATAAGGAGTGTGATGTACGGGAACAATGGCCGGCCGATGACGTGCGGTCACACTGCTTAGCAGAGGCGACTCGACATCGTGAGGATCGTTGTTGACCTGGGTATCAAGAGGCGCAAGGAATGGACGCTCGCGGCCATTGGCAGAATCGCTTGTCGAAGGACGAGAGGAGTTTGAGTAAGGCGGACTGAAGGTTGGCAGAGGGGCAAGCTGTGCTGGAGCTTGTTGTGGAGGACTGCGGTAGGGATGACGCTGGTCTCGAGCCTGCGGACGGACATCTCGACCAGCAGAGCGCAGATCTTGTTGGTGAGGCTGTTGTGGTGGGTAAAGGGGTTGCGAATGAGCTTGTGGAGAAGAATGGATTGGTTCTTGATTGCGAAACTGTGTTCTAGTATTTGGAGTCTCTTGGAAACGCGAGTGGGGTGGAGGACGAGGCGCATCGGCTGTGGATGGTCTTGAATGGGAGGTGTTAGATGGGTGCAGACGATCGGACTGGTTGTTGGACGGTCTTGTATTTGGGCTAGCGTTGGCAGTGGGTGGACGATCGCGAGGTCTGGATGCATCACGCGGCGGTCTCTGTGAATGTTGTTGTTGTTGTTGCTGCTGTTGCTGAGCAGCGGCGGCAGCAGCAGCGACAGAGCGCTTGGTGGGAAAGACGGGAAAGGCGTTGTCCTGCGCCATTGGACTGTCTTCAGGTGATGGTTCGAGAAGCGGTCTGCGGGCTGCTGTCGTCCATCAGCGTCTGTAGCAGGTAGGCACAACCAAGTCTTGTCTCACCCGGTCGTGAAGCTTCTCGCCTTCGCGACTCTTCTCTTGCTTGAGTGCCTCTGGTCGTGTGTGTTTGCTTGTCTGCTATGGGCCGTGACTGTGCAGCATGCTCCTGGTTCAGGTAATCGTTGTGCGCTCTGTGTACCGAATCAAATCCAGCTTGATCTGGTCGCCGGCCTCTGTGCGCCGGTGACTGGGCTCTCTCGACCATGTAGCCCCGCGTAGGTGGAACGTATGCACTCAGGTCGTACGCCATTCTGGTCCAATCCCTGCGTCAACGTTGGTCGCGGCATGAACCTCCTCTGAGCCTCCTTCGAACCAAATGTGGGAGCAGTCCAGAGCAGTGAGCCTCAAATTCTTCAGACTTTGAAAAGAGACAAGGGTCGAAGATATGTAATGACAATCCGTCAATCAATCCATAACAAGATGAGATTACTTGCCCTGCTCCAGCATCGTCACACGGGGTTTCAGCATCAGCTGCCCATGGTTTCGAACCTCACAATTACGCGCCCAAAGCTTGGACATTCAAAACACAAAGACCAGCAATCCGCTGCTCCTACTCTGCTCTGTGAAGACACTCTGTGTGCTCCTGAAACCACTTTCGACATCCTACTTACTCATCTTCACCCCTCCATCCCTGCCGAAACAATCTCTAACATCCAGGTACTGAGAGGCCGTGCTGCCATGATCGTCAGTGGCTTGCCGAGGTCTGTCTTGCAGAACGCTTGGCCTGTGTTAAGCCGCATGTCTCAAGACTCTTCTCGCTTTGTCATGCCTTTCTTTCTTTGAACACTCAGCGCGCAATCAGCCACTGCTTTCGAGCCATGCTGTCTGTCCGATCTCTGGCTCCCAGATCTACCACAGTATTTAGTAACATTCAGTGTGTAACCTGAAGTCTGCTATCTGTTCGCCAAGCCATTATCGTGACTCCGCAGTGCGCACCCCTCTGACATGCACCACTCATGTTTGTCTTATCTGCATTGAGGCACAGCTACACTTACATGCTGTGCTGCAGAGCTAGCAACGGCTATAGCAGCTTGGTATTCCCAGCCAGCCGGCCGGTTGCTTGCTAGCGCCTTCCCTATTGTTTAAACACCCTAATGAACCCCGCTCCATATTTACGGCCGATCGTTGATAGTCAGCCGAGGGCCAAGGGTAGGTAGATATACAACCACAAGCACGTTGCTTGCTGAGCAGACTGTTTCACCAAACGTTGTGCCTCAGATCTGTTAATTCTTCTTGTTCAGCCTTCACAATACCATGGACCTAGGTAGATTGCATCATGCATAGCTTGTTAACCTACTTACCCCGCAACAGGCACTGCTACAATTGCTGGCGCCGCCGTCGCTGCTGCCGCATACATCGATGGTAAATTCCAGGTTCGCAAAGACCTGCGGGATCTCTGGAATGTCAAGAGAGCTCAACTCGAGTGGAATCGAGCAGGTAATTGCAAACATGGAATTTTCTAGAGTGAAGCTTGATCAGAGCTCTGATACAGACCAATCGTAACAGTCAAGAAAGGAGAAGCCTCGCTTTGGACTCAGTTCGAGCATCAAGTAGAACGTCTGCCTTCTTCCACAAGATGTATCTGGTCCAAAACTGGATGTTACACCTGGTCCGAAACACACGCTCAAGCCTGCCGCTATGCCGAGTTCTTGTTGACCAAAGGAGTTCGCCCTAGTGAACCTGTTGCCATATATCTTCAGAATTCGCCAGAGTTCATGTTCACCGAGCTTGCCACTTGGGCTCTTGGTACTGCCCCAGCAATGATCAACTATAATCTTACAGGCGACTCGCTGCTGCATTGCCTCAAAATAAGCAACAGCAAGGTCCTTGTGGTAGACGAGGACGCTGGGTGTCGACAGAGAGTTGAGGAGTGCCGCGATAGAATTGAATCAGAACTAGGCGTACAGATTGTCATCCTTGAACCATCGACCAAGGCATTGATCGGTGCTATCAGGCCCAAGCGACCAGACCCTCGATACAGAGAGCATGTAAATGGGGAAACACCCTTCCTTGGCATTTACACTTCTGGTACTACTGGACTCCCAAAGGCTAGTTCTTTTCACCTCGAAAGGCTTTGGTTCCTAAGCAACTACCGCAGACGCCTCACATACCAAAGCTCGGGGCCTGACGGAGATGTGTTCTATGATTGCATGCCCTTGTACCACGGCACCGGGGCTACGATCGCTGCTGGTTGTATGGCTTCTGGTATGACACTGGCCATTGGACGCAAGTTCTCAACTTCCGGATTCTGGGATGAGATTAGAGAATCTGGCGCCACTGCTTTCGTATACGTAGGTGAGACTGCTCGCTATCTGCTCTCCGCACCACCTTCGCCTAGAGACAAAGATCACAAAGTCCGTCTAATGCATGGCAACGGTATGAGACCGGACGTTTGGAGAAAGTTCCAAGAAAGGTTTGGTGTGGCGGATGTTATGGAGTTCTTCAACAGCACTGAAGGTGTCTTCACTCTGACCAACTTCAGCCGAAACGACCATTTTGCAGATGCAGTTGGACACCATGGAGCAGTATTCCGAGCTATGTTCAAAAACACCTACGTCCCAGTGAAGTTGGACTACGAAACAGGTGAAATTTGGAGACATCCGAAAACTGGGTTCGCCCAGCGCCAACCATACGAGGAAGGTGGAGAGATGCTGGTCAAGGTTCCTGACGAAAATGTGTTCAAAGGCTACTGGCATGCACCCGAAGCCACTGCGAAGAAATATGCTAGGGATGTCTTCGAGAAGGGAGATCTATACTACAGATCTGGCGACGCTCTGCGAAGATCATCGGATGGCAAATGGTTCTTCATGGATCGTCTCGGAGACACTTTCCGCTGGAAGGGCGAGAATTGCAGCACGGCTGAGGTCGCTGAGTGTCTGGGCAGGTTTCCGTCCGTCAAGGAAGCTAATGTCTATGGCGTTGAACTCCCAGGCAAGTATAACTTGATCTGTTGATGTTAAAATGCTAACATTCTTATCATCAGGCCATGACGGCAGAGCATGCTGTGCTGCAGTTTACATCGAGCCAGCCGATCGTGCTTCCTTTAATTTGAAGGCTTTCCTCTCCCATTCACGAAAGCTGCTTCCCAGATATGCCGTACCATTGTTCCTGCGGTTCGTACAGGACGACCAAGCGCATACTATGCACAACAACAAGCAGAACAAAACCCAACTGAGGAGAGAGGGTGTAGATCCCGAGAAGGTTTTTCAGGGAACAGCTGGCTCGAAGGACACACTCTACTGGCTACCACCAAAAGGCAATACCTATGAGCCGTTTGGTGAAGGGGAGTGGCGTAGTATAGTGGCCGGCAAGGCAAAGCTGTGAGATGAACGAGGAGATGCTCAGTACGTACAGTAACAGAACAAAATACATGGTACACGCTCTTTACCCTGTCATCCATCTCTACCTTTACGAGTGGTGGGAGGTGAAATCAGCCCCATCTGAATTAACATGTGAGGATCCAGCATTGTCAATCTTAGCCCGCTTACAACTCACAAAACTTCATACAGTGCTGTTTCCTAACAATTTGCAACTAGACTGAGACAATCATCTATGCTGCGATTCCAGATTTTGAAGATGGAGGTAAAGATGCAGCCGATTGCCATCCATGCTGTCGCAAAAGTGCCGAGATTTTCGCAAAAAGAGCAACGCCCGACCAGAGGCTCGAACTCTGAACCTTGAGATCTCTATTACATAAAAGTCTCACGCGCTGACCAATTGTGCCAGCCGGGCAGAAGTTAGCAGTTTAAGAAAAATGTTCAATCAATAGTACAAAAGTTTCCGGGTCATCTGGGTGTTGAACTAACAGCACCTGTTCGATCCTAATATATCCCCATCAGTCTTGCTCATCATTTTGGCCCTCCTTCTCCGGCTCCAAGGCATCAGTCCATCATAAGCCATCGCAACGTACAGCTGCATTCCATGAATGATCCTCGCTGTGAAAATATCTACTATCTGATCGGATTCTGGGTGGAGACTACATCCATAGCAAAAGTATCATGCACTTCTGCAGGTACTTTACGACAGACCTCAGCACAAAGAGCTCTAATAACATATTCACATATCTAACCCGTGGTGCCATCATCAAATATTAGTTGCTCAAAGACTTGTTTGCATGCAAAGTCATATCTGGTGTACATGGTGATCAGGCAACCCTGGACACGACTATGCTTAGGCTGGGCTCAAAGAAATGTCCAAGACACGGGATTGGCTGGCATGGATGTTAAGTTAACTTAGAGAGAAGGAAACAATGTATATAGGAATAATTAGTAGCTAGTTTTCTAGGATACCATGGTTTCATCCAGCTCGCTCTGCGTATATCAGATATCACTATGTTCTGTCGCATCAAGAACGTGATTTTTCATGATTCGCAACCATGTAAGCAAGCATACACCGCGATCTAGTTGTTAGAGTGTCTGTCTCCAGGATAGAAGGTGCGACGCAGCATGCTTCTGTCACACTCTGCAATCGAAGAGATACCAGCAAGACCCATACTCTGATCAAGATCCTGAACATCTTGTCAGCTATTTCGTTTGTTTCCATGTCAGTTTGAAGAAGACTTACTGCCAGAATGCCCTGGAGGACTTGCTTAGCTCCTCCCTTACCGCCGGCACCAAGACCGTAGACCCAAGGACGTCCGATTAGAACACCCTTAGCACCAAGAGAGAGTGCCTTGATGATATCAACGCCGGTTCTGATACCGCTGTCGAACAAGACATCGATTTTGTCTCCAACTGCTTCGACAATTTCTGGCAACATCTCAAGGCTGCCAATGGCTCCCTAGAATATGGTTAGTGCTATTCCTCGACATTGAAGAACGTCACATACATCTAGTTGTCTGCCTCCGTGGTTGCTGACAACAATGCCTTGGACACCGACTTCAACCGCTCTCCTGGCATCCTCGGGGTGTTGGATACCCTTGAGGACGATAGGTCCGTCCCAGTTGTCTTTCAGATGCTGGACCTCGTCCCAGGTATGAGCAGCACCAGGGAATACCTTGCCTTGCCATTCCAGCGAGGCGTCGTGGATGTTGTCTTCGACCTCTTGACCGTGCTTTTCCTTAAACTGCTTACGGAAAACAGGGTCAGAAAATCCAATGGCATCTCCAATCCCCTTCATAAATGGTACATAGGCCGAATCAAGATCTTGCCTTCATCAAATTGTCAGTAAAATTCATCGGCATATCTCCCTTGAGATAACAGTTAACGGAACTTACGGTCTCCAACTCAGGGACCAGGTGTCCAGAGTAACGACCAGGACTTCGTAACCAGATTCCTTGGCTCTTTTGAGCATACTCTCAGTGATAGCTTCGTCGTGAGGCCAGTAAAGCTGGAACCATCTGTGGCCATCACCGTTGGCTTTAGCAACCTCCTCAATCGAGGATGAAGATGCACTTGAAAGGATGTAAGGAACGCCGAGTTCAGTAGCAATCTCAGCGACTCCAACCTCCTTGTCTTCGTGAAAGATTTGCTGAACACCAATGGGAGCTATCAGGCAAGGTGTCGGATACTCCTTGCCTAGAATTGTCGTCTTAAGACTTCGGTGGGTTGTGTCACGAAGCATACGAGGGATCATCTTCCAGGTCCTGAAGGCCAGGCGGTTTGCGTCCATGGTAGCTCCTTCACCAGCACCTCCACCAACGTAGTTATAACCTCTGCTGGTCATGCTCTCCTTTGCTTGTTGCTCGAGCTTATTGGGGTTGGTAGTGACACTAGGAACGACGTTGTCATACATTCCCTTCTTATAGATATCAGTCTGGCTAAATGCACAAAACAGTTAGCATGCTTTCCGGTGCTGTCGGTACTCACAGCAGTTGAAAGTCACATATAGCATGATCTCACTTACAAAGCGCCATAGTGATCGTGCTGGGTTGGAGTATTGTACTCGCCCTCCTGGTGAGTGCCTTGAATTGCGTTCATCTTGGTCGATAAAGGAAGAAAGTTGATGGACAGAGGATGGGGTGTACAGTAGTGGCAAAGTACGTGACAGTGTGTAGCAAAGATGTGAAACAGTGTGGAAGATATGTGAATTTGGAGATAGTCAATTTCTTCTATTTATCTTGATCACAACGAAAACCGCTGTGAAGAGGCAGAACAGTGATGTAGACAGGTTGCGAAGAATGACGTGGATATCCGAGCTGCCGAAGCATGAAGGGCCGAAGCGCACACCAAACGATCAAGATGTGTTCCTATCTGGCGATGTTCCACGGCACCGGGCGAACTTCGAATGAATCGCAATGACATGATCAAACTCGTCTGTTGAGCGCTATTCTAAACATGTCGGTTTGTGTTACTTCATCTTGTGTCCTTGTCCCACAAAATCCGCAAGCTTCGGATGGTTGCGGACAAACTTGACTGTGTATGACACCAAGCTCGTAGTCGTCAACGTACGGCCGCAGCGGGTGATAAGAACAACCAGATTGCTCTCACTGAAAAGGCATTTTGCTCGTGATGCTGGTTTGCGGCTGTAGTTGGTGCATTCCTTGTTTGCATATGGCTACGATTGTGTTGACCAATGAAAGTCAATTGAGACGGCCGCGTGTGCAACAAAGTCGTCATGACGGGCTGTGGTGAAAGACTCTGGCAATGAACTACCTATATAACCACCGACCGTACTCTTCTTGAGCTTTCGCATTATTCCTGAGCAAAAGTACCACCAAAGTCGTCTAGGTTATAGCACCAAACATCACTCGATAAAATGGATCCGCAACACGCAGGAAACCCCTCCAGCGACTCTGGTCCACCACCGGCATACTACGAACAGGCACCTCCACTACCTGCTCGTTCAACCGACGCTTCGCAGCAACTTCCGGTGCAATCATCATATCCAGCCCCTCCTAAGAGATTGAACAGCGCCAGAACTTCAACTGAAGACATTTCCTCACCCATACATTACACTCGAGATCCGCACAAGCTTGTGGCGTACCTGGTCCCATTTCCAAAACCGAAACTCCATGGAATCGCTCCAGATGCTATTCCGACCAGGTTTCTGATATATACTCCACCTCCTCCTCCCCTCAAAGCACCCGCAGAGGGAGAGAAAGAGACCAAGGTTCACAAGTTGCAACGCAAATGGCAGGAAGAAGTGCGTGAAGCAAAGATGTCAACTGCTAAAACCGCAAGCTGGAAGGGCGTCAAAAGCAAAGCTACTAAGGCGATCAATACAGCAATGGGTTATACTAAGACCTCAAACCTCGAGTTCATCAACAGGATCAACCTAGACGGCGATAAAGGATCTGAAGAGCACACTCAGCGTGAGCATGCTGAAGGTGGAGAAGTTCATCGCACAGTCGGTTTGGAGGAGATGATACTGGTGTATCCTGCGGATATCAAGAGTACCCCAGATCAGCTCAGAACCGAGTTTGTCGAGACGATGATGCGAAGCAAGAGCAAGGCTCAGAGAGACTCGATCATTGCCACCGGCTTGTTGCCCGTATCTGCTGCAACTGATATCATGCTTACCTTGATCTGGCCATTCGGAGGTCTACTCGAGGTCGACGCAGTCTGGGCAGCTGCTTCGTTCAGAGGTGCGAAGATTTCTCGCAACGTGACCAAGCGACTTCACTCTACTTCCACGAGTGGAAAGCATGACGAAGATACGTTGAGACTCTCTTTCACCCCTTCGCCTCGTCTCGAACTACTGGACAGATACCTGGAGGCGAGATGCCACGAGAAGGATGCAAAGATCTTCCCATCCTTTGGTACTTCACCGACTGAGACAGAGTGCCTTGAGGCCATAGGTTGGGCTCCAAGTCAGACTGATGGTGAGGCAAAGAACTGGGAAGATGAACACTGGGAGACCACAGAGGTCAAAGATGACCTCAAGACTGTCATGGCCAAAGCAGCACATGAGTGGGACAAGTGGTGCAAGGCCTATGAGAAGAATCCCGAGAAAGCATCGAAGAAGTAAAGAGTGGATGAGCAGTGTTTCCTGTATCGCCATCCAAATCAGTACATCTTTTCTGAGTTCCACTACTTGGCCAAAAGGCTACGCGTGAAATCCAGGCTGTCTTTATGGAGGTGTTAGATCTCGTCGGCATGAACCTCGGAAGACTCGCTTCAACATGTGGCGATCCACTCCTTGGTATAAGGCATTAAAGTGATTGCTCTTGTGCAAGTCTTCAGACACCCAACCAGCCCAGTCATCCACAGTAGGCTTAGTCTTGTGTCTCCAGAGTCCAGATTGTGACGTGCCAGTCTGATGTTCCTGTTACTGGCTTTAAGACCATCGAGGTAGATTATCCTCTCTCTCTGTGATGAGAGGTCGCGAGAACGGCTGCTGTCTCTGACTATACATCTCTCGTGACCATCCAATACTGTTCGATCTTTCTTCACTCGGCGGACCACCCTATCCTTTGATTGATATGTTAAGCTTTGACAATGGAAACATCCATGCTCAAGGTCTCGATTTGCAGGAGGTATACCTAGTGAGAATACATATCCAGACTGTCCTTTACATTTTCAATTGGAAGCGGAGTGCTTGACGTCTGGCTGGCTGATAAGGTCCGAAACGTCGATGAGGTTCGAGTATACTTCTGATGTTCGTTCCCGGTGATGTGAAGCTTGGAGGAATGGCTTCAAAGACGTTTGCTTGAAACATACTGGCAGTACACTTGGATCCGAATGATATTGGCTTATTCCCAAGTCCCAGGACCGGTACTCCTATCGGCAGGTAATAGCAAGAGTGTACTATTCATTGATCGTCCCAAGAGCCAGAACGTCTGCGCCAGAGGTGGTCATGATGAGTGTACTTCGGGATGCATGTACTGTAGTCAGGTACGTCGATCGAAACATGAATCATGGCGAAAAATAGAAAGACGTGCCGGTCCAGAAGGAGGATGAAGTGGTTATATAATATTTTGCGAATCTACCTCATCGGTGGGAATGGGGATGATTTTTGTAGTCATAGAAATGCCATAGCGTGATCTCGAGTGGCCACGTGCGAGACCTTGATGGTCATGAAGAAACATATAGGTACGATGCACGATTTTTCTCGAACCTTTCTGAAATGCTTGTTTTTTATTCAACATCTCTTGCTAGAGGTTTCACCCTATCCACCTTCCCAAGTTGCTAGATAAGAGAGCTTCGATCTGCATATCCAAGGATGAGCAACAGCCAGGCACAGATAACGCCATCGCAGATAAGCACAAAGACAGCAGGTGCAAGCAGGGACACCAGTAGCGACACTGGTGCTTGATAGCAGTGTCTATCTATCTCCCTGATGGTTCCTCTTATCATTCGGTGCTTCGATGCACATATATAACAACCGCCATGCGCCCACAACTTCGACATTCAGACTTCAATTCTGCCAGGACACGTCAATGCTCCAGGCGGAAAAGCATCTCGCACTCCTAGGATCGAGCTCGATGGAGAACATCACACGATGTCGACCAAATCTTGTTTCCCAGCACATCAATCGGCGTGGACCTCGAATGTTACTTGGGATCTGGACTGCCCACGCCGGATGTTACTGGCCAGCCTCATCCGCAGCCTCCGTGCAAGCGAACGACTGCATCGCGGTCGTCATGCATATGCGCATGAGCCCACTTTCACATGCCCCATGTCGCACATTAATCGGATCAGCTATTCGAAAGTGGCCCTCACAGCCCTCGTCAAAGGCTCGAGGACCAGTATTCACTGATATACCATTTCTAGGTGGCTTTGCAGACATGAAATTGCAATAACAAGGAGATGATCAACCCAGCCGGTAGCATCGGCCGAAGCGACCCTGTCGCCAGGGCGAAATGAGGCCACTGCGTATATCAACGGACGCGAACGCCTGGCTCCACGCGGCCACCCGCAGCAAGCACAGGCTAATATGGTAGAGATGATTCTCCCGTTGGAAGCTTCTTGCTGAGGTGATGAGCGTGCGTGGAACCGCGACTGTTTCGATTCAGAGAGTGCGTGACTGATCTCAGGACACGCGAGCAATTAACAACCAGTGATCTACCCAAGCCATGGAGGGCCGGTTCCGCGACCTATTTTCACCGCATCTCGCCGGTCCGAGGTTTAGAGCTGCCCAGGACCTGGAGGATGCAAGACCCACCCTCGGCCACCCACCTTGACACGGAGGCTGGAGTAGTTAAACGCCGTGGCAACCAACCCACGGCTCTTCTTTTTTCCATGGTCCCCTAAATTCCGAGTTCCGACCGCTGTCAAAAAATCCTATTCGAGCAATTGGACTACATACATGAATTTTGCTTTAGCAGCTTATGGTTTAGTATCCAGCTCGAGGCAGAAAAAAACAGCGATCTTGTTTGGTGTGGCAGGATCTCGGATCCACCGAGCGGACTTAAGCAAGGAAATTATTTCTGGAGAGATCGTTGGTTGAATTGTCGCGTTTCCTAGCGCGCTCATCCACGTTTCCAAGCATGGTTCGGGCGCGGCTACCTCGAAAAAACACGGGGAAAGAGATCCACATGGTCGTGTGCAAACCAAACCTTGCTCGATCCAGAGATTCATCGCATTGCTCAGAATCGACTTCCCACACTGTTCCGTCTCTTGAGTCGTGCGACCACTGGCTAGACCTCTGAAGCAAATGTGCATCCACGGATGAAGGATGCATCGGCACACAAATTGCGAGAACCGTATTGACTACAACTAGATATGGCAGACGAATTTTCTGGAACTCATAGACCTGCAAGAATTTTGCACGTGAGAGGACGGGAACGGAAGCGACACACGTAGGGAAACGGTGGTGGAGCTTGTCTCGTGCATATGCATTTTTTGCTTGTTCGGCCTGCAGGATCATGAAGCATAGGGATCAGCTAGTCGCCCAAAGCGCATAGGATCGGTAGTTGTTGCGCAGGTAGGTACTTAGTAAATAGACGACTTCGATTGGTGCCAGGCACACACTCGAGAGTCATGGTGAACATGCAAGATTTGGGCGGAGATTCGGTGCATTCCAGCCTCGAGCGGTCGCATCCGTGTCAGTAATTAGTGGGAGGGTCCCAGATCGCTCGAGCCCTGACTGACAGTGACAGCAACGGAGGTAGGTTTGCAATGGACCCCAAAGAGATGAACCGAAGATCAGGGTCTACCTCGGAATTTCACGGATGGCCCAGCAATGGTCGACGTGGGGAGTTTAAAGTGCTACGCGCACGGCTACGGCTCGTCAAGACATGTCGAGTCAAGGTGGACTTTGCACGACGAGAGGACAAAAGAAATGAGAAGAATCGGGATCGTCGCGGCAGCGCAGAGTACAAGCAACGTCCATGATGGCAAAGAGAGAGGGGCGTGATGACTTGGACGTCGGATATATTGGGAGGCAGAGGATGAGCGGGCCCTGAGTAAAGTAGGTAGGAGGTGGATTCTCAACCGAGCGGTTCTACAACGGCAAAAAGGGTTACATACTTGGTCGGGCAGATAGGAGGAGCAAGGTTTGAGCCGCAGATGTGGGTCGGACCTTGGAGGCCTGTCAACGCTGTTACCGTCGTCATTGAGCTTGCTGCGACGAGGAAATGCAGTGCAGTAGTGCAGTGGACCGTCGAGGGCGTGGGGGCTTTGTCCCGGCTCTGGATCCGAGTGGAAGAATGACTCTCGAACGAAAAGTACCTAGTAACTAGGACCTAGAATAGCAAATGGACACGGAAACGTTACAGGCTTCAGACTTGCGACAGACCAGACTCAATGGGCATTTCAAAGGACGGCAAGGATGTGAGAAGCGAGCGCTTGTTTGATGGAACAGGGGAGCAGTAACAAGATGCGACGGCGCCGAGGGTAGAGAAATGTGGCAGATCCTTGCCCGTCGGTCGGCGCGCGTGGGTGAAGCTAGAGGATTGGGTCAGCCACATTCAGAGTGCAGGGAGACTAAGTTGACGAAGCGCAAAACAGGCGATGAGAGCGAGCAGCGGGTTCGCCCCTAGCCTCGTACGGGCTAGCAGGCGTAGCCTACTCATGTGCCGACACAGTGCTGACCGAGTTGCACTCCGAGTTCGAGCCACCATTAGACATATCCACATCCCACCCTCTGTCTTTCCCAGCGCGTCATTTGCAACCCCAGCTACTGCACTCGCATTATTCTGCCCTTGGCTTTTTACTCAGCGTCCGTCAACTACCTGGATTCTCGGTCTGCGTAGGAACCACTTGCCATAGCCATCCGACAAGCAGTCCGGACTTACAGCTGCCTCTCCGCACGAGAGCTTATGTATTAAGGCCAGCCGGCTAATCAACCAAGGACGTGGGGGCCAACCAAACATGACATCGCCGCGCACCTTTGCTCCCAGCATGGCTGACATGACGGCTCACTCTTCCTCGACGACCTCGTCGGCCGTCCAGTCTCTCACCAGTGCCAGCACCCTGGATTCACCAACCGAGTCATCCGCGCGCCGAGCGCTGCGCGACAGTGTCTTTGAGTCGGCGACATGGCGCGAACCCGACGGCGAGACACCCGAGGAACTACAACGGAAAGACCCTCTCGGCACCCAGATCTGGAAGCTGTATTCCAAGACAAAGAACACTCTGCCCAACTCTGAGCGCATGGAAAACCTGACCTGGAGGATGATGTCCATGAACCTGAGGCGCGCCCAGCAGCAGAGGTACTACCGCGCACTCCGAAGCCTCCAACAAAGAAATGCATCATACTGACAACCTGCCCAGTCGTCTAGCTCACGCATACCAGCAGCGTGCCAACGCCCCCAGCGGCATTGCACAGCTGAGACAGTCGGCAGAGGCCCAGTCACAAACACAGTCGCAGACTCAAGGGCAGTCACAATCACAGCCGCACTTCGCCATCCCCGCCAGCGATCACATGAACCTGGACGACTTCATTGTTCCCTCGTCCATCGCATCCCCCATAAGCCAGCCTTCGCCGTCCGCCTCGTTCGATCCCTCAACGACAGCCGACTCCAAGGCCACTCCGACAGGCATCCCCATCCGCCGCCATCAGCAGCTGCAGGAAGAGGCCCAGGACGATTTTGTGGCGCGTGCATCCGCCCCCTCGGTTGCTCCCACCGCCGTCAACAAAACTACGGACGAGTTTGGCTACATTCAACGCCATGTGCGCAAGACTAGCATCGATGAGAGAAGGGTAATTAAGCTCCTTGTCATTGCTGAGATCGCATTCATTGCTGACTTGTCTAGCCACCCAAACGACGTGCCGACTGCTCACCCCAAGTCCCTCCAGTCACCACTGGCATGCCCAACGATGCCCTTCTCAACAACTACTCGCTCGACTCAACCCCTTACAACCCCACCGGCACTCAGGCCCAAGTGCCATTCGGCCTAGACACCTTTGGCTTCGACGCAGGGGCTAACTCGACCAACAACGACCCGCTGCTCACATCGGCCGGCCCTTTCCAGAGCAACTTCAACTTTTCCCCAGTTGGTTCGCCCATGATGGCCAACGGTCCGTATACCAACATGTTCAATCAGTCAGTCATGGCCAACAACTACTGCTCGCCGCCCCAGTCATCCTATCATTCCCGTGTCTCGACTCCCCAGCCAATCCCCGAGCACGAGCCTGTCTTTTTCAACACGTCTAGCAGTGTTGATTTGAGACATCACGCTCACATGAGCAGCTATACCAGCCAGCAGCCCACTCCCGTCGCTAGCATGCAGCCTCAATACATCTTCAGCCCCAACAACGAGAACATATTCAGCCAAATCTCGGCCCCCGATCCATCTACCTCATTCACCCAACCATCATCTTTCTCCATGTCAGGCCATGTCGACCCAACCGAGGTTTTGTCGACGGCCATGTCCTTACCGCGAGGCGACAACATGTTCACCTTTGGTGCCGATTCTGACAATGAAGACGACGAGACCAACTTTGGCGACCGCAACAACTTCATAATGCAGACTGACTTCTCGCCTATGGAAGATCCCTCGGTGAGCGAATATCAATGGGAGAGCGGTCTCGCATCGGGCCAGTTCAACTCGATGCCTGCTCGCTATGCCGGACCTCCAGCTCGCAAGGGCGTCACGATTGGTCATACCGAAATGATTCCATCGCCACAGGAGTGGGGTGTTGGCAGCTTGGGACGTACACATGGTTCAGCTGCTTCGGTCAGTGAGATCCGCAACCGTGGAAACGACCCTCGTCTGAAGAAGATTCCTCGCACCAGCTCAACCCCAAATGCGGCTGCTATGGCTGCTCAACATGGTATCTTCTCAGTTCGTCCACAGTCGTCGCCCTCGTCGCCGCCTGAGTCGTCTACTGGCTTCAGCTCTGTTGCACCTTCTCGGCCCGGAAGTCCAAAGCCTGGTGACAATGGCTTGCCTACCACATGCACAAACTGTTTCACTCAAACCACTCCGCTCTGGCGCCGTAACCCTGAAGGACATCCGCTGTGTAATGCATGTGGTTTGTTCCTCAAGCTCCACGGTGTCGTACGTCCGCTGAGCTTGAAGACGGATGTCATCAAAAAGCGTAATCGAGGCGGCGCAGGTTCCACAACCATTGGACCTTCGTCCAGCCGTTCCAAGAAGGCTGCAAGCAGAAAGAACTCAGTCGCTCACACTCCCGCGACAACTCCCAAGCCTACACAGGATGCCGACTCCCCTAGTACCACTGCTGGGTCATCCACCACCGCCAATACTCCAACCACTCAAACCAACCCCGTCCTTGCGCCTAAAACCACTGTGGTACCAATTGCGCCCGGTCCACCCAAACCACAAATGCCAGCCACAGGCCCTGCTCCCACACGAATGGTTGCACCCAAGCGCCAACGTAAGCAGAGCAAAGTTGGGAGCTCTCCACAAGAGATCGAGATGGGTGAAGCAGACGATATCAGTGTAAGCAACAAGCCCAAAGAACTTGCTCAAGCACCACCACCCGCTTTCACGTCTACTCAACAGCCAACGATGATGGCGAACAATGGTTCGTCTGGGTCAATGGTCAGCTCCCCTTCTGGCATGCCTGCCGGACCACAGGAATGGGAATGGCTCACCATGAGTTTGTAAGGCGTAGAGCGCTGGCAAACTCGCATCAGAGCATTTCCTTTAATCTAGACGCAAGATGGGAACTTGCGAAGGCCAGCGTCCTGCAGCACGCTGCGTCAATTTTCCGCTTTTTGAATTTGATCATATACCCGCCCGGTCGCTCGGGCACTGGACACCACCAAGATTGGACTTACGGTCTCTTGGTATTTAATGGATGAGCAGGCCATCGTATACACGGCCTGCACTTTTGCTTTTTCCCTGGGTGTTCAATCAGGCGTTACATCTGAGAAGAGGTGTGGTACTGTTTCTTGTTTCCAATGATTCCCTTATTAGACTTGTGGGCAGGTTTCGGATTGCTATTTTGCTGGATTATCAGATCCTCTAGTTCTTATCTGCTGTTGATGAGCCGAAGAAGAGGTTGTGCAAGACGATTTGAACGCACTGCCTTGAGCAATGACGGTACACGATTCTGATATTTCTTTTTACTTGTTTGAGTGGTCGCGTAATGACCTGAATTCTAGACTTGTTTCATTTTCTTCAACTTTGTTTTCTTTCGTTTGGGTGGCTTTGACGCAGTAGCAAGATTCGATCTCTTTTAAATACTGTTATATGTCAAGTTGCATGCAGTTCTGCTAAGTTTAGAAGTGAATATCGACCCAACGTCCCTGTCATTGAGCATTTTCCAAATGCTCATCCTCAGCTACATCTTGATAGGGCAAAGTCAACAAGGCAGATAAGAGAACCTCCTATGAGTAAAATGTTATACATTAAATCTTTAAATCCACTGCTTTTAAACCTCGCCCGTATCATCTCACTCTTCTCTCCAGGGCTTCAACTCGAGCTCTGAAAGCCGCCACAATGTCGCGGATACGTCTTATTTTGTCAAACTCGGTTTCGAGCTCATCTATCTGTCTCAGAAGGTCATGAACCCGGGCAATCTCTGCATTGGCAGCCTGGATCGAGGAGACGGCCCTTGAGCTCTGTCTTTGCACCGAAGCTTGTGTTTCGCGGGTCAACTCCAAGACACAGGTCTGTTAGTAGATGCTTCCAGCTTGAAAAGCATGGCTGATTGGGATGGTTGCATCACACAACTACGACACGAGGCATACAGGACTCAAATGTGCCAATACACACACACACACAACTGAATAAGGCACGAGAGCAGAACGTACACGTAGGAAAGATGAAAGACCTTTTGACAAGTACTCACAAGATCAGCTCTTCGCTGTATGCCAGCCATAACATGGTCAAAGTGATTGGCTAGCAGTTGCAAACTGCCGGCGTCCACCAAGACTCTTCCATTTGCAGCCGCAGAGCGCGCGTTGTTGTTTGCTCTAGACAAAGCAATCTGCTGATGTCGTTGGAAAGTCGCAACCTCTTCGCCATTTGTCAAGCCCAGTAGCGATGGCGGCACAGTGGATGTTGTAGGCGCCGCAGCTCGAGAAGCCGAGGATGAAGGTTTTCTGGACACCATAGATGGAGGCTCATCTTTTGACTTTCATGCACCTGCGTCTGGACTTCAACCCCGGGAGAGTTCGGACACCTCGTAAAGATGGCTTGCTTTCCGCGTCGGCTAGGTTGTCGCTTTAGAAGATTTTGGGTTATGAATCGGTGTTGCTGGCAAACGGGCAAAGATGAGGATGCGCGCTCTACAAAGTGTTGTGGAGTGTGGTGGCATTGCGGCCTCGCCGTCGTGGGGGTCATTTCTTGCCCTAACCGAGGATCCGGCGCAAGGCAATCTTGCATCAAGAATTAAGCCCTCGCTATTGTTGATGCAACTGGATGCGATGTCGGTAGGACATGTTTAGTGAGCGTTTAGTGGGCATCTCGTACATGTGAGATTGCACAATATCAATTGCAATCTTTCGGACAAAAGCGATGCCTCTAAAGGGTTGAGAAAGAGTACCGCAGGCCTGTGTCAGTTGGTTGAGCGATGCTCACCCACTAATTCATCCGCGAGTTCCTCCATCAGCTCCTCTGTGGGTCACTGTGGATCTGAACATGATTTAAAGCAAACCGACTATCGATTCATTGCGTGTATAGCTTTGCAGCCCATGGATAATCATTCTAGTCTAGCAAGACAATGCTCCTCTCTCCTGCGTCTCCCTATACGAAAGGGTTTGATGTAACCTCACGCCTCAAACGCCATCCTTGTCTCCTGTTTCTGAACTCCTTCCACCGTTCCAAACGGCGAGTCCCACCATTCATCAATTAATAATCGTTCAAGTTGTGCAGAGAGACGTCCTGGCTACCACGGTGCATCAAGCCATCATTGGGTCTTTTCTCCTCCTTCTCGCCGTCGGCGGTAATCTTGCTGACGGCTGTTGCTTGTGCGCTGGTGCCCTCGTCGGCAGGGACGACGTTGCCCTGGCGGTCGACTTTGACGCCGCTCGCCGCCATGCGCACTTCCTCCTCGCCAGCAGTACCTTGCCTGACAGCCTCACGTGCGCTCTCCATGACCTTAAGTTTCTTTGCATCTCCACGCATGCGCTCGAGATGCTCAAAGTAGTCGTCGCTGACTGGAGTGACATATGTGCCGCAGAAGACACCAACTTCGAACTTTTGGTCCGGACGGGGACTAGCTTCTGCGCAAGACTCTTCAAGATCCTTGAGCGATTGGTAGACAACAGCATCAGCACCAATCTTCCTGGCAATGTCCTGAGAGCTGCTGTGGTGGGCGATCAGCTCCGAAGATGAAGCGAGATCGATACCGTAGATGTGGGCGTAGGTAATTGGGGGAGCGCAACTGGCGAAGAAGACCTGTTTGGCACCGGCCTCCTTGGCCATGAGCACAATCTCGCGACTTGTAGTACCTCTAACGATACTGTCGTCGACAAGAAGCACGTTCTTGTCCTGGAACTCGATAGGAATGGCGTTGAGCTTAGCGCGGACACCCTTTTGACGAGCCTTCTGGTTTGGCATAATGAAAGTACGGAAGATGTAGCGGTTCTTGACAAAGCCCTGGCAGTAAGGGATCTTCAAGTGCTTGGACACGGCATAGGCAGAAATCAGACTGGTCTCGGGGATGGGGATGACGGCGTCGATGCTTGCGAGCTGTTCGGGAGTGAGTTGCTGCTTGATGGTCTCGGCAAGGCGGTAGCCCATGAGTTGACGACTGCGGTGAACTGAAATGCCGTCAATGACGGACTCAGGACGAGCAAAGTAGACGTATTCGAAAATATCGGGGGCGTAGTTCAATTCCTCTGCGACTTGGGAAAAGACAGGCTCCTTGCCCTTCTCAATGATGACAGCCTGTCCAGGCTTGATGTCAATGATGTTCTTGTAGCCACACTGCGATAAGGCAACGGATTCAGAGGCCATCATGTAGTCGGTACCAATACCGTCGTCCGAAGGCTTGGAGCCGAGGACCATTGGGCGGATGCCGTAGGCGTCACGGAAACCAATAAGGCCAAATCCAGCGAGCATGGCAGTGCAGGCCCAACCGCCGGAACAACGCTTGTACATACGGCCAAGAGCAGCAAAACAATCGCTGGCGTTGACTCTTGCTTTCTTGGTCTCGTTCAACTCGTTGGCGAAGATGTTCAGCATAAGCTCGCTGTCACTGTCCGTGTTGATGTGTCTGTGAGCGACCTGATCGAGGTACTCTCTCAATTCAGGGGCGTTGACCAAGTTGCCGTTGTGAGTGAGAGCAATACCGTAGGGGCTGTTGACGTAGAAAGGCTGGGCTTCCGAGTTTGCGCTGCTGCCAGCAGTTGGGTATCTCAAGTGACCAATTCCCATGAAGCCGGGGAGGTCAGCGACGCGGGAACCGTCGTGGAAGACCTTTGCGGCGAGACCATTGCCCTTGCACTGGTAGATGCGACCATTGCGGGTACAGGCGGCAATACCGCAAGCATCTTGACCACGATGTTGCAGGTAGTATAGAGCCTGGTGGATCTCAGCGGCAGCGTCGAGCGACGACGGGTTGCCGTGAATAACGCCGAGGATGCCACACATGGTGTCTGGTTATATAGAGGTTTGGTAAAAGATAGGTAGGGAACGTGGGAGGATCTGTAGAAGACTCAAGGTTAGCTGGCTGAGACAAGTAATAGTTCTTATCAAGGTCGCGTGCTCAAGGTATTGCTCAGTTCTAGAAAATGTGTTCATGAAAGATCACTAGTCTAACATCTATTTTTTACTTCTGATCTCATCCGTGCAGAGTGGTGGTGGTGGATGCTGAGAGAAAAGTCTGCAACTTACGAGTCAAGGTGGCCTTGTGGGAGGACACAAAGATATGTGTACGGGGGGCGGGGCGGTTATTGGCGATCGGGCATGGGCAGTATGCCTGGAAGAGGCACTTGGGGACGACATTTGTGTAGGAGGGAGAAAGCGTCAGAAGCAAAGAATTTTGATAGCGTTGCCGGAGCCCCCACCAATCCTCTCGGAACCCTGCACCTTGGCAGCCATGTCTTGCACTGTCTTCTGCCGACCTTCCGACTTCGGGATGAAAGCACGTGGGGAGGATCGCTCCATCTGGGGTTCACTTGTCGCAGCTTCGTCCGAGAAACATCTCACTTTTACTTAAGCAGGCTGTCATGAAGACTCCATGTGTCGCAACAATGGAGTTCAAAAGACTCCTTTCAATTGTGATTCTGATGCTTCCCTGAATGAAGCTGCAAACACCAAGGCAAGTTTGTTGCTAAGACTAAAGAAGATCATATCAATGGTCTAAGTGCTACCAATACTTCAACTACAATACCTTTCTTTCATCTGAAGCTACTAGAGGGTACACTCACTTTCTTGTCTGATATTTCATTTTCCTACTACCATCCTTCACGTCTCTTTCTTCCATAACCCAACTTCGTCTCTTTGCACAACACCCTTCATCCCTTGGCTCTCTCTCTCTTCTTAGACAATAGTTCTTAGACAATCTGTCTTCGGCAAACTTCTTTTCCCGTACACGCGACCATCTGTCTCCATCGAAGCAACACCGCAGCAAGCTTCGTACTTCTCTTTCGAAGTGATTGCTGCTCGACCTTTCACACTACTTCCAGCCTTCAGCAGCTTCAACCATCCATGAAGCAATTCAGTCGCCCATCATAAAACCTCACCAATCTTCTCAATTCACTCTGTTACCACTTCTCGTCCCCAACCACCAGACTACATCATTCTCAATGGTCAACCTCGCGTCACATCAGTCCGCTATGCGGAGGCCAAGCAGCGTCATTCCTAGCCGTCCAGGTTCATCTTGTGGTAAGTGAACGTCTTCAGTCCCTTTCCACCTCGACTGACATTCTAACAGACCCTATCATGATTGATGACGAAGATGCCGATGATGTCGTCGACTACGTCAACACAAATTTCTATAGTGCCATCATGATCGATGATGATGAGGATGAAACTGAAGACGAAGTTCAATTCATCTCGGAGCACACTCGTGTTGTCGACAGCGAGCAGCGTTGGGGTGCGCCTCGGTCCCCACGCCCTGCTCGAGCTACAAAGAAAAGGTCAAACCCGTCCGTCATCTATGAGCCCAGAACAAAACCTATCATCAACACCTCGTTCCTGCAAGGCCACTGGATTGTGGAGACTTTCTGCCTTGTACCTGGTCTGGTAGTCGAACTCCAGGTTGATTACAGCAGACCTCATGAATTCAAGGATTGCGGTGACTTTCTCAAAATCCAAGATGTCTATGAAGATCTGGACACCAAGATCGTCTATCTACGCGGTCTTCTCTACCGCCGCACGCGGACTTTGAGCGGTATGCTTCCCAAAAAGCTCAACGAAGTGTATCAGGTCCTGCAACAGAATCTGGAAGACCCTCGTGCCATTCAAATCCAGTCCCTTCACGACGTCCCAGTCAGCCTTGTTGTCCGTACTCGTTGCTTGAAACACACCAACGCTCCCTTTCCTGAGAACAGCTTCCGCACGCGCGAGGACATGTATGGACAGGGCAAACAGTTCCCCCGAGACAATGCGCAGCTCACATGCCGTTGGAAGAGAGTCTTCCAATATTCTTGCGCAGAGGACTTGAAAAAAGGTCATCCACAGCAGCAGTCTCTTCAGAGAATCACGGATGTTGAATGCGATGAAGATTTCCGTGTTCCGGATTTTGTGCTACGCAGAGCTGTCCCAAAGATCAAGTCCGATCTTACTGTCGCCGACCTTACCACCGACGAGGCAGCTGATCAAGACACCCAGCAGCTGATAGGATTGATGAGTGGTACTCATATCTCTGACACCGACTACTCTGCCTATACTTTCGCCGACTTCTACTGTGGAGCAGGAGGTGTCTCTGCCGGAGCCAAACAGGCGGGTTTCAAGATCGTTTATGGTGTAGACCACGACCGCGATGCTTGCTCCACGTATCGCCTTAACTTTCCCGGCACAACAGTTTTTGAGGAGAGCATCAACTACAATTTAACCGTCAGAGTACAGGAAAATGCACATGTACGCTGCGTCCACATGTCCACTGTCTGCAAGACCATCTCTACTGCCTACACCGTCAGAGGCAAAAACCATGATGCCAACGAGGCAACTCTCTTCACAATCTCAGACATCCTCCGCAAGACCACGCCTATGGTCGCTACCCTTGAGCAGACCTTTGGTGCTCTCAATCCTGGCAAGATCCAGCTCTTCAATTCCTTCGTCTTACAATTCACGTCCATGAACTATTCGGTCAGATGGGCTGTCCATACTCTATCGGAGTACGGCGTTCCTCAGGCACGCAAGCGCCTCATCATGATCGCCTCTTGTCCCGGACATCCTTTGCCAGACTTTCCGATGCCTACTCACGCCGCTTCACCTTTGGAGCCTGTTCCAGGCTTGAGGCCTTCCGTGACGATTGCCGAGGCTCTGCAGCCAATTCGTCCTAACACGCCTAACCACAATCCTGCCGCCCTTCCTGCCAAAGACCTCGCACCCTACAGCCCTCACCAGCTAGTCCGAGGTTGCATTACCACTAGCGGTGGTCAAAACAACTGGCACCCCAGCGGCAAGCGTCACTTCACCGAGCGCGAGTACGCATGTCTCCAGACCTTTCCTCTCGATCATGTCTTTGTCGGCACTAGGTCCTCGGTGATTCAGCAGGTCGGAAACGCAGTTCCACCTGCCTTTTCCCAAAAGCTTTTCGAAAGTATCCGTAAGACTTTTGAGGAGGTCGACAAGCAAGATCGCGAGAACGCCGGAGTTATCCAGATCGACGACGATGAGGAGATGATGGACGATGGCAGAATTGTCGTGGACCTGACTTGAACGCCATGTCACTGCCAGTCACACATCGATTTGCGCTTGCCGATTGCACCACATCAATGAACGACTGATCGTCCTAATTCATCGCACATTTTGCTTTTCACAGATCCCCGATTTCCTTTGTTCACGTTCGTCGCAAGTGCATGGAAAGCACATAGTACTCCTGTTTCTTCATTGTCTGCTTTTTCTATTTTCCTCTTTCCAATCGAGGGCCTCAATTACTGTTATCATCGTCGGAGATTCTGAGGGAGCCCAGTGTGTTGCAAGGCCAGGAGGATAGGCCACAGTCATGATCGTTGTTCCTTTGAAGAATATCTTAGTAGTAATGAAGTCATGTTTTCTTCTTCAACGAACTTTTTCGAGTTGCTAGTGTGCGAGCTGTGATAAGCTTCTTTTTTTCGTTGTGTGCCAAAGACTGTCACATTGTCTTCTGAGAAGCTTACTTGAACAACTTTTTCTAAAGACTCGGCATCCAGAGAAAGCGTCTTCATTTTGCTAATGCTCTAATTTTTACGTATGAAGTAAGACACAGGTTTGGTACATAACTTATCAATACGCTCCTATGTATGTGCCTTGACTCCGGTACCTGCAAATACCCCCCGTCTCTTGATCTGGCTAATTAGCCTGCAACATAAACACAATATCATATCCTCGCTCATAACTCTGCATGGGCAGACGACGATGTGGGTAAGAAGAATTGAGATACTGATTGGTTTTGATCATACACCCAGGTCAAATGTCTAGCCACTGATTAAGGGGACTTGCTTACTTGATTAAGCCTGCCGTACTTGGTCGTTCTTGTACGTGGTCGGGCATGTTTTCTTGACTTGTGTGTCCGCCACTTGTTCAGCTAGCGTACGCAGTACGGCAGAGAGACGCCATGCATACGTTTTACAATCGCTCTTGCACTCAATCAAGTATGTAGGACTGACCACACCACAACCATCGAGTGTGGAGATACAGCGCTGACACAGCGAGCCATCAGCATCGGCTAAGCAACTTACAAGATGTTCAGGATGAGAGCGAACTTGAGCATGTATATCAGGCCTCATCAGCTTCTGATACTAGCACGCTCACTGGGAGGAGAAGTCATTGCTTGAAGATGACTCATACTCCATGACGTGACAAGAAAGATGAGCTGGAAATCACGACTATCAGGATAGCGTAAGCTGTTCGCAAGTCTCAGGGTCTCCGACGAGAGAGTACGTGCTTTCTCAAGATCGTGCTGCAGACTTGACGTACATCTTCGATCGAGGCAGTAAGTGCAGGTCGGAGAAGGGTGATAGCCAAGGCACCAGTAAGGGGCGATTTTAGCCTGGAGGGGACAAGAGGTTCACCCCATCTGTTGAAGCCAGACTTTTCTAATTCATCTATAACTGTGTTGCGAAATCTTCTCGTGACCCAGGAGCGAATAGTCCGTTTCTTTGAGATGGCAACTGGGGTTCTGATGACCCAGTGTAGTCGTTGTGGATTCCAAGTTTCAAGGCGACGAGAGATGGGAATATTCAAGGGATGACGGTCGTCGTTGGCAATGGCTTCGGTAGCAATGAAAGTGGTGCAATTGATTGGTTTGGGAAAAGGCTCGAAGCGGACATGGAACAGAGTGTTGAGACCCTTCTGTGTTGGTAGGCGCGACATTAGATGGCCAAGTGAAAGGAAATGTGGCACAATAAGAAGAGGGTCAAACAATGAGAGCGATGATGTGAAAGAGGGAGATTTAGGCGCTGGCCAAGAGATTTGGCAGACTCTGAATCCCCCACGCCGACCAACATGCGTCACAGCGACCGCCCCTCCTTCTTTTCCACAACCACAACCACTCTACACTCAACTTTTCCAACCCTCCTACTTCCAGGCAACGAAGCCGCACTAGACTCAGTCCAAACACTTCAGCGACACATTCGCCATGCCCAAGAACAAGGGAAAGGTATGCGCCCCCGCAAACACAAAGAGAAAAAACATGCGCTGACTCGGCTGTGCCAACCAGGGTGGTAAGAACCGCAGAAGAGGAAAGAACGAGAACGACAACGAGAAGCGCGAGCTCACCTTCAAGGAGGAGGGTCAGGGTATGTTTTCTTGCACGGCACACGAAACACATCGAGCACGAGACTGACCAAGAGCGCAGAGTATGCCCAAGTCGTCAAGATGCTGGGTAACGGCAGACTGGAAGCACAATGTTTCGACGGCGAGAAGAGACTAGGACACATCCGTGGCAAGCTGCGAAAGAAGGTCTGGATCAATCAGGGAGACATCATCCTCCTGTCGCTGCGTGACTACCAGGACGAGAAGGGCGACGTCATCCTCAAGTACAACGCAGACGAAGCACGAAGCTTGAAGGCATACGGCGAGCTGCCCGAGTCGGCCAAGATCAACGAGACCGACACATACGGCGGCGAGGAGGAGGGCATCGGCTTCGACTTCGGCGAGGACGACAGCGAGAGCGGCGGTGAGGTCGACATTGACGACATCTAAGCGCACATGCAGATGCAGACCGAGACTGGCGGCCGCGCTCGCAATGGCTCTACTATGGGATTGAGCAGGCAGGCGGCATTCACGATTTTTACCAGCGTTGGGCGTCTTTTTTGTTTCACGAGCATATTCCTTCAAACTGGGTCTGACGCCGCCGGGCTGGCAAAAATGAAGTTTCTTTACTACCTGATACCTGATTCTGCTACCTTGACGAATGCAACGCTTTGAGAGATAGTTGAGAATACAGTGCACAGTCTGCGCATACAAAAGTGATGTACTCATATAGACATGATTCCTGATTGGGCAGCAACGACGGCGAGCAGGGCAGAGGACAAAATTGGAGTGCGGAAGCGGCGGGCTCGGCGGTCGACGCGCGTGGAAAGAGGCTGGTGCTCATCGGTCTCGTCTTCCGTACTGACGTCTGCGTGCCGCTCTCTAACTTAGCCTCTACTCCAACCAGTTACAGCCTCGATACCTGCCCTGCGTGCGTGTGACTGTCTAGTTTCACCATCTCTCCAGCACCCGTGCCTGTGCCTGTCGCCCTGGATTGACACATGCGCATCCGCTCACCTTCGCCATGCCTTCGATCTTGAACGACGATGACAAGCAGAATGTCAAGCGCCAGGTGCCCAAGGCTTCCAACAAGATCCATGCCGTCGCTGTCGCCAAATTGTACATTGCCTATCCAAACCACAACAAATGGCAGTACACCGGGCTGCAGGGCGCTGTAGTCCTCGCCAACGATCTTGTCGGCAACACCTTCTGGATCAAGATGGTCGACGTCTCGGTACGCTCTCTACCCCTCCTCAATCATGCCATGTGCCTCGACTAACCACATTTCAAGCCCTCGAACCGCGGTGTCGTCTGGGACCAGGAAATCTATGACACCTTCCAGTACAACCAGGACCGTACCTTCTTCCACACCTTCGAGCTCGAGGACTGTCTGGCTGGTCTGTCGTTTGCAGATGAAAAGGAAGCAAAGCAATTCAAGAAGAAGATGGATGAACGCGAGAAGAATGCACACAAGAACACAAAGAACAAGCCTTTTGGTAGTGGTAGTGGTACCAACAAGGACTATTCCGCTGCCAGCGCAGGTGGTGGCTCATCTAGACATCGTTTCGGTTTCAGCAGTCTGCTACCCGGCCACCGCCATTCTCAAGCTCCTCAGGCTCCAGCTCAATCCATCATCCCTCCACGCGATGTGACTATCGGTCATGCTGCGCCTGCTCGTTCCACGCCATCTCACAACTTGGACATGTCAGATCCTGCTGTGCAAGAAGTGCTCAACCAGCTTCTGTCCATGGGCATTACTGAGGATCAGCTAGAGGAGCACGCCGGCTTCATTCAGACTTATCTCGAGCAGCACAAGGCTACTGCCGCTGCTGAGGAAGAGCGCAAGGCCAGGGCACCACCTCCTCCTCCACCTGTTGCTGCACAGATGTCTCCTCAAACCACTGGAGGAAGTGGAAGCAATTCGAGACGTGGTCCTCCGCCTGCTCCGCCACAACCTAGGAGGGGTGCTGCACCAGTGAGACCGCCATCTCCCTCGCCTTCGCCGCCACGCGCTCCTTCACCTCCTCGTCCCATGTTCAAGGCTCCTCCTCCGATTGCCGACGCCGGAAAGTACGCCAACGTTCCCCCTCCGCCTGCCAGAGCCAGAGCCACATCTTCTGTCGCACCTCCACCCCCACCGCGTGCCCCGACCAAGACGCCGGCCGACGAACCATCCTCATCCAGATTCGGTGTTCCTCCCCCTTTCACTGGCAACCGTATTCCGTCCGGTCCTCCTCCTACTCCTGCTCGAGGCCCTGTGCCACCTCCACCGCCAGCAAGAAACAATGTCGCGGGCGCTGGCCCACCTATGCCACCACCATTGCCTCCTAAAACTCCAAACTCCGCCGCTCCAATTCCACCCCCTCTGCCTCCATCATCTGCTCGTCCTGTCCCTCCCCCTCCCGGTGCTGGTGGTCTGCCTCCTCCGCCTCCTCCTCTTCCCCCAACATCGTCTGGAGGCCCTCCCCCTCCCCCTCCTCCAATGCCCCCAGCTGGTGGTGCTCCTCCACCGCCTCCATTGCCTCCAGGTCGTGCTCCTCCTGGTGGGGATGCACCGGCACCTCCGCCATTGCCCTCCGTTGGCGGTGGCGGTAGAGATGATCTTCTCGCATCCATTCGTGGCGGTGCTCGTCTCAAGAAGGTCTCGGACGCAGAGAAGAGAGACCGCAGTGCTGCAGCGGTGCCAGGTAGTGAACCTCCTGCTTCGAGCGGTCCTAGCGGTGGTGGAGGCGGCGATGCAGCTGCTGCTGGCGGTCTTGCTGGTGCATTGGCCAGTGCACTCGCTGCAAGAAAGTCCAAAGTTAGCCACAGTGGTAAGTTTTACTTCGGTTTTGTTTCGTCGTGACTATGTGCTGACAATATTACAGATGACGAAGACGACAAGGATGACTGGTAGATTATTGCAGAGAAGCGATTCGAAGGCGTGTCAATTTTTTCTGGTTGGGAGCGAGGTGTTTCAAAAGAGTTTGTCTAAGTAAGGCATTACTCAGGTATAAGGGGTATATTTCATCAATTTAGTATATATCATGGGCTCTAGAGCTACTTGCAGCCAACCTAGTTCCGACCAGCAATGATACAAATTGTCAGTTATCTTGTCTAATTCTTCGGCAATGTTGGAGTCACATGGAATCCATGATATCCGACTCGGTGCGTCTGCTAGTACTATTTAGACACAAAATAGGGACTTACACGATGGTGTGAATCCAGTCCATCAAGGGCTACTCAGCCCTTGTGGTCTGACCTGTATGATTTGTTGAAAGATCGATTGATACAGACTGCTCGGGATATAGACGCATTTGAAAGTTGGACAGGTCGATCAGATACTCACGGACTCATGATAGCGACATACTCTGATTTGAATGTTTCAAACCACTTTTGATGTTGCTGTCGATGGTATACTTTGGGGGCAGGGTGGTACTGTCAATGAGAAATGACTTGTCTGCAGCTCAACTCAAATTACTTCCTCCTAAGCCGAGCTCATATCCTCCCACAACACACATACACAATGAATAATCTACGGAATAACTCCACGAGGAGTCTGCGACTCGTTCGCCAAATCCGAAACGCATCGACCCCGAGCCAAACCTCCAACGCAAAACCATCCATCTTCCGCAGATACCGCGGCATTATACTATGGACATCAGTCGGCCTGGCAGTAGGCGGCACAACCGGCACGATGATCTCGCACACAATCGCTCCTCCACCGCATCCGCTACCAGGCACACACGAAGATGGGATCCTCATACAAGACCTCAACAACCGTATCGACAACGAGTTCAAAGTCAAGGTGCTGCGAGGAAAGTGCACTGCTGTAGCAGCGAGCTTGCGCGGCGATGAAGGCGTCTGGCGTGAACTAGACCCCCAGACCCTGAATGGCTCGTTGATGAAAGATTCATTAGCGGGTGCCCGTTCGCTGGGCGTCCAACGTGTATTTTGGAACGAGAAAGAGCATGAATTGGTTGCCGTGGTGTGGTTCGGAGGTGCCATGTCTGGATGGCCTGGCGTTGCACATGGAGGCGGCATTGCGACTGTTCTTGCGGACAAAATGGCACTGGCTGCTCGTCTTGCAAAAGGCATTGACCCCGCGCAGGACTCTTCCCATGGTCCCTCGGAACCGACGCGTGTGGATATAACATACAAAAAGCCTACATATGCTAATGCTTTTTACGTCGTGCGTGCCGTGCCCAGGTACGGCGCTTTCGAGACCTCGTCGCCCAATGACATGGAGGTTGATGTTCAGCTCGAAACCTTGGATGGCACGGTTTGCGTGCTGGTCAAGGGTGCTGTTCCCGTTTCTGAGGGCGAAGGTGTCGTCAAATCTTCTATCAAGAGTTTCACTCCTGCAAAGTCGTGGCTCGGCTGGACTTCTCGATCAGATACTTGAGCAAGCTCAACGAGTTTCAAGCTGAAAACAACAATGTTGCAAGCAGGACGAGATTGAGTTTCCTGCTGGACGACTACCCAAGCTCAAATCATCAGTCTTGAATATAAGAAACCACTTCGATCATCAAAACGCCCACAACCCTTGGCGCAAACATGAGTATTTAGCTCAGCGATGCAGACGAAGTTTGCAGTCGAATGATCTTCGTCTGGATGAAATAAACACTACATAGCATATCTCGATTAAGGATAGCAGGCATTGCAGAAGTTGCAAGAATCAATGTGGTAGAACAGAAAAACAGACCCCTATGTGTAAATCATCACACTTGACAACGCCTCAGAATCCTTGTGAAGGACCCGTATCCGAATACTCCGTTACCCATCCTCCCAGACCCATGTCGCATTATTGTACACGATGTGCATGTACTATTAGACCTCTTTCAGTATCGATCATGCAATCATCCACCTGTGAAATGTTAGTCGAGCGAACGTTGAATGGCCGCGAGACGACTTACCATGCTCCTCCGATGAGAGCCACTAGAATCAGCGCTTGAAGATGTTAGCATGTTGTCTCTCGAAAGCAAGTCATTTGAAGACAAACCTGTGATAATGCCAGCACCAGCCCTATCACTGGTTTGAATGGGATCGGGTGTGGCAATGGGATTCGAGTCGCCTCCGGTTCCAGCACTGAAGAAACTGGTTAGCCACAATGCAGATAGTTCTGAGAACTACTACTCACTTAGGATTGCCTTGTGAGGTTCCGCCGGTCGAGTTGGACACAGGCCCTTGAACCTAGAGAGTATTAGTGCAAGAACGTTCCAAGCGGCTCGTGAGCCAAGGACATACTCTGTCAATGAGGTTGGATTGGATGACCTCGAGAGCGGACATTTGTTGACCAACACCCGTAGCTCCATCCCAGACCCCGTTGTTCCACCATCTGGTTCCGCATGTTGTGCCGTCTTCTCCACCACTACAAGACAGAGCTGCAGCTTGGGCGGATGCTGCGAGATAAGGCTTGATGTCGTCGTACAGCCATGGCGCGACCTTGGTGGAAGCGGCCATCCAGCGTGACAAGTAGGCTTTGAAACTGCTCATAATCAATCGATGCACGACTTGGACGTCACATCTTGAATCTTACCTGAGTTGATCGACATTGCAGTTGTTGTTCGGTTCACAGGCCACCTCGAACATGATAAGTCCATCTCCCTGACCACCTTGGTTGGTGAAGAAGACATGGGTTGCGTTCCAAATGCCAAGGGTGCGCTCTCTCCAGAGATCGCTCTGGGTGAGGTTCCACATGGTGGCAGATCCGAGAAGGAAGACACCAGCATTGTAGGACCACTGGATATGGTTGATCTGAGTGCAGTTGATCTTGTCATCGCTACCGTCATAGAAATAGTAGTCATCACTCATCAGGCCGATGGCGTGAGTCCAGTCGAAAGCTCTCTCGGCCCACTCAGCATAAGTCTGATTGCCAGTATAAGCAGCAAGGCGTGCAGCCATATTGAAGAAAGCGCCGTTGGAGATAGTGTTCTTGTAGTCGAAGCCGTTATTGAAGGTGAAAATCTGCCATCTCAAGCCTCCACCGCATGTCGTGGTGTCCCATCGGAGAGCTTGACTGTTGAAGACAGCCTGAGCTAGAGCGAGCCACTGAGGCTGGTCGGCAGGAGGGTTTGGGAACTTGAGCTCGGCGGCAGACATGGCAGCCATGCCCCAAAAAGCTTGATCGTCATTACCAAGCGACTTGCTCTGGTTGCTGGGCATGTAGTTGTCTTTGTCGCCGACTTGGAAGAGCATGGCTTGGGTGATGACATCGTTATAACTGGTATCGCCGGTGTAGTACCAGTAGTCGATCAGAGAGCCAAACATGGCGCCTGCTTCCCACCAGTAGTATGGACCTGGAAGTAATCCAGGAATGCCACCAGTCACGTTTCCGTTGTAGAATTTCATCATGCCAAAGGCAATAGTAGAGGCGGCCGTTTTGATCGAGTCTGTGCTGGTTAGTTTCTTTGCATATATGTGACATGAAGAAGCGCTTACCCTCGCTCGTCAGATCAACAGTGATGGCGGCACATGGCAGTATTGCAAAGGCGGCACATGAAAGACCGGACAGTATTGACGAAGGACGCATGGCGATTACAGTAATGTATGGTGTGTAAGTGAATTAGACCAGGCACGCGCCGTCGACAGGCGTTTGACGCTGATGATAGAGATAAATGTTGGAAGGAGACCAGTGATGGAAATTGAGGTTGTTGCGATACAGCAGATGAGCGAATTAGACAGTTATTCGGGGCATCCAACACCGTTTAACCAGGTTTGTGATGGAGTTCAGAATTCGATAGTGACGTCGATCGAAGACAGGGAGAGCTGAAGGCGGCAAACAGTGAGAGGTGTGCCGACAGATGGTTCTGATGAGCACAAAGATAAGGCACGAGAGACAACGAGTCTGGGTCGAGGAAATGGATGTTGAGCGAGGGTGGTCACAGTGGTGATTACAGTATGATGGCGGAGAAGGTCAATTCAAGGAAGGGAAACAGAGCAGCGCCAGCATGAGCGTGATGCATCTAATAGTCTAGAAATCGGGCAGCGCACGGATGGAGATGGCCTTCTAAAATACTTCTGGGCGCCAATCAGCTGCTCCATCAGCCAAGATCCCCACGCTGGACAGGTGCCCTCCGCACACTAGTGTCTGGAAGAACCCACCTGCCGTCGCTTCTCCAAATCCTATGCTGCATCACATGCGACCTTCCATCGTGCATCTCTCCCTTGGAATCTTGAAATCGTCTTGCCCGACTACACGATTGTAGAGGCTGTGAGTTTATACCTGCACATGGGAGCCAATTTCGGGGTTTCTGGGAGCACAAGAGTTAGACGCGTATGGCCCAAGACTTGACACGAGAGGATTGCAGGTGGCGCCGAGGCTGACAAGAAGAATGGTAGTCGCCAAGCACCCGGCGTTGCTCGCACAAGAAGTTTTTTGTCATAAGTGTACTGTTGCCGATGCAGAAGTAACTCGCTAGCTGTAGAGGCAGTGCAGTGCAGTACAGTGCAGTGCGTCTTCCCCTGATGTTTATACTGTTCAATTAGATGATAGCACAGCGAACCGCTGTCTTGAGACTTGCGGCTCGAGTGTTGAGACACCTCAGCAACCACATATTTGCACGTGACGCATGAATAGTCAGCCAAGCCTGCCGGAATCTTTTACCAGCCGCAAGCCGGCGACGGTCGTTTTTACCATGATGGTTGTTGCCGTCAGCGGCTTACATCCTCGCGATACGTACAAAAGAGCCAGAGACTCTGAGAGTGACTGCTCTCGATGCTTTAGGCCGACAATGAAATGAATATTGGTGCAAGATGGGCGGTCTAAAGGTGAAACGAAGCACAAAGATGTGCAAAAGAAATCAATAGCAAACAGGATGGGCCTCAAGCAACCAGGACTGCCATCGGAGACATGGACGGGACAGCATGCGAGAGAGGCGAGAACAAGACAGTTTAGACAAGAGACCAAATTTGAATGTTGAGAGCTGTGACAGAGTCGTTGGTATTTTTGGGTAGGCAGCGAGATTCGCGAATGGTCTGACGAGTTTGGGTTTGGTTTTGTCGTCGTTGCACCGCCCCAGCCACATCGTGGTCGCGGCGGTTTGAGCTTCTGTCAACCTCCGCCGACCGGCGACCGACTCTCATCTTTCCGTCACGATCTCAATAACTTCATCTTCACGCACCCACAACCTCGCTCTACAACAATCTCAAATCTTCTGCCTGCGCTTTCGCTACCTCTCGTACAACCTAGCCAACACTTCGTCTCGCCATCAATCACACCGCCCACATCGCCACAATGTCCGAGCAGCCTTACGACCCCTACATCCCTTCTGGCCAGGCCGGCGGCGCCAGCAGAGATGGCAACCAGCGTACTGCTGCCCTCCAAGCCGTACGTCGCTTCTGGGATCCTACGCCGCACGTGCATACAGCGACTAACAGACTGCCCAGGAAATCGACTCGACCGTTAACGTCATGCGCAACAACATCAACAAGGTCTCGGAGCGCGGTGAACGCCTCGACAGTTTGCAAGACAAGACCGACAACCTGGCCGTCTCGGCGCAAGGCTTCAGACGTGGTGCCAACAGAGTCAGAAAGCAGATGTGGTGGAAGGATATGAAGATGAGAATGTGCCTGATCATTGGCATCATCCTCTTGCTCGTCGTCATCATCGTTCCCAGTGGTATGTCAAACTCGCCCTCATTTTCCTGCTTTGTACAAGTTCAGTCTGCTAATACGGTACAGTCGTCGCAACAAAACATCACTAGAGCGCACCGTCCTCGACACGCCTTGACGATATGATTTTGCAAGCCTGCGAAGCCTCTGACCAAGAGGATCGCCTATTATACCTCTCTGCCACGATTCCCCTTGTCTGTTCGAATCCTCCCGATACCACGACATGCCCCGACTGCACTTAACGAACTGGCGCATCAAGGAGCATCTGCTGATCTGTTTCTTGACCTCACGATTGTTTTTTCCGCCTCTGCACTAGCCAAAGGCTCTTATACGTGTAGTAATATGACTGCTTTCTCTTCATCACTTCCTCTTCCCTCCTTCACTAGGTGATTCCAGTTGCATTTTTCGTAAAACGCTGATAGATAGCTGTCAGAAGCCGTAATCATGTCATGTCCGAACAAGACCTTCTGATGGCTATCACTCGGTCTCTGAATATCGAGCAGTTTCAAAGTCACAGCGACTGGATCTAGCATGTAGAGAGGTCAACTGACGATTTCATCGGACTACGACTCGACTGACCTTACGAAGGAAGTCACAGCATTCTTGCTCCGTGAATCAGCCTCTGACTGTGGACGAACACTCATAACGATATTGTCACAGCTGCTACGATGCCCTCTTGCTTCACTACCTCAGGTCTAATCACTCAGCTCAGCTCCGACTGCTTTTCACTCTGACCTTTGGCTGCTCTATAAGTTCGTCCGCTATCGAGGACCTCAACCCTTCCTTCTACCTCATCCTCCCAACCTCATACATCCGTTCATCCTCCCAACCTCATACATCCGTTCAACAAGGTAGGTAATCCAAGCACTGTCTCTCACCCCACCATCACCTATCCCTTCCTTACTCGTGGCTTCACACCTATCTCTATTGATACTACGCCACCAGCAAAGACGCAACCTCTACTGTTCATACACACTTTCCCTCCTTCGTGCTCAACATCTCTTTTTTCACATTCGATTATTCCTACGCTGCATGAGTTCTCAATCATCATGGCCACTTCCCTTGAAACAACCGAAGCTTGGTTGCAAAGGTTAAAGCGCACATCTTCAGGACTGAGAAGAACCTGCCAAGACATACGCATTCAAGTCATCAAAGAGTTGGGGGAAAAGGAGCACATCCTTGCTCTCGAGATCAAGAGGAAACTCGAGCAAAATCAGGAACTATCAGAGAGTGAACGAGCCTATATCGAAAGACCGACTCGAGGGAAGCATTCAGACTATAAGTTGAGCAAAACACACCATGGTTGTCTGAATGCAGCTGCGATCTCCAAGCTTGATGGTATGTTCTTCATGATGTTAGTGAATTACGGCGATGCTAACGACACTCATCAGAGTATAGTGACAAGGCTCCATTCATCATGTTCAGAACTTCTACCCTTCTTGGGAACAGGCCCACAAATGGCTTCACAACACAAGATCTATTCGTGCCTAGCGCTTATCTCATGAGAGATCTGCCTTCCAGAGAAGGCAGAGATGAAACCTACTGGATTCGAACAAACATGGTCGATATCCCGCTGCAGGAACTCAGAGTCATGTTGGGACATCATCTGCTTTGGCGAGACAGAATACAAGATGAGCTCCTATCCTATACGGTATCCTATCTCTTTGCCGTAGTTCACTTGTATCTACGCCATCTCAAAGGCCAGGAAATTGGGAGTATTGCGATGATCAACCGCACGCGAGCTTTGCAGCCGGAAGAGTGGTATATGGAGGAAATGTGGCCTCAGACATACAAGCCAGCCAAATTCTATGCCGCCACCGATCTTTGCGACTACACCGGGGTATACTTTGATCATGAATGGCAGTGTCAAAGAGACTTGCCTGGTCTGCATCCTCGAAAAACCAATCATGAGTTCATCACCCATGGTCCAATCAAGTATCCGCAAAATGACAGACTAAAGCAAGCAGCTTGGGCCGACCTCGTTTCAGCTGGATTGTTCAAGCTTGTGCCTGAGTTGAAGGTCGATGAAAATTCCAGAGCCGCAGGTCTTTACACGGTTCTAAGATACATTCGTACTTCCAGCTACAACCACGTCCGTACGACGACCGAAGAGGAGCTTGAGATTGCGCAGAAAATCGCTTGGTTGCACACACGTGTGCAGCCGGGCAAAGAACAGGAGAAGAGCCGACCAAATCTGTGGATACTCCTCCATGCACTTACCTTCCGCAAGAGAGCAGCAGGCGATCTGTTGTTTCGAGGACTGATTCGCAGACTTGGCTACACTCGTAAGTCTGTCCTTCTATGTCCTGATGACCGTCGTTTTCTGACTATGGGGATGCACAACTGAATATGGCGAAACTATTATTAAGTATTCGTGTCACTGACTTGCGACGTTTTTAGGACAAGATCTCGATGAGAACCTCCACGCAACTTTCGGAGAGTGTCCTTCCAACTTACCTGAGTTGCACTCTCTGTATCATCTCGCAGTCGATGTCCGAGCTGTAGTTGGTGGACAGCCGCTGAACGTTCTGGTGCTGACAAGCACTTACACGAAAATGTCTCTTCCCGAAGATTTCAAAGACAACGATGCAGCCTATGACAAGCTTTGCACGCCCAAGTTGACTGAGGGGAGCAATGACGGCTACGAGATCAAAGGAAACTGCAGTGATCCATGTCGCTGCAGTCGTTGGGGCCCGACTTACAAGCGCAAGAGAGCTAAAGAAGCGGTTCAACTTGAGCAGTCTGACAACGCAGACGAGCCCTCGGATGATCAAGCCGGAGCCTCAAGTCAGACAAAACGCAGCAAATTCAAGAGTTCTGCTTTTTGGGAAGAGCATGAAGAGCATGCGGAGGTTGAACACCAAATTCACCATCTGGACGAACATCAATCTCATCATCTAAGCGGATACCTGCAGGACCTGTTCGACACCGAACCCGCCGAGTCTCTTGGTAAGTCACCACCATCCCTCCTATTACCATCACGCAAAGACCATCAGTCGAAACAAACAAGTGACTCACAGTCACAGAGACATTCCACGCATGAAGAGCTCAACACTATGCTTCTCACCTACAAATACGTGAGCAAAACCAATTACTAGGTAGTCATTCGAGACAGGACAAAGATATAAACAGACGACATTAGGAGGAAGATCAGGAGAAATTCCATAGCACACAACGATATCTGAAGAAAGTCTTCCAACATTTTCTTTCTGCCACGTCAAGTGTGTCGCATGTGTGCTGTAGCAAACCACACAGGAGTTTTAATGTGATCCTACGTGAGATGTAGGTTACAATCAATGGAAGACGTGATATCCACCGAGTGGCTCTACCAGAGAACGCACTGCAGACACATGACGGGGCTCAAGACAATCATGCATTTGTATAGCTCAGCTATCGGTGCAAGTCATTGCGAGATGAGCCCGAGAGCGTCAAATCCAACGAAGAAGCAGGGATTTTGTAAAGTTGTCAGCTTGCGGCTGTGAAACTGCACATCCTTCCAGAAAAGCGCAAAGTGTCTACGGACGCTGATCGTCTGATATGATTTCACTTACCGTAGGCTCATTTTGATTGGAACTGCGCAGTTTCAAAGCAAACACCACTAGACACTATTGAAACAGAAGGATCTGCGATTACAATCACCGTTGGGAGGTTTCCTGGGTTGCTGGAGATTTATCAAATAATTCATCAAGCATATCATCAAGTCAGGTTGCTCTGGCAGCACAACAGGGTCATCCCCGCTTCCGAGATTATCGTGAGCAGAGAGCTCCAAGACCATACAAGTCGTTGTTGTATAATTGTTGTATGCACAGTTATTTAAATTCGGGTGCAAGTTTTGCATTGAGCAATAAAGGCATGTTCCCAGATGTGTCCAGATGCAGTGCAATAAATATACATCAGATCTGCTTCTCCACGTTCGATTGCGTAAAGGAGGGCGAACAAATTGCAAGGACGTTAATAGTCTAGTGATCAACCTCGTGCCGGCAAAAATCAGATTGATGAACAAGCGGTTGTCGTAATGCTTTCCATTCTGATTCAGCAAGTAGGAGGACAGCTGTATGGCTACGGAAGTTTGGTGCGCGCTTCCAACATCCATTCTGCAAGGCTTTCAGTCTCGCTTCGGGTGGATGCATCTTGCAAGCCATGAATGTCTTCCTAGGGCGAAGAATGTGGGTCTCGTACCGGCATACTCAGCCATGCGAAAAAACGATCAACGCGCAAAGTTCGTGTTCAGCTACTCGGAGATTCCAGTAGGGTTAAAACATGCCAAGTAAATTGCGGCGTTTGATGAGATATTATTTATGGCTGCCAAAGACGTTACACATGAGAAAGCAGCATGGGTGTTGCAGGGATGGAAAGCAGACACATCATCGAGCTCGGATGTGGTCCGAAGAATTGTATGAGTATCTGGTCAATAAGGTTGAAAAACTGGAAAAAAGTGGCTCTATGAGCGAGCAGTCTTTTCACAACGAAAGGTAGAGTCGTCAGGCCGCTCTCTCGTAAGCATCGGCGTTAAGTGAGGGCCGCACGGCTTCGGAGGATCCGGTAGCCGTGCCCGTTGCGAGGGAGGTGGGAGGAGCAGCGAGAAGGAGCAACCGGCCAAGCAGCCCCTACTCAGCATCCAATACAACAGAAACCACCTAAGCCGCGCGAGCGCAAACATTCATCTGACAATCACCAAGTGTCGTCGGTCGTCGAGAACTGAAAAGATCAAGCCCGCTCTGACGGAGATCGCTCGTTGAGTGGAGCGCAGTTCGATCAGACTGTTGCAAGGGAAAGTCGTCATTACATTTCTTTGGACTCGCGTTTCCAGACGCTCTGCCGCGTTGGACACATCCGCCGCTTTCCTTCCCTTCCACCACACTCACTCGCATCTTCCTAGCCCGACACAGTCTGGACAGACATCCTCCGACTTCTGTCGCCTCTTTCGCTCCCCTCATTCTGGTATCGCATGCTTGTAGGCTCTAAGCAGCGAGCCTGATCCTGGCTCTTGAGGCTCATCTGGACGCCTCGGCGACCACCTTTGATGGTCGACATCGGACAATCACTTACTACTTTGCCTCGACTATCTATAATTCACCATGGCCATCCAACCGTACCAGGAAGACAATGAGGCTTCCTCTGGACCCCTAGACACCGCTCCTGCAAAACGACTACGCTGGGCTACTCAGAGAGTGGCCGGCTCTCAAGGCCGCACGAAACGCCAATCAATTCTTAGACGTCTCTCCCACAACAAGCGCTCGAACGATGACTCCGCCAAGCGAGAATCAAATGGAACTGACCTTGAATCTGTGCCCGAGGGCTCCGAGGCTTCGACCGAGCAGCCCGGTGCCGGTCGCCGCGTCTTCTTCAACATGCCACTACCTGAGGATGCACGCGACGAAGAAGGACACCCCATCACTCAATTCGTGCGAAACAAGATTCGCACCGCAAAGTACACCCCCATCAGTTTCATACCCAAGAATTTGTGGTTCCAGTTTCACAACATCGCCAATATCTATTTCTTGTTCATCATTATCCTCTCGGTACGTAACCTTCCCTGTACCCTTCGGATTCATACTGATTAGCCCTTGTCAGATCTTCCCCATCTTTGGCGCCTCAAATCCTGGTCTCAGTGCTGTACCGCTGATCGTTATCGTGACCATCACCGCAATCAAAGATGCAATCGAGGATTGGAGAAGAACAGTTCTCGACAACGAACTCAACAACGCCCCCGCTCACCGTCTTGTGGACTGGGAAAATGTGAATACAGCAGAGGACCGAATCTCGTTGTGGCGAAAGTTCAAGAAAGCAAATACCCGAGCCATCACTTTTGTCTGGCATCTTTGGAAGAACCGCAAAGAGTCCAAAGCCGAAAAGCGGAATTCCCAAAAAGATAGAGCCTTGGATGAGGTAGACACCAGACGACCATCCATGTACTCTCAGCGCATGTCTGTGGCTTCCATGGCTACCGAGGAGCCTGGCGCCATGGAAATGACACCAGTACATTCTCCAATGCCAGCTTCGGCCATGGAGGGAAGCAAAGAGATGGATCTGGGTGATCACATTAGAAAATCTCTCGAGAACGATGCACTTAAACCTGGCGATGCCACTCAAGTTGTTGAAATCGCAAAGGATCCTACCGACCCTCATGCGCCTATTCCGAAGCGATTCTACGGTAACATCATCAACCCCAACAAACCCACCGGAAAAGCGCGGTTCAAGAAGGATTGTTGGAAGAACGTGCAAGTCGGAGACTTCGTGAGACTCTACAACGAAGAATCCATTCCTGCAGACATCGTCGTCTTGTCGACCTCTGACCCTGATGGAGCTTGTTATGTGGAGACCAAGAACTTGGATGGAGAGACCAATCTGAAGGTCCGACAGGCTCTACACTGCGGTCAGAAGGTCAAGAGAGCTCGTGACTGTGAACGGGCTGAGTTTGTTCTGGAGAGTGAACCACCTCACGCCAATCTTTACTCCTACAGCGGAGCTGTTCGATGGAAGCAATACGGTAGTAAGAACTCGGATGCTGAAGCTGCTGACATGGCCGAACCTGTTTCCATCAATAACATGTTGCTCCGAGGCTGTTCCATTCGCAATACCGAGTGGGTCTTGGGTATCGTCGTCTTCACTGGAGAAGAGACCAAGATCATGCTCAACTCTGGTATCACCCCTACGAAGCGCGCACAGATCTCGAAGGACCTGAATTGGAACGTCATCTACAACTTCATCATCCTGTTCTTCATGTGTCTTATCTCGGCCGTAGTGCAAGGCACTACCTGGGGCAAAGGCGACGAATCACTCGACTTTTTCGAATTTGGCTCCTACGGCGGTACGCCAGGTCTCAACGGCTTCATCACATTCTGGGCAGCCATCATTCTCTTCCAAAACTTGGTGCCCATCTCTCTCTACATCACACTGGAGATTATCCGTACTGCTCAGGCCTTCTTCATCTACAGTGACACTTTCATGTACTATGCGCCAGTCGATTATCCCTGCACCCCCAAATCCTGGAACATTTCCGATGACCTTGGTCAGATTGAGTACATCTTCTCTGACAAGACCGGCACATTGACCCAGAATGTCATGGAGTTTAAAAAGGTCACGATCAACGGTGTGCCCTATGGAGAAGCATATACCGAAGCTCTGGCCGGCATGCAGAAACGACAAGGAATTGACACTGATGCTGAAGGGGCTAAAGCTCGTGTTCAGATAGCTCGCGCTAAAGTCAGAATGCTCGAGGACTTACGCAAGCTGCATGACAACCCTTACCTTCTGGACGAAAACGTTACCTTTGTTGCGCCCGATTATGTCTCCGACTTGACTGGAGCATCTGGACCTGAACAGAAAGCAGCCAATGAGTATTTCATGCTTGCGCTTGCGCTCTGCCACACTGTGATTACTGAGCGTACCCCTGGTGATCCGCCAAAGTTGGAGTTCAAAGCACAATCGCCTGATGAGGCTGCACTCGTTGCAACAGCCAGGGACTGTGGCTTCACAGTTCTGGGTCGCTCAAATGACGGAATCATCGTCAACGTTCTCGGTGAGGAGCGCCAGTACACTGTTCTCAATATCTTGGAGTTCAACTCATCCAGAAAACGCATGAGTGCTATCGTGCGAATGCCCAACGGAAAGATTGTTCTCTTCTGCAAAGGTGCTGACAGCATCATTTACTCAAGACTGAAGAAGGGTGAACAGCAAGCCTTGAGAAAGACCACTGCTGACCATCTTGAGATGTTTGCTCGAGAGGGTTTGCGTACGCTGTGCATTGCTCAAAGAGAACTCGACGAGGAGGAGTACCAAATTTGGAGCAAACAACATGATATCGCTGCAGCAGCTATTCAGAACCGTGAGGAGAAGCTCGAAGAAGTTTCCGACGCCATCGAGCGTGACCTCACTCTTCTTGGAGGAACTGCCATCGAAGACAGACTTCAAGATGGTGTGCCCGACGCAATTCAGCTCCTTGCTCAGGCAGGTATCAAGCTATGGGTCTTGACGGGAGACAAGGTCGAGACAGCCATCAACATCGGGTTCTCCTGCAACCTGCTGGGTAATGACATGGATCTCATCGTTTTGAATGTTCAAGACGAGAATCTAGCTAGTGCTGAAGCAGAACTCGACAAGAACTTGGCTATCTTCGGTAAGACTGGATCTGATGAGGAACTCATGGCTGCAAAGAAGAATCACGAACCGCCAGCACCAACTCACGCTGTTGTCATCGATGGTGAGACGTTGAAACTTATGCTTGACGACAGACTGAGACAGAAGTTCCTGCTCTTGTGCAAGGAATGTAAATCAGTCTTATGTTGTCGTGTCAGTCCCAGTCAGAAGGCTGCCGTTGTTGGCATGGTCAAGAATGGCCTCGATGTCATGACGTTGGCCATTGGAGACGGTGCCAACGACGTTGCTATGATTCAGAAGGCTCACGTCGGTGTTGGTATCGCTGGTGAGGAAGGCAGACAAGCAGTGATGTCCTCTGACTATGCGATTGGTCAATTCAGATTCCTTACGAGGCTTGTTCTTGTCCACGGACGTTGGTCTTACCGCCGACTTGCCGAAACCATTGCAAATTTCTTCTACAAGGTATGTTGTTGCTTTCGCTATTTACATCGATTTATCACTAACATTCTCAAAGAACATCATCTGGACTTTCGCTCTCTTCTGGTATCAGATCTATGCCAACTTCGATTGTTCATACATTTTCGACTACTCGTACATTCTACTTTACAACCTGGCTTTCACCTCTCTACCGGTCATTCTGATGGGTATCTTGGACCAGGATGTCGACGACAAAGTGTCCCTTGCAGTGCCCCAGCTTTACAGGCGTGGAATTGAGAGAAAGGAGTGGACACAGCTCAAGTTCTGGTATGGTGAAATGAATTCAGATCTGATGCTCGAGCTAATGATATGACAGGACATACATGGTTGATGGTTTCTACCAGTCGCTCATTTGCTTTTTCCTTCCGTACCTCCTTTTCCAGCCAGCCAATTTCAACACCGAGTCAGGCCGAAACGTCAACGACTATCAACGCATTGGTGTGTACATTGCAAACTCCATTGTCGTGGTGGCCAACGTCTATATATTGATGAACGCCTACCGATGGGATTGGTTCTTCACACTCATTACAACAATTTCTATTCTGCTTATCTGGACCTGGACTGGTATCTACTCCTCATTCACCGTTGGCTTCACATTCTACAAGGCGGGTGCTGAAGCCTATGGAGCTCTAAGTTTCTGGGCGCTAACGATGATGGTGATTGTCGTTGCTCTACTCCCTCGCTTTGCCGCAAAGTCTTTCCAGAAGATCTTCATGCCTCGCGACATTGATGTCATCCGTGAACAGGTCAGACAAGGCAAATTTGACTATCTCAAGAACGTGGATCCACAAGATTTGGACGATGTTAGTCCTCCCTCTCAAGAGAAAGTGTCAGATTCTACTTCAAGCTCCGAGATAAGCAAGCCTTCAGGAGCACAGAGACTTGCTCACAAGTTGTCCCACAACAGAGTCCCGACAGAAGACGAGCGCCCAATATATCCGCCTTCAATAGCAGCAACGGCAACGACCCGCAATGCTAGATCACACAACGGCAGCGATGGTACCGATTACACTGGACATCGTTCTTCCATTGAGCGGACGTTCCCTGCGGTCGGACAAGTGACATCTCGTCCATCCGAAGACTTTGGGCACAGCCCGATAGATTTCTACCGACCTCCAGTCATCGCTGGGGGCTTTGAGTCACCTGCACCACGACCGAGTTACGACCGACCAAGGCCTTCCTTCGATCGGTTGAGAGCCAGTATGGACTACGAAAGGACTCGGCCATCCTTTGAGAGCTCGCGAGACTTCACCAGTGCGGCGTATCTATCGCGGGTTGAAAGCAGCCATACACCTGCTGGAACACCTGCTGCGGTGGACCGAAAAGACATTGGTTACGCCATGTAACAAGGAGCGTGGTGTGAGCGCCGTTTGTACAAAAGGCTAGGAGCGAAGGCGTTATGTCTTTCGGGTGTCTTGATTAATGTCTGTTTCACATGGCGTACTGCTTGGTTGTGGTTTTGATGATTTTGGATTTTGCATAGATTTGATTCGACTTAGTTAAGATTCCCTGCTGTCATTCTTTGAGACAAAGCGTTTGCCTTGGCCTGTTGATAGGTTTTGAATATCATCGATTTATCGTTCTGTCTGACTTGTTGCGAAATGGTTCATGAGTTGCATGTCTTGGCGTGAAGTGTTTTGATGTGAAAACAGCCCGCGCGGCGAGACAAGAGGCAACGTGACACCAGAGCATGCCACGCTGAAACTTGTCTTTTCATTGATTGAAGTTCCCAGCAGCGCCCGACTGATGACAGGCGATAAAGTTCGCTGTGACCGCGTCGACTCTTCATCTAGCTGAGAAAAACAACATCGTCATGGCTACCGACGGTAGCGACAGCGGCCCTGGACCGATCAGCGAAATACTAGGCATGTTGGCCTATGCATTCGCTCAAGTACAACCGTTGCTTCCCTTGTATACTCACCTCGTTCTCTCGGCACTGTTTCCTATCATCACAGGTGCTTATTCTTCACTTTCACGACCTTCATCAGCAGCAAAGCCTGTTAAGGACTCAAAGGCCCAGCAGAGAGCTGATGAGCAAGACGACCCAGATGAAGATGAGGATAGCATTCAGAAGATGGAGGGATTGAGTCCCAGTGATGCCGTCATATTTCCTCTTCTCGCAGGATGTACTTTGGGTGGCCTTTACTTGCTCATCAAGTACATGGGTGCTTCGTTACTGAACAAGGTTTTACGCTGGTACTTTTCGGCAATGGCCATATTCAGTGTTGCTAAACTCATCAACGATGGTCTTGGTGTAGCTGAGTCTTTCTGTTTCCCACACTACTACACCGAAGGAGGCGTCTTGTGGAAAGTCAGCCAACCCGAAAAGAAGGCGATTCACTCAGCCATTTGCACGAGACCGTCTCCTCTACCAGGAGTCTTGGGTCGCATCATTCTTCCTCAACGCATCCTTGACATCTTTTGGATCATGCGCGGTCTTCTTAGACGCAAGTACCGTTTGCGATTCCAACTGTCCAGCTTGATCAAATTCAAGGTCACTCTTACGCTTCGCACAATCCTTTCGACCGCGGCCGCACTCGCAACCATCTTTTGCTCTAACTTTGTGATGGACACATGGTGGCTTACCAACCTGCAAGGATTTGCTTTTTCGTACAGTGCGCTACAGCTCATGTCCCCTACCACATTTGGAACCGGCTCCCTTATTCTGAGCGCCTTGTTCTTCTACGACATCTACTTTGTCTTCTACACCCCTCTGATGGTTACTGTGGCCACCAAACTCGATGTGCCTATCAAGCTGCTGTTCCCAAGACCCCTTGAAGATGGACAGGTCGCTGCGGACAGGAAGCTGGCTATGCTCGGTCTGGGAGACATCGTGATTCCTGGAATGATGGTCGGACTCGCTCTGAGATTCGATCTCCATCTGTTCTACCTAAAGAGACAGTCAAAGCGTGTCAAGTCTACTCAAATCTATGCCGACAAGAAACAGGACAACAGTGCAAGTAAGGTCGATGAAGAAGTTCAGAAAGAACCCTACCGTCCAGTCACTGGCCACTGGGGCAACAAGTTCTGGACCACCTCCTGGATCGGCCGCTCTTTGCTACCCAAGTACGAACCCAAGAAACCCACTCGCAATCCTATCCCTACATTCTCAAAGCCATATTTCTATGCTTCAATTGTTGGCTACATTCTTGGAATGTGCGTCACGCTGGGTATCATGCAGGTCTTCAACCATGCTCAACCTGCCCTTCTCTACTTGGTCCCTGGTGTTCTAGGAAGTTTGTGGTTGACCGCCCTAGTCAGAGGGGAAATCAAGCAAATGTGGAACTTTACCGAAGCCAGCGACGAAGACGAAGAAGAGGACAAAGACGAACAGAAAGAAAAGGCCAAGAAGGATGCAGAGAAAAAGGACGAAGACAAGAAGCAACCCACTTCCTGGTGGGGCAAGAGTTTCTTCTCGGCCGAGAAGTCAGAACGCAATGCAAAGAGACTTGAGAAGCAGATTGCAAAGAGTGTTGGTGGCGAAGACAAGAGCGACAGCGAAGACAAGAGCAGCGATAAGAAAGGGAAGGACACGGACAAGGGTTTCTTTCATTTCTCATTCACGCCTGCGGGTCCCAAGAACACATCATTAGCTAGCGACGCCAAGAAACGTTCATCAGACGAGGAGACGGACAGCGCTACTCTGATTAGCGGTTCTCAGACGGCCGAGGCGAATGGACAAGGTCCTGAGTGGAGAGGCGCAGGTCAACAAGAGATCAACGAGGAACGAGCTGGCAAGAGAAGACGCATCTGACGGGTTTACTGCAGGAGTCTGGGAGAATGCTCATCAAACGTAGATTCGATTAACAAACGAATACCACGAGCAGCAGTTGTTGAACAAGAATCTTGCCCTGATAGCTCAATTGCGAGAACCATTGATCTCAAATGTGAAGGCACGAGAAATCAGCTTACTGGATGTGGTTAGATCTCGCTCGCTTGCTCCTTCCTTCTCGCAGTTACGAGATCTCATGCCACTTATCGTTTTTATGATCATCGATCTTCTCCAGACTTGTAACGACATTGAGTGAAAGACATGGTAGATGATGCGATGCAAGACGTATAGGAGGATGATAAGAAGATTCTATTCGAGCATGATATCGTAGGTATCGTATACATCATAGCGTAACTTGTGCATCAGCGAGGTCGCAACCACATGCATGCAGCTCGTGCAAGCATCAGACCAGTTACTTGTCATTAGCCATCAGACTCAAGAAGACACCCCAACCGACACCGATGATACCGCCGAAGACTGTACGGTGTTCGAGAGGCACAAGTGTGAAGCTGATGATGGACACAAGGGGCCAGAGCTTCTGGCCGGCGAACAGAAGGGGAAAGAAGTCCTGCACGACTGTCAGTGGGATACGTTCGCACACGGTCGAAACGGACAGCATATACCTTCTGCAGTGCTGACAGAGCGGTCTCGACAGACTGGCCCTTCAGGAAAGCGATTCCCACAATGAATAAAGCATTGTTGACCGCGGCACCAAGAGTCTGATCGAGAGCGAATTTAATGGCGGTGTTCTTGATGCTTAGGGCCTTAGGTCTCGAGGAAGCAGGAGGCTGGGCAAAAGCGGGATCAATCTTCTTCTCGACAGCTTGGCCATCATGAGTGCTAAAGGTCTGGGAGCGAGTAGGGGGCTTGGCCATAGGAGACTGGTTGATGCCGGCGCGGGCCTCGAGCTCCTTCGCCTTTGCCTTGACTGTGTCGACGCCCTCGCTAGCACGGCGTCTGGCGTTCTTGACAGCGTCACTTTCTGCTAGAGCAGTGGTGGCTGCCGAAGCTTTTTGTAGGACCGGGCTTGCCGTCTCTTCAATGCGTTGCAGGGTGGGAGCGGCGGCGTCGAGGGCGGCCTTGAGTTGAGGCTGCTGAGCGATGCTGGCGACGGTACCAGCATCATCGGGCGAAGTGTAGCCGGGGAAGGTGGATTCCAACCAGGATTGCCAGAGGTAATTAGGCGGGCATGAGAGGAGCGAGAATGTTACGAAGGTGACCAACGGGTTTGTGTCGAGGGTGTAGCCATGCTGCGGAAAACGTCAGTCTGGTCCGGCAGGATGACAGGGGGGCATAATCTTATGCACTTACGCCTGCGCGGTGACATGAGATGAGCTGAGCGAGGGTGTTTGAGATGGCGCTCAGAATTGCTGCTTGAATGGTTGCTTTCACGATTGGCTCCATTTTGACGCGCTTTTTGAGGATGACGAAATGCGGTTAAATGCTGGCGTGTCTTTTACTTAGGCAAAGTACTGCAATATGTAACACAGGCCGAGGTGATAGATAGTGTGATGTGATAGTCGACGCGGCAAAGTCCAAGTATCTGGAGCTCGCTTTTGGCGAAGACGAAGAATGTTCTACGGTGCAAAGGAAGGTGCTCCCTTCGTCATTGAAACTGTCTTTGCGTGGGTGAAGCTGTTCAACCACCAACCACCTGCCACCAAGATTTATTCCAACAACTTTTATTACCACAAACACCGGACACCACTTGATACAAATATCTTGCATTAGGTTCCCTACCGACACATATACGCCCTACCCCTAACCAATCCTCTGTCAACGCTCAAAACGTACTTGACAACCCGCTCAGTGGATAACAACTGCGACATGATCGTCCACTTGACAAGAGTTAGCTGAGGGTCACTCCGCCGAAACCTGAATCAGTACTTACTATACTTGTTGATGTCTCCCAAGAAGCAAGCTGCGATGATGGACACAGCTCCAAAGGCAATCGACACGTAGTACACGTACTTGTATGCCTCCGCATATGCCACTCTTCCAGCAATCACGACCATCTCGTATGCTCCGGGCACCCCCTTGATTCCTGGAAGTGTTTGCAATTCCGGCAACAGACTCGCACCTGTGAGTTCGATCGCCGCCTTGATGATGGCCGGGCTTGTAATGTTCAACTTGTAGATCATCGTCCCACCGATGTAGTGCGTGGCCGCAGGCACAAACTTGTTGATAAAAACATTATAATAAACGCAATATCCGATTGATCCACCAATCACGCGAATTGCCAGAGTCAATGCTGCTACAGTAGCGATGAGGTCGTCTGGGCAGATGATTGCTTGAAGAAGATCAGAATACGTCAAAGCGAGACCCCTCCGTATCCAGACTTACTGGTGATGATTGAGGCAGGCACAACAATGCCGCCAATACCGAGACCCGCGACAACAAGAATTCCCCAGAGCTGATTCAAGTTGTCCACACGAGCGATCGAAAGGGCTCCACAACCAGCGGTCATGAGGACCGAAGAAATGATCATCATCACCTTGTTGTGGCCACGGAACACTGAGAGGAGCCAGAGTACAACGCAAGCGCCTGCCAGGATGGAGAAACCGACCGGGAGTCCACGAATGCCTACACCACTGTGGAGAGTCAGTATCAACTGTACACGCTTCGAAATTTCATCCCTTACACAGGATCGTGTCCATAGACGTTGCTGTCAAGAAGTCAGCATTGATTCTACACGCTTCTCATGCCATATGGGGGTCATTCGTACAAACATGCTGTTGGCCAGAACATAAGTATACTGAAGAAATTGGCGCCTGAGATGAACGTTATGATCAATGTAAGAGCCAGAATTCGCGGTTCTTGTCGGAGACGCTTAGGGAACATTGGATACTTGGCACAGTAAGCTTCCCAGAAGCAGAAGGCGACGAGAAGAACAACTCCGAGGATTAGAGGAACCAGGACATGAGCACTGCCCCATGGATACTGGTATCCTCCCCACTCTTTGGCACATTAGCTTGGTTTGGCGAACATCCGCAGTTTGGGAACTTACGCATGCCAGCCATAAACAATATCATACCACTGACGCTAAGAAGCCCTCCAACGTAGTCGACTTGCTTAAGGACTTCTGCCTTTGAGAGTCCTCGAGAGTTGACTCGGGGTGGCGGAAAGTAGAATACGGCGGTCAGAACGACTATCGGACGGTCAGTTGAAGTTCTGCACAGCGGAGTTCGAATATGTCTTACGGCCAATGAATGCCCAGATGGCACAGAGAGCGCCAACCCATCGCCACGAGGAATTGGCTGCTATCAGCTGTGCCCAGAGCACACTAGGACAAAAGGGTAGGATGGTGAAAATGAGTACCGCCACATACTTGCCCCTCTTCGCGGTAGGAGCAAGTTCACTCGTGGCAGCAAGAGCTGTGAGCTCGTTGATACCAGCACCTACTCCTGCGAAGACCATGCCACCGACGAAAACGTTCATAGTGTGAGCAGTAGAGCAGATGATCATCCCCACTACTATGCAAGCTGCACCGACGATTGCGACGTATCTTCGACCAAAGATGTCGCTAAGCGAGCCGACGAAGGGACAGATTGCAGCCAGGGACAAAAGATTTGCTAGGACGAACCAGATCCAACGATCGGCGCCTCCAACATCCCCATAAATGTAGGGCGGGATCTGAAAGTCAGCACAGCACTATGCATGGGTGTCAATTGACTTACTCCTCCGAAAAGATAGACAGGAATCTGAGAGCCAGTCCAGAGGAATGCCATGGCAACAAGACTCATCATACGGTTGAACGACATAGGAGGCTCAGTATAATGGTCTATAAGAATCAGCCTTGGTCGTGTTCACCAGGACGAAGGACACATACCCTGATCATCGTTGTCGATACGAAGGCCATCCTTCTCAGGGTGGCCAGCATGACCGTGCTCGGAATCTCTTGTGTGAACGCGCTCGATGTGCTGGGTGGCTTCTTTGTCTCCAGAAGGAGATTCAAGGTCGGTGTTACCAGCCATGATACTAAGACAGAACCTAGAAAGAATGTGGAGGTTTAGAAATTCGGGTTTTGGTGCTCGAGAAGAAGAGTGATTTGGAGGAGCATGTACTTTCTTATATCTGAAGCAGACCGCTGGTCTGGCTCTGCAGTTACTACGATGGCACGGCACGAGATCAAGAACGACAAGGAAACACAGGCGAGCAATGCGGGGATGTAGGTCCTGATTGGTAGATCAGTAGCGATATTGTCAATGGTGGCTAGGGCGAAACCGTTGCTCGCAGTTCTTGGAGATGTGAGCCGAGGCTTGACAGTTACAAGCAAAGCGTATCGTGTGATGGTAGAAGCTTATTAGGTAGAAGACTTGGTAGATCAAGCGCCACCCAATGTCTTCCAGAGCTCTGAGCAGCTGATACCTGATCGCATATCAAGACAGGCCCAGAACATACGAGCCGTAATGATCAATTGCTGCATTTCTTCTCAAGAACCTGTCGACATCCGACGATCATCAAGTCTGAGGGACCACACGTGCTGTCTAGCTTGAGCAGAAAAGAGGTCAAGGCCAATTGGGAGTGGGAGGAAGTGTTTGGGCAAGAAGCGGGGCGGTATGTGGGGTCCCCGCGAAGGATTCTGTGGGGGAACAGGGCTTGTGCTCTGGCTCTAAGTTCAAGACATGCCTCGACGTTATAGACCTTCCTTGAAGACTGCATGCACTGAAATGAATTTAAAAGCAGCCGCCTGCCAAGAGCACGTTTGAGTTCTTGTAAGTGTACATCTGAGCCGTTAGAGTATTCAATGCATCAACGTAAGTGATTGGTCAACTACCTAATCCTGTACAGCATTGAGTGTGGTAGCGGACGATTCAAATCCATCGAAGCAAGCCCGCGATTATGACTGCTTTACAAGAACGAAAAACTAGATTGCGCACGGTTCGCAGTGATTTTTAGCAAGAGCAAACTTTAGAGAGGTGCCTCGGTCAGTTCATAAGACATGCAGTAGCGATGGACGATGTACGCGGGACGGAGGCTGAGGGCGGCGAAGCTAATGGCTCCAGACATTTCGAGTCTTTGTAGACGCCCTCTAATCGATTCATTGAACCATCGACGAATCTCCATGCCAATCAACGTGTTTCAGCTAGAATAGGTGGCCAGGTTTCGATGACTTACTGACGGGCTTGGCAAAAACTAGCAACTGACGTCGGATTCAGCTTTCGAAGAACCACCTCACTTCACACGTCACCGTCTTCTCAAGCCTCAATCAGACTTATACAATTCGTATTACACAATGAGCGAGACCAAGCAGCTATCAGCACTTGTGCTTGTCGCAGATGGTTCTGAGGAGATTGAGACGGTCACTCCGCTTGAGTAAGTCGAGATGGAAGCTAAGTATAGTGCCTCGGCTGACTTGAACGAAGTGTTCTAGTGCGAGCCGGATTCACAACAGTCAAATCTGTGGGTGTTAACCTTAAGAATCCTCTTTATGCTCAGTAAGTGAAGTTGCCGTTGTCACTCCGTCGATCTGCCATCTGGTCTGGTTCGTGTACATCTGGATAGACAAAGGCAAAAGGCTCTTGCGAAGGTCAGACGATGCTCAAGCATCTCGTCCAACGAACATGGCTGTCAACGCAGGGCTGCTAAGATCGCAAGAGGGATACCGATCCATGAGCAGATTGTCTCACATCGACAAGATCTCTGCACCTGACGACAAGTATCGATAACTCGGCCATTGCGATACAGCAAGTCCAGTCAAATCTTTCTTGGAGACCTTGAGCCACCGCACTCTTAATCTTTTGGATCACTAATCGTATTACACAAATTCAACTACTTCGTTACCAGATCGACATTCTAAGCTTCGACCATCTAACATGTGTCACAGATGCTCTCGTGGGATCAAGATTATCCCTGACATTCCTTCACCTCATGAGATACCCGATCGTCTAGTCGATGCAGCAGACATCCTGATCCTACCAGGAGGTGCACCAGGAGCGAAGACCTTCTGTCAGAGCGATGATGTCTTACGCCTGGTACGCGAGTTCCGTAACGAAGGAAAATGGGTTGCGGCAATTTGTGCTGGAACTACAGCACTTGTCGAGAGCGTCAAGTCACCCCATGCTCAAGGCGAAGCTGCAAAGAAGTGCAAGGTCACGTCGCACCCATCAGTGAAGCAGGAGATTATGGACGCTGGCTGGTCTTATGCAGACGACAACGAGAGGATTGTAGTCGACGGCAAGGTCATCACAAGCCGCGGTCCAGGTACGGCATTGCTCTTCTCGCTTACTATTGTTGAGAAGTTGGCTGGAAAGGCGAAGAGAGATGAGGTTCAAGGCCCAATGATCTGCGCTGAGACTCTGTGAGCAAGACAAGAGGAATAGAGTAGGGTCAGTAACACGAATGTGGGAGTCGTAGAACAGTACAAGTCCAAGAAGACTACATTTTTGTCAGAGGCCAATACAGTGGTGGCTAGAGCATGAACCATAGAATGAACAGAAACATGGAGTCATTTAATTTTCGAAATGCATTTCAGAGGCCTATCATGAACGCATTGTGGGTGCGCCTCCAGACGTGTGCGGGGGGCGGCTTTTTGATAATTTCCCTTTGGCATGAGAAGTGCGAAAATAGTCGGTATCAGTAACGAAGATTCATTTTCCCATGCCGTGCCTCAGCCTGCGCCTAAACGACAATCAAACCACATCAACCGCGAGAATCCAGCTGCTTAGCGGGACTTGGCGGCGACCTTGACGGGTGCACCCTTGGCGCCCTGCTTGCTGGCAATCTTGCCGGCCTGGCCCTTGGCGGCAGAGGCGGCGTTCTTTGCCTTGTTGGCCTTCTTTGCGGACTCGGACTCGGACTTCTTGGCCTTGCCCTCCTTGATGGCGGCGGCACGGGCGGCAGCGCGGGCCTCGGGGCGCTGCGAACGGCGCTCCTTGATCACGTCGAGCGAGGCACCAACGATGGCACGCTGGCTCTTGACGGTGCGGCGAGTGCGCTTCTTGGCGACCTCCTGTATAACGAAAGTCCATCAGTCACTGTTCACAATGTTGTTCTTTTTCCGTTTGCGCAATCCGAGCAGCAGCAGCGGCGGCGGCGGTCGTCTAGTCGAGTTCATGGCGATCGGTAGGGTGCGCGCAGGCTTGCTGGTTGGCGAGATGGGCGACGGGGCGGATGGGCGACTGACCTCTGAGATACCCTTCTTGTGCTGTCTGCGGTAAAGGACGGTCCAGGAGATCTTGCGGGGGTTCTTGCGCTGGAGGAAGAGCGACTCGGACTTGCCGTTCTGGAAACGGAAGATCTTGCTGTCACCACGGACGTAGAGCTTGCCCTGTTGCACGTAACCCAATCAGCCTTGTGTTCTTGTCCAAGCTCTTGTTTCTTCCTCTTCATCATGGTCGTCGTCGCGGTCGGTGGTGGGGAGGGGCAGCGATTCGCACCTTGCCAGGGTAGATCTTCTGACCGGAGAAACTGTCCTCGTAGACTCTCATTTTGGCGGTTTATCGTTGGGTGTGGTGGTCGGTCGTCGTCGTCTCTCGTTCGATTCGCGATGTTCAAAGCTGTGTTTGAAAATGGCGAGTGCGTTTTGGACTAGCCGAGGATTTTCCACAGTCTTGGCGCTCTGCGCCTTCCGCTTCCGCTCGAACTTCGTCCTTGCACCACCACGCCTTGAACAAGAATATTATCGAATGCACGACTCATCGCTCCTTCCTTTGGTATCTGCTTGTCGAAAAATCACCGAGCTTTTCGAAAGTATCTCACGAGGTGCACGCGATCTATCAATGGACCCGAAGCTTGCATACATATATTCACTAATAATCATATCTCATCTTATCGTCACTGCGTTCAAGCCTCTTCACTTTCCTCTCGTGTTAAGATACACATCGAGCGCGCTCGACATGTTGCTGCCAGAGCTGACTCTGCTGCGTACACTCCCTCGTGCGACCAATCTCTCGCTTGTCGCCGCTTCTTGACATCCGACTCCTGGTGCGTGTGATGCCTGGCAAGGGCAACCGTTGAGCATGCCTCCCGTCTTGAGCACTGCTGAAAGCGCCGCTTCCAACAGCTTGTTTCTACGCTCGAGTGCCTCCATCCTTGCCTCGACTGTGACAGGACTACTTTCGCCTGGCTGCAACCTGAATCTGGCCGTCTTTGCACTTGACGGTGGTGATGGGAACACCATACTGTGTCCACTATCATCCAGTGGCGGTGCAGGTAAGTCTTTGGTTGAGCTGGTCCTCGCTAGCCCTGCATCTATCGCGTCTTCAGATTGTAGAATGCTACTGCTTTTCGCACGTGGAGTTGGTGGCAATTCTTTCTTGGGCGGTGGTGACGGCAATTCAGGCGTGGTCGGCTGTTGACTCTTCTTCGAAGTACTACCTGCTCGTGAAGGCGTCGGAGCCACGCTCTTTGGCCCTCTACTACGCTTGCTTGTCTTGCATCGTGGCACCGGACTGTTTCTACCTCTTGCGCTCGGGGCCATGCGTACATTGCTGATCCTGGGCGAGGGCGAGGCAGTGGTAGCGATGATTCGATAATTCTCCGAAAAATTGCCTATGCTCGCTGAGCGTTTGGTGGAAAGTGGGCTTGTACAATATCCATCTGGCTTCTGGTCGCGTTCGAGGGAGTGCTGCGAATGCGAACTGCTGCAGTCAAGCGGCCGAGGACCCTCAGGTCTGGCTCTACGGAGTCGGCGGCGTGATGTATTTTGCTGTGATGCTTTGACCATGGCGTCGATGAGTTCGAGAGGCTTTGAAGAACTGGCCTTGGACTGATTCGTGTTTGTGCAAAAGACATCACTGCTGGTTCCGCTGCTGCCCGGTCGAAGGAAGGAAGGTAGGTCATTGTCCCTTTGCTCCCGAGTAGCGTAAATCACGGCCGCTTCTTTTGTCACCCGAATCGCTTGTTCTTCGTTTACTGGTTTCTTGTCCTTCAGGTATGTATCGGGACTGCTTTCCGCAGTTGACCTGCCCAAAACCTCGCATAGAGATTCTGACGGTATCGACAACCGCAAAGGGCTGCGGGGAGGTGGAGGTCCAGGGCTACTTGAGACCGATCTTACACCTGGCCGAGAAGGTTGTGGCAAACAATGACCAGTCACATCACTAGATGTTCTTTGGAGCACTGATACATTTCCACTCGACCGCTTGGGATTTGGTTGGACATGTGTTGCTGATTTGACCGGGTCGACGATAGGTGGGCTGACTTCATCCTCTGGTAACGTTGGCGGTGGTATGCTTGGTACTGGTCCAGGAGTTACAGGATGACTTCGGAGAGGTGCTGTTTTTCCGCGTATCACTCGAACGTGCCTGTCACCTCCTGACGCCATTGTGCGAGTCTTTGTGCCAAGAAACAAGGGACGCACTGGAACTGCTTTGCGGTCAAGGACGTGGACGGTTTCTTCGTGTGGTAATGTCTGGGAAATACGTTTGATTGGCCATCCTCTGAGTGCTTCTGGTCCTTCATGCACCTGGGAGGTGGTCTCAGATGCAGATGCCTCAAAGCCCAGAACCCAATCTTGTAGGCTGTCTGTACTGAGCTGATCTGTAACTAGAACAGAGACCCTAGACTCGGCTATCGCGGGACTATTGGCACGTCAGTCGAGTACCGAGGTGTTGTATATTGTCAACGCACCTCTTTGCTAGAGTGTCAACCTTCGTCTTCTGGTTGGCCGGTTCGATCTCATAATATTTTTTGCCTGCAACGTCGATAAGCCTAAGCCATGGCACTTCCTCAGCCCTTGACTTACCAGTTTTCGAGATCTTTGGGACCACAACATCTGGCAGTCTTTGCGCTGCTGGTAACAGAGACTTCTTGGACGTCTGAGAGGCATCATCTGTGGGTTGGGTCTGAAACTCGGGAACTTCTTTCTCCTCTGAAATCGCCTGATTCAGCCTGGAGACAATTAGTACCGGCATTTTTCAAGACGCATCTCGTTTCACAAACCTCATATGAGCTGCAGTCGTTGAATTAGAGGGGCGTCTACTGCTGTTTTTAAAGATGCGCATGGCAGATGAGATCCGTTTAGGCTTGGTTTGTTTCGGTGGAGGATCCTTGACGGGTCCGGTGGTCTTGAGAAAATAAGCCATCTGATAAGACGGATTCGATGGCGGCAGGACGAGAAGGTTGGTTTGGGTCATCATCTCGTCGACGAAGGGATTCCTGCTTTCTTCTCCAGGGCCAATCTCAGAAGAAGATGGACGAGTCTCTGCCTGAGACTTTACATCTGCTCGAGAGCTAGCATAGCTAACGCCATCCCCCATGCTGCTCCCCTCACTTGCAGATACATCAGGGTTCGCGGGTTTGGCTGAAGAAGATGGCAGCATGACAGGGACCGCCATACCGGTTGGACCAAACATTGATGAAGACTGATGTAAGTTGCCGACCTTTTGAAACTCGAATGCTCTGGGCGTGTGGTTGGCAAATGGAAGTACAGGTCTGCGTCGTGAGATGGCGGAAAGGTGCATCTAAGATGGAGAAGGCCGAGCTTGAAGAAGAGCTCTGACACTGCACAGAGTGGCCAGGCAGGTAACACAGATTGAAGGAAAAGCACAATATAACATGGGTTCAAAAAGCAAGAGGTCTCATGCAGTCGGTTGAGCCGGCAGAGGAAATAATAACATTCACGGTTAACACAAGTCGTCGTGCAAGGGAAGAGCACCAGGTCCTTACAGCAACGATGTGCGACAATCGATGCACATAGTCAGGGATCTTACCAAGAGACAGGTCAGTGGATGCAGCAACCCTAGCTACTGGGCGTTATGCGTCTCTGAGTTGGCGCGGCGCTTGTCATGCAAGAATTCGCTTTGGGGTTGGTCGTGGCAACAATTTCGGCGGCACCTTGAACCGACCATTCGAATATCGTACCGGGTGTTGCATTGTATGGAGCTATACGTACACGTCGTCCAAAGGCAATAGCCAGCCTGAACTCAGTGATCATTTGCACAGGAAAAACATGACCAATCATTTAGATCGACAGCGCTGTACAACAGAGACCGTTGTTGCCCTGACAGATGGCCGGCGCACTCGTGATGCTCATGATTCTCGGGTTTCACTGGCGTGCATGTTGCATGTAGGATGCCGCGACAATAGACGCAAGGACCGTAGGGACTGGCTCGGGAATATCCCATGGTATTACAAGAGGAGTAGGCCATTGAATGACAAGGCGCACGGCTTTCAGTGCCTCGAACAAAGGTCACGGTCAAGTGTCACACGTGGAAGCAAGGGTGGAGCCTGAGTGTGGAGCCAATACACAATCTGCTCACTTACCTTTCTCCAAGCCTTGTAAGTCGAATCTCATGTCATGCAAAAAGTACATATCGAAAAGAATAACGCCGTGCTAGCCTTGTCACGCCCCAAAAATGCTCCGTAATGTTGGCCCAATCAATCAATCAATCCTTCCTCGGCTTTCTGGTAGGCTGAGGCATAAAGGGGTCCGCAGGCTTCTTCCTCTTGCGAATGATCTGAGGTGTGGTCGTGGTTGGTAGTAGATATGTTTTTGGCTTGGCAGCCGGTCCCGATGCGACGGATGCTGGAGCAGAAACAGGTTCGTTGTTCACTGTTGGCGTGGAAGCGCCACTCCGGGCGGATTCTGCATCGACCATGTCCACATCTTCCTCACCCTTCTTCGTGCGCATACTGGCAAGCTTATCCTCCAACTTGACGCGCACGCCTTCCATTGCTTGAACATCGGCTTCTTTTTGAATCTTCTGACCATCGGCTTCCTTTTTGGAGTTGGTACTGTTACCTTGGACTTTGTTGGTAGTGATTCCAGTACTGCCATTCTGCTTGGCGCCTCCGCTGCCGTTCGAGGCAGACACCTTTGAGTGCTTGATCAGAGGAGTTTTCTTGGCGGGGAACTTTGAAGAGTGTGCTTTAAGCATCCCGTGAAGGTTGCCTGTAATGTAACAATTGCGATCCCGAGCATCATCCAGTAGCGTCTTCCAGACCTCACCCCTCATCAAACTGTCTGAATTACCAAGGATCCATAGACTTGACTTTGCGCGAGTGATACCAACGTTCAAGCGACGAACATCGGACAGGAATCCGACACTGCCTGTAGCGGATGCACGAACGCAAGAGAAGATGATGATCTCGCTCTCACGACCCTGGAACGCATCCGTGGTATTGAACTCGATGCTTTCCGTAATATCAAGACCGTAGCGACCTGAAAAGCGTTGCTTCAATTCCCTTAGTTGTGACTTGTAAGGCGTGATAATGCCAATCTTGTTCTTGAAATCATGATCACGGTAGTCACTGATGAGCCTCTCATAGAGAAGCATGGCGATTTCAATCTCCGCCAAGTTGATGAGAGAGTGTCCCTTAGGTGCGGCTTGGTGCTGACCTTGGACGTCAAAGAATCGATATGGCGCAAGTAAATCACTGGCGTGCCAAGGCTGTTTCCGAAGACCTGCCATATTATCTCCATCCAACAAACGTCCTTCGTAGAAGGCTGCACTAGGGAAGGCACTGATGTCGGGGTGCATACGATATTGAGTATCCAGCAGGTGCACCGCTTCCGGGTGATTGTTTTGCATTCGGACGAACAAACTCTGCTCATACTTGTTGGCAGAGGCAGCTTTCGAAAAGACCGTTGGAGGCAACTGCCTAGGGTCTCCAACAAGAATGCACTTGGCACATCCGTATTTCAAGGGAATCAAGGCACTCATCTCAACGCATTGGGCGGCTTCATCAACCACGACAGTCTCGAACTCGATGTTCAAACTCTGAAACATGTCGTGGCCACTACCACTCAGAGTAGCGCAAATGATGTGAGCATCATCCAAAATAGACTGTTGTACCCTCTTGCGGTTGAGTTCTGCCGCTCGACCAGCCGAGTTCTCGTTGTCTTTGGCGTTGTCGATCTGCGTCCCCAACTTGGTCTTGCGGTTTCGGAGAGCATTGAACTGATCTTGGAGTTGCGAGAGCTCTTTGCCCTTGACCTCCCCACTGTCCAGTTTTGCACGAGTCAACCGAACCTGTTCAGACACATTCTGATGCTCTTTCATGAGTTGTTGAGTTTGTTCCCTTGCCTGTTTATCGTTGTTGGTAGATCCCAAGCGTTTATTGACAAGCTCTTCCATCGTCACATCGACAACAGAACTGTTGACGGCATCGCTACGACCGACACGAACGACATTCACCTTTCGGTGGACTCCTTTGAGCGTCTTGATGCCTTCTTTGAATCTCATCACAAGTTCGTCTACGGCTGCGTTACTGGGCGCACACACTAAGAGCTTCTTTGACGCAGTCGTGTTCGTTGGGAAGGTACCACCACCCCTGGGAACCTCGATCTTGCTACCCAGTTGCTTGTCGGAAAGACTGTCACTAAGCAAGGCACCCACGATCGCGACGATCGTTTTGGTCTTGCCGGAACCCGGAGGGCCCTGAATGAGAGTGAAGGCATCATTTTGGACAGCAGACTGAACAGCCTTGGCTTGTGCTTTATTGAGTGTGTAGTTGTTGACGATGGGTGCCAACTGCTTGTCAGTATAGTCCAGTAAGGGCGAAGGTCTAGCTTTGGTGATCTCGTCACACAAGTCATAGTATTGCAGACCGAGCAAGGCACCGTATTCGCGTTCCAAAGGCGTGATCGACTGGACCTTGGTACCGTGTATGAGACTGCCAGGTACGAGATGAGACATCATGCTGTTGTTGCTTCCCGGCATCACACGATACGTGACTTCGATATGTTGCTTCTGACGGCGCGTGCGGTAAACCTGAGCAAAACAGTGATCTGCCTCAGCATCTGCAGTGGGATTGTTGGACATCGAGAACAGTATGATGTCACTCTCCGAGATCTGGATCTCCTTGTTCTCAGCATGAGTGACAGAACTGCTGATCTCAATGAAAGCGTCAACACTGGATCTGTTTACGACCTTGATCTCGTAAGGCTTGAAAGAACTCTCTTCCCTTGATTTGACAAAGCCTTGCCAAGCTTCGAGAATAAGGAGCGGACGGAACGTCTCCTGATAATCGGCAACATGGCGGAACGAGTTGGCAACTTTCTGGAACTGCCAATCTTTCGAATTTGGTGGGTAGTCGCCTTCGTAGAAAAAGTCCCAGCCCAAAATCGTCTTGTGTAGGGGTGCAAGGTCTGGAGCAAGTCGAGCTCGCATATCCTTGGCAGAACGGACACGTCTCTCAATTCTGACAGGTTGGTTACGCTGTTCGCGTTTTAAACCAATGGCGCCAGCAGCATCGCTCTTCGCGGTATTAGCTCGCTTCTTGGTTGGCTTAACACCGAAAAGTTCTGCGTCCAACTGATCGTCTTCATCATCGCTGCTCTCATCCGAGGAGACCATAACACCTTGACCTTTGGTCGAGTGGTCCTTCCCTTCCAGGCCGATGCCTTGTAAACCTGAGCCTCCCTCTCTCTTAGCAGCAGCAATAGCCGCAAGATCTCTCTTGCGTTTGGCTTCCTGTTCTTGCTGGCGTTTGAGCCTGAAGTTGTTGGGATCTTGCTGTGCAATTGGAGTTCTGGTCGGCAGAACAGACTTCTTAGCGAAGTCACCACGTGCTTTGAGCATCTCTGCGGTTGGCGAGGCGCTCGAGATAGCTTTCTTAAGAGCTGACTCGTTGGCGGCAGCTCTCCAAGTTTCCATATCCAAGGTTCTCTTAGGCTTACTTGCTGAAGATGTGTCTGTCGTGCCTGATCCAGACGTAATCCAGGACGCAAGAGAGCCTTGCCTCTGGGGCTTGGATATCTCGGCCGCACTCTGCTCTTCGATCTCGGATCCGACACCAATGTGAGTTTCTAGTGCCCGACGCAATTCGGCTTTTTGAGACATGCTGAGTCTGGTCTTGACGGTCCCATTAAGAACATCATCGACATAGATTGTAGAATCCTCGGGCAGTCGCAGGTCGACCGACTCAAGACGCTTCATGATCTCGCAAGTAATGCTCACGGCCTTGCTGATCAGATACTCGTCTCTAAGGCGCAGCCACTTTGTAACATGGCCAGATGCATCTCTGGGCATCTGGAGTAGTCCTTGTTCGACCTCTTGGGAAGTTTTGTTGTCGCCGGATGCAGAATTCGCGTCCCGCAATGCTCCTGCGATGACGCTGTATTGGTTGAAAGCGTAGTCTGCAAAATCCATAGCGTCTCGGCAGAATTCGATCATCATGTTCTTGTCATGCCCAGCAAGACTCCATTGCTCAGTATACCTGAACATGCACCCTATGACGCTCCACAAAGCTTGCCATGTGTTCTCAGTGGCCTGAACTTCCTCCATGTTGAGCTTGCGGGATCGTAGAATACCATCTTGAGTGCTGCAGAGGCAGTCAAGAACATCTCTGCCCAATTTGAGTACAGTCCTGCATGGCGAGAACATGTGGCTTCGAGCCACTCCGCGGAGAGTCGAGGCGATGGATCGGAGCGTCACCACAAAGAAGTTCTCCATCAGGTATTTTACGGCTTCTCTACGAGAGTCCTGAGAGCCCATGCTCTTGATGACTGTTGCCGCAGATTGCTGGATCTCAGCATGGCCAGAGAACACCGCATAGAAGAGACTTTGAGACGCACCGGGGCTGATCATCAAGCTTTGAAGTTCTTTGGGATCGAAGTCCTGTAATCTCTCAAAGAGCTCAGTAATGTAAGTCGAGGCGCGCTCAAAGCCATTGTTCCAGCTCTCGGCATGCTTTGGAGCGTTGGCAGACTCTTTAGGAGCAAGCGGTTCTAAAAGTATAAGACGGCTTGTGCCAATCAATATGGCCGATGCAAGGGATATATCGCCGGGTTTGATGCTTCTCACTGCTGCTTTCCAAATGGCTAGTGATGAGACATTGAGATCGAACCCGAGAGATTTTTGTTGCAATATTGCATCACGTATGGATGCCAGAGAATGGCAGTCGAGCGATAGAGCATTTCGAACAACGTCGAGCCCAAGCTCTGTTTCGCGCGAGTGTGCTGGAGAGTCCTTGAAACTGTGCAGGTTCTCCAGGATCGTCATAACATGCACACGAACAAGCTCAAGTAAGTCTGCCACAGTAGCACTGCCTGCACTGGTCTGATTCATGATCTCCATTGTAGTGTTCATAACCTGTAACCCTTTACGCCAACAGACTGTCTGCGCATAACGCGAGTACTTTTCTGATTGTAGTCTCGACATGAGTTGCTGCAGTACGGCACGGCATGCAGGAGCCAGGTTCGCAGGCTTGATGGACTGTACAAAAGGATCAATCCATTCCAGAAGGGTCTCGAGCTGTAACGGCTTGTCTTCTTCGGTGGTCATCATGGGGCTTTCAATGGAAGGGCTGTTGAGAATCTGTTCTACAACAGCCTGTGGAGGGACAGCAGCTAGAGCCTCCCAGACGTCTCCTGGTGACTTCTTCAGGAGAGAAGTGAAACTGCTGACAATGTTTCCGTAGCCATCGAACAGAAGTTGGAAATGATCGAGGGCCAGCTTGTAGATGTCCATGTCTAGGGCCCGAAGGTGATGTGTGATGAGTGTTTTGTCGAGCTTCTCGATAATGACCTTGGCGCCTTCCCAAAAGATGGGCAAGAATTCGCGGTCGATATTGACGGGGACGACTCGGCCCATAGCAGCGTTCAAAGCATCGCGGACTGTCCAGTCGAACTCAATTCCAGTGATCGGTCGCTTGAACTTGGTCCAGCCTCTGAGCGCCCAGGCAGATCTTTCCTTGTTTTGGCTGAACAGAAAAGATGTCAGGGCTGGTGTGTATTCAGGCAAGGTGATCTTTTTTCTTGTCTGGACGAGGCGGAAGGGCTTGTCGAAGTGTTGTTGAAGTAGAGACTCGTCCTTCAGGAAGGCCGTGCAATGCATCGACTCGAAAAGAGCGTACATCTCTTCCTGAGGCAGACTGGCAATGGAGCGTTCCTGGGGAGCAAGATCGAGAAGGGTGTGGGTAGCGCTATCGAGGCCGGCAGCAATACGCTCAGTATTCATCTGATCGAACACTTGCATGAAAGAAGCCACGACATTCGCGTCATACTGCGCTTCGAGGTCATGCTTCAACTCCTGTCGTCCACGATGGTACTCGCGTACACAAACAGTGCAGCGTTGAAGCTGAAGTTTGAGCAAGCTCTTGAGAGTAGCGCCCAGCTGTACCGCCGTCTCTCCATCGAAAGCAAGGATCTGGCAAGCCTGCAAGACTTTCTTCTTCAACTGCCGCGCCTCTTCAACCTTTATATGTCTGGCCTTCTTTTGTGTCTCTGTTTCCTGGGGTACTGGGTTGAGATTGTCTTCGTCGAAGTACACGGAGGCATCATCATCGGATGTGCGCGGGCAGAACCAGTGCTGACTACTGGGGAGGGCTTTGAGATCTCTGAACAATCAGGTCAGCATACGACCACAGCGCAGGGCAATGTATTTATCTTACTCTATCTCTGCCACGACGTCGGCCATTGCGAAGTTTACGAGACGTCGGTCAGAATACGCATCTGTGTTGGTAAATCTTTGGGGCGAAGACTGGTCAAGATCTCATGACCGCGTGATAGGATGTCGTGGTCTTGGTTGCGCCTTTCTTTTTGCAGATGCAAGTGGTAATGGGCAATGGTAAAGTGTTGGTGATGTCAATAGTGGCAGGATCAGAAGGTACAATAGTGACAGTGGTGGCACTGTAAAGTGACTTATTGAAAGATGAGGTGCTAAAATGTGTGTAGTCGAAAGTTGTAGCTAGATCAACATTCACTTTGGTTGCATAAGGGTCCTTGCTGCCGCGACGATGATGGAAGAAGAAACACGACGATCGCACGTCTAACGCGCTCTTCGTGTTTTGTACTAATAATGTGTCCACTTTGAGCAGAACTGCATAACACAAAGTCGGTCCACTGGTGACTTGACTCGTTCACTTTCTTTGACTATTGAGCAAAAGTTGACCGATCAACTCGATACAAAAAGCGTTGTCTGGTGGTCGCATGAAAGCTTCTCGCCATTCTGGTAGATTTGAGTCTGGCAGGTTTGACCGATTGAAGATACGCAGAGCATCCTCACTGGCAGCTGCTTTCCAGCCTTAGGACCTTGTGCATCACCACATTAATCTATCAAAGAAGCTCAGGATTGGGAGACAGGATGTTGTATTGAGAAGTCTATATACACAAGACGGCTCTGAGCAGGTTGCTAGAGTAAGTAGACACAAGATTATCTATCATTGTTTGTAATCTGACAGAGCAATGTCGAACATTCAGTCGCGCGCAAATGCACTCGGCATTATTCATTACACTCTTGTTTTGATGGTGGTATGCAGTGTACCGGTTTCCGTTGATGTGGCGTCTAAAGTGTTGCACTGGGTTTGTCGCCACAGTCGGCTTTTAGTTGAGAGAAAATAAGTCCTTAAGGATGAGAATGTTCTGGTCGCAGTCTCTGAATGAACCTTATGAAGATCAGTAAGGACTGTCAAGGGTAAACTGCACGCGGCCAGCCTTCGAGAAACACGTTTGCGTGAGCCGAATTACGGTGGTTTGGAAGAATGCAGATGACGACGCTCGGACCGCACACGGCGAAGTGAGTCCGACTAGGGCACTCATACTTCGAGAGGCAGGAGCGCTCCCTGGGTCTAACCCTTCTCATACATCCACTTGAGTATCCATCAATCACACCCAAAATCCGTCTCTCCCCGCATCGCTCGATACAAATGGCAGACCAAATTACAGATCCCCAGGAAGGTCAGTCCCCTTCTGGTCATGACGACAGCATTGCGCCCGAACAGAGAGGCATCAAGAGACAGCGCACCTCCAACGCTGCGCCCGCCGACGACGATGACGACGACGACGACAAGCCTGGCCGCGAGAGAAGAAAGATCGAAATCAAGTTCATCCAAGACAAGTCGCGTCGTCACATCACTTTCTCCAAGAGAAAGGCTGGTATCATGAAGAAGGTTCGTCGTCGCCCAGTCCTCGCACGCGACGCGACGTGTCGCACCACTTCGTCCCAACTTGGGCCTTACTGACAAGCTCCAATCCAGGCCTACGAATTGTCTGTCCTCACTGGTACTCAAGTCCTTCTTCTTGTTGTGTCAGAGACTGGTCTCGTCTACACCTTCACTACCCCCAAGCTCCAGCCTCTGGTGACCAAGGCCGAGGGCAAGAACTTGATCCAGGTATGCATATACCAACAATAACATGTTGGTCGCCTTCCTCACTAACCCTCTTGTCAGGCATGCCTCAACGCTCCCGAACCCGCCGATTCGAACGGTGTCGACGGTGAATCGACTGTCGACTCTCCGGAGGACACACACGCCAACGTCCCTGCCCCAGCTGCCGGCATGCAACCTCGTGCCGCTGGCATGCCCCCCAACCAATACGCAATGACACCCGATCAGCAGCAAGCTCTGCACTACCAAGCATATCTCCAGCAACAACAGACTGGTGCCTACCCCATGTCTGGCGCACCCATTCCTGGTCGTCACCCCGGACACCAATAGAGGGGACGGTCGAGAGACTATACACAAATCGTCAACTCTCTTATCATTGCTCCGACATAATGACACGTGCGACGCGGGAACCGAAGAGTGATTTTATTGGTGCCATGGGTTGATGAAACGAACTGCCATGCTCGGAGAGCTGGTTGGGCGAGGCGAACTGCGGCGTAGCATCGGGCTGGTTTTCTTTGGTTTCTGTTTTATCCCCATTTCCTTTCTCCTTCGCTTCATGCCTTGCTCCAAGGCTTCCATCTTAGTCTTTGCAAGAAAAAGGCACCAATGGTGTCGTTTTCCCTCTACACGGCTGACCCATGTTTTACTTTGCTTTTCATTTCACCAAAAATCAAGAGACAGGTCAGGTCGCCCTTTCAGTCAGCTTATGGGTCGTGTATTATATCCAAAACCAGAATCAAGGACTTTATCGTTGCTATTCGACTTGTTTGAGCATGTCACAGAAGATGTGAAAGGCGACAGTCTCTTGAGTTCTATATCCCGAGAGACACCAGGCACACCCTGCCTATGCAAGATATGCATGCATGTAGAGATGCAACGCTCAATAACATGTGAAACAGAGTGGCATTTGCTCAGAGACATGTTCTTGGCTGTCTTCAGCTGCGTCTCGGATCTTAGAGCATTTGTGTCTTTGACAATTCAGACATTACCCTACAACGATACAAGAAGAGGTCCCAAAGATATATTGTACTTATCCTGATCTTCCTCATCATCCTTTCAACCTCTCACCACATGGTTTACTAACCTGAAAAGGACTGTGTAGCTACATGTATCCACGCTTAAGCACATAGGAACGACGATCAAGAAAATTGAAAACCAACACATTATGGTGTACATCAAATCCTTCGTAAAGAACACTATTGAGATCATCTATGAAGCATGCCGACTGTCGACATGATTATCTTCGTCTCGCTCCTGCCCTCTCCAGCGCGTACGCCACCAATCCACAAGCTGCTTGGATATGCTTTCGTGTCTATACGCCGCTACATCGAGTTTGAGCGGCTCGGAGCGACTTCTGAAATGCGCGTGGTTCGGAGGGTCGGTTATAGACCTCGACATTTTGGGAGGCGGCGGCCGTCGTCGATTGTCGAGTAACGGAGCCGCCTCTGGATTTGAGCCTAAAGATTCACGGCGAGGCACAGTGCCGTAATAACGTTCCTCATCGCCCAACTCATCCCAGATATCTTCTACTTCACGAGCGTTGCTACCTCGTCTGCGTTGCTGGCCAATCAGCAAGGCAGAGTCCCGTAACGTGTGCCTTCGCATCAAGGGTGCCGTCTCTGAAGAGCGTCGGCCATCGTCTTCGTGTTCATGTTCATCAACGAAACCCATGCCAGGTGCCAAAGCAGAGTGAGGAATCTCGCCTCCTGCGGGTACTGCGGCCGCATCTTCTTCGCTAAGCCGCCAGCTGAGTGCCAGCACACCTGCCAACAAAACAACCGTCCCCAGAGCTATGAGACCAGCATACAGTGGCGATAGTTGGTCAGCTTGGCGGAAGTAAATGAGACCGTCGAGGATTGCGATGATGTTGTAGACGCAAAAGACGAAAGGATACAGAATACTTGTGCTGACCAGCTTTAAACCAAGGTGGAGGTAGTAGAGCTGGGTAAGAGCGAAGAGAAGAAAGAGCAGCAACAGAAGCCAAGACTGATATCGATCGAACTGGTTTTTGTGATCGACGATAGTACGCACGAGTAGCTCTACAGCGCTTTTGGCCAGAAGTAAAGCATGGGCAGACAAAACGCCGGACACAAGGCCATATGCCATACCACGCAACAACCTGAAGCGTGGTCTCTGTATTTGTTGGGCGGTCATGAAGAAAGAGGTAGTAGAATCGGCAAGCAAGATGGCAAGGACCAGAACCAGCGTCAGGGTCATCCAGACAACAAAGTTAGGAAAGACCAGCAGCTTCAATAGTTGATCGAGCGAATGGGATGGTTCGGGGAGAGCGGAGAAGCGGGAAATCAGAACAGCGCCAGCAGCGACAAGAAGGGTGCCTAGAGCGGTACGACGGGTGAAGGGTTCGTGGAGGAGTAGTGTAGCCATGAGGGCATTGAAGACCAGACCCGAGGCTTGTAGGGTACTGAGCAAAGGTAGAGGTAGAGTTGTGATCTGGATCGAGGAGCCGACGATGTTGCTGAGGAGGAAGAGCAACATGCCGAGTTGCCATCGTCGGCGGCGGTATGGGGCGCGGCGGGGGAGGTGTTGGTCCTTTTCATCCTCGAGCATGTGTGACTTGCGCTGCAAGGTAAGACCGACGGACTGGACGCATGTCGATATGAGGCCAACGACGATTCCCAGCTAGACAAGCGGGTCAGGCAGGTGGTAGGAGTGACAGATGGTTGGACGCGACTTACGCCAAGAGTGGCACTGGGAGACAGCGAGGACATGGTTGTTGACGGGAGAGAAGCAGTCGTAGTCCGGGGAAACGAGGAGTGGTGTATTAGCAAGACGGTCGCAGCGACATGGTGGTGCGAGGGATGTGGCAGCAGAGAGACTCGACCGAGGGGCTCGCTGTTTTGATTGTTGATGCTGTCGTCTGGCGGTGACTAGTCAGAGCAGAGTGATGCGACATGGGGCGTGTTTGGGCTCGTGGCTGCACAGCAGGCACAGGCACAGGCACAGGCACAGGCACAGGCGTTCCACTGGCCACTGGTGACTTTGGCTGATTGTGGAGAGACGGCGCCCGCTTCAACGTCACTCCAAGACGCTCCAGACGCCAATTCCCATCTACAGCCTCCCGTATCGCTGCTGTCCAACAAGTTTATCCCCTTCCTACACCACCCACACACACAATACCGCCGCCATGTCGCAAATCCACGCCATGTCCGACGACCAGGTAACTCGTCCCGTCCAATTGTCAAGCTGCGACGCCCTTCTGATGAGCTCGTCCAAACAGGTCGCCTCGGAGCTGCGCAAGATGACTGCCTTCATCCGTCAAGAAGCCCTGGAAAAGGCCCGCGAGATCCACCTCAAGGCCGACGAGGAGTTTGCCATTGAAAAGTCCCAGCTCGTCCGCAACGAGACCCAGTCCATCGACTCGCAGTACGACAAGAAGTTCAAGCAGGCCGCCATGTCCCAACAAATCACAAAGTCCACCCTCTCCAACAAGACAAGACTGCGCCTCTTGAGCGCCCGCCAGGAGCTGCTCGACGACCTCTTTGACCAGGCCAACAACAAGCTTGCCGACATCACCACCGATGCCGACAAGTACCAGGATATTCTCAAGAACCTTATTCTCGAGGGTCTCTACGCCCTGAACGAGTCCAAGATCACCCTCCGCTGCAGGTCAAAGGATGATGATGTTGTTCGCAAGGCTGCCGACGCTGCTCAGGCAGAGTACAAGGACAAGATGAGCGGTCGCGACCTTGAAATCTCCATTGACGAAAAGGACAAGCTGCCCGAAGAGACGTATGCTCGAGACCTGTATCTACCACCGAGATTGTTCACTAACTGTTCCCAGATCCGGTGGTGTCATTGTTGTCAACTCGACCGGCAGAATCGACATCAACAACACTTTCGAGGAGCGTCTTCGTCTGCTCCAGTCCGAGGCTCTTCCTAGCGTGCGAGCCACTCTTTTCGGCGAGAACAAGAACAGAAAGTTCAAGGATTAAATCTTCTCGTCTCATCGTCTACTACTAATCTCTGTCCAACCTCCTGTTTTGCATACTTAGGTATCCGGAGCCAGCGCAATCTGTAGATATCGCTTTTCTTTTGCTTTCTGTCTTGTACGCAATATACCTCATTACGTCTACTTGTGATCTCTCTTGTTCATTATCGTTACGCCTGCGCCAATAGGATCGTCTAGACAGCACCGCGGCTGCTGTCGATCCCATTTCCCATAACCATATCCTGTTCACGTCTCGCGACGAAGCTTCTAATCACATCGCTTGTGCCCTCAGCTGCTCCGAATATTCCCTTCTTGGGCTTCGGCCTTGTCCTTGCTGCGAACTCGAGCCTGTACGACAGCTTTTCAATCGCCGTTTTGCACTCAGTTCTTCGCATGTGCGTGGCTCCCGTGTCTCGGATGTTGAACGCTATCGATCGCAATTCTGCCACTAATCCATCTATGGCGGAATTGAAGTTACTTTCTTCATCCGACACCGGTAATCTTGATGTCGTCCTGTCTATGCTTACTGGACTATCGGTTTTGGCCGTCGCTTCGTTGCGGAATTCGAATTTCGAGAAACCGGCTCCAATAGCTACGTTTAGTGTGTCGAACCGAGCTGCCAACTTTTGGAAGTCGGTGTTGTCTCGAATCTTGAAAGCTCTGTTCTCGTGAAGGAACAGCGTCAAAGTCTTCATGGTCGCCAGGTCATCAAGATTGTCCTTGAGATATACGTTGGACTTCAGGAATGATGCCAACCCTATACGCCGCTTGAAATCATGTGATGCCGCCGTGTTTGAAGGAAGAGATCCAATCAGATGTTGTATCAAGATAGGATTTGGAATGTGTGCGCGAAGGCGCTGTCCAACGTGTTCGACCTTGAAGTACAGATTAGCACGAGCTTTTATGCAAACTCAAGACAGCGTATCGACATACTGTTGCAATTCGGACAGCGGGTGCAGCATCGGCTTCAAGCAAGTTCACAATGCAACTTTGGAGAGCTGTTCGGGCTTCCGTCTTCTCTTCTAGTTGCGGATCCACAAGAAGAAGCATCAAGGGTGTCAGCCAGCTCCTTCTTTCAGCAACATGCAATCTGTCATGACGGTCAGCTCAGCCTCCATCAGTACAGAAATGCCATGGCCATTTTACCTTGTCGCAAGTCTTGTCAAGAGTATACATGTCCAGTCAAGCCTTAGAGGAATTACCTCTACGTAAGGTCTTTGATGCGCAGGAGGTGGCTTCGACGACATGTCGGAGAACAGATCTGGCTCCAGATCCTCTCTACCTGCTCGCAAAAGAAACTGTTTGCGTAGATGGTCGGTCGAAAAAGAAGAGTTAGAAAACGAGTGTTCTAGAATGCTCACATAGGCGCTAGCCAAGCTACCTTCGAGGTCTTGAAGTAGCTCAGACAGGATCCATTGCACAATTCCGTCAGGTAGAGCAGATATGTGAGCCATATCTGCCACGAATCCGCTCTTGAACAACTCTTCCCGAGCTTTTGACTCTTGCAACGACCTTGTCCAGTCCTTCGGTAGAGCCATGTTGGGGAATGGCTTGGATAAATGTGTTCTTGAGTCGGCATGTCTGAAGAAAGGATATTGAACATTCTTTTCTAGGACGTCGTTGCGCTCAATCGCTCGCACGACACGCTCTCTTGTCTCATCGTCGCCGTCATCTACCTGCAGGTGGGAGGCAAATTCTTCAGCATTCATGTCAGACGCCTGCCTAAGCTCGTGTTCCTGACGTGCTGTCAAATCCATCTCTTGCCTGTATTCTTCCTCGTACTCTTGGATCTTTCGAATGGATTTGGCATCCTTGTTGTGAGAAGCGACCAAGGAAGCCATACTGAACTTGTACTTCTTTCGAGCAGGTTGGACCAGCTTTGATTTGGAAGTTGAGATCCTGTCGCGCCGAGTGGAGCTCCTCAGCTCACGTGCAGAGGTAGAAGGACGTGGTGGAGTCTCCGAAGATGTTGCGGGTGGGGTCATCTTCAAGCGCTTCCGTCGAATAAGTTCGTCAATGTCATCCAGGGGATCTGAATCGGCATCAATGCTATCGGAGTCCGAGTTTGTCACAGCCAGCATGCCGTCGCGAATAATGCGTTTGCTCGAAGATTGCGAGCTGATTGGGAGGCTCGAGAGAGATGATGAAGAGACAGAAGGATCCATGGTTGGCTGTTTTTTCGGGATTGTTGGTGGAGGTGAAGCAGGGCTAGGGCTGGGCTCGGGTGAAGTGAGAGGGCTCAGCTCTCGTGGAATGCGTGAGGTAGGTGCATGGTATAGAGGCGGACTAGAAGGTATTGGCGTAGGAATGGGATCGGCTATGCTTGTCTCTTTGCAAGAGAGGATTTTTGCGTTGCGAACCGTCGAAGAGACGGATCTGTCGGGCGGCAGGGAGAAACGAGACTTTGCACTATGCTGTTGCTGCTGTTGCTGCTGCACCTTGGTGGCTGCGGCAGTCGCGTTTTGGGGCTCTGACGCGCTCCTTCCCTCTCCAGCGATTATCCGCTTGACCTTTGGCTGGGCGAATGGCTTGAAGAAGTCGGTAATAATCCGTTCTGGTTTTGGGGCCATTGGATATTGATACTGTGAGCTGGCCACGCCGGACTATGCTCCATATGATATGGTCGAATAAGAAGGATAAGGCTACAATCGAGGGCCGCGTCGCGACTGCCAAATTGATCCGTGACGCGCCCCGAGCCGACGCTGGCACGATACCTTACAGAACACAGCCAGCTGCTTATGCGGCACCGCAGCTCTGTGGCAGATGGCAGTGAATGACCATGGCATATACGAGATCTACAAAGCTTGAAATAGACAAATGATCTGCGGTCAGTCACAGAGATTCGTATCTCAAGCTGTTAAGTGACTCTCAGTTTCTGGCCATGCGAATGATTCGATTGGTGTTGTATAAGAAAAGTATGGCGTTCTCTCGGAGGTCTTGGTGTTTCCAGGTTCATATTTGATTTCAATTCACTTTCCAAAACAAATTAGCTACTCATCAGCAACACCGATTTTTGTGACTGTACCGGTACATCGAGCTTCTATGGATCATGGAGGCCCCCAGTCGCAAATCTGGCCGCAGGAGGCAGCCTAGTAAGAAGTACACAGTCGACGCTTTCGAAGGGCTTGATATTGGTGATGGGATCCCATTGTCTGTTGAGACGCCGGATGACGACCAAGACGATGATTTTCACATGGATACTAATGCATCTCCTGAGCCACCGGACGATGATCTTTCCGCCGATGGTGCCGCCGAAGAAGATGAAGAAGAGTATCAGTCTCCTCACGACCTGGTTTCTGACGAAGAGTCAATTATTGGTGGCTTGGAAGCCGATGCCCCAACTATCACTCGTGGCTTCAAGAAGGTCAAGTTCGACGAAATCGCAAAGATGAAGGGCGACCCTAGGTACAATCCTCGTGGATTGCTGGAACCTGCTGCTCGTGGCTCAAAAGAGCTTCAGAGATTGTTCTTCTTCGGTCCTGCCAAAGACGACCAGATGCCCGCTCTCAAATCTCACTACAAATGGGGCGCCGAGCTAACAATTCCGAGTCATGAAGCAAACGCCGGTGGTTTTGGTGGCTTCACGACAAGTTACTATCATGGAGATGCAGCCATAAAGGCTGAGTCGCAAGACGGCTGGAACTGGTATGAGAAGGAAGGCGGCAGGCAAACCTTCAGGTCTCGTCAGCTGACCACTTTCTTGTCTTCTCAAGAGGCTCAGGTCTACATATCCCCGGCTGCACATCCGACCTGTCAGGTTCTCATGGGCCCGTATAAGCGCCAAACTCTCTTCAAGCTTAAACTACATGCAAGTCTCGATCTGAACGACCCCTGGATACCACAGGCACCATCTATTAATACACCGGCACTCGCACAAGACACAAAATCGCAAAGGAACGGATGGATGCTCAACATAGGCGAAAAGATACAACACCTAGAATGGGCACCTAACCTCTCAGGTTCTAGGCAATTCCTGGCTGTCACAACTTCGCCTTTGATAGGCTCCGATGCAGAAGAGCAGAATTTCAGCGCTCCTTATGCACCAGCCTTCGCACCACGACCACCATCAAAGTCGTCCATACAGATTTGGGAGTTTCGTGCCACTTCTCAGGGACGAATCGATGCTACATACGCCCCGGTTCTGCGGAAAGTCATTTGCTCTGAATGGGGAGATGTCAAGACATTCAGATGGTGCCCCATGCCTCGACATATTGTAGCCGAACAGGCATCAGAGCGATTAAACCTGGGTCTGTTGGCTGGCATCTGGGCAGATGGTGCCCTGAGAGTACTGAACGTCTTTGTTACAGCGAAGGATGCTGGAGAAACAGAGTACGAGCTGGTCAGTTCTGCAGCGTTTACTGCTCAGCCACCCAACACGATCTGCACATGCATGACATGGCTCAGCTCGACCAGCGTGATTGCTGGATGTGCCAATGGATGTATTGGTGTCTGGAATATTCCATCGTCGCTTCAGACCGCGTCAACAGCGGATCAGCAAAATTCTAACGCAGAGCCTATCATCTACTCTTCGATATCACAGACCTACATACTCAACGTGACAACATGCTACCCTTCACGACCCAATATCATGATCTCGTCTTCTATGTCAGGCCACATTCAAATGACGGACCTGATGGAGATGACCTCCAAAGCAACCATGGCTCCTGCCGCGACAGTGAGAGCTAGTCGCTCGCGTGTTGGAAGATCTGTTCTCGTGTGGCATGAGTTTGCCCAAGTAATTCTTACAGTCGACGACAACTTCACTCTCGTCGCGTTTCCCATCCGACGATTCTTCCGTCAGATCTCATTCACGCGCTACAAAAGCTCGGTGGCATGTCTTGCTCATAGCCCTGTGCATCCATTCGTTATGGCCGGATGCATTGGCGGCGAGGCCATCAGCAACAACCCTTTGCGTCGCGCTTATGAGAACAAGGTACCCATCTGGAATCAAACCTGGTTTACTCATGAATGGAGACAACGCAGCACTGAAGAGTCTACTGACATCGGCACCCCCAATGATGATGAACTCATGACAGACGTATCGAACGAGCCTGAAGATCATGCCACAAGCACAAAGAGCCAAGCAGATTCCACGCCGCAAGAGATCAGTCGAGTGCTGGAAGGATTCAAGTGCAAAGAGATAAAACTCTTCAACACCGAAGACGCATTCACTCATCGGGAGAACGGAGCAGTATACTCGACCGTGTACGATTTGAAGACATCAATCAAGTCCATGTCCTGGAATCCAAATCTCCATGTTGGCGGTTGGATCGCCGCGGGCATAGCTAACGGTCTCGTCAGAGTGGAGGATATTGCATCATAGAGAAACTGCGAGGTGAACGGCGTACTGGTTTCGTTTTAAGATACCCCTGTATACTAGATTTTAGGGCATTGCTGACTACATTATCCACTGTCCTTCAGTCAATGGCCATGACACCACATTATTTCACGAACATTCCTTCTGCATGTTCTCCACACGGTTTTTCGAGAAATTGAGCTGCACCAGACAGTCACAGGATCAAGTAAGTTGGGACAGGTACAAAAGGTAGTCTCGGCCCCAATTCATCCGACTTACGAACCTTCCTCCATCTTTACCCCATCTTTTCAATAGCCACCGAAGTTCACGCATCACTGTGATGGATCTGAAAAGAGGGGCTATTACTGCAGTTTGTCCGAATACCGAACAATCGCAAGTATATGTTACAATGGCCAATTCCATGAACCTTTGTTGGAAGAATTCTTAGGATATGATGGCACTACTACCGAGACCATGTCTCTCTATGATCATATTTTTGATTACATTTTGTGCTTGTGCACCGACTTTGGAGGCTCAGCTAGACTATGGAACCTTTGAAGGATCATACTCAGCAAGGTATAACCTGAGCTATTGGCAGAAGATACCGTTCGCTGCCCCTCCCGTTGGTCAAAATCGTTTCAGAGGACCGCAGCCACCAGTCCCTGTCAACAATGGCACTTACAATTCGACACAGCCCTTTGACATGTGCCCTCAGCGAACAGTCAATGGATCCGAAGATTGCTTGTATCTTGGACTATACTCGAGACCTTGGACTAAGGCACAGCCACTTCGCCCAGTCGTTGTGGTCTTTTATGGTGGAGGGTTCATACAAGGCAGTGCTTACTTCTCTGTGCCTCCACCAGGTGCGTACGTAATCCTCAGCAAGACATTCAAGGTCTCAGTTCACACAATGATGCATGACCATAAGGAGATAGTAGAGATAGCGTGTTTCTGCTGCAAATACATTCGTCGAAGCAGTACATGCTAACCTCTCTCTAGGCTACCCAGTGCTCAATGTCTCTAGTTCTAACGATCTCGTCTTCGTCTACCCCAACTACAGAGTCAACGCCTTTGGACTACTCCCAGGCAGAGAGATTGCTGCAGATCCGCTGTCTGATCTCAATCCAGGGCTCTTAGACCAACATGCCGCCCTGGAATGGACACACAAATACATTTCAGCCTTCGGAGGCGATCCCAAGAACGTCACGATCTGGGGTCAATCTGCTGGAGGCGGTAGCGTGGTAGCTCAAGTCATAGCTCAGAATGGAAGGATCAGCCCGCCTCTGTTCTCGAAAGCGTTGGCATCATCGCCTTTCTGGCCGAAGACTTACAAGTACAACGCACCTCAGGCCCAGGCTCTCTACGACGTTCTGGCTAACCTTACCGGTTGCTCTGGACCAGATTCACTGCAGTGTCTGAAAACAGTAGATGTGCAGACCATCCGAGATGCTTCACTGATCATCTCAGGAAGCCATACCGACAACACATCGTCTTATACATGGGCACCTGTTATTGACGGTACGTTCTTGACTCAGCCACTCTCTTCTGCCACTTCAAACAGTCATGTGAACATCGATTACGGATTCGGCATGTATAATCTGCATGAAGGCGAAAATTTCGTCCCTCCAGGTTTCGAAGATGGGGTAAACTCTGGCTCGCGATCGTTCAACTCATCGGTTCAATCTCTTGTCCAGTGGTTGAAGGGGTATCTACCAGGGCTGTCGGACCACGACAGATCGAGAGTACTGTCCTTGTATCCGGCGCAGGGGTCGGCAGAAGGGTTGCCTAACTACAATACTACCTATGTTCGGGCAGGTCTTATCTTCCGAGACACAGTTCTGGCTTGTCCTGCATACTGGATGGCAGGTGCTGCCCACAAGAAATCTTACCTTGGCGAGTACACCATTTCGCCAGCCAAACATGCTTCTGATACGATCTATGTGAGTTGATACCTGTCTGTCTAGAAAAATTTGCTCACACAGTCGGCAGTGGAACCAAGTCAACTCTATTCAGCAAACTGATCCTTTCACATACCAAGGTTATGCTGGAGCATTTGCTTCGTTCTTTGCAACGGGAGACCCTGACGCTCACAAATTGACGAACAAGAGTGTAGTTGGTGTGCCAGAGTTGCAGTCTGGACAGCAGTTTCTAGTCTTGCAGGATGGTTTTTCTGACGGGTCAATTGCGCAGCTGATTTTGCGGTGTGATTATTGGAGGAGCGTGGCACACAAGATTCCCATTTGAGTACTGAAATTGTCTTGGACTTTCTCGTCTGAAAGAATGTCACATTGTAGCCAAGAAAATGAAGTGAGCTCAGATGCCGACTTTCAGGTCTCCTGCAACATGACTCCAGAGCTCTTCGATGAAAGCATTTTGACGCTCGCCTTTCCTTACTGCCAGATATCGTCTTTCGTCGACTCTTGGCTGCCAGTTGCCTTTGTTTGCGTCAACGATTTGGCCTCCAGCTTCTTCCAGGATGATCCAGCCAGCACACACGTCCCAAGCCCAGCATCCTGCTTCCCAATAGGCATCTAGGTGGCCAGCAGCAACACCACACAGATTCAGAGCAGCCGAACCAAATGAGCGGATACCATGCACCATAGCACCGCCTTCTTCTGGACTAGCGCACAAATTACGGAAAGTCTTTACCTTAACATCGTAGTCGTGGCCTGCTCTATCGCTCCCCCATTCCACGGCTAGAAGAGCTTTGTCAAGAGCAAGAGGTTCCGGCTCCTTCAAAGGTAGTTGTACGTGATTGTGGAAAGGATCAGACAGGAAGGAGCCCTTGCCCTTGATGGCGGAGAACAAGGTTTGGGTGAAGGGGTTGTAGACAACACCGACAACAGGCTTGCGATCAATGGCGAGTCCCAGGGAGATACTGACATATGGATACCTGTGGACTAGATTGGTGGTTCCATCCACAGGATCACAAATCAGAGTCGGGCGATCAGTCAGAAGGTCGCCAGGTTTGTATGTTTCCTCTCCCATGAAACTGAGAGAGTGTGTTAGAAACTGAGCATAGAATCATGGTGACATTGGCGCGCACTCGAAGTGGGGATATCTCTCGTGTACAAGTCTGGTAATGAGACTTTCAGTGTTTTGATCAATTTCGGTGACCAAATCAACAGAATTCTTCTTCTCACCTGCGGCCGCGGTAGTGGGACGCGCAGTGGTGATGATCTTGGCTGCTTGCTTTGCAACATCGACCAGATAGTCGTGCACCTCTTGAAGATTGATGTCTGACATGGTGGTGCCTGGAGTGATTAGAGAACTATGTTACAAGTAGAAGGAAGCGTTCAGGAAGAACAGCTGGAGAAGAAAGAGCATAACATGGCTTGCATAGACATGACGAAGGGCGGAGCAGAGCAAGGGTCTAGGTGGACATAGCGGGTTTAAAGAGGTAGGTGGGTAGTCGCGCACGGACGTCTCGCTGCTGTCACGCTCGCTCGCAAGCGCGACAAGCAAACACGTCCGACTCGGGCAGCTCCCTGAACTTTCAGCCACTGCCAATTGCACCAATGGCGCCTTTCAAAGATGAGCAGATCCTAGTGAGTCTAGTCCGCGCTAATTGTATATCAATTCACTCGCTCACCTCTTGTGCGCTCGCCAGATCATCGCGCCCGGCTCGCGAACAACTCTTGCGCAGCTTGGCCTTCCCGAATCTTTGACCCCAGCGCGTTTCCGAGTGCGCTCATGCATGTTTCCTGCTGAGAAGCCTGGCGAATTCGAACCAAACAAGGTCCGCCGAAAAGACGTCCCTCCAGCAGATGGCGACAGCGAGCCTGAGTACGAAGAGGACGTCCTGTCCGAGCAGGGCGCCATCTGGCCAATCCAACAAGGCCGAATTGTCGACTGGGACTGCTTCTTCGCCTTGATCGACAACGTCTATCGCAACATCAATCCTCCCTTCCACACTGCCATCCTTCTCATTGCTCAGCCGATATGGACTCCCAAGGAGCACGAGAAGATCGCTCAATTCATTTTCGAAAAACTGAAACCTCCAGCCTTTGGTTTGATGGACGCTGCTTCGGCCACACTGTACGCCTACGGTGTACCAACTGCCACCATCGTCGATGTGGGCTACGAAAAGGCTGACGTTACTGCCATCTACGATTACCTGACCCACGACACGGGTCGTGCCTTGAGCGTGCCTGACTGTGGTGGAGAAGCCCTGACAGAGCGTCTCTTCCAACTTCTTTCTGCGCGGGGCTTCTCCAAAGAGGTTTGTGAGCAGTTGAAGAAGAGTCCCATCTGTGAGATTCTTGACGGTGACCTACCTACCGAAACTGCCGCAGCACCTTCTGATCAACCATCTAACCCTGCCGCCGCTGCCAGCACTGGCGCAGAAGGCTCCGGTCCTGACCAGCGAACGACAACTGCCGCTCTTGGTGAGACACCTCTAGGTCCGGGTCCTGGCACTCAAGTCGGCAGCGAGCAGAAGGACGGTGAGGACAACGAGGGCGTGCTTGATATAGCCAGCATTGTCACTGGCGGAAACATGAACGAATTCTTGGAACGTAAAGAGAAGGAGAAGGCTGAAAGGCTAGCCGCAAAGAAAAAAGGTACAGAAACTGGCCCGGTTGGCGCGAAGCCTGCTAGGCTTCCTAACTCGAAGAGAGTCAAAAACACCTTCATATATGAGGACCACGTTTTGCGTGATGCCATGAAGCAACAAAACTTCAGCGACAAGCAAATCGCAGACATGCAGGCTGCTGTCGATGTTGGTCCTGCAAAGAAGAACGACGTGGACGCGGGTGACGCAGATCGCCCAACAACCGATAGTACCCACGATGAGCAACAATCACACGGAGGAGCAATCCGCCGCGAAGCCGAGGTTGGTATTGAACGATTCCAAGCTGCCAGCGGTGGTGTGCTCGATAGACTGGCCGATGTCATCTATCGCACTGTTTCCTCGGTGGAGGAAGTAGGCAAGAGAAGCGAATTGTGGGATTCTCTTATCATTGTTGGTAATGGATCAAAGGTTCGCGGGTTCAAGGAAGCTCTCTTGAACACGCTACAAACCAAGTACCTGATCTCCCCATCTTCGGCTACCATCTTCACATCAGAGCTCCCATCCAACCTTTCGACGCCAATGGCAACCGGTGCCAACACTCCCCAGCCTTCAATACCCCCACACTTGAGCTCTGGAGTCAACCCTCTGTTGTATGCTGCGACTACGGCACAGAACCCCCAGTTGAATCCCATGAACGGTGGCATGCCCGGTGCACACATGCCTCACAGCTTGCACACTTCACATGCGCAATCCCCTACGAGCGTGAAACTTGCCAAGATGCCCGAGTACTTCCCCGAATGGAAAGACGCGGGCTACGAAGAAGCAGTGTTCCTTGGAGCTCAGGTGGCTGCCAAGGTTCTCTTCATGGTAGATCAAGGGTTGAGCAAGGGATATATGACGAGGACAGATTACAACGAACAGGGACCTCAGGGAATTCACGATTGTAGCATGTAACGAGACTTGTAAAAGGATGCTTCGAGCGGGGGACAAGGCGTTAAAGGGCCAGACAAGTCTAGCATGTTGCTCAATTGAAAATTGATGAATACAAGACAATCTCTCGCTTCGTGGAATTATGACCCGGTTTAATAAATGCTTCGGTCATCGTAAGAAGTGTTGGCAGTGTACAAAGATCAAGACCCAAGTTAGGGGCTTGCGCATTGAATCTAGCATTCACCAAGCAGCCAGAGACCCTGATCAATGGTGAGTTTCTACCTATCGAGCAATTCCGTCAAACGAAAAAGTCTTTGGTGATTCTTTTGGTCTCTCAGAGAGCTTGTGCCGAGCGCATGGAAAAGCTTGCCCATTCAAGGTCAGGCGGGTGAGTACCCTTTCCTTCACAACCAGAAGTCCACTCTTGTTGAGAAGCTCGTGATTGTAGAGTAGATAGCCATGATCAAACGAGCATTCAGGGTCCGACGCGTTGAACAGGACTCCCCTGCGCTTAGAAGTCGCATTTCTGCCCGTATTACGCCGAGGCATTACCCCACTGGTAAACTCATGTGCTGCGGGTTTTGTCTGGTGAATGACTCGGGTGAATTCATGCGCCATAGTTGAATTGTCACCGGAGCCAGGTGTAGGCGCAATGCTGCTAGTACGATGGACACTGTCTGAGTTATGGTCAAGGTAGAGGCGTATGGCGGAAGGAAGGGTGTATCCGTCCGTCGGGTGGTGGCTGTTGAGCTTTGTGGCTCTTATTCAACAAGCTGGTGGGACTATTATTTCCAGGATCTGCGAAGTGGATCGTGCACAGGTTTTAACCATCCTGCGCGGGAAGCCACAGGGGAAGACGGACCCGAGACGAGCTTTTGAATAGCAGCTAACCATTCATCGCTTTGGCGTCTTCAAGTTTGCGGTTCTTCCTCTCTGTTTCTCCTTCTCTTTCCTCTTCTTTCCTTTCTTTTCTTTCCCACTTGTCTGCCGAGACTGTCTTAGCAGTTTAGCCGACTGAATCCTACAGTACAGAATACCGCATTCCGCTGGCAGGTGCGCATCCATTCTCTTGCCCATCGTGATCCGGATACAAGCAGGAGACACGGAGTACCTCGAGGCCGTACTCGGACGCGTCACCTGGAGCAGCTCGGTCGCTGTCTGAAGAGATTGCGTTTGCCGCCATCGAACCTTTAGACTCGTTGTCGATCTATTGTAAGACGGCAAATTCGAGCTAGGGAGGAACTATCGTGTTGCACCGTGTGAACCCCACGCCCACCCTCTTCGACTTCGTCCATTGTTCTAGAACAGAAGTCGGCTCGCCGAGGGCCGTCGAAAAACGTTTCGACGTTAGCATCTTCTCGGTCCTTGGTCCTTGATTTCCCATCATCTCAGACCTCCCTGCACTGTCCCTTTGCGTTTCATCGCGCAACAGTCGCAACTCCCGACACCTTCGACCACGACGCCGCTTCCCATTGCTGTATCAAAGAGACGGATTTAGATCAGAAAACATAGCTTTTCCTGGACCGACTGCACACATTATCCATCCCCTTGACGCTGAGCCACTTGCGACCCGCCACACGACTTGTGCTCGTCAATCCAACGACCCTCTGCTGCCGCGCATCTTGACATGACGACTGTTGAGCAGCCGGCTCGCCATATCCATTTCAGCTCAAACTACTCGACTCAATCCTCAACCCTGCCGGTCCCCGTCCTCACAACCAGCGCTCCAGACTCGGACGCTTCTCCTGACCCAATGGATACAAGTTCCGACAACGCCGCCAGGGATTCTCAGAATGCCAGTCCCAGGGGCGACAAGCAGACCATGCAATCTGCCAACTCTGTGGACCAAGACAGTCAATCCAACCTGCGAAATGGAACCGTCGGTCAACACGCAGTCGGCGCTGCCGCAGCGGCTCAACAGCCCAAAGCCATCAGTGCAGCTTTCATCCATAAACTATACAGGTACTGCTCTTACCCTTCGCTGAAGGCCTGCAATGGCTGACTCTTCTGCAGCATGCTCGAAGACCAGAGTATACAGCATTTGATTTCGTGGTCCAGCACAAACGAAAGCTTTGTCATGTCACCTTCAACTGAATTTTCCAAAGTACTAGCGTAAGCAACATTTTCCAGTGCACCAGGCTTCTAACAATATGCTGAATTCTTGTCAGGTCATACTTCAAGCATACAAACATTTCCTCATTCGTCCGTCAATTAAACATGTACGGATTTCATAAAGGTAACAATTCTGGCTTTGATCGGCCAGCACGAGCTAACGCCGAACTTAACAGTCAGCGACGTTTTTCATACAGGATCTCCCGATTCACCTCTATGGGAGTTCAAACATGGCGCCAATAATTTCAGAAGGGGCGATCTGAACGGCCTGAGGGACATCAAACGCCGAGCTTCAAGGCATACTTTAATACATCGTGATTCATTCTCGAATGCGACACCCAAAATGACGCTTCAGCCACCGCCGCCACCTCCTCCTGGCGCACCAATGGAGCCTCCAATGCCGGATCCTGTCGAGGCTCGGCTTAGCATGCTGGAGTTCAACCTCCAGGACGTGTACGCGAGGTTGGCAAGATCAGAAGATGCATATGCCAATCTCAGCGCCAAATGCCAGGTGTTGTCCGAGGGATTGGCAAGATGTCATTACGTGAGTCTTGTGCAAGCAATATGTCTATCAGTCACTGACGCCAAACTAGTGGAGCGGAGAGCTGTCTTCTCAGCTGCTGGGAATGGTACCTGATCCGGAGAATGCCATTCACAGAGATGTGTCCGCCTTACGCGCCGAGATCAACAGGAACGCGGATATTCTAAGGTCACACGAAGTGCCTCACGAGAACTTGCAGCCAACTCGTCCCCCGTACATGACTGCTCCTTCTTACGATCATGGCGCTCCTGTTTCCCCCCGTCAGCAAGCAATGGATGCTTCTCGCAGACCCTCGTTGCAACCGACTTCTCGCACTTCTTCCTTCAGAGCACCCATGCCACCCCATATGACAGCATCACCTCATAGATTTGGTTCCCTCAGTGGCCCCTCTGGTCCACCATCGCCTTCGTCTAGGCAGCCTGCACCACCGCCACCTCCGCCGCCAACTTATTCCACGCTTCCACCTCCACCGGCACCAGCGCCTGCAGGCCAGCCATCCTTGCAGCATCGCCCAGCATCTCCTCCCATGAACCTTTCCCGACGCCATACTTCTGCCGACATTAGACTACAAGGATGGAACGGTCCGCCTCATGCAATTCCTCCACCGCCTCCGCCACCTGCGCACGGAACCTCACCTTACTCGACAGGAGGGCAGAGCTCTGCAGCATGGCCCACGTCTCCTTTCCGCCAGGCCAACAATGAAGGTCAGCAGATCAGGGATACTCTGGCGCAATACGAGCTGCCACGCGCGACATCTAGACTCGGCTCCCGACAGACTACACCTCCCGAGCCCCCATCGTACGCCAACAACAGTAGCGAAGCCGGATGGCAACTCCCTGGGCCAAAGTTCTCGTTCAAAGGTGTTGAGGCTTCAGCGCCCGGGACTCGCCGAAGTAGTATGGCTAGCAATGTGCACTCCCTACTCAACCCCACAGCGGATTCGAATCATGAGCGAGATGCAGAAGACGGGCCCGAAGACAGAAAGCGCAAGAGACTAGGATAGAAGATTTATTTGGAGCAATCCACGATTATTATGCATAGCGTGCTAGAAAAATTAAGCATAGAAATTGAACATTTTCCACGCAAATGTAACGTCAAGAGGCCTAAACGAGACAAGCATGTGTAAGAAAATAGGACCGAGTCAGTGAGTGGTCCTTTACGTTCGGGGCCGGCCGCAGAGTCCCAGAGTTTGAAGTTTGCGGGCCTGGCCTCGGCGAGCAGCAGATGGTCTTGGTCGCGGAAAAATAAAAATTATTGTTGGAGCAACTGTCACATCCTCGTACTTTGCTGATTGTCGCATATTCCTACATTTCCTTGCATCGTAATCGCATACGCGCAATTGACATCCAATATGGTGCAAAAAGTCTATGTCACGTACAACGATGTATGAAAGCTCGAGTCACGCATGCCAGACGAGCTGGTAGTTGGAGCATGTGGACGCTTTGCTGACCAGTAGGCAGGTACACAAGCTCTGCCAGAACTCGGCTGAGCGCATTCTGAACGACTGCAAGCCCAACCTCATCATCGCCATCGGTGGCGGTGGTTATGTGCCTGCCCGTATCCTGCGTTCCTTCCTCAAGAAGCCCGGCAACCCCAACATCCCCATCCAGGCCATCGGTCTCTCCCTGTACGAGACACTAGGCACCGAGACTCCCGAAGAGGTTCCCGGCACAAAGGTCACCCGCACACAATGGCTGGATCTGTCTTCGCTCGAGATGGCCAACCTGATCGGCAAGAACATTCTCATCGTTGACGAGGTCGACGACACACGCACAACCCTCGAGTACGCCGTGCGCGAGCTGCAGAAGGATGTCGACATTGCTACTGAGAAGCTCGGTCGCACCGCCGAGAAGACCAACTTCTCCATCTTCGTTCTGCACAACAAGGACAAGCCCAAGAGAGGCACTCTTCCTGAGGCAGTCATCAAGGACCGCTACGTCGCTGCCGTCACTCTTCCCGACTACTGGATCTGCTATCCTTGGGAAGCTCAGTACGTCTCGTGTTTTTGCTTTGCTTTCTATATCGTAGCTAACCACTCATTCACAGGGACATTGACGAGCACGATCGCAACGCTGCCGAGCAGAACAAGCAACAATAGACCTTCACGAACAATCCGGCGGATGGGGTAAAATAATACGGCGTTTTAGGGTAGAGCCTGTCGAGTTCATGAATCCAAAATATACAATCTCGAAATTTCCAAAGATTTGCATCAGCAGAGTGGACGATACATGGAATCGGTAGAATATCGGCTCTATTCCATTCCATTCCACTACTTCTAGCTAAGATTCCATTCCATGTTAATTATCTAGTAGAATGATGCTAATTCTAATATCGTCGTCGCTATTACTATTACCCTATCCTTCTATAAAGTTACCCTACTCTTCTAAGAGGTCGTCCTATCCTTCTATATAATCCTCCTATATTTCGTTAATAGGTAGATCTACCTTCTTAAAACGAAGGTTCTTCTACTAGTTCTTTAGGCACTCGATATACCTAAGATTAGTAGTAGAGAGTCTTACTTAATCCTATAATAGTATCCTTCTATAATTACTAAATACCCTTTCTAACTTAGTAGATATTAGATTAATTAAGAGAATATTAATAGCTATCTAAGTAAGATTTAGGTAGTTAAGCTACTATATTAGTTTAAGCTACTACTATATAGTGTTATTAATAAGTACTATAGGACTCTTAATAAAGTAGATATATTCCTTAGGTATATTAGCTAAGCTTATATGCTATAGAGAAGCCTATTACTTAGCTAGCTTATTTATTTCCTCCTCTTTTAATCGTAGTATTATTCTAATTAGCTTTATCTTATTTTTATACTTTATATTCTATAAAGCATGTATAGTAGTAATAGCTAGTACTCGCTATAATAGAAGCTAATATTTTATAAGATAGGCTTTATAATATATTAGATAGAGAAGGAGCGTAGTAGCATAGGTAGGAGTATAATCGTTAATAGCTTACTACTTATTAAGAGCAAAACGGCTAGTCTAGATAGTAGAAGTAAGGACTAGATTAGACAAAGTATAATAGACTAAGTTCTACTTATAATACTAGCGTAGAAAGTCTATTAATATAAGTACCTATTATATATAAGCTAGTATTCTTAGGTATTAGATTTTAGCTATAAATAGGTAGGCATTTAACTAGATCTATAGTTTAAGTAAATATAGACTTACTTAATTAAGGGTAGTATTATTACCTTCGTATAGCTTAGTTACCTCTTATAGTAGTTCTATAAAGTCGATAAGCGCTTTAAGAAACTACTAATAACGTCGCTAAAGAATAGTATTCTCTATATGCTTATAAGTATACTA